AAAAGGATTCTTATCATATTAATGTTAAAAACCTTAAACGGTTAAATCGGGTAACGCTAAAAACTAACTTATTAACGTAAATAATTATTTATTTAATTTTAAACTAATTAACGCGCCATTTATTAGGGAATAATAATGCGTTTATACTTTAATTTTAAATAATATAATATTAAGAAAGTAAAGACGCTTAGAACTTTTATTTAATATAAAGTAGTAAGTTAATAACCTTAAAAAGTATGTAATTTATAATTTCTAAGTTTAATTAATACACTTATAATAAGTCCTTATTTTTAACGATAAAGGTTACGGCTTAACAAAGGTTTTAATAATTTAAGATCGTTATAAAAGAAAATAGTAATAATAAAATAAGTAATAATAATAATAAATTAAGAAACCCCTTTTCGGCATATAACCGGTAAAGCGAAATCTTAGTAAAAGAAAAGTAAGTGGGTAAGAAAAATAATAAAATAGGAAAAGGTTATAAGCTTTTTAAGGAATTTATTAACTTTTTTACGACGATTAAAGTTATCGGCAAGGTAAAAATAAATTTAAAAAAAATAAAATAAAGTTATTAAATATTAGTTTTAATATAAGTATCGTAAGATTAAATTAAAAAAACTTATATTAAAAAAATTAATTAAGATTTAAAAATCTTAATTATTTATTTATATATTTAATTACTTCTAATAAAAGGAACGTTTAAAGGCATATAATAAATGGCTTTATTAATTTCTTAAATATAATAAAAACCCGTTATATCGATACTTAATATAAATAAATTATTAATAAAATTTAACGTGGAAATATTAAAATTTAACACATTAAAACTAAAGAAATAATAATAAATAAATTAACTAAATTATTAATAAAGAAGAAATATAAGGCTTTTATTTAATTAATAAGTTTAAGAAAATGCAAATAAAAAAAATAAACTTACGGATATTACTTCAAAAAATTAAAAAAAAAAACGATTATTATTTTAAAAAAAAATAGAAAATTATACTTTAATTATTTGACTATATAACTTCAAAACCATTTACCGATAGTAAATGTGGCAATAGTTGTATAACTTTATGCTAATAAAAATATGTTACAAATGTTTTAGGCATTTTTAGCCATATGGCCCTTATAGCCATATATTGGCACTCCGCCATCCGTAATTTAAGAATAAAACAAACTTTCTTCCTTTCCTTTTTCTTCTTCTTGGTTGCAATTATACTGCAATAACAAATAACCTTGGAATGATTCCAATTTCACCAGCTTACGTAACAGGTATCTACCCCATACCGATGATGTCTGCACCGCCCGGGCGGTCTACTAAAAGATGACAGTCTGGTAGACGGCCAATAGGGTGACCGAGGATATGAATGCATTACGCAGGCACCCTACCTGGGCCGGCAGCAATCATCTTGCGTGGCTTACTTACCTAACCTAACTAACGTAGGTAGTACACATGAATGGCTTGATGGATTTTACTAGCATGGGCACCTACGTACGAGACGGTGAGTTACATAGGCCGCTGTCACGCAGGACGACGACCAACCTACCAGTGTCCAATATCCCGCAACCGAGCCAGTGTGAGGTCTGTCGAGGCCTTCACGAATCCTTTTGCTTAACCCACGTCGCGACGAGGCTTCTGACGTGGGCCTTGGCCACTCTATGTGCGAAAGGTCTCTCTGCGGCCTAGCTAAGGGGTAGCTAGAGCAAAGAGGGTTACATGTATAGAAAGCTTCCGCAGGCTCCGAGCAGATCTTAGGCAGGTTGGGGACTTGCCGCGCGATAACAATGCTGTTGTGCGTCTTCTAGGCTACGCCTCGTGGGCCTAACATATCGTACAGCCCTGTGTGAGGCCTCTCATGTCGAGAAAACATTATTGGGGAATCAGCCATCTGGCCAAAGACCAAGCGATATAACGTACATGACAGCCAGGGAGCTTGACGATATGACTAACAACGGCTAGGGCGTTAGGCTGGTGATAGGAAAGGGGAAAGCAGCCATATTAAGCGTACCAATTATGCGCAGTAGGAACACGATAGTGCAATTGGTCTTGCTGCCTGCCTAGTGTGCCTAATATCCAGGTACAATCAGCCGCCTCGGGCCGACAGTTTCGGTTTCGGTTCTGGGAAAGCAACCTAATGGCGATGGGAACATCCCGTAGACTTCCAGTCATGAGATATTTTCAATACGTTGTATCTACTCAGTTGGTAACCTTAGATACTGTGGTGTTGGTTGGAGTGTCTTTTAGGGGCACGCAGGCCGCGCCGTCCATCTGTACTGTTAGGTCGAGAGTCCCATGTCCTTACTCAGGGGTTACTTTCATGAAAGAAGTAGACCTACCATATTTCGCTCTGTTTCGGAAGTTAGCGTTGTTAGATTAAAGAGAGGCTGTAAGGAACGATGAAAATGATGAGTTGGTGCAGTGTGAATCATAAGGGGGTCACGTGACCTCACCCAGCTAACATATCAAGTTTCCACCTAAGGTACCTATTATACACACTCACCGAACTCAGGGTTTCCAACCATTTAGATTACCTAGATTTCACGGCCACGGCCACACAAGAGATGATTGGAATATGCAGGGCTAGGGAAGCTGTAAGGCCATAGCCTTATGTAGCGGCTTTTCCCATCCTTCCCCTGAAGCAAGCGCACGACTTGAGCTCGCGCCCCAACACAGGTCTAAAAAGCATGTTGTACGACATTATCGGTGAGTCTCGGCCAGCTCAGATCTTGGATACTTAAAATAGAACCCTGGAAGATACCAACGGTGGGTAAACGCCTTTCCCCAAAATATGCTGCCTGGTACTGGCCATGATCTCACATGAGGGGGGGAATATGAAGAAATGAAGTATCATAGTATTTCCACTCAACGTTGTACATCTATATATGATCTTTAGGAGGATGTACATAACATTTACAAAATATAAACCTTAGATAGTGTAAGGTGCCGTATGCTTATATGGACGTACGCAGCAACTTCGACTTTGTAATATCATGTAAGGAGATCGGTAGGACTTTGCCGGGCTACATATCATGACAAATGGCTTCGCACTAGGTAGTACAGCGTTAGTTATTGTTTGTCAATCTCAATATACACCTAAGGAGGCGCACTAAGAATAATAGAATATCACGGCCCGTGTCTGTCGGCATGAATTTCGCGGGATTAAGAATACCTTAATTTAGATGTTTATATTCTGAGGGCAATATAAATGTAGTAGCCAATCACTGCCTAATTTTCCAACAAGGCTTCATTAAACGCTAAGTTTAGGTCGTGAAAGGGGGTTTGGATGCAGGTAGGTATCCTCAAATCATGGGCATTGCTATCTTCCTGGAAAGGTTCGACATAAGTAACTCTGGTGATCACCCCTATCTAGTTTCAAAAGGAGGCCGTCTATACATATTACCTATCTAATATCTATGTATGACTTCGCGCGATCAAGCTCACCTCGTTTCTGCCTACTAGTAGGTAGGTACCTAGTAGTGACATAGGCATCATACGTCCAAAAATACAGGACTACGCATTTTCAATCAGATGCTTCCTGATAGATTGAAGATGGCAGTAGAAAAATGAAACCTATAGGCACCTAGGTAGTAGGCATGTATTGCAAGACCCCCTTTATAAGGCTATGTAGGAACCTACCATAGCGGGACCCCTTACTCGCAAGAATCATTCTAAACTTCATCCAATGAATCCATCCATCCAAATGATAGTAAATGAGAGAAATTATTCCAACTTGGAGAATTATTGCGAGATCAAAAAATGATTTCACTAGGTACGTAGGACCTAGGTAGACAATATATCCATTTACCTACCAATAGATATGACAGGATGGACCCGTTATACCTACCCTACCCAATTTATAGTACCGACTCGAATTTACCTGGTAGACTCGACCGACCACAGCTTCTCCAACCTGACCTAGGAATATCGTTTACCTAGGTACCTATCTATTTCGTAACCTTGAATGCGCCCTCTTTTTACTCAGAGATCGAGGTCTACCTACCTAGTAAGCTAGTATTGTACCTAGTTAAAAACTCAGAAAACAGTCAGGTTCAAAGTTGACCCCTGAGATCACGATGTCAACCAATGCCAGACTGAGGAGTGATATATTTATTATCTGCAGTTCCAAATGTAATCGGCCCTTCTTGCAGCAGTTGTGTGCGGTGAGAAGGTATTGAAATCTTAGAATGTTCTTGGCTCTATATATACGCACGATGAGCACCCCTTTACTTATGTGTTATGTAACAACCACCCAGGCCGACTGCCGTTTTCCATTCCCCATAGGACCACTACAACTCTCACGATACACGCACGACACCGTCATCCCTCATATCCATCCTGTCATATGGCCACGCAGACTCGCTTGGCATTCGGAGTGTAGGGTTATCGTCCCGGCTAACAGGTACCTAACCTACCTCCAACCCAGTGACAATCCTCATGCGCCCCGGATTCCCCAGACATGCCAGAACCCTCCCACAACAACCTTCCCCATACCCAGTTCTCTACTCCTGGGATTTCCCAGTTGCGGAACCCTTGCCATTTACAGCATCCGCATTTACTCTCAGCCAATCAGGCCGAGCCTCGATATGAAATTCTGGCTTTTACCGGCTATATTACCTTTACCCCAGAAAACCCACCGGAGCCCGCTACCTGCCTGCAGCCCGTCTAATATGTGTGTTTGACTACCTAGTAGCGATCAAGTCTGTTCCGAGAGCTTTTCCGTGCTGCGGGCTACTGAGGACTCTGCGTATCACGTATGTAGAAGTGGGAGGGCTGCTAGTATCGGCCGCCCCTGCCTCTACTCTATCCTGTTCGGCACATTGAGAGGTGTGAAAAGTGCATAGGTCATACCACATGCGATGGTATCTAGGTAGGTATATATATATGCGTGTGTATGCGTTCGCGCAGTGGTACTCTAGCAACATGAGTTTTTGACTTGCCACCTCGAGCCACTTTCAAAAACTCGTTACATTATATCAAGTCTGCAGGCCACCTAGACACGATGAAGTTCTCTTTGCTTGCGACCGCGGCATTTGCCTTGTCGGCCGAGGCCCACTGCATCTTCCAGGTAAGGCTCGCCGAGATACACACCTCATGAGGGCCAATAGCCTCCCCCCCCCTTTTTTTTTAATACCTTTTCTAACACACGGCCTACCTAGGAACTCTCCGTCAACGGGCAAAAGCAAGGCTCGCTAGTCGGTCTCCGGGCCCCGAGCGACAACAACCCCGTCTACGACGTGACCTCGCAGGGTAAGACTCAGCCTCATATTAAAAAGCCTCGATCCTTTTGTTGAAGCTGGCGCGAGTTGGCATATAGGTTAGGTACCTAGTAGCTTGCTAACACCAACCCCACCCACCGCTAGACATAATCTGCCAAAAGCAAGGCACGACCTCCTCCAAAGTGATCGACGTCCCCGCCGGCGCCAAACTCGGCGCCTACTTCGGGCACGTGATCGGCGGCGCGCAATTCGCCAACGACCCGGACAACCCGATCGCGAAGTCGCACAAGGGGCCCGTGACCGCGTGGCTCGCCAAAGTCGACAGCGCCGCCTCCGCGAGCAAGACTGGTCTGAAGTGGTTCAAAGTCTGGGAGGACACGTTCGACGCGGCGAGCAAACAGTGGGGGGTCGACCACATGATCGCGAACCAGGGGTGGGTCAACTTCGAGCTGCCGGCGTGCGTGGCGCCGGGGGAGTACCTGCTGCGCGTCGAGATCCTCGCCCTGCACAGCGCCAAGGCCGCCAACGGCGCGCAGTTCTACATGTCCTGCGCCCAGATCAAGGTCTCCGGCTCCGGAACCTTTACGCCGTCGCAGACGGTTAGCTTTCCCGGCGCGTACCAGAAGAGCGACCCGAGTATCGTGGTCAATATCTACGGCCTTACTGGTCAGCCTGACAACGGCGGCAAGGCGTATAGTGCGCCTGGTAATGTTCCGGTTATCCAGTGCTAGATGAGATAATCAGCATACCTAGATACCTAGATACCTAGACAATAGGCAGAGAAGGAGGTAAGAGAAGCCGGTAAACATTCAGTTGCTAGCTTCGGCGCTTCGATGGGGAGCATATACGGAAATGAAGTTGGTGTTTGCATTTGTATTGTATTCGCCCAACCTTAGCGCTGTATATATGATATATGGTATAGTCTCGCAAGTTTGCAATAAGCTGAACTTGCCCATATCACTGCCTACCTTATGTAACACGACTATAAATATCTCAATGCATAATTGCGGTTACTAGAAAAAAAATCCAGAATTCTTTCTATATTCGGCCGTTTGCAAGCTTAAGCTACGATGCTATTGGTCCCAATCATAATTGTGTTGGTACGCTGTACTACTTCGGTGGCTGAATATGAAGTCGCACAGCATATCCATTGAGGTTCAAGTAGCACTCAACTCGACGATGTGAAGGTGGCTAGTAGCTAACTACCAACAGTCAGCCAACCCGGTAAGATATGTAACTGGGTGGATTTTTTTTGGGAATCCATGCTGCCGCTTAGCCGCATTCCCGAGTTCAGGGATGAGTTACCAACAGCGTTTCATCGACAAATCCCCTTCTGACTTTGACTGTTTCCTTTTTCTTACCTTTTTAAACTACACTAATGCCACTTTGCGGGTAGGATCCTTTCAGGAACAGGAAAAGGAACAGGGACAGGCTTGCGGCGTGGCTGCCTGGCAAAGGAACAATTGTCTGCGAGAGATGATTGATGGGGATGGCAAGACTAAACCTCCTACTAGGTAGGATAGGTAGGCACCTACAATCGGAGACTCCACGAGGGAAGAATGCGCCATCGGGGCATTGATTCTGGATACCTAGGGCATAATATGTGTTGGACTTGTTAGGCGCCTTTCGTTGCCCCCCTGACTGACCCATACGCAAGTGGTACCGTGGGGTAGAATCCTCTGTTTAGGACCGACAGGGGGCCTTGCGCAAAACTGTGGTCCCTCATGCCAATCATCGTCACTATTCCTGTGTGGGCTATCTGACTAGTGGCTTGCGTACAACCGGATTCCATCGCTCGAATTGGACGAGCTGAGAGCTGAGCTGCATTTATGGGTATTCCGTGGTTCCCTAAAGAGCCGCTTGAAGGGCCAGATTTCTTTCCTTAAAGAGCACATAAAGGACGAGGTAGAGTTAAAAGAGAAGTGGAAAAAAAGTAGAGAAAATAGAAACTGGAGACAGAAGAAATATGACGCTTGGCCTTACGCCTTGCTTGAACCCTCACCATTGTATGAGATACACTTGATTAGTATATATACCTATCTATTAGGCATTACATGTGAAAATGGCGCCTCCAGCGCTGCAATCGTCGGCCAGTGTGTTGAGCACAAGCTCCACAGCCGAGAAGGCGGCGGATCTGTCCGAGCAAAGGGAAATCGACGCAATCTGGAAAGAAGTTAACAGCAAAGTCATCGAGCTGGCCGGTGGCGACCCCAGCAAAGTCGAGAAGGGCCTCGACATCAACACCGTGCTCAAGTACATCGACAACATACAAGAGTCCGACAAAAAGAAGTCGGAGAAGCTCGGCACCTTCAAACACATCGTAAGCAGGACATTACAATGCATCAACACCGTAGGCGGAATAGTCGCTGCCGGCGCCTCGGAGGTAAGTGTTCAACTCATCAAACGTTTTACTGTTTGTTATTCACGGCTCACTAAAAAACAAATTTACAGGTTTTCGCTCCGGCAGGTATGTGTTACAATGCGCTGACCTTTGTCATACAAGCCTGGCAGGGCTACGATGGGATGTTTGAGAACCTCTCCGAGCTGCTCGAGAAATGCACCGAGTTCCTCGAGCGCCTCGAGTCCTACGATGGACGGATGGACTCCAGGCTCAAGCGCGTGGCGGTCCAGAATCTCCGGCTATTCGTCGAGATATGTGACCGCACGATTCGACTGCGCAAGAAGCACACCAGGTTCCTCGCCTTCACGAAGCAGCTGTTCCTGAACGACAATGGCATCCAGGACCTTCTCGGCATGATGGAACGGCTCAATGCCAAAGAGTCGCTTCTGGTAAACGCCCAAACGTATAAGCTAGTGAGTGATAGCGCCGGAGATATCAAATTGATACTTGACAGCCAGAGAGAGTCGAAGAAAGAAGACGAAGCGAAGAAGTGGCGCAGGACCATTGCCAAAGCGTTGGGTTTCCCCGGCACGACTCTTGACGGAGACGGGGAGCCCATTCCAACTTGGCAAAAAGCTTTCGATGCTCGCAAGAACACGTTAGTTGATGAGACTGGCAAGTGGATTCTAGAAAACAAAGTCTTCTTAGAATGGACGAAGTCGACCTCCCCGATGAAACCTGTCGTGGTATTGGGAGGCAAAAACGGCTCAGGCAAGACATCTATGCTAGCCAACACCTTAAGACACCTCAGGAAGATGAGTCGAGCTGGCCCAACTTCACGTGCTGTTACGGCCTATTTCTTCATGGAGGGCGAAAAAAGGAAGCCTGACGGCGAAGATGCCAACACCACGCTGGAATTGGTTACGCGGACGCTGCTCTGGCAGATAGCGACCTCGTATGAAGCGATGACCAAGGCGGTCTTCCAAATCGTTGAGCGAACACCGTACTTCGACGGATCTCTTGATCTCTGGCAGCAACTATTCATAAATAACAAGGAGCGCCTGAACCTGGATACTACCTTCTTCCTATTCATTGATGGCCTGGATATGGATATTGTGCAGCTGGTTCAGAAGTTAACTTCAGTTCATGACAACAAGAAAGCTCGCATTCTTTTGAGCGCCCGGCCGCAGATGGTCTCAGATTGGCTCGATCAAGAAGACGGAGTTTTGTACGACACTATTCCGATTTCTGATTACAATGGCGATGACATTGACAAATACATCACGTACCGGATGGATAATATGCCGATTCTCAAAGATCCTCAGCGCACAGGAATTTCCGAATGGAGAAAAAGGATCTTGGAAACGCTGCGGGTCAAGTGTGCCGGCGATTACTTCAAGCTAAACACCAGTCTCAATGCCCTAGCCAAGGTCGATCTCGTGGACGATATCAACGAAGTGCTTGCAGATGCGGATAAGACTCGGACAGACCAGATCGATGCCGAAATTCGGCGGCTCAACAATGTGCGTACTCTCAAGGAAATCCGAGAGATAAATGAGATTATTATCTGGATTGAGACCGGTAGACGCTGGCTCTCTATCGAGATGATGGAGGCCATTTTATCCGTGAAGCATTGGGGCAACCCCGTCGCCCCTGTTCCAACCCAGGATGTCGCACTCCCAAGGCGTAAGACTGGCTCTCCCCGTCTCGGGAGTTCCCCCCCGAAAGAGACACCACCGGCGTCTCTAACTATATCATTGCTGCCCTTTACTCAAAAGCTAGCGGATAAGTACCCTATTTTCACCGTGACAGATTCGGGGGCCGTGGACTGGCGATCCCCGGAAATTATAGATCGAATTCCCTCCAAGGGCTTCGATCAGGAGGCTATGTTCAACGCTGCCCTCTCTGGCCCACAGATTATCCAGGAGTCCGAGATCTCCATCGTTCGTCATTTTCTTAACAATGTGTGCCCGCCTGAGCTATTCCAACGATTCGAATTCGAGCAATTCTTTGACGCGAAGCTTGGCGCCAGACAGAAGGAGTACATTAGCCTTGACCCCGACAACGCAAGCATCAAGATAGTGCGGACCTGTCTGGTCATTCTCACCGAAGTCGAGCTCAGAAACAATGAGAATCTACGCTATTATGCCATGTACTGGCTCCTGGATCACCTGCAGGAAGTCGACCTCTCGGCTGCCGGCAGAGACTTGAAGGCCCAAGTTGGCCCGCTTCTTATCAAGCTATTTACGGAGGAGTGCGGGATCGACTCCATGTTCTGGCCATTCGACATGAACGTTAGCTTAAAAACTTGGGATCAAGGCGAGTACACTTACTTGCACGCAACTAGGATTGATTGGCTCTACTCTACCGCGGGCGTCAAAGAGATATCCAGGTGGTTTCATGACTCCTCAGTTACCAAGTATATAACTAGCGAGCCAGGCGCCTCTATTGTCGCAGCTGCGAAATCATCGTCGGCAAATCTACACGAAGTAGTGTTTTCATTCGCAGCGAGAGTTATGGCCGATCATCTATTCCGCCGTGTAGAATTCACCCCTCGCCACTTTTGGTGCGCATGCTGGTTTATTCGGGGATACTTAGCACGGGTGAGTTTTAGATCTGTTATAGCTGCTTTATGATAGTGAGGTTTTACTGACGAATTCATCTAGCTCGACCCAGAAAAGTCGGCCCAAATGACAAATGACCCAGATCCGTATTACGTCGAAGGGACACCTGAGCAGGAGCAATTTGAAAATAGGAAATTCAAATTGGAGGAGATACGGGAGATCGAGGCGTGGGCAGCAGAGGTGCTTAAAAAGGCCGATGATTCGCCAATCCAGACTTCGAGTTGGGAAATCCATGGAGCGCTTATCACATTTCAGCTGTGTGCTTCTGAGGAGGGCGCGCTTGATATTTATCAAGGACGTGCACGGAAGGCGATTGAGCTTAACCCGAAGAACTGGCATGCTTGCCATTTCATTGCTAAGCAATCGAACACTAGGAACGAGGAGTCTGTCGAGCTTCTCTCCCGAGCTAAGCAGGCCGTCGACGAGCTGCGGCACGGCAATAAAGCGTGGATGAAAGACCACGCGAACACGTCATTGCTTGCACGTATCACGCTGGACTTGGGTGACCGTCTATGGGATCTCGGCCAGGACTATCAACTAGCAGCTCGTACCCACCGGGAGAGTCTGAAATACGACTATGTCCACTTTGTGAATTACACTGATGTCCTTAATCGGTACCAAAAACGCGAGGCCTGGGCCGAGTTTATCGCATTCATCGAGACGTTGAACGACACCAGCGAGACGTGGGTGGCTTATTTCGATGAGCTGGTCAACCAGTTCGTCGTCAATATTATAACTGTCCGCGGTTCCGACATGTTCGCTCAAGCTGCGATTGCGACTAATCGCTGGGACGTGATCGAGGCCTTTTTCACACTTGCTATCAACATCGGGATCCAGAAAGAGACCCACGATCTAATCTTTCTCCTACGAGACAACTTCGCAAAGACTCTGGCGTATAGTAATAGCGAAGAATTTGAGGACAGGGTTATCGCTATCCAGGAGACAGCGCTTGAACATGTTAAACTTCATCGTACTGATAGCCTGTCCCGTCCTATGATAGACGCCATGGCGAACTCTCTTGCCCAGACCTATCTCGACAAAGCATTCCAACCAAATGTATCCCTTGAAAAAGTCGACCAGTACGGAACTCTCATCGCGAATCTACTACCGGATATTGGTGACTTGGATATTAGTATGAACAACGGTGCAATATGTTCCCTTATACGCTATCACCACAAACGTCAGAGTAACTCGGACCTAGCGAAAGAGTGTGTACAGATAATAGTACGAACGGGACTAGAGCTCCTCTCTGATGCAGACGAAGAAAACGATAATTTTGCCTATCTGCTACTCGCTAGGCTATTGACGGTAGTCGGCGATGTGAAGAACACGCGAATTACCTGGACCCTCCGTAACATGGCGCAGTATGTTGCGCAACTAAAATGGCAGAATTGGATGACCGCTGGCCAGATCTCCGCCAATGGAGAGACTAGCGCAAACGGAAACACGAACGGTTCTATCAACGGGGCTGTAGACGATAGCAAAGCGAAGCCCATATCTCGATCCACAACGACTGATACAACCTCCAGTAGCGACGAGCCCGTAAAGCCGGACCCGATGGTCATCTGTGACGGCTGCGACAAGGAATGGACGTTCACAGACGTGCCTCTATACACGTGCTCTGACTGCCTCGGCCAAGTGCAGCTCTGCAAGGAGTGCTATGGGCTCCTAACGCGGGGCGAGCTAAAGAAGACAGGGCTCGCGTGCAAGCAGGCACATGAAAAGGCCTTCATAGAGGTGCCTAGCTGGGACCCAAGCTTGACGGAGGGCATGCCAAGAGCGTACGTGCCCCTGCCGGACAGCAAGGAAAAGACGGGGAGATGGATATCGTTGGATCAGTGGAAGGGGGAATTGAGGAAGCTGTATCTTGATGGGGAAGCTGGAGGAGCAGTAGCCCAAACATCGTGATCTTGGACTCTGGCGAGGAGAACAGGCAAGGTACCTTGCCTACTAGGTAAGCTGGTACTAGGTACCTAGGTACACATTATGGATAGAACTTGAAGTACATAAACTAAGAAACTTCAGATGTCGCCGTGTAGACTATGAAATACATCCCCTATTTTGATCATGCTGCGTTACACCTCGGGAGCTTGCTTCGTGAACATTGAAAACTCTCAAATGATGATATTGCCACTTTGCAATAATTCAATGGTGCCCAATGGTCAAATTGCTTCCGGTAACATTTCAGGAGATGCGACGGTCCATGAGAACAGCATCAAGCAGACTAGATGCACAGCCAAATGGAATGAAGGGCCACCCAAAGGAGGTTTCCCCTTGATCGGCGCGTCCATATTGTAGCGAATACGAGCATAGGCTCTATAGCAGGGCCAGATGTGGTATGAACCCAGGGCGGCGGCGAACAGACGGGTCCTGTTAGTGAAGCCAGGCTCGATCAGAATTCCAAGGCAAACTAAATTCGTCGACAGCAATAAGCCACCATACTGTCGTAAGATGAGCTTTGCTGCCTCGTTGCATCCGGGGAGCTGCTTATCCGGATTGAGGATGAATGAGAAAGCTGCAGCTGTCTCGATGAGGGCATGTATGGCAAACGGTAACTTGATTAAGGTCATTGTGCCCGAAACAATTGTCAAAGTTACTACTACTAGTATGTATGTAGTATTTCCAGAAAGAATTCAAAGTTAGGACCAGGTAGTTACATGTAGTTACGCTAAGGCAAAGAAATCAGACGAAATCCCACCAAAGTTTAATAAGTTAGATTGGAAGAATACACGTACAGAATATGCAGATAAGCACATGTCAAACAGTCAGCCCTTGCATAAACCCATGTAGCGTACCAAGTACTACCAACCTAACCATTTGCGCTAAAACCTTCCTATGATTTCGGATTGAAGCTATGCCGGGTTCTACTACGTAGTAGAGTAGCTGTAGTAATGAATCATGAGTTTACATTGGTGGGATTTAAAACAAAGTTGGTAGACGTAGGGCTGTGCAAAACAGCCCTGGGGGGCTTAACACTTCACTATTAGTAGGTAATATCTACACGATTGACAGAAGTTAAACGTTAGAACTAACTTGAAATCTACGGGCTAAAGCTGTACATACTTAAATAACGATTGAATTAATTGGATGACTTTGAACACTACCTAGTACCTAGTACTAACCTTAGGTAGGTACTACATAAGGTACATGATATGGGTACCTATTATATGACCTTCCGAGGTTCAAAATCTGGAACCTGCACCACAAACCTGCATGTGGCCAAGTAGCTAACCATACATACATCTATCCATTGGATGAATTGCAAGTATTGTATACATGTAGTTATAAGTACTCATTACTATCAACTGTTAGGTATTTTAGTTGTGTCATGATCGTTTCAAACTCTCGGGCGTCATACCTTGATCTCTTAACCAGGAACCCTGATCAACGAGCTGATTACCTCCATTATCATAGGCTTCTTATGTAACACTGGACCCACGAAACACCAACCGCCTTCCTTAACTTGGAGATTGTCGGTGCAAGGTGCCGGGAACGTTTGGCGTCCTCTCTCTTTCTCAACATTTTACCTTTTACTTTTTTTTATGTACAGCGCGGTACGGTGACGTTGTTGATTAATTCTTCTCTTTGCATTTTGCATTTTGCACTTACACAATAATACCAAGTCTTACCAAACAAGGTTATACATCGAAACCTTTAAGCTTCTAATCAAATCCCTTAACCTCCAGTCGACCTACACACCTACTTGAGTAGGTATCAAATACGATGGCATCTCAAGACTCATTTGGGGAGCTAGGCCTCTCTATTGTCGGCTTAGGAGCACAGTATCCTCCAAATTCTCTAAAGCCAGATGAAGTAAATAAGCTGGCCACCAAATATTATCCCGACTCCCCTGCGTAGGTATCCATCTCCTGGAAAGGTATGAGTATCACGTTGCTGATATATCTTGTAGTATGCAAAAGGTGCTTTCAATAAACAAGTTCACTGGTATCGACACTCGTTCATCTATTGGCACTTCAGATCATCCCGTGGTGAATCTGCCAGATGCGCCTTCAATAGCGGATCTTCACAAAGTCTTTATATCTGATGGCGTTCCGCTTGCTGTCGAGGCTTCTAGGAAAGCAATTGCAGAAGCCGGCATTGATCTATCTCAGATCACTCACATAGTTTCCACGACATGCACCGATAGCGCTAACCCCGGATTTGATCATTATGTTGCAAAGGGGTTAGGTATCACGCAGCAAGTAGAAAAGGTTTTGTTGCATGGGGTCGGCTGTGCAGGTGGATTAGCGACGCTACGCACAGCGGCCAATTTAGCACTCGGTCACTCCATGAGGCGGAAACCCGCAAGGGTCTTATGTGTTACCCTCGAAGTGAGCACAACGATGGTCCGCAGCGAGCTAAACAGCATCAATGAGCTACAAGAAACCCGTATCGGGGCTTGCTTGTTTTCAGATTGTGCTTCCGCCTTGGTCCTCAGCAACGGGATTGGAGAGCCAACAGCTGAGCCAGTTTATGAATTGCTTGGGTGGGAGCACAAGATCATTCCCGACACCGAAGGCGATCTTGGCTTCGACGTGGATCCGGTCGGTTGGAAGGTGGTGCTCTCGCCAAGAGTACCGAAGCTAGCAACTGAAATATTGAGGCCAAGTTTTGTTGAGCTGCTCGAAGGTGTTTCGAGAGTGCCGGTTGAATGTCGAGAGGCGCATCACTTTGATTGGGCAATGCACCCCGGTGGCTTGACCATTTTGACGGGCGCCGAAAAAGCGTTGAGCATTTCTTCAGAGCATATGCGTGCTAGTTACGACCGATATATGAATCACGGAAACTCGAGTTCGGCGACGATTTTCAGTGTCATGGATCGCTTACGAAGGAAAGAAATGGACGCAATAGCTCCTGGTGGCCGACCCCGGGAATACGTTGTCGGATGCGCGTTTGGGCCTGGAATCGCTATTGAGATGTGCATTTTGAAACGCAACATGGGACATCGTGGAATTCAAACACCCCCTGAGACCGATAGCGAAGCTAGCAGAAGCGATATTGATGAGGAGGTGGATTGGGCCAGCGTCGAGTCTCGAGAATCGATCCCCGGCACGCCTGGGTCAGCAAATCCCCAAAATGAAGGCAAACTAGCCATCGTCAATGACTTGTTCATTAGCGAAGCGCTTGCTAATGTTGAATTGGACTAAGCGGGAATAAGAAATTTACACCATATCTATATCTTTGAAAAAATATACCCAAGTCGCATTCTGATTGTTGGATAGAGATGAGGTTCTCATTGCTTACCTATTGCTTACCTATTATAAAATAGTGCTTACACTGGTTACACTGGCGACGTAATAATTATTTTCCCGAGACCATTCCAGGTTTTCAATTAATGAAGCTCAATAGGCTCGATCGATAGCGGTCTCGGACACTAAACCCAAACCAACCTCGGAAGAGAAAGCAATTCAATGGGATGACCGTCAACAATCATTGAACAATGAGGTAAATTATGTTTATTGGTACCTCGGTTAATTAAAGCAGATGAAATCCGAATCTACTCATAAGATATTCAAATTTTATTCTGATTCTTGTAGGGCTGTGTCATACATAACACAATTGTATAACAGTAGGTTAGGTACTACTAGTAGTACTGCGTATAACAGAGTCAAGATAAAGAGGTCTCATCAAGGCTTTTAAATTGGTTGCGGGGCAAGAAACTCGGGGGCTTTTTATTTACAGCTGCCCAGGAAAGTTAGCGAGTAGTACTCTTTACCAACAAATGATAACGAATTGGTGAAAGCTTGGCTATTTGCAACATTGATATCAACTTCAGTATACATATTAGTAATTAGTTATCTACCTACCTATTAGGTACTAGGTATGCTAAACGGTATGCTCCAATGTCAATAACCTCCGGTCCTAAGGGGACTGCGTCACTCGCAAAGCCTCGATATCTTCTCCCCTTAGTCTTCTTTGCCATTGTTACTATGGCGTATCTGCGTGGCTTCACATTGACGTATCCCTTGCTCTGGCTGACAACATCAACTATCACAAGATGCGCAGCTGATACCGGTAATTCACCGGGTTTGCCGATGGTCATAAACACATGGGGCGGTCCCTTTACTGCAGCGACAGACGCAGCATACCTAGCTCTGCTAGAGTCCGAGACATCGGCGCTCGATGCTGTTGAGATCGGCTGTTCTACGTGTGAAGCCAATCAATGCGATGGTAGCGTCGGATACGGAGGCTCTCCCGACGAAAACTGTGAGGTGAGACACCAACACCAATATCCCCACCCCCCTTTTCTCCTCCAAGCCCCATTTTATCGCAAGCCACCTACCAAGTACCTACCTAAGTTCTAATAATAAACCAAACAGACAACTCTCGACGCCATGATCATGGACGGGACCACCATGAAATCCGGTGCCGTCGCCGCTCTCCGGCGCATCAAAGACGCCATCTCGGTGGCGCGCGCCGTGCTAGAGCACACGACGCACACCCTACTCGCGGGCGACTTCGCGACGGACTTCGCCATCGCCAACGGCTTCGTCGCGCAAAACCTGACCACCGAAGCCTCAGCCGCGTCGTGCGCGCAGTGGAAGGCCGGCGGGTGTCAGCCGAACTACCGCATCAACGTCACGCCTGACCCTGCTCAGTCTTGCGGCCCTTACGCGCCGACGAGCTTAAACTCGAGCTCGAGCTCCGCAGCAGCAGCTTACCAGTCGCGGGGCAGCCCAGAAGGCCACGACACCATCTCCATGATCGCCCTGCACTCCTCCGGCGTCATGGCAGCCGGCACCTCGACCAACGGCGCCGGGCGCAAGGTTCCCGGGCGCGTGGGCGACGGCCCCATCACGGGCAGCGGATCCTACGTCGACGGCGACGTCGGCGGGTGCGGCGCCACCGGTGATGGAGACATCATGATGCGCTTCCTCCCCTGCTACCAGGCGGTCGAGAACCTGCGGCTTGGCATGAGTCCCCAAAGTGCGGCCGAGGACGCGGTGCGCCGGATGCTGAGGAAGTACCCCGATGTGCAGAGCGGGATTGTGGTGGTGGATAATGAGGGAGCGCATGGTGGCGCGGGGAGTGGCTGGACGTTCACGTATGCGTATCGGGGTGGGGGGATGGGGGAGACGGTTGTGGTGAGTGTGCCGCCGATCGCGGGTTAGATGGCATCTGTTGGTAGGTACTGAAAACGGGCCGCAGCAGTGTTAGAGGTATGTTTGCAACCAGGGGGCCTACGGCTTAATAAACATTGTAATCACATCTGGCAACAATTTTAAGACCATACAAACGTATTCAATCGTTTCTTTTATTCTTGTGCCCGTGGAGGGATATTTTTGGGAGAGATCTGTACGGCTTTCACCCCTATTCGATAGTATTGTGTCCCCCTCCTATTCGCTCATTGCTTGAATTTTCCAACTCGCTATTGTAAACCACAAACCATCACAATCATGCGCTAATGCTCAGTAAAGCCACATCCGATCATCAATCCCAACATGAGAACGGATGATACTAATGAGTCCCATTGGTTCCATTGGTCCCATTAGTCTTCCCTTCCCTCTCCTTCAGAACCCCCCGCACCTTGGGTAGGATATAACGCCCGTAGTCGATGGCATCGTTCAAGTTATCATACCCACGGATCGAGATCAGCTCGGCCCCGAGATCAACGTAGTCCAGCAGCGAATCGACGATGGTCTGGTGGGAGCCGACCAGCGCCGTGGACGCGCCGCGCGCGCCCGTAGCCGTGACAGTGGGGTACCACAGCGCGCGGTCCTGGACCTCGCCGCGCTTGGCGATCTCCAGCAGGCGCTGGGAGCCGACGTTCTGCGGGGGCGGGGCGCCGGCGGGGACGCGGCTCTTGCCCTCGGCGCGGTTCTCCTTCAGCAGGTCGAGGTAGCGGTGGGCCTTGGCCCAGGCGAGGTCGTCGGTCTCGGCGACGATGGGGCGGAAGGTGACCCAGATGCGGGGCCTGTCCTGGCGGCCGGCCTTCTCGGCCTCGGCGTAGATGCGGTCGATCTGCTCCTTGGTCTCCTTCAAGGGCTCGCCCCAGAGCCCGAAGATGTCGGCGAGGCTGCCGCCGACCCGGTACGCCTCGGCGGAGGACCCGCCCACCGACACCGGTATGTGCGTCCCGTTCACGGGCCGCACCAGGTTCCGGAACTGCTTGAACTGGTAGTACTTGCCGTCCCAGTCGAAGGGCTCGGGCGAGGCCCAGGCGCGCTTCAGGATCCGGATGTACTCCTCCAGCCGCGCGTACCGCTCCTCCTTGTTGAGGAAGTCGCCCTCCCGCGCCTGCTCGACGTCGCTGCCGCCCGCGATGAAGTGCACGACGGCGCGCCCGCGGCTGAGCTGGTCCAGCGTCGCGAGCGCCTTGGCGGCCACGGTGGGGTACAGCGTGTTGGGGCGCAGGGCGATGATGATCTTGAGGTTCTGGGTCGCGGCGGCGATGGTGGCGCCGATGGTGAACGGGTCGTAGGACGAGGAGTCGTACGGCACGAGCGTGTAGTTGAAGTCATAATCGTCCAGGTTCCGGGCATACCGCTTCAGGAAGTCCGGGTCGATGGAGGCGTTGGGGATCGGGTCGATCTCCGTGGAGGGGTTGGGAAACGTGAGGCTGATGAATTCTGTAGGCATCTTCTTGGCAGGGGCGGCTTACCTCGAGGTAAAGCACGTTCGAGGACTATTAAGGGGGGGGTGGGTTATGAGATCAGAGGTCTGCTTCTTTCGGGGGACAGTTCATGCGGTGGTGCTTTATACGGGGTGTGGTAGGTAGTATGACGACGCTGATGGCGACAGCTGCCCGCGAATCACGCAATACTCACTGGGCCGGTTCCGGCCGGGACTTCTCCTCACTTCATCCCCGACTTCATAGTAAATTGGTGTAACTATCTTCCCGTTGCCTGGTATTGATTTATAAGCTGATTGCCAGATTGACGTAAATTAACGTAGTTTGGTTAGTGATACATATCTTAAGGGGGGCTTTATAAGGACATCTACCTACGCAATGAGCAAACTAACGAAATACTTAGCCTACAAAACGACAGCGATATCGTCTGAGTATCATTCGATAGGTGCCTACATACCGAGTAACTACTCTATCTATTTTATTCCTTCCAAGGTTAACCATTACTACATGATAAATACCAAGGTAGTTTACCTAATTGTCGTTACTTTAGAAACGTAACGGGCAAGAAATAATAGGAGACACCTAAGGCTAACTCCCATTAGTTTACGTAGTACCAGCAATCCTTTTTTTTCTTTCTTTTTGTTTTATTTTTGAGAATATAGAAAATGAATGTGCATTTGTATGTAGGTACCTGTTTACCTATACGAGAAGCTACCTGGTAAACAAAATCAACAAAATCAACAAAATCAACAAAACATAGATATTTATGAGATTCCTTCTTCCAAGCCAGCATTGCCCAAAAGTACTATCAACCCTTCCTCTCCTCCAAGTTTCCTCTTCTTAGCTGCTCCGATATTTGATCGTGGTTCAAACCGCAGGATATCCGCCCCCCGTCCCGAACATAGGAGTTATGGGAGTCACGGGACTCCAGGCCATTCCTTGATTTCCTTGATAAGGGAACGAGGCTGCATTTTCTGGCTGCGCAGTAAAAGTGTTGAACGTCCCACTCATTGGATGGTTCATGGACGGGCCCATATTGTCTGGCTGCGCAGTAAAAGTACCGAACATTCCAGTCATTGGATAGTTCATGGACGGGCTCATATTCTCTGGCTGCGCAGTAAAAGTGCCGAACATTCCAGTCATTGGATAGTTCATGGACGGGCCTGCATTCTGTGGCTCAGCGGTAGAATGGTTGAATATCCCAGCCCTTTCTTGGTCCGTGGTGTTGGTCTCTTTTTGGGTTGGGATTTTCGCTATAAGCTCTAGCAGTTTTATAGCATTTGTAAAAGTTGCATCCTTTGGGTGCAAGGTCAACCCCCTGAGCTTATTTATAGCGACTCTGATAGTCTCAGCCGCTTGTCCGTCTGAGCGCGAGGCTACATTATGTAGCAGCTCTATGGCGGCGTTAACAGCCCCATATTTCTCCTGGGGACCTGAAAGAAGCTGTTCAACCTTAGCTTCACATGTAAGGGGTTGATAGTCATCCGAAAACGACATCATGCAGAGCCAAAACAGACCAAGGTCTGCAGTGAACTCTTTTTTTTCATACGGAGACATTGGGATGGGCATGATCTCCACGTCCATCGTATTCGCTTTTTCGGACTTTATGAAGTGGCATACGACCAATTGTGCTTCTGTTTGAATGTACCCATACGTAATGTCTACAGCAGCACACACGTGTGCAAGCTGCGCAAGAATATGTACACAGTTTTGTTGCAATTTCCTCCTCTGCGAATTTGGACTTAGAAGTTGATTTGCCTGGAATCTCCTATTCGGCCTCCCAATGCCAGCCACCAGGGCCCGCCGCGAGCCATCGGAGTCAAGCGCAATGATGTGATCCAGTAGGGAATCTTCCACACCTGGGATGTTGAATACGGTCGTATGATAACCATCTTGCCATGTGTTCCAAAGTCTTTTCCCTGCTGAGCCTTTGTGATGGCTTATGACAGTAGTGAGAGCTTGTTCCATCAACGCAGCATTCTGGGCTATAAGAGGCTGATTATAAAAATAGGCTGTGTCAGGACTGTTGTCATCATCGTCTTGTTGATTCGTAATGTGACTTTCTTTCTGATGGGGTATTTCGTAGTCGAGGATGAGGGAGAGGTCGCTATTCTTAAGATAGTCCATGTTGAAAGCGTTCCACAGGCGGACATCATTGATAGTTGGAAAATTCTCATCATATGAATCGTAGCTAGGACGTCTTACATAATTTTCAAAAACCGGCTTCTGTTGGGTGAGTAAGTCTCGTAGTGTCTTGTTTGAATTCATTGTGGCTATGATTGGCGTGAAAAGACCTGAGGGGCCTGGAATGATGATTCAAATTCAAGTAATAATTCTCTTTGGTCTCAAGGCCCTTGGTTTTCTCCTTGTTGAAGAGGGAAAACGTTATCGTATTTATGCTAAATCTACCTAATGTAGGTATCTTATGTATAGGTAGGTATGTACTGGTATGTATGTCCTTCTGGCATCAGTCGTCTTTTCTTCTTCTTAACAGCGTTAATACAGTTTATCTTGACCGTCAGGCCTACGGCCATCTTATAAAAACCAACGTGTTTTGGCATTGAGTTTTGTGTTAACGTCGTTCTTGATCTAAAGCATGCAGCTTCCATCGTTGGGACGTTAAAGTGAATGCTTGAATTATTTTATTCGTCGGGCCCTCAAACACTTTCTGACCCTCATGTCTTCAATTCATGTTACCATCGTAAAGTCCTAGGTTAGGGCGGAGCCTCAGTGCGAACAGGGGCCGGAAGGCGCTTACTAACTGGGTATGTATGGCCCCAACGAGCGGTACTCGATTCCGGTTGAAGTTATTTATTGGCACAGGCCTTTCAACTTTGCGTGGCGGCGCAATTTATTGAAGTTGGGAGTGTACTACATAAGATCGCTGTGACCTTGGAGCAGTATTGTACACCGAAGCCAACTTTAGTGCCAGGCTCTGTTTCGTGATAAGAGGTGTTGCATTGGGTGATAGAAAGTCTACGGCAGCAACTTAGTAGCTACCTCTAGGTGTGTAGGATTTAGGGGTTATGTTGGAAATATGAACTACCTATGTTAATGCCCACTTGCAACATTCGCCGTGGGCTTCGCTACCCAACAGTTAGGCTAAGGTGAAGGCCAGCTCTACCTAGGTACCTAGTAGTTTGTTGGAAAACTACCTGCCAAGTCTAAATGTGTTTAAGAAGGACATAACCATACCTACCTAGGTAACTAATACATGCTTTGTACTCCAGGGCTGTGTGAAAACTCATGTGCTCTTAAGGGCATCACGTGATGCTGTGATTGATATCGCCAACCCTACTACCACCCATCAAACTATGGCCGCCTAATAGCATTACAAAGCAATACCTAGGTAGGTAGGTAGGCTGAATATAATAACTTTGAAAACATTAAACCATAGGTTATTTCCATAGCCTCAAAATATGAACTGCGAACTCATTCTTATATCATCCAAAGCAATCAAGTTGTATAGGATATGTATTTGTATATAATATAACTAGGTAGTATTAATGCTAAGCTACTTATTTAGGTAATTCACCTTCCATATGGGCTCGTATCTGACGATACCCCCTTTTCTCCAATATAAGTATGTATCGTTTTGTCATCCAATTGTTATAGTTATAGAGAAAATCGTCCGGCACGGTCAGTTCATCGACGTCAATGCCACCACAACTAAGATACCACCTAGGTGGTTTGCGCTATATGCGGAACCGTCCTCCTCTCTCCGCCTTCCGTGGATCAACGTATGTGTAAAACGTATTAGGCATTCTGCTCCTTAACTTATATTTGGCGTGACAACCGAGAGCCGTCTGGGCAGGAAATTCACGGACTGTGACTTTGCGTTCGTTTTCACTATTCCAATCGTCTACCACCGTGTCGAAACACCAGTAGTCATAGGTAGATAAACAGAAAATTTGATACAAAATGCTGGCCTGGTGGGTAATATCAAGATATGGGTTCAGCTCTGGATTTGCTGAATACTACTAAGGTTAGGTAGGTAGGTACATGTAGGTAGGTAGCAATTCTTGTTGGACATCTGTTGGATACTGGATATTTTACTATCAAGCCAGCTGCCAGACATCCATCTATGTACCTAGGTTAGATATGTTATCTGATTGGTTTCTGAGGCTTCCATTGCCCCCCAGCACCGTTCAGTACCTACATGTATGTAACCTCCAGCGCTTTTTAGGCCCTCTGTTAGGTCCATAAATAGCTCCATGTAAATACATAAGTACTAGGTACTTTCACCTCACCAACATTACCACTGCGCATTTGTATATATACCTAACCTACATAAGTAGTAGGTATGGATCTAACCGACGTTACCATTCTACACAACTACCCTAACCTAGGTAGATACCTGCCTATGTATTTTCAGGTAGGTGCATTTTTCATCGTGTATATCAATACATGTAGGCAGCCTTGGAGGTATTATTTACATACCTGCATGTGGCTTCTTGAAGTTACGGTGGCTACCTAATGCACACAGGTACCTACATACCGTATATGTACCTAGGTATGCATCTTTCAAGTACTGTACAAAGATTACATAATACATACCTATGGTAGTACTAAGTAGATAGTAGATACTCTTTTTAACCTACCTAACGGTCCTAACCTAGTAAATTGTAATGCTGCCAGCCTACCCGCTTCCTTTATCTATTTTTCTGACAATCAAAATATTTGAAGCTCTCAAAAAAAGGATAGCATTCCATAGGTAGTTCTCGGAGTACAAATGCTGAAATGACACCATGTCATAAAATAGCCCTTATTCAGCTTTATCCTCAGGTCCGTTGCACATTCAAATTCAAATTCAATCCTCCACTACCTAGGTTAGAGTCCGAGGTTGAGTCCCAGGCTGAATCCACGGCAGCATGGCTTTCTTTCTTTCTTTCTTCCTTTTTTCACAGCACATCTCGCCGGGCCGTCGGAAAATTGTTGAGCTTAACTAGGTACCTAGTAGGCTTCGATGTTTTCTATGACGCGGTGCTTCTTAACAGTGTCTAGAGCGTGTGGTGACTTACTACTCTATAGCCTCTCTCAGCCGCTGAGAATTTTGCCAAAGCCGAATCTTTCATCAAAGAAGCTGCCCGCGAGGGATGCCACCTGGCTGTTCTGCCCGAATATCACCTTACCTCATGGGTTCCAGATGAACCAACTTTCAAGGAGTCATGTGCGGAGTCAGCTTCTTACCTGAAAAGGTACCAGGAGCTAGCCAAGGAATTTCGCATTTGCATTGTACCTGGCACGATCGTCGAGGTAGTGGACAATTTCTTGCACAATATCGCATATTTCATATCCTCGGACGGCGAAGTGCTAGGTCGATATCAGAAGAAGAATCTCTGGCACCCAGAGCGGCGGCATCTGGTGTCATCAGCTCAAGAGCCACATAAAGCCTTCGATACGCCGTTAGGGCGGGTGGGGCTGCTGATATGTTGGGACATGGCCTTCCCCGAGGCATTCCGGGAGCTCATCTCCGATGGCGCACAGATAATATGCGTCCCTACTTTCTGGAGCATGAAGGATGTGTCCGACGAAGGCTACGCCCTTAACCCGGACGGCGAGGCGTTGTTCTTGAATAGCACTGTCATCAGTCGCGCATTCGAAAACACATGCGCCATCGTGTTTGTCAACGCGGGCGGCCCGCCGGGAAAGGGAGAGAAGACGAATTTTGCGGGGTTAAGCCAAATTGGTGTGCCACATGTGGGTGCGCTTGGGAAGATGGGACGTTCTGAAGGTATGTCTATTGTGGAATTGGATATGAATGTGCTGAAGATTGCGGAAGACAACTATAAGGTTAGGAAGGATATGAAGAATGAAGGATGGCATTATGCTTATACTCGGATGAGGGATGAAGTACCTAAGCTGTAGTTCCATCAATTGATACTATTGACGTATGCACCTAGGGTATTAGGTAGGTACCTACATAGTACTTGCATCAATGATAGGTACTAGGTAGTCAAGTATGCACATAACCTGGAATTTAAAAAGAAACCCGACTGCTGTCCCGCCGGCCAACGCGGTTCTAAGTGACGTGCTTAATTGATTATGCGGCCTCTAGCCTTATTTAGGGTGTTTCGGGACCCGGTCGCGGCATTTTAGTGGTGCAATCTAGCATATATCTTACGCTAAGCCTATTACATGTTAGTGGTAGATTGCGTGATCGGCTTTCTAGAAGACGAATAACGCATTTTTCCCTTTTCAAACGCGATTTTTGAATCCTTTCACGCCATCCTTTTCCTTCGACACCCGCCTTTTCGCCGTCCGGTTCAACCACCGAGAACCGCCAGTGTAGGCGAAGACGGGGAAAATGGACTCCCGGACAGTATGGAGCGTATTTGGCGTAGAGGTAGGTCTATCATGGTTTTTTAACGCCCTTTTTTTCCTTTTTTTTCTTCCTACTCTCCTTCAAGGGGCAAAATAAAAATAAAAACCGTGCAGCTGGTCTTCTTTCTGTTAGAGTTGCCTCCTTTTCGCGCTGCTCGAGAAGTATATTGATACCTACCTACGACCCGGTATCTCGTATATCTTCTTACTCTTCGTTAAAGAGGCCAGGCTGTGTTGGTCTTCAATCTGTAATCAGTCCTCGGTATTGTCCGTTTCGAAGTCAACCCTCCTATATCAACTTGGAGGTATCTTAGTTATAAGTCGAATTACCATTAAGCCCGATTGAATCTACCACAAATTTTATTCATATTATCTGGAGGGTTTCGTAAATTCTTACTTCCTTTAGTTTAGGCTTCCAGAGAGCCCGACTAAAGAGGCTAGGATGCAATTGAAGCAAGACGAGAGTGGCGGTGGCTCGCTTGCCGATCAAGTAACGATGCCGGAATCTAAGACCTCTCGCGCCGAATTTACCAAGAGGTCGTCGACGCTACCCTTCGGCCAGCCAGTTTCCCTACCTTCGATATCCGGACCTACCTATGTTACCGGTCAACTGCTCGTTCAGCAAATCGCCTATATCTTGTCCGACAAAATATTTTCCTACTCGCCCGAGACATTCGACCTCGACGTCGCCGCGAAGGAATGGGCCAAGGATGGAGAGAAAAACATTCACGGATATGCTACTTCGCTTTTGCCCCTCCAAACTCGGTCTGGTGCCGGCGCGTTTGCCCTCGGATACATCTTCTCGAAAGATTTTGACCTAAGCAAAAGGCATGTTCCTCAGACTTTGCTGGCACCGTCACTTAGCTTGCGCCATCTTCGCTCTGCCTTGGACCAATTAGCTCTCCTATATGGCGTTGCTAGTCCTTTCGTCGCTCACGTAGCCGCTACTGATTACACAGCCGATGCTGGCCTTGTCGCGGAGTATGGTACTGCTTTACAACTGTCCGAAGAACTTGGGTTGGGTCTTGTGTCGAGTGCTTCTCCTTACGAGGCTCAGCACATCTCTCTCTTCGCCACACTTATGGCCAAGGTTTTACCAACCGTTCATATTTATGACGGTGTTCGCACGTCCCGTGAGACCTTGAGAGTCATCGATGTTTTAAGCCAAGTCGGCGTCGCCGACATCTTTAACAAGGTCTCTAAGACAGCAGAAACCTTGAATCAGCGACTCGATAACGCTGGGAAAGTCCTCGAGCTCCTCCAGACTTTCAATGATGAACTTGGGACTGATTATGAACCCTTTGAGTATTTTGGCCACGATACTGCTGAGACTGTTTATGTGGTCTTCGGCAGTGTGGAGGCTCAGCTTGCTAAGCAAGTTGTATCGAAACTGGCGCGCGATGGCGCGAAAGTTGGGGCTGTGAATGTGAGAATATATCGACCTTTCATTGAGGAAGCCTTCATCAAGTCCTTACCTGCCTCTGTTCAAAACGTTGCAGTCATTGGTCAGGTTGCCAATGAGTCTGCGGTGTTGGATGCCTCAGTACAATCTGTCTTATACTCGGACGTTTTGACTGCGGTGTCATTTTCTAGCAAGTGGACCTCAATCCCTGCAGTCACCGACATCAAGTATCCAGTTTCGCAAGCATTCACTCCATCAGCCTTTGCCGCTGTTATTACTCAGGCTACCGGAAAAGCAACAACTTCTCGCATCCAACTTCCTCATCTTGAGTCGGCGCAGCAGTACATACTGTGGGACACTGATGATTCTGTCGCCCTCTTTGCTCCTACTGTTGTTGGTGAAGTGCTATCTCAAGATTCCACTAGCAATGTGTACCTGAATGAGTCTCATGACAACCAGACGCAGGGGGGCGTCATCCGATCTGACTTGAGGACATGCAAAAAGACACTCGATGCCCCTTACATAATCGAGGAAGCCGACGTTGTCCTAGTTGGGGAAGAGAAACTTCTGAAAGAAGTGGCTGCTTCTCAGAGTGTAAAGAATAATGGGAAGTTGGTTTTGAAATTGCCGAATTTTAAGGACGAGGACGTGGAAAAGCGGATACCTGCCGCAATCCGCAGAGACGTGCAAGAGAGGAACATTGCACTCTACATTCTAGACTCAGCTCAGTCTCCGGCATTTGAAACCGACCCCAGTACTGCTCGACTGCTTGTCGAGCTTGCTTTCCTTAAGATTGCTCAGCCAGACATCGAGCATGATATTCTAGAGAGGTTAGCTGTACTAGAAGCCAATATCCCAACCTTAGAAGAATGCATTGACGCATTGGGCAAGTGTCTCAAACAGCTTGAGGTTCCCGAATCTTGGGTTGACGCTGCCGAGGAAATATCTCGAAGTCTTCCCCAGGCACTGAAAACAAACAGCTTTGCGCCGTTCGAGAAGCAAGAAACAGAGCAGGAGCTTCAACTCAGTGATTGGGAATCTGCTGCCAAGGGTCTTGTTTTCAAGGAGGCATATGATACTGGCATTAACCTACGCCCTGATCTGACAGTTGAGACTTACACGATTCGTGTAAAGGAGAACCGAAGACTCACGCCTGCGACCTATGACCGAAACATATTCCACATTGAATTCGATCTCGGCAATTCAGGCTTGACATACAAGATAGGAGAAGCTCTCGGAATTCATGCTGATAACGATGAGTGCTGGGTTCGCGAATTCATTGCATCCTATGGCTTAGATGCGGATGATCTTGTCCAGGTGCCATCCAGGGAGGACCCAAACATTTTAGAAACAAGAACTGTTTACCAATCACTGGTACAGAACATCGACATATTTGGAAAACCTCCGAAGCGGTTCTACGAGTCTTTGGCCGAATTTGCTACCAATGACTTTGAAAAGAAGAAGCTTGCTTCCCTGGGCACCCCGGAAGGAGCTGAGGATTTCAAGCGGCGCGCAGAGGTTGACATGGTCACCTTCGCCGATGTGTTGGAAGAATTCAAGTCTGCTCACCCTAGCTTTCCAGAGCTTATTCGCCTCATTGGACCTCTGAAGCGTCGGGAGTACTCGATTGCCTCGGCTCAAGCCGTGACTCCCAATGCCGTCGCCCTCATGATTGTTGTCGTGGACTGGGTCGACTCTAAGGGACGCACACGCTATGGTCAGGCAACTCGATATCTCAGTCGTCTCCCGGTCGGGGCCACGGTTACTGCCTCCGTTAAACCGTCGGTAATGAAGTTGCCAACGCGTGACGATGCACCCCTCATCATGGCCGGCCTCGGAACTGGACTGGCCCCCTTTAGAGCTTTTATTCAATACCGAGCCATGCAGAAGGCACAGGGCAAGGATATTGGTGCTATTCTTCTGTATCTTGGTTCCCGTCATAAACGTGAGGAGTACCTGTATGGCGAGGAATGGGAGGCATACGTTGATGCGGGCGTTATCACACTTCTTGGCGCTGCTTTCTCCCGAGACCAGCCCCAGAAGATCTATATCCAGGACCGTATGCGGCAGACCATGGGCGATATCGTCAAAGCATACATCGAGCAGGAAGGTTCCTTCTATCTCTGCGGTCCTACTTGGCCCGTGCCTGATGTGACGGACGTTCTCAAGGAAGCCATCACTTTTGAGGCAAAGACGAATGGGAAAAAGGTGGACGCAAAGAAGGAGATCGACCGTCTCAAGGAGAATGGCCGATATGTGTTGGAGGTCTATTAGCGTATCCCCCAGCTAGATTTGCTTTGTTCCAAAGCGATTTAGATTATATCTCATGATTTGAATATTAGATCCCTATCCATATAAATCATGATAAGATCAATTTGCATTTAGTAAAGTCTGTATCGTGTGTCAAAGAGTGAAATAACGTAGCACCTTTGCCATATGTCGATTTAACCATAATACAGGAACTTGAGAAGTGTGTAGGGTCAGTTGGCTTTACGCTTGCCAAGGAAGCGCACATGGGCGAGATTTCTGATAGAACATGGGCAAATAACAGCAGAAGAAAGAAGAGTAACTAAAAAGTAAAATATAAAAGAAATGCACATGCACAAAAAGAAACATCGCTGGCGGTACTGGGAATCGAACCCAGGTTTACACGGTATTAGTATAGTCCATACATCCACAACGTGTTGTACTATCCACTATACTATACCACCATTCTCATTGGTTTAAATTTTTCAGCTGTTAAGTTGGGTGATATGATTCCCTTAGTTGCTAGAGAGGTTTGCTAGTCGAATAGATTCGGGGAGAGGAAAAAAAATGAAAATTTAAAAAAAGAAAAGATGAAAAAAGGAAAGAAACAAATTAGCAATCGGTTATGTAGGTACCTACTCCACCTAGGCCTAAATCATCACGCAAGCCAAAAATAGTAAAAAAGAAACACAAAAAGTTATTGAGCTGATGGCGGTACTGGGAATCGAACCCAGGTCTACACGGTACAAGTAAGTGTGACTAACCACAACGTGTTGTACTATCCACTATACTATACCACCTCTTCTTTTGGATAAGACCGCCAGCTGTTGGTGACATTAGTGCTGCTGATTGTAGTACATATACTATACTGTGATGTGCCCGGATACCCCGCAGCACTGGGGGCCGATGTTTAGCCGGTGTGGTTTGGACTCGGAGCTTGTTGAGCACGTGATGTGATGTATGTAGCTGTATCTCATAAGCAGCTTAGGTCAGCTGCACCGGCTTTCTATTTTTATTCTTTTCATACATATATTTAAGAGTCGATAGGAATTTTTATGTCTTTGATCATCATGCCTTCGGGAGTTTTTCGTGTTTTTTCCCCCTAATCCTGTGGTTTTCACGTGAACCTGACAGGTTAAATGGCTGACTTGAGGTCGACTTTTTGACGCTTCCAGGCTGCACCCTCGAAATGGAGTTGCGGCTAATATGCGGCCTCTGTCACATGTCCAAGTCAACAGCTTCGAAACAGCGAGGTGTCTGCCTGTGTACCTATTAGACGCCTGCTCCGGTCTTATCTGGCTCGGAAGCACCACCCAGCAAGCCAAATCTACCTAGTTGACATCGAGAATGTTCTTCAGTGTCTCTCTAATGACGATGTCTCCGATGCTGGAAGCATTTCGCTGCATGGAAGGGTGTGTGCCATGTAAAATGGTGGTCCGTTTAAGTGGGCCATGCTTCCCCAGGCCATCAGGAACAAGATTGCCAAGAAAAGAAATAATCCTCCAGTATGCGGAGATGCTAGAGGATGCTTTCCAAGAGCGATGGGAGACCCCTTGAGAGTATCCTGCGCTGTTAAGGCTTGCGTTGGTTCCTCTGCGTGTGGACCGTGGAGGAACTCAAACGGGAGCATGCAGTTGAGGGGAGTGGCGGTGATGTATTAATGGCTCCCCAAAAGAGGAAAGGGGTAAAAGGGCCACATGGCTCGGTAGGTACCCGAGACACTTGATGTAGATGGGCAGATCACTACATCTAATGCGTTGGGAGCGGAACGTAGCCAGGTCTCGGAGAGTACCTTGATGATATTTGTCGTTAGGCGGCCAACGTTAGGTATGTATGCTACCAGCGGCAAGGGATCAGTTCTATGATGATGCAACGGGTTTGCCAGGAGGCGGGCCGGTATGGGCGAACGGCGTATGTGCTTTCAACATACAGAGGAAGAGGGCTCAGTTATGCACCATGTAAAGATTGGCTTCCAAATTGTCAGTCATGTTCGGACCCCTCATGCCGCGATTACAAGCATTATCATTTTACATGATCACAGAATAACCTACAGTGTTCATTTCATCGACGATTATATCCGCTAATGGCCTCATCTTTCTCGAGTTGAACAGACTAATGAACATGCATAGCCCGTAAGGCTTGTATCATCGTGTCACAACAGCTCTGAACTGCGGCAGTACCAACAACCTATAGAAGGATAGCACCAGCGACATGTAACTTCCCGAGCCTGGCAGTGTATATGTATCTAACCTAGGGACCTAGGTACCTTTCAGAACATTTCATGGCGTTACTGCAACATCCTTACATTATAGGTATTGGAATCGAGCGCATTCATGTGGGGGTTTTACGATCTGCTTGCCCACATAGGTACATAGGTAGGTACCTAGGCGAGGTACTTTACCTACTAGGTAGTACATATGTAGTTCCCTAGGAACAAATCATCCAACTCTTACTTGCCTGTTGGTTTTTGGTGCCTACCTAGGTAGGTGCCTTTCCTTTTCTGCCCAAATATTTCCTCCGTTACCAAAAACCAACCCTCTCTTTCTTTTCTCAATACATACCAAGAACAGTCAATAATTTAGCAGTAACTTTCGGAAGGGGCAAGGCCCTTCAAACCCCAACACATCATGTCGCAAGAAAACGACAACGATGACCTCGGTGAATTACACTTGGAAGACCCCGGCTCGGTAATTATGTGGTTTGGACGACACCAAGGAATGCGACTTGATGAACTTGATGACAATTATCGATGGACTATCGTCCGAATGGCCCGAGAGAACCCGTCTGACAATGTAAGTACGAATACCCACCCAATAAACAGAGAAGCACCCTTGGTATCGATAATAGTCGCTCACTTTCACTCAGGGGGACATGTTCAAGATACTGCATGATGCCTATTGCAGATGGTTGGACGAGAGACAAGATCCATTCTCCACCAAGGTATGGTTTGGAATTTCCAAAGGCCTAGAGATACGAGTTCTATATACTAGATCGCGGAGATGGACCTGGTTGGTAAACAACACGGTATGGGGTCCCGAACTCAAGGACCTTGAGCGGCGGCATCGAGCCTACCGAAGACGGGCGCTCACTCGCCAGGCTCGTCCGGTAATCATGAATCCAGTGGGGATGAGGCTTGGCTGGCGCGATGACCTACCCGCATTAGACAACGATGAGGACTATGACCCAGATGACGGCTTCGTGATGCAAAGTGACGATGAGATTGAATACGACGACGGTTACGAGGGCCCGGAAGAGCCACTGTCTAGTGAAGAGGAGGAAACGGGCGAGGCAATTAAAGACAACATATCGGCCAACCGTTCTCAAGATCACGATGATCCTGAGGCCAACGACTCAGACAGTTCATTGCCGTCTCTAGACGAGATCATACGATCTGTGAAATCTACACAAAGACGCAACGATAGCCTACTCAGCCCCAAAACGCCGTTGGCTACACCCTCTCGAGCCCCCCGAGCTTCTCGAGCTTTCCTCACGACCCCCGTCAGCAATCCCCGATCCGCCAAGCGTGGGCATGTCACCGACAGCTCAGACGAAGACGAACCAGACTCCCCGTCCATCAAGAGAACTAAATCCACTCCTCGGCGTACTTCCAAGGCTCGTGGCACTAATAGCCGGCAATCGCTGTTTGAAAGATCTTCCAGCGGCAAAGGGGTGGCCCCCATGACTCCAACTCAATTTCAGATCATCACAGTTTCATCTGATTCAGACGATCATCAAGTCAATGAGGCTCGTGCAAAGACCCCCCAGTCCTGTCTTGCCAGAATGCGAATAATCGACCCTGACGACGGACCTCTGGTTCCTAAGATACGAGCCGATATGAGCGCAAAGCGCTCGCTAACCTGAAGGTGTTAGAATACACATTTGGGAGAGAATTGGTGTGTCAAAGCTGCCATCGCGGACCTAGCGATACACGTGCGCACAAACACCACTGGATTCTACAATCTCCAGCGCAACCAACAGGGGGTGAAAGATGCAACTCGGGATGAATAATGGTAGCTCAGCTTACCCATGTGCCAAACCTGACGACTGCGTGTGATGTCTAATTTGACGATGGTTTCGTGTGTGAGCCCCGTGGCCTCAGCCACCTGCTCATCTAATGTCCGCCATTTCAATAATTGAAGAAAAGCTAACGCACGAATGAATGATTTGGGGACGAACAGTTGCCTCGTTGATGTGATGATTGCTTGCCTAGGTAGTTTAATGGGTTTAGTGCAGTGGTCGACGACCACTACAACATAGCCACGACATCGTTCAGTGACCATGGTACTAGGTAGTTTGATTCAATGCAATACAATGACTGTATCCCAACATAGCTACTTGCATAGTAGATATCCTTTCGTGTGACCGAATTATCTTCCTGTATATCTTGATTTTATACCGTAGTAGTATTCTATATCTCCCCACCCTTCTTAGGTATAGTAATTACACCCGTACCTACCGAAACTTATTATATACCGCCCCTTATTCTTATGGGAGCTTCTTACCCCGCGTCGTCCTTCCTGAGAAGGTCCTTCACACCAACAAGTACCTTACCAAGATCACATTAGACATGTAAGGAAGTGCGGCGTCGAAAACTAGCTTCAAGGATAGAACTACAGTCACATGTCAGATATCATGCAGGAAATAGAAGGAGGTTTAAGAGGGGAAGGGGGAGGGGGTTGATACCATTGGCTAGCCCCAGGGTTATCACGTGATCACCCCTGAGTACTCGAGTGGACTCGCAAGAATTCAATGTTACCCCGAGTTCGAAAGATTGCTCGTTTGTTGTTAGTGATTGTTTCTGAATGTTTTGAGACCTATGCATAACCAAATTCTCCAGACGGGAAGGGAAGCAGGAAGAAGACGTCACAAAGACTGATTCGATGTGTACCCAGGTACTTAACAGAGACCCAGACCTGTATCATATGTGGTCATCGAATCAATGGCCGTATTCCTGGATCTCGCTATTTAATATTGGGAGTTTAGTACCTACATAGCACATTCGGACATGGCCTGAGTCGCGAGACCACGCGCACCAGCAATAGATGAAGTTGGCTACTAGATCGATGTCGTTCCACGGCAGCAACGAGACCGCATCTAACCCCAACAGAGCATCTTCCAATGGAAAAGGAAAAATTCAAATGCTCAGTAGGAAACATCACGGTTTGGTCTCTGTACAGGTTGACGTGTCACTTTTCGCCAATAGGTGAGGCGGACGATAGATAGCAACTGGTCAATAAAGGGGTCATCATATATGAATGAAGGCTACGTGCAGGATGCATAGAAAGCCATAACTCAGCTTTTGGAGAAAAGTATCCCTACAAACGTGTCAATGTTTTCTGCCTTTTAATGGAGACAGGGGATTCATTGAAATGCATGCTCTCTCACTCATCACAAAAAAGACAGAAAAAAAAAAAGAAGTATCATCTTGACAATTTCATTCATCAGATCAACTACATATTTTGAAGTCCACACGTCTGAACATATCACAGCATGGGAAGTATGGCATCGTCTCATTTCTAGCGTTTATTTTGGTTGTCATCACTGTCTTTCTAGTCACCCAACTTACCATCTTCTTACCTAGTCCCAAGGCGGAAAATGCCTGGCATTTTCTTCGGACATAAAGGGCTCCCAGGACAGTCATCCTATACGTACCCATCACTCCATCCGGCGGTCGTAAAGGCGGCGCCCAACGAGATCACGGACACATGGTTCAAGCGCAAAGACGACGGCTGCGCCATCGAGACATACGCGACCCACGTCATGGGCGATTTCCAGTGCCGCAACATCGGCTGTCTGAGCCAAGGCTGGTCCAGCAAGATGGTGGCCATCGAGATAAGGTGGTACTCCGGGAACGGGTACAACGCTACCGTGTTTGGCCAGCGCTGCCGGGCGTGCAATGAGTTCGGCGGCTTTGACCTGAACACGGACTCGTACGCCGAGCGAGTTTCCTACCGGCTTAAGAAGTGGAAAGGGATCAAGTGTGAGAAGCCGCCGTACAACGAAAAGCAAGGCAAGCCGCATCTGCGCGAGTTCTGTGAGGGCTGCAGACTCGGCATCTGTCGAGAAGGGGATTAGGGAGATAGACCTAGTCTGTAGGGATATTTGTGTTATTATTTATCGGGATTCGTTTATGTTGTAGCTAATGCGGCAACTAAGAAGAAGAGGAAAGGAAGAAAGCTTGCTTGATTCCTAACTACAGTGGCGGAGTGCCAACATATGGCCATATGGGCCATATGGCTCTAGTGGAGCCTATGGTGCCTGAGGCACCTGCAACAGTTTACTGCTACCTAGGTAGGGACTAGATTAAGGTCCATCTTGACATTGGGGTCCTGGATGCCAACCTATATAGGAGGCAGGCTAGGTACTTGGGCTTTGTATTTCGTATTGGTATCAATGCTTAGGTATCTCTACTATTTCTATAACTATCTATTTGGTATGTTTCTCAGGGAAAATAGCTTGGTGCTCATGAACGTCAAAAGTGTGAGTACTACTATCTTCCTAGGTTAACAAGGTTGTATGCCCACACTTAGCGTGAATAGTGGCTATAATGAATGGTATAGGAGGGACTCCGTCACCAACGACATGCACAATAGGTACAAAGCAAGTTACTTGAAGGATTTATTGAAATGGTGATATCTCAAATACCTAACTAGGGATGAGATTATTAATTGCCATGCTTGTTCTTCGGGGTCCTATATAATACCTAGCCACCTCCAATTGGCAGAAATATTCTAGGCTACTTCGTATCTACCAAGCGAGTGTTTCCTTTTCGAGTATAGGTAGAGACGACTGAGTAAGACCTAAAACACCAGGCCGCGAAAAGAATGTAAGCGGGTGAATAGCCCAATATGGGCTTCATCGAATATAAGAACCATCGAATAAGAAGACGGATAGATCGTGTTTAAATCCCCTTGCTGACGTCGTTACTTGTGGGGAGACCTTGTTGGCCCAATTGAGAACCCGGCAGGCCAAATGTATAATAAGAACCACACCGCTGACCACAGCTGCTGACAGACAAGGGGGAGAAAGCCAACATACATATCATTAATCTCAACATTCTTATCTCCGTCTGTTTCCTCTCGCTTCGTCTAATTTGCGTTTTTATGAACCGCCGCTCTCTTGAAATCGATCCTCACAACTCACCTACTTACTAGTCACTTACTAGTTTAAGGGGCACTGGCCAAAATCCAGAAAATAAAAAGGAAAACATAATGGAATGCCCGATCCTGATGCGCGTGCCAGCCGAGGTGCGGATGCTAATCTACACCTACCTCTTCGACGACAACGGGCACAAGCAGCTGCACATCGAGAGCGCCTGGGCCGGGAAACTGCCCAAGTCTGACTCCAGGATCCGGAGTCGGTACTACGTGATCGAGCGGTCGTTCCACCGGCGCTGCTACGAGACGACGTACTGCCTCGCCATGCCGGACGTCCGCTTCTGGCCCGCCATCATGCGCGTCAACAGGCGGATCTACGAGGAGACGGCGTACCTGGTCTACGGCGGCCACACGTTCGACTTCGGCAGCCACATCGAGGCCGTCGAGCCGTTCCTCTCGGACCTGACGCCGCAGAGCCGGATGCTCGTGCAGGAGCTCTCGCTGTACAAGCGGGGCCCTGTGCCGCCGTACGACCACGACCGCAGCGAGTGGCGCAGCGTGTGTCGCTTCCTGGGGGGCCACGGGTCTGTCAGGAAGCTGCGGCTGGTGGTCGAGGGCGGGATCCCGAGCTCCGCGTGGGAGGGGCCGAAGGAGTTCACGGCTGCGGACCTGAAGCTGCTGTACGATATCAAGCACGAGAGTCTGGACTGGGTTGGGGACTTGGCGCGGATTAAGGGGATCGAGGAGCTCGAGATCATACCGGATGTCCATCATTGCCCGCCGCCGGCGTCGACGAATATGATTGTGTTTGCGGCTATTTCGGCCTCGATTGAGAAGGGGTTGACGCAGTTTCTTAGGATGCAGCTGTGCTTGCCGTAATAGGGGAAAGGGGGCGGAGTTTAATACGGGAATTATCTTCCATCATGTACAACATATTAAGTACTAAGTGCTTAATATTCATTACGTGTTACTTACTAGGTATATTTAGGAAACTATTGTATTAGAGGCTTCACATAGGTCAAATGGATAGTGTAAGAATGTATTAATTGCGTTACGAAGTGGGAAGTTATCCTCCTCTAAAGAAATAATTTACATGAGAATAGCCACAGATGTCCCTCAGCTTCTCCGACTCTATGCCTCCTAGTAAGCTGCTACCTGATCTATTTATCATAACCCCGTTGCTTCTCGATCCCCGCGCTGTCCTATTCTTACCGATAGCCTTCCTACAAAGGCTTCATCTGATTATCCTCGGCCAAGACGTGTTTCGCAGCCTCCGCGATCATTTCCGCAGTACGTGGAATCAGTCGTCTGCCTTTCTGCTTCCAGCGGCCCTCGCTCCAGAACGAGCTCAAGACATACTTAGAGGTAGCGCGGTGCTTGATTTCTTCGGCAATATCACTCTTGGGGTCGCCGTAACGTAGCAAATCGAAAAGCCAGCATGCCAGAGGACCGAGGTCGAAGTCGTCGTACTTCGCGAGGATATGCATGACATCCAGAGCATGGACCGTGGAACCATCCCCCTTGGATAGCTTAATAAGCCATATGTCCTTGTATTCGTCCAGGATGCCGTCAAGGGCCGGTCGGACGGATCTCCAGCAGGCTGGGGGTAGAACACTTGGCTGGGTTGGAAAGTATCGCAGGACCTTTGCGAGAGCATCCGTCGACTTGGGGGTTTTGTGATTCTCATCGACGCTTTCGGGGATTCCTGGCTTAAGACACTCTAGACCTCCCTGAAGCGCAAGAACTTCCGCAACACGGTCTCTGTCCTCTGGGCTCGCAGCACGTAGGGACTCCGCAGTGTTCGATCTGGAAACGTGTATAAGTTCCCACAGTCCTAATCGGGGTTAGTTATGTAGGAATTTACTTTTTAAGGAAATAGGGGAGAGTATCTCAGCTTTCAAAATACGTACCATTCCTGGCAAAGTCCTTTAGCACCGACTGCATTTCAACATAGCCCAGGAACTCCCAAGGTGCAAAGCAAGACCAGAAAGCCTTCCAGTCTCCAGATCGATCAGGCGACTTAGGGTGAGCGTATTCGACGGGAATTAGAATGCTGACAATCTCCGTTACATACAACATCTTACCCAGACGACTCTTCTCAACCTCATAAAAGTCGTGTCGGGACCAAGGATAAGCGGGCATCTCTGCTTGCCAGTTGGTACTCGCGTTATCGTACTTGTCCTCTATATAGGCAAGGAAGCCATCGACGAACTTCAAAACCGTGTTGTGGAAAGACCACAGCTCAGCCGCTGTCTCGAGAGTGAAGTAACTGGTAAGTACGCTTAATTCGGTTCCTTGCTTGCTGAGATGGGCGTCGCAGAAATCCTCAACATTGAATTTGTGAGATGCTGCGTTGCGATCCGCCTTGGTGGACAAGGGCTTTCGCGGCTTCCACTTCGCTTTGGCTGCTTCGTGTCGCGCAACGGCAATTGGCAGATTGTGGCCGATATGCTTGATGAGTATTTTCTGGCAGACAGCTCCTTGATCGGCCTGGAAGACACGAAGAGCGTCGGGAGAGGCCTTAACAAAACTCTTCAGGCTCTCCAAGTCTGGAAGATTCACCATGATCTCCATAATCGCGTTGTTCGGGAGCCCGGGAGCGGGCTTGCGTACTTTTTCATCATCCAGGGGGCTTGGGTTCGGGTCGGAGACCGTGGGCCGAACGTCTGAGCCCGGCAAGGGCTTACGGCTCGGCGAAGGCTTATGGCTTGGCAGAGGCTTACGGGCCGGCATGCCCTTGTGTTTCTCCCAGAAATGCTGCATTGTATCCTGAGGTAGGACTAATAATAGCGTAGTTGGATTGTGTTAAGGTTGTCGTGTTAATGGCTGTCTATGGTAGTAATAGTTGTACCTTTGCGTAAATCGCTTGGTGTAAGACAAGACAGTTGCGCTGAGGCGTAAGAAGAGTGTCCAAAAAAGGGGACTCGTAGCCCTTCTTCATATATTATTTCGAAGATGGGGACATGCTGGCTCTGGTACTTTCTCAATAACGAAGCATGGGTGATTAGATTACGATTATGAAGGGCATTTTCAGCATATTTATCTGACTCACTGATAGTAAACTCACCACTTGCAGAAATCTCTCTAGACATTCCCATTTGAATAGTCTTGTCACTTGATTAGGCTTCTCTGCTGAGATGGGATGAAAATTCGGAATGCATCTACTACCTAGCAGAGACAAAAGCTATGACTACCTAGTAGGGACCTAAAGTATGAGACCAATTAATCGACAATCACTCATAAGATCAACAAGAAATGTTCAAATAATCTCTTAAGTATACTGATTATAGTTGAATTCGTGTATTGTCGCGCAATTAACTTACTCTTGATCTGGGATCTCGAGATGAATCCTCGACTTGGAGCGTAAAAAGGGGCGATCACGTGACCCCCTCAGTTCAGCACAATTTGCCATGATCTCGGGCTAGAAGGGGGTTATGAATATCGCATACAAGATACGAATATTGTCTTACCCCCTTACTACAAATTCTTTTTGTGGCATGAGCAGCTCAGTCTCACCAACGATAAGCCATTCGCTACATACCATTGGATTGCTTTGATGATGCAGGTAGCTTTTTGGCTTCGCTCACCTCATATGATTCCACCGCAAGACATGCATGAGCTGCAATGATACTTGCAGCCGCCACAGCGCTTTCGATCTCGATTACGACGATTTTCAATGCACTCCTATTTAAATAGCCTGCATAAGGATCAAGATGTACCTGGAAATCTTTTTTTCCTTCGGAGAATCGGCCAGTCTGCAGTATTATCACTGCCGCCCCGGCCGCTAATATGGTAGGATTAACTCAAATCCACCTCAGCCCTAATACGACTACAATAAACTACACCTGTGCACTAAACAAGGTTGACCTTTTCCTGCCTGGAAACTGCCTAGAACAACAGAAACGCAGAGATCTTGCCTACTAGGTACATTGTGATTCTCCAAGCAAAGCCAAGGTCGAGTATGCCCAGATTAACCGTGTTTGGTTTAATCTGTTCATTCACTCTGGTTATAATTGATAAGTAGTGGCTGTGTTGCACTTCTGTCTATGAACCAAGCCGACTACGGAGTAGGGATGCCAACAAGCTCCTGGGCGTCTGCGTGAACCTACATCAAAAGCCACTTCATGATCTAGGCACCTACATACTCCCCTCTTCCCAAAACGCCTTCTTCGAAGTTGGCTTGATTTTTATCACACACCACAACTTCGAGCTTCGCAGGCCACTGAATGAATATAGATCTTGGACACATGCTGGGGGTTCATACCTATATTCATTTGTCGCGTGGAGTAACAGATACGCACTGTTCAGTTCCCTGATAACATTCAATCTGCTTCGATATCATTCCAACAACCCCAGACAAGTGTTCGCGGGGTCGGGAGCCAAACCGCAGCCCAACTCTTTTCAGCTCTGGCGTTCGTTATCAAATGGAACGCCCAATAGACGCGCCGGCCTAAGCGCACCTGCATGGAGCTAGCCCTAACCGTGCCCCCCTGACAGCCAGCTGAAGATTCAACCTGCAGCTTGGGTGATGGCATATAGATGGGCGATCAGCAAGGCAGAATGTGTGCCACTCATGATGTATAGGTAGTTACGAATATGGGAAGGGGAATATGTGGCAAGAGTTACAAACGAGAAGGAAAACGGCAATATGTATATTAAGAGGAGGTTTGTCGTTTGTACTACCTATATACCTATCCAATGTATACCGTAAGCATCCGTCAGCTCATGACTTACATACGCGTACTCACTCAACCCCTGAATATTTGATCCATACTTGCAGACGCACAGAAGCCCTTTAATCATAATTACCTACCTACCTACCTACCTAACCTAGGTATCTAGTATCTAGTCATCATTGACGTCTACTCCCGAGTTTGCGCTCGGTTGCTTGCAGTTTTAAAACCAGAAACCATCCCCATAGCTTGGGGGAATCCGCGGATCTCCCCCCTCCCCTCCCCCCCTCCTCCTTATTATAAGATGTAAGTCGTCTGAACGTTCTATTTATCTATAACCATGCCGTGCATTATCTCGATAAAGGCCCTCATCCGCAAACTTCGCAGGGCCACCATCATCGTACGCGTCGAGACGAAAGTGAAACGGGAGCGTGAGGTTATCGACCTGACAACGCCGTACGCATCTCCCACGCCGCAGACCAAGCCCGCCACGGCCCCGGTTCCGGCTAGGGTCAAAAGCGACCGCCGTAGCGAGCGAGAGCTTTCGAGGACTATGAGTGCTTCGTCAAGAGAGGCGACGCCCGGGCCTAATAGTCCGGGATCGCCGGCCACCACGCGGAAAGAGAAGGGCAAGGAGCCGTGCCGGCCACCATATCCGGCCGATATGCCAAAAACCCGGCCCGAAGCTAGCACCGCCAGATCATCCCGGGAAACGATGACGGCGGAAGCAAGTAGTACCAGCAGTAGTGCCCGAAGCGCCAATGCTACCAGACAGCAGCAGGAGCAGCGTTCCGCAGCCCCAGAACGCAGCCTAAGTGCCACCGCCGCTGCAGAACCCGACCCGTCGTCTCGCAAGCGAAGCCTAAGCATCACCGCAACTGCCGAACCCGCGCCATCATCTCGTAAGCGAAGCTCAGACACTCAGCACACCATCGAGATCAAAGACGAGCCGGAGGACGACGACGACGACGACAACTACGACTACCCCAACAACCACAGGCACCTCCACAACTCCCTGCCTCACCCCCCCAAAAAGGAAGAAGACCCTGATTCCGACGATAATGACGACGATGACGACGAACCAGAGATATCCCCCTTCAAGCGCCAGCGAACCTCCACGTACACCGACCTCTCCGCGATTCCGCTCGCCCCCCTATCCTCATCAGCACAAGCACAAACACGAGCACGCTCGCCATCCCTCTCCCCATCCATCAAGCTCTCCCCCTCCCCCTCCCCCTCGCGCTCCCCCTCCCCATCTCCCTCCGCCCCCACAACCCACATCCCCGTGCCCTCCACCTTCCCCTCCCCCTTCGTGCACCCCTCCTTCCCCTCGCGGCCCCCCCTCAGATGCCCGCAGCGCAACCGCTCGCACACGACCATCAGCACCGCGCAGTCCTCCTCCGCGCGGAACCACGACCGGGTGTACTTCCGGTGCGGGGAGTGCGCCGCCGGCTTCGGGAACTTCATCTGCTGGGCCGACGCCCTGCGCGTGCGCGCCGACAACCCGCGCTGCGACTGCGGGCACCCGGCGCGGGAGGACATCACGGGGGACGCCGCGACCGTGAGCGACGTGCTGTTCTACAAGTGCGCCACGAACGCGTGCGCGTTTCGGAGGTTCGAGTGGGATGACCCGCTGAGTGCGGAGGAGGTGAATCGGTTTTGTGGGAGGCGGGTGTATATGCTTTGATGCGTTTGATGGGCATGTGTCGGGCTGTGTGTGCTGCGTTGTTTGTTATGGGGGGGGCGTGGTTGGAGGGAGGGAGGAAAAGGGGGGTGGGTGAACCTGACAGTCGGATGGGCTCATATTCTTCAAGATTTCCTTTCTTTTTACTTCTGAACATCCTATACTCTTAAGATACCTACCCATGTACTCATAAAAATGCTGCTTGTATGTACCTAACTTAGGTAATTATGATTAGTGAATGAAGGATTGAATAGACGGCCTGCCTCGGGAACTTCTTCTATGTGCCATAAATTCTAGAAAATGAGCAATATAAGTCTTCATACAGCACTTTACAAATAAATAAACTCATACTTGAACAAGATCTCTTTCATTCCTTATGTCCGAGTGCCTGACCCTAGGTACCTAAGCTACGTGATGATACCCTGAAATACTATAGAGTGAAAGGGTACAGGAGTCAACCATCAACCATCTATAGGTATAATACAACAACATGGTCCCTGAAATCCGATGACGCCGAGCAATGCATTCATATGTAATCCGCAAAACTTCTTTAAAAGCTCAGACGCTGCCCCTGAGCACTCCATTATTGCAGCAACCCATGGGCGGCTTTCTTTATGATATCAGCGGTTTTGTCGATAAGCTTTTGGGTCAAGGGCCAGTCTTCTGCATCGATGGCATCCCGGATACCTGGAAAATTGGCCTCATTTGAGCTAGACCATAGCTGAGGGCCAAAGACGACATGTTTAAATTGTGTTCGGTTGGGTATCTGTTTTAGCGTATTAGTACAAGATCAAGGCATGCATATGTCGAAGAAAAAGAAAGCCAGACTTACTCCACCACCGAACTCCAGGTCTAATAACCCGGTTTCGAAATTCGCCATGCGATTGTTATAGTCACACCTCTTTTGGCCTAAACCGACAGGTTCCCAACCGCCTGAGGACACGACAGTTTGCTCCCAGCTAATCTCCCATTTTTCAAACTCCAAGATTGACTTCTCGGCTTCATTGATGGCATCCTTGATGGGGTCGAGGTTATACCGATCATTGACACCTTTATCTTGGCCCAGTTGCCATAGGTTTCCTAGATAGCGGCCAAGGGACAGCGCATAGTTGCCCATGTCAAAAGGCAAAACAGGTCGATCAGCTAGCTCTAGAATGAGAAGAGCAAGAACTTGGCCGAGGAGGGTGTGATAAACGAAGCCAGGGTCTCCAACATGATACATCCAATCGAAGTTATCATATGCAGAATGATAAGGATGCGCTGCCCCATCAAAGCGAATATCAATGGAGCTGGTGCCAGCCATGTCTAGGAAGCCGACGTAATCGCTGCCACCACCCAATCCTTCAAGCTCTGCTTTGCGGTCTTCCCATAGCATTCGCAACGAAGTGTTGAAATTGGGGTCGATGACTCTATCAAGTACCTTGTAGAGGACTTTACGGAACATCGGGGATGCGGCAGCGTGGAATTCCTGACCGGACACAGGGACATCAAGATTAATGTATGCAAAAGCATTCTTCTGTAAGACCTCCAGGTTGTTTTCAACGAATTCGGTGCTGCCAATTGCGTTATACTCTTCGGCATCCCAACTCATGAATTCGATGGTGCGGAGTGGTCGCCAGCCCCTGGATACCAGGTCACCAAAAATGCGCGAGACTTCCAACATAATGGCTGTCCCCACACCGGGATCACTTGCGCCAAAAGACCAGGAATCCCGGTGGTTGCCGATGATGATGGATTTTTCACTCTGTTCGATGCCGATAATCTTTCCGTAAACATTCCAGATTTCCTGGCGTTCATTTTCATCTTGTTCATTCTTCAGTCGTACGATGGGCGATGAGGAGTTACCCGACCACCACTCCACGTCAGGCACACCACCGTGCCAATCCGAAGGGCAAGGCTCACCAAACCCTTGAATATGTTGGAGAAGCACTTGGGCATCCCGCCAGGAGACTGGTATACTTGGGATCTTGACCAAGCCTGAGGTTTGTTCTTTCGTCATCCGAGGTTGACCTTCTTTGCTTTCCCAGCCAGGCGTCAGTACGTCACCAACAACCCAGTTCATTAAGCCAACAGATCCTCTTTGTACACCATCTGCGGGCATGAATCGTCCATTCGGTGCCGTATCTCCCCTTAGGAAGCCGTCGTCTGCCGGATCGCTGTATATGATACAACCAGCGAATCCCGCCAACTCTGCCGCCTTCACCTTGAGACCCCTATTGCTTTGTGTGCCATAATAGCGCACAAGTGCGATCGCGCCCTTCGTATCGATTCCCTTGCTGGCGATTCTCTTAAAGTCCTCTCTCGATCCATAATTAACATAAATCAACGGCCCCTTCACGTCACCTGCCTTCGAGAGGCCGTGGAACGCAAAGGTCTGGTGACCTGCTGTTGCTCCACCAATTTCCTTCTCCTCGAGTGCCGCCGTCCACTTGGCTTTTTTCCCATCCTCGGACATGATCTGCACGGCTCTACCGTCTTCTTTCGGATAGTTCAGGTACACAAAGTATTCGTCCACCGTAACGTCCTCCAAGCCATACTTTATGAAATCATTCCGTACATCCATCGCCAGCGCATAGTCGCCTTCTGACCCTGCGAGATGCGCATAGTTCGTAACGTGCCGTAGCGTTTTCCTCATTCTACCTGCATCGACGTGGTCTTGTACGTATTGTCGCACGGCCTCGGGGTCGAACATTTGGCCACCAATGCGCCTCGTCATATTGGTGAAAAGATCGCTCATGAATAGTAGGTATAGGAAACCGAGGATAAGGAAAACTGCGAGTAGTCTGCCAACGAGCAGTATGGCAGCAGCACTGTTGAAATTCGGCAACTTCCATCTCCTCCTGATCTCCCTTGAATCATCAGTATCGGGGCTTGCCGCGTCACTTTGGCGAGGTAGTCGAACAGTGATTCTAGGTAGCCGCAATCGCCACTTCCACTTCCACTGGGGTAACGAGGAGGCAATTCGTTTCCTCCACGATGATGATGATGATCGTGAACTCGATTCGTCTAAGGGGTCTTCCACTTCCAGCTCCTCCATATCACGTCGCACCCGCGCATGTCCTCCATCATTGCTGTCATCATCGTCATCTTCTAGCGTCCATTGCGACCCTTCGTCGTCTGATTCCACGTACGGGGGTCGGTAACCGTCGGGCGCATGCCTGGAAGAGTCCGGCTGTCTAGAGCGTGAGAAAAGGAGTGACTGCGCTTCGGTTTCGTGATCGGGTCTCGTGTCTATGGGTGAATGAGGAGGGGGCCAGTCTTGTCGGGAATTTGAGGAGTTGCCACCGGTGGCTTCATCGTAGGTAGGTATAGGTGGTGGTGGTATATACTGAGACTTTTCGGAGGGCATCTTGGCTGTACAACGGCATTGATATTTAAAAGGGATAGTATAAAAAGTTGGGTCAAGATTGTTAATGAAATTCACTATATGGAGAAAAGGTGAGGTAGGTGCATTTGATTATTAGTGGTTTGGTTAAGTGGGTTTTAAACGAGTGATTACTATTTGAGGCCACGATAAAGGAGTGCAAAGCAGAGGCAGAGATGATTCGAAGAAGGAAGTATTGTTAATTAAGGGAATGAGGTACGCATCAGTCCAACTACCACATGAGTCGTCATGGGAAGGACAAAAGACACGAGTTATGAGTTAGGTAAGTAGTTAAGTAGTTAAGTTAAGAAAATTGAGTGAATATGTAGGGTATCATCAAACGACATGGAGCTTTTGTGAAAAAAGAAAACTAAAGTTAAACAGACATCCAGGTTATGGTTGTGAGGGTAAGTGTGAGGTTTGTTTCAATAATTTCGATGATTTCGATGGTCCAGATTCCCATCTCAAGATGTTGGTACTGCGTAGTTGCGGAGCATGCGGGCCAACTGGGAATTGCCTTTTCTTAGTCATCACGGATTCTTAACACTGCCACAATCAGGGGTGCTACATAAAAGTATATCGCACCTTACGCTAAGGTCAGTAGTACTAGTACTTAGTACAATCAACAAGCAAGGATTGTCAGCCCCCCCTAACCCCTGAATACGCCAAGCTGCCAAGGGGGCATAGGATTCAACTTGTCAAATTGGCAACTGATTGGACGATAACGAATATATGTATTTATATAGTATAGTACTACTAACTATGTAGTAGTATTTACCTACCAACATACGAAGGTTGTGGCCAAAAGTTTAGACCAAGATATACCTCAGCCCTACAGTTCCTTTACTTTTCTATTACTGTAAGAAATATTATCGCTAACATATTTACTTATTTATAAAGCCTTATAAATTTATTTAATAAATATTAAATATGTTATTACGTTATTTAATTAATGTATTTAATAATAGAAATTTCTGTAATTTTTTTTCTTTATTATATTAATGTAAATATTTATATAATAATCTAAGGTTGTTTAGGATTAAAGGCTTTAAGTTTATAGCATATTATAGTGTTTAAGTGTGCTTTAAGGTGCTATACTTTTAAGGGTTGTGGGGGATTTGACGTTAAATGTATATCTATTATTGGTAGAGGCCTAAAAAAGAGTAGCGCACTGTGGGGCGGAGGTATATCTTGGTCTAAACTTTTGGCCACAACCTTTGTACTGTAGTAAGGTTAGGTAACACCTACATGATAGGATCTATTAATGAATACAAGTAACGTAAACCATCTAAAATAATACTAGAGAATTAATGCAAATACTCTCAAAGAAACAGACAAGTCTTCATTCGGAAATTCGACTAGGCAGGTAACTTGAGAATTCGTACAAGGGCCCAATGGCAACTAACTAAAGGTAACTAGTAACTGCAGCTCTTCAAAAGACGCCTAGACTCCTTAGTCGGAAGCCCAACGCATCGTCTTAAACCACCAAGAATATACATATGTACACGATAAATCTCCAACTCACTCAACTCATCAGTCGTTGCGGTGTTCTCGTCCTAAGTAAGGGCATCATTATTTAGCCTTGGTGCAAGCCCTTAATTCCTCCATCTCGTGCGCGTCGTTGAGTAAATGTGTTGGTACTGACTACATGACTTCTCTAACCTACCACATTACTATGCTTTGATATGTGTCCTCATCACTTTTGCGGGTATAGAACAATCCCTTCATATTGCCTCGATGCAATGTTATCCAAAGTGTGTTGGAAGTGTCGCTTGCTACTCTCCACACTTGCCGAGTCTTGCTGGTTCGTTGCGAGGTTTGAGTGAATAAGTTCGATGAGCCCATTGATGTATTTGGTAGTGACCTAGACAAGTAAGCTTTAGTAACGTACATGTCGAAACTAATATTGGGATATTTCTTACCGATTCGTTTTGCTGATCAAAGTAATATACATAGCGATCAAGGATTTCAACAAACAACTCGATTGAGGTTGCCTGTTCCATGCAGGAGTCGGCAACACGCAGGGCTCGCTGCAGGCATTCCAGCACACGCTTTCCATCTCGGTAGAGCTGTGGCAAAGATATTAGCTAACATATAAGTAAGTACAGCAGTTGATATAAAACTTACACCTTCATCTGACTCTTCAATGGCCGCGATTGGCATGGCCCACCATAGATGGCTCGCCAAGTACACTGCTCGGCACTGGTCCGGCTTCCGTAGGAGCTTACTACCATGTAGAGCACACTTCGTAATCAGGGTATCGTAGTTCTCCTTACCGAAATGTCTTGTTTGATGTAGTGCATTGGCAATGATACATACGGCTTGAAATTGAGCTTTTGAGTCAGAAATTGCCTCTTCGTATACGGTGAAAGCTTGCGCAAAAAATTCGTATGCGACCTCTTCAAAGCTCGTCATGTCGGCGCTCTGTCCACAGGCACAAAACAACCGCAGCGAGAGTTCGGCAGCACCAGAGCCATTGACCCTGGTATATATGCCGGATATTGCGGAGTGCATAAACTTATATAGGGCACTCAATTGCGTTTCCCAGTTATCCTCGTAGTGCTCTCTAGCCTTGAACCGGCGTGCGAGCTTCATGCCGGCCGTGATTAGAGGAGGGGTCGTCGTGCGAATCCTCTCATTTCCTTCGGCGAACGCCTTTCGCACCATTTGGAGTAGGCTAAATTGTGTATCGTTATCTACGCCGTCGAGCAAGTGAACGATCCGTGCTAACCAGCCTTGCTCCTCCATCGTTTCGTCGGTTTCCAAGGCTCTTCGTTGTGGGCCACCGGGATAGCCAGCAGGGGGCTGCGAGCCCTCTTTAATTAACACTTTTAGAATTTCAAGAACGTTCTCAAGTTGAATAGTAGTTGATATCTTAGTTTCATTGCGTAAGAGGGTTCTGACAACTTCTCCAGCTACGGCCCGTCTTGTTGGATAGGTTTGGGATTGGAAAAGAGGCACATAGGTGGGAAGGGATAGGGCCGTAAAAATGGAAATGTATCGCTTGAGGGGAGCTTGTAGTAATGCCAGTAAACTCTGCTGTGCTGGAGTGGAGTGAAGATCAGCACTATTGGCATGCTCCTTGACTTTGCGATTCGCATAGTCCAGAATCTGATCGACATAGTCGAGTCGACCGGGATATATATTCAAAGCAAGATTAGTAAGAGAAACTAGCAACGCAATCGTGTCCTGGATGGGGAGGTGTTGCGCGTTGACGAGATTGTTGACTTGGTCAAAGAAGACTTCATAGAGTTTAATATTAGGAGGAATCCCACGCTGTTTCTTGGTCGTTTGAGATGATTCGTCCGAATCGTTTTCATTTGCCGTCGTCTCAGCATCTGTGGCTGGTGTGTCTGGCAAATTCGATTCTGATTCTGCCGAAGTGCTTCCTTCTGCATGCTCGGCAGGTTCGGCATTAGCATGGTCTCCATTAGGCTCAGTGGACGCTTCATCTGGAGTTGGCTTCGCTTCTTGCTGGTCCTTGGTCAAACGGACCTTCTCAAGAAGAGTAGCCAAAGCGTCTTCCTCAAGTTTTGCTCTGTCGTCCGACACTTCCTCTTGGGATTCCCGTTCAGCATAGGCCGACAACCTGTCCATCAAACCAATAACAATAGCCTTGACATTGACGTGAGGGTTGAGCCGTGATACAGCAGCGAGGAACTGGTCCAGGGTATGCAAATGAAACTCGTCCGGGAAAACTTGCGTAATGATCTCCAGGAGATACTCTTGAGCTAGAACATCACGACACTGAACTACTTGCTCGAGTAGCGGGCCCAAGATACCGTTCTTGTACGTTTCGAGATCTACTAACTGGCTCAACCGCACGATGTTGCTGCCGACCAGAAGCTGTAGCTCCTTGCGCTCCTTGGTTCTCTGTTCCCTCTCCCTCGAATGACCTTGGTGTTGTAGTCGCACCCAGAGCTTGTTCATCTCGACAAAATTCGTCAGGATGAAGTTAATGGAGTCCTGGAGATTCCCTTCGGGGCCATCGCCGTCGCCAGTAGGTAGATAGTCTCTGGCTTGGCCAGATAAGTAGTAACGTAGGAACAGACCCCGAATGGGATGCTGGACACCACGGCTCATATCCATCATGTCCTTCATCAGCTCTTTTACGGGTGCTTCGGGTATGGACATGTATGCCGTTCCCACGGTTATCATGAGATATAGACGGGGCACAATGTTACCGGCATACTGGACAAGTTCGTAGAGATCGGCAAGGTGATTGTGGGGGTGGTTCTCTCGTAGATGCATGGAAAGGTAGCGCAAGGCGTCGAATATGGCCATGTATAGCTCATAGTATTGCTTTGGTCCCAGACTACTTGTCCGCAGCTCGGCGACCAGAGTAGAGCTATGTGATATGGGTTAGCTACGAGGGAGGCAGGCAGATAGATAGCTACTAGATAGCAAGTCAACAAGTAATTGAACTTGATGGAAACTTACCAGCACTTAAGAGCATCCATAAGCTTGCCAGGGGTATCAAGACATTTGCGCATAAGCGCGGTCTGCTGGCGCACAGCTACCAAGGCATCTTCCAGCAACCTGGCCTGGTCCTCGGGTGGTACAGGTGTTGTTGACATGATGGGCGTTGCGTAGACGGGTAGGAAGGGAGGGTATTATGGGAGATTAACGCCGTAGGAAAGGTCAATGATACATATGTATGTCGTTCAAGTCATTGGGTCGACGTGGAGGTTCGTGAAATAGGATGACCAGCTGCAGTTACAGGAAGAGCCTGCGGCAAACCAAGAGTGACCAGCTTTTAAGAGAGCTTTAAGAAATCGGAGTTGTCTTGCGCAAGTTGTATGGTTTAGTTTAGCGGGTCAATGAGCCAGAGCAGCAAACATTTGATCCATAAGATTTGAGTTGCATCCCAGATTTCGGCTAAGCCTTGGAAGTTACATAGTACATACGTACCTAGATCCACCCGTCACTGGGCCTGGGTTCTATGCATTAGCCACATTTCCAACCTCCAAGACAAGCCACATCTTTCTCACTGTATATGCTGTGATGTCATAATCTTTTGAACCACTTTTACTGTACATATGTAGCTTCAAATGTTTGAACTTGTATCAGATGTATCATGTCCTAACTTCTGAAGTATGGAATTTATACATCAGCTGTATGCATATATCCAGTAAATCGCCGTGCTGTCCTAGGCCTTTTCTTACATCTCGAAGAAATAGCTATGAAGTTCAGCTATACAACCTATCCCGCTACGCAGTTGAGTGCAGACACAACTAATACGAGCTTCATCACTCTGACTTATCATCGTGGCCCTCCTGAGCAAGGTCCTTTACTCAAGAAACACAACCAGCTATATATATCGCCTGTTTCAGAAGATTCTTACCAAACCATTACTGCCGACACGAGTTACGCAGAACAAAGCACTTATCCCACATAAGATTCAATATTCGTGTAGTTTTTCATCATTCATCATTGGCATATCCCATTTTCTTCTCAGAGGATCATAGTCTCTATCTACTAGTATAGGCACCTAATCCATCCCCTGTCACGTTTCCCTTTTCACCCAACCAAATCCGAGCCGTAAATCTCAGTATTCATCCCAGCTTCATTCCATGATATGGTTCATGTTCATGGCCGCAGTGACCCATAGGCTAGTGGATGCCATGTGCACGTCCCTTGGCTGCGACTGATAGTTCGGGTTTCCGAATCCCTGGACGAAGTCGGCGAGGTCATAATCCGCGAGAACAGTGTTTACTGTGTTCCTATCCCACTCATACGTGCGGGTGCCAGCGAGGCCGTTCGGGTCGCCGTTGGGACATCCGTGCTCGTAGAGAAAGCGGTAGCTGAGCTGTTCCTGGTTCGGGTGCTCGGCGCTGTACACCTCCTTGAGATTAGCCCATCCTCGCGGGCCGCCGCACTCCTCGGCAACGCAGTGGCCGAGGCCGTCGATGCACGCGAACTTTTCTGTCGCCTCTCCGCGTCCCAGGATTGTCATGTGGTGGTCCCACTTATCGTGAAAGTCGTAGGTATAAGTGAATTGCTTGCCTGGTAGATGGTTTCTATAGTTAGTACATACCTTGCTATGAAGGGCATACCTATCCACAGATTGGAGTGTAAGAAAGAAAGGATTTCAGCTATAAAAATATTTACTTACCTCGATACTCAGGATCCTCAAAGACCTCACACAACTCCACCTCATCCGCGCCGCTCTCCAGCGTTCTAGGATGTCCTCTCAGTCCCTCACACAGACGATCCGCGCGTCGATAAAACGCATCACTCGTAGGATCCACCAAGCGCAGCAAAAAGCGCCTCGACGCCCCCTCCTCTCGCTCCGGGAACGGCGGCAGCGGCTCTCCATCCGGCGTATTCTGCGCCGCGTGAATGAGCCACGCGGCCGCGTTCTCGTCCTCTACCGGAGTGTAGTCCACGAACGTAGGGTCCACGACCCCGAAATCGTAAAGGTGGGTTCCGGTCCACTCGAAGGCTACTTGGAGCGCCAGGTGTAGCGAGGCGAAGGTCGCGTGGGCGGGGCACGAGAGCGTGCGGTAGATGCGCGGGAGGGCGATGTGGCCCGGGGCCAGGTCGAACTTGATCATGTAGTTTGGCGGCTTGCTGTCGCGCTCGGGCATGCGGTAGGGGGGTGAGTATGTTAGCTGGCACTCTTTCGGGCCGTGGTGGACGGGCTTGTGGCAGTCGTCGGGCTCTTGGATAATCTTCATCTTGGAAAACTGGTCGCAAAGGAGGTCCATGCTCATTTGTTCTTGCTCGACTAGATCCATGGTTTTGGCCGACTTTGTGGCGTTGATTGACTTCATGGCGGCGACTAACTTCGTCGTGTTAACTAGCTCAGCGGTGTTGACTGGCTCGGCAGTGTCGACTGTCTCGGAGGTGCTGGCTAGCTTCATAGCGTTGGCTTTCTCGACGGTGACGGTTGACTCCATGATGTCGAGTTGTTTCATAGCTTTCAATAAAATATCAGCCGTCTTAAAGGGAGACATCTTGAGAGCGTGTTGAGTAGCTGTGCAAAGTGATGCTGGTGTTTCAAGGCAAGACATGGTTAAAGCAAGTACACCATTTGCAGTGTGTGGGTGAGCAGTAGAGGAGGTAGGTAGAGGAAGGGAAGGAAGGAAAAGAAAAAAAAAGTAGAAGTAAACATATAATTATTCTGTCTAGCTACCTGCAGTCGAAAGTCGATATCTACCTACCTAGGTACCTACATACTTCGAAACGGAGAAGGGAGCACAGTAGGTTGTCTCCATAGGTAGGCATAGGCATATATCTACGAGCTCGAAAGACCGAAACAATCGACTCTCTGCTGTTAGGGATGTCACCTGCCTATGAGCCTAAAGCAGCATATCTACCTACCTAGGTAGATACCTAGTCAAGGCACTACCATGTTCTCCAGTTCCTAGAGTCGTGAACAGTTACAAAGACGTATTGGAACTAGAGGGCTGAGAATAAACACGAAGGTCAAGATATTTGACTATCGTAAGTATTGTGCTTGGGCGTGCTGGGTCGGCTCATTCACGGTGAGGAGAATCATGAAAAGCTCCTTGTTAGATGGCCTAGTCAAAAAGATTCATTATAATGCTTGAATCTGTATTTGTGCATCTGGGAAGTACTAATGGATGCTTGGAATAGCACTGTTGATGGATCTTGTTGAGCATGGTGGCAGAGCCCAAACGGATACCCCTTTTCAATGACATGTGGATTGATCATATACATAGTAGATGATAGTCTCTATGCAATCTCTACCATGTGATTTTGTCACACCCAAGACGAACTGCTTCTAAACATACTAATAATCTAAATGGATTTAATCAACTACATATAACCTATATATTGACCAGCACTACCTGTCACAGAGCAAGCAAGTGAGCAGTATTACGCTGTATTGTTTGCCCAACTTCCCCCTATTTACGTCGTAGCCAATTCGAACACAATCAGGTACCACCACTGCCTTTACTTCTACCTCTACCCCTGCCATCAAGCTTTGTCTTCGGGCCCTAGCATTACTTGATTATCTATGTATAAACAACTCCAACCACACCGTCTTTGTGCAAGTGCTCTCAACCTTCTGTATGCATATACGATAAATGGCGCTTACTGACCAAGCAGCTCCAGGGCGAGCTTGCTCTTCTCATCTTCAGTTAACTCTTGGCCCTTGACCTTGTCAGCTTTGGCAGCATCATAACGCCATAGGCCGCCCGTCTTATCCGCATCGCCATTCGTGTTTAGACCGACATTGGGAGCTAGACTCTGGAGTGTTGCGTCTGTCTCCGATTCCGGGAGAGCAACAAAGTATCTCCTCTCCCACTTGCGGCCTTCATCTTGCTCCTTCTTCCGCATCGTCCGCTGCGCCTGCTCAATCTTGGTCTTCTCCTTGCCGACGTAATCCATGTCACCCTTGGCAATACCCGCCGCGACGTTAGCCCATGCGCGTCGAGACTCAAGTGGGTGCTGCTTCTCGATAGGCGCAACGATTAACTCCGAAATAGGGACGTTGGTAGGATCCCAGTTCTCGATAAGGGTCTTGGTAGAGTTTTGCTTTGCGGGGCCGGTGTGGATCTCAAAGGCCTTGGTCCATTGTCCGGAGCAATTATAAACAACTTCCTTCTCCTTGCCCGTGGGATATAGACTAGCCGTGAACGAATTCTTCTTGCCGCCTATCCATCCCTTCCCGCTATAATCAATCTTGGCTGTGTATCCTGACGACGAAGTGATGTAAGATGCGCCGTCCAGCTCAATAAATGGCGCACCAAAAATCAACCCTTCCACGTGGAGTGATGGTAGCGTGATCAAGAAAGTGTCCTTCTCTCCCGGCTTGGAGGGATCCGGGACTGAGAGTACAGCATGTCCAATCTGCTTGATGTTGATCGTTTTGGAGAAACTGGCCTTCTGAGCATTGTATCCCTGAAGATGAACACCGCTCGATTGGTTGATGATACTGTATGCAGTTGCAGGTGGGTGGTGGCTGGGTCGTTTGTCAGCCATGACTTTTTCAATATCAATAAAATCACTTTCACCTGACTTACTTCACTTGTTCGCTGACCAAATCGGTTATACCCGCCTCGTCTTCCCATTTACCCAGGAATAACTCGCCAAGGAAGGGATTCAGCGGCTTCTTCTCATTGCCATATTGCTCGCTTCGGCTCGCGTACTGCTGCTTTAATGTAGTCAAGAACCACTTTAGAACAAGTAGAGCTCTCTTCGCCGGATCGGGCTCTTTTGCTGGCGCAGCAAAAACGGTAGGATGTTCAGCCCAATACGAGCTAAACTCGGTGAGACTCGTGGAGGAGAGGATAAAGGGCGGGGCTGTTAGGGAGGAAAGATCGCCGTTGAATGAAGCAATAGACTAGTCCCAAGTTCGTCAGCGGGGTATAGAACAGGAGGGGATGACATGTTAACTAACCTTGAGGAAGGCGGTCCAACTAGAACCAGAAGCCTGGGCGTTAGGTGTAGTAGCCTCTGCCATTATTGTAACACTGTACAATGATCGCCTACAGGTTTATACTCCACGAAACTTAGGGGGTGCGTTATATGAATAGCCAAAATCAAGTCCAAAAGCTGGTTTCGAGTCCGTAAAGGAGTAACGGGACCGAGGGAAGGTTACTGGGCAGATTGGCGGGGATCAGGTTCCGTAGAGGACTCGGAGCTAAGGTTACGTGATACGGGATGCGGTATACGGTATGCGGAATACGGGATATTCGATGGACTCGGTCGGATTTAGATCTTATCGCCTGCAGTTTCAGGATAGAAGCTGAAGCAGAAGTCGAAGAAGTTCTTTGTTTTCTTTTTCGGAAAACACGGGGGGAATGGTTGGTGTTAGAACAAAAAGCGGATTGTGATCTTTCTTTATGCGGAGGTTTGGCTTTGTATTTAGTATGAATTGTTTTTAGTGAGTTTTGATGTATCAATACAATACCCTTTTTAAGTTTAATAGAGGGGCGAACACCACATGCAGAGTCCAGAATTTTGACGTCAAAACCTGGGAAAATACAGAAAGTCCCAAGGTCCCAAAGTTTCCCCACACGTCATCGACCCTACTAAGCTTGTCTTGGTGGAGATTAGCGGCAAGCTCAGCGCTTTGAGGTAGGAGCATGGACCGCCTGCCCAAACATTGAATCGCGTGCCCAACTCCCCAAGGACCCCAATTCTAGATAACTTATCAGTAGGTATCTAAACCTTTACTCCTTTTCCTATGTACTTGGCACCTACTATGTAGTAGGTACTGTATGTCGGCGTGCGGCGGCTGGCAATCTTGCAGCGTCACACTGCATTATAACGTGCATTTGATTAGGTTAGAAGTGTTTACTGGATTAGACGGCTACATACGGGATATGGAGGGGGATAAGGATTTGCTCACTCAGCAGCATCATTACCAAATACCGGTATATCCAAAGTTAGGTAGTCTAAAAATGTTCTTGAGTCCAATTAGGATTAATGTATGTTCATCTAGGATTCATTACAGATTATAGCCCACCCGGGTATCATTCCAATTCATACTCCTCTTGTCTCCCTTTCCTCTTGACAATTCTATAACACTATCCACCCGGATAGTACATGCGTGAGGCCCGTAATTTGCTTCATCCCAATCCATATAATATATACATAGAAGAAGCTCAGAAAGAAAAAGAAAAAAAAACGGAAGAAGTTGCTCTATCGTGGTGAATGACACGAGGTTTCTAACTTCTGACCAAGCTGTCCATTCACGCCCGAAAACCTCCCCTCAACGTGATCTCCAACGATCGCCCATCGCGCAAAATGGCATTTTTCACGTCCAAGATCGAAAGTCCAGGCCAGGCAATCGTTTGGATGCTCGTGGCAAATTTTGACGCACGCGTCTACTTCTTTGACTTCATCGACAGTCGTGCTGTATTCGTCGAGTCGCCCAACAAAGTCAATATTACTTCGGATCGGCTCGGCAATAAACGACTTGAAATCAGGTGCACCGTAAATCTTCCCCAATTGCCCCCAGAATACAGGTTCTGTCATATCCTTGAATGTCTCGCCAACATGGAGCATAGTGTCGCCACTTCCTAGGCTGTGGAATGAAAGTAATGGGAGACAGAACCGGTCGATCCACATCCGGGTCATCCATGGGGGCTCACCGTTAAAGAAGCGTCGGTAGCTCTCATCAAGGTAGATACCAACTTTCATGAACGTCGTAGAAAGCAGTTTGTCGCCCCAGATCGCCGTTGGTGACTCCTGATGACCTTCGGCTACAACCTCGGGGTGTTGATCGAATAGTTTGCTGAGAGCGGCGCCGGACATGGCCACGGATGACCCACCATGTGGGAAACGGCCTTTGTAATCTCCGACCGGGTTCCCGATGAAGTGTGGCTTTCCGTAATTTAGATGCCCTAATAAAAGGAGCAGGGAGGATTTGATGATGTAGGTGTCATCATCTGCCATAATATACCACTTCTTCTTTGGTAGGTTCTGCCAGACATACTCGAGGCTGGGAAGAAACTAAGTCCAAGTTAGCTGATTTATGCTTGGTCGAGATGTATATTTTCCAATTCAAACCTTCATTGCATCAATTTCCCAACCCATGTTTTTCCCCAGCCCATCCGCGAGCATCCATTCTTCGCCCTCGATGGCCTCGCAAAGAGTTGAATATTTCATTATCCGTTCATCATGCTCATGGCCCTTCAATGCGCCTCGCTCTAGGTTCCACCTAATAATATCAACAACCGGCACCTTTTTGCCATTTGCCAATGTCAAATTCGTCTGGTCGGGGAGTAGTGGAAAGTCCTGGACGACAACGGTATCGGCAAAGAAGGACTCGTTGCCCAACGCTTGCAACGCCTTTGAAACTCGATTTCTGGTACCAAACCCAGTTTTTATAATTATGGCGACATCGTTAATTGGGTCGACCGGGTAAGGCTGCGGCTTAAAGAGCCAAGAATCGCTCGGGTGGTTATTCTGGTAATAATCTTGGATAACGTTATGTTGGAACCGAAAAAATGATCTTAGCGGACTATCGGATGGAGTCAAACTATAGAATATGAATAGAAAGGCGAAAACAGCGAGTATTGTTTTCTGTGGGCGAGTTGGCCGTGTAATACAGGAGCGAAGGGACCTCCGCTCAGCTATCCCCATTGTCACGGTTGTTTGCCGATTTTTGTTGTGGGTTTGCGGTTGTGCAACAGGACCTAACAACCGAAAGGAAACCGGTAAACGGGACGCGAAACATGCGAATAGTAAAACGAACGTAGAGTAAGAGGGATGGCAAATGTTTGTATTATGGTCTGACAGCGTAAAGCTGTGCTGTTACTTTTCTTAAGGGGGAGAATTAGAAAAGGGGAGGGAGATCCGGTCTCTCGGATAGGAACTCCAAAGTAGGAAAATGAAAACGAAAAAGACGAGAAGTTTTGTGCTTTATTTTTTCAAAATCAAGTTATTTAGAAGTAAAAGCGAGGTAATTGAGCTCACAAGCTTGGAACATGCGGGGGTTAGCAGATTTTACTTGATGGTGAGCTAAATTTGGCTACTGATCTCACCAAGGAAATCCATTCGCGGTATATGATGGGCGCTATCGAGAGTGAAAAGCCGTTTAGAACCAATCAAATAGAAAGTATGGGTCTTATATGCAGCCACGTCCCGCTGTAGTCTTTGCACTGCAACCGGCTCTTATGCACAGATTATGATAGTCAAAGCTTTAGTGAAAGATTACGCGTACCTAAAAAATGTGATACGTATGTACTTAACTACATATGTAGCTATCTTTGCAATTATGTAAACGAAAAAAGGGGGGATTTCAAGTTACATACACACATGTACATGTACCTAGTAGTACTTACCTTCACTCACCTATTGCAACATTGAATGTTGTATGAAAAGACTCATTCAATAGTTACACATAATTAGGGAATTGGTTCAATTTGATAGACAATAATCAGCAAATAAAATGTTCTGAAGATTCTCGACGTCATGAACACCTCAGTAGCATTGATACTGGAGCATTCGCACTAGGCCTAACTACCTATGGATACTAATAAGTAGAAATAACTACCTGCCTCATATGCACATGTGGTAGAGAAATAGCCTCTCAGCCTCAAAATCCATGGGCTCATCTAGATTCACACATGTTAGTTACATAGCTTGACACAAGGGAGAGGATATGAAGGGAGGGCCACAATTTTAAATCAGTGCCATATGTACTCACCTGAAACTTCACTTAAGCAAACGACTTCATAAGTTACGACTCTAGCCTACAGCTGTGAGTTTAAGTATCTTATAGGAAATGTGATCTATTTATATATGCCGATATTTGCCCACTCGTCCTACTTATTAATAGTTGAAATACATACACTACCTAGCATTCTCACCCTTGTCCCTCTTTACTTTCCTCCCCTAAGCCCCTCTCCCTTTTCCAACTCATGGTTACCTAATCCATTAAGAAGGACTAACTGAACCCTACATCCGTAGATTTCGATAATTTCTCTGGGAAAGAACTTCAGACTGTCCATTGTTAGTAACTATGATACCTATTATGTGCAAGTTAGCGAGTTGGGCACATTTCCAACGTCTTTGATTACATGGAAATCGCTGCGCCAAAGTTGTACCGCAAAGAGTATGTAAAGGAGACTCCTATCATCCCATTTTTCTTGTGATATGAGATTAGGTAGCACTAGGCTGTCTCCATGTTTCTCATGGTTCGTTTCTGCCATTTGCTCAAGTTGCTTATTGCGCAAGCTTGACTCTGACACTTTCCAATAACCAGCGACTTGACTTGGGGCAACTTGGCATGGTAAGTGCCTCCGAGCTTTCCAGTGGGGGTTATACATATGCCTGGGGCCTCATGGGGTGCCTTCTGGTCTTCTTTCCTAGGTTAGCAGTGAAACGTAATCACCTTTACAATACAAGGTAATGCCAATGATGATGAGCAAGCAAATACATCTACATCCATAGGTATATTCATGAAGTAATTCCTCAATAGAAACACACATCTTTCCTCGGTAGATATTGGTTGCGCTCCTCATTCCTTAATAAAAATCCCCCTTTTCGCCTCCATTAAATTCCAACAGTGATAAATGACCAAGAACCACACATTACAGAGGAAACGTGACGTGACTGAAATCCAGCAGATCACACCATGACGCCAATTTTCGTTAACTCGGAGGCCGCATCATGAGGTGGGTGGGTAGGTAGGTAGGTAGGTAATTTGCGGATTCGTGTACCTGTTCCACCTTCAAGTCCCGTTGATGCGGTAAGCGAGCAGAGCAGACCTGGCTTTGCTACCTCGACCGTTACACCTCCTCTTTACGATTCTGCCCTTCGCAATGGGACTATATGGCATCGCCTGCTTCGCCATATTTTCCCTCCACTCCTCGATACTTTCGCTGTAACCCTCGAACAAGCCTGTCGTATCCAGTCCCCACCTCGTCATTAACTCGATGACGACAATGACGGCGCACTCTGGGTCGATTTGGAGAAGCTCTGCTCTAGATGCGCGCCAGTCCTCTAAGAATTGAACAAAGAGATCGTCTTGCTGCGTACAGGCGCAAGAAAACTCGTTGTGTTCGATGCGACAATGAGCGGGTAGGCCTATATCATCAAGTTCCATGAAGCATCCCCAAGGAAAGTAGAAAACATTCGGGATAAGTCTGCAGTACATCATCCTTGCAGTATCGTTCTTTATCTAGGTAATCAGTGCACTGCTAGAGATCACTCACTCACCTAGATAGGCTAACAATCATGTTATTCTTCAAAAAATAATTTTTATTGAACTCATGGAAACAAGAGAAGATACAGGGGTAACTGCGCGATTGAGCAGTTAATTAATACCCCGATTTGCACATTGTTCCTAGGAGTCAGTATTGTTCTTACGCTGGGTCTTGTTTCATGGCTATGCAGTTGAAAGGACAATACCATTGATTGTAAGATGCCCTGAAAGAACTGATACGTACATATGTAGGTATGAAAGAGGAACGATGCTATAATTATCCTAGGTTGGGTATGGATAATGGAGGCATAGAAAGAGGTTAAAGGGGAGGGCAAAAAGAAAAAAAGAATAAGGTTATTAATTTGTGGGGGAACCAAAAGTATGGACGGGCAGGGGATCGAACCCTGGACTTCTCGCATGTGAGTTAATCACGCTAGGTGCAAAGCGAGCACTCTACCACTGAGTTACGCGCCCTGTGAAATAGTCCTGTGTCAGAACTGTTCGATGAATTTTGCCGTCGTATGATAGTATATATTCCATTCCCACATTCGTGGTAGTACAACATTGCAGATTGTTCTACAAAAATTAATTATTTTCGTGCATCTCTTCTTACTCCTTTTCATTTTAATATGTCATTCCTATTCACGATCTATCAACCGTAATTTTATTTCTCTCCCTACATTCTTCGTTTTATTAATATGTACTCAAGTCGCATTGTACTACATTTCCAATAAGTACATAGTAGCACTTGCCTTATCGCATCACTTTCGATGTCGTGTATTCTTTGTAGGTGTATTTGGGGAAGCTCCTTCCATCGAATCCAGATAGATCCCTATCATCGGGATGGGGGTCAGGGTTGATGTCTCTAACCTCTAAAATTAGCGCTTAAATCTGGGTACTAGCCTAGCATCCATGGATACATAGGTTACCTTTTCAATGTTATCTCTGGGAAGGAGCCAGTGAGAGGGACTCGGTACCAAATCAGATCTTGTCCGATAGGCTCGATGGGCACTGGGAATCTTTAAGTTCCAGGTTCTATTAGGCTTTCCCTCCATGCCTCACCTCCAGACCTCACACACGTCTACTCTCTCATGAGGCTCTATAGTCTTGTATATTTGCCATAAGCTAGCATTGCATAGTGAAGACTGATCTTCAAGATATATTCTCATTTCTATACGTCACCTTGATCACTATGGCCCCCCACAATATTCAAGACGAGGGCCCGGCAGACCTCGAGAATGAGCCGGCAGGCACTGAGGTCAGGCCGCCCACACCACCGCCTATGTCCGCAAGACCACCTCGAGTTCTCATCATTGGCGCTGGATCTCGCGGCCGTGTCTATGGTCGTTGCACCATCCAGTCCAGCAACGGTATCGTCACCACTGTCTGCGAGCCTGACCCCTATAAGCGTGACGAGTTCGTCCGCACCTTCATCTGGCATGACAAAGCACAGCATGCGCCCGAGGGCTCTAGCTTTGCTGGCTGGCGTGACTTCGTTGAGTGGGAACTCCGACGCCGCGAGCGAGAAGCTGCTGGCGAAAAGGATGTACCTGAGGGTGTCGATGCTGCTTTCGTGTGCGTTCGCGATGAGATGCACCATGGCGTTGTCATGGCTCTCGCCCCGCTCAATCTACATATTATGTGCGAGAAGCCTCTCGCCACTACTCTCGACGACTGCGTCAGCATGTATCGAGCCATGGCACCTTTGCAAAGCACCAAGGTCTTTTCTGTCGGCCATGTCCTACGATACTCTCCGCATAACATAATGCTACGGAAGCTATTGCTCGAGGACCAAGCCATCGGCGAAATTCTCAGTATTGTACACACTGAGCCTGTTGGTTTTTGGCACTTCGCTCACTCCTACGTACGTGGAAACTGGCGCAAGGAGTCCAGCACCGCACCTTCCCTCCTGACTAAAAGCTGTCATGACATGGATATCATCATGTGGCTACTTTGCTCACCGGCCGACCCCGGATCTGATGAACCCCCGCATATCCCTTCTGAAATCGCCTCTACGGGATCATTACAGTTTTTTCGACGGAGCCGGAAGCCTAAAGCTGCCGGTTCTGCTACCAATTGTCTGAGTTGTCCTATTGAGCCCGAGTGCATGTACTCGAGCAAACGTGTGTATGAGAGTGCACGGCACCAAGGCCTTGAAACGGGGAATACGCGGTGGCCGATGAGTGTCGTGTTACCGGACATCGAAAGTTTCGGAGGTGACATTGAGCAAGCGCGGCCGGAATTACTACGACGCTTAGCCGAGGACTACAATGAGTCGACAACACAAGAAGAAATTGATTCGCAAAATTGGTTTGGGCGGTGCGTCTTCGAGTCCGACAACGATGTGTGCGATGAGCAAGTCGTCACGATACGCTGGGACGAAGACCCGCTCCCACCCTCACAACGGCAAAGCGCATATAAAGACGAAGTAGGTAACCGCGGTGCCAAGCAAGCAACTTTCCACATGATTGCGCAGACAAAGCGGCAATGCCATCGCTTTACGTACGTGTACGGGACGTGGGGCGAGATATATGCCGACTCACGGACGATAACCATAGAAGACTTCCGAGACGGCACGCAGCGGTCGTACCGCCCTAAGCTTGAGAGTCTAGGCCATGGTGGCGGCGACCATGGTATTACCCAACAGTTTATACTGGCGGTTGACCGCGTCAAGAACCATGGGTGGCCTGCCCCGCGCGCCCAGCGTGAATTCATCGGATGTAGCCTTGAGGAGATTATTCGAAGCCATGCCATGGTGTTCGCGGCCGAGGAGGCGCGCACGGGTCGGAAGATCGTTGATTGGAAGAGCTGGTGGGAGGAGAAAGTTGGTTCAATATCGAGCTAGTGGACCTATACACTCGCTCACTATATTTTCGGAATTTTTCAAATGTTTTCCATGGCAAGTGGTTCCATTCCAACGACATAATAGTATTGATGAGCGCTGGAGAACGATGGGCGTCTTGGCGCTCGGGGTTGTCGCATCTCAACAGTAGGTCGGGCGGTTAAGGACAGCGACACCCCCTGGCAGATTATGATAACGATTTTGTTCTTAGAAATGAAAGTTAATGACCTGCTTATAGTGTTTGCGCGGATATCCTACATATCGATCTCGAGAATTCGTCTTGACATATTGCGTGTTGTGTGGATTCGTGACTACCCGGGCACCTAATCATACAGCAGTCAGGGGCAATTCGATATATCAGGGGTAGAGGCATGCATGATTCACGGCAAGTCAGGAAAAATTTGAAAGGGCCCGTGAGCTTCCGTTATCTAAAAGGTGGCTTATACACGTAATTAGGAATCATTGCGAATTCGGAGTTCCGGATATGTCTGCTCCGGCACCTTGCTGCAACATGTCAAAATAATCTCGCAACCCCTTCTCTCTCCTACGCCGAACCGCGAGCTCCTGCGCCGTATCCCCCGCCTCTCGATGCCAAGCTTCCAACGTCTGCATGTTCTCAAAGATTTGCGACTCGCGGAACCCGCGTCGGCTTTCCGCGGCGTCGATGGCCATTCTTAAGGCATAGCGCGCGAGCGCGTGTCGCGGATTGTTGTCCTTGACATCCCCGCACCGGCTCCTGTGGAAGTACGCGATCACGCGCCACGAAACCCAGTACGTCCAGTCGTACCGGTTTGATACTTCGTCGACTAGCTGTAGTGAGGCGTAGGCTAGTCGAGCGGAGTGTTCGTCCGTGGGCCCATTCTGCCAAAGATACGCGGCTGGCTCGATTAGCCTCATTATGTCTGGCGCGCGGCCACTTCGGCCACTTCTACTGTCTTGTGAGGATGATAGGGTCGAGGAAGTGGAAGCCACCGCTTTGCGAAGCGATGGGAGATTGGTTCTGGTGGAGCCAAAGAGGATCAAGCCGCCTAGCAGGAAAATGCCAAGGCACGGCGCGATGGTCTTCGAAAACTCATTCGTCTCGAGTAGCATCCCGAGGATGCTCTCCATGCAGCTGAAGACGAAGTCAACCGCCGTTGCTAGCGTGTTGGCACGAAATACTTCGTCCAGCGCCTTGAACAGTCGGTGCAAGGTACTCGACGCCCCAATGGTTGCCTCCGCGTAGCCCGCCAAGTATTTCCACAGTTCCTTGGCGAGGCCATGGTCCGGGGATATCACGCTGGCTATTAACAAGTCGAATAAACCGAGCGCGGATGGCTTTTTTATTAGAAGGTGTAGAGAGGAGAAGGCGCGTTGGCTGAGCAAAGCACCGAGGGGGTTGTGGCCTCGGGAGAAGAACCAGCATGCTCTGCTGAAGTCCCGTGTGGCCTCGCATAGTTCACCATCAAAATAGACGTCAAAATCGGCCTCAAAAGACGTGGATATAGAAGACGCTATCGAATCTCGCCAACTTAGTGTCAGGTCCTTGAAACACGAAACGAGCACTTCCTGCGCGTGGAGGTGCGAGGGCAAAGTCATGTACTGAGGATGAGCCGACGGTGGCGGCGTCAGCACGCGAAGGTAGCCCGGCAGGTTGTTGGTGGCGTCGACTGCAGGCGCGGCAACGAGGTCAAGGCTCGAGACACCCTTGCGCTTCATGTAGGTTTCGATGTCCACGGACCTTCCGTGGCGGTGGAAGGCCGTGGGCTTGCCGACGGCGCCTCGTTGGCGTTGCAGTCGAAGCATCATGGCTACGTCCTTCTTTTTGTTGTTCTTCACGAAGCCCCATTGCGAGAACTTGGCTTTATACATCCGAGGGCTGTTGATAAATTAGCGCGCGGCTTTCCTCGTGTTATACACCAATAGAGGATAGATGGGTGATAACTCACGTCGCCGTGAAACCCTTTTTTTGCATCGCCTCTACCACCTCGTTCAACGACATGTTTCGCTCGATGTAGAGTTCTTGTATCTTCTCCTTGTGATGCTCCCATGCTCCCGGCAGCAAACGGGTTGGGCTTGGGGAATATTGCGCTTGTTCGGAAGACTGGCCGAGATGGGCTGATGAACCTGATACATAGTGATGTTCATCGTGTCTTCTATGTCTCTGCTCACGTTCTGGTGCAGTGAGGTATCTAGGTATACGGCAACGCTGCTGAATCTGGGCTTTGGCTATGAATGAATGAGGCTTGTTGGCTCGTCCCGGTAGTATAACTCTCTGGTGAAGTTGACGGGCCGCCGGTCATGGGGTCGTACTGGCCTAGACTAGTACTAGGACTTAGACTCTCGATCTTCACGCTAGGGCCCAGGCGAGGATCATGGGCAACGATCTTATCATCGCCCACATTTTCGGAAGTCTCGTGGAAGTCATCATGGTCCGTCCTGTGTTCCAAAGTCATCCCCCTTGTTTGGGAATAGGTGTATGTCTCCATGTATAGCACATCAAGGCGAGGTAATTAGTTGATCACAGCACGTCGATAGGGTACCTACATGTCGGGACCTACGTTTCGGAGTTTTTATGAGCACCAGTACTTATACCTATTGTGAGTCGATGCGTACTAGCGAGTTCGTGGGGCGAAATTCGGGTCGGCAGTTCAGGAGATCGATGAATCTAACTGTTGGGCTTAAACGACGATATAAGATAGGTACCTACCTATCTATCTAGGATAGTCTGGTCGGGCAGCGCTTGGCAGATGTATGAATGGAGAGTGTCCTAGCGTTGTCCTCAACGCCGGTAAGATGTCCTACCCATCCATGATCCTTACCTGGCAAATGTCAGCCAAGCAGGTTTTGGTTCTAGCTGGGCTGTCCGAGGCTCTGGGTGGCTGTTTAGTTTGGCTGATTATGAACCTCCCTTGTGGTCTAGTTGGTAACAGACACAGGGCTTAGCGGCTGCTTAGATCTTGTTGATTGATAGAAGTCTAGATCAATGCTGTAGGCCGGCAGGCACTTGGCCTAGCCCAGTACGATGGTGAGCCAATAGTATTTCATAGCAGCCCAACAACCCCCACGAGATTCGTACACAAACGCACATGGAATAATTACATGCCTACCTAGGTAGGTATGTACTTATGCTGTAACTATATGCCGGGTAGGTTTATTATTATTATAGCTGTAAAGCTGAAACTTAACGTCAGGGAGCGGATACCTATCCTTTCTCATTCAGCTTCCCCTGGATGCTACCGTACCCAAGCCTAATGCCACATGGCAAAGGAGTTTCCCCTCAGCCGCATCCGGAAAATGCGTAGATCAATGGCTTTTTCTTTCTAGATCTATGGTTGAAATAACATGCCAAAATAATCCTTATCCTTGATGGGGAAGAGATTCGCAATGTATGGTAAGCAGAGCGTCGCATCCCCGCGGCGTTATGTGTTATGCATGGCAATCTGACTCAGATAAGTTATTTATTGATTTCCTTTTCTTCGAGAATCTTGCCGAAATGGATCATAGCGCTCTTCTGTTGAATTATCAGGATAATCAGACGCGAGTCCTCATTTTTCCTTTTTTTCTTTTTTCTGAATAAGACATCCAACCCCTTTAATTCAAGAGGCAGCCATCCGGACTGCCGGAAATGCAGCTCAGTGGCATGGGCTACACGTGCTTACGTAGGCGTATGGTATAGTAGGCAACTCCGATATTGTCAAAAAAAAAAAAAGAAAAAAGTGCATTAGTAGTGGGTAATCAATCAGGATCAAGCCATTACAGATCCTCGGAGCAAAAGTTAGATTTGAAAATGACCAAGGCTATGGTTCTAGCGGTTCGTTAGACATGGGAATCACTCTCGCGGACAGATCAGGCTTATCGAATTCGCGGTCAAACGGCCACATCGGACGACCGATCCGCTTATGACCAAGTCTCTGCAAGTCCTGGTCAACTCCGCCGGGCGTAAGACCAAGCATCCAGTCTGAGGCCATGTCGTACAGCTCCGGCTCCAGGTAACCAATTTTCACAATCACTATGTCAGCTGACCGGGGCGCAAGATCGAGTTCTGTGAAGTCGCTCTCGCGGTGGTAAGGCTTACGCAGCTTCGTCAAGATGGCGAAGACGCTGCCGACTTGCAGCACCACTTCGATCTCGGCGTATTGATCGCCGTGTTTGATGGAGTGGACCTTGCCCGTCATGGTGATCGGTCCCGCGTGAATATCGTCCACTTCTGCTCCAGCCGTTACAGTGATAGTTGCCCCAATACCTGCATCAACGGCCCTTTGGACCGCTTCAGGTCCAGGAACACTGGCGTAGATGACCTTGGGACCAGATTCCGATTTGAACTCCGGACGCGCAAGTAGCTGCGTGAGACCCCAGGTCACGTCTCCCGACCCTCCCGCCGTAGGATTATCCCCCGAGTCCGAGATGAAGTACGGCCGCTTATCAGACGCCAGCGCCGTATCGAGACATTCTCGAAACGAACCGGTCGGCGCAACGAACTTGAAATCCTTACGCGCGTCCCAGAACAAGCGCGCCAGCTTCTCGGCACCCCGCACAGCAACGTCCTTGTCCCATCCGGTCACCACGACCACGGCGTGGTTCCGAGGCTCGTCGGCCCACGCATATCCGACCCATATCGCTGCATCGAGAACCCCCTCTTCCGCCTCAACCTCGGGAACAGCGGCGTATATATGCGCCGCCGGCTCATCCCGCGTAGACGTCTGCTCGCCGGGAAGCAGAATCGGGATCGGCACCCACGCCTTAAACGGCCTGCCCCCCGCCTCATCATCACCTGCCCGCCGCCGTTGCAGGGCCTCCACCAGATTCCGACACGCGCGCTCCCTCGTCTCGACGACATCCACGTGCGGCGCCGTGCGGTAGCACGTGATCAAATCCAGCTGGTGCGCCAGCGCGCGCGACACATTGCCGTGCAGGTCCATCGATGCCGATACTAGTACCTCTGGCCCCACGACGTCGCGGCACCGCCGCAGCAGCTCGGACTCGGCGTCGTCGAGGCCGGCGACGCACATGGCGCCGTGGATGTCGAACCAGAGGCCGTCGATTTTTTCCTTTCCCGTTGTGGCGAGGCGCGACATGATCTCGGCGGAGAGGGATTCGAAGGCGTCGAGGGTTACGATGCCGCCCGGCAGGGCGTGTCCGATCAGGGCGCCGTGCCAGGAGGCGGCGGAGCCGAGGGGGGTGGAGGGGTGCAGGAAGGGGTGCTTGGCGAGGATTTCGGAGGTGCCCCGCTGTGGGTGGAAGGCGGGGGCGAGGGTGCGGGAGGGGGTGAAGGTGGAGGTCTCGATGGCGAGGCCGGCTATGGCGATTATGGGACGGTTGGGCATGGTGTACTACATTAACTGCTCGGAGGGTTGTTTTGTTGTAGGTATGTCGCGAGCTCCGACAGACTTCCCAGGCGCATTCATCTATGATAAGGAATCGGCAGGCCCACCTATTTATCTCCCCTATCCACGAATGGGAGGGAGTATTGTCCCCGCTTCCCACTCCCCCTCTCCCGGTAATCTAATGTACCCCCTTATATGCCTAATACAAGTTATAATCCTTTCATCTTGAACTTATCATTTTCTTCGTTGCGGTTACATTCAACTTTAGCAGTTATTTGACGTTTGCCAAGGCAGCGAATCTACGTGCGGTTTCCCGAGGGCAAGTAATAATTCTAAATAGATAGTTGGATTCTTAGGAGAGCGTCCCGAGCATGTAATCTAGAAGTCATAGCAAGCCTTAACAAGTAGCCTTAAAAATACACATTATCTAGGTCCCTATCTGCAATGTTCAGAAAATATTGTCTCGCTCTTAATTCCAGAAGTAGGTACCTAGTACTCATAACTTCGCCTGAAGTTGCAGCTGTTCCCGGGCCGCAGCATTCAGTCTCCTCCACATATTCTTCCTCCTTTCATGGCCGCTCATGAACGTCTCATACCACTTTTTATCAAACGGTGGCAACTGCCTGCCCTTACCCTTCTCACCCACCCCCGCAAGCTTGCGCACTGTTTCGAAGTACTCCTCGAACTCGGGGAAGATAAGCGTGAACTTCGGCCCGTCCCCTCGCTCCGTAATCCTTTCCTCCTCCCACTTCCTCTGCTCCGCCACCGGCGGTAGCGTCGCCCTGCCCGCGAGAAGCCGCGCGGCCAACACGGCCTGCCACTCGAAGATCTTGAACGTCAGCCCGGCGCCCACCGCGCCCACAAATAGCAAACTCGGGTCCTCGACCCACGCGACGTGCTGGTACAAGCCCGGCACGCGGTTGTTGCGGACCTTGACGCTGGGCAGGAACGGCAGCGTCCACGTGTACCCCGTGCCGAAGATGATGCCGTCGACGCTGGCCACCGAGCTGCCGTCGACGAAGTGCACGGTTCCCGTTGCGGCGTCGACTCGCGATATGGATGGGCGCTGGGTGATGAGCGGGTGGTTGAAGGCCTCGACGCCGAAGTAGCCGTTCGCGGTGTGCCCGAGCATGACGGCGTCCACGGGGGTTTGAGTGTTTTGCGCGAGGTCGAAGGCGATGTCGGCGGCTGAGACTGAGGCTCCGACGGTTACTACGCGCTAGAAGTAGAGAAGTTAGTAGAGGCCCTGATAGGTAAGGATGTGATGCTAGGTGGTGGTGCTGGATGTGTAGATATATATACCTTGCCCTTAAACGTTTCTCTGCCCCTGTACTGCTTACTATGGATCACGCTTCCCGGCCTCCTCCTCTCGAACTCTTCCAATCCCTCTATCTGCGGTATATACGGTACGTAGTAATGCCCACTCGCCACCACAACAGCGTCGAACCACTCCACCCACCAGTAGTCTGTCTTCTCGCCCTCTCTCCGCAGCACCACCTTCCACTCCTTGCCAACCTTCTCCACCAGCTCCACCGTAGTGTTATACGACACGAGGTCCTGGTAGCCTTGACGGTTGACAAGGCCCTCGACGTACCGTCGCAGTACGTGCCAGTGCCGGAACGGCGTCTCCGGACCGTGGACGGCGATGGACGCCTCGCTGCGCTCGACCGGGATGGGCTCTTGGGAAAATTGCATGGGCAGCGCGTCGACGTTGGTCTCGAGGTACGGGTATACTGACGAGTCCGTATACCGCGGCTGTGATGGCTTGGGAGCGTAGGCAGGGAGGGTGCGCGGGATTGGTACCGGCTGGTCAGCCGACCGCGCTGCGAGGGAGGTGAACTCGGAGAGGTGCGGAGGTGGAGTTTTGTCGCCGATCCTCAGCACGGGGGTCAGTTCTTCTGCTTAAAGCGAGACAGAAAGCCTTTAAAAAAAAGCTTACCAAGTTCCTCCTGGGCCTTCTCGGCGCTCAAACACCCGTGTGACGTCAAATGCCTTCTCTTGCGCCAGAGCATCTATCGTGATGGCGCCAGCGGGGCCAGCGCCGATAACAGCAACGCGCTTCACGGGTGCCATTGTGGATTCCGCAAACAACAAACAATCTGATCCAATTCACCTCGGCGCACTCAAGAATTACCAAGATGACGAGCTTCCTTTTAGACGCCTGACACTTTCTCTCACGAAGCTCTAGACTCTAGGCAGCTGTGTTTTAATCGTTTCGCGAGCCGTCGGTAAGCAGTGCACAAATGCCGAGGACGTTACTTCGGGGTTTGGAGAGAGGATCGCTGGCCCAATTAAAGATAATCATGTACGGTGTAATGGATGGAAAAAAAAAAACATGCCATCCATCGCATCGAGCCGAAAAAAAGAAAACAAAGCACCACCCCACCTCCCAAGAGGGCGGAAGCGAGACTGGGATAGATAAACCTCTCTGGGGTCCCCTACATACTATTCTACCTGCATTTTACCAAGTGAGCCAATGGGTGGTTTTCCGATAGGGAAGGGAGCCTCAGGGGTTCGTCGGTCTAGGGATGCACGATGAAGTGCTTAGCGTGAATGGCATCATTTGACGCCATCGCAGGTTGCAACTGGAACCTCGCTATCTAACCCTACCTAGTAGTAGATAGGTGACAATTGACCGGCCTTGGATGTTACGATGTAGTTAGTATGTTCGAATGGATGGGATTAAGTCGGGCTTGGGATGGAATGACGAATTAATTGGTTTGCCCAGCTATAAGCGTTATGTGTAAGTTATATGGTCATATATGGTTACCTAGATAGATGCATGGTAGATCGGGGGGCTATTAGTAGGGAATCTATATCACGGTGTTAGACCTTGGCGAAGAGTTCGTGACATCTGCATTTCGTCTTAGGTATTTCGTTCCAGCGCGCGCCACAGTATCAGAAACAACAACATCATGAGCGACAGCAAAGAAGACGAGAAGGCCGGGTTTGGAGATGTATCTCCTGACCAGGGGGTGTCAAGTTTCAATTCAGATGCTCCATGGACACGGCAAGAGGAATTACAGGCACGACACAAGTAAGACGGACATGCAATGCGATGGCTTCTTTCTTTTTCTTTAAAAAAAATGTTCAAGAAGAGTGAAGAAGAGAGAAAACCTCTGCTAACATTATATCTTCAAGGGTTGACTCGTCGGTCCTTCCATTACTCTTCCTCGGCTTGCTGGTCTTCCAACTCGACCGTATGAACCTCGCGAGCGCGCTGACGGGTGGCTTTGCAACCGATATCCGGGTCAACCAAGACACCATCAACCTCGGCAACCAGCTCATGTTCCTGGGGATCGTCGTGCTGGAGATTCCGTCGAATATGCTGTTACAGAAGGTGCTTCCATCTTTTATCAATAAAAACTTGTGCTCACGAGCTTGGGCTAACATCGAGTAGATTGGTCCGCGGAAATGGATCTCCGCTCAAGTATTCGTGTTCGGCCTCATCGCGGTCATGCAGGTGTTTATCAAAGATCGAAAGGGGTTTCTGGCCTCTCGCATGTTCCTGGGGCTTGCCGAGGCAGGAGTAGGTCAACTCTCCCCCGTGCTATCTATTCGTTGAGGCTGTTTTCAAGAAAGGAATTTACCTTCACGGCGACCTCATAGAGAGATGCGGTTCACGTTTATGATTGCTGTCGAGGAATACTGATAAGCGAACACCTATATAGTATATTCCGGGTGCAAACTACACCCTTTCAACATGGTACACGAAACGTGAATTATCCAAGAGGGTGGCAATACTGTTCTTCGGCATGTTTGGCGGCAATGCTCTAAGCCCCTTACTCGCATCGGGAATATTGAAGCTGGATGGCAAGCAGGGAATCAAGGGGTGGCAATGGCTCTTTCTACGTGCGTATCCGAATACATAGTCCTTAACACCCGCTTTTCACTTACTGATGCCATTATAGTGGAAGGCCTTTTCACTATGGTAGTCTCCATCATGCTCTTCCTTCTCCTCCCTGGCTCGCCAGACGTACCCAAGCCCCTCGGAAGCAAAGGCTTCATCCGCTTCTCAGAGAGTGAGCAGGAGGTCCTCCAGAAACGGCTCGAGCTCGATGACAAGGAGAGGCGCCCGGGAGCTCAAGGTATGCATATCCCGCTCAGTGTTGTGTGGAAGACCGTTCGCCATTACCGCCGCTGGCCGCACTATGTATCGACGTTTGCGGTCTTCTCCACCTGGAGTCCGCTAACAACCTATACGCCATCCATTATCATGTAGGTCATTTCCCCTTAGATTATCACCGATTATATGATGTGTACGACCAGATAGCGACTTACAATACCCAGGGCCCTAGGATTCGACCGCATTACAGCCAATGCGCTAGCCGCCGTGGGTGCCTCGCTAGCCTGTGTCGTGGTATTCCTCTTCGCGTATTTCAGCGACTGGACGAACAAGCGCGGCCTGTCGGTGATTTCTGCCCACGCATGCTACCTGATCACCCTCATCGTCGCGCGATCCCTTCATCCGCACGTTGGGAAGTGGTCTCGCTGGGGCCTGTGGACGGCTGTTAACAGCTTCGCTGTCGGTTACCACCCAGTGGCCCTCTCTTGGGTGCAGCTGAACTGTCGGGATCCGCGTGAGAAAAGCATCGCTATTGCGTGAGTACCTACCTAACAGTTATGGAATGCCTCCCCGATGAATGTAGAGGACTCCAGTAACCAATCCATACTAACATGCGTCGTGACAGAATGTGGGTAATGTCTGCGATTACCGGCCTCATGGTAGGGACGCAATACTACCGCGGAGATGATACGCCATTGTACGTTCCTTTGTCCCACATTTAGAAGCTGTTAACCTAAACTAACACGATAAAAAGCTATAGTAACGGGCTACGAACGCAGACTATCGCGGTAGGGATTGGAATGGTATTCGCAATCTTGCAGACGACGATTTACATTATACATAACAAGCGGGTTGCACAGGGGAAGCACACTGTTGCTGAAGGCAAAAGGCCAAGGATATATGTACCTTGAGGTGTGGCTTCGCTATTAGAAGATGGAAAGACGGTATAATAATAACATAATAGCCTATTTAATTTATTCAGGGGTTAGTTGAGCGTATGGTGAGGGTGACTTAAAGGGGAATCTCGTGCGTCCCAAGGCTTCACCACTGCAATTATCCCACAAAGCGTGTCTGCCATATTCCTATCTGGCAATATAACAACGTTACCAGGACCATCTTGTGCTATTTGGTTACCCCTATTCGTTTGGGATGATTATGTGGTTCCTCTTATTAGCTTACCTAGTACCTAGTAGGCCGACTATGGCACCCGTGACGTTGTCATAAGGCAAGATACGGCCATGACATGCCTATAAGACTAGCCAAAGCTAATCTACGTTTATGAGAGAAAATAAGAGGTATTACATCATGGATATATCGGTTACGTTTGCTATTTTCACAGCACAACTAAGATTCATTACATTACATTACCAAGTTCTCTTCAACCTCCAGTAGGTAATTGGTAATAGTACCTGACTGCCGAATATCCGGGCTCTTGAGCCTGGACGCGGTAGCGGCCTCTATTTCTACGGACCTGGGAGTTGATATCGCAATATACATGTCAATTCTATGTCAGATTCATGTTCTTTTTAGGCCAAATTAATAAGGGGGGGGATCTACTATACCCGGTTTAAAAAGCTTGACTCAGAACTATCAAATCACCCATCTAATACGCACTTTCTCGGCAAGAGCCAGCTATGCGAGATATCCACTACTACATATGTATGTGTAGATATATGGCATCATAAGCTTGAGATTCTCATCCAGGGCTACATCTAAGGCTATTGGGTAGAGTTTCGGTTATGCTCCCATGTAATAAGATAAGCTTCCGGGAGTATCCTAGACCAAAGTATGGCAGTGTAGTTATAATATACATGATTACAGGAACGCATAGTGAAGTCATATTCACATGCAGACCTACAGAATATATATATGACTCTAGCCGTGCCCTGTCACATTCAATTCCGGATACATTTAACGATACGTGCATCACAACCAATACTTTGTTTACTGAAAACAACTGCAAACGTACATACACCAACAAGTGGCAACCACCATGGATAAATTGAAGAAAGCAAAGAACGCCCTCACCGGCCAGGCGTACGCGTTCCCACCTCCAATACCATCATCCACCCATACATCCAGACCAGCAGACTAACAGCAACAACAACAACAGCTCGGCCAACCAAAACGCCCAACCCGGCAAGAGCAACAGCACCAAGGACACTCTCATCGACTCTGGTATGTCAAAGCCTTCGAATCTTAAGAGACGCACAGCTTGGATAACAAATAACATGGGAGTCGTATAGGAGTTGATCAGGAAGCTCAGAAGAAAGGCATCCCCAGCGGTGCTGACCCGATGATCAACAACGTCGTGAACGACGCAGTCAATAAGTTTTAGGTTGACGATGGAATGGGGTATAATAGGATTATATTTAAGAGATGCTTGTAATCGGATATCCGTCTAGGTAGCACTGAATATATCACCACTCAATGATCCATCTTTCACGGTGCCCCTGAACCCCTGGACCCTACCTTAAGCTCGGACGAACTACGCATTCCATGATAATGGTATAGGTGCTGTAAAAGCACTTTCAAATTTCAAATTATTGCGTATTAACCTTTCGTAAATCGCTGTCAATAATCATACTTTGCTACGTCGTGATTCACTCAACCCTGTTCCCCTACGGGCTAATAATTACCTAGTAGGTTTTGGATAGGGGCATAGCCTCCTACACTTCCACAGGTTCATGATCCCTTTGGAGTTAGATTTAACCTCAGCAACCCCGACTCCTTTATCACCTCCCACCCGTCCTCTTACCCAACCTCCCATACCCCCACGCCGCAAACCCAACCACCTTAACATCCACGAACCGCCACCCCAGATCCGCGACCCAAACCACCATAACCCAGACCACAGCCGCCGCCATAGCCACCCCTACAAGATAGCGAACCTCCGTGTCCGACCCCGTGAGCCCGAGAAATGCCTTCCCCATCCTGAACCCAAAACTGTGCAGCATGGGCAAGTGCACAAGATAGAGCGGGTACGATATGCGCCCGAGGTACTGCGCAAAACGACACGTGAACGCGCGCTGGAGGAACGGGGCGTGGCCGATTGTCCACACGAGCCAGACCGCTGCGATGGCAGGCCAGAAGTGATCGGGCGACCCAGCCGTTCTCCAGCGCTCGGGGATCAGCGCGGCCAGAGCCCGGTACCCAGGCGTGTCCGCCCCGCCCCTGTCTAGCTTTGGCATGCCCAGGACGTAGAGAGCGCCCAAGAAGGAAAGTAAAGAGGCCGCGTGCTGCAACGCACGGCACTCGAGCACACGTCTCCACCACCGAAGCGCTACTGCGACTATGGCCCGTATCCGCCGGGGCCGTTTGCTTCCCGCCCCGTGGCCCTCGGGTAGTACCAACCCCAACCCTAACCCCAACCCCAACCCCCAATCCTCCCCAGTCTCCGCGGTCGCGAACTGCAAATCCGCCACCAGCATTCCCCCGACAAAGAGAAACTCCGCCCAGTGAGCGAAGCATAGACAGTAGATCGCCACGAGCAAGACCAGCGACAAGCGAGCAGCACTGCGGACGCGCGCCAGCGCCAGCAGCAAGCCGAACACGACGAGCGAGCCGCGGAACTCGACCGGCAGCGTCCAGAGGGCGTTGTTGTAGGCCCAGCCTATGGCGCCGCCGGAAAAGGGGTCGCAGAGCCGCGCGGCCGCGGCGGCAAAGTCGAGGGCCTGCTGCCATGGCGTGGCGCAGCGCGGGGGGTTCTGCGTCGGCACCGCGGCGCCGGGCATGCGGGCGCCGTCTCCGTATGCCCCCGCGTACGCCGCGAGGATGCAGGGGAGACACAGCAGCACGGCCGGGAGGAAGAGGCGCGGGTGGCGGCGGAACGTGGACGAGGCGAGGGCGTCGTACGCCTCGGCGCGGCGGTCCTGGCGCAGGAGGCGCAGGGGCTTGTGGCTGAGGGCGTATCCGGATATGACGAAGAACACCATGACGTTGGGCAGGCCTGATATCGCGAGTCGGACGATGGGGAAGCGGATGAGAGGGTCCCGGAAGCTGGTCCACCCGTTGTGGATGGACCAGGGGAACCAGATGAGCGACATGTGGTGCCAGACTACGAAGAAGGCGGCTACGCCCCTGAGGCCATCTATGTGGGGTCTGTTATTGGGAAGGAATCGTTCGGCAAGGGTAATGTGCGTGCTTACCTAGCCAAGCTGTTCGATGGAGGTCTGCAGGTTTCTCGGTAGGGCTGCTGGGGTGAAGAAAGCTGGGCAAAAGCACCACCAGCTTCTTGAGATGTTTCACCCATGAGAGATGCCTATGGGGTATCTCGACCTCGTGAACCTCGACATACTCGTCAAGTTCAGACGAATCTGCTTCGTCGACTTTTTCTGATAAATCGACTTTATTCTTAAGGGGGCGGTATCCGCCATTTCCTAGTCGTTGTTGGACCCAAACTGAAAGTTTCAACATCTCGAAAACAGTGCCAAAGAAGTAGAGCCGAGTTTAGTAGGTGGAGGATGAGTAAGTAGGAAGATATATCTTAGTGACATACAACTATTACCAGGTGCTGACACGATCCACTGCTGGAAACATGAATGGGATATAGGGGAGGGGTGGATTGTCAACTTCAGATACTCACGCCATCTTCCCGTGCGGACTAAAGACGATATACCATAGCCAGACCCGAGACGCATTAGCCCTCCTGAAGATGAAGATATAAGACTCTGGTATCCCATCCAACCTTAGGTACCCATATGGTAGTAACGGTGTACATGCCATGTCGTACTCAGATCGTCATCTCGCCTTACGACACGGGATCTTCACGATCGGTAACATGAACAGGTGCCGGATTGGACACCCGGTACAAGATGTATCTCAACACAGAGCCCGTTTCAAGCCAGGTACACAACGGCAAGATCAGCCGAAATGTCTAGGTTGATAAAGAGGATAGCCCTCGCACCAGGAGGCATTGTGCCCTGTAACCTACCTACGATGTTTGTGTGCTACGTGCCACTTACATGCTGTTGGATCATGTAGAACTTGATAATGGAGTAAATACTCATGATAACTTCAACTCTTTTAGACAGCTGGCATCTTTAAGATGTAGGTAGGTATACTAGGTACTATACTAGGTATACATACTAGGTACTATGTACTATGTATGTCGGCAGGGGAGTTGGTACCTGAGTACCTACAAACATCAACCCAACATTTCCCATTTACATAAGCGTACCTTCCTTCCATACCTAGGTATCCAACCTCTACTTTTTGTTTGGCAGGAGCCTCGCAAACACAACATCTAACACACGCGCCTGCCTGCCTTCCTAAGCACGCCTTATAAGCGGTAATTAACACACAAACCAGCACAAGGAGACACTCTACCTACATTCACCATCATCGTCCAGAGGTTAGGATGCCAGGTTTTCAACAATCAAAGAGATTTGAATCCCCTGGAGACCGGGGTTCGATCCCCCGTGATGGTATCTTTTTTTTTTCTTTGGCTCTTACAGACAGACTGGAAAGTGTCCAAAACTTACCAGACAGTTAATACCAAACTCCCTATCCCTTCATATTTACTTTAACGCTGTTTATAACAGACTCAATCAGCACAATGTACTATTGACCTAGGTAAGTATTTCGTAACTTACCTATTCATCTGTCCTGTTCATAAATCATACCCACAAATAAAGGCTTCTATCATTTCGTTTTACTGCACTGAGGATCACGTGACTCCCCTGAGCTTATACACTCGCCCTCTCATACACCCTACAGACTACCAAATCCAAAACAAAAACGCATCACCTATATCTGCAGTCCGGTACCATAGATAGCAGCCAAAATTGAGCGATCGGACGACGAAAAATAGCATCATCTCATCAACAATAAGGGGTTATCGCATAATGCCATGTCCCCTCCCCTATTACAAATCACTATAATCCATAGCGTAACTTCGTCTCAATCGTAAAGTCTCAATTCATATACCACAATAAATATATACCTAGTGCCTGTATCCGCACATGATCTTCAGTACTTAGCCAAGCACACTTTGCCTCAAATCATATAGGTCAGTCTAATGTTCAACACGAGGCATGTCATCCAGCATGTGTGAAATGCCTGCCTAAACTTTTCCGGTCCGTACAATAAAGTACCTACTTTTCATTCCCCTCCCCCCCATCTCCCATCTCCCATCTTCCCCTCTCCCTTAAATCTCATTACTAGGATACCCCACCTCCTCACTCGCCAAGAACTCCTCCTTGATACTCCTCAGACTAACGAATCTACTAACAATATTGACGCTCCCCGCCTTATCATTTGTCCCGCTGGCCCTCGCGCCGCCAAACGGCTGCTGGCCCACCACGGCGCCGGTGCTCTTGCAGTTGACGTAGAAGTTACCCGCCGCATTACGGAGGGCGTCCTCGGCTTTGCGGATGGCCGTGCGGTCGCTGGCGAAGACGGAGCCCGTGAGCCCGTACTCGCTCGTCTCGTCGACGAGCTTGCACGTGTCGAGGAACGCGCTGTCGCCCGCTGCGTCGTCGTACACGTATACCGTTAGGATCGGGCCGAATAGCTCCGTCGAGAGCAGCTTGTGCGTCGGGGTGAGCGCCTGGTAGACGGTCGGGTGGATGAAGTAGCCCTTGGAGCTGTCGTACTTGCCGCCGGCGAGGAGCTCAAGCTCCGAGTCGTTCTTGGCGCTGTCGATGACGCCCGACAGCTTCTTGAAGCTGGGCTCGTGGATTACGGGGCCGATGAAGGTCTCGGGTTCCCAGGGAGAGCCGACCTTGAGCTTGTTGGTCTCGCTGACGAGACGCTCCTTGAACTCTGGCCAGATGGACTTGGCCACGTACACGCGACTGGTGGCGCTGCACTTCTGGCCCGAGTACTCGAACGCACCGCGGACCGTGTGGACGACGGCGTTTTGAACATCAGCAGATGGGTGCACAATGTGGAAGTTCTTGCCGCCCGTCTCGCCAACAATGCGCGGGTATCCTCGGTATCTACCCTCGGCGATGCCTTGTCCAATCTGTCCAAACAGCTTACGGAACACAGCGGTGCTGCCGGTATAATGCAGCGCGGCGAACTGCTTGTCCGCCAGCACCGTCTTGGTCACCTCTTCGGGGTTACCAGGTACAAACTGAATCACGTTCTCCGGTAGACCCGACTCGAGCAGGATCTTGTGAAGCAGATGGCCTACGGCAACGGCGGAGTCGGATGGCTTCCATACTACGACATTGCCTAGGAGTGCAGGCAATGCCGCTAGGTTACCACCGATGGCAGTGAAGTTAAAGGGGCTGACGGCGTACACGAAACCCTCGAGAGGTCGGTATTCAGTGCGGTTCCATACGCCGGGGGAGTTGTGGGCGGGCTGTTGAGCGTATAGCTCTTCGGCGTACTGAACGCTGAAGCGGAGAAAGTCACACAGCTCGGCGGCGGCGTCAATCTCGGCTTGCCATGCGTTCTTGCCTTGGCCGAGCATGGTTGTAGCCATGATCTCGTATCGATATTTGGTAGAAATCAGATCTGCTGCCTTCAAGAAGACGGCTGCTCTGTCGGCGAAAGGAAGCGCCTCCCATTCTGGCTTCGCTGCCAGCGCAGCGCTGATGGCTTGCTTGACTTCGGAGGGGCCAGCCAGAGAGTAGTTTGCTATCGCAGTAGCATGATCGGCCGGGTTGTACTGCGTGGATTTATGTGCAGTTTTAACCTAACCAATGGGTAAGTGGTTGAGTATTATCGTGAATAATGGAACTATGCATACCTCCTTTCCTCCTATTACTAGCGGGATTTCTACTGTGCCCTTCTGTTGCTGTTTCTTGACTGTAGCAAGGAGGGCTTCTCTTTGCGCCGAGCCCTTTGCATAGTGGTGCTAGATATTTGCCGTTAGTCTCTCGAAATAATATGAAACGCCTGAAATTTTCAGAAAGCACGCAAATAACTAGACAGCTAGACTTACGTTAGGCTCATTGGAGACTTTTGGTATCTTAAAAGAGGCCAACGTTGCCATCCTGGTGTTTGTCGTGCTCAACATCCTCGCATTTCTCGGTGATCGAAGAGCTGGTAGACATCTTGAGCAGACTCTTGAAGATACACTCGAGCCCTGCTGTAACGCCCTCAAGAGGCCGCGGCTATTGTTGGCAGTCGCCATGTTGAATGTAGGTATGTATAGGGATATGAGTTATAAACGTAAGATCCAATCAACAAAGTGATGCCCGAAGAATCTTGGTATGATGAAAAATTGAAATGGTAGGAAGTATGTAAAGTACCTAGACTGGTAGTTAAGGGAATGGGTATCTTGAAGGTTCGAAAAGACGTGACGAGGTATGTTCAACTGAATTGTGACTGGGTAGAAGTACTACAGTGAATTTAGAAAATCTATGCGACTGAAGTTCAAATAAATGAAGCTTCATCGGCGTTCCAAGGCCGATATTTTACTTTGCAATGATGCTATGCCCTCGCTTTGTCGCGGCATAACTCAAATAACCTCTGCGGGGCAAATCGTTCGAGTTCCAATTGAAAGGATACGACCAATGAAACCCTCCGCATTTGCTGTGGAACAGCCGAATTCGGCATCACCTCTTAGGCCGCCCTCCGTCTCCGACTTGCACTTGACTAAGGCCAGTTTATCGGCACGCCGAACGGTTACCATTGTGCCCCTGGGGCCTGGTCCCCTAGGTATGTATCTAATTAACCCATGCACCTGTTCGATTCCTACGTAATAGTCTTGAACTTTGTGGGGGATTTTCAACTAGACACGAAAGCCATCCTAGGTTAGATCATCACATGGGTGGGAAACAAGGGGAAAAAGTAAGCCTTTGCCATTGAAGGGAACACACTGCTCCTGGGTTTATCGCAGCCGAGTATAGTCTAGGTCAGAGTATTACATGTAAAAAGGGGGAATCAACAAATGCAGTGCGTTCATCCTCTTGGGTATTGTTTTTTCTCCTTCCTTTCCATCTAAGCACGCGCAAATCAAATCTCCATATTCTCATCCTCTCGCCAAGGACGACGAAAATTCACGTCCCCACAAGCACGTTCCATCTTTTACATCTTTTATACCACCACCGATTCTAGACACGCGTTCAAGCGCGCTTATTAGGGCATGGTTGACAAACTAGTTGTCGCTAGCGACTAGCCTCCGGTGCTGAGAGTGGTAACGATGGGGCGGTACTTGGGGCAGTACTCATGTTTCCCACAGTGTCTGGTCTACTTCGGTGATGGCGAAGATGATGGGTGTGCGCATTAGTGCTGAACTTCCCGGGTTCATAGTTCAGAGCTGGAATAGTTAGACCGTACGGCTCAGTCTTGCCGTCTTTATCGTGCTGATCGATCTCAACCCGAATACAAACGTCAAGACTGCCGTCATTATTTTGGCCGTGGGTATCAAAATTAGCCGCCCTGTGTTTCGTGCCCGCGCCATATTCACCTTTAGACAGGAATGAGTGGCCGTCCTTGCCATCAAACTGCGTCTCTGCTGGATTAGCATCTGGGTCTGCATGCCCATTAGAAGGGATATAGTTGTTTGGCGAGTTCTCTGTAAGAATGGCATAATTTCGACTCGGCATAGTGACATTGTTCGATGCTCGCGTTTTGCTAGTGTTGCCGGGATCCTTATCGAATAGAGCCATCAGGGTCTCATCCGTATCGGCGTCAAGATGATGTATCTTGTTGCGGCTCGCCAAGAGATTGGCAATTGCCGCTGGTGGTGGTTTGTTGACGATTGCAGAAGAGACCACGTTAACTATGTAACGATGGTCCTCCTCAACGGGAATATGCAGATTCGGGTTGGAGTAGAAGCGCCCTAAAGCTGCCAAATGGACATCGCCTCCAAGAATGGTTAGCCGAACTGAGAATTCCGAGCAGACGGTTTGAAGACGTTGAATTAGAGCATTTCGCTCCTTCTTGTGGGTTCTAGCTGTGTAATGATCGTCCAAATCATCGAGAAGATCTACACTGCCGTCGAAGTGGTTGAAAACACCACCGCCTATCATATCATTAATAAATCATAATATCCACATTTCTCAAATGTATTACTTACCAAATCCGAATCTTCGGTTCAAAAATTTGACGGGTGCAATCAGCGGGCTGCTGAAAACGTTCTCCAACCAGGTGAGACGCTAATACTGTTAATTGACTGTCATAGTCCAAGGAATTGGGGCACTTTACCGGATAGGCAATTGGAATACCCAATAACAAGATCAAGTGTCGGAAGGGTTGGCCAGCAGCAGCCGCAGCTCCTAGCTCATCTTTCACGCGATTAAAGATGAGATCATAGGTCTCTGGGTAGTTGACTTGATGTCTAGTACGCTCAGTACGCGCATCGATGCCCATAAAGGCAATTCGAGCGCCAAGTTTGCTAAACATGTTCATCGAGTGCTGGGTCACGTATGGACCAGGCTTGCTACCGATGATATAAGATGAATCATAGGTTTGTTGTCGAACAAAAGTGTCGACCAGTTGCTTCGGGTCCTCTGTAGTACCAGGCGCCGACGCCTCAGGGGCATCTGACGTATATGTCGAAGCAGGTGGTGCTAGGTGGTGTTGGAATAACATATAATACTTGTGCGCAGTGCCGCCAATGCCTCGGAAAACATCACACTTCATGAAATCGTTGATATATGATCCAAAGCCATCAATAATATCGTGGTCATCCCATATGTTCAGTTGTGGAATTTGCCCATTCGCGGATGCGAAGGGCTCCATCGAGTACCACCGAATGTAGTTGTTCAGGTAGTAGTCGTCACAAGCTGCTCGTAGACTTTCAGGGAAGGGGAAGTCGCGCCGCTTCTTCGGATTCCCAATATCCGTCCATTCACGCAGAGGCCCGCTTACTCGGATGCCATCATTGTAGATTTGATCTCCACCCCCTATCATAACGTGGAATGGTGCTTGAGCATGATTTCTCATAACGTCATTCCATAATGCTAGTCCACTCCACGCCTCTTCGTCTGTACCAACGCTGAAACCATTGCATGAATGGAACATGATTCGCATCGACTCATTGATAGCAGGAGCGAAGAAGTAGTTCATCTTGTGTTGAGTGGGGCTCTTATAACGCACATCGGCAATGGAGTAGGCCCATTTCGTTTCAGTATCGGCGATATCACAGGCTAAGGGGAATTGCCAAAACGTGTTTCTCGGATCCGAATAGAGGCAAATACCCTCAATGTTGGTGCCATGGCCGTTACCCGTACCACTAGTTTCTGCGCGCTCGAGCTTCAACACCGGGTGAAAGTTCTGTGTCTTGCCACCGCCCTTGGTGACTAGCAAAACACTGCCATACCAAGTCCTGCCATCCATGCGTCGATAATTCAGCAGAGGACCACATACAACTTCTTTCCCATCATCAGCTAGTCCGTCGTGTACGCCATCAGTGTTACCAACAACAATTGGCTGGTAGCTTCCTGCCTCATTGGGGTCATGTTCGCCCTCGACACGCGTGGAGTTTAAGTAGTGAGATAGGTCTTGGGTCTCCGAGATTGAACTATGAGGGTCTCGGGCAACGGCAGCGCGCGCATAGGCAGATGATTCTTGATGCCTCCATCTATTGGCCGAAGCGTAAGGGTTTCGTGGGTCGTCGTCAGGGTGGGCGTGGTGGTTTTCGTTGGCAGCCATGATGCTTTACGTTTCTGCAGTGCCTTTCACTTTTAAGTTTGACTTTACTAGGTTAGGTCCAGGGTTTTTTTTTTCAAGTTGTCTATATTCGAAGAAGGAAAAGTAGGCTCGGAAATATAATTCGCAAGTCGGTGTGACTAGTGGTGCTGGTGTTGGTGCTGGCAAAGTGGGTAGGTTGATGTTCAGGACTAGGAATCACGAACCTGATCTGTCGAGCTCGACACACACAGCTCGAGGAATTTGGAGCGTGACGTGACAAATTGCTGTTGTTCAAACTAAAGCCTACTGTAGGATGTTTCACGATAAGAAGATGATTGAAAAAATTCCAATTCCAATTACGGTTACATGCACCATAAAAGCTTGGAATAAAGAGGCGTTGTGTTGTTCAGACGACGCAACAAGTTTCGAGGGATCAGGGTATATCGTTCTAATATGTACTAAACAAGGCTCCGACGTACGCCAAGAAGGGGAACCCTCGACATAAAATCGTACGAACAGAAGTGGGAAAAAAATAAAAGGGACCAATTCAGGAATCAATATATGGTAATTAACAATTACCTATACCCAAATTCCACCCTTTGCGAACCAAAGAAAACTAGGGATTGTAATAAAACGTAACCTGATGAGCCACAAGTTGGCCAAGGACAAAAAAAAAGGGTGAGATTTGGTAGATGGCAGATGATAGATTGTGAGACAAAAACCAATGTGCCGATTCCGAACAAATAAAAGAAAAAATCATGCTAGTTAACTACTGTACATAGAATTTTGTATTGTACATAACCTAGGAATCTTAATCTCACGATCAGCAGTTTCCCGTTATAGCAATGACGATCCTTCCTTGCCGACCTACCCAGGGTAAGCCGGCCAGTCTTCGAATAAGCTACAACAAGCTACAGCTAGCCTGGCCTTTAAGCATGCAGCTGCCCTAGCGCCGCAGTGTTTCATTGGATCATAGTGGGGCGCGGGACTGTTATACATTGATGACGACTGGTCCAAATATGCCCCGATCGACTAAAATGAGTGGTCAATGCTCTCCATCCCGCCAGCTCATCCTAATTTGACGCTAACATTAAATGTGTCGAGTACTATGCAGTACCTACCCTTTTTAGTATGGGCTTGATATGCTTCATTGCTGACCGCCCAGCCGCCCTGGCAGCTGCCTGGTATGCACAGGGAATGTCGATGCAGGGTACTAATGTACGGCGTAGTACTACCTAGGTACTATCTAACAGGGGAACATTCGAACATTGAAGCCTCCAGTCTCTGTTAAACTTCCAGCTCACCAATGAATCGTAGACACTAATTATATATATCGTTATTGTTAGGCCTCTACACTAACAACACACCATCAAGAGCCAACCCAACTTACCCAACTTACCCAACTAGGAAGACCAAAAGAATACACAATGCGCATTCGTGTATTTTAAGATCAAGTTTCCAAGGTTCTCTGTTGGCCTAAAATGGCTTGCATAACATACTGTACGCAAGTTAATTCCCTAATTAGACCTGTTACTCCAAGAAATGACGTAAGTGCCACCGAGTTGGGACAGCTGCTTCGCGAGTCAAGATACTAAGAGGTATAGGTACTTAATGTATAGGTTTCATGTAGGTTATTAGAACATTGGATCTTTCGGTATTAAGTCTTCATTGTATGTATTGGTCTTCATATTTATGTGTGTTTGTCTTTTGTGCCTATTAGGTACACAAGTTTACTCTATACTATCTAGTATACAGGGTGAATGGAGAGTTACCAAGTATCCAACGAGCAAACATCTTCCTTCATAGATACTTCCAGGTTAGCTCAATACCCAGCAGCTGGTTACAGTGCCTTTTCAGCATCCTTGACTTGTATAGTCTTCTCCAGCACTCCCATGGTTTTCAGTTTTTCGGCCCTTACCCTCGCCTTCTCATCCATGTGCCTCTTAACGAGATCCGCCCCGATCACGCCAGCCACCAAGCCTCCCAAATGTGACGGTATGTCGACACTACGCGCCCTCTTCGAGAAAAGTGGGAAGATATGTAGGCCCAACATCAGGCCGATGAACGCTAAGCCTTGCGGTCCCGACAATGGGTCTGGCGGGTATCCGAACAATTTGAACTCGTCGTACTTATGCAACCAGAAGAACGCAGCAGCGACGCCGTAGATTGCGCCCGACGCACCGAGTGTTGTACAATCCAACGCTTTAGTAAAAACCAGATATGACAGACTAGTCATGAAGCCCAGCACTCCCGATGAAAAGTAGATCGCCAGGAAATTTCCTCTGCCAATGTCGTCGTGGAGCCGAGTACCGAAGAACCAAAACCCCACCATGTTCATAATGGCATGGCTAAACTTCTGGTGCGAAAATATGGCTCCAACCAACTGAAAGGGCCGCGGCGTCGCAGCTACCACGATGAAATACCGGTTAAGGAATTTCCAGAGCATTGGGACTTTCCACAAAAAGTAAACGGACAAGTTGAGTCCGATCAGAGTGAGACAAGTCGCGGCAGCTGGAGGTATATCCGGCCATGCTCTCTGGGATAGCCTTGGGGGCGTATACATAACAGCAAAGATGGCGCATCCGGCGAGAACCAAGACGGTCATGGCCACGGAAGGTAGTAGTCGCTCCCAAGGCTTCAATGGGGGCGGTTCTTTGAGATCGGAAGTCGCGTGGGCAGCCCATTTCTGCATGAAAGGGCTTAACTCCCTAGGCTTATTCACTTGCGTCTGTAGGGTTCCAATATTGTTCTTGGCATCTTCCTCCTCGCGCTTCAACCGCTCTTCCTCTGCCTTTTTCTCCTCAGCTTCGCGCCGTGCGGTATTGCGCGCTCGGATTTTGTCAAATAGACTTTCTCCGTACGGGGAGTCAGACTTGGGCTTTTTCGGAAGCTGGCCGATGGGTACATTCACCTTTTCTACCACGGCGGGGGGTTGTGCTGGTGACTGTGGCGCTGGCCGTTCCGGACTACTCTCTTCGACTGGTTGATCGATGGCTTCCTTTTCTCGTTCTTGTTGCTCTTGTTGCTCCTGCTCCTCGAGATACCTGAGCTCATCCTCGGCCCGTAGGCCAGCATTAACGATCTCGTCTACGGGAATATTGGCACGCAGATATTCCAGGGCTTTTGCTCGGTCGGCATCACTGAACGCATCGGTGTTGACTGAAAGATTCGGGTCATCCAGAGTTCCTGCTACCCGACGACCATGTATTATCCTTAGCAGTCTGTTTCCTCGCTCGGCCTCAAGGTGCGGGCCAAATATCACATTGATTTCCCTTTGGTTCAGATCTTCTCTTCGAAAGGGCAGCCCGGTATCATCTTGGTAAGATTCAGGTAGGTTCACGTAATTTGTGATTGCGCGGAACCGAAATAGTGTTCGAACTTGTATCCTAGGTAAGTGGCTTTCGGTGCGATGCTTTGGCTGAATCCTAGAAGGGCTGTAAGCGCCTAGGCCCCCGTTACTATATTGGAGGCATGGTGGTATGGGAGAATGTCTTGTGGAAAAGGAGCGAGCAGCTGAAGATATCAACGAATTTCCGGACTTGCCCGCGATCGCCCGCAAGCCAAGGCGTAAACTTGACGGCGGGGAGAGTGAGGGGAGAATAGGCATGGTACATCAGTCATAACATCATGCCCACTATGTTTTATTTGAATCGTCTAAGATTCAAATAGCATGGAAATGGAAACAGGCTTGTTAAAGAGACAGATGATTATGTAGATATGAAGATATGTAGATAGGTGACATGGGCAAATTATTTATCGCATGTACAACTTCGAACTTTAATCAAAGATAGTTCAAAGTTCAATCTATTTTGTGTAGGTGGTGAGTAGTGGCAATATACCTACCTAAGGTACTAGGTAGGTTAAGTGCATGTCGTGATGCGACGCTACGTGTTAGTAATACAACCTCGTTATTCGTTCCTGTCACTAATACATAGTAATATACCTCGGCTAGGTAGTTCGAAGCGTTGTAGGAATTCTCATGTAAAAAAAAAGTGTATAAAATAACTTTTAGTCGTAAAGTTTCATCCTCAAGTGATAACCTCGAAATCCACCACTACCTAACGAGCCTTATATCAACAGCCAAGGCACTCAGATACCATACTACCTTCTCTAAGGCAAATGGCTGACTACTAGGTATACGGCCCAAGTTTCTCATATAAACTTCCATTCCCATGCTACATCCAAGTCCAATACCGGACCAGACAACCCCTTACAAAAGTATCTTACCATACACAAACTACCTACAACTCTTCAACGCCTTGCTGTTCCTCGACGGTTGCTACAGGCGAAGCATCAAAATTCCGAATCAAATCGTAATAAAACCGCAGGGCTTCCATGTGCGCATACATATCAATCCGTTCATTGACAGTATGGGCATCAAAAGTGTGTCCTTGGCGCGTAGGTGTCCATCGATAGATATGGCTAGTCAAGTCTAAAGGGGTTAAATGTTAGCATAAATTGACGACTTTGACCAACATAATGGCCAACATAATGGCCAAATAGGTAGGCATCACTTACTCAAGTAATGGCGAGTGTCTGTGTTACCCGTCATCAATTCTCCCACCGGGATGACTTTCCCACCGTCGAAGGCAAAACTATGTTGAATGGTCCCGGAAAACACGTCCCAGACCGGTCCGGATGCAGGTGAGATTGGAGCAACCTTGGTAGTTTGGGAAGACGTGAGCACAAGCGAGCCGTTATATTCCACCTCATACATCGCGTCCACGTCACCATCAAGACTTTCATCTAGCTCAATTTCGGGGTTATTGTTTTCTCCTTTGAACGCGCTGACACTCAGCCCGAATTTCTTCACGATGGGCTTGATTTGCTTAAGGATGTTTGCCTTGACAGCCGGTATCGAATCCTGGGGCGCAATACGATGGTTGACGCCAATCTTGATGTACTCGGGCATGGCGTTGATCTTCACACCGCCAAAAAAGTAGTCAACGGCCTGAGAAGTTTGTATCCGATATTGTGTAGGTCGATCGAGCGTTGCTAACTCCTCGGTCAAAGTCTCCAAGTCTCCCTTGTTTATTAACTTGGTGATATTTGGTGCCGCATCGGGTGAGTATCTTGCCTGACAGACGAAGTGATTATAAATTGGCGAGCCCTTGATGAGCTTAGGTTTCCACGGGTTAGACTCTAGCTGGTTAACAAACTCGGCCATTATGCCGATACCTGTGTGGGGGAATGGGGCCGATGAGTGGCCTCCATTGACAGAAAGCTCCAACCAGATATCGACATGACCCTTCTCCATAACCGCAGGGAGGGCGTCTATAACAAACAGTTAGTATGGGAATTCGGGTAGCTATATAGCATATTACGCACATAGTGTATCATTTCCAAGTGACTCCAGCCCCATCCCTCCTTCGTCGAGAAGCAAGGCCATCGAGTCTGGGCCATACAGTTCTTCGAGGTATTTGCCAATTTCACCGGCTCCTCGGCGACCGGAGCATTCCTCGTCAAATCCAAGGGCGAGAATTATTGTTCGTTTCGGTATCCAAGATTCATGCGATAACAATGTCTCCAAGGCGGACATGAGGGCTGACAGACTGTTCTTATCGTCTGATGCACCTCTGCTCCATAGCCATTGTCCATCGAAATGGGCAGAGAATGGAGGGTATTTCCAGGTTGATACATCAGCCACAGGAACGACATCTTGATGAGCAGTGAGCATGAGTGGCTTTAGCTTGGTGTCCGTCCCCTTGATTGTGTATACTAAACCAAACGTATTCACGGTTTCCCGAGTCATTCGAAGGTGTCTATGAAACGAGATCAATTTAAGGGGTCAGTGGATGGAAGTGGATAAATCTTACAGATTTGGGTACAAGGTCGCAAAGGCTTTCTGTAAATCATAAAAGATTTCCCATCGAGGGTCCTCGCCGGGTTCTCCCTCGTCATCATATGATACAGTAGGGATCTTTACAATGGTACCATGTCTCTTCACCTGGAGCAGTAGAGCTTCGTCACCGGAGAAGATATCCTTAGAAGCGGGTAGTCCGTCTTTCGAAGGGTCTAAAGCTGACGGGATATCACAATTGAAGTGTTCCGCTGATACATCTTGGAGTATCGTTTGAGCTCCATTTTGAGAAATAGATCGAGCTTGAGTAGCCGTAGACCAGGCGGCGGCTACGAGAGCCAAGTTGGGTACGATCATGATACCCAAGATCATATAGTTAGGTGAGTATATATGACACAATCGATAGTCAATAACTCTGATCAGGAGTAAAAGCAGAAAGCAATTTGAAAAGGACTTATTTTTCTTATTTACTTCACTTCATTTCACCTCACTTAAAACAAGCTACTTCAAGCTACTTCAAGCTCCGATGGCAACGAATCGCTACGATAAGTGCTTGTACCGGGAGGAGTAATGTATCCGGAAGGAGATAAGGGGGTATTGTACGTAATACAGAATAGGCTCGATGCCGAGCTACAGGGCCCTTATCGCATCATTTTCACGTAGCTTTGGACAAACAGCCGAACCTTGAAAGTTGCAATTGTTCCAATATGGGCAAGGTGATGGGCAAAGTGGAGAGAGGGAAAGATAGGACGTTCGTCAGGATGATCCGTTTTGGGAAACATTGAGCATTAATGCTTTAAGCTTTCAAGGTTCCTCTTCCGAATATCGGTTTAAGCAGGGTTTGCCCCGCGTGCCCCGCATCGAAAGCTTGAATAAGGAACAAAGATATCAAAGTGGCCCAAGCTTCTTTGAAAATCCCCATAAAAGAATAATTCGTAATAGTTAACTATGGATAACTAGTACCTTGACAGTCTTATCGATAAGCATCTTCAACCCCACCAAAGTACCTAGTACAATATTTCCATCCAGGCAACTTTCACCATTACAAATAATACGACAAGCACTGCAGCTGCAGCAAGCAAGCAAGCAAGCAAACAGCATCCAACCCAAATATAACCTCTGACACCAACAACATAAAACTTAGGCGCCCTCATCAACACCCCCTTACAACCCCTTCACACACACACACACACCCACACCCACCCACCATGTCCTCAGAATCGCAGCCCATAAACCCCGCGCGCTTCGCCTCAGCCCTCCGCGACCTGCCCGCCACCACCCTCGCGCTCAAGATCGCCGAGCTGCGCAACTCCATCGCGCACCTCGACTACTCCAACGCCGAGCTAAAGCCGTTCGCGGAGGGCCGAGCCTCCGCCCTTCCTAATCCCAGCGGCACTAGTGGTGCGGTGGAGCCAGACCAGGACTGCATCGACGCGATCGCCGAGAACGAGGCCGTGATCGCGCGCATGCAGCAGCGCATCGAGCTCATCCGCGCCGAGGTCGAGACGAACCGCGGCTTGGTCTGGAGCGAGTTTATGGGGAAGACGGGAGAGGAGGAGGAGGAGGTGGTGGTGGTGGGGGACGAGCAGGATGAGGCGGCGAGGGTGTTGGCGGAGATGGCGCTGCGGGAGCGGGGTACTAATGGCACTAATGGTACTACCGCGGGGAGCTCGGTGAATGGGGTGAATGGCCATAGCAGTGGTAGTGGGCAGCAGCAGCAGCATCCGGCGTGGCAAGACGGGACGTTCCAGACCGGGACGATCAACGGAGCCGGAGGTTTGTCGGACGAGGAGCTGTTGAGGCAGTTGCTGGGCCGGATGCCGCCCGAGAACGATGATACTGATGATCCGGAGGGCGGCATGCATCTATGACCTACCTACCTACCTATCTACCTGGCCTTGACAAGGAGAGGGGAGCACCGATACAAGCTTAATTTATTTGATGCTATAATGATGGCGAGATGTTTAGGGGGGGAGAAGTGCGCGTGAACGAACTTCATTTTGCGCTCAAAAAAAACAAGCAGGCAAGCGGCAACGGCGTTACGGGAAAAGGGACATGTTTACTATCTAGGTATGTAAGGAAAAGCCCACGGGTGGGATTGCAAAATCGGCAGGAGCTGTATTGTATTTTTGCGGAATTATTCTAAATGAACGAATGGCACGGTCATAGAAAGATATCATACTTTAAGAGTTGCTATGCACGACGCAAGCCTTTGGAGACATAATCTAGTGGCTTTGAGAAGACAGCTGGCTGAGGACACGTTTTGTGTGATATTCAAGTACGAGGTTGCGTAATAATCATGATTATTCACAGGTCATATCAATTTTACCTACCTATCTACGGAGGCACCTACTTTATCACTTATGAACAGCGTTCGGAATAGCGACATGAAATACTTCCACATGGTAGACCACACCAAGCCTAGGACTACACTTCAGGTTTACAACAAGACAACAGATGCGAGAACCAACATTATACTGCAAGAAGTTTCGTACATTCAAGTATACCCAGTAGGTACCTATCTGGGCATATAGTTGAAGTCCTAACCTCTGCTACCCTACTTATGTAGCTACCTATATAGTATTCCTACATATAGGTATCGAGCTATGTATGTTGACCTGTACTTCGTATGCACTTTTACCAACGCATCCATAACACCTTAACCGCAACACCTCGCCAAATCATAGAATAACTTCATGAATGAAGAAGGGGGTAAAAATAAATAAAAGTCAATTGTATACACATATAGAGAATCGAATCGCAATCCATGACCTTCAATAATAAGTTGAAAGCCTTAAAAAAATAAAATAAGAGGGACTTTTCCCCCATCTCCTTTCCTTAGCAGATGCAGATGAACCAGATGAGCTTTTTTTGATTGAATTGCAAATGCATCGCCGATAAACGCCAGTACGATACGAAGTCGTGACTCAAATGCTCTCCCTGTCATGCAGCCCACGTGATAGATAGATAGTTTAGCCTAAAGACCTCCTCTGCTTTGTCAACCAGCAGTTACAATTTACAGGTTGAAAGCCTTCTTAGCAGCGGTCCAGTATCCGAGTCTCTTCGGGTTGACATCTTGGATACCGACACAGGCCATGTAAGCGAGGAAGCTCTCGTCGCTGGCGCTCTTGAGGCCCTCCACGACATCAGGTTTGCATTGGGTGGTCAGATACCAGGGGCCGCTGCCGAAGTTGTATTTGTCATCGATGACAAGATGGAGAATCTCGTTCTTCTTGTCGTCGGTCGCAGTGGCCTCGGTAACACCCGCAACGTGACCTTTAAGTTCCTCGATGGACTGCGCGTATTTGAGATTGGAGGGGAACTGTTGCATGTTCGAGGTGCCTTGGCCCGGGTTCTTGGATAGATTGATCTTGTTCTGGTACTCGAGGGATTCGTAGGCTGTAAGGGCGAGTACAGCAGCGATTTGGCCTGCGCTTGAGAGGCCATACTGGTTCATGGCTTGAGCGAGGAGAGGTCCAGCCTGCTCTGCAGTGCGGCATTCATCCGTATTAGCGCAGGATGCAGACAGGGGCGCGATCTCGGCGACGATCTGTGCTGACGTCTTGACATCGTCTCGGGCCTGGAGGGGAGCGGCCAAGGCTTGGCCAGCTAGAAGGAGGCTAGCGCCGGTAGCTGCGTAGAACCTCATATTTACTTGTTGATGATGAAGAGAGAGACTAGCTCTAAGAGTTTTTGTTTCGTTTGGTTGATGGTGCAAAAAGCGATAAATTGTAAATGTGATCAGAAAATAGTAACTGATCAACGAGTCTTTTTCACTCTTTTTCACTTCGTGAAAAATGATTGTTGGGCTTCAGGCAGCTATTTAAATTGAGGCTAAGTCAATTTGTATGTGTTGTTCAGCTGTCGTCGGTTTATTGGCTTCGCCCTGTAAATGGATAATACCTTTGTGCTTATTTGTGAAAATAGAATGCAGAGAAAGAACCGCCAAGGGTTTGATATTTAAAGAAAGTAATTGTTCTGGAGAAAAGGATGGCTAAGTTTCCACAAGGGAATTAGTAGCAAAGAAAGAAAGAGAGTGAATGGTTGTTGTTGCACGTCACGAATCAAAAAAAGGAGGGAAAAGGTCAGGATAAGGGAATGGAATCTATGAATGGCTGGGCGGGGACAAGTCCAAGATATATCACGGAAGAACAAGCATTGGGGAACAAAGGAACATTGAATATTGTAGATCTCATCACGTACTGTGTGCTTACTGGCTCTCTTTTTTCTTCCTTTTTCATACATATGTTCATACATATGTAGGCAGTTCCCTTAATTATGTTGGTACCTTAGGTAGGTAGTGAATACATGACGGTCAAAGAACCTGCCCGTTCAAGCACATCATGTACCCCTGAATTCCGAACAATTCGTTGTGGAGGACCGCTTTGAACCTATCATGCCAATCATGCCGTCTGATGTTGACTGGGTAGTGCATACGGAGAGGCTAGAGCGACAGAGCAGCAGTGATGTGCGGCTGTGACAGGGTACATATGTAGACTCAGGGGCGAAAGAGGGAACCAATTACTAGTTGAGAAGTTCTTACGAACTTGTGGTCTAAAACAAACGGGCTGAATTGGTGCAATGTTTCAAAGCCGACGACTCAAACCGATTGGCTACAAGCAGCTGCTGTACGACCAAATATGGAAGCCTGGTCGGTGACCAAGATTGTTGGAAGTAGGAAGTGACTGTAGAAGTAGTAGAAGTCACAGATATCACAAATGCAACGTTAAAATGTCCTCAAAGTGAGTACCAACAAATATCTGGAATGGCTTCAATGTTGTGATCTATCTAGATACCCAGGCACCTTCGAATAGATAGATCTTTACTGGACTAGTTTGTGACGTATGTAGTAATAGATAGGTACATAGTAGCACTAGTAAGATAGATTTTTAAGGGATCAAAATTAATTAAGGGCTGTGTCAAAAAAGCAAAGTTCAAGGTTTAAGGAAGACCTGTGCCACCCGGAAGTACAACTTGAGCTTCAATGTGCCTGATGTGGAGATGCATTTGGTGGATATTGTACAGTAGGCAACTGCTGCGGCCCTGTGGGACTTGCACATGCGGTTATGAAATAATGCAAATGCCTAAAATTACTCTAACTATCTTGATTTGTTAGATCTCGTATTGAAACTAGATCAGATAAAGTACTAGTTACTACACTACACTAGTAGTAAGAATGTGGGTAAGGGACTCGGACTATAAGTGGAGAATGAGAACTAACTACCTAGCCACAATAACTAATCGATGATTACTTCACTCAGATGTGGCTCAGCATTCTTTTTTCCCAGGCCCACTGCCACAACTGCCACACTGCACCCAGCATCTTCAAGGTCGTATCACGTTAAGCAGTAATTTCTATGGTCCAAAGCTTCAAGCTACGGTACCACCAAGAGAAGAGCTGCCCAACCTTACAGCCGCAACCAAAGCTGAATGCTTCGCTTCCTTCGGCCACAGTTATAATCGGTTGCACATTGAACAACGTCGAACCATCGACATCCTTATTACAAGCTAGCGCAAAGCTTCATATCCAACCGCTTTGCAACCCGTCAAGATGTCGAACCTCGGGAGTTATATCAATAGTGAGTCGCACTATATTCACAACCTTTTCTTATTCTTCCCTCCTTCCTTATTCTCTCTCTCTCTCTCTCTCTCTCTCTCTCTTTATTCGCATTAATCACTAGCCTTTCGCCATGGGCAAAGCTCACAGCGCAATCCATCTGACAGCCTCGTAGAAAAGGTGCTGATAATCACGGCCGACTCGCGAACCTTGGTGGGAAACCTGTTAAGTTGCGACCAGATGACCAACTTGGTAAGACCGAATGAATCCTCAATCACTCTCATCCCACGCTCGAAACATCCCAGCTGACTAATTATCTGTCTATCTAGGTTCTGGCACAGGCAGTCGAACGCGTTATTCGAACAACCGATGACCCGGAGCCCTCGACGGAAGTCCCACTTGGCCTGTACCTTGTGCGAGGCGACAACGTTTGCGTGGTAGGCCTGGTGGACGAGCCGCTCGACGAGAGCATCAACTGGCAAGAGGTGAAGGGTTCGGCAATTGGAGGAATAAAGCACGTATAAACAAACGACTGGGATCCCAATGGACAGCTAGGTCTAGAAAATTAATTGAGGGTTGGTACAAACGGCGTTTGAGGGCGTGGGTGGGATATTATTTGCATTTGCATAAAGGGGAGAAAATATCCCAAAGGCTTTCTTCATATAGGGTATGCTTTTGCCTTGATGATACCACGTTTGCATTCTTGCTGACACCTATATTGTCCTCCTCTTCGCCTCATATCTACCATCTATATATGATACATGTGATCATCTCCTTCTACTTCTTAAACACCCCCTTATCCGAATAAACGCTCCATAAGCAACGGCGCAAACGCCATTTCACCTGGGCTGCTTACTAGTCTATTTATTCTGTTGCCCCTCTTCAAGCTCAACCAGCCATCATGGTCTCCTGGAACCTCAGAAGTAGTGATACCATCGGGCCGGGTTCGACCACGACGATCCGAGACATGCATTCCATGGGTCCATTGTCCCGAAGTCTCGATTCGAATGTCCTCTGGTGCACCCTTGGCTAGCTTCCAGGCCGGATCCGATTGCGAGAGCATGTACCAGATGGTCAATGGGTCGTGGAGGGACAATCCTGGCTCCACCTCGTTACCAATCATCGAGACGATTTGGCGGAAGATGCCACCCATGAAAGTGTTGACCCATGTACCCAGGGGGCTGCCCGCCGAGAGCTGCGGCTCAATCGTCTCTAGGAAGTAGCCCATGTTCAGGAGGTGGGGCGTGGTTATGTCAAGTGGAAATAACCTCAAGTCCAGTTGCTTAGAGAGCTTCTCTGGGTACGGTGGCAGGGTTCCCTTTTCCTTGGGCACGGGAGGCATGGTTGAGGCTGGTGTTGGCGACGTCAAGGCAAACACACGAGCAGTAGCGACCGCATCGGCATAGGTGTTGAATTCGGCAACCGGGGTAACATTACCCTCACATTCTACAGCTCCACCCATTACAGCCACTTCCTTTACTCTAAGGAAGGTTTCGGGGTCCTCCGAAGCGGCTAATGCCAGGTTTGTCAATGGACCAACGGCACAGATCGAGATTGTGTCGGCTGGCTCCTCCCTCAAGATTCGGAGTATCTCTCGGTGGGCCGGTGTTTTCGACGGCTTGAAGTACTGGAGATAAGGGTGTTCCTGTTCTTCGGCCCCGTTTGGAAGCCCTTCCTTGAACAGGGCTTTCCAGGTGTCGGCCGGTGATAAATGAGGGTGCTGCGAGTCCATGTTAGCCAACTCTGATTTTCAGTAGGTGAGGACTTTCCAATTTACCGCTTCGTGAACGCCATGCAAACCATCGGAACCATCTGTTGAAGGATATTTCGTCAGTTACGGTACAACAAATCAATAGTACACGAACAGGCCCGGGATAACGTACGGAAATTATCTGCCATTAGGAATTCTTCCTCTAGAGCATGCTCGGGGCCGACAGCCACGATCGGTTTATACGTTCGCAAAGCCTCGAACCCTAGTGGTTTCCCTTGGGACTTACGCCACTCCATCTCGTGATACAGGACTTTGAACATGCCAACCACGTTTCGAAGGCAGCTATCCAAAGCTACATTACCGTATGTTACCGAGATTAGCACCACCTCTAGCTCTTCGGGCGAGGAAGCTAGAGCCAATAGTATGGCCATGACATCGTCGGCGCCTATGATGTCACGTTATCAGCAGTAAGACTAGAAGCTAAGTCTTATCTTCTCTCTTTACTTACCTGGATCGGTGTCTATAATGATCTTTCTGGGAGCCATGATTGCAAGACTAAAGTACCTATGGGTACTTGGAAAATCGGGTAATAATATAAGAGTAAGGTATATTATAGTATATTGGCCTAGCGTAAGATTGTTGTAGTTGTTGAATTTGGAGGAGGAAGCGCTAGAATAGATAGTAGATATTTATTAGATCGATAAGGTTGCGGCTCTAAAATACCTACAAGGCTCACTATACGTTGTAGTGACTGTACCTACCTAGCCAACGTTGGGTAACAATTCAATTCAATAAGGAAGGCGGCGTGGCAGCGGGTTCGTGCCGCCGGTCACCTGCGAGAACCGATCCCACTGTATCCATGTTAGACTCCGGCTACCGGAATACATAGTACATACTACATAGTGATTTGTGCTTTGTACTAGTCACACCCCGCATCATTGGGGTCACCCCTTTTTTTCATGGAGAACATGACAATGGAATCATTGGATTCGTTGCTCATTGGGAACGATAATATGTACCTATGTTTGTCGCAATTATTTATATGTACCTGTTACCTTACCGATTCACGTTTGTTGAACAGATATCGATTGTCGCTCCATTAATGCCCATATTTACTCTACAAATGTTTAAAAGCATGATGCTTCAAATATCATACTTAGCAGCTGCTTAGTGTAGGTAGTAGGTACATAGGTAGATATTGTCCGTGGATTACTAGGTATTATTATGTATGTAGGCAACTAGATAATGTTCTATCTAAGCCCAGGTGCGTTAGCGAAATCCAAGCTTAATGGTGGCTAATTAATTCAGGGGAATCCAAGCAATCATATAATATGCATCAAAGTTAACAGCATTCGTCTTATGTGTTGACAGTGAACTGTCCGTGATGATACCCAACAAAATGCCTATGAATCTTGGTTGAAGATCTAGGATCTGCACAAGATATGTGAGGGGTAACAACTTTCATAGTAATAACCAAGCTTATAAGTTATAACTGGCGAATTGCTCCAGGCACAACTTCACGGGAGTTTTTAAACCAACCGAAACATCCATTGCTTAGCTGAACATGATATGCTGCCACTGTTAACCCCTTTATAAATCTGGGCGTAAAGTATGTTTGTTTCTTAACATTGAACTAAGGGAGTAAATTTCAGAATTGTCATTAATCTTTTTTTGCAATTCGGTCAAAGAAAAAAGGGGGTTGGTGTTTTTAAAAGGTTACTCACCTTATAATGTATGTACCTAAAAGGTAATATAATAAGACTCTTGTTATGAGGGTGAACTGAACTGCACATTAAAAGGCCCCACCGTACTTACACTGTATTTGAGACTATTGAACAACTTGCACAACCCTTGTACGACCTTGGCAAGTATTCTTAGGGGGATTTCTAGGCCTGGCAGACGGCCGCAGACCAGCATTGACCCCTTTAAGCGGATAACCTTCTACTTCTAGAACGCAAACTCTTAGCGCCGATTGGTTCATTATTGTTAATGACAGCACAACCTTATCCCAATCCAATTCCCTTACACGCGGCGACCACCTTACATATTACATATCTGTCCATGTCCATCCATCCCATTGAACATTAAACATTGAACATTCACTGCCCACTTACACTCCAGTGAACCACACAGAAGGAGTAAAAAAAAAAAAGCCACAGTGGTCAAACTACATATACTCACATTCACTTTGTTCCCTCTTTTTTTTATTTTCCCTCAGTTTCCATACGTTAATAAATCTGAACGTCTTTTTACAATAAAATAAGGATATGTATTGAGACCCGGCCTACCTTTTTATTTTATTCAGGACAAGTTGCCACAACGCCCGGTTCACCTCCGAGTGGCATCGCCATCGCCATCACCTATCGCCAACTCTTTTGGTCTCGGTTATAGTTGTCCACACTCATTCTCATTCGTATTGACACTGTACAATACGGTGAGCATTCAAGGTACCTGTCAGTTTCCAGCATAACCGGTATACGACCTTCCGTCACTGGTTTAGCTTCTCCGAGCTCTTCGTAAGCCTCAATATTACAAAGGCGCCATCTTTTCGAAACATCTTGTGTTGCCATTCCCTCTCTTCATCCTGCCAAATCATTGAACCCCATCGGCAAACCTTCACTACGCGCGACACACCAATTTCAACTTCCGAAACATGGATACCCATTCGACTGTCACCACTATTGGTGGGTGGGCGATCATTCTGGGTATCAGCGGAATTATCTGGTATCGCAGTCAACTAAAGAAGAAGACTACTCCTCCAATCCGTCGCGGCTCTTTTACTAGACAATCCGCGAAACCCGCCGATCTTGGCTCAGGAAATGATAGTAAGAAGAAGCTAGAAAAGGCCGCGAAGCCAAAACCCAAGCCGAAGGCCCCCGCAGCTTCGGATGAAGTTGTGCCACCAAGCGTCAACTACAATCGAGAAGTAGATGAGGCAGCCGACAAGAAGGCCGATCGAGAGTTCGCGCGTCAACTGGCCAATGCCCACGCTGGAACCCAGCTCAGCGCCAAGAAGTCGGATGAAAAGCGACAAAAGTCCATCAAGCAATCCAAGGCGCAAGAGCTACCTGGCGGAACCTCGGTTCCCTCCTCTCACGCTGGCGATGCCGACGATGACTTGTCCTCCCAGGCCTCCCCTGTTGTTGCTGCTGTAAATGGCCACGATGTATCCGACATGCTCGAAGCAACACCCTCCGGCCCGTCTGTTCTCCGCCTTACCGATGTTGACTCTGTTAAGAAGCCCAAGGAGCGAAAGACTAAGGCACCCGAAGTCGTCGAGTCGAAGAAGCAGCGCCAGAACCGAAAGAAGGCGGAGGCTGCCAAGGCTGCCCGTGAGGAGGATGAGAAAGAGCGCAAAGTAAAGATGGAACAACAACGACGGGCTGCCCGTATCGCTGAAGGACGAGCTGCCAAGGACGGCTCTGCCTCCGTAGCCAATGCCTCAAATGCCTGGAATGGCAAGTCTACCAACGGAACCAATGGTACCAATGGTGGCGACATTATCCAACCTTTGGACACCCGTGAGCAGCAACCCAAGGTGGAATCCGCAAAGCCAAAGAATACTGGTGCTACCCAAACCACCAAGGGCAAGTCGGATCCTTGGTTGTCTAGCATGCCGTCAGAGGAAGAGCAGATGGAGATGCTCCGACAAGAGGACTCGTGGAATGAGGTCAAGACGAAGAAGAAGGGCAAGAAGAATCATACTCCTGTCGAGACATCAGCCCCTGCCACCAACGGTGGTAGCACACCGACCGTTAAGCCTTCAGCTGCGGTCAATGGTACCAAGAAACCCATCCTGACCAGCAATAACTCGTCCTTTGCTGCTCTCACCCCAGAAGAGACAGATGACAATGAGGAAGAAGAGCAAGAGTGGGATGTATGATCAGTCGAGATGTTAAGCCCAAGGACGCTTTGAAGTGTTCATTTTGCTTCGTTATACATTTTTTCGTCCGTTAATACTGCTTATCACCAACCTCGAACACCCGCCATCAACTCTCGCAAACTCGTTTCCCTTTCAACGGTCGTTCTCACTGTTGTACAATACTCACACTTTATCGTTTCGATTCACTTGATGGGCATGGACACTAAGCTTCTTTACTTTTATCTTTGACAAAAAAAAAGGGGCTCGGGCTTGGATCGGGCAAAGGAGCGGTGGGGGGGAAGGGCCTCTTTTTTGAAGCTGGACGCCCGGGCTGATGTAGATCGGTCCAAACCCCCCCTGCTCTGAATGTGTGCGTCTTATGTTTTTTCTACAGGCTGGAGTTAGCTGAATCTCCACGCGGACAACAAGATGATATTTCCTCCTTATTACAACGAACGATGAAAAAATAATGCTTTGTGTTTGGGAAATATATTGTTGCTTCGTGTGTTTTGCGTTCGCTGTCCAAGGACGGGGCAATGAGCGCCTCTTTTTTTGTAGTGGTTAGTTTGCTATGAAGTCTGAGTAGCTCGATGAATGCACATATTTTCTTTTTTTTTCTTCACTCCCCGTTATTAGTCCAGTTCTCCTGTTGCCTGTGCTACCTTTTTTCTATTGGTGTAATGAGATACATAAGACGAATTGCTTATCGAAATACGTGAGAGGTATAATGTCGCCGTTAATGATAATTAAGGGATTCGGGTGGCTTTGGGTCATGGATAGTATAGGCAGTAGGTGCTTACCTACTAGGGTAAGCATCTATTACTTGAGATACTACTATAATAATGATCGAACATGAAACCTATTTGCAAGTTTGATGCTGTCGCTGAATATGTGGCTTGGGCCTTGTGTGCATGCCTACTTGCCTACCTGGGTAAGTACTAGAACCTAGTCATGTAGTGAAGACCAACTCACGCACTTATGTAGCAATGGAAAGCCTAGGTAGAAGGCTCGGTTTAAGATCAATGTCTTGCTCACTCAGATAGTTACCTGAGTACTGTTTTATACGAGACGTGGGAAAGACCTCGATCTCCTGCTTAGTGCTACTCACTGTTCCACTCGACAGATCTGATGTCGAATGAAAAGCCATTACTCCTCTCCTTTTCCCTCCCTTGAAGAGAAGTGGTAAAGAGCTCTCTGGTTCCCACGTTCGCCAGGTCACGTAACTAGGCAAGTATACCGATAGCCTAACCTAGTCGACTAAGAAGTTGTCCTATGGTGGCACATATAGGTTACCTTCTTGACTATTCCAAGATCCCGCCTCCCCATAGCAAACATCAGATGCCAATAATACGGCATTTCTGCTTTCGTTTACTTACATGTAGGGCAAGGGCTGGACAAGTGGTGGTTCGCTCGTAAAGAAGAGTTCCCTTCACGTGCTAAGCCGCCTTGTAAGTTGTTCGAGCGATGTTCGGCCATCGGTGAGCGTACCTATATGTAGGGCATCTGATTTACCTGAGATGTTATACATACATATGTGTTAGTTTGATGCGAGCTACAGATCATTTTAAGGGGTAGGTAGATGAGTATTATTTGACGTCGAAACTATCATATACAATCAAAAGGTAGTTTAAGGGTTGTCTGTCACCCAGGATTCACAACTCGAACATGTTAAGACGGTTGATATTAGTGACTAGGTACCTAATCTTAGTCAGATGAATATTCTGGAACCGGGTAATACCATTTTATTTTTATTTTTGGTGATACGTGTCAGTACCTGGGATCATAGCCAAAGTTGGTGACTCGAAATCTGGATTGGTGTGACTTATATATATATCTCTCTGCTCCGCGATCCGATGCACCGGGCCATGTTTGGTAAGTTGCTGTTGATGCAATTGGAGGGGATAGGCTTCGCCTTTGCATCGGAGGCGAAGTTCCTAGATCACGAAAAGTTCTGACGTATAATATCGTAACATGGGTCAATTGTGGAATTATCTACTATGTATCATGGCTGTGTTCTAATATGTGTCTATGTAGGGAAGTTGGGTGCCTACATAGGTATCTGTTGAGCTATCACAGCTAAGCCACTTCGTGAATTTTATACGTGTGAGTTGCGGATAGGTGAGAGTTTGAATCTATCCATACCTACTTACTCATACACTCATACACTCATATCATAATATTTAATATGGGAAAAAAAAAAGAAAAAAAAAAAAAAGGAAACACGAGGCAATTAAAATGAAGAAGTCATGATGAGAGAATTCCAAGTTCTTGATTGTTAATAAACTGCACATGGCATGCATTATGCAGTGCATTCGGATACATCTGGAGATATGCATGCATGCAGTGTCCCTTTGGAGCAGGTACTTGTAGGTTAGCTGGGGATTCGTGCGGGGCCAAAGGGGGATTAAGGTACATAATACTATGTACATATAGCAGATATGCATACATAATCCATTTGAAGCCCAGAGCACAGGGCAATAGGGGGTTCGAGCTAAAGCTAAGCAAGGGTAAAACGTGACATTGCGTAGGAGGTGATTATCCAAATTCCAATTCGAGGGTGCAGGAAGAGAGGGGAGGGGCTCCAGAAGCTCCAAAAAATCTCCAAAAGCCTGGGCCTCATTGAAAGACCCAAACGAATGAGGCGAGCCATTGATAGTTACATCTGGCGTAAATGAACGTGCCACGACAGTGGATCGCTTGTGTATCCGGTACTACACTAGGTACATAATACATTACTTAAATAAGTTAGTGGGGCTACGGAGAACAAATCAGATGATGGTTCCTCTAATCTACGATTACCTAAGGCAACTATGTTGTGTGTGTATGTACATAGTTAGGTACTAGTTAGAGTTCAGGCGTTGTTAAAACGGAAGGGACGGATTCTAGGCGGATTCTAGGTACATTATTAGTACCTAGTAGTCGAAGACTCGAAGTCAGACCCCAAGTCTTAGGTACCCAGGTACTATGAAACAACGAGTGATGTTAAGCAAACCCCCCCATGCTCCGCGGCTAGCCACAATTGGTTCGTCCCCCCAATGTAAGATGCAGGGAATACATGCAATTACCTGCAAATCCATGCGCTGCGTGGGACTGCTACAACCCATCAAACCCAATTCCCCAATTCCTAGACTCCCTAGGTAACGCAAACCACTGCAGCTTTACGCAGTAGATGCAGTATTGGAAGTTTATTTGGTTTGACTTGTCCGATTACTCTCCACTCGCTCATCTCAACTCACTCGTTACAATCTAGTCAACTGTTTTCCCTTTTGTCGACTATTCCCATCTGACTGGTTTAACTGGTTTTGCTGGTTTGCTGGTTTACTGCTGGCTTGCTGGTCGTTGTTTCAAACTTTCAAGTCGTCATCTTTCTTAGGTTGTTGCAAAAAATCAGACCACACTTCTCTTCTCTACGTCTTCTTCTTCTTCCTTCTTCTTCTTACTCTTCTCGAACCTTCAATTCCAACAGGGGCAAATTATTATATTGCATTATTCATGATAACTTCACTTTAAATCCAGCACGGACAACATATCTTCCTTTGCCCTACCAAATCTTACCGTACCATACCTCTCTCTACTCTACTACCTAACTCCTTACCACCTGACCACACATCTCTTTGCTTTCATTATATTTTCTTTTCTACCTTCGTTCCCAGGACAACTTTTCTATAGCACTTGTTAGATACGCAGTCTATAGTATTCCTTTTTCTCTATAGCATAGAATCATATTTCAAATTCCTCGTGGATTGTACCGCGTATTGACGTTCGACGACTCCTTCCTCTCTTTTCTACCGACAACCCCCCTCTCGGCTTGGCTTACCGAAGACGAACTAGGATCTGTGGGAATTAACTTTCTCACGTGTAGAATTCGACTTATTCGTCTTGTATTGTTTGCTTGGCTAAACTCAAACCTACGTCGTACGAACCAAGAATTGCCTCGTCGTGCACGATTCGGTAGTATCCCGCCGAAACCTTTCTCCGTAAGATAACCCGCGACATATATCGACGAAGAGCGTATTGCCAATGCGGTTGTTTGCTAGGATATTATCTTCGTCTTCAACCTAGGCCGTGATAGGCATTGCTAAAGCTTTACGCTTATCATGTCGCTTGGTGTTGCTTTCCAGTCTGCTGTGTTTTACGTTGTATCTTGTGCACCATGTCTTCAGGCAAGGCACCACCAACAATCCAAGGCGAAGGCCAAAAAGGAGCGTGAGGAGAAAGCCCGTATACAAGCCGAGAATCCTGGGACGTACCAGCACCCGGATCCATTCAACACAAATCCATACTGGTCCGAGGAGATTATGATGGGCCCCCGGATGGAGCCTAAAAATAAAAAGCACAAGACCACAAGCCAAAAACGCTTACACAGTTCAGGCAAAGAAAGCACGAGTGCCGGAAGCAGTACCATGGTCAATAGCATGAGTCCAGGCAGCAGCCATAATACGGTTGTGGCGGACATGGGAGACGTGGCAGATGATGGTAAACTGAGCTTTTCGCCCTCGCTATCAGACGATTGGAATCGGAGACGCTATCAAAGAGAAGACGAAGAGCTGTGGGGCAACAACCGTACAGGTCATAAGTTGATGGACGCAATTAAGCAGGCGGGATCATCGGCTGGTCGATTACTCGAAGCAAGTTTGGGGAAGGAACCAAAACAGGTTACTCCAGAAGAAAGGCATGACTTTTATTTCGCACCTCGGAACCCTCCTGTCAACGAATATCACCCTCCGATTGTACGACAGAAGCCCGCCCACAGAGATGCCAACAAATGGATGTTGCAGCCACCACCGGCTGCAAAGATTATGGAAGGAAAGGTGCCAGTTAGTAGGAGTGGAAGTATGGCGAGTCACGTAAGCCGTAGGACAGCAACAAGTGACGGTACCAACTTGGGCCGACTGGTTCACGAGAGGACGGTGGAAGCTAAACTTAGGAATGGCGAGTCGCCGGCTTTCTTTGACTCGACGACGACATTACATAAAACCATCACCAGGAAAAATACCGTCTCAAGCCGAAAACACCGCCTTTCAAGAAGTAGAAGTCTATCGATAGGTTCGGAAGCCTCAGACGCACCCCGAAGGCGTAGAAGCCATCGAGCGAGGCAGCAGGTCCCGGCAGACTTTGACTCATCTGACGACGAAAGCTATTTCTTACAGAGCTCAGATTCGTTTGGGCGGGGCAGGAGAGTGGCGAGACAACCGACGTTGCAACCGATATCAAGCTCGCAAGAAAATGATAGAGACTCAAAGGAGAATGTGCCGGCAAGCGGGGCGCCGCTTGAGCGAACGCCTACACCTACGCAAACGGCCAGTTCTGCCCTTGCGGACATCACTAACAGCTCCAATGCGACTCGAGCCGATCAGACGGCGACGACTATAGGATTTGGCACCGAACCGTACAAGACTTCTTCGATTACTTTAGGGCCCCCATTAAGTGTGTCGTAAGCGGAACGGCAGCATGGGAAGTCACATGCATTTCGTGTAGGCAACTGTAGGGAAAGTCAGGGTTTTACAAAGTACAAAGTGGGCAATACTGCGTTGTCGAAACATCTGTAAATTAACAGTCAACAACATAAGGAGGCTTTTCGTCACGGGTTTTAAAAATGCATGACAGCTTGGGATAGGGGTTTGCATCGACAGGCAGGCATGGCGTAAAAAGGTCTCTTGGTTTGACCTGGTCTTGACAAAAGCTTCTTTATTTGTCTTGCTTCTTTTTTTACATTCTTCTTGGCTTGGCGTTTTACCTTAGCATTGCACGCTCAAGTATTCGCTACCATAAGTTTCGCAAATCGAAATGTTTTGAATGACTGTCCTTTTTTTGGTTCCTCTCCTTTTTATAGAATCGTTAGCTGTGACTGCTACTAGGTAAGAATCAGGTTCGTATCCATGGATGTGTAATATGTAAGACCCCTAGGTTAGATACTACCTATCCTACCCACGATGTAACCCAGCCTGTTGCCCAGGACCCAAATAGTATCTAAGTAAGTAATTAAGCACATGTGCATGAAATCCGACAACTAAATCTATCCACTTTTTAAGTCTATAAGTAGCGCTTGGAGCTGAAGTTTTAGTTTGTGGTTGCCCCTAGTTATGCAAAGCAGAGCAGGAAGGATTCAAGGAGTGGATTCAAACATCGTGACATCGGGGAAACCAACCACCCAACCACCAGACCCCCCTCTAACCTAATATGACCTTATGGGATTGGATCTAAAGCTTTTTTGAGCTATTATATAATGTGTTATGTAGTTACCTAGGTATGTGGTTATTCCTGTCTCCTTCCAGAATAGTAGGTACTATGTATGTATACGATATGCCCTCGCCTTCCCCGCGGACCCCCCTCGCTTGCTGGTTTCAAGCTTTCTGACGATGTCGTAGTATGGTGTAGGTAGTATGGTTTATACACTATACCTAATGGATTCTATGTTTGTTGAAACGAATGGCATCCATGGATAAGTTCCAGATATATTTATACAGATGCCGAGAAGGCTTTAGCGGCTGTTATTCTAACCTAGTATAATGAAGAGACAGGAAAAGTTCGTACGATACCTATGTACCTAGGTACCTAACCTAGTAGACATCAAGGTGGGTAGGTAATTGCTAACCTAGTATACTACATACGTAGTTACTGGCCATGTCTCCCAACGTCCTTCGATGCTAACTATATAGCAATCTACATATAGATATAGCATTGTAACCCAAGTACTCTACTACATACTTACATACCTATAGACAAGGAAAAAAAGAAAGTCTTGATCGTCTTATAGTGTACGGCAAATGGGCTAGGTACTGAGGCACGGCCTTACCTACCTTACCTGCCCAGTGCTTTAAACTTGTTGTATGTCACTAGCTAATATAGCATGAGCGGCACGGCACGAATGAACAGACCATATTCCGGATTTTTGCCCACTATGGACGGACGGACGGACGGAGAATGCGAGGGACACTGGGTTGGGTTGGGTTGGAATGTCCCACCGCTTGTTGGTATTGGTATTGGTAGGGCGGTTGCTGCTGTTGTTGAGGTGTTGTTAACTTCGTGAGGACTTTTTCTTCTTCTACGTAACTAGGTAGGTAGGTAGTCAGACATGTATATATAGATATATTCACAAACTCGCTAGGATATTGCAACGTGGTTTGGCCAAGGTTCTCCTACCGGTATCTCTAAAGTCCCAATACTGAACCCACAACTGGAGATCCCAAGCTCCTAACCCATCGTTCTATTTCAAGCCTGGGTGTAGCGTACCTAGGGTAGTGTAGGGTAGTGTAATATCCATCATACCTATCATACCCGCGAAGGAGCCCTCTCGGTGGAGAGGTCTAGACAGAAAACGGGTTAGCTAATACTAAGAGTTATACATACATATTTAGGAACATGATATGAGAGTTTAGAGTCAGTCTGATAGGTCCAGTGTTTGATCGATTCGATGGTTTAAATAAAAGATCATCGACCCCTTCCATCCCCCATCCCCTATACCCCCTTCTCCCCCTTCGCCTTTCCAAGTACCTACCTACCTACCTACCTCCCTAACCTAAGAACGAGTCATCGACATTTTTAGTTACTGTATAAGAGGACGCTCTTCAAAAGCCATGGCCTTCCTCTCCACCGCGCAGACCCTCCTGCCGTCTCGCGAAGACGCGGCATCCACGCAGATCCTCCACGGCGCCCTGCTCCTGGTCTACGGATGGGTGGTGTACCAGGTATCCCGAGCCGTCTGGCACATCTCGCCGTTCCACCCGCTGAGCCACATCCCGGGCCCGAGGCTGGCGGCCGCGACGTACCTCCCGGAGTTCTGGTACGACTGTGTCAAGTTCGGGCGCTATACCTCCCAGATCGCGAGGTGGCATGATATATACGGTGCGTTTTTTCTCTCCTTTTCCCTTTTCCCTTTCCATCTCGGGGGAATGTCGAAGATTCTTGTTACCCAAGCCAAGGGCGGAGGAAGACGGCGTGTGTACCTAGGCAGTCTGGTAGTTCTAGAAACTAATACACCATACACATACTCCAGGCCCTATCGTCCGCATCAACCCCGACGAAGTCCACTGCAACGACTCGCGCTTCGTCGACGAGATCTACGCGGTGGGCGGCCGAAAGCGTAATAAGCCGGCCCATCAAGTCAGCATGGTGTAAGTTATACCCCTTTTCTCTTTTCCCCTCCCCCCTTTTTGGGTTACAAAACTCCATCAAAAAAAAAAAAAAAAGAAGCCAGCGAGACCCAGGCCCAACTAACCCCCCCTTCGCCTTCTTCTTTCTTTTATTCTTCTTCTTTTTTTTTTATTAACCTTAACACAGCACCCAATTCGCCGGCTTCAACACCGTGGACCACGACCTGCACCGTCAGCGGCGCGGCCCCCTCGCCAAGTTCTTCTCGCGCGCGCAGATCGCGCGGCTCGAGCCCGAGGTCGAGCGGATGGTGCAGACGCTGTGCGACAAGATGCTGAAGCTGGGCACGAGAGCGGGCGCGGGCCCCTTCGACGTGCAGACGGCCTACAGCTGCTGCACGACCGACGCCATCTCGGCGTACTGCTTCGGCGACAGCTTCGGCTTCCTCGCGCAGGAAGGGTGGGAGCCGAATTTCCGGCGCCCGCTGTACTCGATGCTGCGCACGATATTCTTCTTTCGCTTTTTTGCGTGGGTTAAGTATTTGGTTCCTTTGAGTGGGATGTGAGTTAACCCCTACCTACCTACCTAGGTGTACTATTATACTGCAACCCGTCGGGGGTTTGGGTTGAGTTGGGTATTAAGTACCTAGCTTATGAGATGGAGACGAGACTAACGGGAAACGTGATGCATCGCAGGTTCATGAGGTTCATGCCCGAGGACACGGCGATATTCCTTCGTACTCTGGGGGTTCGTATACCCCCCTTTTCTTCCTATCAAACGAGGCACCAAACTAACCTCCCCTAGACCGACATCCCCCTTCTCGTAAACAAAGCCAAGTCCGACCTCTCCTCCGACAACTCCCCCTCCCCCTCCCCTTCCCACCCCCGCCCCACCGTCTTCGCCTCCCTCCTAACCTCCCCCCTCCCCGCCCGCGAGAAGCGCGTCGCGCGCCTGACCGCCGAAGCCGCCGCGTTGATCGGCGGCGGCACCGAGACCGTCAGCTGGGCGCTATCCGTCGCAACCTACCACCTCCTCACCAAACCCGACGTCTTGGCGCGCCTGACCTCCGAGCTAAAGACTGTTGTCGACGATCCGTTGAGGTTGCCCTCGTGGACGGTGTTCGAGAAGCTGCCGTACGCGGGCGCGGTGGTCAGCGAGGCGCTGAGGCTGTCGTACGGGGTGTCGTCGCGGACGGCGCGGGTGCCGGTGGAGGAGGCGATCGTGTGGAGGGGGCGGTGGAGGAGGAGGGGTGGTCCTAACAGAAGCAGCAACAGCAGCAGCAAGAGCAACGAGAAGGAATGTGAGGGAGGAGTAGAGCTCGAGTACGTGATCCCGCGGGGCTACGCGATCGGCATGTCGGCCGCCATCATGCACCACGACGAGAGCATCTTTCCAGACTCGCACGCGTTTCTGCCGGAGCGGTGGCTCGAGGCCGATGGGGTCACGAGGCGCCGGGACCTGGATAAGGGGTTCATGGCGTTTGGCAAGGGGAGTCGGGCGTGTGTGGGGATGAAGTAAGTCTTTCCCTCTTCTTATTCTTCCCCCTTAAAACTATGGCGCAAAGATATGCTAACCACATCGAACCCGCCAACTAGTCTCGGTCAGTGCGAGCTATATCTCATGCTCGCGGCACTCACACTGCGAGTGTTCCCACGCATGCGCTTGCATGACACTACGGAGGAAGATATCAGGTATGACCATGACATGCAAGTACCCATGACTAAAGATGGTAGGGGCGTGAGGGTGGTTATCATATAAATGCCTAGTTTGTAAAATATAGGGTATCGGCGTTGGGTGGCTGAAAGATACGGGTAAAGGCTAGGGAATGTCATAAGTATATGCCATGTCTCTAATTTTTTATAGAAAGATTTGGCAACATCGTCGCTTAAAGTCAAAAATGAACCCCATTTGATTTGTAGATGATATTTGGGGGGTGGCCTAGATCTTCGAAATTTGGCAGATGGATCCGCTTCAAGACACAAGATCAAAATGATAGTCCCTTCTCACCCAATCGAACCTCAACATCGACTTTCTAGGGACAGTATGATGTGGGGGTGGCCTTCACCCCTCCGGAGGAGAGTTGTAGTCAATAACTATATGCTGTGGCCGTTGTCGTAAAATACAAGGACATATTTTCCTCCATAATTTCCTCCAAGTTTGGTAATTTTTATATATCCCCTAATAGTCTTAAAACTCATAGATGCTATACTCTTAGCCGTATCGAGACATAATGGGCTCATCACCGGGTATCTGATACTTCGTCCGAATTCATCATTACTATTTCCACAAGACCGTACAGCCTTAAGACTATGGGTTCGGCGTGTCTGGATTTAAGAGCGTGAAGGAACCGTCTGATGATCCCTGTTGGGACTGCTGTTCGGGATTACCCGCGAAAAAATTGAAAGATGATTGATCTGGTCCCCAGGTTGCTGTCTGAGCGTAATTCTCGAACGCGTCCTATTACACTATGGTTAGCATGATGTGTTTTGAAATTTCAACCCCATCTTGAGTGGTCTGATAACATACCCAGTCAAAGTGATTATCGACTGCCATATTGCCTCCCCCACCAAGAGTCGTAAACATAGAGAATGGCGAGGCGGCGTTATTAATGCCACCACCAAAATCAGGTGTAAATTCGGGTGGAGGTCCTGCTCCCAATCCTAAATTTGTCTCTAGATATGGATTCGGGTAAGCTGTCCCACCAGGAGACTGGACGGCAGGCGTTAAACCTCTCGAGAGCATATCAAGAGTTACAGCTGCAGAATGCTCAGGAAGCATTTCAGCGCCAAAATTTTGGAAAAGGTTCTCGGATGGGGTCGGTGGTATTCCCGCATCAGCCGGGGTCGGTTCTGGGGCCTTGAATCTTTCCAACATAATATTAAGGATGTTTGCGGCCTTGTAGGCCTCAACGGACTCATGAGATAGCGATTTCCAAACCTCCTTAACACCATCCAAAGCATTTATCATCGCCTGTCGTTGCTCAGGTGTCCAAAAAGATGCGGCTTGGGAGTCCTGACGCTTGCCAGATGCAGCAGCAAGACGATCATGGTGGAGGTCGAGGATGATCAACATTGTGGGAAGTAATGTATCCTTTGACGTAGCTGAGACATACCATCTCATAGAACGAAGCCGGCCATTGGGCTGGCATTCACGATATATAGTCATCAGATGTCCTAGGATCTCGAGCGAAGCTTCGATCGCGCTACGCCGAGAATGAGCGTATCGTGGATTCTGCCGAGCACGTATCATGTGCTTCCTATGCAGCATACACATGACCTTCTGGTACAGTATATCTACATTAAATCTTGCCATTATGAGGGTAACAGGGTCGTGTGACCCCTCCAATGAACGCATTTTCAAATGTGGCGGAAATTCGTCCATGATCTCGCGTAGCTTTCGGTCGTGATGTAAGATATCATCGTAGCTTGCTTGCTTACCTACCTTCGTGACCGCTTGGAGGATATTCCCAAACTCTATACAGAGTTTGGTTTTACTGATCATATAAGCCATAGGACTCGGTTCTGTCATAGGTTTCGATGGAGGGAATATCTTGGTATTGGAGCCAAATTCCTCATCATATAGGTTGTGCGGAAGTTTTGTGTCGGTATTGTGGTCATATATCATTGTAGGCAAAGAAACCTTGACATGAGAGTTAATTACTGCGGTAAAACACGTTCTGTCAGCTGACAACTCACCTGATACGAAAATATAATGTCGGCCATGCGTAGTAAAGCCCACGTTCGTCTTCGCATCTCCTGTAAAAGTAGGCAGTAATATTAGTTTTCAAGGTGCCTTACATCGCGAAGCTTCAAATATGCGTAATTCAACTTACTCCTTGAAATGGGGTGATCGACGGAAACCAGTCTGCATCTCGGTGGTAGCCCATTCGGAAGGCCAGCCTCGTGATGATGCCCACGATAATCCAGAGTGAAAGTTCCGCATCCCAGCGTGAAGAATACTCACCGAAAAGGTAAAGCAACAAGGTTTCCACGGTATGCTCGACCGGCTTGGTGTAGTCCGCGACAATTAAACACTGGACTGTTCGCAATCGATATTCCGCAGCCAGCTCCAGAGACCTACCTTTCCACTCAGCGGGTTCATCCCCTACCTTATGGTAACTAAGCATTGCGAGACACAGCATTGCGTAGAGCCGGCCGATCCACATGATACCTGACTTGGACGGATCCTGCCAGTGATTTCGCAGCTCATGCTGAAGTGTAGGTCCGTGGACTATACTTGCTGCTGTATCTAACGAGTTGAAGTATCTCGACACCAACGTCATTATCGCTGTTCTCGAAGGCAACTCGGCTCTTAACTCAACTTCTGATGCTGGTGGGGCAGATAGAAGGAATATAGGCGAGTCACGAGCTGTCGCAGGCTTCGAGGACATAACTTGAGCATAACTATTCTCAAGTTCTTTCTTATGAGAAGAATAAAAGTTCTTGACTTCGGCAATGTCAGTTAGGAGTGTATGCCAATGCTCCTGTCCAATGTACATGGACTTTCCCTTATCAGCATCGACTTTAAGCACACCTAGGGAGGTGGCTAGCCCGTCATCTATGTCGCTGTCGCCGCCATCGCTAGCGTCGCCAGCATTATCTTTCATCGTCTCTTCATCATCTTGTTCGATATTTGCCGATGAGCCGTCTGTCGCGGACGATACTGTAGGCACGGTGTTTGACGAACCGTGAGCTTCTATCGTTGCACCGCCATGCATCAAGCTTAGCACTAAACCTTCCAAGCGGTCAATACGATTCTGCATGTCATCGGGAGTTGCAGAAGCTCCAGCACTACTTTGATTCTTCCTCCGGCTCGATGGAGTAGCATACACGCACGACTGTGTGTCGCCCCGTTTGACGCAATTCTCACAGCTTGGTGCTCCCCTGTTACATTTCAACCTGTTGAGCAGGTCAGCGACGCCGCATCATATTTAACTGCGAATCATTGAATTAGGGAATCAAGTTGACGCTATGGAGGATAAGTTTGACTCACTTTCTCGTTCGGCACGGATAGCAGCTGAGCGGTACCCTGTTTCGGCGACGAACCACCCTAAACTGCTCCTCGGGCGAGTGGCCCGAGGATGATGTCGCGGCAGACGGAGGTGTGGGGGTCATCTTGAAACGATATGAATCAAACAGGTGATGGCAATCCAATTTAGGGTGCCTGCTCTTGTATCGAAGACGTATGCCGGACTTGGGAAGAAGGTGACTTATAAGCGGCTAGCTCTTTCACCCACACCAAGCAATCGCTTTCTAGTATGGCGAATTATAGAGCAGGGATGGGCGCAGACGACAGGTCAGTGAGTCAGCGTCGACAGCCTGCTGGAAAGATTGCTCGTTCACGTCAAGAGCGGTAGCGGTAGCGGAGATAAGAAGTCTCTTGTAGGAAGTCTAGAGGTATAACGGTGCCGCTGTTGCCAAGGCGTAGTCTACCAACCAAGCTAGTAATGCTCAGATCGTAGGCGTAAGGTAGTTACAAGGTGGTCACAGGTGACAGAACTGAACAGTAGAAATGGCGAAAATGTGTGGTTTCTTTTCGTGGAGTGTAAGGCAGAAACTCGAATCAGGTGAAGCAGTCACGATATGCCAGTGTTTCTGTCTCGGGAACAGCGAGATATATTGGAGATGATGCTCTATTTCTTGGTAAGCAGATGCTTTGCTACTCTGACTTGCGCTACGTTGGCGATGTAAGCAATGCAAGTGGCACAGGTACAAATGTTGAAAAAATAGCTAAAAGGAGAAAGGAGAAAGGAGAAGGAGAAGAGTAGAAAGAGAGACAGAAAGGGAAAAAAGAATTGGGCAAGTTACATTTTAATGGTAGGTGAAATCACGAATGAGGGGGATCACGAGCAGGATTGCTTATAGTGCAACGGTTCATACGTACTATGTATATGAAGTGATGAGGTAGTTGCTACATATGTAATGCTAATATTTGATAAATGGCAAGGTTTCTCTTAACATCCCTCGATCGCAATATGAGAGAGTGAAGAAGAACAAGAAGGGAATGTATGAGAAGTTGGTGAGGTTTGTAAGAGAGAAGGTTGTGGTTTGTTAGGTAAGATCGAGAACGTTAAAAAGTTCAAGAGTCGAAAGAATTGCGACGTTAAAGCAAGCGCCTCGGGGGTTTCCTCGATGATAGAGAACATTGAAGACCAAGCACTAAACCAAAAATGGATGGTGGGGGAGTGAATGTTGCACTTGAATCGGCTTAGGGTCGTAAAAGAAGCATGAAATTGACCAGTCGCACATTCTAGCCATACAGGACCCAGTATTCAAGCTTACATATCATGGATAGATATAAGTACTACATATATGTACTACTAGTAGTTACATGTACCTACCTAACCTAGGTATGTATGGGATATAGGCACATGTACCTAGTACTAATCAAGTGTGAGTCACTCGACCGCATATAAATACATAACTACATGGATATCCAGTCGTCATGACAGTACGTACGGTTGCTGCCTACATTGAATGGGTACCTTTGGTACAACTTCAATATTGCAAGTGAGATCATTAAAATATTGAACGGACTTTAGCCGTTATTGCCGGGTTCAAATACTTTTTGCTGTTTATCGGTTGATTTGAATCATGATATTTATTCATGTTGATATTAACACACACATATATATACATAGCAGTGCCTACCTAGGTACTATCTCACTTCCTCTCATACGACGTACCTAGTAGTATATACTATATATAAGTAGGTATGTATCCAATGCACATACATACCTAATGTACGGTTGGTATTACAGCCACTTATTACAAAACTAACCTCATATCTTCGAGACGAGTCACTCGTAACACCCCAATAACTACATGAATAGGTAAAGGGAAGACGTCCGGCTTCCGAGGCGGGCCGTGCCGAACCTTTAATCAAGCAACGGGCGCCGAGAAGGATCGGGGCCGTTCACCGGACAAACAATACATTAAAGCTGCCCATCTTTTGCCTAAGCGGTACTCCGAACGAATGGCGCATGTATGCGTACCTACTACCTACATACATTATGATACATACCTACATGTATGGCAAGCTACATAAGTACTATGTACCTCCTCTAGAACATCTAGTCTGGACCTGCATCCTTCAAGATCTGATCCAATCAGATCGACGGTTACTTCCGAGGGTCAAAGTAGGTAGCTAACCTAGATAAATAGACTAATCTAGGGTAGGCAGGTACCAAGTGCTTGATAGTAGATTGATCGTCGCAAACGGCTTTGCGCCTTGCTGTATACCACCTCGACTATTTCACTTACCTCCATTAACTAGTACTCTTACGAAGTTTTCTTGAGCTATAAGCTTACTTCACTGGAGTCTTGTCTTGTTTCTAGAAATGATCCATTCCAATGCATTCCTATAAAGTATATCTTTAGTAGCGATCGACGCTGACATGAACCCCTAATAATAACTTTCTATAATACTATAAGGTAGTCAGGAAGCGGCAATAACAAAGAATTCATTGTTAGATGTTTTCGGCGTTATGTAACGATGACTAGCTACTTCCCGGTACAGGCCTTATCGCCGACGGAGAATCGTCGCGATGAGGTAGAAACTCGAGGCCCTGGTGTTGGCAATAGCGAAGATGAATGGAGTCATAGTGAGGAAGACGACATAGATGAGCAAGCTGGCTTATTCTCATCGAGGCAACGTAACGTCGGGCAACGCCAACGCCGACCATATTGGCCAATTTGTGTTTTCGCTTTCGCCTGCGTCGGTACGATTTTCTGTCTCGCATGGTTAGCACTATCTGTAGACATTTCCGGGATTTCTAGCCCATCCTCTTCCAAGGAGACACCTAGCGTGCCTCTTCGACGTCCAGATGAAGACTACATACTGGACAAGAACTGGGATTTCGCAGCTCCCAGGCAGTTACGGACGTATAATTGGACTATCATTGATATAGAAGGTGACCCAGATGGCGTCCGCAAAGACATGATGACAATCAATGGCCAGTTCCCGGGCCCCCTGATCGAGGTGAACGAGGGCGATATCATACAAGTCAACGTACATAACAGGGCTTCCAACGCCACTACCATCCACTGGCACGGCATTTTTCAAAACGGCACAAACTGGATGGATGGAGCTGCGGGCGTGACTCAATGCCCCATCGCCTCTGGGGGTTCGTACAGCTACAAGTTCAACGTAACTGGCCAAGCTGGTACATGTAAGTATTGTGCCATCAGTATTCTAAGAAAAATGTAATTTTATATCCCATCACGACCACAATGCTGATTCATATCCTGCAGATTTCTACCACGGCCACCAGGGGGTACAAGCCCTCAGCGGACTCGTAGGGCCACTCGTAATCCACAGCCGAGATGAAGCAGCGCACCAACCCATCCGCTATTCGTCTGACCGCGTAGTCCTGCTCCAGGACTGGTACTACGACTCCAGCGATGGGCTAATGCGCGACGTCCTATCTCCGGGCGTCGAGGACGCGCCGGTGCCCAACACGGCCTTGCTGAACGGCGTGAACCGAGCTGACTGCTCGAGCCATCCCACTCGGCTATGCTCGAATGCGGATAATAAGCCTTTCCCAAGTCTAGACCTAGCCCCTTACCAAGGCCACAGACTGCGGTTCCTGAATGTCGGGGGCTTCGCCTGGTTCCAGGTCGCCGTAGATGAACATGATTCTCTGCCGGTCATTGAGGTGGATGGCACCACCGTCGAGCCCACCAACACGTCTTCACTGGTAATCGCTCCTGGGCAGCGGTATAGCGCAGTATTAACCACCGACCAACAAAGCAAAGAGGCTTTCTGGCTTCGAGCCCGGATGATCAAGTCCTGCTTCGCAACTCAGACTCTACCCGAAGACGGCATCGACGAGGCAAAAGCCATCATACGCTACCACGTCCCTTCGGCAAGACACGGGGACCACGCACCCCCACCCCTACCCACCACAGCTTCTAAACTCGAATACCTCCCAACCTGCAAAGACATGTCCTCCACAACCTCCTTCTCCCCCTCCCCAGCACTCCCAGCACCAGCCCACGCCGACCACTCCTGGCACCTGCGCGTGAACCTCGCGATCGGCGACTGGCGCCTCCAACGCGGCGTCATGAACTCCTCCTCCCTCCGCCCGAACCTGGAATCGCCCACACTCCACCGCATCGTCGACGGCCTCTCCCAAACCAACGACTCCTTCACGCCGCCCGGGATCCTCAGCACCGCCTTCGACCCAACCTCCGAGCTCGTCGTCTCCAACAGCAACAACGGCGCCCCCGAGACCGTCGACATCGTCCTGCAGAACATGGACGAGAACAGCCACCCCTTCCACCTGCACGGCGCGCAGACCTGGGTCCTCGCCTCCGGGCACGGCTACTTCCCAGGTTACGAGGCCCTCGGGTTTCAGCCCGACGGCAAGGGACTGCTCCCCCCAATAACCACCACCATCATCGCCAACCCCCTAAAACGCGACACCGCCACCGCCGAAGGCTTCGGATGGGTGCTCCTCCGCTTCGTCGCCGACAACCCGGGGATCTGGCTCTTCCACTGCCACGTGCTGTGGCACTCGGAGGCGGGGATGGGGATGCTGTTCCTGTCGCGCGTGGAGGAGATGCGGGGGTGGGAGATCCCCGGGGACGCGAGGGCGTTGTGCGAGGTTCCCGGGGAGGAGCTAGGGAAGGGGGCGGTGCCGGGGGATGAGGAGTTTGTTGGTTTTCACGGTGATGATGAGAGTAGGTAGGGATTTGGGGGGTGAGGGAGGAGTGTATAGATATATCTTGGGATGGTTCGTCATATACGTACAAGAAAACATACATACATAGTTAATAGCTTGGTTGTGTTAACTGCCTCAATGTGCCTGTACATAACACGAAATAAAATCTCCCAAAGGGGGATTATTATAACGACTCAGACCTTCGACAAATTGAAACGCGGCCGTCTTAACATAGCCAGACTAAAAGCCATAAGCTCCCCTATGGTAATAAAAGCCATAGTCATACAGTATTTAGAATAGGTACTCTGAAAGACGATAGCAACACATCGACGATACCTAGGATCTAGGCACCTAGATAAGGTACTCAAACACACCACTTCACAGCCCACAACTCCTAGTTCACACTTCAGAGACATGCACAGTACCTAAGCATGGCCATCCACAAACTGACTTGGTTTAATTCATTGGTATTTTAATCCTGCACTGCGACGAGAAACTATATCCGGGGTTTCTTTTATAAAAAAAACGCCGTGATATCCCACCAGCATTACGCCCTTTATGCCCGAACCCCCCATATTTCCTTGCCCTGTGAAGGAGAAGAAACGTCGAGTTACGCAAAATAACCGCGGAATGTAAGTAAGGTCTACCTAGGAATGAAAGGACTCCCCAGGGGAGGGGGTCCCCTAACATATGGAACTCAGCCCACACCAGAGTTTGGGTTGCCCGATTAGATTACCACGGTTCTTCGTAGGCATTGCCGTGAATCACATAAATCGTAGCCATCCATTCGCACATAGAATCAAGTAAGAACAGCGGTGGTATCGTATGCTATCTTAGTCGCGGGGCTCCTTTTTTCTCCTTTTTTCTTCTTTTAATTCTTTTTTTTCATGAATATTCAACATCTGTATTATGCCGCCGCAGTACCTTCCTCCTTAGGGACACTGAATTTCTTGAAGTAATCAGGATCATTCTCCAACTCCTCCTTGACCTATACCAAACCGTCCTTATTAGCATATTTGCGTAAAAGCAAAGTAACTACGGATGTATGGAAGACACTTACAATATCCAGTCCGCCTACAAGTTCACCCGATACCCATAACTGGGGGTATGTGGGCCAATCCGCAAACTTCTTCAGGCCTTGGCGCACATCGTCGTCGGCTAGGATGTTAAAGAATCCGTACTTAACGCTGCGCTCACGCAGGATCGCCACCATTTGGCGAGAGAATCCACACTGCGGGGCACTGGGGGTGCCCTTCATGAACAGCATGACGGGGGCAGCGTTGACGAGTCCCTCAAGTCTCTTATGCATATCCTCTTCCGGTGTGAGTTGGTCTTCCTCGCTCTTCCCGTTTATTTCCGGGCCAGTCTCAGCATTGCTGGCAATCGCGGTGGTGCCGTTGGGCTTGGAGGAAGTGGTGGAGGAGGAGGTATGGGTCTCGATGGCTTTGCGGACCAGGGCGGGGTTGCTACCGCTAACAGTCTCAACGACTTGGTCGTTGCGCTGGAGGACGACGTAAGGCACGGCGACTACATCGTAAGTCTCGGATACGTCGCTTAAATCCTCAGCGTTGATGGACACCCAGCTTGAGTCTGAAGTGTCTTTTTGTTCCTCGGCTAGAGCCTTAATGACAGCTGCCATCTGCGCACAAGGGGCAGCCCATGGCGCGTGGAAATAAATGATGAGAAGTGTGGTCTTAGGTAGAGAGCCGATGTGAGCTTGCCACTCGTCGATGGTGGTAATATCTTTTACCACAGCCATCTCTCTTGTGGGGTTGGTAGGAATAGAAATTGGAATTCTTAAGGCTCTGGAAGAGAATCTTGGGTTTCTTTCGAGTTAGACACTGGAGTAGGCGTAGTTATCGATATCGATAGCGAAAAAAAAAAGGAGGAAATAATAAAGAATATTCCAAGTGACGATATCGACGAGTGAACTGAAGAGATGGAGAGTACCTCCAGTAAATACGCCGGTTGCCGGATGGCTTGTCAAGTTCAAGGCAAGGTGCAGCAGATGTGGGTTTTGGACGGCAACAAATGGAGTCAGTCCAATGGAGGGGCAGTTGATTACCACTTTAAAAAAAAAGATCTTATCAATCAACTTCGTCGAAACTTCGGCAACCTATTGCGTCATTTTTTTAGTGACTAAGATGATGAGAGTTCTGGGGTTGACCCACTTGACAGCTGGTCACTTTCGGAACCACAACATTGATGGTCGAACGTTACCTAGTAATGTTATGTACCCTAGGTAGTATGTACTGTATGCATGTGCCTACTGTACATACATAGTAGTACATAGTAGCTATCTCGAATCACCTCCCCCTTTACTTAACGAACTTTATGCATAACGTGAAGCTCGCCTTTCATTTTAATGTTGATGTCCCATCTCTTAAGTAGTACTACTATATAAGCACATCCTAAGTTAACATTATATGGAAGTCAGCTCATTGTTATTTACAGCCAGTTCGCTTCTAGACATAAGTGATCCTGCATGTTTCCAGTCAAAGCAAATCTGAATCCGGCCAGTTGTCGAAATGCTGAGATACCATCCATTATCGCTAGGTGTCTTTACTTTGATATCACTCATAAAGACCACAAATAGCCTGGAACCTTCCCAACCTAACATTTGATATAACGCACAAAATATCACCCATGACTCCTCAAACGCCTCCTACATCCAGGATCTCGTATAAATCAGCGTTGTGGCATTTCATTATACCATTGCAAGTCTTATCAGATATATTTAATCTGTGAGTTGGCTGACACTAGCCGCCGTAGCCTGCGACCCGTTGACATGGGCCTGGTTATCTTCTGTCGATGCTTGAGCTTCATCCTTCTTGGAAAGTTGAGCCTTGGCTTCAGCTTCGAGAACCAGTTCGCGTCGTTGCCACCAGCCATCTTCGATCTGGATGACTTGGTCTAACAGCGTCTCCTTCTCCAGCCATTCCTGCCGATATGCCTCCTCCATTTCCTTGCACCGTCGCTTTAATGAATCGCGGTCCTTCTTTGTCCACTTGAGTTCTCCAACACAAAGTCTGTATAGTGACTTGATGCTCATATTTAACTCCTGGGGGGAAAAGCCCTGATGTTCTGTCAGTTGCGTGAAGAAATCAGCCATGTCCGAAGCAGTATCACCGTCATCCACAGCGTCGTCCTGGCCGGCAGCGTGAGATTGAGGTGTCTTAATAATAATCTTTAATTTTCCAGACTTCGGGCCGGACTGTGTCTGCATAGACTTGGGTACTGGGTCAGAGGGTCGTAATGCTTCGGTTTCATGGACAGTTCGCATGTGCTTCGCCAGTGCATCGGATCTAGTGAAAGCGCGATCGCATTCTAGAGGTGTGGTTAGATATTACCGTCCAAAGATTTGGGGGGATTGGTAGGCTCACCTGGAAGGTAACAATAAAACGGCTTCTCTCGCGTATGGCTGCGCATGTGCGCCTTCAGGGCATACCCGCTGGCGTGTGGCATGCTCTTCCTGGAACAGCCATTCCACTCGCAAGTGTATTTCTTTTGGCGACTCTCGATGTGATCGTTGTGTATGTGGTCGACCAGCCTGTCCATATTTCCCAGGTCACCTGCTCGGCAACCATCCCAAGCACACACCGTGACTTGCTCCTGAAATTCATCCTCATCGAGCTTAGCATTGATTGGAGAATTTGGGATTTCGCCTGAAGTGTCCGACGAGATGTCACCGTCCAGGTCGCGATCCGACTCTTGCTCTGGCTCAGGTTCAACATGGACGGCAGATGAGGCTCTGGATATGTCGCCTAGCTTCTGTCGCTTTGAGGGGGGTGGTGCTGGCTCGTCGACAATGGTATCGTCGAAATCATTATCAGCTTCAGGCGAGTCAGACGACAAGGAGCTTATCGACGAAGAATCCGATAGTAGAACCATTTTTGGTTCGTACCTTAGGTAGGGATGGTAGGTGGTTGAAAGTCGAAGGTCGCAACCAAGGCACAAAAACGCGAAGAATATCGAACAAGGAGAGACGGTATGACGTTTGGTGGAAAGGGTATTTAATTGTGTCCATCCAATGTTGATCTTGTGTCGCGATGCTTAGATTAAGGTGAAGAATATATTGGGATTTGAAGATGGAAAGAGTATTAAAAGATGAAGATGAAGATGAAGATGGAAGTAGTTAAGTGAGATGTGAAGAAAGGAATTTGGTGGTCATGACAGACTTAGCTGACTTAGACGGCAAACAATTGGTGACTTTAGGTGTTAAACCACCTAATTAACTCAAACGTTAAATTATTTGATGCTTCCTGCCGCGCGCAAGGGCAGCCGCGTTGTGTTGGATGATATGATGCGAATAAAAGGTACAACTATGTAAAAGATACTGTATGTATTGGATTGTTTGGGGATGAATAGGATATTATGTGCCTAAAGGCGTTTACTAGCTCAAGTACAGTATATATACTGTGTATGAGTATGCATGTAACGCGTGAGTATCAGCGCCGTGAATGTAGGTATGAATGCATTTATAGATTATATGTATATAGGTAGGGTAATACATGCAATCAACTAGGTACAGCTCAGTACCAACGTTGAAGCTGACTACTTCGTACTACTGTAGGTACACCTTACTTCCTATGGTTTACTGGCATTTGGATGTAGAGAAAAGGAAAAAGGCGACCCCGAGGACCGGGCTCGAAACGAAACACAGCCCACTTTCTTTCGTAATGGCCAACGATTGCCCAGCATTTGGCTAGCAATTGTTCGCCAGGCACGAATCGAAACTACTGGGCTGCAGTGGGCTACAGTGGGCTCTACAGTGGGCTTTGCTGCTACGTATCGATAAATTGGAACTCTTCAAAGGCTTCAACCTTCTCTCTCTTCCTTCTCTGACATGCTCAATGTTTGTCAATCCCCTACATTCACATTCGCATTCAAGATAAATTTCCATAAACTTCATCTCGGAAATTCATAGTATAGCTGTCTAAGTTTGTACAGGCTTGAAGCTTCTGGGTCTTCATACCTACTTGCTTACCTACCTCTCTATCTGCCTACCTAGTACTTAGTACTAAAGGGACCAAAGGGTGCTATCTATTCTAGGTACCTGGTTGTTGCTGTGACATCACCCCCACCCAGTCCAGCTCTGGTTTTATTCTCAACTTGTTCTTGTCATTTTCATCTTGACACTTTCAACCAGATTTCTTTCTCTTTATTTTTTTTCATTTTATTTATTCTTACACAATTCGACCACGAAAGACGGGTCTCCTTGAACATACACACACATACACTCGAAATGGCTTCGCTGAATCTTTCTATAAATGGTCCCTCGATCAAGAGTAGCTACCAAGGAGTCATCAATGCCCCTGCTCCGCCGTCGGGCAGCTCTTCTACTTACGGTCAATGGGCTCTCTTCTACGTGCAAGCTCCTTTAGCAAATGCCTTCCAAGATAGTGGGAATAAGGAGAGTGTCCTGAAGGTCCAATCTACTGGATCTGGTGAACTAGAAGAACTTATCGAAGATTTTAATGAAGGTCGCATCCAATTCGCCTTCCTGAAGATCAAGGATCCAAATACTGGCCTACCTAAACATGCCTTGATTGCATGGGTTTGTTTTTCCCCCTTTCGAACTTGGGTTATCATAATTTGGCTAACAGTTTGCAGTGCGGCGGTGGCGTTCCTGAGAGAACGAAAGGTTACTTCACCAGTCATTTGAACGCTGTTTCTAAAATCCTCCATGTGCGTAAACTGAACGTTAGCATTGAAGCCTGATACTGACTTGATATAGGGATACCACGTACAAATTACCGCTCGCTCCGACACCGACATTGAACCTGCAAACATTCTCCAGAAAATATCTGATGCTTCTGGTGCCAAATATACAGCTGGTGGGAGTGCGCCTGTGCACACTGGAGGGGCCCCCCCACCGGTAAAATCGAAGCCCGTTTTCTCCACCACGACTTCGTCTAGCTCTTTCAACCCCATAGTCGCTGCGCGAAACGCAAGCTTGAGACAAAAAGATGATGATGGCTGGGGAGATGCACCGCAGGTTTCTCGGTCCGAAATCCAGAAGGTCGAATCGGCATACAAACCGACCAAGGTCAATATGGCCGAGTTGACAAGCCAGAGGCAAGAGCCTTCAAGATTTAATGGCTCAAGTCAACAAGACGATAGGCCTAGGGACGTGATTGGAGGTGGTTACCAGCCGGTTGGGAAAGTTGATATTGCTGCTATTCGAGCTGCGGCTAGAGAAAAGAAAGATGATCGACCAACGCCCGTCAAGGGCTCTTATGAGCCAGTAGGCAAAGTAGACATTGCTGCTATCCGAGCTAAGGCTCAGAAGCCTGCCGACTCCGAGCCTGAACCCGAGGCCGAACAGCCGAAATCTCTGGCAGAGCGAAGCGCAGCATTCCACCAGGCCGAACGCATTACGGAGCTTCCCAAGCCCAAGGTTGCTAAGAAATGGGGAGGCGCGTCGACATTCACAGGCACCAAGGCACCGACTCCTACAGCCGCGGGCCTTGGAAGTCCTTCACCGGCAGCCGGAGCTCCTCCCGTTGGATCTGCTAGCCGAACCTTTGCTGACCAAGGAGGAAAGACCCCGGCTCAGATTTGGGCCGAGAAGAAGGCCCAGCAAGGTGGTGGTTCCGCCGCTGGGAAGCCTGCAACTTCTCCTGTTACAGCACAGAAGAGTGGAGGAGCAGGATGGCAGAGCGGCTACACGGGCAAGAGCTGGGCTCCGGTTAATCCCGCAGGATACAGCCGTGGCCTATCAGGGCAGAAGACTGGCGAGACTGAGACTAGCCAAGAACCTCCAGCGTCCCCGGCAGGAAGTGTCGGTGCTCTACGCGACCGCTTCAAGGAGGCACAGCCTATTGCTGCCCGAGCTCCGTCGGCACCTAAGATTCCTTCACCTGCTGACGAAAACGACCGAGCACCGCCGCCACCTCCTTTGGCTTCTCGACCTTCGGACGGTGCTCCTACGGGAGGATTTGCACTTCCTGGTATGCCTCCTCGCCCACCACCGGTTACGGACGAGGAGGAGGAGCCCGAACGGGACACTTCCCCCATTCGTATGGCGGTGCCCGTTCCTCGCGGACCCGAACCCGAGTTCGAACCAGCACAAGAGCCTCCCCGATCTCTCCCAGTTCGCCAAATTGAGCAGGAACTTCCGAGAGAGGAAGATCTGCCAAGAGAAGAGGAGGCTTACGATCCCCGCGCTGCTGCCACTGCGGTTGCCGAGTCTCAGTTTGGCCATGCACCAGTGGCCGAGGCGGCAGCGGCTTCAAGCGGCGGCAGACGTGCGTTGATCCAATATGACTACGAGAAGGCCGAGGACAACGAGTTGGAGCTGCGAGAAGGCGAATACGTCACCAACATCGAGATGGTAGACGAAGATTGGTGGATGGGTACTAACTCGCAAGGCGAGTCGGGATTATTCCCTAGCAATTACGTTGAACTTGTCGAAGATGAGGCGGAGGAAGCTCCGCCTGCCCCTGCCCCTGCCCCGGCAGCTGGCCACGCCGCTCCTCCGCCTCCCCCGGCGGCTGAGCCGGAGGCGGCAACTGGTCAGACGGCAACAGCCCAATATGACTACGAGGCTGCTGAGGACAACGGTAAGCAACCTTATCCAAAACTAATATACCCCAGATGACGGTAGAACTAACGAGAATCGTAGAACTGAGCTTCCCTGAAGGAGCTACAGTCACCAATGTGGAGTTCCCTGACGAGGACTGGTGGTTCGGTCACTACAAGGGGGATTCCGGTCTTTTCCCCGCCAACTATGTGCAACTGGATCAGTGATCTACCATCTGGCCTCCATCAAACATGCCCACCTCAAAAAGGCGGTAGCAGAGTAAGCAGTTAATTTGGAGTATCTAGACCAGACCAAAATGAGTAGTCTGACTATAACGTGGAGACGTGAAACGAAGAGTTTGTCTTTATTTTTGTACCTAGGTAGTTGAACGAGAAAACAAAAGTGTCTTATGGTAGTGAAGAGAGTCACTTCGGCTTGTCTATATTATAAAGGAAAGGGTCTTCGGGAGCCGAGACTCTTGGCAATTAACTTATCAGCCCTATGATGTGCTTTTGGTGTTTCATGGCATCTGCCGTGTTGCGATTAGAGCACGGTGCTTAGATCTGGACTTACAGATACATATGATGTAACTATCGTGATGAGGTCTGAGTGTACCTAGACACAAGAGTACCTGGAGATTGCCAAGTCTAAGAAAATTGTAATTAATGTTGAAAATTGAACATTGAGCATTGAACAAAAAGCGGGTATATGTCTTGATGCTACATAGTTAACATTGAGAATCGACCAAAATTAAATAGCCGCTGCTACTATATATACAAGGTATATGCTAACTATTGGAGCGTCGTTAACTTCAATAGCTCGAGGCGGGCTAGGCCGCTAACCTTGGCAGCTGCCAGCCTGCGTTGCGGCTGATATTCAATTATCATAACTATCCCTTGTAAGGCAGTTATGTTGGCTGGGCTGTTGCTGCTGGGTTTAGAACTTAGAAGTTAGAACTGACAGGCCACAACATCCCAGTATGGTCGGGTATATCGGCCATTTTAGCGCGAACTATTATTATTACTATTATTATTACAATCATTGAATGATTTCTTTTTTACGGAGTATGGAATCGGCATTGGGAACTTTTAAGATGGCTGAGGCTTGTGGGGACGGTTACACATCGCACAGTCGATAAAATATTTCCCATACGTGGCTGATGGGAGATGGCAGGGAGGCCGCCAATGGGATATGCCGAATCCCATATGGAAATGGTCATCTACATGCGCTGCCGTACGACACCTCAAACATTTTGTTCTCAGAATATAGCGGTCTAGGTAGTAGTTGGATGCTATGCGATGCGCTGTTCAACTACTAACCTTACTACGCTAGTAGATAGCTACATGTATGTATGTATGTATGTATGTATGTATGTTGATGGTGGTCACTTTAGCCAAGATTCAAGTATAACATCTCGAATCAGCGTACGTTCAGAGTGGAAGGAAGAATTATATGTATGTACATGTAGTTATCTCAAGTCGCAAGAAGGGGGATCTTGTGCAACTAGCGCTGGGACGAATTCACGAATGAAGAAGGGCCCCCCCAAACTTGGGGCTTGTGAATAAGGGGGCTGATGAAGTTTCAACGTTGAATCAATGATTGATATTCAGTTCATGCCATGTGACGCGTTCCGAGGCAAAATACATGATGGCAGGCCAACATCTGGTGTATCATTGATGTACATATTTTCAGTATTTCAGTTTATGTACATCCGGCTGAGCCACTTTGCATTGCGTGCCGGATTGCCGCAGCAGCTACATGTGTGTACGGTAAAACGCACTATGTACCTTGCCAGCTATGTAAGGTGAGCATTGGAATTTGGGGAATTTGGGGAGCATTAAAGTACATGTAGGTACCAAAATATCCATTTAAATGTACCCATACTTGACTGTACCCATACAATGGCCGTTATCCGAAACAACAAAAGATGCGCCGGAAATAGTACAACAGCACACTTGCAATAGCTAACCAATTGTAGCTTATGGGGTACATTGCGCCTCCCTGAAACTCAATAGAGAAAGAAGGAGCGCCAGATTAATGTTGTAACCACAGGTACATGCGCTAAAAGTTACATAACAGGCATGTACGAAGTACAATGTACAATTACAATACATAGTATGTACTGTCAGTACCTGCCCATATGCAGGTCTGCCGCATTGAACTCTTTTTACATATGTATTTGACCCACCGCCTTTCTTCCTCGTTCGTGTTCTTGGTTCTTGATCTCAATAATTATTATTAACTTAACTCTTCTCATCGTCACCTTTCAACTTTCGTTAATTTCGACCTTGCAACAACACAAGTTCGTACTATTTTGTCCGCCTACTTCTGAGAAGTGAGCAAAGAAACTACCCATCTCGACAAAAACAAAGCCAAAGTACGTATTTCGCATCGGTAAAATTAATGGGACTCAATTGAGCGGTTCTCGAGCTTGCGCATTTTTGAACAAGCTTCCTTTCCCTACCGCTAGATCTCTTGGCTAACTCTTAGCTAATCGTCGCAGACACTCTCAATCAATACCGTCGATCCTGTCAATCCTTCTCGATGGCCAGCAACGAGTATTACGGCCAGCAGCACCCTCAACAGGGCTATGGCGGCTACCCGCAACAGCCTCAGCCGGTACGTTCAATCGAAATGAACTGCTTCACCATTGCCATATGGGAAGCATCGCAAACACTGCCAAGATCGCATCCTGCATCCTATCATGCCACCCACCCCTTGCCTGTACCTCATGATTTCTAAACTACCGAGCTACCACATAATCCCATATTAGCTAATTATACGTCAACCACCAACCGCGACGCGACGCGCGCATCCATCTATTCACTCTAGTTTTTACCTTTTCTTCTTCTTAAAAGGCTAACTTGATGATGAATAGGCTTACGGTCCTCCTCCCGGCCAGTACTACCCGCCACAAGGCCAGCCGCAAATGCAATACCAGCAGCAACCTCCCCCACAAGAGCGCAAGTCAGGCGGTGGTGGCTGTCTTAAGGGGTGTCTAGCTGCGCTGTGCTGCTGCTTCGTGTGCGAGGAAGGATGCGAATGCTGCGCCGACTGCTGCGAGTGCTGCTTTGAGATGTGTTAAGGTGGATGGATGGACCTCCAGAAACCCATGCGATGATGTGGCCATAAGGAAATAGGATGGCAAATCGGTGGCCTTTTGGGGATTTGGGTTGCGTAAGAGGGAGAGCCGAATAATACTATTCAGGTCGACTCGCACTTCGAAAACGCGCTCCAAAAAACGCAAACAACAAGGATACTCAACAGGAGAGTAATGGGGGGTTTTGAGGATGGCATTGTGACTTTACGATACTACCTGGCGTCTTCCCTACGGACGTACAGGCTTATTTCAGTTCAGGGGATTAAAACTGGTTTTCAAGATTAGTTTCTGACGATACTGTACGATGAGCTTCTTTGGCTTCACGACATAGGGGCGAAGCAGAGGTCTCGTTCGCCTTATACGAAATTTCTTCTGTTGCAAACCGTGTTATTTTTCTGTTGACTGCAGTGACAATGACAACTCTTGACAATTTCGAGGTGCTAGCCCTGGAGGCTTTAATTACCGTAATTAGAGCTAATAGCCTACATAAGTAGTTAGGTATTGTACCTAGCATACTAGGTAGTAGTGTGCTAAGGGTCCGTGGATATCAATCTGGCAAGCCGGTTCAAGTAATTAATGGTGGACGTATTCGAGTTAAGACTCCAGAGGGCAAAGTATATTTGTTCTGTTATAGTTACTTTGCAACGTCCTTTAATAATGCCTTTTCCCGGCGCCATTTTCTTTACAATATGTTTCGTTACCTTGGGGACGCGATGCATGCGATTCATGCGCGATACACCACTGAATGGACGGACCAAAGACCCCATGAACAGTGCAACGTGCTACTAAAAATAGCAGACCATATATATATTTTAAGAGAGCATTGACTGGTTGGTTGGTTGGTTGGTTGGTTGGTTAGTTGGTTGGTGGTCAGTCACATGTGAAATTGTGAATAACTTCAAATTTTCTACGCAGCTTGTGAGTGTAAGCTTCATCGTTCAGAAGTAAGGTTAGCATTAATGGTGAGTTACTAGGTAGTTACATAAGGACTCGAAAGTGTAGGCACTGCCTTGCCAGGTGAGTGACAACTTGAAGGCTCGGCTCGGACGACTACGTCACCTGTCTCTTCTTTTTTTTTCTTTTTTTCTTTTTTTCTTCCCGTCCGTCGCCGTTCGCAATACCCACATTTATGTACAGTACAGTACATAAGCACTTTCCAGCAAGTTACGGACCTTCAACATTAATAATTTTAGTGCATACATAGTTACCTCTAGTAGTACTGCATAAGCATAACTACAACGTACATCCATGGATATCTAGCTAGTGTAGCCCCACAGTGTACGGTAGTATTAGAGGGGTCCCCCCCCCCCCGCCCTCCAAAGAATGCCGCCACCCGACCAATACTACGGAGCCGATTTCGCATGACAGAAATGAAAAAAAAAATCGCCCGCGGAAGAAAGAAAGAAAGAAAGAAAGAACAAACCAAACCTATGTATTGACCTAACTTACCTAAGGGATGTGCTACATGTGATTAATTATAGTATTGTATTGTATTGTATTTCAAAGCAGCATTACCTTGGAACTGCTCAACTTTTTCTCGCGCGCACATAACTCAAACTCGGCCTAGGAACCTACAGTATTAACCAATCCTATTATCAATCTTGGCTTTGGAGACGTTCTTACCTACGTATTCACATACGATACGATTCACAAATTCTGTCTGGACTCCCTACAACCATCGATTAACCACATTCAAAAGAAACACACCATAACCTAGCCGTTTTCTCACTTTCGACGGTTACCGTTTCTACCCATCTAACCTAATCCCTAAAGATCCGAAGTACAAGCAAGGCAAGAAAGTTATTAAAAAGTACCTTCGTTACTACCCTACGCAGGCGCCGAACCTCGATTTCTATCGAACTTTTTTCTACCCTACTGCCTATTTAGGTCTTTATATACGAATTTCTATAGAATATCTATCCTGCGAGTATAACAAGAGAACAACAATCGAGAGCGAGACACGATTTCCAGAGGCCTAGTCGGAGCCCCCGACTTTCCCTCCATTCCTCTCTCGTCGCCTTCCCTACCAACCGCGCGCACGGAACACAATGTCAGCAATTCTCTCAGCCGACGACCTGAACGACTTCATCTCGCCAGGCGTAGCCTGCATCAAGCCTGTCGAGACCCTCCCCGCTGCTCCTCCGCAGAACTACTCCTCAAACGATCTCGAGCACGAAGTTATTCTCGACGGCCAACAAGCATCGCAGGGACAAAATGGCAATGAACCAGCACAGATCTCGTTGACAGACTGCCTCGCATGCTCCGGATGCGTGACCTCCGCCGAGGCCGTGCTCGTCAGCCTACAAAGCCATGCAGAGCTGCTATCCGTTCTCGACGGCGCGCCAGCTTTGCGCGTGGTACCACAACCACAAATCAATGGCCACGTCAACGGCAATGGAGTAGTTGAGAAGGAGAATTTCAAAGTCGAAGGTCTCGAGAACCCGGATGCAAAGCTCTTCGTCGCCAGTGTATCGCCACAGACGCGCGCAAGTCTAGCGGCTGTTGCTGGTGTGAGCGAGCGCGATGCCGGACGTATGATTGAGCAACTGCTTATGGGTACCGAGGGCCTGCGCACGAGTGGAAAGTGGAACAACGGGTTTACGTGGGTGGTTGATACGAACGCGGGGCGAGAAGCGTGTTTAGTGCTCGGTGCGGAGGAAGCGTTAAACTCCAGTAGCACCAGTGTCGCAAAGCCCATCTTAACATCAAGTTGTCCTGGGTGGGTATGCTACGCAGAAAAGACACACCCGTATGTGTTGCCGCACATATCGCGCGTCAAGTCGCCGCAGGCTGTCACAGGCACGCTGCTCAAGACTACGCTGAGCCGAATTCTGGGGATTTCTCCGGACCGTATATGGCATCTCGCCGTCATGCCATGCTTCGACAAGAAACTGGAAGCGAGCCGCGAAGAGCTGACGGATGCGGTATGGAATGGTAGTGGCCAGCCTGGTCGGGGCGTACGAGATGTAGACTGTGTGATCACGAGCAAAGAGATCCTCATGTTGACGGAGTCGCGGAACATTGATTTCTTCAGCCTCCCCAGAATCCCCATCCCCACAGTCCAACAGACTTCCTTCCCCGATCCCATTATCCGCCGGTTCCTGTTTCCTCCACGCTCAAGAAGCGGGTGCCCAGACCCTCTGGCAGGCACTTCAGGCGGTAACCTGTACTACACGCTACAGTATGTGGCGGCGCGACATCCCGGGTCCCGCATTGAGAACATACGGGGCCGCAATGCCGATGTTGTAGAGTACACCGTGAGATCTGCAGCGGGTGATCCCATCTTCAAAGCAGCGCGGTACTACGGGTTCCGGAACATACAGAACCTCGTACGGAAGCTTCGACCGGCAAGACCGTCACGAATGCCAGGAGCTGCGCGCAAGGCAGTGGGAAGTAAAGCGGCCGGGTTGGAGTACGCATATGTTGAGGTCATGGCGTGTCCCGGAGGCTGTACAAACGGCGGGGGTCAGGTCAAGGTAGACGATCCCATTGTGCTGGAGAGGAGAAGGGTTTCGGAGGCAGGAACGAAACCCGGGCCTCAGGAGCAGAAGCTATGGCTTGCGCAGGTGGATGAGGCGTACTTCTCAGCCGAGGACTCAGAATCGGACTTATCAGAGTCCGAGGGGGGCAAGACCTCCGCGAGGCTAGAAAACGGGGCTGTGAATGGAGATAAGAGCCGGAGTGACGAAGTAGGTGGCATTTCCCCTTCGTACATTTTTGATATCCTGGCGCACTGGGCGGCCATAACGGACATAGGGGTAGATAAACTAGCGTACACGAGCTACCGGGAGGTGATGAGCGACGTCGGCAAGGACAAGGCGTCGGGCGGCAACGCCACGGAAAGGGTGGTGCAACTAGCCGGCAAGATCGGCGGCGGGTGGTAGCCCTTGTTACTGGCGAAATCTACCGTAGGTAGCTAAGCTAGTTAGGTCCTCCACGGGCTAGTCCGGTAAAAATTAAGAATTAAACAATTAAGTAACCAATATTCCTCATAGTAGTTGACTTTTCTTTCTTTCTTTGTTTCATTGTGTTAGGCGAGACGAGGCCTTCAGCCACCTCTCGCCCCACGCTTCGCAAACCCAAAACCACCTCTTCCAGATCCGTCAGGGCCACGAGGGGCACGGACGACTTGGTCCTCCTCCCGCGGGGTCGAGCGTCGCGACAGCGGTGCTCCGCCATCGTGGTTGTTATTGTTGTAGCTCCCTCCTCTTCGCTCGAACTGGAGTCCGGGCTTGGACGAGTAGTTCGGGTCGTAGAGTTCCCGCCCACCACCACCGGTGCTAGACTGGCTGCCCGGACGCTGGTTGTTGTTGTTGTTGTCTCGATCTCGATCTCGATCTCCGCGGCTCTCGTTGCGTCTGTGCGGTGCCCCGCCCCCTCTCCCTCCTCTCCCCCCTCTGCCTCGTGGCCCACGGCCATCGGCGGAGCGTAAGGGGGGTGTTACGGCGCCGGGCGTAGAAGTGCCGGAGGATGGGTTCGAGTTGCCCCATCCTGTGCCTAGTCCCGTGCCGGCAGTTGCGTTGTTGGGGGTGGTGGTGGTGCCGAAGATCTTGGCTCGGGCCTCGTCGTACCGACGCTGCTTCTCCTCGCGCTCGCGCTGGCGCTTGGCGAGCATCTCCTCGGGGGAGAGCTGGGGCGCCTTCTTAGACTCGTCGTCTTCGTCGTCGTCGGCACCGCCCGCAGAAGGGTCCGGCGCGGGCTTGCGGCTGAGAACCTTGACGGCGGGCTTGAAGCCGGTTGCGAGGGGCGGGTCGGAGCGGGCGGCGAGGTAGTGGAATGTGTCCAGGGGTGCTTCGCTAGGGAGGGGGGGAGGTGTTAGTTTCTACCCAATTATATTGGGTTGGTGGAGGGGGGAACCAAAAGACATACGCTGACTCCCAGAGCTTACGGTTGGATTCGGCATGCTTTGCAAGACGTTCTGCTTTGCTCATGGGCTGTGGTTGTCGTGCTGGTGGTGGTAATGGTTGTCTTGTTTCTTCAGCTGAGGCGGCCTTGTCAGCTTGCACCTCCCAGTCATCTTCCCATGCATCTGGGACGTTGGGTGTTGTTCGTCGTGCCATTGTGACTTTGTTTTGCTGGTTGGGTATGATAGATTGTAATTTAATAGTCCAAGAAATGTCTAAAAACTCAGATGCTGTGGCTTCTTGGCGGTCAGAAGAGAAAAGTAGTTATGTTTAAGGAAACACCGTCGCGTTGTAAAGTGTAAGTAGGGGCTTATAAAGTTTCCGGGCGTGGAAGAAAGGGAGGGGAGATTTTCGCGAACCGAGACATACCCACTGAAGTACCCAAGTACCTCGAAATAAAAAATCAACGTGGGGTTACAGTGCATTAGTGTGCGGCTTACCTAACGTGGACCGCCTGAGCAATTCTGGTTTGGCCAATGAGGTTGTACGCAGCACAACAGTTGTAGCAAGCATGATACTACTAGGTACTAGTAATAGTACACCACATAAAGCGCCTTCTCCACATTGCAGCTCACCAAGGGATCTATAGTGGGGCACCCCATTTCCCTCAACGCCTTTTACAACACTGAACTTGAAGCTGCCTTCTAAGTTGAACCTAACCTCGATACCTCCTACCAACTACATACGCGCTACTAGCCGGGTATACACTGTCACTCAGATATTAAACTTTAGGTTTGGTTCAACGTACCTATCAATACTGAAAGTACAGTAGGTACATAACCTAGTAGATTCACACAGAATCACCTTTATACTCCTCCAAGTGGGGTGTGATTTGTAAGTCAACTCCATACTCACAAAATACATTGAACACAACATCGCTAACTCCGAGGCAGTAAAATACTCACTACACATTTATCGAATACATAGAGGAGGATATTTCAGCCATGCAAAACAGCAATTCTGGTTCATCTCGTCCACTTACTAGCCTGCCAAGCCAGTTGCACACCCCCACCCAGTCCTTTAGTGACGCCGCCTTCACTCCAGAATCCACCATGGATGTGAAGCTAACTGCCTGGAACGAGCAGAAGGCTAAGGATGATTTAGAATTGGCCAAGGCGAGGCTTGCTGACCAGAGGTTCAATATCAGTAAGTGCCTCTCAATCTAGCTACCTGTGCCGTTCACGGACTTCAGCACAGGACGACTTGTACACTGACTATCATTATAGAGGACTATGAGGATCCTCTTCTTCCACGACAGCATCCACCTTCTTACTACTATCCTAAGGGCGTTACACAAGAGATGGAAGCCCGTTTGGCAAATCTCATTGCCGAGGTGAAGGATTCCACGAATTGAAGATTATCACATGGATGTTCTCAACTAAATAGCGTTGTCTTTACCACCAGTTGATGTATTTTAAATACGTCCATTTCTCTCCTAACATAGCGCTAATATGAGTTACGAAAGTCAATCCTAGCATCTTTGAGATTCGATTCGTCACTTTTTTGTGACTTGCTACCATATATTTTACGGCAATATCTGAATGGATCGTGTAGATACGGTATCATCAGCCTCTGCCTAAGTGTATTGATCAACTCACTGCGCAAATATTTGCTAAGGTAGTCATCTTATGAACAGAGTCGAACAGGAGTAATGAAAACTGTCTGATTAGTCACAATTTCCGTAGCAAATGCTATGATAGAAACCACCCGACATACTACACGGCAAAGAGCGTACCCCTTTTGTGTTTGTCACAAAATCTGACTAGATCACTATTTCTAATTATGTAGTGAGAGTTTGGATATATTCTTGGAATAAAGAGAACATGTTGAAATGTTATCGTATCAGCGTAACATCTTTTAAACTCCAACTGATCTGTAGGTATCTTTGGGAAAGGGGCTAGGTTATCTATCACATGCGCAGTGGAGTGCTATATATAACCCTATGAAATATAAAACGACACTTTGTTCATCCCATGGCATGAGTACCAAGCTATGAGGGGCCCCATATAGGTCAAAAAATATGTGTGTGTTCTCCAAAGGGTCCCAAGATTGTCAGCATACTTCAAATTGAGGAGGTTACGACTCTTCCAAGGTTATCAGATGTACCTTCTCTCATTCTACCACGGAAGATATTAGTAATGAGCATTAAAAAATGGCAGAAGTATTTTATACTTCGGGAAGGAGACACATGCATGTTGGTAATAGGGTTCATCTACTTTCTCACCTTGTGCATTTTTCCATATTCTAGGCCAGGCATCATTGTTTCATCCACATCGTAACCCTGGAACCATTCTTTCTCAAAACTCACACAACTTTCAAGTTTTATTTCGTCACAACAACACCTGGGCATTCTCACAATGTAGAATAATGCCAACGAGATATCTCATCACATACCCAGGAATATACCCAAGATATAGTACTCCGTTCTAGGTACAAATATATCTAAACCACATATACTATGTACTCTTCATCTCACTATTGGACCTAGCAATAGCTTCCTTCACCTTTCTGTCCAACATAACAATGAGAGAATCAAGTAAGTAAATTCTTTAATTTTTATTATCATATATACTATTAAGCAAGTTGCACAAATCTCTCTAAGGGCTTCCATATCCAAAATGAACACCCATCACCAGTCCCTTTAAGAAGCACAGATACACAAGTTCCATTGGAATCAGGAGATTAGTGTACTATGATACTACACTTCACAACTGAAACATCGTCAAATCCCCACTTGCAAGCTAATTCTGCTTTACCTAGGGCATGAGGATACCTCATCGTACTCGCGCCCTACGGGACCTTGTGCTGAGATGGGGACAACTAGCATGCTTCCACATGAGGCCTAGTAAATAGCAGCGGGATTCCCAATCACTGTTATTGGCAGACGTCATGAACCCTTTTCAATGCGGTATTCGATGACCAAACTCTTTAAGTTGGGGAAAAGAAGCACAAAGACTCGATTGATGCTAAAAGGTACATCTCTGAGGTCTACGGTGAGGACTAGCGTCGAGATTTTGCGAGCATGATGTTGTCTGTCTTGCTCATGCTTGGTGAGCATAAGACCTTGAACAATACTTGCAAACGGTCTGGCACTGCTCAGCCTTAGAGAGCACATCATGGACGCAACAACCTTATTTACGAATCTTGAAAAGGACAAATTCGACGAGTTTGTCATTTACCAAATGTTCCTTCCTCACCCCGCGGGGTCCAGAATAGAATGACCTGGTCATGAGACACGTTGCGAGAGTACAGTCCTGTCCCGGAAACGTGAGGGCAGACCATGAGATACGTCGAGCACAAAAGCAAGCCCTGAATAGTCGAAAGGGGATCTAAAGCGATTCCTACGTAGTCCCTGACGCTTACCCTTTACCTCCAAGGGACGAGTTCTCCAAATGACTAACGAAAAACGAGCTGGCCAAAGGAAACCGCTGGTGTCACGGGGCGGAACCTAGAAGATGCATAACAACATCGCTGTTGTGCAGGGATCTCCAACATCTCCTCGGAGACTATGGAGGTTATATATACATGACTGCTCCTCCTCCACCAAACATCATACGGGCGTGACTGTATATGAAGACCCAAAGAAACCTACAGCTAGTACGAAAATCGGAGAAGTATTGACGGAATTCCAAGACATTTTCACGGACACAGGCCTCGCACGAGTACCACAAAAAGAGTGGATGCGAGTCCAGTTGAAAAACGATTAGCAAACCAATATCCCCAAACATTGCAAACGAACCCATTGAACCAAGCTGCATGAGTTGACGGAGAGGCACGGCAGAGCCAATAAGCTCTCCCCCGACGAGTTTAAGTTGGCAAAGGGCTGGGAGGGCCACGGACAAATTGGCAATGACAACACCGCCGCGATATATGGGCAGGACCAGACGGGTTGGAAGGTCATACACCTGAAGGGAGGAAGGGGAGACCAAAGAAGGCCTGAGCCTGTCCCGGAATTGGAAAACGTATCGTGATGTTACTCGCTGACGCATACCCAGTATGCACCCAGGAGGAAATAATGAAGCAGGATACCAAATTCGTCCCGGGACAGCTTTTTGAAAAATTCAGTTTGCATAGGATAAGACTTGATAGAGTAGATGCTGTTACGGAGGTAAATTCAATGGACTTTAACCCCCCGTGACGTTTCAAACCACCTAATTTTGACCATTTAGTCCAGTCTTTCAGAACGCTCTATGATAGTAGTACTCATGTAGGTACATATCTCTTACTTGGAGCTACCTACCTAGGTCCTATACAATCATAGCAACTATGGTATATCATCCATATATGACATTGATGCTTTCATCTGTAGGTAGGCTGGCGAGACGAAGACAGGTTTTAAGTATAGGAGCTACGACATGATTTCCAGTTTTAGCTCAGCGTCGAATCTATCATTCCCCTATCCTCGTCTGAGCAGATGAGTACAAAACCACTGTTGATTCATAAGTCATGGATGGGTTCACAACCACCTGGTCCAACGGAGCAAACAATAGCCTTCCTTCCCTTTCCCGAGTAATACTCTGTCCTCCCGAGAGGGAACCTCATGAGTGAGCACGGCCAGCGCGATGTATATTTCCAGATCCGAAGCTGTTATTGCTGTTTCGGTATAATAACGATTATAATATCAGCCTGCTTCGCCACACAGTCCTACCCTTACATCAGCGCCTTTTTGGTACCAAATGACGTCTCCCACCTGGAAGCTTCTCTTGATATTTTTACTGACACTTTATTGCTCACCGGAGCTGAATATTAGTCATCATGATATGAATGTCAGCATCCTTATACCTAGTGGCTTAGGCAGAGTATTGTCTCATGCCTCACCGTTTCATTGGCGCGCATCGAAAGCTTGATGTTTAGCCTCGCTGTGTCGTACAAAACGGGCACGCCGCCTATCTACTTGCACTAAGAGGCTGTGTTTCGACACGAGACAGGAGGAGGAGAACGCGTGTAGTTAGGTAATCCAATCCGTGGGGTCGCGATTATGCACGGCACGACGGTGGGTGATATATACTACCTACCCACCTTGGCAGGCAGGGGCGTAGGTAGGTACGTTTCGGATCTCTTGTTCTGTCCATTCGACGAGCATAGCCGGGTCGAGGCGGACCACGGGTGGCCTAAGAATAGCTGAAGTATGGGTTAAGTACGTATGAATGTGCTTTACCTGAGTAGTAATTCATCTTAGGATGTAGTATCTATGTAGGTAAGGTACCTACACGACGGCGTAGCAGACGGGGGATTCGGGCACCTCTCACACGAGGGCACTGTATGCTACCTACACGGGAAAGATAGGGCATGGGATGAGATGGATGCTTAAGAGGGAAGGAAAGGACGCGGGAAAACTACAAAAAAGAAGAAAAGAAATATGCATACAAAAACGTGGTAGCTACGTAGGCACGTTCGATTATGATGGCGTGTAGCGATCGTAAATTATATAGACTGATAATTTCTTTTGGACGTATACATACCATTGTTCGTTCGTTGGCCATCCCCGGCTCCTTACGAATCGAGTTCTAGACTTTCCGCTTCGGGGTTTCACTCGATTACTTACCTACTTACGCATCCGCTTCCACGCGTTAGGGACTGGGCGTATATCGTGCATGTAGCAGCAGGGGGGGTAGGGGAGGAATATGTACGTTTATGAGCAGGTAGGTAGGTACGTATATATACCTATGTAGTCGCAGAATCAGGGAAATATATAGTTATTTATCAAGAAGTAAAAAAAAACCCCTACCAGTTTGTGCGTGATGGACAAGCTTTTTGGCGGGGATGGATGGATGAGCGACGCGTCCGATACCCGATCTTCCCGTCCCGGTCTTGCTTGCTTGCTTTGCTTGTTTGCACACCCCCGTTCGCTCCTCTCTTCCTTACCTTTAAAACCCCAACTTGGCCTATATGTGGCAATGTAAGGTAGAAACTAGGAGGACGGGACTGCGCCGTCCGCTGATCTTGGAGAACGGGTTGCTGAAGGTGGGTATGGGTATGGCCCGGCTACCACATGGCGACAAGGGTGTCTGTTTCCCATTCCGTCCATCCATCCTTCCATCCACCTTGGCCCTCCTTGTCTGGGTCTTTTTCTTTTTCTTTTTATGTTATTTTTTTCTCTGTAGCAGTGTAGGCATGTCTGTATTCTGCCTGATAATTTCCGAAAAGGCTTAACCCGAGGATCATGGGTAAGGTACCTTCTACCTACCTACCTGCCTACCCACCTACCTACATCCCTTGAGATCGCCGGTTTGCTTACTACTAGGTGCTTGTCCATCCATAGCCGCGCCCTTGGGGGTATGGATGCCATATTATGTAGGTGAGATTACCAAAAGCAAGAAAGAAAAAAAAAATCTCTTCCTTAAATCAGAAAGGGGGAGGGGGGGAGGGAGGAAAGGATTTTCGTTGCTTTTTAACCCGGGGGGTTATGGAGTTAGATATGTATATGTATATGCGGATGGGGCCGCGCGGGTTGGGGGCCCTTTTCGATCCGTCGGTTCGGGTTGACGCGGTGGGACGGGACCTATGTACGGTAGGTCGTGAGGTTGGCAAGCAGAGAATGTATCCCGGCTCAGAGTTTTTTTTTTCTTTTCTTTTTCTCTTCCTCTCTTTCTCCCCATATGGGGTAGTCCCGTTTTTCTCCTGTGGGTGATGGGATATAAAAGACCTCGATATGTAAGTCATATCGGTACGCTTAGAAGAGGTATATAAAAAGAAAACGAGGAAGAACAATATATTATGTATTCGGATATCCGTGAAGCTTGGTACCTTGGCATCCGCGCTGTTGGTTCTGCGTGCTACCTCATAATAAAAACGACCATTTCTTGCGTTGCCAGACAGGGCAGAGCTTAAGGTCGCACGATCTTAATAGGTATGTATGTTTTCGTTGGCGACACGCACCGCACCCCAAAAAAACCCTACAGCTACGTTTGGGGTTGGGTTACAGTTTTTGTCTCTCTCTTTTTTTTCGTTCGCAATGAAACCCCGGATATACATAGATAGAAGTTGCGGGCTGCAGGATCCGAAAGAAGAAAGTAGGGGGTAATAGGGAGAATGAAGGGTGGAGGGGGAAAGGGGGGGGGGTGAGAAAAAGGAAATCGCATGACTCGCATTTGTTCACCACCACGATCTACGACCTACCTCGCCTTGCCTTTACTTATTATCCCGTCCGCCCATTCCCGGCATCTGGTCCAACGTTTGAGATCGAGTGGCTTGTCTTGTGCAGGAGTGACAGTTCGGCTGCATCCATCGGTATTCCAAAGAGACGAGGACTGTGTGTGGCCTTTTTTTTCCCACAGCCAAACGGGGATATATAAGGTAGGTAAATAGGTAGGTAGGTAGATATGAATGGATGGATCAAAGCCATTCGCTATGGCGAACCTATCATGGGAATTTTTAAGACTGAGACACGCAACAAGGCACCATGCGCATGGTTCTGGTTTGGGGAAATACGGACTCCCTCTTGTCAGACTGTGCAGCGGTACATGCTTCATTGGTAACAGCATGGAGATGCAGCAGGTGCATGTCTAGACATGTAGGTAGCTATGTAGCTATGTAGGTCGGTAGGTAGCTAAGTAGGTACAGGTAGGTATGCCTTTCATTCCCAACGCACCAACTGTTGGCCTTGGTTCATCTCCCGATGACATAGGTAAATGCGTTACTTATCTTAATCATCGTCATCTATATTGTGTGAATATATTTCAATGAGCTCCTCAATTCCTCCGGGGTGAAGATTGGGTCTACCTACCTGGTAAAGAAAGGGTCAGGGAGATCGACGCTGTGCAAAAGTCTTGGACCTTACGTGATTTACCTACCGGCTCGTCATGAAAGCTAGGTACCTAGGACCTAGGTAGGTAAGCAAGGGTAAGGGTAAATGCTCCTTTCCGAACTCCCATGTTAATCTCACAAGCTGAAAAAGTAATCCGTACTACCATGCAGAGTGAACATTGAATTCAAATTGGCTCTCTTTGTTCAAAGGTACCTACCTATCCAAGTACATGGATACTAAAGTAACCTACCTAATAGGTAGTTTAACATACAGTACTAGTGTATGTTGCTGATGAGCCAATGGCAGTAGTCAATGTGTCTCTTGTACGCTAGATTGGAGGTGGTTGTTGTTACTATGTTGTAAAAAGGGCCAACCGGCGAACAGATGCAGGTTGGCAACCTGGGGACTGCCACATGGTGCCAGTCTTGACTCCAGACTGGAGAATGCCTACATGTATGTAGGTATGTATAGGTAGTAATGTATATGTCTTGTTATTTATGGATATAATGGATACGAAGCAACATTTGTTTCGCCCATGGCTATTTTTATTATAGTTGGAAACGACATCTGGGGGAATCGTCAGGTCATCGATAGTTTGGAATAATAAGGGGAGGGGGATAGAGGAGGACCCGACATTAGAGATTGGTGCTAGTGGTAGACGCCGCCGCCAGTTCGAGGAATAACGGGTACCCTATCAGGCTTTCTCCACCTAAATAGGTGAAATCTGTGCCGCTGTGACGACGTTTAACCTAACTTTTGTGACTATCTATCTCTTATGTACTAGGTTAGTATGCAGGAATATATGTATGAAGGCTAGAAGGATTCTGTGTAGGTAATAAGTAGTCAAGACTTGTCAAGCAAGTAGGCAGGTAGACAGGTAAGCTAGTAATTTCGGGCTTATGATAATCAATGAACAAGGAGCAGCCTCGACACCGCAATTCGAGTTTTCTAGAAGGTTGTGTCGTAGCTGGTTCAGCCCGTCCTAAGGATTGTTTTCTTCCAAGGAATATTTAGGGGTCCGTCTTAGGTAATAGCTACTTAGATACTAGGTGGCTAGTATGTAGTGTAGGGATAGTTAAAATGGGGCCCTCTCTGCTCTCTTTGGCTTCATTGGGATGTCGTGTCATCGAATCGTGGTATCTATTAGGTACCCAGGTTATGTAGACTGGACTGGTAGGTAGTGGAGGTATCCTCATAGATTCTACCGCTTGTTGCTTTGGCCTTGCGGCATTGCCGTAGAAACCCATATGAATACTGTACCAGCTAGAGATGTAGGTATGAAACCCCTTAGTTGCTCTAGAGAAACTTGTTTTAACATATGTAATAACTCGTAGGGGTAGAGGGGTTGTTGAAATAAATGTAAGATCAGCAAGTCTCAGATCAGATCACTACATAATACTACCGGTACTTACATAGTTAGTTGGTTAAGAAAAATAAAAAAGGGACGAAAACGAGTTCTGCCCGCTCCGGCGAATATTCGTGGACGAAGACTTGGAATTCTCCACTAGGGGCGACCGATAATCTGGATTTTTCGTCACAATTTGGCCGTTTTACCTCCTATCTAGTATCTCTGTCGTATTAGAAATCATGGACATCTAATACCTGTCAGTGTAATGCCTCTCGTACCTGTAAATTTGGAACCGGATTCATCATAGGTTGGTAATGGTTGATTTCATATTCGATTTCGACCTTGATAGTTCCATCCATCCATCACATCACATCGCACATTGCACATCTTGCACATCGCACTCGCAGGCGCATCGCATCGCGGCTAGTTTCAGACAATTGCGACATAGATCTAGCTGGACCTTGGAACCTACTAAGGTTAGTGGTTAGCACCCTTTTTGCTGGGCTAGCTAGACCTACTATAGATACGATCGCCTTCCCGTTCAGGTATGCCGCCGGACACGGTATTAGATTACACCCGCAACGTTTAGATAGAAAAGATAGAAAGGAAAAGAGAGAACAGTTCCCGGAGATCTTAGAAGGGTAATCTACCTCTACCTATGTAGTATGTAAGAAGAGAAGAGGGGAGGCCTCGACAAACTCAAGTTAATCTTGAGCAATCATCACCCGAAGCTCGCCGGATTCTCTAGGATTTCTTGAGGAGGACACACCGAATCATATCAGGAGCTCCTGATGGTCGGCTGATTTCGGTATCGGCAACTTGAACAAGACAAGCTGAAATAATAATGAGGGTATTCCTTCTCGATCTGTATACATTACCTGTCAATGCCAATGTCAATGTCAATGTCAACCATGTCTGGGTAGATATTATACCTATCATGTAGCAAGCACATGAATGAATGATAGCTTTCTACATAGGCACACCAAGGAGATATGTACATACATATGTACATACATCAAGACACCCAAGCCTTGAGAAGGGCCGGTGTATCTAGCATTGCCACGTAGGTACATATATGTATGTATACGTACATACACATGCACATGCGGTTCACGTTCAATGTTGGTCTAGTATCTTGCCTTCAATGTTCCTACGTACATGTAAGTACCTATTAATATCGTCAGAGCCTACATACATCCTATTCAGTACTAAAAGTAGGTAGTCTTGAAATTCTTGGACCCTGACCACCACGATGAAGAGGAGGAGGACGGCAACGGCGACGGCGATACGGATACTGTACCTCCCTTATATGCATACATGTACATACGTAGTACATATTATACTACCTAGTATGTATATAATATATATAATACTATACTAAGATGTACATCATGATGGATGTTTACTAGGTAGTGTATTGTAGACGGTAGGTACATGTAGTAGGTACCTCTTGTATATTTGTATTGTACATAGTACTGTTTTGTATCAATTGTATCCATCAAAAATAAATGGTGAATTACCTCACCTATTGAAATCGTACACGAGCAGGAAACCCCGCCGTTGAGACCCGTTGGACCCTCTTATAAGCCGGTAAAAATGTATACTGTAAGTATCTCTACCCCTCATCTTCAGCCATTTTCTTGTCACAGTATACATTCGCCGTACACGAGCTATTCAATGGGACCCAGTTCACGCTGTACCGGCGCGGGCGGGGCTTAGCCAAAAACTGTTTAAACCAGCCAGCCACTAGGCGTTCCCGGGCCTTTTTAGTAGACTGTCCCGATTGATTTTTTTTTACCTATTATCTACGCTGCTAGGATGTATTGTACAATACAATACTACTAGTAGTATCAACAGTATTATAGTACTAGGTCCCCTAGGTAGTTACCATTTTTGGGATTTCGCACCAGACCCCTCCACTAACAAGAATGCCCTTCCAAGCTCAAATCAGAACTTGAAGCCCGCCTTTTTCCTAGGTACCTTGTAGCAGTCCCATGTAGCAGTGCTGCAGTGTGCAAGTCTCCAGTTGCTATGTACATAGTCCCCAGCAAGCAAGACATTCAATTGATTTTACCTTACACTTACCTTACACTTACAACCGCAACGTCCCCTTCACCATTCTCAAAGCTGTACCGTACCCATTCTGCCCATCCTGTACCCGTCCTCGTCAACCGCAACATCATTTAACCACAAACCAAACCAGACCAAGACCAAGACCAAACCACTTCTGCCACTTCAAATCCAAACCGCATCAAACCACATTTGACATCAGAAAAATACTTACCTTACCCCCCTCACGCAAATCAATTTCTCCTCCATCTAAGTTTTGTGTTTTTTTTCTCTCTTTTTTTAATTTTTTATTTTCTTCTCTATTTTCTCAAGAAACCCCCACGCTCGACGTCAAACCTCAGATCTCCAACCAAACGAGGTTTGTTCTTTCATCTGGTAATTTTATTTTTTTTTATTTTTTTATTTATTTACTGTAATTTCCCAATCTCACTTCGAACCCCAAGCAACGAACACATCCAACGTCTGCCACACACGAACCATAACCACCACTACAAAACTAACTTACTGGTGGCTGACGATTAAGTTTCAGGAACCCGTTTGGAAAAGAACCTGACATTGGTATGAGAGATCGACTGCCCTTGGTCTATCATCATCATCATGTCAGGTTCGGAGGGAGGATTTGACCTGCTTCGGCGAGCAACGCAGGCAATGATGTCAAAGTAAGTTACTATTTTATTCAAGTTCTATTCTCCGTTCAGCTGTTTTTTTCAGTTCATCACCAAGTTCGGAACATTCCCCAACATCCATCCCATGCCCTTCCCCTCATATGTTCATATCATATAACCCTATCATTGATCGAATTCAATCGCTCCAAAAAACGATAGAACGATGTACTATCACTGTCTATATCTTCCTTCTTTCCTACCTGGTTACCTTGCTCGTTACGAGACTTTGCTTGTGATCTCGCAAGTCGCGATCTCCCTCCAATTTCCCACAAGGTTCTCTTTTCCGTTTAGCCAGTATTTACTTTCGGATTGCGGATTGCGGATTACGAATCACGGATCACTGCCCAAGGATTATTGTAAAGTTCGGACCTTAGGACCCTAGCTTTTAGGTACCGAAGCTCGACCGCATTAGGACCGTTCTTTACAGTCTGGATTTCAGAAAACAGAAGCTGCTTCTTTCGTCACAGCCCCCTCTCCTAGTCAACCATTCAGCAATGATGTGAAGGGGCCACTATTCAATCCATCGGCCCAGCGGCCGTACATTCATTCATCAACCGAGCATTCGACTAGGCTAGTTTGTGACGGTTGAAACATATCGAACATATCATGTCACCAGCCTTAAGACGATACGAAGTACGAGGGAACTTATGAGATGCATTCGCCCAACACATATATTGCTTCTAGTTCATCTGCGTTGTACAGCTCTGGATGGCCACCGATACTCGCAAGGACAAGAACCCCATATTATTTGGTCCAGCTCCGTACCACGGCGAATGAGAAGCGCGGGGTCTGGACGAGGCTTATAATTACTATCATATTGAAGCCTGACTCCTGACTCGCCGGCACAACAATCCGCAGAGGAGCCCAATGTTACTTGTTCACAATTACTGGGCTGGCTGTTCCTCTGTCTCTCTCTCTGCTGCGGCCACCCCACCCTCGCGCCGATCCATCTCCAGCGCACTACACCCCCCTTTGCCCCCCACTTCAACCCTCCCCTCCTCTAGCTTACCACATGGCGAGTGTCATGGGTAGTCACTATGAAGCAGCATGGGGTTCGGCTAGACGAAATAGCTCGTGAAATTCTCGTCTTTTTTTATTGTTTTTTTTTTAATCATTTGCTTTTCCATCTTCCGCCTTCCGCCTCGCTTCGTTTCGCCTGTTTATTTCAATCCATGGATACCAGGATACGTTACGGGACTATTGGACCTCATTTGCATTACGTTTATTGGGCATGCCTTGTGTCGAAATGTGCTCTTACCAAGATTCCCCCTTGAATTTCCTGGCACTTTTCTTATGATATACACATCTTGATAATCATTCCAACATTTTGTCCCCCTCCGCCAACGAGTCACAATTTTATTTACTTCATTTACTTTTTCAGTCTGGAGAATATCTTTGGCTGTACTTCAATAGTCAAAATGATTGTCATTAACCCGCCAAATAGGACATCAACGGAGGAGGATGGAGCGGATCAGATTGGATACGATACTCCTCGATCCGGCATCGCTACACCTCAACCTGATCTGACTGACAAGCGACTACCTGGTATTGCGAGTTACTTTGGCCAGGTTCGTACACCCTCTTTACCTTCTTCCTTAGGTTCTTCCTCTTTTTCCCGAACACCAGAGACTGAGTCGACCCACCCTGCCTCTCCCCAGGAAAAGAAGGAAACGGATAGCGCCCAGCAACAACTACCGAGCCCGGAGTCGGAATTGAGCAGCAAGGATCTGTCGCCGGAAATTTCGCCTCTCCTTCCACATGAGAGGATCGAACCTCTGGTAAATGCGCAATCCTCGCAGCCATCTGACCCCTACCCTACGCCTCCCTCTTCACAAACACCGTCAGAGAAGGGGGTCAAGTTGTCTGACGCGAGTGGCGATTCGGACACGGCTGCCAGCGGTTCATCGACTCGATCCTCTTTGAATAACAAAAGCGCTACGGATCTCACGCAGTTGAAGGTTCGGAGGGCCACCCTTGCATCTCCTCTCACGAGCATTGTCACTACATCTAGCGTTCACACGAGTCACATGTCCATCCCTATCGATCGTACCTCTACAGCCACCCCTACTTCTCCCCCGGACACCCAACCCCCTGCAGGCGATTCTAGCAATTTTCTCTCTCAGTCAGCCTCGATTGATCGACTCAAGAAGCTAACTGAAGGTGGATCCAAAAAGAGCGGTCCATCGACACCTACTAGAACGCTTTCCGCAACCCACGCGTCCCACCCCCCCGCCGCCGCCGTCGAAGAACGATCGCCGTCGAAGCTTGGTGGGGACAGCGCGGAGACAGGCGGCAGGCAAACACCGGCCTCATCCTCGAGTGGCAGCGCTGCCAGCAATACTGGCGCGCAAGCGCCACCCCAGAGGGGCAAGTTGACCATCAAGATTCTGGAAGCTCGGGGATTACGAAAGAGTCGGGATCCCTATGTTGTTGCGGTCTTTCAGAGGAGTGAGCTGATTTCACACGGACCTCGAACATTTGAGGATGAAGAGGAACCAGCCGCTCAACCTGTCCCTATGAGTGGGATGGGTGGCCTTCCCATACAGCGCCAAGGCAGTGACCCTGGCCGCTCGATGGCGATCCCTATGCGCAGCCGTCAGAGCAGCAACACCAGCATCTCTGACTACAATACCTGGCGGAATCGCCCCCGCAAGTCCTTCACAAGCCCTAAGTGGGACGCCGAAGCAGAATTGTGAGTAATACTAGTCAATTGAGCCCTTTAGATGTAGCCGACTAACTTGAATAGTGACGTTGTGGATTCAGACATGCTAGTTGATATCTCGATTTACGATCACGGTACACAAGGAGAAGAGTTCTTGGGACATGTTGACTTCCAAGCTATCATTCCAGGAAAGGACGAGCCTGTGCGAGGCTGGTTCCCATTGAGAGGAAACGTTGATACCACACCCGAGAAGACACCGACCGGCGAGATATTCGTTGAAGCGAGTTTCCAGAGAACTGAGAAGAAGCATTATGGACCAGACGACTTCCAGATTTTACGTTTAATTGGAAAGGGCACCTTCGGTCAAGTTTACCAGGTACGGAAGAAGGATACCGGCCGAATATATGCTATGAAGGTGCTGTCGAAGAAGGTTATTGTTCAGAAGAAAGAGGTGGCGCACACAGTTGGCGAACGAAATATCCTAGTCCGAACTGCGATGTCCGAGTCGCCCTTCATTGTTGGATTGAAGTTCTCATTCCAAACACAGAATGACCTCTTCCTAGTGACTGATTATATGTCGGGTGGCGAACTCTTCTGGCATCTTCAGAAGGAAGGACGATTCGACGAAAAGCGAGCCAAGTTCTATATTGCCGAGCTCATCCTCGCCATCCAGCATCTTCACAATAACGATATCGTCTACCGCGATCTGAAGCCCGAGAACATTCTCCTCGACGCCAATGGCCACATCGCACTTTGCGATTTCGGATTGTCTAAGGCAAACTTGACACAGAATGATACGACCAATACATTCTGCGGAACCACGGAATATCTAGCCCCAGAAGTGCTGCTAGATGAGGCAGGATATACCAAGATGGTTGACTTCTGGTCTCTTGGAGTTCTCGTCTTTGAGATGTGCTGTGGCTGGAGCCCCTTCTACGCGGAAGATACGCAGCAGATGTACAAGAACATTGCGTTCGGCAAAGTCCGATTCCCGCGCGACACGCTCTCCCAAGAGGGCAGAAACTTTGTCAAAGGACTACTTAACAGAAACCCGAAGCATCGGCTTGGCGCTATTGACGATGCCGAAGAGTTGAAGCGTCACCCATTCTTTGGCGACGTTGATTGGGATATTTTGACTAAGAAGCTTATCACGCCACCCTTCAAGCCTAAGTTAAAGTCCGAGACAGACGTCTCGTACTTTGATCCCGAATTTACCAATGCCTTGAATACGAATGGGTCGTTGAATGAACGTGCTCAACAGCTGGCGGCCGGCTTTGCCACATCCACACCACTTTCCCCGACCACACAAGCCAACTTTCAAGGTTTCACGTTTGTCGATGAGAGCTCATTGGACGACCACATGCGGGCAAGATTCGGTGACGAGGATATGGATGATGCAGACCGTCGGGACAATGACTGGGATGATTTGGAGGATATCGACCTCCGGAAAGGCAATAGGATGAGTGGTATTGTGAAGACTGGTCACAATGAGGAGGCATTTGGTCAATCCCATTTCGACATATGACAATACTTTTCTGTTTTTGTTTCTGCTTCCGAAATCTTACGACATAAGAATGAACTTGCACATTCTTTCTCGGCATTCATATTTGGTTTCCTCGTTACTCTGAGTTTCTGTCCACGGCATCATTGCATGGGGTGGCATATTGCATGCGGTGACGGGTTTGGCTGAGGTTGCTCAGCCACAAGCGGAGTGGTAGGGCGTTTGGCTGTTTGGCTGATGCAAATAGTCTGGAATTATGACACATACGTACACGAGGTTACGGGATACTTCCGAAAGTGCTCATTCTACATCACGTCCTATTTAGGTCAGGAAGGACCCTTACAGTTCACACGGTCCTGATTTTTTGTCACTCCAGTTTGGGATTCTTAGGCAAAGACGTTGGATGCTGGCTATAAGGCCACTGAGAAAGCATCTGCCATCGACGAGCTAGCTGCTTGACCCCTATGTGGACGGTTCGTCCGCAATGGTGATCGAGTAGATCGACAGCCTACTACAATGGTGCACGATATGCTAGCGGGCCAGCAGAGAGCTGTCGGCGAAACAACAAGTGGATTAGGCGCAATTCGATTGGCTCCTGTATTCGCCTAAGGATCTGCTTTTGATTCTGATGGCTTGCTACCTACTACCTTTATACAAGCGTTCCCAAACTTGCACGAGGCACGTTGTGGGAGGAAATTGGCATGGGAAAACCGTACATAGGTACATAAAGGTACTGATACAGGCGCCTTCTTAATGAGAATCGAGAGAGAAAGTAAAATAAAATTACACAGGTTGTTTATGAATATCTTATTTGACTTTATTTGCCTTGTGAACCATGATGCAAACTGTCCTTGGTGCTTTGATGTAATGTCTGGCTTATATAACACTTACCCTTTTACCTCCTTAGTAATAGTTGTGGCCAGATTATAATCTGTACGGCCCTGTAGACCGGCTCTTGCCAGAGGTACATAATATTTCAACCAACTTATCTAGCAATTATTCTTCCATCCTACTCTTACGTATACTCGGGAAGTGGAGTTGGCGGGAAGATGCCGAACATAGCAAGCTATATATATTGTGGACTTTTTGAGTACTCGGATAGCTACCCAGGTAGGTAGGTACCCATATATTGTTCAACAAATATACCAGTAGTACCTATGTAGGGTTCATGTAGACCTTTAACAAACCTCATACATCGGGCCGTTGGCTACTCCCATACCTACACTTACTTATTCCTAAGCATATGTCTCCAGTCCTGGAATTGCCCAGATCAGAGCTTCTTGCAACTCAGACCAAACAGCTTGTCGTCAGGTCTCTGCGAGCTATATCCTCGGTCCGATATACATACCTACCTACCTAGGTACTTGCCTGGCCTACAAGAATTGTAGTCGTAAAAGGAATGATTTCCTACGTTCGTTTATTAGAGAATGAATCCATGCATCCCGATGATGGAAATTGGGAGGAATCATTGCAATATCGAGAAGAGCTCCTCAAAGTTGAAGTAATTTCTCCCAATGTCTGTCATTGGGAGGTAGGTATGGATTCATCGGATGAAGTTTAGCATGATTCTCCCAGGTAGGGGGTTCCCGCTACGGTAGGTAGGTAGGTAGGTACCTAGGTATGCGGAGATAGGGGGTGATATAGCTAGGTTGGATGTAGGTGGAGTGGGGAGCTAGGTAAGGTGCCTACTATGTAGATATCTAGGCTACACGTACGTATGTATAGCTTTGGCGGTGGGAAAGGGGAAGGGGGGGTCTAGCCTACAATGCATATATCCAAGTGTGTGTCTACTAAGTACCTACGGACGTATTTAGTGCTGGAGGTAGAAAGGGGGGCTGAGGCGAGGCGAGGAAAGTGATAGAGGTGGGAGAGGGGGTGGGATACATAAGTTTCATATTCCAACATTCGGGCCTTTGAAAAAGGAACGGGGATGCTTTGTATTTTCGTGCGAGTACCTATGGAAGTCTCTTTGTAGAATGATGAACCTAGAGATGCTAGGAACCTCACGTATTCGTATGGATGTATATCTATCTACCTACCTACCTACCTGGGTACCTATGTAGGCATGAGATAAAGTGGTGACGGACCTATACCTATTAGAAGAGATGGTTCCAGCTGATGGCTGGCTCTTTTAAGACGTTCTTGATATAGGTACACAGTGTTACGGTGCGTTGCGCTTTCCATCTGGTATACATATCTGCTCAGCGTTGTAGGTAGGTTACTTTGACGCAGTCATTCTATAAAGAGGCGGCCGGAAAGGAAGGGATGTCAGTGTAGTAGTAGGTAGTAGCAGCAGTAGCTATAATGACGTAGGTACGAGAAAAGGGGGGTTGTTGGGGATATTTATATTTGTACATTTCCTTGCCTGCCCCGTACGAAGAGGTAGCTAAGCTACTGGGTAATGTTCTATAGTGGTGAGCGACAATGATTTCGTTGTCTGGTTATCGAGGCGTAGCTAACGAGGCGTGATGCTGAACGCATGCAGATATCTACCGACTCGGTACCAACCCAGGGGCCACAAAAGGTTCCAATGGACGTAGTAAACACGTGTGCCTAAGTATCTGCTTAGCAGGTATGCAACCTATAAAATCAGTGCCACTGATTATTGGTTCTTCTTCCTAGATATCGGTACGAATAGGGGAAGAGAGCTCATAGCATTGGACGGATTACGTCAATGCGGCGACTATAGCCCCGTTCAGCTCAGCATATAACGCAGCGGAGTGTTCGGACCTCGAATAGGATGATGCAACAAAGAGAAGCTTGATAATAGGTATGCACCTAGGGAGGTAGCTGGCATCTACTGGGTAGATGTAACACCGTGGAAGGGTGTGCGAGTCAGTGTGCTCTTAAGTAGATATGGGAACATACCTAGGTGGCGATAAGAATCATATCACAGAAATGGGACATCATGGCAGGCTACTAGAGGTATGAAGTGAAGGATCTTTTACGATTCGGTGCCGGCGACCCTAGGAATAAATGTACACGTGTGGATTACTCCCCTCCTCAGCCCTCCTTCCTCCCTCAAATGTTTGATGTGACCTACCTAAGTATGGTCCACATCTTCGTACATGCCTCTTCGTTCTCTCTTCGCTCGCAGTGATCTTATAGCTTATTGCCTTTTGTCTTAGTCTTTAGTCATGATACGGATATCTATCTATCTACCTGCCTCGTAGGTATATAGATAGGTATCTAGTGGTGAGCACCAGCCTCCTCTTCCTCTTCCTCGACGAGCCAGTCCTCAATGACAGCAGGCGTCGACGAGGCAGTAGCACCTTCGTTACCCTCGACCTCGACGGCCATGCTCTCGTACTCTTTTAGGCTGCTGGCTAGGTCGGTCTCTTCGGGTGATTTGGGGGCCTTGGGTGCGCTGAAGGTTTGGACTTGGCCAACTGAGTCTGAGTCTTTGATAGGTGTTGGCTTGTAGGCCTTGAGTTCTTTAAGGTATAATTCTTGAACGAAGTCGGCTATAATTTAAGAGAATCATGTTAGTAAACAAGAATCGTCGACGATAATGAGGCGGTGTCGGTCCACCGCTAGAACGTTTCTCCCCCCTCCCCTCTTCTCCCCGATTACCGCCACACTTTATTAATTTTTTCCCCTCCCAAGCTCGGTCGTATTTTATGGCAACTCCTCATTTTATTTGGAGCTCCGAAAATGGATAAAAAATAAAAATTTATGGGTTTCTTACCTCGTCGCGAAACTGTTGGGGCGATGAATCCTCTGACAGCGCTGACCTTGGCTGCGCGGGTAAAAGCCGTAGCGGCCGATCGAGCAGTATGCTGGAAAATTGGAAAAAAATTTGAAGTCAGCAAAAAGTGTTCTCTAGAGCGAGCTTTTTTTACAAACTTGTGTATTATTACAAAAATATTTACTTACCGTGGCTCTGAACATGGTGTCGGATGAGGGGAGAATGCTCAATTGATTGAGGTTGTAGAGGGTAGAGTATAGTTAATTGAGGTGGTGGGTGATGAGGATTGCAAAACGCTTTGCGAATTTGCGAATTTGCGAATTGAGGAATTGAGGTTTTTCCTTCGTCGCTTCGCTCGATTGATTCTTTTGGGGGGTTCAAATGTTCATTATGTCCTTTAGCGCCGAAGCTGGTGCTTGGAAGTGGAGTAATCTACTACCGGGTATATGCATAAGTCACGTGATGCTATCTAAGCGCATAATTGCATTTGCCACTGTAAGTAGTAGTTACCCCGGATATGTAACTGACATCTTTACACTTTACACTGCTACAATCTTCCAACATTGAAGGCAACAACGTTCGACTATCGACTCACAACAGACATCAATTAAACTCAATCTAATTACTTTCCCCTCTCTTCTCTCCTTTTTCTCACCTCCACTATTCACACACACATTCACACACACATTCACACACACATTCACAGTAAAGATACGAAATACAGCCTGAAATATATATATCTTGCACTTACACATATACAGTGTGGAGATCATATATACTTCTTATATACGAACTAGTTCTTCGTCCATCATTCAGTGTTGGATCTAGATATATCTGCTAATCGCTAGCAACCCCCTTGGTCTCCTAGGCAATGCTGAAGTGAATAAGCATGAAACATTCAGGAAGCGATGAGTTTTGATTATCGGTAAAGACCGAGGTATGTATCGTCAAGTAAAACCCAGCTATATCTATCCCGAACACCTAATCCAAAGCCATTGGTTCAGTAATCAACAGTCCAGCTATACTGGAAACTGGACATGAACCATGGACAAGTATATAACGCATCAACGCGTCTGTACCATCCACAATTAACCCTCTTCTTAACCCAAACACCAGAAAGTTTATGTATCCAAGATCTTTGAAACAATATTGTTATCAACTCTATCAATCTTTCTGCACATAAACCCCTGACAGTCGGCGTCGCCGGACCTCGCCGAATACAACGGTGCCGGTGTATATGATAAAACTCACACCAGAAAGCACTGAGTAAACGATTATATAAGTCTGGGAAGCGCATGCCAGCATCAGACCGAGGCCACCGTTTATTATGCCCAAGATCATCAGAGCACGACCATACCAGATGTGGATATGGGATACGATGGTACGAGACTGATGCTTCACAAAGTTTCTGTGGTGAAACCAGCCAAGAACAGGCTGTAAACCCATCAAGCAGACAACCGCAGTGCCTAAGATGGTGTGATTCGAGTTGAAATCCTACCAAGATCACCCACGTTAGTTCTCGATGAAGCGTGCTTACGGGGAATTATCTTGCAGATGTGCAAACTCAATAAGCAGACTTACAAGTTGAATGCGCTGTGTAGCAACAATGCCCAGTCCGAATCCAGCCCACATGAGCAGAAATGCAAGAAATTGCCAAGAGGCGTGCAGAACCCATTTCCCGAGCAACGGCATGAGTGATGAACCCACAGGGTAAAGAATAACCATCACGATAGCCATCACGATTCCATGACCCAAAATCAAGGTCTTAGGATCGGCAAAGCTACCCTTACCTACACCCCTATTGTTGTTGTCAAATTGCGTCGCCGTAAGGAACGGATTCGTGTCATCGGCCACTGTGCCTTGCGTTAAGTCAAATTGCCATTGATCGTGGGCATCGTGGTATCGGATTGCGGCATTCAGGTCATCGCTGTCGATGGCATCACCCTCTTTCCACGCCGCGATCCAGTCCGCCGAGTCGCTAGAGAGACTCATAGTGCCTCCTGGCCATACACCACAATTACCACAACGCACGTTGGCGATCATGGTGGCGCCATCGTTGAAAACTCCACTGCCTTCGAGAAGCTCGAGCTGGACAATGGAATTATACTGCGGCATAGAGTGGCCTGTGCCCTGTCGGGCCGATATCGTCACATTATTTGCCCCGTCTGTGTATAAGATGAAGATATTGGACTCGGCCATCATATCTCCCGTACCGAAGGCCACCCATGAGTACGAGGTCGGCGCGCGGAGCTGTAGGTATATATTGCCTCCGTTGGTGGAGGCAGAAGCCTGTGGCACTGCTACTTGGTAGCATACATTTTCTATTGGACAGTACTGAACCGATTCAGCAGATGCCGGTGAGCTGTACGTGATGGCAGCTGGTGAGGAAATATTAGTGATGTTTTAAGGATAGTAGGTTAGAGAAGAGACTCACACAATGCCGCATAGGTCAAAAGCGACTTCATCATTTTGAGAATAACTTTTACGGCTTCTCTAAAGATATCTGTGAGGTATCCTATCCGTATAATATTCTTATATCAACAAGGTCTGCGTTGATGGCGAGCGAGTTTACCCCGGTTACATTTATGTCTTGTGAGAGAGAAAGATCAAAAAATCCCGGCCGTTTGATATCGAAGTGTGCGCCGATGGACAGTTTTAAGTTATCAGACGAGGACGCTCGGCGAGTTACACGTCTCTCCTCACCCTCAGACAATATGATGTAATCCGCTTTTGCAAGTACTGTGCAGGCTTCGGCGCCGAGCTACTGGTGTTTAGTGTTTTGAGCTTGCTGCTGCGGAAGTCAAATTAGCTTGGCCCTTCGACCTTGGCGCAGGTAGCCCTAGACGCTAGACCTTCGTGATGGCCTTCGAAACGGCAGTAAGAAAAAGGGGAAATCCCGGGGGGATGGTTATAATTATGGACCACAGAAAACGGGATATCGTAGAGCAAGTAGACCAAGGGCTTCGTTCAAGTTGGCGTCTATGAAAACTTTGAACTTATCAAAGTCGTTGGATTACCAGGACAGTCCTTTGCTTTTTACACAGGTAGGCAGGTAGGCAGGTATAATCGGCCGATGCTACACACAGATATAGATCTGTGAACTACCCCCCAAGCTTCATACTGCCCGACTTAAGCTTATTACTGTATCGTGGCCGTGTTACCTTAGGTATCTAGGTATGCTTGGATCCAGCTGATGCAGCACCTTGGCGCCATGCATCTTGTTCACACCGCGCCCAGGCCGATTTGTCATATACCTTTTTTTACCTTTTTGTTAAGAGCTCATGGCTGTTAGAAGTACACGTAGTGAAGGCCAAGAAGCTTCTTACCGGTGCATGTACGGTACTTGGTACATGTTCCGCGTAAAGCTTTCTGGGGAGAGGTAATTCCCAGACTCCCAGAGATGTCTAATGTTTGGTATGCTCTTCAACGGGGCAGAAAGGGCAGGGTTCATGCATGTTCGCAAGGTTTCCCCTTCCATCCTCTCTTCTCTGTTGCTCGACCTCATCTATTATAGCAATCTAAACCCCCCGCCCGCCCGGCATGATAGGGTAATGGGATAGGAAACACATCCTGATGTTGGAATTCACCTGCTTAAGCAGGTACCTAATTACCTACCTGCCTACGTGTGTATGAAGTTTCATGTCTTCGATCGCTGACGACAGCACGCCTTGATTGGCTCGCCCAGGAAGTATCCGTGTGAGGCTGTGTTTTGGAGATATGGGAGGGGGGGGAAGGAGGGGAATGGGGGTAGTGAGATGGGATAGATGTGGTGGGATAGTTAGATAAGATGGTTGGGATTGTGAGAGCCGGAAGCTTTGAATTGTGGTGGTTGTGATTCGTTGGGTTATGGTGCTTGTGCTTTCTAAGCAGGTTGGTTTGGCAGGGCAGGGTTGATAACTACAGTATGTACAATAACTACCTACGTAACGCAAGCGGCACTTGGGAGTTAGTTAGTTCTAGTCGGGACTTGGGCCCGGGATTGATCTTGCTAGGTAAGGGTAGGTAGGTACCGTATCTTGCAACCTTGGCCAGGGGCTGGGGTTCCGTGAAGAGGCTTGGCGTTGCTGGGGAGATGAGGTAGGTACTAACTAGAGTAACGGTGTCTCTGGTGATGATTTAATGTTAGAAGATGCTGAGCCCAGTGCTGTGGCGGGTATAGCTTGGTAATGTATGGGTAACATTATGTGTAAGTATTTAGGTTATGTCACTTGTTTCCGGCTTTGATATCAGGAAATCGAGTTCCCGTGTACAATCAGCCTGACGCCAAATTGCTGTGGCCTGCTTTGATGCTATTCATTCGTACTTACTGAGGTCTCACCTGATTAGACCATCTACCTAGGTAGGCAGTTAGAGGGTAGAAAACAGACAAGTACCATACATACCTAGCTAGCCGTCCACACCAACGCCGCGCCGCGCCGCCGTCCTATTTCGTAATCGGATTGCTGCTAATGGACGAAATGAGAAAGCTAAGATAGAGCTACCTACCTAGGTAGGCTAGCACGTTGTGGCTCATCGCAACGTCTTTCGAACTACCAATAGTCTATACGCAGTAGAGCTCTGCTGATCTAATACGTTTTTGATACAAGTTTATATATTTCTAGATATCTTGGCTTTTCATTCTTGACTTACATACGAAGAAACTTCGCTATTCGTACCGGTATTCTGCCTTACCCAATTGTGTGTGGTTCATGGTACCCGGCGACTGTGTGTGTGTGTGTATGTGTATGCCCGTATATACGGCGGGAATGACCCGTGACCCGGAGCCTAGGGGTGGCCGGCTGACGTGAAATCGAGTCAATAACACGGGGGTTGCTATGTATGCAGATAGTAAGCTGTGTTTAAGTTAAGGCATATCAATATCAATATATTACTTCTAGGGCTATGATATGTGAGTAACTATTATATTTGTTCATAAATACGTAGGAAAGAGAAATACACCTAAGCAATAAGAAGGGCAAGAAGAAGAAGAAGAAGAAGAAGAAGAAGAAGAAGAACGTCTAAGCCACAAACTTGTCCCATTACTCCTCGTTCCGTCGTCTTACTAAACTATAACTTCATCTTAGCTTTGGGCTGGGTTTACCAGCTTGCTTGCTTGCTTGCTATCATACCTATACCGACCTACCTACCAAGGTACAGATTCGCATAGGGAAACTCGCCTTTCGAACATACTCTTATCCATGGATGGTATTGGGCAGTGTCTGAACCGAATGCAACGGGTTCAGCCTCACGCTCATCTACCTAGATGAAGGTTTTTGCCTTGTATTGCTAGGAGGTATAGCTTCACCGATCAACACCCACGTGAATGCCCACATTCCCCTGACCTAGAATCTACCTCCCTCCCTACCTACCTACCTCCCACTAACTACCTACACAGCCTCCCATCCCAAACAACCAACCAACTAGCCTGCTAACTGCCACTACCGCCCGTATCTCCCGATCTTCACCCCAGCTTACTTAACAGCCCCCCCACACAAATAATTCTTATATAACTAGTAGCGGTGGGGTGGAGGAGGGAAGATCTTCAACAGACTTACACTATTAACTAACTTCCTACTAAACCTGCCAGCCCAAGTCCCTGCCCTAAACATGGGCACTAGGTATACCGTATATATACACTAACACTACAGATGCCACGTTCTAGACCGTGTAGATCAACCAGAAAAGAGACGTCGTCATGATCGCCGGTGTCATGATTGGTACATATGTAACATTGGAAAAGAAGAGGAGAAATATGAATCTTCTTAATCAATCTGAAAACAACTACTACCATAACAGCATCGCCTGGCTTGGCCAACTTTACGAGCCCAGGTTTACTGAAAAGAAAAAGTGGACGGGTTCAGCTGGATATGGGGTATACAGACTCGGGAGTTGATACGACATTGATTGGTATCTGCATGATGCACCGTACGCGACTCGAGATGACAGTTGCTTGCGTGTCCTTGTCCCTTCAATGAGTTGCGTGCATATAGTAGTATATAGGTAGGTAGGCCATGAAGTCGTGGCATAGCCACATCTCCCCATAACCAAACAGGCACATTATCACAATCACCATCACAATCCCCCGAGCGATAAGATGGCACGTATGGATACCGCTGCGTGTTTATTACCGATCGTGTATTCCAACCATTCGCTGTGATTAAGCATAATCTAGGTACGATACAACAAGGCTCAAGCTCGCGAGCCCCAGTCGTAGCATTAGACTACACGATACGCAGCTGATAAGAAGTCCTTTATGCTTGTAAAATCAAACCCTCTCGAACGCCATATCTATTGATTTAGGAATCATCAAGAGACCTTCGGACATCTAGAGTCGTCATACCAATCATCCCAAGGGACCTTTCTCAACCAACTTGAACCCCATTACTTTACAATTCATTCCATACCTAGTACTGTCTCTATTCCGAAATTTGCTCTGACGCCTGCGCTTTCACCAGTTATGCGTTCCGTCGCTTCAATACTTATGCCTCGATGTTCATGAACCTGCTATGCTCCAGCAAGCTACTGGAAGCCACGAAGCTGAATCCACCAAAGGGGTCTTCCTTACAGCCCTCCTTTGGTGACATATCGTTCCATGGGTTCTTCGTAACAACCGGACTCAGAGACAGATCGGTGAATTCGGCGGAAAAGTTCTCGGCAAGCTCAGGGTCGGTGATCATGGGCTGAATTGGTGGTTCCATCTCTCTGGCCGCCAGCTTCTTCCAATCGATCTTGCGGAAGAACCTGTGCTTCTTGATAATCTGAAGATCTCGGGGCATGTTCGAGCCGAGACGCTTCGAAGGGTCCTTCTTCAAAAACCGCGTAAGCAGATCCTTGGCATCAGGACCTAGGAAGTACGGAAGTACAACCTTCTGCTTGACAATATTCTGTTGGATCTTGGCATGATTGCCACCTCGGAATGGTGGGTTACCAGTCATGAGGTCGTAACCCAGCGCACCCAACGACCACCAGTCTACCGCCTTGCCATATTTTTGACCCTGAACAACTTCGGGTGCCATGTATTCGACAGTTCCAAGTATCGACTTGCAAGCACCATCTTCTCCATCTATCGCGACCTTTGAAAGACCAAAGTCGGTGAGTAGAAGGTGACCTTGGGAGTCTAGCAGACAATTCTCGGGCTTCAAATCCCTGTAGACTACGCCGAGCGTATCGTGTAGATGGGATAGAGCTAGAACCATCTCTGCCATGTAAAATGCGGCAACTGGCTCCGGAAACATCTTTTCGGTATTGAGATGGGTGAATAATTCGCCGCCTTCTCCATACTCAAGAATGAGGTATAGCTTCTCATGGTCCTGGAATGCGTAAAATAGCTTGACGACAAACGGGTGCCTATTGACAGACTCGAGGATTTGGCGCTCCGTTTTGGTCTGCTCGACGAGCTTCTTGTGCACCACGACAGAAGCCTTCTTGAACTGCTTTTGCGCGTATAGACGACCTGTCGCACGCTGCTTGACCAGTAGAACGGTGCCATAGGTTCCCTTGCCGAGACAACGCAGGGGCTCAAAGTCATCGGCTTCCATCTTACGAGGTACCAACCCGCCTTCAATGGCGCCATACCGGGGCTTCTCCCGCACACTTTCGCTCACAAAGTCATGCTCTAGTTGGACTTCATAACTGGTCGATCCAATCTCAGAGATCTCATCGTCGCTTCGACTCATGCAACGGCGTCGACTGCTGCTTCGGGTTCGCATCATAGTACTAGCGCGAGAGCCATTCAAACTAAGGGGGTCGAGTTGCATGCGCAATTTGGCGATACCACCGATTCCAGGCGAGTTAGTTGCGCGTAGAACAGGACTACAGTTTGCGCTAACGACATCGTCCAGACGAGCAGGACGGCCACGTCGCGCAGACAAGGGTGGGGTATTGCAATGATCCGAGTCATCGTCGCCGGAAACGATTGGAGTGGGCGCAAAACCGCGGACGGTGGTAAGCGCAGGGGCTGCGGGTGGCAACATTGTATACGGTTAAATGTTTTCTTGTCCCGTCTCTGTAATCTTCTATAATGTCTATTGGGTCGACTAGGTCTACTAAGTAAGTAGGTATCTAGTAATTAATGTGTAAGGTGAATTTCTGTCGTCTAAAAGAGACTGCCTCTCTTCTTCTTCTTCTCTCTCAACCCGCCCCGATTCAAGGCAGGCGGGTGCCGCGTCGGCGCTCAGCGTCTGAGCGTGCTTCACGAAGGTGATCTGGATGTGCTGGCTGAAGGGTCGGAGTAAGCATCTGGTTGCGGCCTAGAGATGAAGAGAAATTGTCGTGATTGTTTTGCTGATGCATTGGCAGTCTTCTGGATATTTCGCCAGATGTCGTAAGTCTGTTTTTTGAGGAGTTGAGGGATTGATTTCACCTTGATGGTGGTGGATTAAAGGAAAGGGAAGAGAAAAAAGAGTAGTAAGAAAGCGTGAGACGAGACTAGGGAACTTTTTAAAGTCTTCAGGGTTTGAGCCAAAAAAAAATCATTGCGCCTAGCCAAGGGCCCGGACAGGGCAGACAGGGGGATTCATGGTTGTGAATGTGTGGGGTGTTAGCGAGCGGATCTCAATTTTACCCATTAAAGTCAAAATTTTGGGCACTTTCTATTTTCAGCTTGGTCATTGTATTAAATTTTACAGGTCCAGCCCAGTTTTAGCCTACTACAGTACGAACCACCCTACTGCGTAGTACAATATCAGGCACGCCAAGCACTAACACATAAGGCTCCTTAAGGCTTCAGGCTGTCTACAGACTCTACACTAACTTAGATGCCTGCCTAACCTGCTAACTTGATTAGTCGCAGCTGACCTGATGGATCCTACGCCCTATGATTCTATGGATCAGGTACTAAACCCCGTGTTCGCTGCAATCAATTTAATCCAATACCCGTAATCATGGAATGCAACCTTATACGTATGTAGTGTAGACTGTGTAGTAAAAGTCACCAGAGCTAAACAAGAAATGTTCTCGTGAACTCATTCCAGTCAAATATTCATCTCAAGTTTGTAATCGCGTCAAGACCCTTCGACGCATGACATGATTGCTTGCATGGTTCTCACTAACACAAGGAATTTAAACGTGACAACCCGAATTACTTGCCGAAGTGATTAGTTACATTCAATGTTCAGCATATTTATTTTATTTATGCACATGCCAAGAAGAGACTCCATAACTTGATGCCGATCTACAGAGTCCGGAGTTATTATACCACCGTGACACCGTCTCAGACTCTCAGGCTAATACATACATAAAGACGTATATTTATATACATTCACATGCATTTTCAACCCTCGACATTTCATAATATAGGTAGACACCTATATGTAGGTTAGACATCTAACTACCTAGGGTACATTTGATATGCAGTTTCACAAAGTCATGCTACATGTGCATACCCGTGTAGCTGGCAGAACAACGCAGGCCTGTGTAGGTATGTAGTTGTGTACGACGTTACTTCAAAACGTGGTATTGAATACATACTACCTAAGCAACTATATGTGTGTAAAGAAAAGTTGGAATTTAATCTTTACTTCTTACCTTTGTGTAGTTATAACTCTATTATGCATATCTACCTATGTAGGCATACTAAAGTAGCAATAGGGCTGTAGGAACATTTGACATTTGACATTTGAACATTGAACGCCATCATTGGGTACATAGTTATGTATTAAAATAATTAAAGATTGTCAAAAGTCTAAAGTAACTAGGCACTGGGCAGTTGGAAGCTTTGACCACAAATGATAGGTAAACTGCCCCACTTTCAGCTTTTTATCTTTTAGGCTGAGTTAGCCAGCTAGCGCGTCTTTGAAGCTTCAAAGTTCAATGAAAATGATTTGCTCTTACTTTTCTGCCTATCAAATTCCCTGCCTCAAATCAACCAACTACCAGTTAATCATAACAGACTTATGTAGCAGCAACCTTCTGTGAAATATCGAAACCGTTTTACGTATCAAAAGGTCTATAATATCGCTTACATATACATACATCTCTCACTAGAGACTTCGCTCTCAACCGCCTTCGCCCATCATGATGCACCCGTCGCGGCAGGCTTATGTGGAGGAGGCCGAAGAGGTGAGCTTGCACAACCCCAACTATCTTCATGCCATCTTCCATCTAATAATTATCGTGTACAGGACCGTGGTATGGCCTTGGATGAGGTACCGGTAGATCGAGACTATGATATGCCTTCGGTCACTGCCGGTATTGCACCGGAGAAGGCATCCGCTATACTCTCCCAATTCGAGCGAAAGAGACGAGCGGCAACGATGGCAGTACCTACAGATGACGGTCGAGTACGTGCCAGGTTACGAGAACTCGGCCAACCTATCACTCTTTTCGGCGAAGGCCCCGCAGATCGACGAGACAGGTTAAGAGAGCTCTTGACATTACAAGCCGAACAAGCACCAGCAGATTCCCCCGATGTGACCATGGAGGATGCGGCAGAAGAGGACCAGGAAGATCAAGAGGAAGAATTCTACACCAACGGCAGCGATGAGTTACTACAGGCGAGACAAGACATTGCTCGATTCTCCCTGCCACGGGCGAAGCGGAGGTTAGCCGTTCAGAAAGAAGAGGCGTCAATTCCTCTACGAACACACGTCAAATTTCGCAAACAGGTCAAAGAGCGTTTGCAAGCATTTGAACTTCAAGGTAGTCAGACTGTGGGAGACAGAAACGTTAGCATGACAAGGATATCGCCCAATGGCCAACTTATTGCTGCCGGCAATTGGGGCGGCTCGATCAAGCTGATTGAAATACCGACACTGGAAGAGAAGATGACGTTACGAGGACATACTACCAGAGTTAGCGGTATCTCGTGGTTACCGAACGCAACTTTACCAGAAGGTAACATTTCACCGGATACGGTTAATCTAGCTTCGGGCGGTGCCGAGGGGCAGGTAAACCTTTGGTCCCTGAACAAAGACACGCCGCTCTCAACACTCGAGGGGCACGGCCAGCGAGTATGTCGAGTTGAGTTTCACCCCTCCGGACGCTACCTCGCTTCGGCATCGGAAGATACGACATGGCGCTTATGGGATGTTGAGACGACAACGGAATTACTCCTCCAAGAAGGACATTCTAGAGGAGTCTTCGCTATTAGCTTTAACACGGATGGCTCGCTATTAGCTAGTGCAGGCCTTGACAGCATTGGTAGAATATGGGACTTGAGGTCAGGCAGAACGGTCATGATCTTGGATGGTCACGGAGATGGACACATCAAACCAATTCACGGAATTGATTGGGGTTCTGACGGTTACCGAGTTCTGACCGGTTCGGCCGACGGTTGGATCAAATGCTGGGATGTCAGGAAGGTCCAGAGAACTGGCGGCATTGGAGCTCACACCAGTGCGGTTTCGGATCTACGGTGGTACAAGGGACTGGACGACCCTCTCATAGGCACTCCTCCGGGGCTTGATGAAAAGGGGAACCAGCTGCCCAAGAAATCGAGCACGTTCTTCGTGTCCAGCGGGTTTGATCGCAAAGTCAATGTGTTTTCTGCTGATGACTGGACCCTCATACAAACTCTAGAGGGACACACAGGACCGGTTGCAAGCGTAGACATTAGCAGAGACGCGAAGTGGATAGTCAGTGGAGGACATGATAGGACTGTCAAGCTATGGGGTCGAAACGATGGCGAGTCAGTTTAGTAGGTGTAATTCATGAAGTGAAAGTTAAGGTAGAAGCTGGAGAGGAGACATGAGAAGATGAAGAAAAACGACGATACCCAATTCAGATTCTGTGTACATGTCCCTAACCAGATGTGTTGCGTCTACCCTTTATGCATGATAGTGTTATGTAACTACAGTATACCAATATTTAACACACGGTGATGATGTAATCATCAATATTCTCGCACCCGTCCGGTTTAATCCACATGCAGTCATGAATCCCAGGCCGATAAGGAAAGAACGGTACCGAGGTACATATGTACATAAGCGATTTAAGGTACATATTAAGGTACATACATATGTACTAACCTTAGGTAAGTACATACTTACCTCCAATTTCAAGTTCATTCAGATTATCATCCCTTTATACATACATAATTGGAATTTAAGCTTTAACTACAAGTGCAAATGCAACTGCAACGATAGCAAGCACGTCAACTTCATTCTTTCAACATTTCAACATTTCAACTACCAGGTATTTTGCCTGTAAGAAATTCAGAAAGACAAAGGACCAAAAAAAGTAAAAAAAGTAAAAAAAAGACATGACCCGATTTATCGACGCCACTTAAATGGTTCCAAGCTCAAGTTCTTTTTAGGCGAACCCTTCTTAGGCTTAAAAACGCCACACGAAGCTTAAACAAACGTCTGGGCTCTAACCTTCGACCCCAGGTGCCTTGGTTACGGAAATACCTGGTACTTACAGTTACCGCATCACCATGGCGAGCATCGACAGATACCGGCCACCGTACCGAGAAGCTTACCAACTTCCACCAACACATCCTACCAATAATACCAATAATACCAATAATACCAATACTTCAAACAACTCTTCAAAGTCGCCATCTAGAAGACGCGACATACCTCCCCCCGTACCATCGCCTCCTACAAATTCGTCGCGTACCTCGCCACCCGGACCACAGTCGCGACGACCCGTGCCTTCTCCTACTCGCTCTACACCTCGAACACCTCTCGCAATGGCGAACCAGTGGCACTTTACTCAGGACGAGGTTCTCAGCAGTCCAAGTATCATAGATGGATTGTCACCAGTCGAAGAAAGGTTGAGGCGAGCGAAAGGCGTGAACTTCATTTACCAAGCCGGCATTCTACTCGAACTTCCCCAAACTACCCTTTTTGTTGCCGGAGTATTCTTTCACCGATTTTTCATGCGATGCAGCATGGTCGAGGAGAAGCATGGAATACATCACTACGTAAGTGATTCTAAGTTCATCCAAGTGAAAGGCAGGCGAGGGAGAAAGAACAGACCGACAGTCCATCGCTAACCATGACAATTGTACAGAATATCGCAGCTACCGCTCTGTTTCTTGCCAACAAGACCCAAGAGAATTGCCGTAAAACCAAAGACATCATTATCGCGGTCGCAAAAGTCGCCCAGAAGAATGCCAAACTCGTCGTGGACGAACAATCTAAGGAATATTGGAGATGGCGAGACAGCATTCTCATGTTCGAGGAAGTCATGCTTGAGAATTTGACATTCGATCTCATGATTGATAGCCCGCATTTCAAATTATACGATTTCCTCGGGCATCTACAAGCAATTCACAACAAAAATCTACGACACGCCGCCTGGGCGTTCTGCAACGACGCGTGCCTGACTATTCTACCACTTCTCATGGACGTCCGCGACATTGCCATTGCATCGATCTTCTTCTCGAGCACATTTACTGGAGAGAGATTAGAAGATGTAAATGGCGAGCCTTGGTGGAAAGCGTTGAACGGCAACGAGGACCACTGCGTTAAGGCGATAAAAGTTCTGAAGGAATTCTACGTCGAAAACCCATTGCGCAAGAACGAAAACCCGTATTCGCAATCGCCCGTCTTCATTCTGGATAACACACGAAGGAGAGGCGAAGATATTAGTGTTCGTTCGGCCAATGGCACACCTGGAACAGACAGCGCCACCCAAAGCCCCAGAGGCAGGATAAACGGCATTGACGATAATACCGAACGAGAGGCTGAAACTGCTGCTGCCGAGTCTGCCTCTCAAGCTGCTCCGGGCGATTCGGATGCTGTACTTAAAGAGGCAGCAAATAATCCTGTTGTGCATGCAGGTACTAATGGTATCAAACGAAAGGAACCGGGGTCATCGATTCTTGAGGAACAGGATCAGAAGCGACGACGCCTCAGCTCCGATGACGATGAGGGTGAGGTCCATGAATAGGAGAGTGCATCTTCCACACGTTCTTTCGGACCGTATTATACGAACGCGGGGGACTCGCCTGAGCCCAGAGAAAGAAGCTCAACAGAACCTGAGGTAATAGATGAGGCAATAGAGGACGATTCGGGAGAACTAGCCTGTGACGAAGCGGAAGATTCGGAAGAAATAGGTTCCTCAACAATGGGCGAATCTGATGGGACAGACGATTCCTGGAACTAAAGAACATTGATTCGGGACACGCTTCAATACTTAATTTCCCGTCTATCATTTCGATCCTCACGGGATGTGATTATTCAATATGCAGTCATACGTTGCCTACTGGGCAGTCAGTATGCATGCATACATTCTTAGTCTTACGAAACAGTCTCGGTTGCAAGGACGGCAAATGCGAAGAACAACCATTTCCTCCAGGCGACTAGATACTATACGAGCACACTTAACTACCGACCTAACAATTATATCCAGCAAATAGCTAGCCTCTAGAGAGAGGCTACGAGGGAAAAACGGGCAAACCGATTCCCAATGAGGCAAGAGACAGTATAGTCTCAACCTATGTTTTCACAAACGTAACATTTGACATTTGTTTTCCCGGCGGAGCCCAACAACCCAAGGAGTCCAGTCCTATACTTGTTTATGGCGTTCTCGGCTCAAGGAGGGCCGGTCAATGGGGGAGTTTGTCGGTTCGTTGGCACATTCCCATGCCCATGAACTTCTGGAATATCTCCAGATAAAGGGACAGAGGGAAGCCAGCCCTAAGGGGCCGAATAGGCGGGAGGAATGGGGGCGTCACTCACGACGTGACGTGCTATGCACCATCATAATCGTCAATATCATTGCCATTACCAATTAAACACCATCTTCGTTCTTCTTCTTCTTTCATGTTGTCAGTCATCGTTTTCTTCTAGCTAAAGGCAGCCGCGCAATACGCCACACCTTCATAGCATATGTATGTATATGTACCAAATCGATGTGTTGTTGTGCGTGTTTGTACATTAGGAATGTTGGCTAGGAAGAAGGGGACGCGAGAGGGGGGGAGGGGGGGGAGGAGGTAAATGTGGGGAGCATATATCGCATGGTGATGAGAAGGGGAGAAGAGAGTAACCTAGAGAGGAAGGGGATAAGGGGAAAGAAGTAGTTAGTGTCTCTATGTGATAGATACTGTCCTTTGAGGAACTGATATTCTTAATTGATACCAAACCAATGTGGATCTCTATTTTTACTTATACCCACGGGTTGTGTAGGTAAGATGATGATGGTTATCAGTGTTTTGATGTGTTTTTGGGTTTGTCTGGTTATTTGGCTATTGGTTGCTATCCAACATGAATATCTAGTTGTGGAGGCACATACTAGTCATATACCTACTGGGTATACACACCTTGCCCCTATCTGCCACACAAATCAAACAAACCTCACTACTCCACCCCTCCCATCACTACCCCTCCGAGCCTCATCCATAAAATCCACCACATCAACCCAATTCCCCATCTCCGCCAGCTTTATGCGCTCCTTCTTCGCCAGCAGCGCCGCGCCGCGGTCCGGGCCGAAGCCGGGGCCGCACATCTCGGTTAGGTGGTGGATGCCGAGTTTGAGCGGCAAGGGGGCGCGGGCGACGGCGTTCATGAAGACGTCGACGGCGGACCAGGGACAGGTGTCGTGGCCGGCGAATAGGGCGGGGTTGGCGAGGAGGGCGCGCGCGGACATGAGGCCTGAGAGGTGGGGGAGGTGAAGGTTGCGCTGGGGGGAAGATGCTGTGGTAGTATTGCTGCTGGTGGTACTGGTGGTGTCGGATGTGATAGTGAAAGTGGGCTGTGGGATCAGCAGGTGCGATGTATAGGGCAGCGTGGACAGGGTGAAGACGTCCCCGGACACGAGGATGGGGAGCTTGGGGCCAAAAGTCGAGGTCAAGATCTCGAGGGCCTCGAGGTTGATGGGCGTGCTGCTGGGCGTGTTCCGCGTGCGCGGGTGGATCGTGAGCCAGTCGATGTTGCGGCGGTGCTCGTCGCCGATGACGGTCGTGATGAAGTCCATTGTTTTCCGGAGATCTTTGTGCACGCGGATCTTGACGCTAACGCTGCGCCCGAGACCTTCGCTTTCTATGCCGCTGGGATGGCCGAGGTCTACCGCCCACCCGTCCCGCGCGAGCCGCCCCCGCGTCGCGACGACCATGTCCCGCACCAGCTCCCGGCGCTCCATGAGCGCGGCGCCGAGGACCTCGGCGCAGGCCCAGCTCTGCGGACACCCGCAGTTGAGGTCGACGCCGTTGACAAAGGGGGCGGCGAGGGAGGCGGCGCGCTCGAGTTCCAGGGGCACGTTGGCGCCGAACTGGGCGATGGTCGGGACCTCTTGTTGCTGCTGCGCTGTGGAGGAGGATACGGTTAGGTCGCTGTCCCGCGCGAACTGGTTGCGGTTGAACTCCTTGGCCAGGATCATGGGCGTCCAGCACAGGTCGGTGCCGAAGCGGTGGACGGTCTGGCGGAAGGCGAGCTTGCTGTACCGCACCATGGGGGCGCAGGCGTAGAGGAGCCGGTTTTGGGATTTGGCGATGTCGAAGAGCTTTAGGGGGCTATATTATCACAGGGTTAGAAGGTGTATTCCTTAGGGGGTGATGTAAAGGGGTTGTAGAGGAGTACATACTGGATCTTAGGCTGGAAGAGCTCATATTGGAGCTCTTCCGAATCCATCTTGGTCACCTGCTTGACTGGCAGTGTATGATGGGATACATATTGCGGTTGCTAGGTATAAGACTTCATGTGGGAGTTCAAGGCGTCATTTTTGATACATCTAACAAAACATAGGGAATATCAAGCTCGCCGTTATAGTTCATGTATAGAGTCTAGGGTAAGCATTCTTTCATAAGTCGAAATGTGATCTGGATGAGATGAAGAACGTGACAATAAAAATATCATGGTGGGGTAGGTTGAGTGGTGGGGTGCTGAATTATGAGGTATTAGAATTAGCTATGTATGCAATTAAGCATTACGTCACTTCAAGTTATGCACCTACTAGTAGTATTTCTTTCATAAACCTTGCTTACGATCTGTACCACACGGTGTGTACATGTATATCTCGGGGATTGGTAAACGGACTTAACGGGTTTTGCTAAATCGATGTCTCAGAAAGATACCAATACTTTCTTTTTCCTTGTCTGACAGGCAGTGACAGCATCTTCATAGCTGCCTGGGCATCTACACAGTAGGCAGCGAAGTTGGCAGCGTATGCTTAAGGCAATAAAGCCCATCATGATCATTCCCGAAAAGCAAAACTCGGCTTGAAGCTGGCCATATGAGAACTCCCGCTTAAGACCGGAACTAGACCCCGAGCTTCGACGTTTATTTTGGCATTTTAGCACCAAACCATCCAACCCCTCACGGCTAGTTATCGGTTTTGTGCAACCTGGAGCTACCTGATATCCGATGGAAATAGCTGCCAGATACCCACGGCCTTTCTCTGACGTAGTACTGAATGTTAAACTGGGGTTGTAAACACTGATAGACATGGATACATCATGTTACATACATATCGAGTCTCGGATGGTTTGCTTGGTTGCATACTGGAAATAAAGGGAAGTGGGCTGTAGGATAAATAACACTCTTGCCCCAACTTACCAAGCACCATACAGATCACCAAAAGCTCCATATTAACCACCCTTTCTCTCTTGGTAATTAGCTCACAAACAACAAGTACAAACGATATCTGGAGAATCCCTTCCAAAATAAAACGAAATGCCTACTCTACTCGGAAAGGAGATTGGGTCTACTGGATTTGGACTGATGAGACTAACATGGAGAATCACTCCACTACCGCAAGAGCAGGCGTTCGAGGCCATGAAGACTGCTCTCAATCATGGGATGAATTTCTGGGTCGGTGGCACCTTCTACGGGAAGCCTGAGTACAACAGCCTTGTGCTGTTGGAGCGTTACTTTGCCAAATACCCCGAGGATGCTGACAAGGTTGTAATCAGCATCAAGGGTGGCACGAACGATGTCGGCAAAGAACCCGATGGCTCACCCGAAGCTACGCGCCGAAGTCTTGATAAGGCTATTGCTCAGCTTAATGGCCGCAAGAAGATTGACATTTTCGAATTTGCCCGCCGCGATCCAAATGTGCCCTTGAAGACGACCTTTGAAGTGCTCGAGAAGGAGTGTACGTTATGAGATGCCCCTTTTCCACGCACCGATAACTGTTCCCAAATTTCAATGGTCAGAATGATCTCAGATGCTGACATGTCTTAGATGTCCAAACCGGAAAGATTGGCGGTATCGGCCTCTCAGAAGTGAGGGCCGAGACTATCCACGAGGCAGTAAAGCTTACCAAGATCGTCGCGGTCGAGGCCGAGCTCTCTATGTATGTCACTTTACTTCAAGGAAATAACAAGACACATAGCATATATGGCTAATGCAAACGACGCAGATTTTCTAGAGAAACCCTGGAGCACGGTGTTGCGGATGCCTGTGCGCAGTACGATATCCCACTGGTCGCGTATTCGCCAATGGGGCGCGGCTTCCTGTCGGGCAAGTTCAAGACGCCCGAGGACGTGAAGAAGTTCTCGCCAGAGATAGCGCACTGGCCGTGGTTCGAGCCGGGCAACTGGGAGGCCAACCTGAACCTGGTGCAGCGCATCGAGCAGATGGCTCGGGCCAAGGGTGCCACGCCTGCCCAATTCGCCATCAGCTGGACTAAGCGCGTGCCGTCCTGGCGCAAGGGCGCCCCCAAGACCATCATCCCTATCCCCGGATCCACGGGGCCTGCCCGAGTGGCGGAGAATGCGGTGGATGTTGAGATCACCGATGACGAGATGAAGCAGCTGGACGAGCTCATTGCAAAGACCCCCAGAGCTGGGCCTAGGTACCCTGACGATATACCTTTTGACACTTAGATCGAATATGGAGAAAGAGGGGGAAAGAGGAAGCTGTGGTTATGTATTGTGGTTATGTATGGACCTAAGTATGTTGCGATTAGGCAAGTGCACCTGACGTACAGTACATGCCCTACGTGGTATCTACGAATCCGGGTAGCAACTGCTTGCAATTCATTACCTCCTATCTTCCATCCACGTGGTCACGATTACCTGGTTCGTGCGTCTGCCTACTATAATAGTAGAAATATAAAATAATTTAACGATTTCTATATTAACAAACAGCATGGAAGGCCGCATGTGGCCATGACTTAGTAGTGTACTTGAATCCTGTCTAGCCTCTGTATGAGTATTGTAATAGGTGCGCCGTAGTCTAAAGGTTCGATTCCTTTGGTGGCCATGTTTTTTTTCTTCTTTTCTTTTTGGATTTTATGCTTATCCTTTTCACAAACTGAATATATTCTACGATCGTATGCTTGCTTAATATTATATATGCTATTCATTCAATGTAACCCACCTACATATGTAGTACCCAGTTGCTTCTCTTCTTTTCTTGGCATTGCAGTTTGAAGACATTCCATCATCTTTTGGAAGCTTAGCAAGCGTGTACAGCAAGATGTTTTTGACATTTTCTAGGCGTTTATGGGATAGGCTTCCACTCGATATCATCCATGCCCGGCTACAGTATCGAAGAAATGCATAGTCGTCGTTCAGTAACATATCAACTGTCTCATTGCATACCACTATCAGGCAAGAAAGGTCTCAGCATGTGACGAGCCCGGAGGCTCGTCCTCAGCATTGCAGAATTCTTGAAATAATCATCACTTAGTGGGTTTAGGCAGGACTTAGAATCCCGCCAAGGTGTACCATGTGATACTCTTTTATGATATGACGGATGCTGAACACTCGTTCTCTACAGCGTAATGTTGTAGCTCCATCCGGAGGGCAATATTGATGGACCTCGTTGATGGAATAGGATAGAAGAATGAAGGAAATATTCCGAGCACTGTCGCTTCCGAAGCTATTTTGACAAGATATTGTGTGGTTTCTAAGCAATGGAGAGCCAATCTCGTTTACGAATCTCACGCTGAAACGCAACATAAAAAAGTAGATGATTTTATTAAGAGGATTAACTTTTAGCAGGATGTGAAATTGCAGAGGAAAATTCATCCCATCGAGTTTGATAGCGGGGCTCTGGGACTGTCCAATCATAAAATGCTTACAGGTGCAAACCACATGCTAGTGTCCACTCTTATTGTACCTACCCGAGCAATCAATTATTTTAGAAACGAAGCGAAGCGAGAAAGCTTCATTAACTTTAAGTGGATTATCCAGATTATAGTGAGCGGATCGTTCCAGTGTATTGGATATCCCCATTTACTTAAAAGTTCAGATGCCATGTCGTTACATACCTAGGGCAGGTAAAGTATTCTAACTAGATGGATAGTATTGCAAAAGAATAGAAAAATGAGTCACATTATATGTATGATATTGATAATACCTAGGTTAGTCGATCGATCACCATTACTGTGGTATGTCTGTTGTAGACTTGTAGTTGAGTGAGGGCAAATGGTAGGTGGACTATTATTTCAATTTCTCTAGAAGCCTTTTGAGACATTCCACATGGTGGACACTGCCAGGTGGGTGGTGGATAGTTAGTGGACACTGGACAATGAACAGGCCTTTCATACAATACGACATCCCTGAACCTTCTTTCTTCCGTATTACCGGTTATGGAGCCCTGGGGATGTTGAAGTCCTTTACTTGCAGAATGCAGTAACTAAAATATTAATTAGTAACCGCACAATTGTACTACACTACTTATATGACCTGCATACCTACGTAGTATGTACTAATAGGTAGGTAAACACGTAGTTGGGGTCCTCGACCTGGCTCATCTCTACATAGTGTATGCGGCAACCGCACTGAAACGTGACTAGGGGAGGACTGGTAACCGCAATCCCCTATTCACAACTTGTTATGGTAGGTAGGAAGAAATTCTGCGAAATTTGACCATCCTGGTCAATGCATGAATGTGGAAGCTCATTCCTGGACTGGGCTGATGACCAGAACAACCTGGCAGCCCTGGTACGTATGTACATACTATAACTATGTATAGTATATACATAACTAGGTTACATGGTATGTATTGTACAATACATAGTTAGTGTTGCTTTCTTAATTTTTGTTGCGATGAATTTGTGCTTGTTTAAGTGAAGGGCCCAACATCGATCAGATTTCATTACGCCATCGGAAGAAGCAGTTTTGCTCTACTACGCCGTACTTCAATATTAGATGGTACTTATGTACTTTAGTACGCCTAGTCTCCAAAATATTGGACTCGAAGAGTGCAAGAGCCGGCAAGCGTGATGGTCGGCCTCACTATTAATCATTCACTAAGAAAGGAGGTTTCGTCATTTCAATTGTGGCCCACCTTCCCGAACATCTAGAGTCCCAGAATTATCAGAATTAGCGGGAGCGGGCTTGTAATAAAATATCGATTCATCCAATCAAAGCTGTTGCGCCAACCTCTGGTGAGAAACCTTAGAACCTTGGAAGGATAAGCCAGGTACGATGTTTCTAGGTTGTACCTGTACATAAGCTACTAACGACGTCTAACGTACCTAGCACATGCACTGAACATTTCTAACTTGAAGTTGCACATGAGCCTTACCCACCTTTAATTAATAAGTACATCCTTGAATGTAACTACCTACTGTACCTACATTCACAATAACCCCCCCCCCCAACGGCCCCAACCATCTGACGAGAACACCGAAGCAATTGTGATTTTAGTCTAGGGAATCAAGCGCACCCAAGCGCGGCGTTGGCATTTGTGTTGGTATTGGCATAGAAGGCAAGGCAACTTCGAGTTGAGGAACTAGACCATCTATTATTTCCGAATACCTATCTCAAGAACGCGCAATTGGCCTTCTCTTTCCTTTTTCATCATGATAATCTTTAAAACTTCTCGACCTGGCGCATTTAGTTAGATCTACACAAGATCTATTCCAAGATCGATCTTCCCCGACCTCTTTATGTACATACCTTACAACACACTTCCTCGTCCTAACCTCCCTCCTGCTTTGTCGCGACCACTTCGACTTGAAATAAGGTTTCGCAATCGCTTTTGCGAATGAACTTTACCTCGAATAGCCAGACGAGCATGGTCTACAGACGAACTTACATGTGATCGGATTCGCCCTCAAAGCTATTTCCCAATAGTCGTTTGGCCAATAGCCAATATCGTGGCTCTTTGCTTCGGGCTTCATAACTTGGAGCCTTATACTTGACTCAATTCCCCCAAGCTCTTTTTGGGAACTTTGGATATACGAACTTCCAACTCAACTGTTACTATTGCCTCTTGCCTCTTGCCTCTCGCCTGTTCCGGTTCCCTGCAAGAAACGGTGCGGCTAATTGCAGTGGATGGTGGGAGTTGATTCGTCCGCCTCGTTTTCACTACACTGAACAGATTTTCTCAGACGGACACCCTTTTTAACATTCACACAACTTTACATTGGTGCCCACGAGACTTACGAGGCTCACAAACTAACTACCGTAACTTTTAAAATATACCCAGAGTAGCCATATCCTCCCATGCCGCGAATGCATACGGCCTCTACTCCGCCGCCCCAGGCATCGGGGTCAAAGCCTGGTGCGGGCTCTACGTCCTACCCGCCTCTACCAGCGTCGCCGACTCTGACTAACCCGGATATGATATTACCCGATTACGATGATACTTTCTCTTCGCCGGATAGATCACAATCCCCCTTGACAATGTGGAAGAATTCACATATTGCTCAAATGGGCTTTGACCTGACCCCCCAGGCCTTCACCGGACCCGTCACTCCCACCACTCCCATCACACCTATCATCTATGGGAACGGAACAATGTTGTCAGATATTGGCGAGGTCACCGAAGTCGAGAGCACTTGCCCGGACAAGCCGCGTCGAAGGCTCCCACGTAACGACGGCTCAACACAACAGGCTTCCATGGGGCTCCACGAGACGTTACAGAAGAAGGATTCAAAAATCAATCGCGAAAGGAGATTGTCGATGGAATCAACAAGTACTATCACTATTAGTGACCACCCAGCTCCTTTCGCAGATTTTGATGATGCTGTTAGTGTCGATGACAGCGTTTTTCAAGGCGACGACGAAGAAAGCGTTGCCGACTCGTTTTTTGACGAGGCGTATGCTAAGAAATACGCTGCGCCAGTCAGGACACGTACAAAGTCTCAAGAAGACCGGTACTCGAATGAGCTGAGCCGAAGAGCCGAGGAGATTCTGGCAAATGCCAAGCGGAGGTTGACGGTGAGAATGATATTCCGATTGCCACCTTGCTTAGAGGTCTAGCTAACATACGATAGACCATGGAAGGCAATTTAAGTCGGGCACGCACATCTCTCTACTCCCCAACATCCGATGGGTCAGGCTCGACACCCTCACCACCTATAGCTAGACCCACTACTGCGATCCAACGTGGCCAGCATGAAAGCAATAATCGTCAGAGCACACATGGGCACACCAGAATATCCAGCGAGAGCAATATCCCGACACTCCCACCCGATATTATGAAGCCAGGCATGTTCATTCCGAGATCTTCGAGTGCTTTAGGCGCGGCAGGTGGATATCGACCACCTCTCCACAGCCCCCTCGGTGCCGATGCAGCTCATGAAAGCGCGAAAAATAGTTCGAGAGAAGGCCTATTATATAGCAGCTCGAGTTTCGCCAGGAGTAAAACATCGCTACATGTGAGAGAGCATGCGCTTGAGCCGCTAGACGAAGATAATGTCTCCGAGAGCGTGGGCTCTTCGAGGCCGAGCCTGGAAAATTCTAGGTTTGATACTTTCTTGAGCCCAACGTTCGGGTCTTACTCAGAGAAAGGGCTGAAGAGATCAGCATCAACGGCGCAGATGCGAGATCTGAAAGACCAAATGAATGATCTGAAGGGTCGCTTGTCAACACTAAGAGACCAGGCTCGGGCAGATAGTCTAAAGCGCAGGAGTCTTCAGAGCCTACGTACACCCAGTCCTTTCACGCATGCTCGTGTTGATCAGTGGTATGTAGATGGATCTAAAAATGAGGGCAGTGGCTCGGTCACCAGTGAATCTAAATCGCAGCTGTCAAATGGTATTGCCTTGAGTGTTAACGGGGGCGAGAGCAACTTGGTAGCCAAACAGATGGCAGTTGAGGTTGATGAACGATTGGTGCCCAACGGACACTCATATTCTGAGGACGAGACCTCGGTGAAGTCAAACGATAATGAGAAAATCGTACATTCAATCGAAGGCGATAATTCGTCGATCCCCAATTCGGCGGAAGACGACCTCGACGACATGAGGACCGAGGATGGCTATGAGCAAGATGATAATGAGGTGGAGCTGGAAGATGATGAAGATTTCGAAGCAGAAGAACTCACCGAGTCAGTGATTGGAAGTGAGGAAAGCGAGGAGGATGTAATAGACGATGGTGCGAGCGAGAGTGATGCATCTTCGTACTACGATACCCTTCAAAACCAACTATCTCACGAAGATCGTGAAGATGCCTTCGACTACGAACACTTTTTCCTACACAGTGCAATGGGTAGCATGAGCCGGAAGAAAAGGAGCGATAGCCAGGGCAGCTTTAGCTCCGAAGATTCGGTGGAAACAACTCGAGGACCAGCTGCATCTGCTAACGCGAGACCGGCTCGTTCCCGTAGAGCTAGTGTGGGTTCCGTCTCGTCGGTGGAATCATTTGCAACGGCCACGGAGGGTAGGAGCACAAGAGCAGAAAATGAAGCTGCGGAGGTATATCTCGAACATGGTGTGATAGTGCCCAAGCGCTCTTGGGCCCATACACCGGATATGGCAAGACGGTCCGGCTTTTCGACCGCCGAAACGAGTGATTCCGGTTCCGACAAGAGCCGGTTCCAACCGGCGAACATCCGTCGGCCGCAGAGTAGTGCTGCAGCATTTATGCATCGGCCCTCGGTGTCATCTTTTGATTCCAGCAAAACCCACAGAAGCTTCCCCCTAGTCAACAAACCGAAGATCAACGGAGGCATCCTGACCCCTCGAGATTCACCAGATCGAGACTTGTCACAAATATCGGAGAGTCTGATGGACGAGACCTTCCACAGCGCCCAGAGTGATGATAGTAAGGCAGTTTCTATCGACATGCTGCAGAAGGACGACCGAATACTTGTTGATCGACTAGTCGCGAGTCTTGGTCAATGCGTGCTCGGCCTAGGTGAATCTGGACGTGGTTCACCCGATTACCGAGCGTACCGAAGGAAAATTGAGGCGGCTCGTCGTGCCTTGGAGAGCTTGGACGAGTCCATGTAATTTTTAATGTCTATCTACTTACCCGATTAGGCGTTTGCGGATTATACCATTTGACGGGCGTGCGTGTGCTTATCATTGCGCAAAAGGATTTTGGAGTCTTAAGAGTTTTCCCCCTTTTTATGCAGAAAAGACAATATGTCTTTTTTAGTCTCAGTGTTGTTAGCTACCTGTTAAAGCCTTACAAATAAAGAACGATTATGAGAAATTTACGATTTCTTCTATTGTATTATAAAACATGCTTGTGTTCTTTTACAGCTTGTATATTTGAAGGTGGTAGGTTGGCAGTGGATTGTATATATAATATCTAGGTTAGGTAATTTGTTGATGCATAAGTCCATGCTATCATTATGTATATAGCGTTTCTTATTTATGTTTGAAGCTGAATGTTGTTGAGTTTGCGTGTTGTGTAATTAATGTATTCCATGTGAGACATACACCTAATAGTTAGATAATACCTGTTAAGAACATATCTTAATGTTGGCATATGCAATATACCCGTTATTTCTCCCTAGTAAATCAAATCAAATGCTTATAGCGGGGTAGGCACCGACATCTACATAACACCCTTGTCTCAGTCAATCTCAACTTTCTACAAACCATCCCGTGCTTCATTGTTCTTTTACTCTTATCTAATTTCCCCCCCAAATAACTACTACCTAGGTACCTAGATACCTGGACATTCTTGGGTCTCACGCGAAACACTTTCAAGCCTTGATATGATGAATTCGTCATTATAGAAGCACCTCCATGATCGCCCGCTTGCAGGTCACGACATGAGGAAACAGCATGGACACTTCGTGGCTCAGCAAATACATCCACGCCGGATGTTTAATAATAGGCCCGCTGCGTCTAGAAATTCAACATTCCCTAGAATCTTTACCTAATCTGCCAGATTTCAAATTTCTGACTCGAAGGTCTCTTGACTTTCCCATATCAGAGTCTCTCCCGCCCGCGGTCCAGCAAGCACTTATCCAATCTGCCTCCTTATCATCATTCTCTGGACTTTGGCAAAATGGATGGATTCAGATGTCTTCCGGTTACTCTAGATGTGACGACACATGGCGTGTTCGAGTCTATATCCTTCCCCAAGATGTCGACAGGGGCGTCGACAGGGGCAGCAGCAGTCTCAGAACTGAACTGACGGGCGTAACATCAAATCTTCTATCTCTGCTCGAAAGTTCGCCAGCATGCTGGAATGGGGAAGTTGACTATGAAGCCTGTAATTTACGGACGCGCGCCGGAAACGAAACACCTCTCTTATCCATGTTTAACAACGTTCCTTCTCCGGATCCTCGCCCGGAAAAGGAGAACAACCTAGATATCCGTGACGGGATTCAATGTCTATTAGAGAGCCAAATACAAGGCCTGAATACGAAGCTCTACCCTTACCAAGGCAGATCGGCTGCTTTTATGTTTCAACGGGAGGAGAATCCTGGCAGGATTATTGACCCTCGGTTTATCTCAGCTGTTGACCACGAAGGTAAACCGTGGTATTATGATACTGTATCAGGCCTGGTTATCAAAGAGCCTAGATACTATGATGGAGTATGTGGCGGAATTCTCGCCGAGGAGAGTAAGTATATTCATAGTATTCCCTTATCTATACCTTGGTCCAGAGAGAACATCCTCACACAGTCTTGGCAATAATGACCCCAGAAGCGCCTATCCGACGACCCGCCATCACTGATGAGATGAATCATAGATGAAATCGCTGACACTGTGCTATAGTGGGTACTGGTAAAACACTCATCTGCTTGGCCTTAATTCTCTGTACGAAAGGCGAACCAACTAAAGCCCCCGAACCATTCGTTGCGGAGATACCGCCTAGGTCTGGAATAGCCAGCCTAGTTGACATGGCCGCCGCTGTGGCAAACAAAGGTTCTATACCTTGGAAACCGTGGTTTGACTTTAAGGCCGCTCAACATGGCTACGAATACCGGAACTGTTTACGAGCCCTATCACGGCCACAAAACCGGGCTCTATACAAAGTTGAGAACATATTGGTAGAAACCCGAAGAAGTGACAGGAATGCGCCTCTAACCCCGCTGTCTCGGGAAGTATACCTCAGTTATGTAACGCTCATCATCGTCCCTAATAACCTTGTCAAGCAGTGGCAAAATGAAATCAAGAAGCATACGTCTGGTCTGAATGTGCTTGTTCTCGTAGAGAAACAAGAGATTCCGCCAGTAACCGTACTGTTAGACTACGATTTGATTCTATTTTCCGTAAGTCGTTTCGAGTGGATACAGAAAGAACGTTCCAATGGCGAAGGTTCAGCATTGAATATTTATTGCCCGCTGGAGCACATTAGATTCAAGCGGTGCATCATCGATGAAGGCCACAAACTAGGAAATAGAAGTCAAGCATGGAAGAGTGACATCATGAGAGTTCTCGACCGCCTTGAGATCGCCGCTCGATGGGTTGTCACTGGGACGCCTTCGCAGGGGCTTTACGGTGTTCAGGATAAGTCAAGTGAGACGAATGATAACTCAAATAGCACGAGTCCCACAGTAAGATCGACATCTACCATGAAGCAGGAGCGAGAAGATCTACGGAGAATTGGCAATATGGCATCGAAGTATCTCAAGGTGCGGCCTTGGGCCAATACCAAGGAGGAGTTTGGCGATACTGTAGCCAACTGGAACATATACGTCATGGACAAAGAACAACACAGTAACGGTCATAACCGCAGAGACTGCCTAGAGTCTACTTTGAACTCGCTGATAATTCGTCATCGGCTTTCGGATGTTAGCTCGTTGCTTCCCCCAGTAGATGAGAAGATCGTATTACTGGATGGATCCTTTCAGGATAGATTGTCCCTGAACCTATTCTCGATGATGATAATTTTCAACTCAGTACAATCACAACGGACTGATCAGGATTATTTCTTTCACGAAAGGCAGCGCAAAAGCCTCATCCAGCTCGTCAAGAACCTAAGACAAGCGTGCTTCTTTGGTGGTGTCTTCTACTCCGTGGAAGACATCGCGAAATCACTGGATACTGCAAAAGAATTTCTCGATAAGAAGGAGTTCCCGATCAGCGATGAAGATAGGGTTCTGCTCAAGCAAGCGATATCATTTGGAAATCTGGCAGTGAAGAACCGCTTGAAAAACATAAGCAACAAGTTTCACTCAATGCCGTTATACGTAGAAAATTTCCCCGGTGATAGTGGGAGGAATTGGTCCCTTGACGAGCAAGAGGCCGACGACCAGCCTATCTGTACTGATGCGGGGATGATTCTCGCGCTTCAGAAGTTCTTAAATCCTTGTATCGATGCACCGACGTCTTTGCAGCTAATGATAGAAACCGGCCGGCTCGATCAACAAGGGGCAGCAGAACGCGCACAGGCACTGACAGCAGCAACAGAAGCTTCCGGTGGCGCCACAACGCAGACGGCAAATGCTGTGTCTCTAGCTGGAAACACTCCACTGGGTAATGACCGTCACTCGAAACCGAAGTCTGGCATATTGGACAAAGCGATATTGCCATCTGATGAGGGAACACAGAGCATCAATCCATTCCCAGAAGGCCACGTTAAGATCGCCGAACAATTGGCGAAGACTAGAATTATATCGACCGTCTCTGCTAAATTATCCTACCTCATTGACTCTATAATCAAGTATCAAGATAATGAACAGATTATTATATTCTATGACAACGATAACATTGCATATTATTTAGCCGGCGTGCTAGAAATCGTAAGGATCTCTCGTTTCACCCCCTATAACAATACCTGCTGATCATCATCCCAGCTGCAAATCCAACACTTGATCTATGCCAGAGCCGGTCTCAGTGCAGACAGACGGGCACAATACGTTGCTACCTTCACACATAACTCGAACTTTCGAGTTCTGCTGATGGACATAAGCCAGGCAGCCTTCGGTCTAGATATGCGTAGCGCATCACGAATATACTTCATAAGCCCTGTCCTAAACCCCCAGGTCGAGGCACAGGCCATCGGACGAGCACGACGAATCAGCCAGCAAAAGCCGGTGTCGGTTGAGACGCTGGTGTTGCGCAACAGCATCGAAGAAGTCATCGTCAACCGCCGCAAACAGATGACGCCCGCAGAACACAACAAGGTGAAATCCGTTCTCGAGGACCGCTTGATGTACCAGTGGATCAAGAACGCAAAGATCAACCCCATGTCTGATGAAGAAGACGGCGTTCCGCAGACCGCGATGCTGGAGACCCCGCAATTCGTCTTCGGCAGAGGATTTGGTCGCGAGCTTCATCCTGATGAAGGGCTGGTCAAGGGGAGCCCGGAGGGTAAGAATAATAACACTACGAATGGGGCACTGGCGGTGGCACGCACGCTGTTTAAGGCGCCTAGAGGCGTTAAACGACCTTCGTCGACTACTGTGGACCCATGGAGCGAAAGTGATGATGGCAAGGCGCATGGACCGCTGCCGAAACGGAGAGGTCATGTGGCTTTTGCTGATTAAGGGGGTTGGTTGTATCCTTAATGGTTTTGGGCAATTGAGAGAGGCTACCGGGTTGAGAAACGGCTCTGTATGATACGGGAGAGGCATCATCCTAAGCATCGGAGGGTCAGGGGACTCGATTACTACCTGCCTGGCCAACCTCTTTTTGGGACATACGATGCGTCAACTAATTTGGGACGCAGAAGATAATATGGAGCTCACGAATCACGCAAGATGTTGTGATTGAGTCAGCTATGGATGATTTTGTACTTGTAGGGCTGTCAATTTATAACCTTTACAGTAGATAGCTCCCTATGCACCATATACCCAATGATAATAACGTAGTAATTTCTAATTCTATAGCTCCGCCCTATTGTTGAATGCGATTTACTAAAATACCTACCTACGTACCTAGGTACCTATCTAGGCGCACAAGTAGAATAGAAGCCATTCCGAACAGCCCTTATTTGCTGCCCACTACCTACCTACCTACCTACCTATCTACCTCTTTCAGTCAAACACAAGGGCATTTATAATTTCGATGGGAGATCAAAACACTGAACAGTGTATTCAATCTATTGAGCTATAGGTAAGGTATATGCAATGAATAGGTAAGTAAAATAAGATAAGATAAAAATGCCAACTGTCAAGTGCCTAGAGGTTAGGCATTTAAGTAGATATCCATCGGGTAGTAGGGTGAGTAGTTAGGTATGAAGAAACTACCCGGCTAGCTAGGTAGGTAGCTTTGGTTGAGGCAAGAGGAGAGTCCTCCCATCTAGGTATTTTTCCTCATGAGCCCCGAACCCCCCTTTACGAGATAGGCATGCCACCCGGCAACTGCGCCAACCACCCATCCAACTCCTCGTCGACAGTCCTCGTCTTGGTGCACGTGTTGGCCTGCTCGAGCGACTGCGTCTGCAGCGTGGGGCAGTTGATGCGGTTGGCGAAGAGGTCCGAGTTGCAGTTGGCGTCGAGCGCGCGCTGCAGCGCGTCCCCCTTCCACCCGAACACGTAGTCCCCGTGGATCCCGTACCCCGTCTGGTCCCCGAACGACCACACGAACGGCTGCGATCCGTCGGCGGGCCACTCGGCTTTGTTGTTGAAAGGGCGCGTGTCCCAGTAGGTTTCGTAGAAGACTTGGGGGATCACGACGGGGTGTGTGGATGGGCAGGAGGTCCCCGAGGGGTAGGCGACGTGGCTTTGGTGGTCTGGGCTGTCGACGTTTTTGCCGTCCCAGCAGCTGGTTGGGGGGGGGAGGTGTTAGCTACTTAATCCATGTATTTACCCATGTTGTGGGGTAAAGTAAGGTAAGGGGAAATAAGTCACAAGGCACAAGGCAAAGGATAAGGTGGGCTGGGAAAAACTCACGTCGGGAAGCGGATGCTGACCATGATGCCGGCGGCGCAGGGCTGCTTGGGGAAGTAGGTGGTCTGGCCGCCGCGGGTCATGGACGACTGAAGGCAGGTGAAGTCCATGTACTTGTAGCGCCGGTTGAGCTCCTCGGCGGTGCGGATCTTGGGGTCGCCGACCGTCATGCGGAAGCCGGGCTTGAAGGCCGTCGCCTTGCCCGAGGTCAGGTAGTACACCGTCTGCCCGCCCTTGGCCTGCGTGAAGCCGAGCTCGTTGCCGAAGGTGTTCACGCGGTGGAGGGTGCCGTTCTTGGCTCTAAGTGGGAGGGGGGACCGTTGGTTAGTGAATTTGTCTACTAGAGATGATAGGTATGTATGTAGGCTTTTCAGTGGAGAAAGAGTTGGGTGGTAGTATCATACTTAAAGAAGAGGACGGCGGTCCAGTAGTTGGAGAAATCTTCGGTGGGCGTGCATGATGTGCAGGTTGCCGTCGTGGGGAGGTCATGCACGGCGGGGTCCATCGAGACGTTGAAGGCATTTCCTCCGACGACTTGGTGTAGATGGGGGGATGGGCTTTCTCCGGGGTTGACGAGACTAGAGATAGGGAATTGGTTAGAAAGATTTTCGCCTTATTCTCTCCCTTTTTCTTTTTGATCTTTTTCTTGAGTTTCGAAAGTCGGCTTACGGGTCTAGTCGCTCGACAACGAGCTGCGAGCACGAGAAACGGAGAGTCGCTGCGGCATTGACGCTAGGCGCGATGCCAGCGGCGGCAAGGAGTGCGAAGTTCCTCAACTGCATGTTGATGGCGGGCAGATGGTGGCTTTTCCTCTTTTTATCGTAGATACTGACTGTCACACGTCGCTTCAAGACCCCAAACGGAGACTCAGCCCGTTTTTAAAAGTTGGGAATCGCTGGATGGGTTTTATGTCGCATCCCAACGTTCGGTTGGACTCCGACGGCCACACAACTGCCGACGATCCTACGCACCTTTCAACCCATGTGTCTCTCTCGGCCATCTAGGTTGTTGAGCAGGGGGGAGGGGGGAGTCAGGTCCTCTAGACCGATCGAGGTATAAATATACTGTCGAATCGTCAGGAGTTCTGAGATTAAGTGTGGAACGTGTATGTCATTTAGCCAAATTGAATTCTGCCGGGAAGTACTCCTGATTCTGTAAACAGAACTGTGGGATGCTGCGAAGTGAACACGGCGGCAAATCGATACCCCGGGACTTTAGAGACAACTATAATTGTAATTTGAGAAGAAGAAGAAAAAGGTTGCCTGTTATTTTTAGATTGTCCCGTTGTAGAGATGAAATGATCGAGATCTGAAGATGGTTTGGGAGATGAGAAGGCCTACAGACCAAATAACAAGATCGTGCTTATACGTGATCTTCATATTACATTCATAGATAATACTACTTCCTGGGACATGATATAAGGAATAACCGACTTCGATACGACTTGATTTATTATGCCTACCTAGGTAGGCACATAGGTCAGTAGTCACGCTTGAGATGTGTTGCTACTTTAGATATGGTAGTACTAGCTTGACCAAGACTTGCCCGAATAGGCTTTTTATAGCATGGAGATCTAAGATGATTGGCCGGGAAGATGGAGGTTCGTCTTGAAAGGCAACAATGGACCTTAGCACTAAAGAGGAGCACACTCGCACTCGAGCATCGGCGGTTGTCCATGTGATAGCTAGGTATATTTGGGTTGCCCAACTGGAATTTTCTTTCGGAACATTCAGAGCCAGGGGCGCAGGAAAGCTCAATATAAGTTAAGCGAATAAGAAGAACAGGGTTAGTCGTGAGAAGCTTCTCGATCTTGGTACTCTTGGATCGATAATTCCAAATTCCAGTTGGCTATGACGTCTGATGTGACCATATTTCCAAGGACAAATGGATCATAAACGTACAGATAACTTTCCGAAGAAACACGCGGCGATCCTGCCATGAATGGTAGCAATTTGTAAATATAATCTCCAGGGCTGTTCGGTGTCAAGCATTGACATTCGATACCGCCCTTTATGCTATTCATAAAAATTCGAAGTTACTCTCGTGTCATAGCTAGGTGGAAGGCCCTTTGGCGGGATTGTAACTTGTTGAGTTGACATCTCCCTTGGCAATTGGCCTGAGGGATGAGCCACCTGCCTTTGGATTGTCTCCTCCTGTTGTCGACAGTGCGTTCAAACCAGACTCTTCCGACTTGTCTGAGCTCAATGTCAATCACGGCCTTCAATGAGACGTTGAGGTATGACATACTATTTGCAGCAGCGCGGGTTTGTTTAACACCGGCCATGAACTTCTGATTAGCGCTCTGTGTCCCAGAAGGCATGATGAATTTTGATACTGTTCTGGCTTATAGGTGAGTAGTAGTAGTTAGTTACGACTGCGTTGTATATGCTTATGAGGGCAACATAACTAATGTAAGGATGTAAAAACATGGAAACACTTTAAACTTTGTTAAAATTACATATGTCATATGTAGTTTGAACTACATAATGAAATGATTCAAGTACTATGTACCTGGTCTGAATCGTCATGATGGCATCTCCAATTTCAAGATGACTTCATAATACGTGAACATAGGTTCATGGACATGTCTCTACCGGGGCGCTATCGGGTACTATGCAGTAAACCAGCTGGTTAAACAACGGCAAAAATATGTAGCACTTCTTAGTCAGCAGACATACCTTGGAGTTTGGCCCTTTGAATTTCATAAAAAAAATGAAAAGCTCTCGATGTCTTTTCAACTTCTTTCTGCGACGTCATGTCCGATCCCGCCGCAACGCAGTCGCTTCTCAACATCAATGCGCTGCTCGATAACCCCGTCTTCGCCGGGGGCTTTGGCCTCGCGTCCCTTGGCGCTGTCCTGGCCTTTGCTCGCCGAGGTGTTATCACTGCCGGTGGTATGATTCGGCGCCGCATGCTCGTCAATGTCGAGATTAGCAGACAGGATCCCTCCTATCCTTGGGTTCTTGCATGGCTATCGCAACCCCGAGAGCAGACTTCTTTTTTTGCGAAGAAGCTAACGCGCATCAATAAACTGTCCGTCACTACGTCCACCAGCGTCACGCCGAATGGTCCTACGAAGGCGAGCTTCTTTTTGCAACCGGGATACGGCCGCCATATTGTCAAGTACAAGCATGCGTATATTGCGGTGAATAGGGAAAAGCAGTCTACGGCGAAGACAAATACGGGTGAACCACATGAGACAGTGGAGCTCACGACATTGTATTCGCACCGACACATCTTCGAGGACGTCTTTACCGAGGCTCGCGCTCTTGCGCTCCAGGCCAATGAGGGGAAGACGGTGGTATATTCGGTGAGAAACTTTGATTGGGTCCCGCTGGGCGAGCCACGGAGAAAACGGCCATTGGGTAGTGTGATACTTGACCAAGGAGTCAAGGAGGACATTGTCAACGATGCGAGGGACTTCCTCGCGCGACGGCAATGGTATGTGGATCGTGGGATCCCCTATCGTAGAGGGTATCTTCTTTACGGGCCGCCCGGCAGTGGTAAGAGCTCCTTCATTCAGGCCTTGGCTGGTGAACTGGATTTCAGTGTGGCCATGGTAAACTTAAGCGAAATCGGCGTAACCGATGACAAACTTGCCTTCCTCCTCACGAAGCTTCCCGAACGTACTATTCTCTTGCTGGAAGATGCCGATTCCGCATTTGTCAATAGGAGAAAGCGTGACGGGGATGGATATAACGGTGGAACTGTGACCTTTTCTGGCCTGCTGAACGCCCTAGACGGGCTGTCTGCCGGCGAAGAGCGTATTGCATTCCTTACGACGAACCACGTTGAGCTTCTGGACCCTGCTCTGATCAGGCCAGGCCGAGTGGACATGACGGTCCGTATAGGGGAAGCTACCAGGTACCAAGCTGCTCAGATGTGGGACAGATTCTACGGGGATATAGATGCCGATGGTACGCATCGAGAGAGATTCTTGCACCGCCTGGACGAACTAGGATTCTTCCGCGAGGCGAAGGAAGGAGAGGCGGGGCCCCGCACGAGTACTGCTGCTATCCAGGGCCTTTTCTTGTTCAACAAGAATGATATGGAGGGCGCTATTAACATGGCCGAGCATCTCATTCCGCACAAACTGGAAGCAGAGCAGTAGATGGCTTGTACGTTATGTGTTACTGTACCATATAAGAGATACCCCGTTATTTGACGATCCCGATGAAAAAGTTCACCCTACCTATCTACCTTTGCTTGTGTAACTGCCAGGTGTATAAGCGAGGTGCTAATCTGCCAACAGACGCGAGGCCGTATTTCTATCATCAGATTTTGCAAGATTGGTTCGATTACAAGCATTTAGATATACGAATGCAGGTTACGAAACCTACGAAGCCTTATTATTCTAGACTTCTCTTGTATGATTTGGTTGTACTCGAGAAAGGGCAGCCGATAATTTAAGTCATCCTCGATATGATATGGTTAGCTACCTCTATAGGACGACGTTGATGATATTATAATGACAATTGCTCTGGAATGAGAAGAGATCTTCTCCTTGCCAGCCCAGGTATTTACCTAGTAGTTGGCGAATACCAGATATGAACAAATAGGAATCAATTCTGGGCGTCGGATGGGGCCCTTCCATGGGTTGTGAAAAGAGTCAAGTCCCAATCGGCTACCTGCCAAGGCAAGCCACATTTGTCTGGACAGCAATACGGGAGGCTTAACCCTCTGCCATTTCCAACAGTCAGTTAGGCACCCATGCTACAGAGACGGTGAGGCAAGGTTATATACTCATGACATTTACCGTTTCGACCATCATATTTGTGCGTTTTGACTGCCTACTCACATGATTATCAAACTAATCATTTCCCAGCTACCACTTTCATTCCTTTCGTCTCTTTTCGCCCTGGACGTTGCCTCTTTTCAACAAGCACCACCTTGGGCGCTTCTGACAATATGTAGGCTCCCTTGCTGTATCTTGATATGGTTAACGAAGATGCTGACATCAAATATCAGTTCTGGTATCCTTTGCCATCAGTGTTCCCCTAGCATCGTGCGTTATATGGTGGGAACAGCTCGTGGAATACCGCCAGAGGCAAAGAGAACGCCCCCCGAAGCGAAGAGGATGGCAAACTGAGCCTCAAAATGATGCCGAAGATAGGGAGTACAGCAATGAATCGAATATAGGGCTAGTCAAAGAGAAGATCACCGACATCATGAAGCTCCCCACGAACCTTCAGTTCCGTCAGCCGCGGAGAGGGTCTTATACATTGGAAGTAGGAATCATCACAAGCAACCGGGACCCTGAGGATGATCACATGTATTAGCTATCCAAGTGCCCAGTAACGTATTACGCAAATCACCGTGTCTACAACTGGTATCACTATTTAGCCACCGGCTTGTTCAGTTGCTAGCACGAGCCTGTACCACTCCAAGTGCGTTATTCAGACACTTTGCACCTGAGCCTATAGAAACTATCTTCATATACTGAAGTACGCTTGAATTCGGATGCACGGCCTAGCTAACCAAGGTAGGTAAGAAAGAATTAGGTATATATTAACTATATCGACCCTCCCAATTCGATCATGGGCAGTCACAGTTGTCCTCCATACAGCACCAAAGGCCATACGATGATAGCAGGCAATTTTTGCCCCTGCAGGCATACGGGCAAGACTCGGCTTTCATCTCTGCACAGGCGTTACTGCACATCCGTTAGCACGACGTGGAAGGCTGGAAGGAAGAGCATGAGATAGCATGAATAGAGATTCAAGACATACTATCGTTTAGTGAGTGGAGACTCAGGGGTTGGCGATGCCATGGCAACACAGGCGAGAGCTACGATGTAGGCGGCGATCTTCATGGCTGCGAATGTATGGGAGTGGGAGGAAGAGTGTTTGATGAGGTTGGTTTGGATAGGTGTATGGTAATTGTATGTTTGCTTTCGTTTGTCGGTTGTCGTTTGCCTAGGGAATCAGAGGAAATTCCGAGTTAATCGACGGAAGATTCACCTTATATATACCTACCAAGCCCAGTCAGTAGGTTCCCAGATAACCTAAGCTACCAGAGCAAGTCCCGCATCTACGTCTGTATGCGGCACCTTGAACAGCCCCCTTTTACTCTCTGCTGGCAACACTGTCGCCCCAGACCTAGAAGCGCGCGGTGTTATCTTATGAGATGCCAAGCCTCCATCAAGCACCTTATTAAGGTTAATACTCTGCATTGATTAGCTCAACTATACGAGTCTGCGGCGTTGAACGGGGCTAAAGACTTCGTGGAGCGGTCGGTCTAAGAAGAAGTCTAAGTCAAAAGAACAAAATAGCTAGAAAAGGAAATAAACTAAATAGGGGTGGGGTGTTACGAAGCTATATAGGTATGTACTGAAACTACTACAATGGGTTAAGTTGACTTATGATTAAAAGCTGACCCCCTATAACTATAGGTAGATGATTACTCAACTAGTAAGTAGGTGGATGCTACATAAGTTCCGATTTCCTCAATATGCTACTAAGAATAGTTCACATCCCCACTGCCGTGCCGTTCGCTCATATCCACAGTACTAACTCCTTACCTATAGGATCTTATGGGGAGAGACACGAAAGAACCCCCCAATTCTACCTACATAGGAGGCAGGCTTGTAAGAAGAGAAATATGGAAGGAGAAAGATATGGAGTTCTATTCGGTCCTTACATACATAACACCCGCGCATCCATCGTTCTGATATAAAAGCATGAGGCTAGCATCGCCAAGGCAGCTGAACGGCCCCCAAAAGAAGCCCAACCAGGTCCATATCTGCGATGGTAACAAATAGGTTCTTTTATCCTTTGCTAAACAGGTAAAAGATCATATTACCCACTTCTTAAGCACTGTGCCTTCTTTAATAGACCGTCGATGGGAACTGATCTCACTCGACAGTGTCAGCTATCTACCTAACGTAAGAATTTACACACTTCCAAGGCTTTGATGACGTAGCGAGCAATTATGCACCGCGGTCACTCCATCCGTAGATATCACAATGTTTATAGAAGAGCTATCACTTAACTTTTACAAGACACCGATTTTAACACGGTGTTAATAATGAGACTTTTGCTCTCATCATGTGCTCACACAGTCGATTTTAGAGCAAAGCAAGTAAAGGCACCTTGATGGAGAACAGTCTGTAGAAGAAAAAGTTATTGCTCGGCCACGGGAAGATGATGGGTACCTTGTTGTCGCGAGGGCATATAAGCATTATTTTATATTATATACCTAAACATATTTTATCTTACCACACCTAGGTACTTTCCTTCTCCTCCCCATCGTAAGATCAGAGGCAGACAAGTATCGACCTCAGTAGCAAGCCTCAGAATATTCATCTTTCTTTTATTCAAGCACTCTAGAAGCTCCCTAACTACTGCCATCCTATCCAAGTGGACCAGCAGCCTCTTATATCTGCCCAAACGGATTTCTCTTTCCTATTCATAGCTCATACCAACAACGACAAAATGGCGAACAATTATAACCAAGTCCCCGGCCCATTCACTGGCAATGTACCTTTTATATTTGGCCAGCTTCCTCATCAAATTCCCCAAGGCGGCCAAGCCCCTCCGGGTCGCGGCTGGTATTACTGGGGCGGCTATGCTATGAATGATGGGAATACTCGGTATGAGAATTTACCTACGTACACACAAACCGCTTATCCGTTTTTCCAGCTAACCTGACTACCTATTTAGTTACGAGCCGAACAGCGGGGACGTAAAGGATCAGGGTGCTGACAAGGGAAGCCTATCCATTGAGCCCCCCACCAAGACCAAGGGCAAGGGCGAAGAAGTAAAGTCTCCCCTCACCCCCGAGCCCACCCGTCCAGAGAAGATCGCCACCGCGCCAAACGACGAGGCAACAGAAGAATTCTTCACCGTCCTCCGCACGAAGCTCCGAACCCTCGAGGGCTCCGAACTCCGTGAGGTGATCCTATCAGTATGTCTCAACTCGCGAACGACCTTATACTGCGTGATCAGCTACGTCAAGAAAGAGGAGGCTGCCAAAGCGACTACCGTCCCGCACTCCTCTGACGGCCTCGGAATCCACCTACAATACCTGTCCGCGATGGAGCTGGAGGATTTGGTCATCCATGTCTGCGAGAAGGCGGAGATGGAGAAGACGAGGGACACGGTGAGGCACCTCGTGGAGGCGATGGAGGACAGGAAGCTGGGACATAGGAACTTCTCGTAAATGGGCTAGGGGGTATAAGGGGCGCGGCGCGAGGGGGTCGGGTTGACAGAAATATCGAATGAACGACTGCTTCTTTTTCTTTCAGGTGCAGGGTTCGGTTAGGTGCTAGGTAGTATGGCGCATAGGGGTTCAAGGGATACCATTTGAAAGCACCGGGAGCATTGGAAGTCATTTTGGGCGTTACTAGATACCCTAGGTACAGGCTCAGTTCAATACATATATGTGCCCATTCTTTGCACGCGGAATCTAACATATACATCCATTCTAGCGTCAACTCCCGCTATCTACAAGACTTATCTTCTTTCCCGTGACACCCTATCAAGGTCAAGAGTCCCACTATGCCCACCATCCGCCTACGCGTCCAGAATATTGATCTTAACCAACAACGAGCACTTCGTCTCGTGGCCCTTGAGATCCAGCATCCTAATGAAGCTCCACCCGCGAACCGCGTACAGCAGCCGCAGCGCCGCGACAGCGTAGACGGGGTTCTCCGCGAAGCTGATGTCATCTTTGATCAAGATGCGGAGAAACACCAGCTCGTTGTCGTCGTACTCCCACTCCAGCACCTCGTCCCAGACCGGGTCCGTCGGCGGCGGGTTCTCGCCGCGGTGCAGGAACCCCAGCTTGTGGTGCTTGTACGGCCGCGTCTTGCGCTTCGGGTGGTCCGCCTCGATCTCGTCCGGGTGGATGATCGTGCACGTCACGTACGGCCGGAGGTCCTGCACGTCGCGGTCCTGGCTCGCGGGGAGCGGCAGGTCCGACGCCCCCGCGATGTGTAATAAGAGGCGTTTTCGCCGCCCGGAGCTCAGCCGCATGCTCCCGCCGGCGCGGAGGGCCGCGGGCTTCAGCACGTAGCCGTCGGTGCCGCTGAACAGCGCCTCGTTGATCTGCATGCTCGCGTTGAAGGTCTGCCAGTTCATCGCGCAGATCTGCGCGCCGACGCCCCAGAACGGCACCTGCTTCAGGTTCTTCGACGAGATGCGCGTGCCCTTGGGGAACACGCGCATCAGGTGGCGCGCGTTGTGGCGCGCGATCTTCTCGCTCGCCAACGGCATGTGGGAGGCGAGGCCGGTTTCCGATACGTTGATCAGGTGGTTGCGCGGCGCGTCCTTGAGCACGCTCTCGTACCACGAGTTGTCCTTCGGCTTTACCGACTGCGCGTACACGCCCAGGCAAGCGAGCTCCGGCACGATGGCACCGGAGGCGACGGCCTTTTTCCGAGCGCGGTAGGCGGCCTGCGCTTGCTTCTCCTCTTGGTCTTCTGGGTCCGAGCTGTCGCCGTCGGTGGTTTCGACTTCGTCGGGGAGGTGGTACTCGACGATGACGACGATTTTGGATCCGAGCTCGGCTAGTGTCACCGGATCGGTGCTGTCGTCTTCGCCGGATTGCTCCTGGTGGCCCTTGATTCGGACGGCTTTGTCAAGTAGACGGTCGCCCCAAACTTCCTTCATGATCTCGGCGAGTCGCGCCTGACCGTGGACGCCACAGTGGTTCTCCAAGGAGAGCAGGATGGGCGCCGCGCGATAACCCTGCGCATTTTGGGCTTGCTCGGCTTCCCGGTCGACGACGTCGCGGATCGTCTCGCAGACGGCGCGGAAGGGGATGTGGGAAACTAAGGTATATCCGTGCGTTACCTTGGGTTCATCCTCATTGTCCTCGTCGTCCCAGGCGTCAATCTCCACACAGCGGGACCCGGCATTCAATGCCGTCTCGTATGCCGTGGCGGAAGATTTTCCGTGGAGCTGGTGGCCTAGCAGATAGGTGTTGTGGCTAGAGCTGATGAAATACTCCGGTAGGGGATACGATCGATCAGTCACTTGCGGGGGAACCTCAATATGCGACCTTTCAAGTAGCGCTTGTAGCGCAGGGCTTGGCTCCTCCGAATCAAGGCCAATTTCTTCTTCGGAAAACACGCTTTCTTTGACGAGGAATGACTTTAGTGCATGGCTCACTCGTATTTGAGTCTTGGTAATCTTGGTCTGCCGGGCGCCGTGGCCGCCTCCCGCGATAGTGGAGTCGTCGATTTCCTCGCCGACATCCTCGTCATATACACCTCGCGTCAATTTAGAAAGCGGGTTTAGCTGGGCGAACCGGGTGGTTAGTGATCCAGCCATTTTTTTTTTAGTTGCAGTTCAAGTCACTAGGAAGTTTTGATAAATGTAAATCTAGGTAGGGTAGGTAGATAGGTACTAGGTATGTAAAAGAAAGAGGGAATGGAAATAAAGACGACTACACCACCCCTTGTCGGCACCAGAGCAGGTTTAATACCTAGTAAGCTTACGTAACTTCGATTGAGATCAGCTAAGATCAGCTCCCAGCCCTATGAGAGGAGAGCAAGGAGCTAATTGGCTCATTTGCGTAAAAAGAGATATGAGGGGGCTTTGCTTGGCTGCAAACAATGCAAGATGTCGGGGGGTTATGGGGTTTTTACGAGACAATTGGTAGATCGAAGCGCCACAATCATGTTGTATGACTGTGAGTGACACAGCTGAAAGACATCATTAATACCTATTTAGTTACCTAGTAGTCAATAAATCCCTAGGTTAGCTCGATTGATTTGTAGAATCACTAGAGACTTTGTCAGTTCGTGCCTAGCTAGACATCTAAGGATACCTAAGGTTTTCAAGGCCAGGGTTAAAGGAAAAAATGAAGAGCTTTAACAGCATCAATTTCAGCCATTAGTAAAGGTTTTTCTCGTGCCTACAAATTATTATTCATTCAAATAGTTCGAGCAAACCGCATTCCTAATGTGTATGAGCCGCTACTGTATCACGTGGCCATTTATGAGATCACATGACTTCCTTCCTGCTACCCCTTTTCCCCCTGATTAGTCATCGTGGCCTATTGTTAGAACAAGGTCATGTGATTTTTGGTTGATTACGTGGGCAACTTATCCACGTGATATTTTAATGGGTAATGCGTTTATATTTACATATATTTATTAAAGTTTTTTATTTATTTATAAAATTATTCTTTTTTAATTAATATAATTTTTATTTTAATAATTATATTATTTAATAATTAAAAGTTTTATATATAAATATTTTAAAAATATTATAAAAAACATTAATATTAATTATATTTTATTTAAATAAAATTAAATATAACTTATAAATATATTAAATCGTAAAGATTTAATCTTAATATTTAAAAAAGTAAACTAATAAAATATATAAGATTTTATATTTTAAAAGATAATAATAAAATTATACGTTTAAAATAAAATTAAATTAATTTTAAACGATGTAAAATTTAATAACTTAAAATATATATAGTTAAAAAAATTAATAAAGCTTAAAATTAAAAATGAGTTTTGTTATCCGCACCCCCCTTTTTTGATAAACAGGCCTTATTCGCACCCCGGTACATTGAGATCGCAGCGCAAAAGGTCCGCGCTTCAAGGCTAGCTTCCATCAAAAGATCCAGTACAACTTCCAATCCAGAAATCGGATTGAAGTGCATCCTATGTCGTTCGAATCAGCTTAATTAGACAATCCAAACGATATATGTTTCAGATCAATGCGACCGCTGGCTGTAAAGTTATTCAAGTTTAGAGATTGCAGTCTACCTTGAAAATGGTACAAGTTGAAGTGGTCCGTGCATCACGTGATGCCCCTCGGCTAGCGCCAGGCTAGCGGCAAAGCGTCTATTTCACTCTTTTCTGAATAACTTTGTAACCACCTGTCGGGTCAGTCTGAAACATATATCATTTGGATTGTCAGGTTGAGACGGTTCTAATGGAGCTGGATGCACTTCAATCCGATTCCTGGATTGGAAGTTATTTAGGGTTATGTGTTTGAAGCTAGTTGGAGCGTTCGGACGACCAGCATTTTTTCACTTTTTTTCCATGTACCGGGGTGCGAATAAGGCCCTTTTATTAAAAAAGGGGGGTGCGGATAACAAAACTCTTAAAAATTATATCTTAAAATAAAAATATTATAAATATATTAATATTACTTATTTAATTAAAATATAATTATAATAATTTAATATAAACTTAATATTATTTAAAAAAAAGAAAAAAAAATATAATTAAAAGTAAAAAAATATTATAAAATTTAAAAACTTATATTATAAAATAATAATATTAAGCCATTTTAAGATAACATATAAACTAGATATAAATATATATAAATAATATTTAAAACTTTAAAAATTAATAAGTATAAATAAATAAAAATAATTAATAAAAATATAAATTAAATATAAAAAACGTATAATTATTTTAATTAAACCGTTAAAAAATTAATACGCTTAAATTAATTAATAAAAAAAATATATAATTTAAATTAAAATAAGAAAAATATTAAATATTAAAAAAGCGATAATATAATTTAATAATTTATAAATAATTATTAATAAAAAGTTTTATTATCCGCACCCTTTTTTTTTAATAAAAAAGCCTTATTCGCACCTTAATATATTAAGATCGCAACGTAAAAGGTTTAAGCTTTAAAGTTAACTTTTATTAAAAGATTTAATATAATTTTTAATTTAAAATTCGAATTAAAATATATTTTATATCGTTTAAATTAGCTTAATTAAATAATTTAAACGATATATATTTTAAATTAATGTAATCGTTAATTATAAAATTATTTAAGTTTAAAAATTATATTTTACTTTAAAAATAATATAAATTAAAATGGTTTATACATTATATAATATGCTTCGTTTAACGTTAGGTTAATAATAAATCGTTTATTTCATTATTTTTTAAATAACTTTATAGCTATTAATTATATTAATTTAAAACATATATCGTTTAAATCGTTTAATTAAAATAATTTTAATAAAGTTAAATACACTTTAATTCGATTTTTAAATTAAAAGTTATTTAAAATAATATGTTTAAAGCTAGTTAAAACGCTTAAACGACCGGCATTTTTTTGCTTTTTCCCCATATATCAGAGTGCGAATAAGGCTCTTTTATTAAAAAAGGGGGGTGCGGATAACAAAACTCTTAATAAATATATAAAAAAATAATATTTAATATATTTTTAAATAAATAAAAAAAGTTTTTTAAATAATATAATTTTTTATTAAGATATAATAAAAAAATTAAAAATAAAATTTTAAACTTATAAAATAAATTAAAATTAAAACTAAGTAAAAAAAGGAATATTTACAATAATATATGCAAACGAAAATGAAAAAAAAACCTTAAAAGCCGGAAAAGGTAAAACAACAAATAAGCTAATTAAAAAAAGCAAAAAAACACGAGAATTAATATATAATAAAAGATTAAATAAATAAATAAAATAACTAATATTATCGATATTAAATAATAACTTAATAATTTATAAAATATATTATAAAAATTATATAATTAAAAAGTGTTAATTTATATTTAAGGAATTAAAATTAAATAACATTTTAAAAAAAACATTTAAATAAAAAATATATAAAAAAAACTTTAAAGCTTAATTAAAACTAAAAGTAAAAATAAAAAGATTTAAAAAATAAGTTTAAAAGTTTACTTTTTGCCTTAAATTTAAAAAAAAGCAAAAAAAAAAGGAAAAAAATTAATTAATAATAATAATACAATATATCGACGTAATATTAATAATAATGTAAGCTTTTATTATATTAATTAAGGCTAAAAAAATAACATATAATATTTTACATTATCCTTTTATACATTTAATTATTTTTAATTTAAAAAATATCATTTATATTTTTAACGAAAAGTTTTAATTTTTTAATTATTAAAATACATTAAAAAAAGATATAATAATAATTAATATAACCATAATGTTAATTATTAAGTATAAAAATATAAAAATAAAAATTAAAAACTTAAAAAATTATAAATTTTTACAAATATTAAACGTAATATATTATTAAAATTTTACTTATAACTTAATATTTTTATAATTCCTAAAGTAACAAAAATATTACTAAAATAATAAATATATATAAATATATATTAAATAATAAAATAATTCCATTTTATATAAAATGCTTAATTAACATAATTAATTTATATTAAAAAATATTTTATATAAAATAAATAAAAAAATCTTTTATATATAAATAAAAATTATTAATTTATAAATAAAACATGTTATAAAATAAGGAAATATAAAAATATGGCATTTACGATTAAGCTATTTAAGATTATAAATATTAAAACATTTAATTAATTATTCTTAAAAAATAAAAATCATTAACTTAACTATTATAAAATATAATATATATAATATATTAAAATTTAAACGTCTTATAAGATATAAAAAATAATATATAAATAAAAAACTAAAAATGTGATTTATATTAAACTTTCATCCATTAAAAAAGTTATTTAATAATTATAAAAATTTTATATTAATATTAAACCAATAATTTAAATATATTTAAAATTATTATCTAAAAAATTACATAACCTTTTCTATTATAACCGCTTTAAAACATATAATTAAAATCTTTAAAATTTAACATAAAATCACATCTAAAATAATGGAAATAAATAATAAAATAATAATTATAAAGCTAAAAATACAAAAATATCTTAAAAACATCCATATTTAAATAAAAGTTTTAACCCCACGTATATAAAAACAAAACAATATAATTAAACGCTTAAGGGATATAATTAAAATAAAGGCTAAAGCTATATATAATAATGCAAAACTTTTAACATTCCTATAACCGGAAATATATTAATTAATAATATATTTATATAATTAAACACTTAAGTATATATATAATTAAAAATCGCTATATAAACGGTTTTATACGTTTATAATATAAAGAAATAATAATAAAGTATAAATTTAAAAACCGTAATAAACACATTTACGGGTTTATAATTATAAAACATTCGCCATAACAAAAAAAGCATAAAATAAAAAAAAACAATTATAATAATTTAACTTTAAAACTTAAATTAAATATTTTATAAAATATAACTTAATTAACATTTATTAAATATAAAATCTATAAACTAATTAAATTATTATTACACATAATATAGCTTTTAACAAAATTAATTTATTCTTAAAAAACTTAAATAATTTTTAAAATAACATATTTAAAATAAATATTAAAAAGTATAAAAAATAGCTAAAAAAAGTAAAAAAATTAATTTAAAATATTACCTAAAATAAAATTCTCATTTTAAACAATTATAATACTTATATAAAAAATAAGAAAGTTAATAAAGAAAATTATAACAATTAAAACATTATAAACGTTTAAAATATTAAAAAATCTAATATATTAAAAAATATTAATATAAGAAAAACTTTATTAAAAAATAAAGAAATAAATAATATACATAAATTAAGAATTAAATTTAATTAATTAAGCGAATTTAAAAAACAAATATTAATAACCCTTAATTTTAACGAATTTATAAAAGATATAATTTATTATATATTATAAATAATTTAAAATACACACTTAGTTTTAAATGTTTAACTAACGATTTGGCATTTTATATTTAATATAAAACACTTAAGAATAAAAGTAAAAACGATAAATGAGAAAAGTATTAATAAGGTATAATTCTTATAATTATTTAAGAATTTAAAGAAAATTTATAGGAAAAATTTACCATTTTCATTAAAACATTATAAAAAAATAAAGAATTATTTAATAATTAACTTATTTAAGGAAATAAAATAAGAATATTTAAAAAGTTATATATAAATAAAAATATAAGAAGAAATTCTACATAATAATTTATAATACTAAAAAAAGCAAATTATTAATTTAATATAAGTATATATTTATAAAATAAATAAGTATAAAAAGTTTTAAAAATATAAAGTAAGGATTATTGTTAAAAGTAATTAATAAAAAAAGTTAAAAATAGAAGAAATATACGTTTTCACCTTAATAAAAAAATTATTTTAAACATTAATAGTTATTATAATATAATTTAATTTAAAATTAAAGTAATTTAATATTATTAACGTGTTTATAAATGTAAAAATCTTATATAATATATTTATATAAATACCTTAAAAATATAAAACATTTAAAAAAATTTTTAAATTAAAAAAGACATTATATAAGATGCGAAAATTATTATTGTTATAATAAAAAAAGTTTACATAATCTTTTTAATTAATAGGTTTTAAATTAATTTTTTACAAATTATACGTATATCGTAAAAATAAAATTTTATTATTTTTTTATATTAACGACTTAATATTTATATATCGAAAAAGAGATAAAAAAAAAGCTAAAAAATTAATGAAAAAATTAAAAGAAAAGTATTAATTAACGAGAGGAAACGACCTATAATAGTTTCTCGGCATAATTATAATAAAAAATTAAGTTAAGGGTTTAATTTAATTAAACTAAATTAATTATATTTATAAAATTACTAATTTAACAAATATAAGCATATTTAAGAATTTTTTATACCTTATAATAAAGAAAAAACTACTATTATATAAAAAAAAAATATTATTTAAGTTAATTATAAAATATTAAAAAAAAATAAGTTTAATATTTTATATAATATTTAATATATAATCGGATATTATATTCGTTTATTTTAAATTATTATAATTTCTTATAAACTTTAAATTATAATATTAAGCTATAATTAATCATATGTTTTATTATATAAATTAAACCGATAGTTTAAGACTTTAATTTAAAAAAAAAATAAATTTAAAGTAATAAATAATATTTCTTTTATAAATAACTCCTTAAATTAAAAAAGCTTATAAATATATGTTATAAAATTTTTTAAAGGATTAATTATATAAAAAGTAAATAAGTAAAACATTATAATTACATTAATTATAAAAGCGGAGCTATTAATATTATCATAAATTATTAAAAAATTAATATTTATTATACGATTAATAAAAAAATTAAAAATATCATTAAATAAATCTATTATTATTATTTAATGTGATAATATTTAAATTATAAAAATAATATAAAAAGATATAAAAAAGTTATAAATTAAGTTAAGGTATATAAATATATATAATTATTAATTAAAATAAAAGGTAATATAAAATATTATTAAAATATAATATACTTTAACTAAAAAAATAATTATAAACGGATTAATTAAAGCATTTATTAATATTTTATTTAAAAAATGTATTTAATAAATTAAATTAATGGATATTAAGGATTATCTTTAGATTTAAAAAAATAAAGAAATTATTAATATAATTAAATAATTTTAAAACAACTAAGTTTAAATAAGAGTTTTATTATCCGCACCTTTTTTTTTTAATAAAAAAGCTTTATTCGCACCTCGATACATTAAAATCGCAACGTAAAAGGTCCGAGCTTTAAAGTTAGCTTTCATTAAAAGATTTAATATAACTTTTAATTTAAAATTCGGATTAAAATGTATTTTATGTCGTTTAAATTAACTTAATTAAACAATTTAAACGATATATATTTTAAATTAATATAATTATTAGTTATAAAATTATTCGAATTTAAAAATTACATTTCACTTTAAAAATAATATAAATTAAAATAGTCCGTATATCACGTAATACGCTTCGTTTAACGCTAAGCTAATAGCAAATTGTTTATTTCATTATTTTTTAAATAACTTTATAGCCACCGGTTATATTAATTTAAAACATATATCGTTTAAATCGTTTAATTAAGACGGTTTTAATAAAGTTAAATACACTTTAATCCGATTTTTAAATTAGAAGTTATTTAAAGTGATGTGTTTAAAGTTAATTAAAGCGCTTAAACGACCGGCATTTTTTTGCTTTTTTCTTATATACCGGGATGCAAATAAGGCCCTTTTATCAAAAAAAGGGGATGCGGATAACAAAACTCTTAAACAAATAATACCAAGAATAATAAAATTTAAAAAGGTATGTTAAAATAAGGTCATGTGATTTTTAATTAATTATATAAGTAATTTATTTATGTAATACTTTAATAAGTAATACGTTTGCATTTATATATATTTATTAAAATCCTTTATTTATTTATAAAATTATTCTCTCCTAATCAATATAACTCTCACCTTAATAATCGTATTGTTTGATACCTACCTTGGTACCATGGTACCTATTAATAGGGGTAATTGACATGTGTGCTCAACATAATGTTACCACATAAAGGACCCCTTAAAATAGTAGCTGTCATTAACATTCTCTACTCTTTCATATCTATGAAATACATATCGCCGAAACTTGGTCTTGGTGACTATTCTTTCGTTTACAGCGTCGTAACTGTGGCATTCAGGTAATTATGCTACTCTTATTATTGAATTTGCTAGGTTGGGAGAGTAGTCATCTAATAATTTCCTAGGTATATTTCGCTCTGAACTATCGTGACTTTTAGCAGTTAAGTTGAATTAAGCTTTCGTTTAAAGTCTATGGTATGAGTCTATGGTACGTGTGGCGACATTCCCGATCATGGCGAAATCATGACTTCATAGACCTGCTATGATCACGTCAAGTCATCAATGTCTTAGTATGCGTATGTCTTACTTGAAAGCGATCTACCCTTTCGTTTTTAATGATCAGTGATTTTGATTATTATAACATCTCATCTCCAGCAGTTTCCAGTGTTTGAAGATAAATATCAAATAATTTCTACATTTCAACCGCACACATGTCAGCCCACGGCAGCTCCAACACCGGCTCCAAGACATCCACCGGGATGGCTTCGGCAATCCAGACACCAGCCAACTCCAACCTTGGCAAGGATAAACCCAAGGTGTTTGATGCTAAGGGGGCAATCGGAAAACAATTTACTGGTAAGTACCTACCTACCAACACCATATTTTACCATGTACATCAGGAATAGGGACTAAACGGTACTGCTTAGAGGACGGTGCAATTGGCGGTTCGGCGCAGAAAGTCGGTGGCCCCTTGGATAAGGATGGCATGATTGGGAAACAGTTTACTGCCGACGGTAGTGTAGGCGGGTCAGTGCAATCAGCTCTTGGAGGGACCAAGGGCAGGAGTAATTAGGGGGATAGAGAGAAGTTATGATTTGGTAGCATATGCCTGATTTGAGGATTTGGCTTTCTCTTCTCTCGTCATTAGATCTCCCGTACGGCGCGCCGCCAAATGATCGATGTAGTAGTTCCAATGAGTGTTTCCTTGACTCTCAATATTGTTAGTATCTATAAGGGGCTAAATCATGTAGCTGCTGGACCGCCTTGTCCCCATTTAAAACAATCCTCACCCGTGCAAGCCAAATCAAACCATTCCATCGCCGTAGCCTCCTGGTTCTGAATATTGTGCGAAACACCCGCAGCACTGTATGCCTGAAACCAATCACTATCCCCATACACCGACTTCGTCCACCCTTTTACCGGAGTATCTAGCGTCGTGCTCGTCGGCGTCTCACTAAACCCAAAGACAGCATTCCACTCCTTGACCTCCTCCTCGAAGTTCACGTAATCCAGTACCTCATCATCTGTGCCATGGAAAATCTGCATTTTGGGTCGCCAGCCCTCGTAGCCCGGATACCCGGCCTTGACCATGGCGGCCCACTCGATGCCAGGTTTCTTCACTTTCCCGGTGGCACACGCGTCGCTCCATACCCCATACCCGTTACCGGCGAAGCATCCATACGGTACACCGGCGAAGGCGGAGCCCGCGGCAAATAGGTCGGGGTACGCGCCCACCAACACGCTCGTCATCATCGCGCCGGAAGAGACGCCAGTGACGAATACACGGCCCGGGTCTCCGCCATGCTTGTCGAGCGTCCAACGCACCATACTCGCAATGCCGAGGCTATCGCCGCCAGCATCATGCGTCAGCGTCTCGTTGGAGGATACATCCCAGCACTTGTCCGCCGTGTTCGGGCTGTCGGGGTAGATGGCGATGAAGCCATGCTTGCTCGCCAGCGTCGCGTACTGCGATCCGGAGTAAAACGCTCGAGCGTCGCCGTGGCACCAGTGAGGGCTAACGAGGATCGGGGGCCTGGGGGCGAGCTGGTCCGGCACGTAGATGAAGAAACCAACGTTCCGGGGGTTGGGCCCGAAGTCTGATGTTATTTGCTGGAGAGACGCGCCGTTGGAGAGGTATGGCGCGGCGGCCAGAAGCCAAGGAAGCGCAGATCGCAATGAGTGCATTTTAGGCGGGGATTAAGAGAAGTGAAGACAGCAACTAGGTCGCCAGCAAGAGGGTCGAGATGATTTATGTGCCTTTTTAAATTCTACAAGTATTGTAGCATCGCGAATACTTTTCTTTCGAAGACCTTTCTAGGCTCGTATTGTCGGATGAGTGGTCTGCGGGTTGCGGAGGGTAGCATTCCGAGGCCTTAGTAGGTTAGATTTGGAGTCAATACTTTACTAACAGAGGGATGACAGGCAATACGTACTAGGTATTTAATCGACATCAATAAGAACTCGTATGTCGTCAAAAGACTTTATAGACTTTATTTGGTACTAGAAACTGATGTGGAGCTATGGCTGTGTGGTTGTGTTAGATCTCATTTCTGCGATCAGTTGCACGTAACTAACCATATCGCGAAACCCCGGTAGTAAATTCATGAATACAGCAATCAACAATAGGCGCGACGTACATTTTATGCATGCTGTAGGGGCAGTGTGTAAAAGAGAAAAGGAATAAAAAAGATGTTGTTAGCCAGCTGAGGAATCGAACCCCCGGGGCTAGTGAGCGGTTGTTGGAGAGGCAAGTTGAAACATAATTTTTCTTCGATTACTTCGATTTACAACTAGGCCATGCCAATCCGGCTGAGAATCCTACCGCTTCTTTAATATATAGGTTTTCCTTTTGCGCAGGATGAATTTCGGCTGGGATTGCCCGGTGATAGGGGTTGGTAGGGACGTGAAGTCATTCACAAACTACACACAAACGTCACACGGACCATATCTACTATTGCGGGGATCCCAAGCCTCAACCGCCGTCAAGGACCTCTCCCCTTAGAACTCTTAGAATCTCATACGCTTATAAGACGCTTTCATCAATAGCCCCCTTGCACCCAATGGACGTAGCTCAGTCATGTCAACCATTGAGGTAATGGCGAGATATATCTCCATTGCTTTTGGAAAATTTCAAGCCCAGAACAGCAGGTCATTAGTTCTTAATAAGGGCGGCCTCAGCATTCTAGACACTACATCTGTAGGCAAGTATGTACCTAGCTGTGCTAGTACTTACCCAGGTAAGCACGTGACAGACACAACGCCCCTATTTGGCAAGATGGCTATTAATGGATGTGAAAGCTTTATTTTACATTGTATTATAACTCATTATCCCCCTATCGTTTGCCTAGCTCCTAAATCTGTCAACTACCTAGGACCTAGATACATAGCCATACCATCCATCCCTTGTCCGAAACCACCCCGACATTCTGTTTACTTGACACCCAAACTCACGTAGCATCAACTTTGTGGCACTTTCAACAAGTTAATGTTTCCATTTGGTTCGCAATCAGCCTAGGTACGCATTTGTAATTAGTATGACCTGTTCCTGCTAAGATATTAATTAGCCAGCCTACAGAGATCTTTGATATTGATTAGACCTACTTTCTGGCCTCTAAAAGAAGAACTTGATTCATGATCTACTGGGTTAACCACAGTGTCCCATGTTCATCCTGAAGCGGTCATGACATCCGGCACATATCCATCGTCCCTTGTCATCAGGTGCTCGTTGGATCATGTCGGACAATGTGCCATGTCTCTCTTTGCCTTTGGAGCACTTGCATTGGCAACGAATGTATGTGATCTTGTGCGTTTTTCTGGTAGGCTTAGGCTTGGGAACGACTGTGGCCTCTTGGTTGGTAGCTGGGGACGTGCAAATTTCCTTGGAAGAAGAGTCCTTGTGGTTTTGAGCTGTTTCGGGCATGATGAACTCTGGTGAATAATTTCTTCTAGGTGATCTTTGTTGATGTCACGCAGCTGCTATGTTTTCAGAAGAGATGGGTGGTAAGTTTTGGATGTGAAATTGAAAATCGATACGAAATATGTCAACATGTACCTACTTTCGAGGATAATACCAGAGCAACCACACCTCGTGTGAATCTAGGTGAGGTGTAAAATACTATGTACACAACATGCCAACATATTTGATATGGACCTAATAGAATACTTCCTAGACTGAGTAAAAACTCCATTTTGTATGTGCCTTAGCTAGACAATCATATTGACAACTCATGGATAGTTGCCAATATGCTAATAGGTACTTAGGCACCTGACATTGGACCACCTGGTGTTCACTGTAGCCATTCAGTAGCAGGCGGGCTTTTCTGTTGTTGGTCATGGGGGGCCATAGTTCTCATAGGCTATCGACCGGGAATCTTATGGGAGAACATAATATTAAAGGTAAAGCATTGTGGAAGTACCCTTTCACTCGCATACGACGTGGTGTACCTAAGAACTGCTTAAAGGAGAGTATACAAATTTGATATATCGACAAGACCTTCTGCTTGGTACCTACCTATCCAAACTAATCGATATCCAGTTCGTATATGTGCGTTAGGTGTGCTGTACAACACACAGCTAGTAAATTGCTACAGGCATATGCCCCCAATAGCCCTAGAGTCTTTCGACTTTGTATCCATCGTCGAGTACACTTCTAATATACCTGCTATACACACCTCCTAATATCGACCATAGTTTCGAGATTGCTATTAGTAGAATATCGACTCTAAGATCTGATAGCCTTATCTGATGTACATTAATAGGTAGATATATTTTGTTTACTTATTTATTTTGACATCTGGGTAAACAGTTTCCCTTCTTCTTCCCACAACAAACCAGATTCAAATTGAAGTTGAATCAAATTCCTCACACTGCAACTGCTACACACCTACGTCTCGCCTACCTAGTAGGCAATATCAATCTAGGTCTATACCTGTCTATTCAGTATTACACTACTGCAAACTCTTCATTTGACAAATATTCACCCAATCACCCATATCATTCCGAAATGGATCCCAACAACAACAAGATCCTTCATCCTGCTGTCATAGCACAGCTTTATGGGGAGCAGAAGCCCGTCTTGGAGTGGATAAAAGATTCACACCAGCATGGAATTGGCGACCCTGATGGCATCCCCCAGATCGTTGCTGTTGGAACCCATTCCTCTGGAAAAAGATCCGTACTCGAAGCTATCTTGGGCGTGGAATTGCCAAGATTAGACGATAAATACAGACCTTTTGCGATGGAAATCGTGTTCCGTACAAGTACTCAAGCCAACTCGCAGGTACAAATTCAGTCTTGCAATGCTGAAAAGCCAAACCCCGAATACTCTAGTCCATTCGACGCGTCATTGCTGGACAAGGATACCTTCGTCCGTATCGCTCATTGTGTCAGACAGAGCCTGTCGAAAGCCGAATTTGTCGGGCTGTCTTATGTATTAAGGATCAAGATCACAGGCCCGGACGTACCGAATCTCAAGGTTGTGGACTTTCCTATAGGTGGTTATAATCAACGGAGACGGGAAAATATCAAGGATGGAATGGTTTACCATGTAACCGAAAGCTATATGGCCAACCCAAATAGCATCTTCTTGGCCGTCATCCCGGCCGATAAACTATCTGAGGAGCAGAAAAAGCTCGACCGTCACCTCTTAAGACGTGATGTATTCTTCAGCAAGAGAGTGTATGTGATTACCAAGCCAGATGTTCATATGCTCGACTCATCGGCAAACGAGTCTAACGTTGGGGTCTGGAAAAATCGCCTGAAAGGACAAGGGCGATGGCACATTCTTCATTGCCCAGTACTGGGCATGCTAGCTTGGAACGGCGGCAGCAACCTCAGAGATGCTTCCGAGGATAATTACTTCAAGAATAGCCATTGGGCAGAGGTTCCTACCCCCAACCGAGGCGCAGAGTCGCTTCGCAAGAAGCTCAGTATCCTCATCGTCGCATTTATGAAACGAGATATTGAGAAGCTAGTTGGTGACATCGGCAGAACCAGCCGAGATATTGATGAGCAGTTGAGACGCTTCAAAGAGCCCATCTCGACGCCAGAAGATATGCGAAAGTATCTCGGACGTATTTCCCAGAAGTATAATGCTATATCTCTACATGCACTCGAGGCAAATTACTCCGAGGATAGCTTCTTTGATGGCCTGCCCTTTGACGAGATGATTTTCCGAAAAGATAAGGTTCGAAAGCTTAGAACGATGTTGAACACCCTGGCCGACGTGTTTGCCAACGCATTGATATCGAAAGGTTCGAGCCGAATCATCGTCCCTGAGAGCCAGGGGATCACTTGTCGACAGGAACGGATTGCTGGCGCATCGAGGAAATTGCTGCCTTTCGTGGACCAATTTTACTACCTGTGCCAGATCCGTAACCCTCCAGAAGTTAAGTTAGAAAAGTTTTTGCGTGAAGCCAAACCAGAATGGCTGGCCAACGCACCGGGTGGTATATCCATACCACAACTTTTCCAGGACGATTGCCAGCGCTGGGAAGGCATCGCGAATGATTATATTACGTATGTTTTCCAAAAGACCCGAGAATTCGTCGAATATCTAATAGGCCATATTCTCACCCATGATACAACGACACGATCTGCGATCCTCACCCAGATCATATACCCATTCCTAGACGAGAAGCTTGCGGAATCGCTTCGCGAGACGCGGAAATTAAGTCTTTGTTATAGAAATGGGCGGACACCGCCCCAAGAGATTGGTTTCCCGGCCAATAATATCAGGGGATTAAAGCGAAGGGACCAGCTCATCGCAGAAGCGACAATGGACGAGGCTTCAACGAGTGAACAGAACATGATAGCTTCGTTAGAAAGATATAACACCTATTACGAGGTAAGCTTATCACCATACATTATGACTTGGAATACCACTCACATCTCTCACAGACATCACTCCAAAACTTCGCATGCATAATCGTCGGCCAAGTTGCGCAGTCATGCTGGAGATACCTCCCGGCCGTATTATTCCGTAAGGTCGAAGCGATGACAGATGAGGACATTGAGAGGTTGGTAGCAAAGCCGGCGGAATTGAAACTTATTCACAAGCAACTCCGTGAGGATCGCATCGCCCTAATAGATGGGATCAATGCCTGGAACAGGTTGAAGGAGAGACCCTTCCGTGAGTCAATCACCTCATCCGTATAATTCGCATTGTGTACTAATAACATGCTCTTCAGCCGACCCATTGACTGTTCTCGGGGCCCCAAATCCCTTGATATACGCAACTCCTCGTAGTGTACCAATCGGACCGCCCCATCCTCCATTTACTCACGGCGCAACAGGCGCTCCATTCGCAATGCCACCGGTGTATAACGGACAAGGCCTAGGACCAGTAGCCGTAAACAACCCGCATGCACGATACCCTTACCCAAACATGAGTACCCCCAATGCCGTCCGACCTTATCAGGCCATTCCTGGTCAACCGTCGACTGGAGCCCCTATTACTGGAACTCCTCAGTTGCAGAACCGTATGGCTCCCCAACCACAAGGCGGGCAACAACAGCAGTCGATTAGAGCCCCCGCTGCCAAACCTCCTCAGTTCCCGAACCATATAGCTCCCCAACAACAAGGCAGGCCCCAAGCACAAATGGCTCCTGCTCAGTCTGATATGAGATTTATTCTCCGGGCCGTAAGATCTAGCATTGGCCTAACAGAACACCAGATACGATATATCATGTCTGTTGCTCAGGCAATGCCCCGAACTAGCGAGACGACTGGTAAGCCAAAATCTAACAACTGGGAGCATTCGCATCGCGGATGAAATAGTAGGCCTTCGTACTGACACAGACCACCCGGTTTTCTCGAATATAGGACAGCAATTCATGGCTAGACCCAACCAACCTGTTCCAGCTCAGCAGTGGGCCGGCGGACCTACGAGTGGTATTCCCCAGGCCTCGCCCGTCCAGGCCTCACCCGTCCAGGCCTCACCCGTACAGGCCTCAACCGTACAGGCTGTCCCTGCCCAGCAGCCGATTCGCGCACCTACGCCTGGTACTGCTCGGTACCCACCCTCCCCGGCTGCCCCTGCGCAACAGCCAATTGGCGCACCCATGACTGGTACCCCGCGGTACTCACCCTCCCAGGCAGCGCCCGTCCAACAGTGGAACGGCCCGCCTACGACGAATGCCCCTCAGGGCTTACGCCCTATTGCTTCCCAACCGTATGGAAGCCAACAAGTGTCATCAGGCACCACCCAGTCGACCCAGGTACTGATTGCAGCGGCACCTATTGGAAGACCTTTGCAGCAGCTAAGTCCTACGCTTAACGAGACTACACGCCGCGTACAAGAGCTATCCGTTTCGCGTCAGCAGTCGCCACCAGCTATCCTGGCCGGTAAGTCAAACCCCCACCCAAAAGGGGACAGAGAGAAGTCGCGGCGCGAGACAACTTGGTATACCTTAGTACTGACACACAAACTGCACAGTAAGCAATGGTCCGCCATCGGGCGGAGGTCCTGCTCCTTCGGTCGAGCCTCCATCTCGCAAACGAGAACGGAGCGAGGAGCCGGAGACGGCGCAGGGCCAACCGGCGAAGAAACGCGTGGATATTCGCGACTGATGGCATCTTCTTGCTTCGATGTGGCCTTCTTGCTTAGGCCCGCACTTTAGTGTGGATGGTGGATTACCATCTTGCTATGTAATCAGGGAGTTGATCGATCAATTGGCATGGACCTGGTCTGCAACGAGAAAATGGGGAGGATGAAGACGAAGAGGAATTGGGAAAGAAGAAGCAAGGGGAATGATACGGTGGGAAGTGACCAAGAGGCCCGTTTGCCTGGCCCTACCCCTATCACTGGCCATTATTTCACTCATTGCTTTCTTTTGTCGGTTCCTTTTTTCATGTAACAACACAAGTTCATGCCGGATGCCCATGGCAAGATTACGAAATGCATGTACTACTAGGTTGTCAATAACATTCATCCCCAATACCTTGTCCCTTATAACCACGTAGTTATTTTCCTCAGGAGAATTCCTGGGCCCTGATGGCTCTGGACTCATGCTCTATGGTTTGCATCAAGCCATACGAATTGACTATATCTCTAGGGCGGGAAACGAACATGGCCGCGTCGAAACGCAAGTGATCCCAAAGCGAAGATCATCCTGAATATCGCAGCCCATCGAGGGAAAGAAAATGAGATGCTCTTGGGTAGGTAGGTAGTCAACGAAGTTTGGGCCTCGCAGATAACCAATACCACTCTACGTAGCTACCGATGGACATTCTAGAGTACCTAGTAAAGGGAAATTACTCGGACAGACAGACCCCGTCACCGCCTCTATCACATCCCACCAGGCACGAGGCCACGAGCGCGACTCCCGGTATCACACGCCCGGTGTCATTCGGTGCGCCTCCGAGAGTTTAGCTTCCGGGGCCTACGTTACATCAGGCATGGAATATAGACCTTAAATATGTTATCAAAAAGAAGGGCTTCGCGAAATCTCATAAGGGGGCCATTCTGGTGGAAAAGCCACCTGCTAGGATAAGTACCTAACCTAGGTAGGTAATATATTCGGTAGGTAAGTCAGTTTGAGCTTCATCGGCATCAATTATCGTTCTCAAGCCATCTTATCTCCACGTTGTAACAGCTTATATAGAACGGCCCACTCTCTCGGCGTTTACCACCCCCATCTCACAGCAGCCCCTCGCTTGCATATTCGCTATATTGTACGAGGAACGATGCAAGGGCGGGGGGGGGGGGGGGGGGGGGGGGGGGGCGACTTTCGCCGCTTTGACAAGCTGGTCGTAAATTCTTACCTATAACTAACCACAATCCCCTAGGTTAGGTGTCACGCATTTCTCATCTCACCCGCATAAGTTGAGCCCTTTCTCTTTTATCAGTTCCCGTACAACCACCACAACCCCCCATGTTTGCAAAGCTGAACAACCAATCTACCAATTAGAGCAGCAGCGTTCTTTTTCGTGAATTAAGCCAGCCCAGCCAGTCACGTCCGAGTTTCGGTAGGTAGGGACCGGACGAACCTAGATCGAAAGCTTACCTTGCCGGGTAGGGGAGGAAAAGCTGATGATGGGAAGGAAGTGAGTGATAAGTCTAGATCTCTTTCAATACTACTACCTACACTGCCTCCTACCTAGGTTACCCGACGACTTGGAAGGGCGGGCGATTACCTCCTTCCCACCGTAGACACATGCATACCTACCTGTGCTGCATATGCTAAGTAGGTAGGTAGGCAAGTAGGCCCCCTGGTGTAATATACGACGAAGAAAATAAATGAAAAGAAAAAAGATAACCTCGTATAAGTCTTGGCATGCGTTGAGGGTAGGTATTCAAGGTAGCATTGATTGAAATCTTGGGTTGTGGCTTAGGTACCGTACTTAGGTAGCTATCGCGCAACCTTCAGCATGAATTATTTACTATAAAGCCATGACAATGTCGCTGTCAAGTGGAAAGGAATTACACCAGTCATTGTCACATCTGATCCTATAATTCAACAGCCTCCCTCCGGACTACAGCACACCAAGCGCCAAAATGTACCCCACGCTCGCCCTTACGCTCGCTCTCGCCTCGACGATCGCGACAGCATGCGAACTCCCCAGCTCCCAGCCGCTCTCGAGCAACATCACGGAGCCCTTCTCGCTGCAGGTGCAGAACGCGTCGTTTCCCGAAATCCACAACCACTTCCTGAACCTGTGGAACTGGGGCGGCGGCGACCAGCACCTGTTCGTCAGCCCCGCGGGGAACTCCACGAGCGAGCTCACGCTGGTCGACGGCGTCATCACCTTGCCGTGGGACCCGATCCGTCGGGCCGTTATCAATGGAGAGGTAAGTCCCAGTTCCCCCACCCCTATAAGGCCACCCTCTCCCCCTTTATAGGTATCACTAACGCGATTTTATGATAATAACGTAGTATGAACCCAAAGACAACACGACCAAGATGTTCATGACGGAGCGTGGCGACCCACGCGCCGTCTTCGACGTCGTCTACGGCTGCAACCCGGACACGGACGCCGTGCAGGTCGAGCTGACCATGAAGTCGCGCGGCGATCTCGAGCAAGGGGGCAGCATAGGCGTCCGCCCCTTCGACGGCAACTATGACTTCCGATGGACTCCGGAGGGGAACACTGGTAAGTCTTTCTCCTTCTCCCGCTCTATCGAGCCCGATACGTTGGGTTTATGCTCATCGGTGAAATTGTGGTTTCGTCGTGTGCCTGCTAATGGTGCGGATGCTTTAGCGTACGACCCCGAGCGGCCGTGGACAAAGGTGACGTTGGCAATAGTCCGGTCCGAGTAGCTTCGCGCAGCCTTCGCGCAGCCAAGCTTCCCCTTTAATCAAAGCTGGAGCATCCATCTATCTAGGTCAGGTAGTCAGCAACGAAGTCTCAAGTTTACATGAACATAAGCATTGTGTGTACATTTTTGGAAAACAAAATTTGATTTTCTCTGTATGATATTAAAAATAGTCAATAGTTACCGATTTTCTCTCATTATGTAGGTATGTATATCATATGAATGCGAATGGACCGTCACTACTGTGATGCCATTGAAGAAACATTAAGCAAATATCGTAAATATGCCGTGGAAAGTCGTACAACGAGAGCCGATATTCGAACCTGCCTACCAACCCAGATTATCGATGATATAGAAGATCCTCAAAGTAAATATAAATGTACAATCTAGGCTTATACAGTATAAAAAGCACCTCTCAAAAAGGAGATCACGATACCCAAGGACGTTTCTTAGAGACATGCCTCGGGTTATTCCTGTTCTCTCTTGGAGCATTTACTTGCGCAAGCGATGCGGCGACGAGGGGGTCGATGAGGCCGTAGCCGCTGCGTGATTGTGATTGAAAACTACACTCGTTAGTTACTTTCGTTACTTTCATATTACAGGGCGGGGGAGAGGGGCAGTCGTAGAGAGAGTGCCCGGGTGGTAACGCTTACCTCTGCAAGCTCGCAAAGTCATAGCCCGCCATCGGGTGCTGTAGCGACCTATGATTCTTGCAAAACTGTGTCCCCCTCACGCTCCTCAGCCTGCAGTTGGGCCTGCTGCATTTATGCTCGATGCAATAATCGCTCCCCAGCTCCGCCTGTCCGGTGCAAGACTTGGATGCCTGACAGGAATGGTCCACGCAGTACGATCCGCCGGGAATACGGGAGAACCCGCAGCCCATCTCGCCGCAGGTGTGGTCCTCGCAATAACTGCTTCGCTTCCACCGCGGCTTGAGACAGATTGTCGAGTCCCACGAGCAAGAGTGGCGGCCACATAGGCTTTCTTCCATCACGCTCGCTCTGGTACAGCTTTCCTTGGTGCAAGTGTGTAGGCGGCAGAAGTTCCCGGAACCGAGCGGCGTGCTTATGCACACCTGATTCCAGCTACATGCATGTGAGGAACAAAGGCCGTGATGTCCTTTACATCGATTAATGCATCCTCGTCGCGTACACGTGTGATCTTCACAATAGGTATGGTCCGGGCCACCACGGCCGTTCGGGCATCCTTCCTCCCACATACAAATATGATCGAGGCAGAAACCACTATCACTGCTGCGATCCAAGCAACCAGGTTGAGCACATGTATGTCGCTGGCAAAACTGGCCCCCTTCCACCGGCTCGTCGATACACCCGGCTTTGCGAGCGCAGACATGGCTTGCACAGAACAGGCTACGGGGGATGCATGGGTTGCAGCATAGTTCCCGGCGACACTTGTGCGCTGCACAGCACCCAAGATTCGGTACCCGGGGCCACACGCAGCCTTCGGTAAATGGGCAAAGATGGTCGTCGCAGAAATCCTTATTACGGGCCACCGGGGCATAACACTCGTCTTGGCGACACGTGTGGTCCTTGCAGCACATATGTTTCCTCTCGCCCTTTTCATCGTCCCAGAACCGCGGGAAGGGACAGGTACGTCGTGGACATTCGTGCTCAACACAGTGCGCCAGCTTCGAAACCACCAGAAGACAGCCTGGCTCGGCGCAGGTGTGGCTGAGGCAGTAGTCGCCGGCGACATCCTCAGTCTTGTATAAACCCTCGACGCATTCTCCTTTAGCACAGGTGTGATCGCTGCAGTATCCGTCGCTAACAAGCGCCCGCTCGACGCATTCGTCCGCGTGACAAATATGACGTGAGCACCATGTCGAGTCGTCTATCCGAGCCTGGGGGCATCTACCTTCTCGACATTTGTGTCTCCGACAGAACCCGCTCTCCGGAATAGACGGCCTCTCGCACGATCGGCACTTGTGCGGATCACAGTGGCGGAAGCCCTCGAGGTGCGCATCTGGACACCCTTTCGTGATGCACTTATGTGTGCCGCAGTAGCGACTTTTTTCGAGTCGTCGTAAATGGCAGTCCCCAGTCGCGCACTCATGGCGCGGACATAGACTACTATCTTCTCTTCGCGCTGCCTTGCACCGGCCGACGGCGCACTGGTGGTTGGGGCAGAAGTCGCTCGGTTTCAAGAATCCCCGCATGCAACCGTCGACATGGCATTTGTGTTTAGAGCAGTACTTGGAAGGAAGCTCGTGCTGCTCGGCACAGCGCTCGCTCCGACAGGTATGCGCCTCGCAGTATCGATACTCGTCCTCGGGACTAAGCGAGTGGCAGCCGTCAAGCTGGCAGGTATGGTGTTCGCAGAAGTTCGAGAGGCCGTTCCGAGGATAATCACAGTCCCGCCAGCCACACTCGTGCGCGGTGCAATACCTCCTGCCGCGCCCCTTTTCCCTGCGGCCGACGCACCCTTCCACACCACATTCGTGCTTCCTGCAGTAGCGGCTCGCGCCCGCTATGATCTTGTAACAAAACGTCGATTGGCAACGCGGACCATTTGCCGAAAGCTGTGGAACTAAAGCCATGGCGTTGTCTTCTACAGCGCTTTGCTCATCGTCCTCGTAAGGAACCAGTTGGGTTGAGGTGACCATGTCGTGCTCAGAATAGGCCGGGGGCGGGGTTTCGGGCCTCCGCACTCGACGCCGTATTGGCACCGTTGGGCGCCGAGAGGAAGTCATTCATTCAAAGATGCCTCGTGATAACGGCGATTCCGGAACGAGGCTGGGTAAAAGAAGAACATGAAAATATGAAAAGATAACAATGAATATAGAAACAACAGGATACAAAGACTCGATGCGTTTGGCTGGCCTGTTGGTGACTAGCAAGTAATGGCTATTATCTAGGTAGGTAGCCGGTATAGGGAAGTAGGTAAGTAAGTAGGTAAGCGATGCTTGGTGATCGTGAAGATCCAATCTCAAGTGGTAGTCGGCATGAAAGTTTGTGCTTGTCCGCCAACGCAGCACCCACTCATCCGTTTTCAAAGTGGCACGGCATTCCATTCGTCGCTGCCGAGTGGCCAACACCGGCGAAAGCAAAGTTGGGGTTTGATAGGCTCGCTGCAGGCCCCCTACTGTGGGTTGAAGATATGTTGGATAATGGTTGGTTCGCGATGTTTTGTGGTGAGGCGCGTGCATATTGATCCATTGGAGCCTCTTCGTTCAATGATTGACGATTTCGTTATCAAGAACCACTTAGATCTAGACATTGGAATGAGGTATGCTTCCGGCATAGGGTATCCTTCTCCACGCGGGGCCAGCGTGCCAACTACACTACAGGAAATATCGCCAAGACATACTTACATATGTAGCTATTGACTTACTTAGCTCAACATTATGGCATTATTAGCATCAATGATTATTGCCATAGTAGCTATGCATGTTGTACATGGTGGCCACCTCTGAGCTCAATGCCCAACCACTCCACTAATAATACACTACGCATAACCAATGTTATGAATGGAGACGATTAATGCATTCGGCGTGACATCTTCTGATATAGGTGATGATATTTAAAGAAATGCTGAAGTTATTTTCATTATCATGTCCTGACTGCTTAGAGCGTAGAGTAACTATGTATTAAAGGATGAGATTTAACAGAAACAATGACTGAGCCAAAAGTTCAAAAGTTGGATGCATTAGATTAACCTAACCTAGGTTAGATGCATTAGCGTGCCCGCTTCAGCATCACGTGCGTACTCTTAGTGTCACGTGATCTACTGACCTAAGAGATCACATGACTCTATTCATACATAGGTTAGTACCTACTAATACTAGTAGTATGCCGTGTTTGAAGCTTGAGATTCAAATCTTACCATCTATTTCAAGGTTGAATGTCCATAACAAGGTACGGCGAGGGAAAAAAAGGAGTGTTTAGTTTCAAAGTACTGGAAGAGTCGCTTAGAAGAATTAAGAAACACCAAAGACAATGGATCTCATGCGGCTATCATATATGATTCTATACAAGCTAGGTATACATAACTAGAGTCCATATATAGTTCCTTAATTACACAAGAATTCTTTTTAATCCAAGCCCCCATCACTCCCCATCACTCCCCACCCCTCACTACCTATCCAGCATCGCCATCTCAAACCGGGTGAAAAAGATCCCCAAACGCCTGCGCAACCCTCTCCACCTCCGCCTTATTCCCCTCACCTCCCTTCCTGCAAAACGGCTGCGGCGCCAGGGGCAGCGTGATCGACTTCTCCGGCGCCGTGACGATCGTCAGCACCTTCTTCCCGCCATCATCGCTGCACGTGACCTCCGTCGTCGCGCTGTACTCCCCCCCGCGCTTCTTCCTCTGCCCGTACATCTTGCTCAGGGCGCTGTGCACGCCGTCGCAGCTGAGCGGGTCCCCCGTGAGGCAGACGGCGTTGCCGATGCGGCCGTGCGCGTACTGGCAGCACTCGTCCGCGGCGCTCGTCTTGATCGCGCAGGTGTGCTGGGCGGCGGCGGCCGGGGAGAGTGGGTCCGACCACGAGATGGAGCTCGCGCCGGGTTTGGGCTTGCAGGTTATGGCGCCGAGGGAGGTGCTGGCGAGGGGGAGGAGGAGGGGGAGGAGGGTGTTGGTTGGGAAGCGCATTTTGGATTAGGGGGGGTGGAATTGGGTTGTTGTAGAGGTTGATAATGAGGATTTTGATAATCAGAGTGCTGGGAGAGAAATTTAAGGGGTCGAAGTTCTTTTCTTTATTTTAATTTTCGCTTGATTGCTGAATAGAGCCTCCATGATCGCGACGATGAGCACCCCTTTTATATACCGCTTTCAATAGTCTGATATTCAATTTCTATATAACTTCATGTTACCCAGGTACCCACCTAACCATGCTTCATAGGAGTGTGCGGCGGGTGCGGCGAGGGTGAGCTGACTAGCAGGGTAACCGATGGCTAACGCAGCACTTGAGATCCATACTTGCTATGCAGGTACCCAGTAGCCTACAATGTTCCTAATTATATCTCTATTAATATAACTCCCCAGATGATCTCTGTCAATTAAGCAAAATCAAGCAAAGTTAAGAGATGCCCAGGTTAGTCAAGAGATCAACGAAGGATTCGTGCCTGAGCTTAACTTGACTAGGTTTGTTTAAGCTGGCCTATAGCACCGAAGGACGATAATCATTGTAAGACGAATGGAGTCCGAATAAAATACCTCTACGCCTTGATGCGTGAAATTCCCAAATTACGTAGGAAATTCGTGATAGTTGGTTATCGTTACGACCGATTCTTTGTCATCTCAGCAGTCTTTTACAACGTCAGGATGCTGCGCCTGACCGGGGTTGCATCTGGTATTAGGCAGGTAAGTATTGGACACCTACCTAGGTATGATAGGCTATGTTGGACTTGTGGCTATCTGACCCAGGAATGGTCTTATAACCACATGTAATGATCTAGGACTACGATCCCCGTAGACGACGTTGTGAATTAGCTCCAGCAGGAACGGCGGTGACAGTTTACGGAAGGAGTTCTAAGCATACTGACATAAGTACCTCCCTACTGATTTAAGATGTTATTATGCTTGAAGCTTTTGACCTGGTGATCAAATTCGTTATGTGTCTGCATAGTATAGTATACTCTCCAGTATAGAATCCAAGATAGCCAGATTGTAGTTGGAGATCCGTAAATATCGTCAAGTACAAGAGCTCATCGATAGTTCTGCAAAGCAACCGTTGTTGGGAAGAGACTACGAAAGTACGGACACCTACCTAGTGCAAGAATTATATCCACTTCAATCTGGTGTGCCTTTGCAGGAGTAGAAAGCTGCCCTGTAAGACTAAATACTTTGGGTTATACGTTAGATACGTGCCTGAGTTTCGACTAAAACCTCATGGGCCACATGCAACTATGAACACCGACCGAAGGATCTCACAAGACTGGAGACATTCATCCATGTAGGCGGGCACAGTTGATCCGATGCTGCTCATCATAGGCCGTGTTAGCCGTGCCTATCTTCCAGTTCCGGGCATGCAGTGGATCACATCTATGCCCCTTTAGTTCAGAATTGAAGCTATTCGCACGTCTTTAACGGTGCTTACTTAGCTACCAATGTCGTTCTATAACATCTATTTTTACACAAAACTTCTTTCGTACTTTCCAAAACGCACTCGATAAGGTCTCGATAAGGTCAATAGCAAATAACCTGGGCGCTGAGCAAAATCGCGGATAGCTTCAACGAATTCCCAAATCTAAGCACCCCCCTCTAACACATCTGACTAACTCGACATCGACCCATTGATACTAACTGGATCATTCCTCCGCGCCCTATACCACGCATCGCCCTCATCCGTCCTGACTCTCCTGAACGGCCTCCCTCTAAAGCACCTATCAACAGCCTCACACACACCCTTCACGCAATTATCATCAACCCGCACATCCGTCCCCTCCCCAACCCTCTCCCCCACAAACCCCAACACCCCCTCCAGCTGCCTCACCCACCCGGGCAAATTCTCCGGCGTCGCTATGCTGGGAACCTGCACCACAACCTCGAGCACTCTTAAACCTCCCAACAGCGCTTCCCAAGCCGCCTTATCCAACGCCGGCGCGCGGAAGAACGTGACGCCGGGGACGTAGTAGAAGCGGCTCTGCGTCCACATCACAAGCCTTAGATATCTCACACGACTTAGATTCCGCGCGCCAACCGCGTGGAAGAAGCGGAGGAACGTGTCCTTGCGCTCTAGCTCGACGTGGAACACGTTGCGCGCGTACAGGACGTCGAGGGCCTCTGCGCTGAGGCGCCGACATGAGCGCAGGATACCGGTGTGCGGGCGCAGTCGCGCGTCGTAGTGCGCGCACGCGTAGGCTGTTGTGGTGGTTCTGCCGCCGCAGCAGTCGGGCGCGTTTTCGCGGGCGAGCTGGCGGAGGTGCCGGGCGGCGGTCGTGAACCATCTGCGTGCGCAGGCGATGGGATGGGGCTGCACGAGGAGGTGGGCGTACACCTCGTTGCGGAGCTCCAGCGGAAGGTCGAGGAATCGGAAGTAGGAGGTGACGTCCCCGCTACTACCGTTGTCTTGTTCCCGCTGCAACGCCGAAGCTTGAATTGTATTTTCGGCCATAGTATAGTGTAGGTTAGGCCCCTAGGTTTAAGTAGTACTAGACCCTTAATCTCATGTGCGTGAAGCTTAACAACTATGACCCAAAGTCGAGTATGCTTTGATGTGATAAGGAGAACGCTATGTATCACATCAGTCTTTCTGACTCATAATACCGACATATGTACATAAACGGCGCAGCGCATGAGTTGAACTTGAACTAAGCTTTTTGCGATTTTAGTGTCTTGGTTTAGAAAGTCCGTCTATACCCCCACGTGAGTCGTCAAATTGGCGGTTGATCTTCTCAATGTATGAAATAAGATCTCTAGAAGGCAAATAGTATTGGTGATGATATTTCATATTTCAACTCAAAGTGAGAGTCATTCATAGATTCGTATAGCATTAGCATTAATACCATTGTGTCTTCATCTGCTCAACAGCCTCATTGCCAAACAGCTCTTGGACAGCCCTAACGTGATCTCTAGCCAACGTGGATGGCTTCAAATTTTCAAATGCCATACTCCAAACGCGTTTTGCCTCATCGTTGCTGGTATCTATGGCACTAATCCGACCAGCGTGCTGCGCTAGCATCGGATACGCGCTGATCCTCGCCAAGCCGTGGTCCCGGGCGAATAGTTTTGGCAGCATGTCGGCTCGGCCCGGGGTTCGCCGCTGAGAAGCGGCCATCATGTACCTGGATAGCGGCTTTACGTGTTCGCGATTAAATACCAGAGCCTGGCTACAGCACCCAAAAAACTCCTCACGGACTCCGGGTGGTGAGCCGATGAGGGATGCCTTGCCGGAGGCGAAGAAAAGCCATGCGAATAGTGGCACCGCCAAGCCGCATGCCACGAATAAGGTCCACCCGTCCAGGTGCCGAGCCAAGTGTCTCGGCATCTGCCTCCGCATGAACAGTAAGACTAGTAGAAGTGGAATACCCACCACAAGAGAGATTATGTGAATGTTGTTACTCCTGAAGCCAGTTCCACCATACCACCCAATACTTCGTTCCTGATTGAACAACCGTAAATAGAGCCATGTATTCGGAACGCCTGGACTGATCTGGCCCTTCACAGGATTTCGTCTCCGCGGGTCCTTCATCATGTCCTCGATGGTTTGTAAATTCTTCAGCGTCCTTGCCGCCCATCCATCGGCAAGTAGAATGTCACCCTCGAAAATGGCAACGTATGGCGCTTCGGTCGTTCTCAGGCACCGATCGAGGGCGTACGCGTAGTCAAACACGGACTTTTTCTCGAGCGCGTGCTTGTTTTGTCGATCCTTGGCGTATCCCATAAGTTCGCGAATCTTGCGATCCTTCTCGGTGGCGGGTAAGGTCGAGTTATAAGTGAAGATTTCATCGGCAATACTGGCAGAAGACAGCTTGGCATAGCTCTTATGTTGAGTATTTGGGTCTGGGACATCGGCAAAGAATACTTTCAAATGCGTAGTTTCTCGCTCAACACGCGACATATTCGCCAAGAATGAGCCCACAGCGCTATCGATGTACTGGCGCCCCTCCATACTTCTTCCGACGGTTAGGAAGACAGCACATATCTGCGGATCGGCTACGGCTTTACCAAGATGCTGCTGTAACGCGTCAGGATTCGCTATGGCGGCATCGAAGAACTCGTCTGCCTCGGCTTGGCGGGTGAGGGAGTAGAAGGGATCGAAGCCATGTTTTTCGGAGAAGAAGATGGACAGGGGATCGCGATAGAAGTAAAGGGAGCCGTAAATGGCGTATAATGCGACTGCGGTCAGGAGGAGGAGCAAGGCGCGGATGCCAGGCTGAGCGAGAGCTTTTTGTGGTCGATAGATCATTGAGCGAGTGGCGTTGTTCGTTTGGTCATCATGTTTTTTTTCTTCTTGGGTCTTTGCTACCTTTTTTTCCTCCTTAAGTAGGACATCTGGATGTTAGGTACATATCATTAATTGCAACATTGGATATTCAAATGTTGTTAAAGTCCGGATCTCTGTGGGGTAACGGTCCCTGTAAATTATGGCACTATGTAGTATGTACAATACTAGGCTATGTACTAGCCCATAAGTACTACCTACCATGCGTAGTAATGTATTGGACTTATGTCGGAAACCTTACATGTGTAGCCTTCAAGGTTCGACGTTGTACGATGCAAACGCTCCAGTGAGAACTATGTAATATTCCTTATATTATTCCTTATAAATTGAAAGCCTACTAGGTACTAAGCCTACTAAGCCTACTAAGACTGCCGGTACTACTACAATTACCCCTAATCCTCTTGAGTTTATATATACACCCACCAGTACTTGGTAGCCTTTCCCGGCCATTTTTACTTTCGAGTTTCTACTTTCCCCTTTCCCCATCTGAGTCCAAAAACTGACATAACGTGGTTTAGACATAGCGTGCTCGTCATGTAGTAAAAGTTACCAGCGATCAACATCCACTTTCTTTTAGTATCAGTCTCAGTCCAAGTTGCTTATTCTGTGTGCGTGATACTAGTGCCTCAATGGTAGAATTAAGAGGTTATAGAGATGGTTCAAATGATCATGTACCATACATATTTCGTTTAGACTTCTGGACGAAAATATTGGTTTCTGGCTGGAAACCCGTGGAGGTAGGTATCTTTCAGTCACATTAACTGTGTCTCTTGGTGATATCGCAACGTGGAAGCGATGACTTATAGGTAAGTACAAATTATAAAGAAGGGCGTACCTCCAGAGGTAGCTCTTGCTCGAGTATAGAAATAAGTATATAAATCCGTTCGATAGACTCCCAGTTCAAACCAGAACCCATTCCATCATCTCTTCATCTTCTAAGCATCCAGAGTACTAGAATACCTAGTCTGTCTATCACTACTCATTGATTCAGTATACTCCTCTCTATTAGCATCTTAACTTTGGAGACCACCATCAGCAAACTGCATACTATATAACAAGACATCACCCACATCAATTAGCCCAAGAGTTCATACCCTCTGAACGCTCATCGGCACACCACACCCACCGACCATAATTCCCTTCCGCTGCCCAACTTAGCCACCGCTACGAAATGTTCCACTCTAACGCCTAGTTGCTCTGCGAGGAGGAGGCCGAGATGCGGAGGATGGAGAGTGGGAGGATGAGATAGAGTGCGGGAAGAGCAAGGCGGAGGTTCCTTGGTGAGCTACATAGCTGCCAACTGAAGTTGAAGTCGGCGAGGGCTCTTGGCAACCCAGCGTGGCCAGGACAAGAATAGTTGAGAGTCGCTAGGGATCGTAGTCGTGCACGGGTCTTACCGGATGCCGAAAACAAGCATACGCATCTCTAGGTATTCTCAACCGCCCCCCCGCAGCTTTCTACAACAGGAATTCCCCCGCCACTGCAACCGCAACCGCAACCGAGCACTACTCAATCTGACCTGAGAGGAGAAGACTCGGATCTTCTCTTCTCTCTTAGTAGACAGTTCCTTTAGATTTCCTGCTTGTACCGCTTGGTTGATGTCTTGCATCTGGTATGGATATCTTGGATTCGACCTGTGGATGGCTAATATGGGGTAGAGCTCCTAGTGGGTAAGGAGCTGGATGACCTCGTTATGGATCACGTGGCAACACTTCAGCACTGCGAGCGAGGATGAGACGTTGCCTGAGCAGGCTTGGTTTTGTTCATTATTTTGTATTTGTAGGTAATTTTGGCATTTTTGCCTCAAAGGTTTTAATAACATCGGAGTCTCTCCCTCCCCATTGCGCGTGGTTCCCTTATATGCATCTTTTTTTTTCTATCATACATTCATGTGTCTGTCATGTCCACCAAATGCCTGCCGTTGTAACGCCTTGGGTCGCCTGAATCCATAAGGAGTCTCTCCCCAAAATCGGAGTGGTGTGTAGTAGTAGTGAGACTGCTTTACCACGGTCCCTAATTCCGTGGTATACTTTTTAAAGTCGGTAGTAGTACAATACAAGTAAATAAAATGTGACATATATCCGGGATATCGTGGGGATAGAGCCCTGCAGTTGTAGTAGATTGGGGATTTATCATTGCCTGCTTTTTATATATAGTCTCTTCCGCTCTTCTGCATCTCGAGGAGCCTCCAACCCCTTGTCTCGGGGTTGTTGACGTCTTCGGGGGTTCGAGTGATGCCGATGGCGTAGGTGACAAGTTGGACTTTATCCTCCATTCCGGCGGCAAGCTGGTTTGTCTTGGCGTTGCGGTATACGTGGACCTCCTGTGTTCGGCAGGTGATGATGAAGATTGGGATCTCGCCTGGGTCAAGCATGCGGGCTTTCATGATGTCGACGTGCCGTATATCTAGGATTCGGCCGTCCGACTTCAAGCCGGCTTGGAGATATTGCTTTGTCAAGGCTTCGTATACCGAGTACTGGGCCGCCGAGAGCCATAATTTCAATGTCTCAGTATCGCCTTTGACGTAGGCGTCGAGCACCTCGGGTAAGATATATTCTCTAAGCTCTTGCAAGAACGGTTCGATCTGGAAGTTGGGGTCCATGGAGCGGAATTTCTTGATCACCATGGCGGTTTCGTTTTCAGCAAAAAATCCGGCAACGCGATCGGTGATGCTTCGCGCCGTGCTGATCAGAGGGTTCTCGGATTCCTGGTATACGCTCTTCATGTTGAACAGTCCCTGGACCAATTTGTTCTGATCTTTGAAGTCCCGCCATGCTTCCTTCCAAGCAGCATCTTTGTGAAGGGTGACGTTTGTTCCAGCGCTGAAAGGTATTAGAGTTTTTCAATACATCACGTCCAAATGTCAGGTAGACTTACTTGGGATTCTCGGTCATTTCTTCCACCTTGCCATGGATGGAGCGAGCCTGCTTCTCACGAAGCTCTCTTGCCTTTCTTCGTTCTTCCTTTTCTACCCAACCGCCGTATCTGGAACTACTTCCGTCGTCAATGACATCCTTGACATTTTTGTATGCCTCAGTCTCTCTTATTGGCTTGGTTGCTTTGTCCAGTATATCTCCAGTTAAGTTTGCGCCTTTTCGAACACCTTTCATGACTGGTGTCTCCCAGGTCCACGCCGCACCCTTTCCAACAGCGGTAGCAGAAGTCTTCAAGACCCTCCCTGCCGTTGATGAAACGGCGCCGGTCGTACTCTCGTACGCTTGACGAGCTCGCCGAACGGATTCACTTTCGGTGAATGAGTGAGCGGAGTCTGCCAGCTGCTTCGTCGATTCGTTCCATTCCTTGGAAGCCTGGAACTCAGTCTTCATGGTTTCCATGAATACTTGCCATGGCGTCTTGTCGCCGTGGGGAGGTGGCGGGGGTAGATCTTCCTTTTTCTTTTCCTCTTCCTTCTTTTCCTGGCCATCCTGCTGCTTGGCCTCCTCTTCCGATTCAGATTTTGCTTCGGAGTCTGCGCCGGAGGCGGCCTGTTCGGCTTTCTCTTTAGGTTCCGTAGGATTTGGGTCCGATTTTACATCTGACTTGGGGGAATCTGTTTTGGTATCTGATTTCGTTCCCGACTTGGCGGTTTGCTGGGCTTGCTCTTGGAAGGATCGGTATGTTTGGTGGAAGTTACGTAGTTGTAAGGTAGTTATGGTTTCCGGAACAAATGGAGATCGGATAGAAGTGAAAGGCGATGAGGAAATATGCGAAGATGCGAAGAGCGCTGCATTATAGCCCGCCGGTTTGGGAGTCCCGGCGCTCGACAGTAACCGTCGATACCCTAGAGATTTACCGCAAGAGCGAGAGGCAGCTGAGGGCATGGCTAACAAGGCTGGCGGAGGAACGCCTCTCGTAACTTGGCGGAGAGAAGTCATAGTATGATGGGAAAGATAAAGGGCCTAAAGAGACCCTGAAGTTCTTGAGTAAACCGCACTTATAAGAAAAAAAATAAGAAAGAAAAGAGTAAGGAATTTCTTCACTGATGATGTACCAGGGCCGAAGGCGGGCCAGAGCGGCAATTCCGAAAAAAAAAAAAAATACTCCGAGTTGGAGAATTACAAAGTACTGGGTAGGTACCTACATATCGATACATAACCAGACCATCTAACCCAGATAGGCATCATAGGCGGTAAAGATTGATGAATCAACCAATTGTCATCCTTCTTTGTATCCATTAACCCCGCCATTTTTAGATTTAGCTCAGTGCAAGTTACATAACAATTGTCAATTCTCGATTCTTCAATTCAATTCTCATGCTGCTCAATTAAAATTTCAAAGCTTAAACGACCTCAATATTCAACAATTGAAGTCACCGTCGCCGCCCAACCACACCTTCCCACCTCCAAAATCAAAATCAAAATCCACCAAAAATTGTCAACCCTCATGTCTTTATAATGAGCCGATCATCCAGTCGCCTATTGGCGACCATCCGCACCCAAACCTCAACCACCACCTCCCCCTTCTCCCAACATATCCGACCCTTCTCCCACACATGCATACGAGCAGCCGACAACCGACAACGGCCCGGCTCCCTCCTCGACTGGCAACCCGTTAAGCCGCAAGGGTTCGAGCGAGATCCCGCTCCCCCGCGCTCCCCCGCCGCCAACGACATGGAGCAGCTGCACCGGCTGCTCGCGCAAGACACGCTCGCCCTCGCCCGCAACAAGCCGACGGCGCGCGACCGGCTGCTCCAGGAAGAGGAGTCCAAGGACCGGGAGGACTGGGGCCCGCCGGACGAGCCGTTCCACTTCCACGTGTACGCGCACAAGCACAACGCGCACGTCACCGTGACCAAGCCCAACCGCAACGCCATCATCTCCATGTCCACCGGCAACATCGGCTTCAAGAAGTCCAAGCGCGGCTCTTACGACGCCGCCTACCAGCTCGCCGCCTACGTCATCGACAAGCTGCACCAGGGCGGCTGGCACAGAAACATCAAGGCCATGGAGGTCGTGCTGCAGGGGTTCGGCGCCGGCCGCGAGGCCGTGACGAAAGTGCTGTTGGGCAGCGAGGGGCGTATGCTGAGAGATAAGATCGTGAAGGTGTCGGATTCGACGAAGTTGAAGTTTGGTGGCACGAGGAGTCCCAAGCCGAGGAGGTTGGGTTAAAGGGGGAGGAAATGAAATTAAAACTGGAATTTGGGTGGGCACGAGACATGAACGAACCCGAGATATTTCAGTGTATATCATATCTATCAACAGGCCGTATACATGCATGTACAACATACATATAAAAAAAAAAGTTCAATGAGCATTGAATACGTAATATCAGCCGGCGTAAAAACAAGCAACAAAAGCAAACTTGGATTTGGTATCAATCAAGCAAGTCCCCTCAACGCCAGCCAGTCAGCTAGCCAGCCAGCCTAGTTGCCGTCGCACCTAACTAATCAGAGCCAACGCCTTAAAATGCATACTGGTATCCCTTAACCTCTCATCGTCTCCATCTTCGTCTACATGTGACTACGATGTACTAGCCCTACCCAATGGGGGTGCTCTCTCTGCAGGGGGCAAAGCCCGGCCACTCGTATCTCGTGCTAGGGCTTTCCCCTTATTGCTTTTTCCATGCTGGTGTACCACTTCCTCACTGGTCCAGCCCGAACTATCTTCTCCGTCGACCTCGCTCTCCGAGGTCGCCAACCTTCTCTCGATGCTGTGCCTCAGCATCCGCGTGGTCTCATGATCATTAAGTCCCTCTTCGTCACCCAAGAGCTCACCATCCGCTGTTTCGAAATCTGGGGGTTCGATCCAGTCACGGGGCACAACGCAAGGTAACGCAACACCAATACTGGCGGCACGATTGAGCCAACCCGGACCGGGGCGACCCGTCAGCTTCTCGCAGAGGTAACTGGTGAAATGATTGCAGTTTTTCGTCAATAGGTTATAAGCAGTTCCTAGGAACTCGTCGGAGGCGTGGCGCACGATGGAATCGATCTCGGCTTGTGTCGCAAAAGTGAAACCGTGAAGTAACTCGATTCGGAAGCTACCGCCTGGCGGCTCGGTTTTCGGACGTGTCCAGTATACTCCGGTCATGCCGCGCTGGTCATGTCCACCGTAGGCGTATTCTTTGCCATTTATCACGACGCCGGAATGTAGGAGGGAAGCGCCGACGGTCCAAAGTACGGAGGAGAGGCGGCCGGGCTGTTGTTTGGTGTGTTAGTATCCTGTCTTAGGCAACCATGACTTGGCTTCTTAGGTACTTTCAGCTCATTCACTTACAGGTAATAAGTCGTAGACATTAATAACCACTTCTGTTCTCGATAACGACAAGGTTGATCGATGCGACTGTTTGGATGTTCGCCTCGACGATGATTTCTTAGTAGTAGACATGTTGGAGTTTGTATAGATTTGTCCAGGTGGCGATGAATGTAGGGACTCGGAAGTATGTAAGGATAAGCCGCAGTACGTATGAAATACCTAGTTAGAGCGGCGGGGGAATGGTTTATCGTCAAATGTATTTCCCTTACTAGAATGAACGAGAATACTAGTATATGGTAAAGTTCTGACGAGTCATTGTGAATGAATGGTACCAAGTGGAATAATAATAAAATCAAATGAATTGAAATAGTTGAACATTAATGAGCATTAATAACAACAAATACAATTGGCAAAGAGTTCCAAGTTCAATGTTGTGACTTGGAAAGAAAGGATTCCTTTGTTACTCTGCCCAGGGCCTTGTCTAGGTACCTAGGGTACTGGGTTGTTAGTTAGTAAAACGCACTCAACGTCAGCCACAAGAAAGCTGACGCACCAGCCAATGACGATTGAAACTGGGTCACTCTCATTGGTATTTGCATTGGTATTGTTGAGAACCAGAGAACTATTGGCTGATTCCCCACTGTGGAGAGGCTGGGTAAGGCAGACCCCAGGCAGTGATCTGAACAAAGCTGAATAGAGTGGAGGTCCTTGCTTGCCCTTATCTAATCCGAATTCCAACCTTGTTCGATTTGTACGATTATCAGGGATTATCACTCCTTGTTTTTCTCAAGTGCCAACAATTGATCTGACAGCTGGTACCACTAGTTAAATAGTAGTATACCTAGTAGTTATCGGCGAAATGGAATTACCGCATTCCGGCGCAAATCTTAAAGAAAAAAATTGAAATTTCATTGGGAAGATTCTTTATTAACTCCACCTAAGAAAAGAAACGCAACCTTTCTTATTTTTTTTTCCTCCTCACCCCCAACCTGCCCCTCCGAAAAAGAGGAACAGGAAAAGGACAGGATAGCTGTGCCAAACCCACGCAACAATTTGACGAGGGCAGCCGTCAAAGTGTCGAAACAACCTTGATACAGATGGTTATCGAGTGTTGAAACAGATATTCATATTATTTGATTCATCCCGATATCGAGGCTGGTATTAGCCATAAATCCATCACCGTGTCTTCCCTTTTTTCTCCCCTTCCTTTCGCTTCTTTTTTCCGCACTCTTCGACCCCTCGCAGCTAGCTCTGCCTTTCTCCTGAACTCTGTGCCTAGTTGCACAACAGTCTACATCTCCACTCGTAATATTCAAAGGCGTCGGAAAATGCCTCCCAAGAAGCAAGTTGTCGAGGAGAAAATTCTCCTCGGCCGGCCAGGGAACAACTTGAAGAGTGGTATCGTTGGTCTAGCCAACGTTGGAAAATCGACACTGTTCCAGGCTATCACCAAGTGTAGTCTCGGTAACCCTGCCGTATGTTCTGTACACTCTTTCACCTACGCCTATCCGGCTAACTGGGACGAGTAGAACTTTCCCTACGCTACCATTGATCCGGAAGAATCCCGCGTCATTGTCCCAGACGAACGCTACGACTGGCTGTGCAAAAAGTACAACCCCAAGTCACGAGTGCCTGCCCATCTGACTGTCTATGATATCGCCGGTTTGACGAGGGGTGCGTCAACTGGTGCCGGTCTTGGCAATGCTTTCTTGTCACATATTCGAGCTGTCGATGCCATCTTTCAAGTTGTTCGATGTTTCGATGATGCGGAAATTATTCACGTCGAAGGCGATGTCAACCCCGTCAGAGATCTGGATATTATCGCGGAGGAACTTCGACTGAAAGATATCGAGTTCGTAGAGAAGGCACTTGAGAACTCGAAGAAGAAGACTCGTCTAGGCGGTCAGAGCTTAGAGTTGAAGAGGGCCAAAGAGGACGAGGCAACAATAGAAAAGGTTCTCGCCTGGTTAAAAGACGGGAAGGACGTCCGAAAGGGTACCTGGACACCAAAGGAGGTAAGATCACCTTTTTCCCATCCCACAATCCTCTCTCAATTTCATATGATGAACAAGGGCCATAGCGCCTGATCTAATCCCAGCTCTTCGATATGCCTCAATTATACAACGCAGAGCGCATACTGTGATAAAAGAATACTCTGATTTATACATCCTCACTCACATTTATGACTATATCTTACTATTACCGTAACTAACTCAGTCATTAGGTTGAGGTCATCAACACACTTCTACTCCTCTCGGCAAAGCCTGTGGTTTACCTAGTCAACTTATCCGAGAAGGACTACACGCGCAAGAAGAACAAGCATCTTGCCAAGATTGCCGAGTGGATGAAGGAACATGCGGCTGGTGACCCCATCTTACCCCTCTCCGTGGCGTTTGAGGAGCGTCTTACCCAGTTTGCCACCGAGGAAGAAGCTGCTGAAGAGTGCAAGAACCTTGGCATTGAGTCTGCTCTACCCAAGATCGTCACAACGATGCGAAAGGCAATGAACCTCGGCAGCTTCTTCACAACTGGCACAGACGAGGTACGGCAATGGACTATCCGGTTGGGCATCAAGGCGCCACAGGCTGCCGGTGTCATCCACACAGACTTTGAGAAGACATTCATTCAAGCCGTGGTCTACAATTTCAGCATGCTCAAGGAATTGGGTGATGAGTCTGAGGTCAAGGCCAAGGGCAAGATCATGACCAAAGGAAAGGATTACGTGGTGGAGGACGGCGATATCTTATTGATCAAGGCCGGTGCCGCTAAGGGTTGAAGAATTAATTTAGACCTACATACCACATGAAGCTAGAAGCCATACTGTCATCGAACAGATTCCAATGAAAAAAAACTCATTAATTATGAACAGAGAAGAGATATCTTTTGTTATTATTTCAAGACTTGAGTTCATACAAATATCAAAGCCAGCTACGAATAGAATATAAAAATGCAAACAATGAATTGATTATCCCTTCTCTAAAGCAGCTATGTTTTATTTCTCACCACCTCTCAAGAATAGACGTTGATACTAACCCTCAGTAGGTACATAACATCCATCCATAACTTACATCTTACACCTTACTACCGCGAGATGAAAACCCCCCGCTCCTGAAGCTCCTCGGAGTACTTGACCACATTATGCGCCAAGCTCATGAAATCGCACACGGACATGTTCAAGAGCCGATCCGCCATCGCATCAGCGCGCACCTGCGCCTCCGCGGCCGGCGTCTCCCAGTCGACGTGGGTGTCGTAGCCCCCTGCTGCAGCTCCTCCTCCTTTAGCCTTGCCCTTACCCTTACCCTTACCCTTACCCTTGCCGGGCCCATCCCGCTCCACCGCCGCGCGCACGGCCTCGGCGTCCAAGAAATCGATGGCGTCGCCGTCGCCGCCGTTCGCGAGCACGAGGAAGTTCAGGGTCGCGGCCGTCTTGCGCAGCAGAGTCTCCATGTCGTAGAGGCCCAGGGGGTGGTCCGTGGGCTGGTACCGCAGGCCCGTGGCGGTGGGGTCCGGGTCGTCGTCGGCGTCGGAGAAGTGCGCGATTTGTTGGGCGTCGAAGTCGAGGTCGGGGTTGGCGGAGCGTGGGGAGGGGGAGGAGTCGTAGTAGGAGGAGGGGGAGCGGGAGGATGGGGGAGGAGAGGGGGGGGGAGGGGTGGTGGTGTGCTGGTAGATGGAGGAGGAGGAGGAGGTGGAGTAGATGGAGGAGGAGGGGGAGGAGGGGTAGGAGGCTGCGTCGTGCATTTCTGCGTCCGAGTCGTAATCTTGTGCTTGTGCTTGTGCTAGCGCTTGTACCGGCTCTTCTCCTTCCCCGCCTGACTCATCCTCGGAGGAACCAAAGTACTGCTGGTGCTGGTCCTGCCGGATCCGCTCCCTCTGCTGCTCGGGCGTCATCACGTTCCGCCAGAAGTTGGGGGAGCCCGGCTTGTGGACGTCGTAGCCCTTGGCGCGCAGGCCGGCGTAAAAGATGTCGAGCTGGCGCTCCGACTCGGCCTCGTCCTCGGGTTTCATTTTGGGCCACGAGGAGAGGTCGCGGGGGGAGGAGCTCGGCTGGAAGCGGGGCGCGATGATGAACCCCGGGCTCCGGGGCGACTCGACGTGCTGGTAGGCGGCGGCGTACTTGTAGTCGTTGAAGGGGTTCGTGTTCTCGGCGTCGCTGTCGATGAGGCCGCCGAGGTAGTCGTCGTCGCCGGGTTCGGGCTCTCTTGGCTGGTCTGGTGAGTGGTCTTTTTCTTTTTCTTGAACTTGTGTTTTCGCTGCTTCTGCTTCTGCTTCTGCTTCTGCTTCGTCTTCTTCGTCCTCCTCTTCATCTTCTTGTGCCTCTGCTTCCTGTTGCTCTACGTCTGGTTGCTCTACCTCCACCTCCACCTCCACCTCCGTCTCCTTCTCTGCCTCCTTCTCCGTCTCCTCCTCTACTATCTTGTCTCCTTTCTCCCTTTCTACCTCGACAGCGACGTCAGATGTTGTTGTTGTGTCAGATCCCTGATGTTCTTTCTCGTTGTCGAATACCGGATCACCCTCCTTTGATTTCTCGGCGGTGCTGGCGCTTGGTATATTAGGTTGCTCTTCGTTCTCCTCCTCATCGTTGGCCGTCTCCTCCTTATCTGAGGTCTCCTTTTCTATCTCTATCTCGGCTTCCTTCTCTGTCTCCATCTCCGGCTCCAGCTCCGGAACGTTCTCCTTCTCTATTTCCGTAACAGCCTCCTGCTCTAGCACTTTCTCCGGTTCCTCAACAGAGGGCTCCGCATCATCTGCTACTCGCCGCTTCGGAGATGGCAGGCCCTCGGTTTGTGAGTGCCGGCGCTTATTGGTTCCACTTGGGGTTGCCGGCGGTGACCGGGGTTCACTGGCGCGAGACGACATGGTGTTTTTGAAGGGGCCAGGCCAGTTGCGACGCAATCAATTATTTTTATCTTTTACTTTTTAATTTTTTGGGTGCTTGAAAATTTTCATCGTATGAGTTCACAGTTCCATAGGCTGAAAACTATTACGAGGGGTGAAAGGGGGGAAGGCGGGACATGTGAGTTACCACCCTTTTTCTTTTGCCTTTGAAAGGGCAGCTCTTCTTTGAGAGTGAACAACCGACATGTTGATATATATGTCCCCTGTGCGCTGTGGCCGAAAACGGTGACAGTTTCTTTTGCGTTCGATTGTTGAGGCTTGCAACGTCCGCATAAAGCTCTTTGTAAGAGATGCGCGGGTTAGGATGTAACTACGCTTTCGATAATTCTACGTATTGTTCGCACATGAAGGATTGGAATGTACCTAGATTGTCTTGCATCCCCTGTTCGTTTCTGGAGGACGCTTCATTCCAGTGAACAAACACATTGTGGCCAATGACCTACACACGCAACTGCTTTCGAATTGTTTTACATCGGTCATTACTCATACCCAAATTCCTATTCTATTTAACTATACTTATGAACTTGATCTGCGGATTGCGGGCTGATTCTTGCTAACCTAGGTATCTTCGACGAGTTCATTTTAGACTAATTGTAATTGTAGAAGCAATGACAATATGATACTGTGTTTATGAATACTACAGTACTCTCAAAGTGACTGAAATAATTTATGATATGTTGTGATTTTATGCATGTTGTTGTAGTGATTGTCGTGATTAAAATGTAAAGGAGTTGTGGTGGTGGTTATAAATCTACCCTGGCTGTGCTATTTTTAGGGCTCATGCGGAGTGCTTCATCAAGAGATCACGAGGAATCAGATACACCACAAAACATATAACTTTTAACTTTATCTTTCCATTAAAAAGGGGGTCGGCACCTAGCAGTACCAATGCCAATACTAATACTAATAATAATAATAAAAAATCAACCAGAGACCCAGGATCCATACGCCCGAGTTCCACCAGCCGGCCGATTTTTCATTTCTTCGTCCCCTTTCCCAGTCCCTATTCCCCAAAACCAAAGCGCCGCCAACCTCATCACTCATATCTCATGTCACTCGTCAACCTTTGTTTTCCCCCTCCCCCCTCTTCAACTCCACATGGGAGAGAGCAGTAATAAAGGAACCAGCCCAAACCACTCCTTGTCATGGGATAAAGAAGACTGCTAGACAGAACAAACAATGTCTATGAATTAACAACCATTATACCGAACACCTCTCTTACCCAACTCCTTCCGTCCAATAGCGTCCTCGGGCAAAACCCAACCTCTTGCGCGCTTTGCCTCACGCTTCTCTGAGAGTTGCGGCTGGGGCATCCAGTCGTCTCTGGGGAGTGCCTTTCGTCGGGTTCCTTCAGCCGGGGCACCGATCTCCGCTTTCCAGGAGACGTTGTTGCCGCATAGGCCGTGGGAGTTGACACCGTCATCGCTAGCCATGATGCATAGACCCCAGAGAGCGAGACAGGCGGTGAGGGGTAGCTCATCGTTGTCAGAGGCTGCGTCGGCGGTAGCGGCTAGCTGAACGCTGCTAACTTCCATGTACCCGAAGTGTGGCGTGCCTTCAGCGCCATTGCGGCACACGACGAGCTCGATCTCCGTCAGGATGAAACCGTAGCGAGTGCCATGTTCACGCATCATGTAGTGGAGATGTGCCAGTCCGCGCAGGTACTCGACACGCTTGATGTTTCCTTCTACGCGCATGCCTGTGTTGAATCGGTCGAATGATTTGACTAGTCCGACAACGCGGGCTGTGGGCTTGCCACCAAATATAGCGGCAGCGGTCGAGGACTCGCCAGCGATGTTAGCCACGAAGAGGTGGTCGTTAGGTGAAGTGGCTGTAGCCTTGCTGACAGGCACTGTCAACTGTAATGGGCGCTGGGAAGACAATGTGAGAGCTGAGTTGAGTTTAGGAATGTAGTGAGAGGCATAGATATTGTGAAGGGCTGCCTCGGTCTCCGGGTGGCGCGTGGTAGTGGCCGGTTGTGGGAGAAGCGGCTGCGGGACCGGGCAGTTGAGGAGTCCAGATGCCCCTGGAAGGGAGAGAATTGTGTTCAAGTTAAAGTTGGTCCAGGGTCTAATTTGACGTACGTCCCACCAGAAGTGCTTGGTATGAGGGTCACGCAGAGGGTACGAGATTGTGCGCACCAACGAAGGGGCAGGGTTTGATGTGGTAAGGTAGTTCATCAAAGTAGTAGACGGGGTTGGGTCAGGGGGAGGTGTGGAAGACAAGCTCAACGGGGACGGAGCACGGGGAGCATAGCCGTACATGAACTGTTCACTTGGAAGCTGGGGCATGGCAGAAACATATGATGGCATTTGGCGATAAGTTGGAAAGCCATATCTTTCAAGAGTGTTGCCGTCAAGGTTGACACTGGAGGCACGGCGCGAGTTGTCCATGTTGTCTTGAGCGAATGTGATGGGTGAGCACAACAATGATTGAGACAACGCATTTTGATCTTCTGGTGATGAAAAGAAGGCATTGGAGTAGTGGTTCAAAGTTTCTGGGTTAGTGGCACTTCGAACATGTGTGGGTCGAAATGTTCCCTTGCGGTTGGGCTTGGGGGTAGGAGAAGGTGAGATTTTAACACGTTTGGGAGGCGAGTCGATAGCCTGGTCCTGAGAGCGGATCTTGGGTAGTAAGATAGGACCATGCTGACGGATAGGTGGCGGCGAGCGCGACGGGGTAGTGACGCGCGTGCTGGCCGAGTCGGAGGGCGATGTCTCGGCAGTAGAGTAAATAGAGCCATACGAGCTGGAGCGAGCATGTCCGGGGTTGAAAGAGTATTCAAGAAGGGACGGGTCAAAAGAGAAGCTCGGCGGAGTGGCAGGCTCGCAGGAGGGAAATGTGAAGTCAAAAGAAGACATGTCTGCTACCAGACTACGAATTAAGTCTGTTAGTTACGCTATATCGTTTGTGAGCAGAGATGACTTATAAACTCACGAAGTCATATCGATATCTAAATGGTTGCTCTTGTCTGCTTAGACAAGAACTGAATAATTAGGGATTATAAAAAGGGTGAGTGAGAAGGAGATCCGGCTCCTTAGTAGACAGTGGTGTTTTCAAGGTGGAATAATAAGATATGAACGGCGACGCTGTGAAGCAATGAGGATATGTAGGTCGCGAGAACTGGTGGCGGCCTGGCCTTCTGAAGAAATCTAATGGATATAAAAGAAAATGGAAACTGATCCTATTCGACCAGAGAGTTGATACTGAAGAATTAGAACGGAAGAAGACACAAAATCAGGAGGAGGGCCGGTCTTCTTATCCTCGAGATGGAGGGACGGGTTCTTGGTATACCGGGATACCAATCAGCTGGACGGAACTCGTCCTCCAGATGTCGTACCAAACAATGATGTAGGACCATGATGTATATCGGTATCCATACTATCCATACTATCCACAATAGTTGTACCCAAGGGTAGAGCAGATGCGAGATGGCCAGACCTGAAACATGGAGAAGCAGAGTAGAATTCTGATCTAGAGGTATCACCCATGTTCGTACATTGGTACATACCAGTGTACTAAGTGCAATAAGTGAGAAGCCGAATGATCTGGCTGATGGGGTCTGGTCATGTCGACCCACGGATGTGTGTGTAAGTGCGTGTAAGTGGTGTAAGTGGTGTAAGTGGTGTAAAAGTGTGTAAGTGAACATCAAATTGAATGATCTACCTAAAGCCAAGTTAGTTAAGCGGTACGTACCGAAAATAGAGTCTGCCAATGTGGGTCAACAACCTACCTACCCTGGTAGGGTAGGGCCTGGTCACTGATTTGGCCTTACTGACCCCCCCTTGCACAGCCAAGAAACCTTAGCGTAGTGATTAGTCTGTACTACTAGTAGTAACTACATCGGGCTCTGTACTTTGTGCACCGTAAGCAGCGAACCGAACTTACACCGTCTAGGTGAGTGGACATTAGTGAGATTGGATTGGCAGATTGGGCGGTTATAACAGCGTATCTAGGACAGTACACAGTATGATAGTCGTCGTCTTATAATTACGCCAATAACCTTTCAACCCATTAACCTTCCAAAATAACCTTCAACTTCTTCAACTTCTTCATCAGTACAGCATCCCTGCCTCAATAACCCTTCCAGGGCATTATCACGGCCTTAACCTATCAGGCTTGAAAGCCTAGGGTCTCTTTTTGTCACCCATACATAGATACATAGTTACATTCTTAGCGATTGAATCAATGGATCAAGCAACCCTAGGTCCCGCCGATCCTCTATAGCCGGTACGACATTGGATATCCCCATGTGGAAAAGAAAGAAAAAGGATGATGTGGGCATTCGCTGCACTGTTCCGTGTGCTTGTGGCTCGCATGCTCGAACAGGAACAGGAATAATACAATACATGAATATCGAGTAGAATATACCGCCAGTGTGACTCATATCATAAATAGACACATGTCTCACGGTGCATTAGTTCGGCTTGTCGCTGTCGATTGTGTGGACCGAGATGCATCCCGGGACGGGGTACGCTGCAGGTAGCCTGCGGGACGCCAGAACGCGCCACGATCGTGAATGGACGCGCTACAATGTTTAAAAGCCATCACGATACATGACGACCGCGTCCCTTGTGTTCTCCACAGCGAACAAAATCGTGGCACACCACTGCTTCCTCGCTGTCCTGATACTTCGGAATCAACGAATTCCACGGCAGGTTTCTGTTCTTATTTCCAGAATGTTATAGTGCATTATAGCGAAGCAAAAAAATTGAGGCGGCGCGCAGTGTTGTACTACTACCCAACCTTCTACAACCGCGCACTCCGCCCCAGGGAAGATCGAGTATCCGGGATCCTTTCGATTTTGGCTTGCGACAGCGGCAGCGGCAGCGGAAGCGGAATCTACTATGTATGGAAAATGTAGGTATGGTAGTGTAGGTGGATGGACATCTTCCTGATCGGCCTCGGGATCCAGCTGCAATGCAATCTGCGCTTGCGCTTGATGCAATTGACGAGATACCCGTACATAGTAGAGTAAGAGACCCGTACATTTTCAATTTCAGTTGCCGCCGGCGTAAATTTAATTTGCTGGACGAACAAAAATACATTTCAATAATACTAGGTAGCAAGGGGGGAGCATTGATCATGCCCACTGATCAGCGATAAGATAGGGCAGACATGGAGATGGTAAAGCCACTTTTGTCTGTGTGTACCTGGCAGCACTGAGATGTAACTAAGTACTACTAGTTGCTCGGTGGGCGTAGGGGGGGACAAGTGGGTACAATATCTAGCCGCCACATTTAAATTAGCGCGAGGTCGTATTTTGGCGGCGGCAATAAACGGAACCTGGCGGTTGATCAATCTCCCCCGAGTCTCCCAAGCTTTAATGCTCCTTGGGCGGGCGTCAAGCAGCAGAGAGCATTACAAATTACCTACGTCGTATGTAGGATTACACGATGTACAATACAATACAGTAGGAACACCCTAGTTAGGTGGAACTTCAATGGTTATTCCTTACGGTAAGCTTATATCAATCAGTGCACGGCGAACGTCGATCCCCGAATGGGGTCCAATTCAAATTCTCCGACTTGCCTTGCCGTGCCGTGCCTACGAGAAAACCCCTTGATGAGCTGAGAGCAAGCGCCGAAGACGGTCTTGTCCAAGGTCCTTAGGCACCTTACCTACTAGGTAGGTAATCAGCAGGTTTGATCAGAAGTGGCAGCTTCAGGTCACGTTACACGTGCATCATGGCTTTATGAATTAGACGCCGTGTTCAAGCCGCACGAGGCCTGTAGCCGTTGGGCTTCAAATGCGTAAGAATGCCTAGGCTTTTAAGACCCCATCCCTGACGTATGATCTTCTTTTGATGATGATGATGTTGTTATTGTTGTTATTATCCCTTCGATGTTAGGGGTAAATGTTGATAATTCACCTAGTAACAGCGTAATAATGTTGTTATCGATTTTCAATGTCCGTTATGGAATATCAACTCAAGTTCAATGTTCAATCTTAGAACATTGAATCAATTGAGATGTATACGTAGGTACCTACTCCACAACAGGTGACGCCTGCGAACACCCGCAACTAAAATAATAGCCGCCAGAGGGAAGCGCGCTGGGCGTGATTACAGTACAGCACTATTGCCATGTGTAATATTAGTGATTACGAAATTACATACGATGGAAGCCACAGGCGGGTACTTACTAAGTGTGCATACAGTATACTACCTAGTACTAGTAGTACTAGTAGTACATCATTCAGACACTTTTCAATATTGATAGAAATACTTCGGCACAGCTGAACCGCTTGACTTTTTTTCTGCACAGCCTCCCGAGTTCCAATTCTTCTCCTCAAGCTGGGCGCGTAAAACAACTCCACGATCTTCAACCTTCAAGGTTCAAAACATCTTCGTCGCGCCCCACGCCGCGCCACCCCCGCGACACACGCATCGTTCAACCAATCGGTTCCCAACATAGGTTCGACCCCACCATACACATCCCAACCCGTCCACAACTTTCCTCCAAACGCGACGATTGGTTGTCGTAAGCCCCAGGCGACTAAAACTAAGCACTAATTAGTTACAAGAAGGAAAAGCAAAAAAGAAGCAAAAAAGAAAGAAACAAGGGAAACAAAAATGTTTCGTTTCAAGTTCTTTCCCTTTTCGGCCTTTGCTGTTTCATGTTTACACTGCTGGCTTGACTTCTGGTTCGCTGAAGCCAATCAAATTGAATCAATCGAACATTTCAACCTTGTTTCTCCCCGCTACTGCGCTATCTATCCATCTATCTATCCATCTATCCATCTACCAAGGGTTCGGTGACTCATTCTTCCCGGCTTCTTTGCGCATATGCTATTATGCATCTAACCTTTTAGTCTACACTACCTAGTAGTACACTACACTACACCACTATGTACTACTTAGACTAATAGTTCACATACATACGTAGGTAAGTAAGGTATGTATGCAATGCACGTGGGAGTCATCGCACGCGACACGATGGCGTCGAGAATATTTTGTTCAGCGAACACCTACTATTGGCCTATCTACTACTACTAGTAGTATGCTACGGCATCAACAAAGAACAACGAAAAGGAAGCAGGGTAAAGTTAGTCATACATGCCTGCAGAGAGCCGGCGATGATGATCTGTCCGTCTCTAGTTCATTGAAGACAGCAAGACGCCGAAATATCAAGTGGCTGGGAAGGCCTCGATCTTACGACAAAACCACATCTCATATCGTTTGGCCTGACAAACATAACCATTCTTCCGTACTTGTTCTAAAGATGGCCGACAGTCAGAGACCCCCTTTTCCTCCCCCCTATTCCCCTCATTGGCCGCCCGGAACATCATGCCGAGAACTATGTACTACACAAGTTAGCCTCGCAGTAAGAGACCTTGAGGCTGTATGTATGTATGTATGTATGTATGTACATAACATCATACCTACCAGCTTACATACATTCAAACTCAACATACCTAGTTATGTTGTAAGTCACATTAGGTAACGGCCAACCATCAACACCAACGGCCTAAGTTTAGGTCAGTAGGTAGGTAGGTTTACGTCGTAACCAAACCACCAAAAAAAAAAAAAAAAAAAAAAAAAAAAAGACAGACCTCCAAGCTTCCAAGCTCCGTTTCGTTTCACGCGGTCCTTATTCTGCAACCGGCCCCTCCCCTCTCCACCATCTACATGTATGTATGTATGTATTAATTAAGCTACGGCAAGGCGTAAATAGTCGGTACCCAAAGCCGGCCGGCCTGTTATGCATGTAGGTAGTACATAATCATGTTTCAAACAACGGCACGGCCACACTTGAGCAGCTGAACATACATACATACATACATACATACATACCTACCTACACGCATATAACTATACGTTAGGGTAGACAGACAAATGCAAATGCAAATGCAAATATTCTTTCTTGACGGGTCGCTTCCAGTTTTCTTATGTAATTTGAACCTGTTTGGTTGTCTACCTACCTACCTGTTTAATTTATTTTCTGGTTGGTGTTTCCTTTTTTTTTAGTACCTAGGATACGGACTCCAGGCGATCCGATGTTGTTGTTACTGTAACTACCTCTCTCTCTTCACGGGATTGTTTATAGATTTCCCCAGCCGGAAGTCTTAGGACCCGGATGGCGCACGCGCGCGATGAGTTAGTTAGGTAGGTGGGCATTGCATTGTATTAGGTATGGCGGTTGACTACCTACCTACTTATCACGTTTTGACTTCTTTGAATTTGTTACATCATGGCCACATCAGGCAGGTTAGGTAAGGTAGGTAGGTAGTTAGCTACGTAGGTATCCAACAGAAACAGAAACAACATAACCTTCTACCGAAGTTTGTGTATGTGTGTGTGTTCCCAAGTTTAGATAGATCGTGACCATAAACCGTAACCATAGCCGCAAACCGCAACCGCCGTCAACGTAGGTAAGTCTAGTTAATCTATTCTATCCGTAAAACGCCTCGCCTGCTGTGCTACTAGATTCGCCGCCCGCAGGACCCCCACCCCCACCACTGCCGCCGCCGCCGCCGCCGTCAATACCATTACCAATTACTGCTTCCTGGGGTTCATGTTCATTACTACTATAATCCGTATCCCGGTTCACTTCCTGTAGCTTCCGCTGCGCCCTACGCAGGCCCTGCAGTCGTTCACGTTCCAAGATAAGCATGCCTCGGGCAAAGTCCCGTATGGCCTTGCGACCCATGCGCTCGTGCATATCCTCCCATCCAGCCAGCTCGCTCGCCACCGTCTGCTGCGTGTACCGTAGCTCCTTACTAAGGATGTCTACTTCCATCTGCGCGCGTCTCGCCTTCTCTTCTTTCTCCTCGTTGAGTCGTTGGCGTGTTTCATCGAGAAGTCCCAGTGGCCATCTCGTCGAACGAGAAACTGAGTTATAGTTACGTTCTATGGCTTTGCGAGAGGACAAAATTTGGGTGACAAGTTGAGGTGGCCGAGATAATGACGAGAGCATAGCTTGAATGGTGGACTGGATGGCTAAGAATGAATCGTGCAATATAGATGATGGGTTAGACTGCGGAGGGACAAGTGTGCGGACATAAGCTTCAAACGCTGATATATGAGTCTGTGGGAGAAAAGGGAGGTTGGCCACGCCTCGCGACACTAAACTTGCTGCGTCGCAAAGATCTACGAATATGTTAGTATTAGATGGTAAACAAATAGTTTGAGAATGAAATTCTTACCATTTGCGACCACGCCGATAGAGTAAGCTCGTCGTGCAACACTCTTTGTTGAATAGTTGACATTGCGTACCATATCCCGGGCATGGTCCACAAATTGTTCTACCTCGCGAATATCCTCCAGAGGTTCCAGCTCGTCTCTCACTTTCTCGGCCCTGATTTCGGCCTTAAGATGACTGCGCTGTTCCATCATATCCCCTTGCAAGTCAGGCACCAAAAAGAACTCCCATAACATCTCATGCGTTGCAAAAGTGGGGTGGGCTAAAAGTATTTTGAGAAAGGAGTCAGTTCGTATTTGTATGTCTTTCAGGACAGCCCTGGAAGGCTTCGAGGGGATTTGGAATGGCGATCGTTGACTTGTCACTTTGGGTATCCAAGATGCTGGGTTTTCGATTGACAATAGATTGGCCAGGTGTTCAAAGTCGGTGAACGAACGACGACAGGTAGTCACTGTATAACTGTCTCTGTCCGCCGGAGCACCAGACTTGAGAACCAGCCTAATGGTAGCATCTTCGACAAAAAATGACCTGACAACTCCGGTGATACGACCATCATCGGCAGGGGGCATAGTGAAGAGTTTCAAGTCATCAATCCTATTGCGAACGTCGTCATCCTTCGCCAATTCCACAGCCGTAAGACCACGCAGGTCTTTTGCAGACACATCCACCCGGGGATCTAAGTACATCGCCCTAACCATATCAAAGCGACCGTACTTGCTCGCCACCATCAGTGCCGTAAACTTCTTATCGTTTGTAGCATTGACCTCGACGTCACAGTGTATGAGGATTTTTACTGCCAGTTGGTGATCATTGATGATATGTAACAAAGTGTTTCCTTTCAAGTCCACGTGATCATCCAGGTGAAGTGGCTGGCCGTCCCCTTGTGTAATTGTCGCCGTCTCCAGGCCGGCCTCGACCATATGGTGGTAATTTTGGTGGTCGTAGGATCGACACAGCGCGAATAACGGTGTTTGACCATTCTTATCTTTTTGCCGCCAAGGAAGCAGTCTCCCGATGCGGCCAATTAAGGTCGGCGCGTGGAATAGGTAGTGTGCGACACTGCGGCCTCGATTGTCCTGCAAGGATAAATAATGCCGAAATTGGGGTTCCTGAGCTGAGGCCAAGATGAAATCAAGGATGATATCAATTAGTTCAGTGTGTCCCAGCTGGACAGCTGCACTTAACAACGTGGTGCCTTCGTTATTGCAGTCCTCCAAAACGCCATGAATGGTAAAGTAATCGTGGAGCGAAAGCAGGAACTTGAGGGCTTGTGGTCGTTCATTCTGAACTGCCATCATGAGAATAGACTCCCCAAAAGAATCTTCCGTCTGACATAGTCGTTCAATCGAAGTGTCGCCTTCCAGACCACTTCCCATTGTAGCAAAGCTCCCCGCCCTAGAGTGGTAGGAATATTCAGAGCCGCTTGACATGCTCCTTGTGTCCATAACGACCCTTTTGGCTTTCTTTGCGGGAGGCGCTGGTAAGTTTTCCGACTTTTGACTCTGGAATGGAAAGACGTGGCTCAATCCAGATCCTCGAGAGTAAGGCTCTGATGGCGTAAGCGTCGTTGACGACCTCCTCGAGGAGCCATTAACCATGCTCCAGCTAACCGATGGGGCATGACTCGAGACTGGAGATGCGACAGATTCTTCGTCATCGATAGCATCTGCGTTAGGATCCATCATCCTTTTGAGTTCGTCCATATCACCTTTTGCAGTCGCATCCCATAAAGCCTTATTCCGGCGACTGGCTCTTCTAAGGCTACTCGAATCCGTGGCGAGGTATGAAAGGACTGCCTCAAATGTACTGATAGCGTATCCCAACTCGCCACTGTCCACATCGTCAATAAAAACAAAGTGTTTTATGTAGAGCAATCGGGCTTGGAGATGTTTTACACCGGCTCGGATCACGACGAAAAGAAGTAGTGACACGAGCGTATCAGCGTTCACAGTAAGAACGGGCTTTTCTAGCGCTGAACTTGGTTGACTGTCTGGTCTAGGCTGTTCCGTGAAGTGTGTCGTGGCTTTTATTGTCGACAGTAAAGTCCCCATCATATCCTGTGGGCACATTGCAAAAGTCATCTTGCGAAATTCCTCGACTGCATAGCGGAGCCTGGTGGTAAGCTCGTGCTTTCCTTTAGTGCCTCCTTCAATGAAGATCCCTAATTGTGAAATGTCGATGAATTCCATTTGTCGTATCTTGGCCTCAAGCTCGAGATCTTCTGGCCGTCGCATCGCAGCCAGTCGAGGCCAGATCAGATTATGTACATTCTCAGTCACGTACCGTTCGATGAGTCGTTCTACTACTGGGCCCGTCAGTTCGGTTGTCGCGCCTAGCATGGAAAGCTGCTGATTGTCCACGCCTTGAAATAAATCAATAGCATTAGTAACCGCAGTCTCTAACGAGGCTCTCATAACGTCTTCCTCATCTTCAGCGTAGAAATCCTCTGTCACTCGGTTACTACCTTGAGCATCCAAGCTAGAGCTAGCCTCTCGTGCGGATAAGCTGTTTGATCGGACTCTTTTCATAGCAGTCGCAATAGGGCCGTCTGGGACAGGGTCAGGAATATGTTCTGCCGACGGGGGTGGTGGCAACGGCCTCTGGAAAACCATGGTGAATTCTTTAAATAGCTTCTCCAAGCCAGCCTGCATTTGCCGGGCTATCATTGGAAAGTTGTTTAAAAGATCATGAAAACTGGCAATCTCTTTCTTTCGTGGTAGGCTCGGCTCGCCATTTTCAACTGCTGCAGCCTGCTTTGCTTCCGCGAGCCTCTTTTTTGCCATGCCCTCGGTAAAGATAGCTCGTGGTATCTCCACATCTTCCCAGATACCGACTAGGGGACGCGATATGTAATATATCAGCCATTGCCTTGGTTCGATGCTATCGGCATACCAAATAGAATCATGGAGAAGTTGCGTTTGGGCTAGGGTCTTGAAACCTATGACACAGGGCGTTAGATGGAATCCAGTGCAGTGTGTGTGGATCATTATACTTGCCCTTGTTGGTAAAGATGAAGGCATCTTTTATTATGACACTACGGCCATTTAAGGTTGAATATTGCCTCGCCTTGCCCCTCTGCTCGCGCAGGTTTCCGACAGCATCCTTCCCTCCCGCAGCGGTAGCCGGACTTGGAGCTCGAAGCACATGACTTCCCAAGAATTCCTCAGATCCGACGATATCTGACTGAGATAATCCGCTTTCCGTCTCGCGGGAGGTAAGGAAGAACTCGGTTGTCGGAACAAGGAGGATATGGTGGTGTACGGGGGCACACTGGGTGACGATGGGGCTGCCGGGTTTGAAGAAGGCGGCTAGGAAGGGATTCAAAGGTGGCATTCAAACAGATGTCTGTGAGAATATCTCAACCATGCCTCCTCCCCAGCCTTATGCTATAACGCGCGCAACTCGACTGCCTAAGATTCAATGGTATATGAAGTATGGAATGCTCATAAGCTCTGGTGGAAAGGGAAAAGAAGCTCTAGGCTCCTTTGGATGTTTGTCGCTAGTTGTGAAATGGGCGCCTTTTGGTGATTTTATGGTTGGTGTTGGAAGGATGATGATCGCATAAACTAAGTAGACACGTCTTGAGGATCAGGAATTGAGCTAAACAAGGTCGGAACAAGTGAGACAAGGTTGCGCAGTAGGGGATGACGACAATGCATGAGGTAGCTTCATATGATGGTCCTGGAAACAGCTCGATGCGACTGGATGATCCCGATGTTTAGCCGTGAATGTTGTGTTTAATGCATATCTTATCGAACTTGGGGGCAGTGATATGCATTTAACACGCTTAATAACACGCTTAATAATATGGAGGTGTGTTATAGCTCTTCCAGTGCTCTAACGCTCTTCTATGACCCTCAAGGTGCCCTTGATATTCCTAAAGTCTACTGCATAATAGTATCTACTCTATCTAGTACTACTGGTAGTGGTCCACCAGAGAAGAGGCTCGCTATCAATACGCTCATACCACTCATACCACTCATACTATAGCAACTGATTTCATCCCGTACCAAAGACTAAACCTATCGTTTCTGGTTCGCGGTCGCCAAATCAAGCCATTCCTTGATCCTAAGTGTCGCCATACGCGGCAGGCCCTTGTATTTTTCCTCATCGTATGTATCCTCAATCGCCTTGACGAGCCGTCTCGCCCTCGAGATCGTGAGCCTTTTGGCATTAGTCCAGTGCTCTCTCAGCACGAAGTCGTTCACCTCGTCCACCAGCCCGCGCCGCTTCTTTCTCACCGCCGGGTCGTCGGCCTTTTCCACGACGCAGAGCGCGCACTCGCATTCGAACCCCCACGTAATCATCAGGGCTGACTGTCTGTCGTCGTAGTCGCTTGATTCGTCGTAGCTGTGGAAGATCTCCTCGCCAGCGGTGATAGGTCTGGTGGCGCGGAGAATCATCAAGTCGCCCATGTATTCTTTCTTAACATTGGAGACACAGGAGTGGTTGATGTAGGCAGCCCAGATCCACAGGCCAGTGCTCGCATTATTTAACCTTTCTTCTCCAAACTGGATTCCCGGACCAAAGGCATTGCGAGACACAATGTCATGTATGCGGAAGGTATCGACGATCGTGCCATCGTCGGTTTTGGTCACGTTGTTACCCTCTCCTTGATAGTCTCCGTATAGACTCATCACTCTGCCTATCTGGGAGGGGTTGTTGAGAAGCTTTTGTACAATCGCTCTGCTTAATCCGACGGGCGAGACTCTAATCCTATCATCCCGAACGTCGTATGTCATCGCTGTTAACGCATCGCTCTCGTAACCCCAAACCACACAGAATGCCTTCTCACACATGACTATCTCCCCGGCAGGTATATCCCGGGTTGCAAATAAGCCACGGCCTTTTTCTCCGCTCGATTTAACCGTCGTGTTTCCAATGAAGCTTGCAGCGTCGACACGCGGTCGAGACCTGGATAAGCCGAGGTTGATCCGCTTAAAGTTGTATGCTCCAGTCTCTTGCTCACGAAGGCGTACTTCAATATTCTTCAAATAAGCACTCGCAGTTTTGTTGTCCGGCGTGAGCTCCTGCTGCTGTTCGAAGCAGGCTTTTGCTTCTTGGTATTGGCCAAGGTTATATGCAGCACTGCCAGCTCGGAAATAGGCCTTACTGTCGAGTTCCTTCGACCGTTGGTCTTCCTTGCCTATAAGCGCTGCTTTTGCATCGACTTGTGCTTCGTCTAGTTGGTTCAAAAGGAGATTGACGTAAGCTCGATTGCGAGCCAGGTCCCGAGCCAAGTCTGGATTCGTTTTGAACACATCCTCATATCTCGCAAGACATAGACCTTTAGTAAATTTTGCGAAGGCTAGGGGTAGATTCTGTTGTTCCAGGGCAACATTACCCTCGTCCTTGCACTTCTTCGCAATCTTCTCCGCTTCCTCTGCCGCCTCTGCCAAGTCCTCGAATGGGCCATACGTTTGAGTGGCTGAGCCTTGACTACCTTTGAGATCCCCGTCTAGAATAATCAAATCTGAAGGATGATCAATGCGAATGGTAGGTTCTCCTTGACTGGTGATGGTAAAGTAAGGCTCCTTTATCACAAAATTGCGAGCTGATTCTAATACGTCTTTGCCGTGTCTTGTTTTGTGCAAGCACACTTCTAATCGTTCTGTATCATCATCCCCTTCTTCTTGTACCATAGTCCAAGACCTGGACACAAGCGTCACCACTGGGCTTACTCGTTTGATAGTGAGTTGACAGCCACGATGGTGAGTGTCGGCTTGAAGATCAGCGAGCTTGATGGGCTGTAGGTCTTTAAGGGGGAGGGTGCATGGCGGATATGGCTGCCCTATGGTAAGTGCTGGGATTGCACCCCCTCGGCCATTAGTCTCGGTTGAGTCAGGGTCTGCTCCACCCATGTCTGCCATGAGCGATGCACCAGTTGCCTGTCTGATGGCATCTTTCGAATCTCTTGGTTCCCGAGGCTGGCCCCCAATTTCTGAACATTTTTCTAACCTAGCCTTGACGATATTCTCAATACGTTCCACTTCTTTCTCAGCCAGAAAGACCGTATTTACATCGTTTAGATCAGCCATTGTAAGATACTATGTACCAATGTATCGGTAGTGAATGCTACCAAGTATTCAATAGGTACTACGTATGGACTGCTTCGTGCAGCACCAGAATACCTCTCACGGTATTTCTCACGTTTTCATGTGATGGTATGTATGGTGGTCCTGTTAACTCACTTAATGCCAATACATACGAAGTAGTAATTCCTACATATAGTATGTAGTAACTGCCTATACCTAGATAGTACTTGGGTATACCTACCTTACATATGTAGTAGTCTCACTTCCATTTCAAGTGACTTCCCAGTCAGTATAAGAGATGCGAGTTGTGATAATATTCGAAAATATTCGATAACATTGAATTGTTAGGGTAAAGGTATGTACTTTTCTTTTTTTAGTTGTTTATTAGTTGAATAACTTGAATTGCTGATAGTTTTTCCCTTGTCCCCTCCCCTCACTCGTTTTCTCTGCACTAACCATATTAGGGTAAGCGCAGATGAAACTGGTACCGCCATACAACGATATTTAGGTATTGTAAACAACATTGAATGACTTCAAATGTGGTACATTATACTTTCTTCTAGAAACTAGAGTTACATACATGAATGCATACATAGGCTTCTCATCAAGCTATCAAATATCCCAAAGCAGCCATGCCATACAACGATGCATTAGTATGGATCGACTGTGAGGTAAATATTCTTCCACTAATTATCATATCTACATACCCTAGGTAGTAAGGTAGGACTAACACCGAAGCAGATGACAGGTCTGGATCCCGACCAAGAGGAGATTATTGAGATTTTCTGCATCATTACGACAGGCTCTCTAGATGTGATAGATGAAAATGGGTGGGGGATTGTCATCCACCAATCACAGGAGAGGATGGACAAGATGGATGAATGGTGTATACAAACACACGGGAAGAGTGGTTTGACAGAAGCTGTGGTGTCATCCAATGTGACGCCACAGCAAGCAGCCGATGAGCTTCTAGCATATATCCAAAAGCACGTACCAGAGCGAGGGGCATTGCTAGCGGGCAACAGCGTTCACGCAGACCGTGCATTTCTCCGAAAAGAACCGTATAAGAAGGTAATCGACTACCTACATTATCGGATCCTTGATGTGAGTAGTCTGAAGGAAGCCGCCTATCGATGGTGTCGTAAGGAAGTTACAAAGAATGCGCCGAGGAAGAAGGGGTTACACCAAGCTAAAGATGATATTCTGGAGAGCATCGAGGAAGCGCGATATTTCAAGGACGTGATATTCAGCACCACCGACATCAGGAAAGAAAAATAGAAAAAAGGACTCCTAATCATCAGTCACGGTTCTGATACAAGAACGACCTTTATTTTCAGGCACTATTCACAAAATGGGCTAGGAGACATGGATAAAATTACAACGCGGCTAACATACTAAAATCAATAATTCATTCATTAGGCTGCCCGGCGTACGTAGCATTGGTAGCCGGTAGACACTTCGCGTGGTGGAGTGTTTGGCTGATAATACCTAGGGTACTGGTTACTGAATGGAGGGGTTTGGCGTTTGATATGTGGCGTCGTATGAAAGCTGCAGAGTCTTGAAATTATACATAGTGAACGTTGAAGTTTCTGCGTACCTACCTGATACCTATTATCATATGTACCTACATACATACATGTATGTAGTACTAGGTATATATGTACATGTAAGTAACTATTAACAATGAAGTTTAGCATCTGGCAGGTTAGGCACCTACTACTATGTAAGCACTTTCAGTGGTGGTATGGTGGCCCATTATACAACATTACCCCACATGCCTACCTACCTGGGTAGGTACATGTACATATGAAGAATAATGGATGTTATCGTAGATGAGATCATGTACACTAGGCCACCTCATTTGCTAGAGCCTAGAGGGGGGTAGCTTCCATGTTGTTTTACAGGGCTAGTAGTGATAGCCCAAAACCCCGCCAAACGTCGTCATATGTTTTTTTTATTAATCCCCCCTCCTCCCCTGTCGACAAAACAAACCCCCTATCCTACATAGCTTCCTCCTATTCAGTTATTATATATTGTAACCTTTTCCATACAATATCTAAAACTGACCTTCTTTCGATATCTCAAATCGAAGGAATTATCATTCATCATGGGTGTCAAAACTGTTGAGTTCAAGTCCTTTGCCGACCAAAAACCCGGAACGTATGTAAATAGCTCTTTGAGGTCACCCGATACCACTATTGTCGAAACCAACATCACCACTACCCAGCCCATTTCTCTTATTTCATACTCCAAATTAATATCGAGACCCTTTTAATTACGTGAATCGATTACTTATTAACATTGTACAGCTCGGGTCTTCGAAAGAAGGTCAAGGTCTTCCAACAACCACACTATAGCGAGTCTTTTATCGCTAGCATCCTACTCTCCATTCCCGAAGGAGTTGAGGGTCAGTACTATAAATACCTACAAACGAACTCCCGCAGACACAGCAACTAACAAGTGTGCCTTCACAGGTTCCTTCCTAGTTATTGGCGGCGACGGCCGATTCTGGAACCCCGAAGCTATCCAGTTGATTGCTAAAATCGGTGCTGGATACGGTGTGAAGAAGTTGTTAATTGGTCAAAATGGCATTCTGTCTACACCCGCTGCCAGCCATGTTATTCGGAAACGGAAGGCCACTGGAGGAATTCTTCTGACTGCCAGTCACAACCCCGGTGGTACGTATAAACTTCATGGCTACTAGGTAGTTGCAATGAATTCTAATCGCGGTGTCAATTAGGCCCCACCCAAGACTTCGGCATCAAGTACAACCTATCCAACGGCGGTCCTGCTCCAGAGAGTGTAACAAACAAGATTTACGAAGCCTCCAAGACTCTCACCTCCTACAAGCTTGCCGATATTCCTGACGTGGACATTGCTACCATTGGCACCAAGACGTATGGCAACCTCGAAGTCGAAATCGTCGACAGCACAGCGGACTACATACAAATGCTCAAGGAAATCTTCGATTTTCCTTTAATTAAGAAATTCTTCAAGGACAACTCCGACTTCAAAGTTCTCTTTGACGCTCTACATGGTGTTACGGGTCCGTATGGAAAGGCAATCTTCGAGGAGGAGCTGGGACTTGCCAACTCTACACAAAACTGCATTCCCAGCCCTGATTTCAACGGCGGACACCCAGACCCCAACCTCACATATGCGCATTCGCTAGTGGAGGTTGTTGACAAGAACTCTATCCCCTTCGGCGCTGCATCCGATGGAGATGGAGACCGGAACATGATCTATGGTGCTGGTGCCTTCGTATCGCCCGGTGACAGTTTAGCCATTATCGCTCATCACGCAAAACTCATCCCTTACTTCAAGAAGCAGGGTGTTTATGGCCTTGCCCGTAGTATGCCAACTTCTGGCGCAGTTGACCTTGTAGCTAAGGCTCAGGGGTTGAACTGCTACGAAGTGCCCACAGGCTGGAAATTCTTCTGTGCCCTTTTTGATGCTGACAAGCTAAGCATTTGTGGCGAGGAAAGCTTTGGCACCGGTAGCAACCACGTTCGCGAAAAGGATGGTCTATGGGCTGTTGTAGCATGGCTCAACATCATTGCTGGTATCGGAGAGGCCAACCCCGGGACTAAACCAAGCATCAAGCAAATTCAAGAAGATTTCTGGCAGACCTATGGCCGGGTATTCTTTACCCGATACGACTACGAGAACGTGGACTCTGATGGCGCCAACAAGGTCGTTGGAACCCTAAAAGATTTTGTTGCCGATCCAAAATTCAAGGGCAGCAAGATTGGAGGTAGGCTAATAATGCCCCACGCTTAAAGTTGGTAAACTAACACGGCGAACAGAACGTACAGTGACCGACGCTGGAGACTTCTCCTACACCGATCTAGACGGCTCAGTTGCTTCCCACCAAGGCTTATACGCCCGCTTTGACAGCGGCAGCCGTATCGTTGTCCGGCTGTCTGGTACTGGCTCTTCTGGAGCTACTATTCGTCTGTATATTGAGAAGTACAGCAAGGATCCATCCACATACGGCTTGGATGCTCAGGATTTCCTCAAGGACGAGATCAAATTCGCAACAGATCTACTAAAGTTCAAGGAGTACGTTGGACGGGATGAGCCTGATGTTAAGACGTAAAAAAGGGAAAGGGAAAGGGAAAAATGTCGATAGAAAGGGATCAACTACAGAATCGTAGAATTAGGCTATTTCTTGGAATGACAACCCGATCGAATAGCGCTACCTAGGTAAATAAAAATATATCGTGATGAATCCAGTATAATTTGAGGGCATACATAAAAGATTAAGCGGCCTATTCCGAGCAACCACGTGTTCATCGTCTCAAATACTATGTTCAAAGATTCCTGAGCACTACCCTCGCTATTAAGAAGCTAGGTATGATTTGGAATATTCAATACGTTCGCGTATCATTTTGACTGTCTTTACGATAATCTATGCTTTGTGTATGAGACGGTGGTTCACCAGGCACATATCCCACGATTTATACATATCTAACCTAATAACATGGCCTTGAGAATCTAGAATCAGGATGTGTTACCTCGCTCGCAGATGTAAGCTACCAATTGCATATTAGCGTGAGCTCCGGAAGAAGATCCTCAGTAGTCGGCCTCCTAGCATAATCTAAGCCCGCCCCGGCGGCTATGGGCTGACAGGGGTGGTGGATGGAACCCGCCCGGAAGCTCGAGCTCAACCCCAACCTTCTCAAGCCTTACAACTCCTCACGAACAAAAGCGCAACGACGATGCCCAAGAAAAGGGCGCTCCCCGTCAGCTTGATGGCCATCCTCCGCGTGTAGGCGATGATCTGGATCAGCTCGGCGCGCTCCAGCTCGAGCACGTCGCGCGCGGCGTAGTAGTTCCCCGTCTCGTGCCATGAGGCCGCGAGGGTGGAGGGGATGGAGGAGGGGTGGGTGAAGAGGCGCAGGCAGCTGTGGAGGGATTCTCTGTCGAGGGAGGCTTCGTGGTTGGGGTAGGACATTATTGTGTAGTTGGTGTAGGTAGGTAGGTATGCTTATATAGGAGGGATAGATCCGATGGGTGTAGATGGACCTGTCCTGGAAGAAGCGAGGATTAAACCTAGATGATGAGAGTAGCTGTTTGTGGTGTGATGGCAGATTTCTGAGGTTATCGACAACCAGAGTCGCGACCACAGTCTTGTGAGTTATCTAGGACTACGTGGGAATGATTGCTGTAAGATGCAGGATTGCATGCTAGTTATCTACCCCTGAATAGGACCTGGACTTGAAGATAGGACCGGTATATAAGCGGGGCTACCCGAAAGATCGTGGGGAAAACTAGCCTAGCAGCTGCCTAACGATATTTATATGGGTCTGAATAGCCTCAAAATACCCCACAGGGGCTGAGAGTAGCTAACTGAGAGAATGGCAGTGTTTCCTGCTTCGCCGCTGCAGAGCCTCAAGATCTAACTACAACGTCGATCATCTATGGCAAAAACTGGCACATTAATTATCTTGCCATGCAGCATTGAATCCTAAAAGGATGATCATTGCCGATAAATAGATACCATACTAGGTACCTACCCCTGGTAGAGGGGCAAGAGTTCCCTCGCCTTTCCCCCTCCACCATTCCTTATACAAAAGACAGCTTCAAGTTTTGACCTCTAGATGGCAATTATAACATAATCCTGTATTCAAATCGGGAGATCTCTTTTATTTTTATTTTTTTGAAAAGAACATACCCCTTTATCCTCTTACTCGCAGTATCAGACTATTGCTATCGAGCATATTCACATAAGAGAGCATTGAAGCTAACACCTAACACCATTGGTTGCTTTATTATGGCTTTCATAACTCCATAAATTAGCGAACGATTGTGGTACGAGGTGAATAAATGGTAAAAGAATAAGAATAATATCATTGGCTCGGTTCTCAATAACATTTGAGAATGTTTTTAAACTCTACATAACATCAAGAACTGTAGTCGTTATAATACGTCATTCCGATGTATCTCTACGTCATGATCTCCTCACACGAGAAACTCTACCGGAAACACTTTGAACAATTACAGCTACAAAAGAAGCAATCTCCTCTTTACTTGTGCCACCCTCTTCCTACTTGGTCTCACCACTCTCACCACTAGTCATTACTTCTTCACAAATGTACTAACTACTAGACACAATGGCTGAGCAGGATCGTTACGGAGGTTGGTTCGGCGGAAACAGAGCCGAACAAATCAAAGAGAAAATACAGAATGCAATTCCCAAAACTTCCGGTGCTGAACAAGATCTTTACGATCGCTCATTTGGCGGGGATAAGCTCCCTTCTGCTGACAGAGTGAAAGAGAAATTCTTTCAGACATCAGGTGCTGAGCAAGATCGGTATGGGCGTTGGTTTGGTGGAGACAAGCTCCCTTCTAGGGCTGATATTCAGAAGAGACTTCCACAAACTTCAGGTGCCGAGCAGGATAGATACGAGCACTGGTTTGGTGGACACAAGCTCCCTACTAGAGCCGACATTGAGAGGCATCTTCCCCAGACCTCTGGTGCCGAACAAGACAGATATGAACGCTGGTTTGGTGGAGATAAAGGAGCATCTGCTACACAGCTAAGCGACAATCTGCCGGGAGGCTCAGGCGCCGAACAAGAACGGCTTGGGTCTCATCTGGGATCCGGATCTCCACAAGTCAAGATTAGTACAACTACCACGCTCGGGCTTATCCAACACGCAGTTCTGCCATCGTTTGGACTCCATGGCGGTCTCACCCTGATTGCTTATGGTATTGGACGCTACAATGACAGAGTTGACACCAAAGATTGGCTATGGCCCAGTGCACAAGTTGCTAATGCATGGTGGAGCGCAATTGGAGGGCCCGTAGTGTATGAAGGTGTATCGGTCTCCACAGCCTGGACTGCGCTATCATACAACCAAAAGCTTCTTCTTGCTGGTGTCAGCGCCTGGAGTGTCCGGCTCTTCTATCGCGTTGCATCAGGCAGCATAAAACGCGGTAAAGACGAGCCACGCTACGATACAGCCTCGAGAAAGAAGCCGGAATTTTGGAACAGAATCTTCTTCACGCAATACCTTCGCGAGACTGTCTTCCAGACGTTGATCTCTCTACCATTCACGTTGCCATTCCGTGCTCCGGTCGCCAGTGCTATCGCTTCTCCCTTCCCTGAAGCGTCAGCTGTGATCCAAAGTATCGCCATCTTCCTGTTCTCTGCCGGATTTGCCCTGGAAGTAATAGCCGACTCTCAACTACAGGATCATAACAACCAAAAGAGCACCGAACTCAACATCAACGGCGTGTGGAGTATTGTTCGACAGCCCGAGTAAGTTGGATTGATTCCATAAGGATGTCTGTGAGTAGTTACTAACTATCAATAGCTACCTTGGTGATGCGCTCTGTCACTTTTCCTTCCCACTTTTCCTCTATAGTGCGGGTCAGCTTCACCCCCTTACACTCATTGGCCCAATTGCCAACTACGTCTTCCTCCGCTACGTTGGCAGGCATAAAAAGACGGAAGAGTACCAAGAGAACCGCCACGCTAAAGAAAATCCCGCCAAGTATAAGCAACTACAGCAGTACAAGAAGACGAAGAATTGCTTCTGGCCAAGCCTGGCAGAGGTTAATAACAAGTGGTTGTGGACCGTTGCTGTTGCCGGTGCTGGTGGCGTTGTTCTTGAGCGTTCGCTCAATGTTTTACTCGGAACATGAACTTGTACAATTTGATAGGTCGGGCATTTATAATAATAATGAAATTGAATATTTTTAATGCTAAGATAATCAAAGTCTTCTCTCATGAAGGCAGTCCGAGTGTGCTTTATTAACGATATTGGACTTGTGGGTAGCTCCTCTATGCCCAGTACCGCTGTTGGGTCGTGATATGACTCTACTACTATCTTCACATCACCACTTATTCACTATTATGCCTAAACAGAAATAAACAATGATCTGATCCAATTTTCTTTTCAATTTTTCAATTGATGTTTCTCACACTACCTAGTACTGTAGAGCTACATACACACTTCGGGGGTAAAAGGAACAGTCTTGCTTTGATACTATACGAAGGGTAGGTAGGGTAGAAATATATACATGTGTCCAATATATACGGGCCGTTTTTTTTTTTAAAGCCTGTGCCTTTTTTTCTTTTCATACACCTGGTGGCGGGACCGATGATGACGGTGATGAGAAGGGTAGTGTGGGGGGGGGAGGGGGTTTTAGACCTCGACGGTGGAACCAACGGGGCCGAAGCGGATGTTGGACCAGATGACCTTGCTGTAGGGGGTGTGTTAGTGATGGGTGAAGTAAAGAAGAGGAAGGGGGAGAGGGGGGAAGGGGAGGGGAAGATAGGGGGGGGAATACGTACGCATCGGGGATGGTGGCCTCGACGTCGGAGGGGACACCGGAGTCGGGGGCGCAGTCGCCACGGTCGCCGCCGGGCTGGCCGGCCTTCTCGGGGGGGTAGCTGGAGTCGAGCCAGAGCATGTTGGCGTAGTGCTATATATAGCATAAAAGGTTAGTCACATTAACCATCGTTTTCTCCCTAAAGAAAAAAAAAAGTAAAAGGGAGGTGGAAGTAAAAGAGAGTGTGTGCTTACGTCGTCCCAGATGGACATGACGAGGACCATGGGCAGGCCGAGGGCGGTGTTGAGCTGGTCGAAGCCGCCGACCTCGGAGAAGCGGTCGCGGTCGCCGAGGACGGCGAACTCGTTCTTGCAGTACTCGGGCGTGATGTTGCTCTCGGCCGGGAAGCCGTCGATCTTGGGGCCCGGGATGTCGATGCGCTTGCCGTCTTGCACGAAGAACTGCGTCAGTTTGTTGCTCTCGAATTGGGTTACGACGCTGTTTTTTTTTTTGGTGGTTGTGTTAGTTGTGTTTCGGCTTCTTGAGAAGTAGATGAAGAAAGAGTTGGGGAGAGATAGGGGGAAAAGGGGGGGGGGATAGGACTTACGTGAACTTCTTGCTGGTGTCGACGGTCTTGCCCTTGCCGTAGAAGTCGGTGTTGCCCATGCGGTACGGGTTGTAGTCGCAGCCGTTGGCGTCGCACTTGCCGGCGAATCGGTCCTCGGAGTAGGTGCCGCCGCACTGGTCGGTCTCGCAGACGTGGTACTCGTTGTCAGTGCAAGGGTGGGGGGTGAAGGCGAAGGAGTGGGAGTTGGATTCCCTGTTGAAGAGTTTAGTTTGCTATCCACATTATAGATAGGGGAAGGTTTATTATAAACATACCAGACATCGATCTCGGCACAGCAGGCACCGAAGGGGCCAACACCGGCGTTCGCATCGTTGGTGGACGGCTTCCAGCCCTCGCTGTTGGCCTTGCCGCCGACGAACTTCAGGTCACGGGCGCATTGGGCGTCGCAGTATCCGGTACCGTACTTGGCGCCGGCCTTGTTGTTGGGGTAGCTGGCCATGCCGCCGTCCTCCTCCATGGCGACGAAGTAGAGGGCGGCGTTAAGGCCGCAGTCGACGGTGGAGAGGTCGACGTCGAAGGCGAACTCGTTGCCGAGCAGGCTGAAGGTCTGGTACTTGTCGGCGCCGTTCATGAGGTAGAAGCGGGAGCCGATGTTGGTGCCGTACTCGTGCTTGGTGAGGAACTTGAGGGTGAGGGCGTCGCCGCTGGTGGAGGCGCCGTAGGTCTTGCTGTACTCGGCGCCCTCGACGGCGCACTTGGTGGCGCAGTCGTCGGCGGAGCTGCACTTAGACGTCCACTCGTTGCCGTCGTAGCAGTTTTCCGTGCCCTCGGTGGTGTGCAGCCATCGCCAGTTGGAGTCGATGGTCACCTCGGCGTTGGTCGCCGTGCACGAGCCCTTGCCCGAGCACTTCTTCCAGCTCAGCTTGGGGTGTGTCTCGGCCTGTTCCTTTCCGACCTGCTGGGCGGATGCGAGCCCGAGGAGGGCCGCTGTCACGGCAAGAGACAACATGATGGGCTGCTGTGGTGGGCTTTTAACTTCTCACTTCACCGATTGTAGAAATGTCTTTGAACCTGGGAGGGAGGCGCGATGAAGAGGTGGTAGAGAGAGACAACATTGATGTGACATCTGGGGCTCTGATGGTTATATACTCCATCGAAGGATTTGTTTTTTTTTTTTTTTTGCCTAGCAAGATGAATGTTCTCGACTGCATATTGTCGGCAAAGGGCTCCGTCTGGACGAGGCCAATTTCATAGTGTGGTATAGTCGATCACTAACTAGCCGGGCCCTATGACCATTCTGAATTAGATTAAAATCTCAATTACACCCTCTAAAGCTCCGGCGGATATCCCGAAGACACACCCTTGGGTTAGTTCTAGTGATAAAGAACAAAGTATACACACTAATTATTACCACTTTGGTTATGGAAATGGTGGTGGCAAGGGAGAGAAAGAGGGACTGTCCCTACGTCCAGGAAGTGATAAAGTTGTTGCCCCAAAGAGCCATCATACGGAGGGGTAGCCAATAGGGACGTTTAGCACTTGAAGGTGGTAGCGGATTGGGATATGGGGGCCAAGGCGCTCACTCATTGGCAGTAGGGCTCTGGGGGGGCCACAACTCCCGACGTGATATAAATTGAATATAATCAGTTTCAGGACCATGGCCCGAAGTAACCTGGGGTATTTGCGGGGAATGGGGCGGATACTCTGATTCGGGGGGGTGGGAAATCTCAGGGGTGGCAACACGATATCATGCCTCGACGATGGCTCCGCGGCCCGGTATGCCCACCACCCACGGAGAGCAAAACGCCGTTATGGGGAGATGAGATAATAATGCCGGGGGTCAAGAAATGGAAGATGGATACCGGGACAACGGGGTCACAGGACTAGAGAGGCCCGATGAGGGAAAGTTAAAGTCGCTACGTATTCGTATTATTAGTCTTATTGAAGTTGCGAGCCTACCTGCGATAATAACTCCTTTGATAGTAAGTTTAGGTGAAGCTACGAAGTACCATCTCGAAGAAAAATATATCAGACGCGACTCAAATTTAGACACATGCCCCAAAAAAGAAACCAAGACTTTCTAATTCGGCGTTTTCTGTCCTGTCCCGGATACAGCACATATATCGCACGAGAGGATAACTATGGATCTCTGCAAGATCTGATGTAACGCCAAACGACAAACGACATTGGGCCGGCGACATGTTCGCGGTAAACGATCGGCAAGCAGACCATACCGTTCGAGCCCCATGATGCCGAGAAACCAGGGGTCGTGGAAAAATATCCCATCGCCATATTATCCAGGGGTGTAACGGGACGCCAAGTCTGGAAAGGTCCGCGGATTTGACCCTAACCACGAACGATATATCATAACTCATGTGTAGTACTTTGTGTGTGATAGTATGTAGGTAGGAGTATTTATTTTTGTTTAGCCAATTGGTGATTGGCCATCCCCCCCCCCCCCCCCCAAAAACCCCTTTGGACTAAACCCACGATGCATGCAGGTCCTCGCGTGGTGTGGTTCGTTCAGAGACTGATTTATCGAGTACTACGTCGAGACTCATTTCCTAGTTCTCTCGAGACGAGTGGGGTGGAAGAATGGATACCAGGTTAGAATGCAGCTTGTACTTTTTTTCTACCCGGTAGACAAGGAATCTATGACTTTTAGTATTCTGGAACCATGAATACCTAGGTAGGGGTGTGTCGTTGTTATACTACTATAATATGTTGTAATTTGCTCGAACTCGCTTGCACATACCTAGTTACCCAACCAGCAGGGACTCAAGGAGATATTATCAAAGCAAGCCGCAAGATCAACAGGGCAGCCCCCTATGACCTTTTGACCTATCAACAGACTATGCCTAGACACGTTAGCATGTTGCCATTAATCTACGAAATGGAACCATCCGCAATTCTATCGCGGTGGGATAACTTCTCTACTCTAGTCTACTCTGTGGGGGGGCGTTTTGCTTGTTCGCCTCCTCCTCCTCTAACTGACACTCCAAGAAGTGTGTGATAAACAGACCGGCGGCAATTCCACCTTCACCCAGTTTGCCACGTCTCGACCATATTACTCAATATACTCCGTACCTAGGCGCCATGCAGCTGGGATCTCGAAACACCTAGACAGTTCTCTTGAATCTCTATCTATGCGGACGTTGACTCCATTGGGGCTCATGAGCATCGGTTCCTTCTTTCAAGTAGGAAATTTTAGAGTAGTTCGTCCAATTGAGCAGCGGGCTTGTATTCCCATAGGCACGATATATCAAACGAAGCCGACTTCAGTATCCGAACATAGCCTCATCCACGATTTGCCACGAGTAGGCATATCTTCCCGAGTTAGTAAATTCGGATATGAACGTGCATATAATCCGCTTCTTACGCGACATCACTTGTTGAGATCTCCCCGTCATCTCGGCTATCTCTAAGCCATAGAAAGTCTAACTTGCCACGAGTGAAGCAAGCTTCAAGTCACTCCGGTGGGCGCTTCACGTAACAGCTTCACGGTAAAGCTGTACTGTATGTACGTAGGGTCCATGGCGCTTAGAGCTTCCCTCGTCTAGGTGGACGTCTAGGAACCAAGGCACCTTAATCAGGAACGACCCAACCTGGGAAGACATTCTACCAAGAAGCCATACCCCAAGACCGAAGACGTGACGTATGAAAATACCCATTCTTGTTAATAATACACATAAACTCGCCACCAAAACCTCCCCTCTCCCAAATTAGGGGCAAAAAAGAAAGTGAAAATCACGATTAGGCATACAATTACAATCCTCGCAAGCAAGCAATCACCAGCAGAGCACAAGTAGCACAGGCGCCAAATCCTCATGTAAAAGAAAAAAAAAGAACCTTAATATATAGGTATGTAGTAAACACGATAGGTAGGTGACCTGTCGAGTAGAAGCAGAAGAAAAAGGGGGTGTAAAGTAAAATAAAAATAAAAACGACTAAAAGGGGGTATCCGCAACACATCTTGATCTTTTTGCTTACTTCATTTTCGTTGCACTCTCTCCAAGCCACCAGCCAGCCAGCCAACCAACCAGTCCAGGCAGTCCAACCAGCCACTTCCAAACCCAACCTCATTATATCATTCTCTCAATTACAATTCCTAGGGTTATCATCATCTTTCTTTCTTTCGTTGGTCTCATTCCTTCATATCATAGCAAATCACTGTTGTCCGCCGCGACGCCCTCCCACTTCTTCGCGGGGAGCTTGCGCACCTTTTTCGTCGGGCTGCCGCTGCTCGACACCTTGAGGGACTTCTTATTATTAGTATTCCCCCCGTCGTGGTGGCTGCTGACGCGCAGCTGTTCCATCCTATTTCCCAGACTGCTGAGGCCGTCGCCAAGCCCATCCACGCTGGGGGAGGATCTGATGCTCGGCACATCGCCCCGCTCCGAAAGCGGGTTGCGCTTGCTGGGCGTGCGGCCGGAGAGCTCGCGCTTGAGGATGGCCACTTCGCGTCGAAGACGCTCGTTCTCTTGCTCGAGGTTTTCGATGAGCACGTTTTCCTTATCGTCGTCCTCACCGGCATCACCATCGTTTTCTGACGTGGTGACGGTAACGGCGCCCACGCCGCGCGCTAGTACCTCGACCTTGCGATCCCAGTGCTCTTCGCCGCGTTCTTGCTCGATCGACAACGAGGCTTTCCACCGGTTCATTTCCAAAGCCAGTCGCTGTTCAAAGTCCTCGTAGCAGTCCTCGCGGATATCTTGCTCGAGATCCGCCATGCGGTCCTCCATCGACAGTAGGTGCGCCTCAGCTGCTATACGTGATTCTTGCTCTCGGGCAAGCTCTGCGTTCAGCTGATCAATGATTTCGGCCATTCTCGCAATCTCCATAGCAGCGTTCTCCATAGCCGCGCGCTCGTGATCGGGCGTGGGTGAGAATACCCTCGGATGAGAGCTAGAGGGTGGGTAGTACGGCCGGTGCGGTAGCACTGGTGAGCTCGCGGCACTACGAGAGCCCACGCTAGATTCCGACTGGCCGGATTGCGATGAGTTGGCATTAGCTAAGATGGTAGCTGTGATGGAAGGTACACGAGGCACCGTCACCTCGCGAGCTAGAGCGCTGTATCGTAGGATCTGAGACGTGGCGTTGAAGTCTCCCAGGGGGTCAGCAGTGACAATCATGACTGCCTTTTGCGGTGCGCGTCTGCTGTTCGCAGACTGCGCCATCGAAGCTGAAGGAAATGAGTTGGAGAAAAGCAATTCTGTGAGTTTGCACTGGCGAAAGGGGACCAGATTCGGCTGTCCTTCAATGTTAGTGAGACCTATAAAATTGTTTGCATATTCCACATACCTTTGTCGCGTTACTCGCGTCACTCTGCATCTGCAAACACTGGCCGAGATACATGAGACTTTCGTTGATCTTACCCGCCTCGGCAAGGGTCGCGCCTTGGGTCTTTGCATCTCGCGCACGTTCACTGCCAGCTAAGTCAACAATACTCAGGGTGCTAGCACCCCAACGGGCGTTAGTACGGCCACGTCGCCTCTTTTTGACCTCCACACAGAAGAACCCGTGGCTTCTGGATGACACGCTATTGCTACCCGTCCCAGCCACCCGCCTCTCGTGGAGTCCAGCTTCGAGAACCATCAGGGCCTCCTTAAGGGTCCCACATATGACTTTTCGAAGCCCCGCTACGACTTTGCGATCAGGTGAAAGTTCGGTGGACTTGAACAGGAGCGGTCGTCGTCGAGACTCTTTTGTAACGTTCGATTTGATAGGGGGCGTAAGAAGATCGAAAATTCGGTCGTTGTAAACTTCGTACATGGAAATGAGGACAGCATATTCGGCGGACGGATCGCAGGAAGCTCGAACGGTGCTAATATCGGGCGCCTGGGGAAGAGCGGAGGGTCGCTGTAGATGGCGTTTCGGTGTCGACGATAGGAACTCGGTCTTGGTAGGAGATTTAGTAAAATTCTTGCTTCTTGCGGCTGAAGTGAGAGACATGTAATGCTTCTTAGGTGACGTGGTATTGGCCAACTTTGGCTTGCTAGACGCGACTTGCGTTGAGGTTGGCATGATCAGGATACCCCGCTGACCAGGGGGTGTCGGGAGAAGAGTGATGCTAGACATGTCATCTTCATAGCTAACCAGACGTATACTTTGGGGGCTGTCTGGGAAATAGCCAGGGAGTATTGGATTGGTAGAAGGTCGGGCAAAAACGTTCTGGGTTCGTACATTCAAAGGAGTTCCAGCTCTTGACCGTACGGAACTACTAAAGTCGCCGTATGCATTTTCGAGGAATGCGGGGGCGGAGAATATAGCAGCTTCGGAGGGATCCGAGGACTTTATGGTAGCCTCTAGGTTGGGGGACGAATCACAACTGGCAATGTTTGAGTCTATAGATCGAAATAGAACATCAAGAGCAAGTTGAGTTAAGCCTCGCTGGCTGCGAGATCCGAGTATCGTGTGTGACTGGTAGAATCAAAATTAGCTCTCGTCAATTTCTCAAAACGGTCTAAGTAGCTAATAGTTCATACCTTGCCGGAGCCGGTAACTCCTAGGGTTGCCAATAGGCCATCCGTACCGTCGCCTCCATGAGGGGCTAATACACCTTCGACTAAAGGAAGCACTCGTGTTCCTTGGAACAAGTCAAGCTGTGTAGAATCTTCTTCGAAGACACGCGTGAACGCGAACTTCTCTATTGCTCGTCTTCGATCATTTGGAGGGTTTAAAGTGATGTGTGTTGGAGCGTCGTTTTCTCTAGGCTCCTCGACCAAAAGAAATGGTTCGGCACTGGTACTTCCAGCGTGATGAGGACGTAGTCGTAGGTACACTTGGAAAAGGTTGGTGTGACCTTTTGACTGTGGCTCCATGCTGATGATGGAATTCTATGATGCGGTGAGAAGCGATGAGAAGCGGTCAATAAATGGGTTGAAAAGTGAACTGAATACGTATGCACCAGTATGCACAATTGGCCTCTAGATTCTCAGACTAATTGCTGGTACTCTAAGATGCACGAAATATTCCGTTGCGCATGGGTGCAGTAGTTCGGAAAGAAAAATGGTTGGAGGGTCGGAAGTGTAAGGTGGATTAAAAAGGTACGTAGTGCGAAGAGGATGGATACTTTGGGTCAATATTTACTTTGGTACTGTGTGTTTCGATGGCAACGGGGTAATTGGGATGTCGGGGTGCCGGGGCTAATCTAGCCCAAGCCACAATCAGGTACCGTTACTAGCGTGGGTACATGATACTTGTACATAGTACGAACTGTTTCGTACTATGTATTTGAGGCTGAGATAGCGGCTCTTTCCGCTCCAACTTCCTCAACCTTAGGTTGACAATCAGAATTCTGCCGTCTCACACCGTCCACCCCACCAGAAAATTTAATATAAATATCTGAGCTTCCACTCCAGCTTTTACTTTTTTCTTCTTCTTTTCTTCTTTAGCTCTCTTTGCCTTTTGGCTTAGATCAAGTGTAGTATCTGTTCTTTTCAGTTTAATCTCTGAAAGAGTTCTACTTGAACTCAATCGTGATTATTCTAATTTTTATATCGCGGGAGCGTATCCTCTAGGCTTGCCTATGATCGCTCCCACCGTGTCCCTGGTATTACACTGCCTCCAGGTGACGCGAACCTCATTTTCATTGCCATTGCTAGCTTGCCTAGTGTTGCGAAGAAGATCGTACCTGAGTATCAAGTTCCTGCGCTATATATGGATGCTTGATATGTGTTGTTGTCACTTGCTGGCATACGTGGGTTCTCCTACAATCCATGGTGCCATATGTACATATTCATGTCGGTAACATTTATAATGGCGTTTGAGTCGTATCAGCCATGATATTCTCTTCTCATGAAGCCAATCAATAGCGCCTGAGTCAATCCGAGCATTTCACAGGGCTAACTCTCTTTTGCATGTGCAGGCAGCATCCTACCATTGAAGCATACTACTAGGCTGCTGGGTAAGGTTAAGGGCGAATTACATACATGAAGAAGGTTACAGTACTATCATATGCATCTCTCCTAATGAGCTGTCAGAATCAATATTCCTACCAACGTTGAATGTAGTACAAATTATAAGGTCCTCCAACCACCGAGATTACATACATCATATGTACATTGACACTGTGTAAATTTCATATGATAGGTGTCTACTATGTGTGTAATCATTAATGATATGTAGCTCCGGCATGTAGCTGCATCGATGATGGACCTACCTACCTAGTACATCCACTTACATTGATAGTCTTTGCTGGATCTGATTTAATTATGTACTGAGAGTTTAAAAAGGAAAAGTGATCTCGATTTCATGCAAAATGCACGTCACCATTGATTCAGTCTTTAACGTGGAGAATGGAAGCGCTGGATAATGGGCGAGGCAGTACTGATGCCTGTCCAAGATGATCAGATTTGGTAAGAGCGGAGGAAAAACTAGCATGCCCGTAAGAGAAGATCTCCTGATGCCATGTAGTATGATGATTATGTAACTTTGGAGACCCATCTTCATCGCCGTGGAGTTCGTCCCAACTAATGGTCAGGCAATGGTGGAGATGGATTAGAGAAAAAAAAGTCGAACTACTAGGGTAGCTTCTCCGTCGTCATGATGGCCGAGGGGTTAATGGTGGGCTGGATGGGCCCATTGGGGGGAGGAAGCTGACGAGATGCTGTATTCAAGTATGCTGCATAATAATACTGCATACGTATACATTATCCATATGTATGTAGAAACTGACCCCATCTCGCCTAATTATCTGTTTTCGTGTACACCAAACACACATGCAATAATTACTCGGTACATATGTAACTCCAAACGAAGGTAACACCACACGTGCCGTTCCATAATAGGGGTCATCCTCTACCTGTACATGTATGTACTTGATTTATAAAATTTCTCCGGCCTTCCTTCAAAAAAAAATATCCAAAAGTGATTCATCGGCCCGTGGCCCTCCGCAAGCTCCGGGACGGGCCTTCGAATCACTTTTAGATATTTTTTTTTTCAGGAACCGCTGCGCTGGCCGAAGAAATTTTGCTCGTCCAATTAAAAGACTATCTTAGAAAGTCAAAAGGGGGTTAAAAGTCGGGAATAAGTGACAGGAAGGAAGGCGTGACCATCCGGAGGATACGAATCTATGATGGGACTTAAAAGGTCAATCAGTCAATGAAGATATATAGAAGAGAAGAAGAGAGCTGAGCTCCCAGCGTCTCAGGCTAGCAAGCTGTGGCAGCATGATGGGACTTAAGAGGTCAATCAGTCAATGGAAATATAGAAGAGAAGAAGAGAGCTGAGCTCCCAGTGTCTCAGGCTGGCTATATATACACCGATAAGGTTTAGCAAGCTGTGGCAGCAGCAGCCATGGAGATGCCCACATGGCAGTAGCCATGGATAGCCACGGGAGTGGCTATCCACGTCCTGGCCAGGAGACACGTGGCTGGGACATTCAATTCTCGGTCCCTCCAACCGATGAGACCCTTCAATTCTCGGTCACCTCAGCCGACGAGACCCTCCAACACAACCATTCAACATGGTTGTCTTAGAAACACTATTCCCCTTATATCCTTATCCCTATATATCAGCAGAGCCGCAAGAGCCTCAACGCACAGGCCATCGGCAGAGCCTCAGGGCAACCCAACACCACCCCAACCACCTAAGGCTTAAGCACATGTATCCCGCTAGGAGGACTGTCTGGAGTTACTTCAATTATTGAAGCAGCACGGGTCAGCTTAGAGATTAGTATCAGGGATCAACACACATGTGTGTATGTATTGGATGTGGTAGATAACGTGGACGTTATCCTTTCCATTGAAAGGGGGGTGATGTTAGGACATGGCTCGGTGGGTGTCGGACCGGCGCCGGATATGCTGAAACAGATTGGTATATGGGTCGGTCGGATTGAAGAGAGGTAGAGGAGAGGTATCGATACAGCAATGGATATCAGATATGGTCAACGAATAAGGATGTGGTCAATGAATAAGGATGGGACGGTTGTTGATTAACCCTTCAACAATCAAAAGCGTTGAAAGAAACGCACGGCTATGGTTGACAAAGTTTGGGACAGCTGGCATAAAGGGATGCAGCCAATAAAAAGCGTTTGCTTTAAAGGAATGCAGCTAATGAAAAGCTTTTAAAAAGAACGCACGGCTGTCGGGCAGCTGGCGCTAAGAACGATCTGACCAATCCTGATTTTCCTGCACGGGTTTTTGGGAATTACAGGGGTATTTAATGACGTAATTAATTCAATAATTTTTCAATAATTTCCCATAGTAATTTCCCATAGTAATTTCCCATAGTAATTTTTTGAAAAAGTTCTAGCATAAAAATATCCTTCGGATGGATAAAGTTCTTTTTTTATTTTTAAGGGGTCCTGTCGTTCATAGTCTATGGTCAGCCAGTAGCATAAGCAAACTAGCCAAATCTCAACGCAAAATTAGAGGTAAAAAAGAGTAAGAGAAATATAATCGGTAGATGGAGGGGCAAATATGTGTGTCATCCTCCGTGAGTCTGAACGGCCCCTCTCCGATGCGTCACAAGAGAGCCTCCAGACATCGAACAAGTTTTCAGTGGATATCGTAGATAGTAAGACAGGGGGGTTACAAGATAATTCTTCGCTTCTTTCGCTGTTGGTTATTACTGGAAAATACATAGAGGAAGTGGAGACCAAGTTGGAAACTCGGAAGGTACATACATTTAGAAGCTATGTACTCAGTACATGAGACGGATCTATTAATGTAGGTAAACTGCAAGTAAAATATTGAATCTGAAAGTACGAATACATACAACTGTAAAATCCTAAATTGTATGTACACATGTGTATGTGAGTTCAGTGTTAGAATGCGGCTTCCAATTAGCGCCGGCCAAGCTTTCAACTGCCTACTTCCAGTGGACCATAAGGGACAGTTTAGTGGCTCTAGCGGGGTTTTAGGCGTTAGTGCACTGAGTTGATGCAAGTGAAAAAGGCGGTATGGCTGCTATGAATCTATGATGGACTGCCTACATAGGTACTTTAGTAGGTAGTAGGAGGTACACAGGTAAAGTACCTACTACTGTATTCAAGTACCTTTACAAACAGCCCAAGTCCATTACACCCCGGCAAACAAATCAGGGACCAGTGCAAGAGATTGTGGAGGAGGGATCACCCCACCCAATCGAAAAGCAATAGTAGAAAAAAAAAAAACTTATCTGCAGCTTTTTTTTTTCTCCCCTCCCACCCTTTTCCCTTCGAGGAATTATCACAACTAGACAACGAAGTCGCACTACAACTTGTTTCAAGATATACAATTCACTTAATATTATAACTTCGTCGAGAATCATGCCTTCGGCCTTCGCTGAGCTGTAAATACCCACTACGGGACATGTCTGATTTCTCCGGGCATGTCCCGTAGTCCAGCAGTTCACCGAGTTATTCAATTCGCAACCCGACACTCGACGAAGTTTGTACAGACTTTCACTGTCTAGTGTCCCCTTTTCTGTCTAAAGGGTCCTATCCGGAAGTCTCAATATCCAACAGAATTACTACTTACCTAGCCCTGTCATTGCGGGCACTCTTCTACACGACTTTTAGTTGGTGGCTACAATACAAGGTATCCTCACCTACCTCTTTTCAGTTCCCTTTATACTCCGCTCTATATTACCCCCGCAACACTATACCCTGAGCTACGAACGTCAAGAGGAGATATAGTCAGCTTAAGCATTCGAAAGTTGGAGATCTACGTGTCAATAGATCACGGTTCCGTCAATTATATCTCCGAGTACAAGGGCTTCACCGCCGTTTGCTTCGATTTTCTCAGCCCCGAATCCACCCCCGAGTCCGGGTGGGTACTCTGTTGAACCCCCTGTATTATTCTATACCTTCATATCTAGCATAATTCAAGATGTCTCGAAACGTACGCCAACAGAGGCTCCCGTCTACCCCTGCCAAGATTGCTAAACGTCGCGCCTCGGACGCTTCGTCGTCCCTTGACCTGTCCGACGAGGGTGGCTATTCAGGGGTAGAAGACATCAGCGACTCTGAAGATGACGACGAGGAAAATGTAAACGCGGCCGAGGAGGAGCACATTCTCTCCGATGGACTGCGGCAGAACATACGCAGCTCCGCCTCTCCTCGGCCACAGGTTCTTGAAGACGATGGTGGAGACGAACAGGAAGAAGACGAGGATGATAATGATGAGGAGGAAGAGGAGGCAGACTACGAGGGTGATGACGATGATGTTGATGAAAATGCTAGTTGGGATGGCATTTCGTCTGAAGCGGATGCCGATGAGGATATTGTTGTCGACCAAGGTCTCATTGGCACCGAGCGTCGTGTTCGGTTTGATATCCCCGAAGAATCGTCAGATGACGATTCGACCGAAACCGATGAGGATGTTGATCACGGCTTCTTCCCTGATCTCTTCGTTGATAAGAGCATACTCGACCCTTCTTTTCGTCGAGAGATTGAGCATGACCCAGACCCGTACGATTCGTCCAACTCGGACGCTTTTTGGGACAATTATGGACCTTCTAACGAAGTGGATACCACCAACGATGACCTAGGCTCTGACTTTGAGGCTTGGATTAATGCCATGGATGATGAGGATAGTACGCCAATGGCCACCCCTATGACCAATCACGACATGTCAACTGCTGGCTCCACACCAATGGGCTTCTCTGAGCACGATCAAGCCTCTCTCGATGGGTATCAAAGTGAGTACGGGTGATTTGGTTTCTATGTATGAATTTACTGACCGACCCCATCTAGCTGATGGGGATACTACCGACGAAGAAGAGCCCCCTCAAAATCCAATTCGACGGAAGAGTCGACGGGAGGCTGCTGATGATTCCTCTGATTCGGATGGTGCCACACTTATTCGGCCACGCCGTGGCCAACCACATGTCGGACGATTCAACCTCGATAAGTCTAGCCAAAAACCCATCGCTATTTTGAATCCACGAACCGGCAAGATGATGATCTTTACTCATCAGAGCATGAGCGGGAGGGGCTTTGATTTATCTCCCGAGCAGTTCAACTTTCAATACTTCGAACCACCTCAATCGTCTCCCATTCTTAGCAACCCAGGCAGTATCATGATGAGTGGAATGATCTCCTCTAGTACCTATGGGGACTTCATGAACACACATGCGGTTGGCCCCGCCGAAGCCTGGTATTCCCAGGCGTCTGACGGAAATGTAGTTGAATCATCTGATTCCGATGATCAAGTTGTCGATGAAGCTGAGAAGAGTCTCAAATTGGAGGACTTCATTACCTTGGATCACGATGACTCGTCAGAAGACGAGAAGCTACTTGATCAAGATGAAACGGACGACCAAATATTCTGCACGCCCGGCCGCACACCTGGTCGTCCCAGCACTGCGTCCAGTGACGTTACATCTCTCCTTGACCACTTTACGCACAATTCTAACATTGTCGGCGCGTTTCGCCGGGACCAAGTGAATCATCAGTTAATCAGCCGTAGCAAAGCTACTCGAGAATCGCTTGCGTTTTCTGGTCCCTACTTTGAAGGCACCCTTCGTGGTATCAAAGATGGGCGCATCGCTACTACCAACGTCCCCATTTCACCCATGCGGAAACAAAAGAAGATGCCTGAGCTTGCGAGCAGTCCTCTTTCGACCATGTCGCAAAAAAGAAAAGCTTCCGCAGAGCCCCATATAGGCCATAAACGACAGAGAAGCCTTCTTGAAAATCTTCAAGGAAGTATACATAAACTGAAGTCTCTGACAGACCTCTCAGGAAAATATAAGGCCTGATCCTCTGAAATCAGACCCTCTGTCTAACAAGAGGCTCAAAAACGCTAATGGACGGTGTGACCTACTCCGATAGGTCATTCCCTGGCCATTAAACCACACGAAGTATAATCTTCGACACATATCTCGCACAATCTGTTGTGATTCCCTAAAATTTGAAAAATCTGGCACCCTCAATTGCACCCGTCTCAACAAAGAACTCCAACACCACTTCTAATACATACCCGCTGATCCGGGAATGCGTTGAAATAAAACGCCATCTCTTCAGCAAGATGAAACGAATGTTGGTCAGGATATTATACGAGATACAAGATGTATTTGCCGTCATGCCGAAAGGTATGAGTGCTGGCTGGTACGATGTCTCATATGTAATTCTGAAGTTGGAGATTACTAGGCACTCTATGTAATTTGCGAAGTCAACATCACTAATTTCCTAGTAGTAAGCTTAATATAAAACCCTTTCTCTAATTGTTGCTACATTGATGACTGCGTGATAATGGTACCTTGGTATAACTATTCCGCTGTGATGATAAACTGGGGTTCTTGCCCCTATTATGTGCATATGTATGTAAATCGCGATCACAAAATTTGTACCTGGGTACTTTTGATAATAATAAGACAACTTACCATACATAGAATCAAAAGTGACTACTTCCACATGTACCTATCTCCAGTCATGTCAGTCGTACTACTACAGGCTTCAATGTCTTACCAGTGGGGTCTGAAAATTGAGAAAACCCACATGCATGTCAAGCGGCATCTGTTTTTGTTGTCTACTTCGTACGTAGTTACCTAAATAAACCCAGAGAAGATCGATGAATAAGTAACTACCTAGGTTAGGATCTACGGCAAGGTAAGCACTGACTTTAGAAACCCTAGTTACCTAGTACCACATGTAGATAGATCTGGGATAATAAAGTAGGTCGGTTGGCAAGCACAGACAGGTTAATGAATGTAATTATTGACTTGATTACGACATATCCAAGCGTCAAGTACACACCATGAAAAGAAGAAATTCGTAGCAAAACACATTCTGTAAAAGTACACAATCTCATAAAGTCTCATTACTCGAATCGCATTATCGAGTTAACTGAATCATTGATGCTATCCACTACCGTATCGTTTACACACCCAAACAACGAGGTAGGAAGGGAAAAAGGAGGCTGATCCCCAAAACCCTACAGCTCCGTCCATTACCTGTGCGCAAGAGGAGTCCACGTGGAACCCCTGACTTTCAACTGTTGTTATGATTGCCCGCCCTTTTCAGACCCGAATAATCCGTTGCTACTGCTTGAATCTCACTCGGCCACGGACGCCATGCCAAACATAGTCAGACAGCCTGACCATTTTTCTCCCCCCACTAGAATTACTTTCTCGCCTTTTCTTCTCAACGTATGCAACGTGCATGATGCTGTTTATAGCTCTTCCTTAGCCTCGGCAGCCTTTTTCTTAGCAACTTCTGACCCGGCGGTGAGCTGGCTCAGGACCCATTGGTAAGCGCCCTTGACATTTTCCTCAACCTTAGCGAAGGCAGTGCTGGCGGGGTTCGTAGTGCCGTACTTGAAGTAGGTAGACTGTTTACGGGCCTCGGCCTTCAGCTCATTAAGAGTAGATCCTTGAGGAACAGGCTGTGTAAAAAAAGAAAAGAAGTTAGTAAACTGGTGCAAGTAACTTGTCGTATTTCAACGAGGGTTAAGAAATTACTTACGATGCCATAGCTATCCAGGTAAGCCTTAAGTTCGCTTTCGCTCCATGTGTTGAACGTGCTCTTCTTAGCTACCTCGGTGGCCTGAGCCAAATAGCTCGTAGCGGAGGCGTACGAACCGCCACCAGCGCTAGACGCAGACGAATAAGCTGATTGGGCGGCTTCTAGAAGGTCATCACGCGTAGCAGAACTGCTGTCGCCAACCTTTTGAGCAGCGGCGTTGCCACTTTCAGCGAGATACTTCTTGAGGTTGTCGTAAGAGAGGTCATCCCAAGTCCAGGCGCTGTAAGGATGGGCAGCCTTGTGAGAGTTTCGGCGGACTAAAGCACGAAGCTCGTCGGTCTTAGATCCTTGATGGATGGGAACACCACGTGCATCCAAGTAAGCCTTGAGTCGGCTTTCTGACCATGACTCGGTTGCCTTGTTGAAAGCTTCCTGGGCAGCAAGGCTGACGTCGTCGGTGGCCTTGGCATACTGGTTACCAGCCTTGCTGGTGGCAGCACCGAAAGCGCTAGCAGCTGAGGCGGATACATTATCGCCCATGATATCGGCGCGGTTCTTGCGTACGATAGCACGCAGCTCGTTTAACTTGGTACCTTGAGGAACTAAGAAATGTTAGTTTAGGCCAAAGATATAAGTTTGAACGTAGACTTACCGTTGATGCCATTCTTATCACAGAATTCCTTCAGTTGGGACTCACCCCAGGCATCGATAACCTTGTCAGTAAGCGTGGCATAGGCGGAACTGGCCTTGGCCTTGGCAGCAGCTTGCTGGTCTTGTAGCTTGAGATAGGCAAGGCGCGAGTTGCGGCGAACCAGAGCAATCAGGCGGTTGCGCTAAAAATCATTGTTAGCATGAATAACATGATGGCAACAAATAGGAGAAGCGTCTCACGTCAGTAACTTGAGGAGCAGGGAATCCATGGGTATCAAGCCATTCTTTCAGATCAGATTCGGACCAAGATTCATATAGCCAATCTCCAGGATACTCGGCAGTCTCTCCGGCCTTCTTAGCTATGGTCTCATAGTTGGCTCGGATCTTCTGTAGGAGAGTATCACGGGTTCGAGGTTGCGGGACTGTATATACAAATTAGAAAACAATAAAAACGACTGAAGGATATGGCAAATCTACCTGGGATGCCGTGCTTGTCGGCAAAACCCTTCAGGGAACTATCGGTCCATGTATCCAATATCCATGATTGAACGTTGGTCCAAGCGGTCTGGGCCTTATCCTCTGTCTCGTACCAGGCGCTGGACATCTGGGAGACAAGTGCATCCTTGTTCGACTTCGCAGACTCCTTCGTCTCTACGCCCTTTGACTTCAAGTATGATGAAAGTTGGTCGGCATCCCAATTTTTGTACGGGGACACGGCATAGGAGTCCCAATTCTTTTGAATCAGGTTTTCAAGGTCCTTGCGGTCGGCTGGAGTAGGGTAAGGGATTTCATTATCGGAGAGCCATCGCTCAAGCTCAGTTTCATGCCACTTGTTGTAGGCTACATGAAAATCATCAGAGTTAGCAACGATGTGATGCTGAAAGCTCAAGCCAAGTATACTTCCAGGGCTGTTGATGTATTAACTTACCTGCTTTGCTGAACCAGGTACTCGCTACGACGGCATCGGCCGCTAGGCCAATGGTGAGGACGGTCGATAACCACCTCATGACGAAACGAAGTGTTAACTGTGAGCAAGGTTTGTGGGTGTCTCCTTTACAGGTATAGTGTAGGTGTTGGAATTTTTTGGTTTAAAAAGGGGTAGATGAAATTGATTCAGTGTGTAGGAGTTGCAATGAAGAATATTGAATGGGAGAAGGGCAACGGTGGTTTTGTTCAAGGTAAATGAGAAGGTTAGTGGAGTTGAGGAATGTATGACGATGACGACGGATGATGGATGATGAGATGTATGTATGTCAAGAAAAAAAATGTATCACGTCACAACTTTTCTTTTGTTTACCGTTATGAACTTGCAGCCCTACTTCATGTATGCAACTACACCTACCTAAGGTTAGCCAAGTATGTACTGGATATGTAGGTTAGCTGGTTAGGCAGCTAAGGTAAACATCAATGATCGGTTACTTCAGGTTGTGGCATATGTATCTACATTGACACCAGGTACTATCCTCATATTGAAAGAAAGAAATGAATACATCCAATTAGTAAACCTGAGAAAAGAGGAACCTCTTTTTTTTTGAATATTGAAAGCTTGGACTTGCAAAGTACATACCTGTAGCGCCTACCTCAGACTGGTCCTCAGTGCTATCCATTGATGTAAAGATATGGTCACGTCTTAGTTGTGGCCCTACATTACTTACATGTAAGTGGCCACTGCTTCAGACGAAAATGACGTAGTATCCACCATAGCTTGTGATACTCCAGAATTCGTGTCATCCGTGACTCCACATACGTCTTCGTTGACAAAGGGCCTAGACCATATGGTTTTTCATAAATCATTTCTCAAACGAAAATATGTACACCTATCACGATCAGGGGATTTGTACATGAAGCTAGCTAGGTGCAAAGTACATAGGTAGGATTCTAATTACCAGTAAACCAAACATTTCATCTATTGCAAACAGATCTGAAGTTCCTACCCTATGTAGGTACTAGGTATCCAGAGCTACCCTGGTTTAACCTCCCTGCACTACCTGAAGAGCAGGGAATAAAAACTTCCTAGTGATGTCATGATATTGAACCTCATTTGACAGAATGGGGAAATGTAGCACAACCTTTAACTTAAAACGGTCCATGGCCTTATTTATTATGTGGAGGTGCGGGGACTTATTTGGCTGTCTTGGCCTGGCGCAAAGCTCCGGGAATACATAGTACCTGTCACTAGGTACGGTACAATACAGTTTTTATCATTAGCTTCATACACTGTTCTTCATACACATAACATTCAGTGCTACGTGTATATACCTATTTGATGTTATAAAAAGCGTCAACCCAACCGAGGGTATATAATGCTAAAATTCAACCACGAGTGCCAGCGCCGCCACTACCTACCCAATACGCCTTTCGGGGAATCTTAACGTATACGCAATGTTCTCATAATCTTCGATACCTCTCCTAGTCGTATATCAAGACGTTGAACTTCCAACTGTCAGTCTACGCATCTTGATTGTAGGTAAATGAGGCAAATGGAAATTTCCTGGCATCTTCACTTTATGTGAAGAGTCGTCATCCTCTACCTCGGCAACCTCCCGTAACGATTCCATCTTGATATGAGATCGCGGGAAAAGACCTGCTGCCTTGCCATTCTTCTTGACGCCATACCAGCACCAATCGTCTTTGTTGAGCCCTATTGGATCCAGTTAGTTGAGAAGGATATACAGAAACGAAAGAAAAGAGGCAAAAAAGCCATTCTCGAGAACGCGGGATATTTCCTTACAACTAACAGAAGACAAGGTTTCATCCTTGTCGAAATGTAACCATCCTGTTGCGGCATCTTTTGCATCCCACTTCCAGAGTGTCGTGACAAACATGTTGTCAGGGGCCCCGTTTGGTCCTGGAAGGTGTGCAGGCGGTTCAAGCATGATACATTTAGCAGGAAAAGAGCCTTGAACACCGTCATGCCAACCAGTGCACCATTTGCCCTTCCACTTCTCAGGAAATTCGACACCCACAACCCGGGAGCCCTCCAGGAACTCTATGACCTGTTCCGTGCTCCCATCCGGATCCAGTAAATCGCGTCCATATCGCTTAACATGGCTTTTTACGACTGCCGCCGCTGGTAGCTTGGTCAGAGATTCTGATTCTGGAAGCTGACTCGCAACAGGAGGGTTGGGAAAGTGAAGGTCGTAGTCTTCATAATTCGGGTCTCCTCGGAGTAGTTGGCCATACAAGACCACAATACCAGGCACAGCCGGTAATGGCTGCGGATGTCGTGATAAGTGCTGGAAAAGTTGCTCTTGCGTAGTAAAGACGGTTGCGTCATCCGGATACACCGTGTGACCCTTCTGTGCGCAAAACAGACAGCCAAACTGGGTGGTGAACGCCGAGTTCGTGATGAGGTGTGACTTATACAGAAACCTGATACGATATAGAACGCCGGCCTTGCAAGAGTTTCCACTCGCTAGAGAAGTTTGCGTAAGTCAATGAAAAAAGGATTGGCTCCTAGATTCTACTTACATTCCTGGGCATCATCGAGTTCTACCTCTAACAGGCTTTGCACGAATTCACAGTCGGTACATCTGGCAAGACTCCGCCACGTCCCCTGATAATCCAGAATAAGTATATGTTCTCTACCCTCGAAAGATGCGGTAAGGAGACACTTACGTATTCCATAACCGATTTTACCGCACTCTTACGCCCCTTCATTCGATAATTTTGCGCACCCGGGCAAAACCCCTTTTGCAAGTATAGGGTACTATCCAATCCAATTTGGTACCCAGTAAACGATTTGTTTGGCGAATAAAGTTCTTCGGCAAGCATCAGACCGTCCTCGAAAGCCGCCGTTTCTTGTGACGGCGGCTGGTTGTTGCTATTTAGTTCTAGAGCTGTGGAGGGGTTCAGATTGGGTTTTGCCAGCGATGTTGTTCTCTGATCACTCGTAGGGACCTGGACGGGTGACTTGGGACCGGAAACGAAGCTACCGGTGGCGGTATACCAAGAGAACCTGTTTTGAGAGTTATCTGCCAGACTGTCGCTTGAGGGTGTCTTCACCTCGCAGTGTTGTAGAGTAAGACTGTCGAGATTATTCGCTATGACTGGATGTGCCACAAAACAGTCGTCCTCGGGAATCGAGTTGTTGCGGGACCACGAATTCGCAGCTGTCGTCTGTTCGCTAACCCAAACTGAGGTTCGTGAGGCCGGGGGCGGCAAGCTAGGCCCAGACACGAGGCTGATGAAATCGCGCTCCCCCCCTAAAATGTCTGGACTAGACGGTCGTCGGGCAGGAGTGCTGGTGCCACTGACACCCGGATTCGTTTGCATTCCAAAAGGAACCAAGGCTGCTCCATTTTGACTGCGGCCTTTGTTTTCCAGGACATGAGGTGGTACTGGCGGTATCCACGATGGGACAGATGATAATGATGGAGTGTTCTCCTCGATGTGCAACCGCTTAATAGCTTCCAGGAGGGTTAGAGCAAACGACTTAGACGCAGCTCGCACTTCAGCAAACCTTGTGGTGTCAAACGTATCGACCTCAACAAAATCGTCCAGGTCATAGAGAAGATCCTCTAATTGCCTCTGGCTATTGGCGATCTGCTCTACAAGTTTAGTGTCAGCAATATTTTCATGGTTTTAGCTCGAAAGATTATGTTTAATCTAAAAAAAGAAATCGACGAGTGTAGTGTCAGCAGGCGGGATTTACCGTTGTGTCGCATGGCCTCCGTGAAGGCCTCGCCGTACTTGTCCAGCCGTTCTTTCCATAACGGCAGCAATCTTTGAAGACCTCGTTCACCTTCCCTTACTAGGGACTGTGCTGACTTCAGTATGTTTTGGAGATCCTGAGAGTTGCTCTCCTCGATATCAGCGTCGATGGCTGCCTGGGCATTGGCGACAGCTTCCTTGCCCCGCTCTACCACTTCCCTGAAGGGCTGGATGATGAGCTCCTCGACTTCAATAGCCATCACCATCCTTCCAGACACACAAGCGTCTGTACTTCAACAACATCGGTTAGACAACTGACTTGTCAATAAAAATGTTCAAAAGAAGTTGAAAATCGCACTACGCTTATTAGCCGTGGAGAAGTGCCTAGGCTAAGGGCAGCCTGGGACTTAAACTGGGCCGTGCCTATCCGTCCACATGCATAGATAGACGCAAACAATGCCGGAATACTAATATAAAAAAAGATGCTAAAGTAGTACTGAAACGACGATGCGCTGTCGCGGGTACTGGTATTACTATATTACATATGTATTAGTATATAGTTAGATAACCGGTACTTGGGGCGGTGTGTCGCGCGAAGTTGAGAATTGATTGTTCGTGAGATTCGAACGCAGACGACACACCTTTACAAAGTTAACACCTTCCCTTTTTTTTTTCTTTTTTTGTGGTTAACACTCTTTGTTTCTATTAATTCCTTTCAAGCCGCTGACCCACGCCGAGGCGCAGTCTTTTAGGGATTTTACGGTCATTAGTAGGCGATCCTCAGCCTGCCGTGGACTAGTGTCAAGGATAGGCAAGCCTGGCAAGGAGGGGGGTTACGAGGGGTGGTCCTGAATCCGACATCCTGGTTCGGCCTAGCCTTGGCTGATTATTGGGGAAATGCGACTGTGCTATGGCAGCTGGGTAGGTAGGTATGGTATTGTAACTGGGGCATGTGCTATAGCTTGCGGACCTAGGTGTTATTGCTACTACCTATACTACCTATAATGGTCCTATACTACCTAGTAGGCAATGTAGGTATCAATAGGTTAGGCAGGGTTAGGTAGGTATGTAGCTGGAGACTGGAGTACTTACTGCCAGTTACTGGAGGGTAATGTAGCTATCTAACCCAAGATAGCAGCATACATACAACGCATCAATGCAGACTTGCAGAGAGAGCAGCCGTTTGAGAAAGTTGGGCGAATCACGGGCTGCCCGAGTATCGATCTCTGTTCGGTGAGACGAAATATATCGCGCGTCCAACGCGCATATCCATATCCCATCACCCGCCACTTTGGTACTTGGTAGTTGGCGCCACACGGGGTCGGCTCGGCTCCACGAATTCACGCAAAGTTGGGGAAGTATTGTACAACATATATGTAACATGCCTATAATACATACTATCAACACCTACTAGGTAGTAGACAAAGCTTGGTAAGGTAGTGCTACCAAATCCGCCTCACATAGCCGAAGCGGCGCAGTAGCATAGCATACTCTGGGGAAGGAAAATCAGAGATCTAGATGGTAGATTGGCCCGTTTAGGTTCCTACACAAGATTCCTTCAACGTTCCTTAAGACGGGGTACATGCAAGGAACCTACATAGCTCCGTTACATACATACCTCATAGGTAGGTAGATGTGTACGGGTATACTATGTAGGTATGTAGGTATATGGTCACGAGGGCAAGACTGGAAGCGGCCTGGGTCGCAATGAAAGGAACAGCATTTTTTTTTTAAAAACTCCCGAATCCTTACGGGCTCTCTCTACCTACATCCTAGGTAGGCAATAGGTGAGAGAACCGGGATGGATAGGGCCGTTACCTGTTGCTTGTCTGGAATTAGGACCGGTTACATAAGTCGGAGAAGCCACGTGGGAAATGGAGTAGCGCATGTGTACCTACCTGGTAGGTATGCTAGGTATGTATGATAGTAGACTCGGTATCGTTATACTAAAGTCTTGTGCGACGGGAGGATTTGATGTTTATATCAAGGTCGAAGCTTTGTTTCCTTTCAATTTTCCAGAAAGAGAATTGGCTAGGCAGTGAATATTGTCTACGAGAATAATTGTGATTCAATATGAGCTGAAACCAAGTATCTTGATATCATGGTGTATAGTATTAGCAAAGCCGATACTCGGCGGTATAGGTGTCAGGATGACTAGGTAGGCACTAAGGTAGGGGGGCTTATGTATGAGTCTTGGGAGAATTGGCAATTCAGCCAAGTTCAGGTTTGTGACAGCAAGAATGCGTGGGGTGTGACAGGTCACCCCCTATTTCAGCCTCAAATGCCCCTTTACAGTATAGTTCATATGTATTGCACCTACATGCCTACCCGCAAGGTGTGCACGCGATAGGCTCGGAGTTTATATCAATCAATTTATTTGTAAATCGCTTGGCTGGCGCTATAGTGCTTGTCCTGCAAGGCCACAGCCTTATCCCACGCTTGTTTCGCTGGCAGCCAAGGTCCTTTCGTACGTATGTCTTGGTACGAATGGTGTTAGTTAGTAATTAAAGGAGTCCAATGATTAGGAATACTTGCATAAGATTGTTTTGACTCTAGGGAGAGCACACCCGGTAAACCCAGCTAGATACGCAATACCTACTGAGAAACACTTATTTCATTGAATATATCGTGTGGAAAGAGTGACCTTCCCATATATATGTCGAGAACAGACTACATAAACCCCCTTGAAGCTCGGGTGTGGCGTATTGTGATACTTCTAGATGGTAGTACCCAGGGGTCACCCTACTACCCCTTACTACAATTTTGACTCGGAGTTCGCTGCCGATCGTAGAATAGCCAAAGGTAAACTGAACCTCGCCCATTCCACTCCGTGGTGGGGGGGGATCGTTAGCACCGGCAAGGCAGGAGGCATAACCGAAGGGATCACCTTTTTTTCATCGGCGGATGAGACATCTCTCCGGAAAGGACCCAGAATCAATAAATCTGACACCAACGAGTACTACCCAAGCATATCCGCCTTTTTCGGCAACCGAGCCAGTCAAGTTGGCGACACCCACTACCTAACCTCTCGCGTAGCCATTCAGGGGAAGAAGTTTGCGAGTCACATATATGCAGGGTAAGCTGGAAGGACATCCCGATCACGATGATGGATGGACCTACGGGACCGGGTAGGTGTCCCTTAGATTGAACTACCTAACTCAGGGAATTAACAAGGTAGCCTCGAAGGTTGTTGTATCACCATCAAGAAGGGATTCGGCTCGTACGACCCATATACCTAAAAAAAGGTGAGTATATAAAAATCCCTACTGGCTAGATAGCCTTTCGGGGGGACACAAGGCTCACCGGTACCTACCTACATATCATCTTCGATCGCACCATGGATACCTACCTACCTTACACGGCGTTGCTTCCTCTCGTGATGGCTAAGGGAACATTACTACATTCTCCTACGTAGGTAATATAATCAACAAGCAAAAACCCTGCCTTTGCACTCCGTAACGATGAAGCAAAGAACTGGGATGCGGACTATTACACACGTTTCACAGAAGCCTACCGATGTCCCCGAGGACAGACGCCTGAAGAGGTATTTATATAAGGCTGTGAATTTCCCTTGTCCCCTTCCCCTTCCCCTTCCCCTTCTCCTTCGAGTCTCCTCCTTCAACGCCCAAGCTTGAAAGCGCGGAACGATACACTGTTGCATAAGAACCTACCTACCTACCAAACCCCCCACATACCCTCACTCAAATACATGAAAGAAAAAAAAACACAATTACACGCACCACCACCCACAATGCCCCACGACGCCAACGACAAAGGGCTGTCCCAAGCACGGCAGCAGCACTCCCCCCCCCACCAGAGCAACAGCAACAGCAACAGCAACAGCATCGACGAAGAGGAGCAGCGCAAGGACGAGGCGCGACGAGTTTCTGCAGGGTGCATCATGGCCACCACCACCATCACCATCACCACCACCACCATCGCCACCCAGAACAGCAACGCCAACACTGTCAAGGACGATGCCGGTGACGGTAATGGTGACGGTAAGGTAGGCAGGTACTCGAGGCCGGTTCCGTGGAAGGACACGACGGGCGGTGGATCGAAGATTTCGTGGGGTCGTTGATGTTTGCTGATCGAGGCGCTTGTGGGGCGTATCTACCTACCTACCTAGGTACCTACCCTAATACGAAGTAGGGTGGGGGTGTAGAAATCTGGGATGGGCGATGGAGTTTGGAGTCTGGGACTTGGAGGATAAGGGAATAAATAAGTTGATGAAGTGGGGGGGGGAGGGGTCTATGGCAGAAAACCATTTCGACGATAGGAGCGCAATAAGGGGAGTGGGGGGGTTTTTTTTATCTCTCATTCATGGCGACTATAGCTTATTGTTCTTCCTAGCCGAGAACAAACTAGGTAGGTATCCTCAGGCCATGATATACTGTATAATATATCACTGGCCCTGCTCAAATGCTCACTCAGTATCGTCATACGCCACCTGATGTATGTGTATATAGCTCAAACGTAAACAAACACCTCTCTCATGCCTACCATAGAGCGCCTGAATGGGCCCACACCTATTTGGAAACCTTTCACTTGCGATGGAGCCCGTGAATCTGCCCTATTAAAAAGTTATACGTGACAAGGCCGGTAGCTCACCACGCCAAGCATCACATGTTACAAGTAAGGAAAAGGGGACGATTATTCCAAAGTCTAGAGAAATGCCGCTGAGTATAATGCCTGTTTTCTATTGCGGAGGGTAAAAAACACACCCATGATTCGATGTTGGTATCTATAATGTCATGCCACATAAAATACAATCCAGGTTTTCCTTTCTCTTCATTACCGAAAAACGCAGTATGGACTCCAATAAAAACACAAATCACGCCTAACTTAACATAATTACCTCCTCGCTTTCCTCTTCGAGACGGTGCAAACATCCTAGTAAGGTTCGTTAGTATATGCATCCAGAATAAGGAGGGATTGTTAAGATCTCAAGGAACTTACTGCTCGGCGTTGGGCAAAATCAGTGTAAAACCCATTCCATAAGTCCCGAGCTGAACAGTCCTGCTGGCCGTTCTTGTCGACACACTTTGGTTGCCGTTCCTCGCGTACGGCGTCGGACATTGGAATCCACGGCTTAGGCACAGGCCAATCGGAGAAGTGCAGAAATTTTGCTTCATTAAAGATAGCTACGGGATCCCACTCCTCATGGTCGGTTCCCAGGTAGCCTTGGTGGTTGTCACCGCGGAATTCGCCCGTGAGCAAGTCGTATGGACGGTGCGGGAGGACCATGGCGCTGTCCGCATACAGCTGATTAACAATTTCCATGTCATAATCATCACGATCGGCCACATCCATCTTTTTCAGTATCCTATCGAACTCCACCTGGGTTGGCTGGACCAGCATTAATTGAGAGGACAGAATTTTGTTTTCGGGGAACAGCCAGTAGGCACGAGGCATGGCTACGGGGCACGGCGGCATGATGAATAGTTCGTCCATAATCTGTAGAATGGTACCGTCCGAGTCGACATTGAGTACGCGATCGTATTGAGTCTGGTTGAATGCAAGGAGCTTGGTGAAAGATTCGGCCCAAGTGGCTTGAACTAAGTGTTAGAATATTAAGGCTAACGAGCAGGTATAGAGAGCTTACCCTCAGCACCAGCCCGTCGTTGAACGGACACGGGCACTAACTTGACCTTGTATTGGTCGCGGGCCTTGACAAGTAACCGTGCATCATCAGACGTTGGGTTTGTCTCGGTGGGATTCATCATTTTCTCGGGATACATCATGACGCGATCGGCCTTGCTGCCCAGTCGATGCAAGGTCTCGAAGATCATGACGGAATTACACAAGTATGCAGCATTGGTGACATATTGCGTGTAGGCGTAGCGCGACCAGTTGATGTTGTCTCCCTCGGCGGATGGTATTATTGCGGGAGGGCATACTGAGTTGGAACTAGCAGCTGCAGAACCCCCGTTCCGGAAACTATCAAGGGATGGTATGCGGTCGTAGTTTCGGAAGGCGAGGAAGACGACACCGATGGCAGCGAGGGAAAAAGCAGCGTAGCGCACTCGCTTCGACATAAGAATTTGGCCAATGCTTGGCTTGAGATGGGATGGGTCTGTCGCGGAAGTCGTGGTGGTGCCGGGGTCGCTGTTTTGAATGGGACTATATCCAGAAAGAGAGCGCCAAGTAGAGGACCAAGAAGAGTCCCAAAGCGGAGCCATGATGATTCAATCGCTAATAACTAGGTGGTGGCTCGTATAGAGTAGATAGATATTGGATGGGAAGAAGGGAAAATTGGGTCGGTAAAGACTCGCCGAAAAGGGAATCAAGACCAATTCAATGATGAAATGACAATGGCAATCATCAGAAAGATGGCATCGTAGTATTGAGTCAAGAATTAAGTGAGTGACGTTCAGAGATTGGGTGTGGCGCAAATGGGTTGGGGAAAAGAGATAGAGAAGAGATATGAATTAGACTGGAGAGAGAGAGCACTGAGAGAATGCAGTAAGAGAGTGATGGTAACTACAGGTGGGTCCGAGGTTGTTCCCGACATCTGCAGCTCCATATCGTTCCCGACCCTAGTACTAGCTAATATGTACACGTAATCATCCAACGATGGCTGGTACACCGTATTACTACGCCGTACGTAGCAGCTGGCTAGTGTGGATTGCCGACATGCATGTACCGAGATCTGTTATTTTTCCAAAGATAGCCCTATTAATTTGGGGCTATTTTTGTACCAGATACCATTGTACATGTATGCCAAGTTAGTAGTTACCAATAACTATGTAGAACTAAGCAAGGATATCCATGAACCGTACCCTACATACATGTCTCAGTCATATGTGATATCTAACCTTGTTACCTTAATCTACCCTACCGCCCCTACGGTCCCTACCTACATGTAGGGTAGCAGCACCGTGACTCTTCTTTCCTGTCACCCAGGAAAACATCGAACCCTTTAATGTTGAACATCAATCATTGTACTCAAGTCATTATTCAACATAACTCCATGGAAATCACACATGTGTATAACTACTTAAACCCTTCTACTACTACTACTTCAACTCATAGAACTCATCAAATTCTTTGGTATATGAGAATTGTTTGCTACATAAAAATGACTCCGCCACATCCTTGGCGTCATCTATTCTTGTTGACTGATCCCTTACCTCTATCTATTTGTTACAATCCTTTCCTTTGGGTGACGGCGAGTCGGCGACCATGATCTTTGAGTGCCCACACGAGTGCTTCTTCCGCGCAATTATAGATTGATCCATGACTCCAATCTCATGTATGCAGTGCAGTAGAACACTGCTACACTGCTACCCTTTGAAACTTATCTAGCCATGGCAAGTTGTAACGTCTCACGAGCTATATTCTTTACGCTCCCGCTCCCGCACAATAAATTTGGCATCAGCACCTAATCCATTCACGTCATTGAATGATCAGCCCTCCATAATAAAGCCCGAATTAATAAGTTCAGCTATCTGGAGTTAAGTAGGGAAATCAAGCTTTGAGAGGAACGGCCCTACTTTTGTATATCTTTTAACTGATTCTTATCTAGAAGTATAATGGGAGTATCAGGGTTGAGAATGAAGGACCCCCAAAACTTTGCAACCCCAAATAACAGGGACATAGTTGACCAGCCACCATCTACATTATTTTGCGTCGGGTCAGCGGGAGGCTGATGAAGGTCACAACTAATTCTGGGTTCAAAGGTACACGAAGCATCGACATCCTCTGGAGATGATGTAACAGGAATACTCGTCTACGAAAACTGATCTTGTCCCTGAAGCATCTTACTATGATCTAGGTACATGCCGGCCTAAGTATTCACTTAGGTACCTATGAAGAGCTGCATATCCAGGACTCACCTTATCATGTCCCGTTTGACCACGGCTTCCCGCGGTCACCCAAATATGATATTGACATGCTACCAGCGTTACACGGGCTGGAATGGATGGGTTGTATAAGGCGGATTTCGTCCGTAATTGGGGCCGTTCGTCTGTGAATATTGTGGTGTTCCTACACCTCCCCCGATTATATTACTTCTCTAATGACAACCTTTAATGCTCTGCCTTCTCTCTTCGCCAAGACGTCAAGTAGCATTTCGTGCTATGCCGTCTACCTATACGTCGCTCATACTATACACCTTTTTGTCTTTCCAATGATGATACTCTCTTCCTTTTCCATTACTTCTTTGCTGCTTTCCTATGTAACGATCTTCGAGGTCGCCTGGGCAGCCGAGCCCGTCGCGGCAACATGGTCATCTTTGACATTTGGACCAGATGGCCCTTGGCCGGCAGTTGAAGTAATTCTAGGCAACCGCCAGAAAATATCGATGTATCCAGGGCGAGAATTCCAAAGTTTCCTCCTCACTAGCGAGTACTGTGATAACAACATGTCGCTCCCGTGTTATTCTAGTCAAGCCGGACTCTACGATAAAAAACTGACCGGCTCAACGGGCCAGATTAAGTATCAGGCAGGAGCGAATTATATGATGGGCCTGGATATCCAAGGCTCGTTAACGGCACCATGGGTCGACACGTTGAAATTCGGTGGCGCAACGGTGGAAAATGTTTCCCTAGCCTTATTGACAGGATCGTATACGTCATATCCTAATGGTCGATGGTACCCATTGACTGTTGGATGTCTTGGGATAGGAGCGCCAGGCACAATCAACCAGTCCTTTTCATTAGATAATGGAGAGCCACTGATCAATGCCAGTCTCATACCTGGATATTTATCAGCGCACAACACAATCGAATCCAACTCTTTCAGCATGCATATCGGTTCAGCTAATCCTCCAATGCAAGGGTCGTTCTATTTTGGTGGGTATGACCAAAATCGAATTGTTGGAGATATCCTCACCTATAGCGGCGATTATACAAATTTCATAACCCTAAGAGACATTGGCATCAAAGTGATTGATGGTTCTTCGCCGTGGGTGTTTGACTCGCTAGGCGGTCTCCTTGGATCAGACAACTTGGCAAACTCACCTGGAGGACTTAAAGTCGCTGTCGATGGCTGTTCTCCTTACCTAACGCTTCCCAAGTCAACATGTGATGCGATCGCGAATAATTTACCTGTAACATACAACAATGACCTTGGCTTATATTTCTGGAATACTAACGACCCGAAATACACTCAAGTCGTCAATTCAGCTTCCGTGTTAGAGTTCGTATTCCTCGCGGGATCGAATATGAAAAACGTTTCCATCTCAGTTCCATTTCGGCATTTAAATCTCACATTGACGGCACCATTAGTTGACACGTCAACACAATACTTTCCCTGTTATACTGGGTCTTCGACGCTTACTCTTGGCCGTGCGTTTTTGCAAGATGCCTTTGTTGGTGCAAATTGGGGAACTCAATCGTGGTGGCTTGCACAGGCTCCCGGTCCCAATGTACCGCCACCATCCGTGATCCAGCTTGCAAGCGAAGATTCCATCACGGCGAGTTCGAATGACTGGAAAGAGTCATGGTCCGGGTTCTGGACAGCTCTCAGTCCTGATGAAGCGGGTGGTTCGGCCAGTGCAAACGCTTCTAGCGGAACGGCAAGCGGAGCACCAAATAGCGACCCGACCGGCAGTCTTTCAACAGGAGCCCAAGTCGGTATTGGTATAGGTGCTGGAGTTATAGGCCTAGCAACTATTTGTGTTATTGCTTTTTGCTTACTACATCGTCGTAAAGCAGCTCGCCTTAACGGAATGGTGTCTAAGCCAACGCATGCCGCCCAGGACATATTGGCACAAGAATCCCACGCGCCTGTGAAATTTTCAAATTTACCCAATACAAATACATTCGCAGAGTATTCAGGACCGCCGTCGAATACGCTCTATAGCCAGCAGTATATTCATCAACAGCATTATTCCTATCCTCAACAATACCCGCAGCCGTATCCCGCCGAACTATCATCCGTCATGTCACCAATAGAACTCCCCGGATCGACAATCTACGATCCACAACTCTTGGACGGAACTCAAGTTCACGGTTACATGCCTTCCCAACAAACTGGTACATTATCTCAAACGGAACATCCCCCGGGCCCTAATTCGGGCCAGTCGCAAGGACACGGTCGGCACGGAAATTTCATATAATATTGACCTTGCGAAGAGGGTGTTATAGGGGACGCGGAGCATTCGATCCAGCATCATTATTTTTCTGCCATCATTTTTGTTTCCTTTCATTCCTTGCGTCAGGCCTTCGAAGCCTTAATGCCTACTCTATTGAAAATGCAGGCGATCTGCATTGATGTGCGCGTAAAAGTTTGGAATAGGGGTCGAGGTAAGAGGTCATCAAGACCAAGTCATTTGGTTGAACGCCCTATATAGTAATAATGGGTGTTCATTATTTTGAGATAGATGCTTATTGGATCATCTGCAAATATAGACGAGTACTTACATGGATCTAGTATTTGCCCTCATGAGTGGTTAGGGGACGCTGTATTGCCCCTGAACAAGGAGCTTCTTATTTCCAAAGTTGTGCGACGCTGATGGTAACGAAGAAAATTACAGCATCCATATCAAGTAACAATATGATGTCAGTGGCGTGGGAAATAGGTAACGATACATTTTAACAAAGTGGAAGGATTGAAGGCTAATTCGTGGCGTTTGTGTTAGATTCTTGTGTCGACCGACATCCTCGCTTGTTTCTTACTATGGGGGGGGGGGGGGGGGGGGGGGCGTGCTACTTTAATTGAGTGGATGGCGTTTAAGTGACTTTCCTACCAATACCTATGTAGGCCAGATTAGATGGTTGTCACCTCCGGGGCTGTACTATGTCGTAATACTTACAGTATACCTTACTGCCCACCTTACTGCCCGCACCGAGTATTCTTCTTAAAAGCCAGTGGTGTCTCAGCCCCCCCCTTCCCTATTATGATCTCGCTATGTTGTGTATCCCCTTTGCCGGTGCTGGGATATTTCAGGACTGTGACTGAGAACTAACCTTGGAGCTGAAAGGCATTGACTTAGTCGGGTGTGACTTACTAAGGCGAAAGTGAATTTATTTGTTTGAAGCTGAGTGGAAGCGAAGGAAAACGTCCCATTTTGGGGGATGGAATTTCTGGGCTGAGTGCTGTTAAGTGACGCCCATCTACTGTTGTCTAGCATTGCTTTACAGTCTGAGGTGTTACTTCTTCGCTGGGCTGTGCTATGTACCAACCCTACCTAAGGTAACCTAGGCACCTAAGGTACCGAGTGGGGAAATATCCATGGATGTACATAGCTTAGCCTCATTTTTAAAGTTGTAGCTATCACGAGCCTCGCTGCCTCTCCCCTCGTAACCGACCTTTCTACCGAAGTAAAACTTACAAGTTCTCGTATTTTTTTTACACAATAATTCTACCCAAATTGTTGTCTAACATTTACTCAATTGCATAAGAGTTTAGGCTAGTAATAGAATCACCAGCCGGGATCTTCCCATGAACTGACGCCTCAACCGAGATCGTACAACATAACTTCTTCCGCCGCAGCATCCGCATGTTGCACTACACCCAGGCTTGGCAATATCCCGAATTCTCATTTATATCTAAGTCACCATGAAACGCTAATGACTAGTATACATAGAAGCACTAGTTATTGTCTTGAGGCCAATACAGGCATTTGGCAGGCGAGTGGCCCAGCCAAGATAGTGGTGACGGGTTGACCATGGAGACTAGAAGTTCTAGTCCAGGACTATTCCGACGATTAAGTTCGAGAATACTATCTAGGGAGGCAGATAACTTCGGAAATCCTGTTTATGGCACTCTAGTAGTTGTTCTGGCTGTATAGACTACCCTGGTAGGTTACAAGCACAGAAGCTTCACCACGGCACCTCTATGGTACGAATTTGGATCTAACACTCTGCAGACCGGCACGTTTCTTTCTCATCCAAGACTACCTATACTATGATTTCATTGAAGCGGTAATCAATTTCACTTACCTAGTATCTATGAAGCCATATTGAGGAGTACCTAATAATGATGCTATCGACAATACACTAATGCGAAGCGACTAGTTCGAATGAAGCTTTTTCTTGATATATCCCGTCATGCCATTGTCACCGGGACGCCATCTAGGGGGTCATAGAACCAAGTTTTCACCATCCGAGGTCGGTGTTTGAAGTCGGTTGCAAGCAGTCAAATAGAGCAACACTCTTCCATTGTATCAAGTCTCCAGTTTCAAGTCTCCAGTTCAAAGCATCCAGCCACCGGATCTATCATAAAGTTATAACATTCGCTTTAAATATAAAGAACCCCCCCAAAAATCAAATATGCACGCAAATCTTTGTTTCGCAGCCCTTCTGGCGGTCGCATCATCCGCAGCCCTCGCGGCAAACAACCCCGCAGGCGTCCCCGTCGACTTCATCGTGGAAGCTCGGCAGGAAACCACCACGGTGACCATGTCGGACACTTCCATGGCAAGCTCGAGCATGGACTCGACCATGACCGACTCGACCATGACAGACTCAACTATGACAGACTCTACTATGACAGACTCTACCATGACGGATTCCACCAGGACCGACTCCACCGCGACTGAAACCATGTCATCAAGCGAGACCATGTCGTCGACCGAGATGGGCTCGATGTCCTCGACCGAAACCGGGTCCATGTCGATGTCCTCAACCGAAGGTGGCGGATCCGGATCTATGAGCTCCAGCATGAGCATGTCCGGATCTGGTGGAGCTGGCGGCTCGTCGTCGACTGCCAAGGTCTCCGGAAACCCAGCGGCGAGAGCTACGGCCGCGCCGGTGGCGGGTATGGCGGCTGTTGCTGGTGTGGCTGCGGTTATCATGGTATAAGGCCCAATTGAATGGGATGGGATGGGATGGGATGGGGGTGGGAGTTGATAGGAACATGGTGTAGGTTAGGTAGTTGACTTAATGTGGTTGTCGGGGGGATATGCATATGTACCTATCTATCTGCCTACCTACCTGACGATGTTCCCCTATGTAGGTGTTGGTAATAAGCTTCATGAGAAGGTCGAGTACTCGGTGTAATACTCATATCGACCTGTCTACTGCAGTTGAATATACACACCTAATACCTAGTCCTTATGGTATAACTGTCTTGACGTTGTAGTGCTTGAAACTAACAGTCATTCCTTTCCCCCGCAAGAGCAAATTCCCCTGTGCCCCTTTTACCGCCAAGACCGGATATACCGAGGAAATGAAGTTATGTACCTAGTAAGTCAGGTACCTATTCTGTAGTACATGATATCAGAATTTCACAGACTTCAGGGATGAGATGATTTTAAGGTTCTGTCATGGCGATAGTGTTGTCGCAGCTAGTAGTAGTCTCCACGTTAGGACCTTAGCTGAACCTTATGTGCCTCTCCTTATTGCATCTCCTCATTTGCATCTCCTCATTTGCATCTCCTCATCAAACCAAGGCACGAATCAGATTTACATCATTAGAAATTTCCAAATCTTGGCATTTATCAAACTGCGAACATTCTCCGAATATTCTCTCCTACATCGATATCGAATTCTCGGTTCGATCTCCATCTGGGACATGGTCAAGAATCAAGATATCGGGGTTTTGCAAAGAAAATCGGATGCACTCCATGAATATATATTTTTTATCTTTAACATTCGTCGACCAGTCTACTACTTACCATACTGTTGATGTCATGCAAGTCGCCCAAGTCATATAATAGTAACCATAAGGTGGAATCTATCTAGAAGTCTCTATGACTTCTACTACTCAAATTGTCGCATGTTTCCAGGGCTGAGTTACGCTCGGGGCTGATTTGCTTCTTAAGTAGGTAGGTAGGTATTGCTTAGCAGCTGCTATCATGATACCAGGAGCCAGTGCGGTCGGTCTCCTATTAACTGGCCTCATCATTGTCGCTCTCCGCATACAAATCCGGGTCAAAGCTGTCAAATGGAAAGGCCTCGCGGCTGACGACTATCTAATGCTACCAGTAACCGTAAGTCTCATCATACTTGGTCTTTGACTTGGGATTGGCATTACCATCCCTGATACTAAAGCTTGGATATAGCTCACCTTGTCTGCTCTGGCAGGATGCACATATGTCGGATCAAATAACTGCAGTGGCCACACGAACAGCGACATAACATACGAGCAACGGGTAGTACTCGACAAGGCAAGCGAGGAATACTCTATGAGGTAAGTTATATTCTATGAACTCGGCGAGGACTCGGAATATCGAGCCTAATATTGCATAGAGTTCTTGGATCCAAGCTTCAGATTATCAGCATAATTCTACACACAACAGTCCTATGGCTTATAAAAGCTGCCATACTAGCGTTCTTCCAACGCCTTACCGTATGGACCCCCTGTTTTCCCTTTACATGAATGAAAACTAAAATGGCTGGATTTGCCCTTAGGAACGACTTGGTGTATATACAAGACGTATACGTTTTGGATTTATCCTAATCAGCATCACTTGGTCAGCTGACTTCTTCATCACCGTGTTTTCATGTAGGCCATTCCAAAAGAACTGGCAGGTATATCCTGATCCAGGATGTAGGTTCTTTGGCCAACCAAATCATTTCGCATCTCATGGAGCTGATCTTGATCATCATAGACCTATGTTATCCTGCCGTTTCTCCATTGACTCTATTCACCACCCTGGGTTTACACATCATTACAAGCTTCTACATCTTCTACGTGCCACTCCCAATCCTGTGGATGGCTAGGATTCAATTCAAGAAGAAGCTTGGCCTGGTCTTGCTAGTCACAGCTAATATGCTCATCATCGCAATGGCCATATACCGTGCCTATGAAATCGCAGCACTACAAATGCCCGGGGACCGGCGGATTAGCAGGTGGACTTTTCTTGTACCGTTCATCGCGGTAGTGACAACAAATATTCCGCTCTTCTTCCCGCTAGTGAGCCGATGGACATCAATATTCGTTTCGCTGTTCGTCAAAAGACAGAGCTCGAATATTAGGCGACAATTAAAGACAATCCGGATGTCGGAGGCTTCAAAGTTTCGAAGTAGGAGATGTTCGCATGGGGAAATCCATAAGGTGGTTTCCGTAGTCCAGCGTCCAACGCAGCCTCAGTTCGGGCTGAGTACAATGAAGGCTCTGGATAGTGGTGTTGACATTGGAAGTATAGACCTTTGTACTTTGGATGGCGGATGCTCTGACATGGGATATTGGGAGGATAGGGGGAGTAGTAAGGAGAGTACAGAAGAAGATGAAGATGAGGATATAGAAGACGAAGAAGAAAGGGGAGGGATTCCAAATAGAGGAGATTTGATGGTTTGAATAGACCTTTTCATCGGGTGTTCATTGATTGGCACACCAACATTATAGACCAATATAGGTTAGTTTTAGACTACATAGAAATGATATTCAGCCTCCTGTGTCCAACCGCGGCACTACGTAGGCAGTAGCGTAACATCGTTCAGGTTAATGGGGGCTAAATATCATCTAAACAACCGCCCCCGCGGTTAAGCATAATGAGCTGTGAATTAATGCGCTTGTCTCCAGGCCCTTGACCAATGAACCCCTAGCACTGTCACCTAAACGCCCAAATTTGCCCATTTGGTCAAGGTAGGATAAATGATACGTCGGATACAGGTCGCTTAAAAATGAGCTATCAAAACGAATCATCGCTTAAATTAAGCGTTCTGCGTATCCGGACGTGTAGCGTGGGGTCTGTCAGCTTATAGTCTGCATTCTGTAGTCTGCAGTCAGCAGTCTGCTTTTCCTGATGAGGTATAGGGGAGCTGAAATATGAAACCGCGAGTGGTAGTACTAGGTTGGCAGGCAAACTCGTGTTGGTGGCTTGCAAAATACATCGCGCGGGAGAGAGAGGGACGGCTCGACGAGGACAAGGAAAGGTCTTTGTATGTATAGACCACAGCCCTCCCCTTCATATACATGTAGATCTAATAGTTACTCGTGTGACAACTTCGTTGAAGCTATTTCCGTGCATTCTGGTCCAGTTATGTGACACGTTATACCGCGTGTATTGCTTTGATTGTCCTCCCTTTCAGTCTACAGTATGGCTCGGCCTCAAGAACGAACTGCATGGAATGATTCAGCCTTTGAAGACAACCCTTATATTTCCACAAGACACCAAAAGCCTTACGCCGTCCCTTTTATAACAGAAATTCCGCAGCCGAGAGATCATATCCATGGCCTACCAGATTCAGCCTCCCGGATGGCAAATCCCGTTGGTACAGGTCCACCCGAAGTCACCAACAGCACCTCACAGGGAAATGGCGATTCGAATAGGCCGACGGCTATAGCATGGCAGGATCCTATACTAGCCTTCCTCTTTTTCATCGCAGGTCTGTTTACAGCGGTGGGCCACCACATATACTACGGGGTCCTAGATGGAACTCCCGTAAACAGCGACAGCCAGCAGGTCTGGGCTATTCGCATAGGAACTGGCCTTGCTTTCCTCACCCGGACTTGCCTTACCGCTACACTTGGGATCGTCGTGGTGCAGCAATTCTGGGCAACGTTGAGGAAGAGAGCCATGACGATTGAAGCTATTGACAGCATGTTCGGAATCATGACTAACCCATGGCTGTTCTTGAATAAGGACATGCTGATGCATGCAAAACGGGTTTGCGCCTTTGCTGCTATTTCATGGTTAGTTCATACCTGCCTACATATACTCCGAGGAATACTTTTCGTATAAGTTTACTGGGCGAAGGAGTCCAATGTCAAGAGTGTCCAGCTAATAATTTATCCCGTCTTCGACACAGGCTTCTCCCCGTAATCCCCATCATAACACCAGCGACGCTATCCGTATACTCGCACGCAAGTCAAGCCGAGTTGACCCTCGAAGTCCCCACCTTCAACTTTTCCAACCCTAGCGGGTGGGCAACTTACGGCGGCGCCGGGGTGATCTCAGGGGTCGGCCCCGAAGTGTCTCGCCTCTTCACGAGCGTCTACACCTCCAACACGTTTGCACCACTCACGCCCCCTTTCCCCAACTCTTCCTACGACATGGAGTTCTGGGGCCCGTCTTACAAATGTTCCAGCCTCGAAGAATTCAGCGCCAAAAATAACCCACCTACCTGGAGTACATCGGGCCTCCACAACTACACCACCGTCGAAGACGACTTCTACGCGGAAATCGGCTCCTGGGCCTCGCCGGGCAACAGCACCCTCACGAACCCGGCGTACGTCTTCAAAGGCACCGATTCCAAATCCCTCGTCAACACGATCTACATCGGGACGTCGGGGTTCAACGCGTTCTGGGACAACAGCGCTCGCCGCAACGTGCGGCTCGTCTGCCAGCTGCACAACACCTCGTACGCCGTCACCGTCGGCTTCGACAACGGGATCCAGTCGATCCGGGAGAACGCCATCGCCGACATGGGCTTCCAGAACTGGAGCACCTCCGGCTACGACTCCCCGTTCTACAACGACAACGCCTGCGCCCCCGACCCGTCGGGCGCCAACGTGACGATCTGCCCGACGTACTACGTCTTCCAGCAGCTGTTCTCCGAGTTCCTCACCGGCAGCGTGACCGTCAGCTCCGTCGGCGACCTGCTCTACACGCCGCCCTCCTCCTCCCCGCAAGCGTCGTCGTCCGGCGCCGGCTCCGCGCCCCTCTTCCGCTCGGGCCTCATGGACTGCGCCGACATCGCCAACTCCTCCGTCATCACCTCCGACGCCGACATCGACGGCGGACGCCTCAAGACCTTCGGCCGCTGCCGCAACCGCACCCTCGCCGCCGCCGTCGAGGACCTCGCCCGCAACTTCACCTACAGCCTCCTCGCGTACCAGAGCTGGGCCGACGACGGCGTCGCCGAGCGCGCCCACGTCACCGTCACGAGCCTCGTCAACTTCTTCGCGTACAACCGGGCGCTGCTGCTGGTCGCGTACGCGGCCGCGGCGGCGGCGACGCTCGCGTGCGCGGTGGTGGGCGCGGCGGCGCTGAGGACGAACGGGTTCACGGGGAGCATGGCGTTCTCGGCGGTGCTGCTGACGACGCGGGGCGGGGGGTTGGAGGGGCTGGCGGAGGGGAGGTGGTTGGGGGAGAAGCCGCTGCCGAGGGGGGTGAGGGAGGCGAGGTTGAGGTTTGGGGTTGTCAAGGGGGGGGAGGGGGAAGGGGCGCATGCGGGCTTTGGGCTGGAGGGGGCGGTGGTGCCGTTGGGAGGTATGTCATCTCGATGAGTTTTTTTTTTTTGGATTTGTTGTTTGTTTGTTTGTTTGTTTGCTTGCTTGCTGACCAGATGAGTTACCTATTAGATTTCGACGTCGAAGGTGAAAATATGAGGAAAGGGGGGGATGTATTAAGGCGTAGAGTAAGAGAAAGAAATTATGAATAGGAGAAAAGGGGATAATGATACCCAAAGAGACGATAAACGAAGGCTAGGTAAATAGCTAAATACTTGGAATAAGACATAAACTCTTAATAGAGGACATGATGGCTTGTACAAACCATTCATTAATTGAAGTGCCGACATCAGACGTTTAACTTACTACTCACCACCTAATCAATCACACAGGTTAACGATCATATAATCACTGATTCAGTAGACAGTCAAGAGCATCTAATTGTTGAGTTCAAAAATTATTCCAAAAATATTCTTAATTTTATAAATTCCAAGGCTATTCCGTATATACCAGGCCATGAATATCAAATCAGCGTTATATGCACTAGGTATATATATCAGGTATATATTATACATTACACCTGTCTCCCAAGAGCTACCTCGTAGTCTATCGCGGTGCAAATATGAAATCCCAGCCTTCTAATAAATCCCATGGATCTTATCTACCTAGGTGTGTTGTAGTTATCCATCTTTTTCGTAGTATGTCTACCTCGGGGATGTAAGGCGGGTGGGTATCGAGTGAACGAAAGTCCCCAAGCTAGCTATCTCTCAGCTATCTATTAGGGCTTCTCCCATTTAAGAGTCAACGCCAACGGGGGTCTGGCACAGGACATCCTGGCCCAGGATGGGCAGGACGCAGCAGCGGGCGCGCTGGCCGATGGCGGAGCAGACGGCGCTGAAGTTGGAGGCGTCGGTGGGGACGGAGGGGGGGTTGGCGCAGTCGAGGTCAGCGACGCCGAGGACGTCGGTCGCGCAGCACTGCGATGTGCTGTAGAGGCCGGAGCAAGGGGTGTAGGTCTGGCGCTCCTCGACGATGGCCGGGGCAGCGAGGGCAAGGCCGGCGAAGAGGGCGGTGAGGGCGGTGGTGAAGAACTGCATGTTGAAGTTTGTATGGGTTGGGTTTGGGTTTGTTTGGTTGTAAAGGTGGAAAAGTCTTGAAGAGTTTGTTTGTTGGATGTGATTTGTTTGGTGTGGATGAGAGAGAATAGAGTCAAAATATCTGGAGGGAGATGGGAGACTTTATACTACTTAGTTACCTGCTGTCTAGATATCTACCTACATACTTGCCGACCTGACCATGTATGGACTTACTGGCTTTGACCCAACAACTCGTCAGCGGTTGCTAATCAAGAGAGATGTGATGATGACGATTAGGACTGGGCTCAAGACCAAAGCTCATCCTGCTCTTGTTTCGCGATGCCTTGCCCCCTTACCCCTAGTACATACCTATCTAGCTACCCAGTCAGGTACGGGGGCTAATCATCCAAAAAGAAAGTACCGGGTTCTGGGATCTCCCGCAACGTTGACATGATGAAAAAAAAACTACCCAGCGGGGATCGTAAAATCTTAAGATGGGTCTGCTATAGGGCTCATATTAACGGAGATGGGATATTAACATTAGAGTACCGGCAAGCTGTGACATCAAACAAATGCCTTCACGCCTAGCTAGGCGACGAATCAGAGAGAGCCTCAGTTCCTTGATTCGGAAGTCATGGCCGAAATCTAGCATAACCCAGTCAGCTTGAGTTACTACATGCTAGGTAGACGTACATGTTACACTGCCGTTAAGGGAGTTCATTCGCCACATTGTGGTTGAGTAGGTAGCTACCTCGTTCTCTGAGAAGAGCATAGCCATATGCTACCCAAGGATATTACAGGACTATCCAGGAAAAGTGACCAACGACACCTAGACTAGTACAACGGCTCCCCGGGGAGCTATCCCCATCCTTCAGAGGTATGCGCTGTAAAGTATCGGCCGACGACCATGACGAATGGTATGCCGTTGAACATCCCGGCAGTGGACAAGGTGATCCACAAAGCAGGGGCAGAAATCTTAACGGCAGTGTGTAGCTGCAAGGGGCCGACGCGCTACCTGCCAACCTTAACAACTACCGTGTAATGGCCCCTAGTTAATTACTCGCTGACTCGCGGACTGAGGCCTCAACTATTATGTACCTACATATAGCAGGAACGCCACAGCTGTTGTGTGATAGATGGATGGTTACTATGCTTACATCAAGGTGCGTGATAGCCTCGAGAGCCGCTTGCTCGTTGTGTGAGTAGTAGACGATCTGGGGAGATCTTCACTGCCAGAAACCTCGTGTTAAAAAATAGAAGTAGTCAAGGTAGATACTTTACGTAGGTAGGTATCCTACATACACCAGTCGTACGAAAAGAAGATCTCTGGGTTACGTTGTCTCCGTCAGAGGAGCCGCAACTAAGAGCCTAGCTCAGCTTGGTAGCTGTGCAAATTTCCCCTTTTTACTAAACCGGGTAGGTAGTGTGGTGCAAAAGCTCCGAACCGTGACCATGATTACCCGCAATACATCATCTAAAAAAGAACTCCCCATCTTCTCAAACGAAACTAGACTGCTAGGATATTTCAGGGGCAGAAGGAACAACAACGTTCGAATTGGTAGGCCATCAGGGCGACGTTATTCTAGAAGAAGACTGGGCTGAAAATCAAGGAAACAGAGTAAAGGGAAGATCGTCAGCGGCACTGCCAGATCGGTAAATCAGTCGAATAAAACTGCATCAATGCGTTAAAACTAGCCCTAAAATAAGATCAAGTGGCGACACAACGGTCGTCAGACGTTGCAATCCCACCCGACTTTTCTTTCTAAGATTAGAACAGTCCAAACAAAGTCTTCGATAACTTCTTTCAACCCTATTCCAAGTTTTTGACAGTTGAGGAGTTGTGTTAGTTAGGCGAGGTGGATAGGTATGCAACCTCGCGAAAGCTTTCACATCAAATATGTCCGTTCCAGTGCAGCCGACAGCCGTGCTGCCGTCTTGGCAGCATCACGTCTGGGGGATATGATCTGTTCGATCGATGGACCCCCCTGGTCGCCCCGCCATCACCTTGGCTTCTAAGAGGTCTGTGATTGAGGTTACATTCAGATATCAGGAAACTTCTAAAGAGATAGCGTCGTAACCTTTCCTTTAATTACGCTGTCAAGGAGACCTCCTGAGCAATCTCTCTCCATGCGCTCTAGAACTCTAGAGTCTATGGATTGTTTCAAGGTAACAGTCATCCGAGTTGCTGTTGCTGTCGCTATAACTGATAGACAATGAATAGAATACGGTGATAGGAGGTGCCAAGCTAATTAGCTAGCTAGTTGGCTAGTCATAAGTTTGATGGAGTTGTAGACGTCAGAGGGCTATAGCATACAGCCTGTTAGTTATAAGAGGCGACTCACGAATAATTTCATCACACAGTTGTATGCTAGCAGTTGGCCTCAAAGGTCCAAAGCTTCTAATAAGCCTGTCTTGTCGGTGAAACTACTAAATTGGATAATAGCTCCGTGGTAGAGCCTTTTGAATGACTTCATCTTACGGTAAGCCAATTCGAGTTGTCGTTTTGAGCTTTTTGCAAAGCCGGTGTGATTGATTGATTGAGCTTCGCTTGCCAGCTCAACAAAACAACAACAAACTTGCATTAATTCTTCTCATGCCGGTGAAAATGTAGGCTTCTAAGCGAGCTGAAATGCTATGAACTGGGGGGTTCATAATATTATGGGCATCGTACTGTGCCGCGCCAGCGACAACATCAAGCCTGAAACGTTGTATAGAAACGATAGATAGATAGATCATAGATGATGGTACATAGGTGACTATTGCCTAGTAAGAGAAGAGAGAACAGAGCCTTGAACTATGAGACCAACTACTTGCTAAACAAATACCTTTGGTAGGTATGTACGTAAGTAGTTAAAAAAACATGGCAGCGATGTTGTCATCAATACCAAGTATCACAACAGCAATAGCAACACCGCTTTTCCCCTATACGCAGTTGCTCCCGCATCTCACGAACGTCTACGCTACCGCACACTCCATATTCACCGCGCTGCCTCGCATCGTTGTTATTATCCAAAACAAGCAACCCCGAAAAGCCTTCAGTTTGACAATGTTTTATCTGATTTTCTCTTAGACGTATATAACAATCAGTACCCAAGGCCCAACATAACCTAGTTGGGAGGAAATGCTTGGGCACGTCCCGCAGGACCATTCTATTATTTACCTATTCAGGAGTTGCGGGGACACTCTACTACCATACACAGGCGACTATCCAGGTACCCATTCCCTTCCAATGCCCTATCCTATAATACCACCCTTAGAGCTAGGCGACCTAAAAGAAGCCATCACCCTCTTGAAAGCCTAAAGTCTGTCCGAGTGGGCGTTCCCAGGGGATATACTTGCATGCAGATATCGCGCAGTATTGCTCCCCCGATGAGAGAGGACTGAGCCACGTAGGGCGCGGAGGTATCCCTTTTATGTGACTTGGCTTCATTGCTATATCGCTAACATTTCCTCGGAGCTACCCAGGTAGTTTGAGGAGCGACGAGAGAGCTGTCGATGAGCTTCCTGCGGAAGGAGGACTTCGGGCAAGGTTAATCTTATGAATGGATCTGTCTATCTACTGGGTACCTAAAGTAGAGAGGCAGATATCGATCACTACTACCACCCAGACCTCGGTATGTACAGACATGATATGATTACCCACGATTGCGACTACTACAGCTACCTACAACCATAACCACAACTGTATGTATATACCAGCTCCTCACCCAAGGCCACCAAACCATCTAGAACATTACCACCCCAAGCCTTCGAGGTAAAAAAAAAAGGGGGGCATATCAAAAGGGAGGCCTAAGTAATGCGAGACCACGAGTCTTGTATATGATCCGGTGATTATGGCACCCGTATTACTCCACGGTCCTACATCCATATCCTAGTCCAAGCACCTAGAGATTAGAAAAACCCTCCCGGAAGACGAGTATAATTATTATTCTACTGCGGGCGAGGAACCCCCACGGATCATATGCATACCTAATAAAGCTACAAAGACGAGGATGATATGTGGTTCCGACATACAAATCACCAAGAACCGAAATCACGCGGATTTTGACAAGTATTTTTACACACACCAAGAATATGAAGGCGAACACACAAGTTTGATGGCAAATCGCATCTGGTTGACTGATGTGCCAAAATAACCTATATTACAGGCCTCTTCTGCCCTGTCAAGGCTGCTTCTATTACATGACTGCTTTCTTGCTCGAATTAAGATTGCCTTATGCGTAGAAGTTGACCGTCTGTAAAATATGTTAGCTTGGAATGATTTGAAAATGGGATAACCGGGACTTGAGCTCACCTCCTTCTTCTTGGCTTGCACCTCGGCAATAGCGTCTACGTAATGCTCGTGACTAATCTTGTTCTTGCCCATCCGTAGCGCAATCATGCCAGCTTCGACACAGACTGCCTTCAGCATAGCACCACCAAATTCATCTGTACTTCGAGCTAGCTCGCCCCAGTTTATGCTGGAGTCGACCTTCATCTTCCGTGAATGAATCTTGAGAATCTGGGCACGGGCCTCCTCATTGGGCAGAGGGAATTCAATCTTACGGTCTAGACGTCCGGATCGTAACAGGGCAGGGTCTAGTACATCGACACGATTCGTGGCGGCTAATACCTTGATACGATCGTCCGACGCAAAACCGTCCAGTTGGTTCAACAACTCAAGCATAGTTCGTTGAACCTCTCGGTCACCACTCTTCTCGCTGTCGAAACGCTTGGTACCTACGGCATCCAGTTCGTCGATAAATATAATGGCGGGGGCCTTCTCTTTAGCCAAGGCGAAGCAATCCCGGACCAACTTCGCACCATCTCCTATGAACATTTGCACCAGTTGGGGACCAGCGAGCTTCAAGAACGTTGCGTCGGTTTGAGCGGCGCAAGCTCGGGCTAAAAGAGTCTTGCCAGTTCCCGGAGGACCATACATTAGGGCACCTAATTTGCTTAATAAGTAAAGTAACTCTAAGATTCATAACTCCGAGGATCTCATAGTTGACATACCTTTGGGTGCCTTGATGCCAATCTTCTTGAAACGATCGGCCTCCTTCATAGGCCATACGATGGCCTCAACGAGCTCCTCTATTTGTTTGTCCAGGCCACCCACATCGGTATACTTCTCCGTAGGCTTTTCGTCGACCTCCATGGCCTTGACGCGGCTGTCATATTCGGCAGGTAATGTGTCGAGGATTAGGTAAGAATCTTTGTTAACACCGATGAGATCGCCTGGCTTAAGTGTGTTGGGGTCGACAAGACCGATCAGGGGTAGAAAGATCGTCTGTCTCGTAGAAGTTTTGATTACTGCAGATTTGCCTACTCTCGTAGCGTCAAGATCGATATTGGCGCCTTCTTCGAGGGATTCGGCGGTGGGGTCAAGATCCAGCAACTCGACAACGTTGCCAACAAGATAGGGTAATTGCCTGTAAGGAAGTTAGCTGGATGATTGGCGTTGGTAATGGCATCAAGTGAAACAAACCGATTGTTCGCAATCTTCTCGTTGTTCTCTTTAATTCTCTCGCCCATGGTAGCTTTCTCGTGGGATAGTCGTTGGAATTCGCTCTTCATGATTCTGGCATCGTTCTCTAGTAGGCGTTTCCGCGTCTTTAGATCCTCTGTAGTGAGACCAAGGGTTTCCTCGTCCAGAATTTCGTCATCTTCGGGCTCGGCATCCTTCATGACAGCATCACCATCGCGATTAACGTTGTTGGTGCTGTCCTTTGGTCCATCACCCTTTCCATCCTTCTTATCCTTACCATCGTCGGATCCGCGGCGCTCGAGGCCCTCGATATCTTGGGCGCTCGACATGGTTAATGAATGTGGTGTAGTGGGTGAAATTCGGTAAGATATGGATCTTGAATGTTTTTACCCAACGAGACCTTTTTAATAAAAGTGAAGTAAAGTACTTGGGTGTATTGATGGTACGTAGTATAGCCTGTTTGATTTTATTATGACAGGCTGAGGTTAGAATAAGTAGGTTGGGACGGGATGGATTGAGTTGGAAATTGCTGATGATGTTAAATGTTGAATTCAGTAATTTAGTAATTCAGTGACAAATGAAGCTCCAGAAAGCTAAAAAAGAACTGGTAACAGTACAAAACGGCACCGGGCAAGGCTAGAATGCTGCAGGTGGGTACCCGTTGTAGCTCTCTTTTCCAGGCAGGCGTGTCGCGTAATCAGCCTGATCAATTGATTACATAGTGACCTTGGTAGTAGTTATGTACAATACAAGTACATAATTGATGCATCAAACGAGGCCTTGCTTCACCAATTGTCTTACTGTTTAACCGTTTCACTATGGATTTATTCATCTAACAGCATGATTTCTTCCTTCGAGGCACGCGATTCAATTTCAGCAAATAATAGCCCCTCCATCTTCTACGCTTTCTGCGCAATGCCCGCCACCCGCTAGCTCCGATCACCTGTAGTGACCCAGTACCAAGGTATGGTATGTGCTCTGTGTGCTGCTGTACCTTAAACGAACATTGTCGTTACATTTACCACACTGGAGGGGCAAGTATTACCAGTATTATAAAGAAATGACACTCTTTTCTTCTCCTTCTACTTTTTCCTACTCTTTTTAAAGTCTAATCATCAATCTTCCACGCTGGCAGGAATACTTTGGTCACGAAGATCGGTTCCTGGAACGGATACCGCCGATGCGACGACTCCTTCTCCGAGATCAACATCTCGTGATATCATGACCGAACCTTCCGTTAAGCCCCATTTGTCGCCGCAGTTTTGCTTCACAACCGGAGCACTCAGAGGTTTGTAGTTATTGCTAGCGTTATAGGTAGCATTGGTAATTACATAGTACTAAAGTACTTACTTTCTCGATAGACTTTCTCCGATTATCCCGTAGCGCTATAGACGACTCGATAACACAGAACCTCAATGCCCTTATAACACCGGGTCGGTCGGGCTTTGATCCCACCTCCACTTCTATTCGAGCTCCTCGAACTTCGAGCCGATCTATTGATCCTCACGCTTGCCAAGAATTCAAGGACAAGGTCTTGTTTCCTTCTTGGCAAACAAGGACCGACGTCCTGACGTATTGTGCTTATGTAGCCACTAGTCCCGACCCGGATGACCCTGAAGTCGCTTTGCGGGAAGCCGAGACGAAGAAGAATCACGAGCAGGTGGTTGATGAAAGGCTAGATCCTTACTCGGCGCGATATTTCCCCCGGGAGCCTCGTACGGAGCAATTGGCAGACCTCTTAAGGCAAGAACGGAGTATTGAGCGCATCGTTCGTTCTCGAACTTGGGGTTTGGTTCGGGAGCGATGCGGTGATGACTTCCAAGATGCAGAGGAAGCTCTTAATAAATGGAAAAGGGGTAGAGATGGTCGTCATACATGATACCAAGCAAACAATGCGTTTGCCTACCTTCCTAAGTACGTGTGATACCCAGGTAGTCATCTACCGAGTATCTGTATGGATATTCAGATATGACAGTTAAACTACTACTTTATGTAGGAGGTGGACGGAGATGTGCTTGCTACATCCATCACGGATATCACCTACTATTTATGTACGTACTTACATATGTTGTACATATCTTATCTATATACACACTAGATATATACCCTCGCCACTACAATGTAAAATATTAGAGCCATTGGATGGTAACCTAACCTTAGTACTTACATAGTAGTACGTATAGTAAAAGTGGTGAAGTGTTCCATTATTAGAGGCAGATTGGTGGATTGATTCTGCTCAAAGATCGAAACTTGAAGGTTGAACTTTCAAGTTCCAATAAACATTGAAGTTGAACATTAGAGATTAACGTTATGTACTATGTACCTACATTTACCACACGGATGATTATCGGTGAAATGAGAGCTCTAAATGTACAGATTGATGTCTTGCTTAGATTTTCTGACCCACCAAATATTGCGGCTGTCGTTATCCCAGCACCTCAGAGTTCGCGGCACGGACCAACTGGTGCACATTGCGCCCAAGTACTGGTACTTAGCCCCACTACTTTCTGCCTCAATTATTGGTGGCTCTTCCGCAGTGCCGTGGCAAAATAGCCAATCATTACCTAGAAGCTTATGTAAGGCAGCGTGTCGGCGCTTGTAAGACCGATTACGTAATAGAAAGTTGGAGATTTGGCTAAGTCTCAACATTAGGTAGTTACAGATATGCCCTCACATTTATTCAATTACAACTATTGCAAACCACAATATTTCAATTTCGCATTTAGATCATTCGAAAGAGCTTTCAAAGCGTAATTGATTGAATATAGTTTGACACGATCAAGTGGTGTGTAGCATTCTGAAAATAGAGTTAAAGGTACCGTGTATATACACTAAATATGGCCACTTTCAACGCGTCAAGTAAATATCCATATATACACCGCGTTTTGGATCAAAATACACCTTTCACAACGCAATTAAGATAGTAATCATTTGATCAATTGATTGAGATTTGAAAGGGCTTTTAAATGAGCTAATTACAATTATTTAAAGCCTGATATTGGGCGAGCGAGCTTGAATTGATTGAAATACAAGTGATTATAGCGCTAGGACGCGTTGAAAGAGCCCTGAAAGAGCCCTGGAGACCCTACTAGGTAATACCAGCACATATAATGATTAGAAAGCTTGTCGCCGGGAGATTTCACTTACTACTTGGTTATATTTAATAGATTGATCTTATTTGATCAATTTGATCCAAAAAAACAACGGAAACACTCGAATAGCTTCAATATACAGTGGTGTGTAAGGAAGAAAAACAACAATTACGCGTTGACACGCTCTTATTCAAAAATTGATGACTAAGCATAATCCTAGCCGCGAGGCGCTTAGAGAAGTACGAAGGAGAAGTAGCTCCGGATCCACTAAAAGTGGGGCGAACAGGTGCGTGGATAACGATACCGAATATTGCTACATCCCACTTTGGTTTTGGTGGCTGCAGCCGATTAAACAATTAAAGTATTAACTCGCAAAGCTCCGAGCTTTCAACACTCCATTCACAATTACTACTACAACCTTACAACCTTACAACCTATTCACCAAGATTGTATACATAACTAAATACCCGAGGTATACTTACAAGTCACATATATGCCCACACGGGTTGTACGTTGTAGTAAAATTTTGGGTCGATAAAATAGATCTCGGCCAATACCCTCCAAACAAGTCTCTCGTGAGTTACCCAACACCCTAGGTACCTACCTACCTACACATGGTACACAATAAATCTTTTATCAACTTTGAAATATCCAGTTTTGGAATTATTTAAATGGTAAATCTAGTAGTTGACTCATATGTATAATAGGAGATAATACCTTACTTCCTGAAATATTCTTTGACGCTATTCCCTTAAAAGTCGTCTGTGCCTCCGAATCCAAGGTCTTGACGGCGGAGGAGTACCGCACGCACCACTACCGACCATGCCTCAGCCCCTGAGTTCGAAAGAGAATTCTCTCTTTCGACAAGTTATACGCAATTATGAAGACAAACAGTACAAGAGGGGGTTAAAGGCCGCCGAACAGATTCTCAAGAAGAACCCCAAACATGGAGACACAATGGCCATGAAGGCCTTGATCATCAATCAGCAAGGAAAGACCGAAGAAGCTTTCGCGTTAGGGAAGGAAGCATTAACAGCCGATATGAAATCCCACATATGCTGGCACGTATACGGCTTGTTATACCGACATCAAAAGAACTTCGAGGAAGCTATCAAGGCATACAAGTTCGCTTTGAAGCTCGAGCCCGAATCCTCCCAGATTCAGAGAGATCTTGCCTTCCTCCAGGTTCAGATGCGGGACTACCAAGGCTACATACAAAGTAGAACCGCTATGCTCCAAGCTAGGCCACAATTGAGACAGAACTGGACCGCCCTCGCCGTTGCTCATCACTTAGCCGGTGACCTTGCCCAAGCCGAGAAGGTTCTAATAACGTACGAGGACTCGTTGAAGGTCCCCCCTTCTAAAACCGATTACGAGAACTCCGAAGCTGTCATGTATAAGAACTCGATTATCGCCGAGATGCAGGAATACCAGAGAGCTTTAGATCATCTAGAGTCCATTGCCAAAAATAACCTCGACCGCTTAGCTGTTTTAGAGCTCCGCGCTGAATATCTGTCGAAGCTTGGAAGGAAGGAAGAGGCCATTGAAGCTCATCGTGCTCTACTTGACCGGAACTCGGAACATCCCGTCTACTACACCAATCTCATAGGGATATTAGATATTGATGCCGACAACTTGTTGGCGCGAAAGGCAGTTTACGATGAATATGCTGAAAAGAACCCCCGGTCTGATGCTGCTAAGCGACTACCCTTGGATTTTCTCGTCGGTAAGTCATGTCGAAATAAAGTTGCTATAAGAAATGATCACTCACAAGATTTAGGTGACGATTTTCGGGAAGCGGCCCAAAAGTATTTAGCGTTTATGCTAGACAAGGGGGTTCCTTCAACCTTTGCAAACCTCAAGCATCTCTACACTGATACGTTCAAGAAAGATACACTAGGAGCACTTGCACAGGAGTACCTGGAGTCGAAACGTGCATCTTCTAGCGAGGGTGAAGCCGTGAATGGAGATGCCTTAAAGGGAGAACCAGCGGCATTATACTACCTTGCGCAGCATTACAACTACCACTTGAGCCGCGACCTTTCGAAGGCTATGGAATACGTGGATAAAGGAATCGAGTTACTACCCAGCAACGTCGAGTTTCACATGACCAAGGCTAGAATATGGAAACACTACGGCAACACCCAAAAAGCTTCTTCGACCATGGATCAAGCCCGCCTGCTCGACCTGAAAGACCGATATATCAATACCAAGGCAGCAAAATACCAGCTTCGGAACAATGAGACTGATATTGCCTTGCAAACGATGGGTCTCTTTACTAGAAACGATTCCCCGGGTGGTCCTTTGAATGACCTACTCGACATGCAGAGTGTATGGTACTTGACAGAAGATGGAGAAGCTTGGGTACGCAACGGGAACGTAGGGCTGGCCTTGAAACGCTTTCATTCCGTGTACAACATATTCGACGTGTGGCAGGAAGATCAATTCGATTTCCACAGCTTTTCTCTGCGTAAGGGGCAGATTCGCGCATACGTTGACATGATTCGCTGGGAGGACCACCTTCGCGAGCATCCATTCTATACTCGTGCCGCCCTCGGAGCTATCGCAGTCTATTTAAGCATGCACGACAACAGCCAGATGGTCAATGGAGTAGATGGATCGGGTGCCAACGGGGAGGAAGCCGCGGAAAGGAAGAAGGCAGCGAAGAAGGCTAAAAAGGAAGCACAGAAAGCCGAGCGAGAAGCCGCCGAGCGGGCGGCCAAGCAAGACCCCAACAAATCGAAGGGGGCTGCCGCTGAGCCCGTCAAGAGGGATGATGACCCATATGGGCTGAAACTGGCCGCGACAAGTCAGCCATTAGTTGAAGCTACGAAGTTCCTCGCACCCATTCTTCAATTCAGTCCTAAGTACATTGATGGGCAAATTGCTGGTTTCGAGGTCTTCATGAGGAGAGGTAAATTCTGCGCAGCTAAATCTAATTTCGTTATGCTAACCTTTGCTAGAAAAATACCTCCTTGCCCTTCGGTGCTTAAATGCTGCACTGTCTATAGAGGCAGACAATCCTACTATCCATGAACAAGTCGTTCGATTCCGTCAAATTCTCAACTCGAAGATCGAATCTCTGCCACCCAAGGTCGCGGAAGCACTCAAATCTGAATTCACTGCAGTTGATGCTTCAGCAGATTTGAAGAAATATAATGCTGATTTCTTAGAGAAGCATAGTGATAGCCCATCTCACCTCATTGCAGCCTGCAAGATTGAAAGATCGCTAGGAGAAGATAAAAGCAAAGCCGAAAAAGACATCACAAAGGTACTGGCTCTCAAGGATGTGCAACACGACCATGCAGCCGAGGTCTGGGCTCTTCTGAGGCAGTGGCGTAGCAGTGAGGCAGAGGCTTTCAAGACGGCCGCCCACGAAAAGTGGCCAGAAGTTACGGCATTCTACTAGGTACCCATTTTTAGACTGAGCTTCCTAGACTGCATAGCTAAGGCGATCACTTTACTGGTCTATCTTTCGAGCAATCTTTGGCGAGGAATTATTAGAAGGTCATCATGCATTGTATGTGAGTCTGGAGGAAAATATCTAAGTACGAGTAGATATGGCTTGCATATTACCGCATCGCGTATCAATTTCGAACCCTGCCTAGATAGGATTTGACTACTACCTAGAGCATGAAAACGGGGTCGGTAGGGAAAATAAAGCGAATACATCATGGATGTAGAAATGCTAGGCTTAGAGTAGCTCATTCAGGGAGGTTCTCATGTTGCATGAGAACTTCTCACAATAAAAAGAGAGAAATATGAAAACTTGTAGTCAAACTTGGCTTGTCTGCTTGATTGATTACTCCGGTTAGAGCCTCTGTTGGCGTGTGAGTAGATGAAGATGGCCTCATGTGTAGGCATAAGTGGCTATTAAAATTCTGGTCCTATTTCCCTTGTAGAATTTTATCAAAGCCATTCAAAGCCACGTCTACATAATCATTGTCGGGCTCATCCACGTAAATTTATTTCGCCAGCTCGTTGACCTCGCGATATCATAAAGCGAGATACCCTGAGTAGGTGTGTACAGTTGCTTACCACAATATGTACCCTACATACTGTGCATTACATAACGTACACTGCACACACATATGTAAGCGCCTAAACCACGGCCTGACTTTCTTCAAATGTTGCACTATACTATACTACCTTAGGTATGTATATATATAGCGCAAGTTAGTATCGGCGATAACAATGAAACAGTCCATGTTATCAGTTATCTAAAGCTAAGGCTGCCTGGCGAAATGGTATCGCGTCACTTTCCGGTGGTGAAGATTGCGGGTTCGAGTCCCGTGGTGGTCGCTTTGATAATTTTTTCTTTCCTTTTCTTTTTACGTGCTTATTCTTTTTATTTTTTTTTTAGGAGGACCGAGTATTGCGAATATTGTGGAATTATCATTTTTTTTAATCAAGGGGGATTTATTTGCATGAAGCGTATGTATGTATGTACTATGCATAGGTAGGTATGTACTGCTATGTAGGACATTTCCACGCCCGTTCTCGGCTATGCTATCCTGAGCCCCCCCCCTCACCCCCTCCTCTCCAGGCAGCGTACTCGTGATCTCGAGTTTTAATTTAACAACTCAACCATTATTATCAACATTTGAAGTTGAATTGAAAAGAAAAGGTATTTACTAAGAAGTGCCTAGGTCCTTTCTCGTCGATTCAGGCCTAGATATCTTGGAAAAAAAAATTGTAATCAGAGCACCACCCCCCTTTACCCCGTGTCAATGAACCGGACCGGACCAAACCAGCAAACCAGCCAGCTCAGATTCCATGCAAATGGTATAAGGAATAGTTACAGGATGCTGGACTCCTTCCTAATGTATAAACACCTCCTCAATGTCCGTCTGCCTGTCGGTTTGTCGGGGCTACAGGCCAGTAAATGGGGCCATAATGGCCACCTCGTCAAATACTCACACCCCGAGAGCAGGTCTCTCGATGGATGTGACTGAACATATCGTTACTTTTCTTCTTCCTTCCCCTGCATGCCCGATACTAGCAAACAGCTCTGGCTCTCCTCGAGCACAACACATAGTCTTCTTCTCCCCTTTTCTTGATACTTAATGCATAGGTAGCCATGTACGTGCCTAGCTATGCGTCCCCAGATTTTGAAATGATCATTCCCGAATTGAAGTCTTCCCCTTTTGACTTCACTTTCCGTGTCGTTTTCGGCCTTCATGCGGCCTTGCCATTCTCAATGATCTTCTTGCCTCGGGCATTGTAGGTGCTGACGCTGAAGGCTTCATGGTCGTTCTTATCGCGCATCTCATCCTCTTTCATCTCCAGGCCCGCTAGAGTGCCCTTGCCTACTTGAGGCCAGGCCGCGGGAACGGAGTCGCTGGATCCCTCTCGGGCAGCCCGGTCCTGGCTGTCAGTAGCTGATTTCTGACCCGCCGTCGCCTTGGCGTTTAGGGCGTACGAATCTGGCGTGGACACCTTGCTGGAGTAGTGAGTGGGGCCGACGTTGATGTTCGAGTCCGTCTTGGTTCGGCTGCTATCGTTGGAAGACGTGCGGGCCCCTTGAGCACCGCCGCGTCTGGCTTCGTGAGCAGGGAAGATCGGAAGCTCGGGGTGTAGCTCCATGCTGTACATGATGATATTAACGAGCTGCGCATGAGGGACACCCGATAGATATGATCGTTTCTAGAGAAATTGTCAGAAAAATCCGTATAGTGGATGAGTAGGTATCGAGTGAAATAACTGTAGATAAAACTTACCTGCTCGGCAGTCTTGCCAGACCAGCTGACGCCCTTAAATCCTTCAAGCTTCTTCTTCTTGGCAATATGCTTCTCGCGCTTGGCAACGCAGCGGTTGCAAAACCACGATTGAGACTCGTTGCTGACAAAATCGTCATCGATATACGGCTCGTGGCACATCTGGTGCCAGCCGTTGTTGCAGCCATCGCAGAATACGATCTGGTTGGCGTTTGGACTAAGTCCGCGTTGGCACACCTTGCATAGCGCTTGCTCTTGAGTGCGCTTTCCATTAGTCTTTCGCTTCTGAGCATCGCGCGCCGACTGCAAAGAAGGATTGTACTGTGTCGGCTTCTGCACTTGACGGCCGTACTTCGTCATAGTGTGTACGGCCTGTTCCTTAGCAGAAGCAGCGGCAACGGAAGATTTGGTGGTGTTCGCAGCGGGGGCAGCCTTGCGCTCATTATCCGACAGGTCGCTGAGGCTGGAAGATGTTTCATCACCATCATCTTCCTTTCCACGCTTGCGCTTGGTGCCACGAGACGGCTTGCTCTTAGACTTCTGTGTCGATGCCTTCGGAGTGGCTGGTTTGGCCAATGCCATGGTCTTAGGTATGGTCTTCGCTGATGAGATGGGGGGTGCTGCCGTTGTCTGAGTGGGAGCGGGGGTTCGGAGCTGGAAAGCAGCGTCCATAGGCATGCGTAAAGTAACCATAGAAGATGATTTACGAGGCATTGTGTGATGATGAGGAATTTGAGGGGGCATTCGCATACTCATAGAAGTGTTCATAGTCATGACAAGACGTCTCTTGGCATCCTCAAATGTGGATTTTTCAATGTTAGTTTTGTTCAATTCAGAAGATGCCGATGATAGAGCTGATGACAGACTTCCAGGTTTGGAATTTATCCTCTTAAGAATCATCTGTGTAGCTGCTGAGAATTGTGGCATGTAAGGTGGGCGGCCAGTGGAGCTGGTGGTGCTAGGTGCTGGACTGGACGCCTTAGGGTTGGAGGGTTGCGATGAGGTTGACATTTCGGGAGGTACCGTGGGCACATCGCCCTCCTTCTGCTTAAGCGAATCCATGATTCCAGTCTATTTAAAGATAGGCAACCTGAGAAATATCCTCCAGGTATTTAGAGTAGGAAAATAATAGATTGATGGTAGGTTAGGTAAGGTAGTTGGTCAGGTGTTATTACTACTGGATACTGCCCCTAAAGTGCCGTAAATTGTTAGCTGTCGTAAAGGAGAAGGAAGTTCTAGACGGCAACTAACCACAGAACAGTGCCAAATTGAACGGTTCTACCTTGTATTAGGATGTTTGGTTAGTAAAGATCAACTTAGCTTCCTCAGTTTTTATTAAAAAGGTGGTTAAGCTGATGAAATGAAGATGGAAGTTTGAAATTCAACAAGTGGAGGTTAGGGCACGTGAAACTCACGTGATGATACGATATTTGTGCTGAGATTATCCGGGGGTACGGGGGGGAAGGTCCTGGCCACGAATTAAATAACCCTGGACCCTGGTAAATATGAGCAACTATTCTGTTTTAGGAAGATGTCTACTAATTACTACATATGTAGGTTAGTAGTAACTTAGTACTTCAATTTAGCAAACTTCAATGAATCTTCAATGCTCCTCGTAATAACTATTTCTTCTCATTTATTTGCTCGTCATTTCATGATAGCATACTACCTACAGTGTCAACATGAACAATCATGGGTACCTCCCCAGGTACGTTTCTTGTCATCCAATGCCAAAGGGTCTCAACTTAGAAACATCTCTCCCATAACTACAAGTGAGTAACTCTCTAAGCAAGATATTCCCGTCAGTCCAAGCAGCAAATAACTACTTCTAATCAGATACCTACCCATCTAATCAATTCATCTCAAGTAATTGAATTGGTTGGCCTACAGATTCTTAGAAGATGACAATTGAAATTCTGAAATCTACCTCACGGCCCCTTTCTCCTTCAGCAAAGCCACCTCGCTAGCTTCTAGGCCAAGAATATCTAACAAAACTTCATCGGTATGCTGACCTAAAGTCGGTGGTGCAGTACGAACCGTGGGCTTGGTTTCGCTGTATTTGACCGGGGTGTTAACCAACTTGATCGGCCCGCACTGCTCGTGCTCTACCTCGATAACCATATTCCGCGCCTTCGTGTGCTCGTGATTCAGCGCCCCCTGAACGTCGTTGACCGCGGCGTACGGCATGCCCTTCCCCTCGAAGATTTCCAACCATTCCTGCGTCGTCTTTTGCACCGTAATCTCCTGTATCTCGACAAGAAGCTCTTCCCGGTGAGCTACGCGCTGCGAGTTCACGCTGTACTTCGGATCCGTTATCCACTCCGGCCTACCTAGGCCTTGGCATAGTATGCTGAATAAGCGATCGTTGCCACCGCCAAATAATACATCGCCGTCTTTGGTCTTGAATGATTGGTACGGTACTATTGATGCTATTGGGTCGTCAGTAAACGACTCGTGAAAATATGACTGGTTTACGCTTACGATGAGCTGTACCCCATCGGCCTGTGTCCTTCTTCCCACTAATGAGACAACTACTTGCGATGTTGGCAAGCGTAGCAGTCTGGCAATCACTGAGGGCTACGTCGATGTGCTGGCCACGACCCGTCTTCGCGCGAGACAAAAGGGCAGCCATGATACTATTACTGGTATAAAGCCCCGTAGTCAAATCTGTAACAGCTACGCCGACCTTTACCGGTGGCCCGTCTCGACTGCCGGTGATATGCATCAACCCGAATTCGGCCTCGACCATGACATCGTACCCGGCTCGCTGCGAATATGGTCCCGTCTGGCCATATCCCGTTATCGAGGCGTAGATGAGACCCGGATTAATTTTGTGTAACGTTTCATAGTCCATACCATACTTCTTCAGAGTACCTGGGAGATAATTCTCCACGAGGATGTCGCATTTCGCTGCGAGCTTGTGAAGGACCTCCACACCCTCGGCATGTTGGAATGATAGACCTAAAGACTTCTTGTTTCGGTTGACCTGGCCAAAATTTAGCATTGGCGACGTATCGTACACAGGACTAGAGCCGGGGAATTTACACCTAGAAAGTACGCAGATTCACCCGGACCTTCCAGATTAGACTCGTCTCGATACGCCGCATAAGGCGGGCCCCAAGCCCGGGTATCATCACCACGAGTTGGATGCTCAATCTTGATGACTTCAGCGCTAGTTTGTGATACGACGTCAGTTTATAATATCTCTTGTATCTGGTAATGTGTCCTTCCATACCCAAGGTCGCCAAGGATCTGTGTACAATACGGCTATAATAGTATGAAGATAAGCATTTTTGTGCGTATGTACGCGGCTAGGGTTAGAATGGTCTTTTACATACGCCAGCCAAGACCCTGGTCATATCCAGAACACGATGACCTGCCAGCGGCAAAGACGATAATCCTTCGGTGCTTACGACAGCAGAATATCGCCGTATTAAGTCAAACTGATAACGACTTCTTAAGAATCTCGCGCCATAGGTGGCACAGGTTACCGTACGACGACTCAACATTGAAATTTCTTGGCGAACAATTAAGATTGTCGAATCACGGAATAGTGTACTAGGTTTCGGCTGACACCCGAGATCTGCGGTTGGTGGAACGAGAATAACGATACACGACTTTTCAGGCTTAGAACTTCGCGATACAACATATGTAGGTAGGTTAGATAGGTAGGTACGTTGAGCCTTATCGGAGAATTTAGTTGCGCTTAATTGTGTAAGAAGTTCGTTGTCACTTCCTACGTAACTACGCGTACGAAAAATACCACGATATTCCAACGCCGGAGTCCAATGCGTACGTTGTCTAGTGGAGATGAAGATAGCGAAGAACGGCCGCTATCCCCAATCTACTAGTTAAGGCTTTCTACCCCACATTCCATGATGATCAATGACTATTGACAGTAGCCTTAGCGTCAGGTAAGCCGAAGTGCCAACCCCTGACTAACGCGAAGATCACCTTCCCAACGCCTAGGTATCGTGACGAACTATAATAGGATCCGAGCTACGAAGAGCTCCGGCTTTTGTCGAACTCTAGTGCTCCCTCTCCCTCAATACGAATCCTTTTGCTTTACCTTCAAAATTAAAGCCAGGTGGGCGGTGCACAGCAATATTTGTCGGAAATTTTCAAGCCGATAGTATAGTCTGATTGAAATCAACCAACAAGAAGTTACACGGCATGACTGTTATCATAACCGCAATGTCCACCTAGGTAACATGAGACAGGTCGCGATACACAAAGAGAAAAGAAAACCAACACGGCTACGAATCGCAGGCGCCCCTCGAGGAACACAAGGTACATCCGTGATGGACCCGATATCCCTACATACGTGCCTAGCAGTTTAGGTGGCTCAGCCTCTGATGATTGCGAAGGACTGCGGTCGATGTCACCCAAGGGCTAATCATCATCAACTAGCGGCTGGAAAAACGGCACATGGATTTGGAAGTTGCCTAAGAGAATGGTACAAACAAGTTATTCCACCAAACCTCTTTGACAATAAGGCCAACCTTTTTTTACTTAGTCTTTGAGACATTAATTCCTTACAACGGTTGTAGGTGTACCTAGGTATGTATGTAGGATGCGATTGCTGGAACCGAACTCTCGCATTGCCCCGTCCTCACCAACAGGGATCCCGATAGACCCCATCCGTTCCGGGTGGGTAGCATGCCGTATGCTGCGTGTAACCACAAATAGGGTGTATTTAGCAGTTGATTGGTCCAATAATAGTGTCTTGCCTGCTAATTCGGTGATCCTCGTATTTCTCGGTGGCCACAGCAGCGCTATATGTCGGCAGTAACTAACAAATGCAGGGCGGGGGGCGACGAGAAGTTAAAAGCATATCTTTTCCCACCTTGTTCAACTATGTTTTCCTTGTACGTCTAGTCTTTCTATTTTTTTTTACTCCCCTAGGTACCTATGTGAACCACGATAGATATTTTGAGCTACTTCCCCGTTCTCGCTCTACGGAAATATAGGGATAACCCTACCTAATAACTAAACCATCATGGCGCCAGCATGGTTAATTCAACCTACGATAGACGACGTGTCCGAGTCCCAGGCACAGTCTCGACGACAGGTTGAAGGAATGGACGATGCCTCGGCGGACGCCTCGGTGGACGCCTCGGTGAGACCATTGACCATAGTTGTCATTGTTCTCCTAGTCCTCCTCACAGTAGTACTCTCCGTACTCGTAATATTACACTTCGTAAGAAAACGACAGCGCGCAGCTCAGGGCGAGTACCAGCAGCCAGGTCCGTTCATAAGTCAGCCCAGATTCAAGACCAAGAGCCGGAAGATGAGCGCCTCCGACCGAGTCGCGGCAGAAGAGATGGAACGAGCGATCATGATCCGAAAGTCACTTGCTAGCCGGGCGTCCTCGGGCAGTTCTTCAGTATCAAGGACATCGAGGACATCGATATACCGGTTGGAGGAGCTTGACCGACAGGAGCGCGAGGGCCTGGCGGCGAAGAGAGAGAGTTGGAAGGAAGAGGAGGCGGGAATCCTACCCATGAGACCGACGCCGGGTATCCACGACACACAGCTAGGCGTACACCCGGCGCTTCTGCCGCAACCCCAACTCGCTTTCCCACCGCCGTCTCGAAGTCCGTCGCCCCTAAGGGGCATTAAGCCGCCGCAGCTGTATATCCCCTCGCGATAGGGATGATCTTTCTCTCGATTTATACATGTACAACATATATTTCACGAGTGGAGGCACCACACTGTTCCGCAAGAAGAGATAATTCACCTCTCCTGTGTATTTTTATCCTTACGAGATGATATTATGAACACTTTTTCACACCAGGCGATTAGTTTTATTACCTAGGTAGTAGTCAAAGCGCACTCGAAGCAAAACTTGGGGTAGGCGCTTCAATTGGATGGATTGGTTACGGAAAACCACGGTATTTTCTTGGGATAATGTATACTAGATCGTGTTACGGGCTTGGGAGTTGGAGCTGTGTATTAGGATTGATACCACGGGGATGGTGGATTAAGCATTGTGGGCGTGTAAGGAGTACAGAGGATGTTACGGATCACCTCGGACTGTATCAAATATATTACCTACCTAGACACATAGATGATTGATTTGTTTGGAAGGAAATGAAAAAAGTAATGCTATGACTACGATGATGTATGGTTGGATGATCATTTGTATGACTAGTAGAAATGACGATGCTTCAACGCCAATGGATTCAATGTTGAATTGATACGTGCCTTAGGTACTACATAAATGCACAGTAGAATACATAGGCATGTATGCTGTAGAACGCTTACGTGTTTTTTTTTTACAACTACGGCAGCCATTACAACCTGGTCTGTCATTTCTCAACACGCAACTACCTAACCTTAACCTACTGTAGATAATTCTTTGGCAAGAACAACAAAGTCATCGACCAATTCTTTGTCGCACAAGGCAAACCATCGCATTTTATTCTGCTCAAACTCTATGTTTCCTTCAATTCTTTAGCTACCTAGGTAAAGATAACATCGCTTCCAATAAATTTTCGTTTAACATGGCTGAATCGACATTGACGATATTATAGCCAACAGTGAATTATTGAACTTGCCTACCTGCACCTGGGCTGAAGCTGCATTCGGTTTGGGTGTTCATTGAAGGTCCTTAAGAGGTTACAAGAAAAGTGGATAAGGTACTTCGAAGTCGGTACAGAAGTACCTAGTACCTGCTGACTCAGATTCTCATAGGACCCACTCTGACATAACAATTCGTAAGAATTCCACATATTGTACCTGGAACTTCTTCCTTCGCGTTTCTTCTTTTCGCCTCTTCACCTTTGTGTCAAGTCGTTTTGACCCTCCCCAACGCAACCACATCGACTTGATTTCATCGGCCACCGCCATCCTGTCATAATGGCGACCGTTGTTCCTCGCCCGGACATTGATTTGTCTTCTCAGATGCTGCCTCCTCCACCAGTGTCTGCGCCTTCAGCTGCAGCTGCGCCCACAGCCGACGAAGAGTACAAGCAGAACCTGAACTCGCGACTCACTTGTCCTGATTGTAACGAAAACCCTCCTAACCTTGTCGAGGAGTTTTCTTCCGGTGATATGGTCTGCGCATCTTGCGGATTAGTTCTTGGTGATCGCATAATTGATACCCGATCCGAATGGCGTACCTTTGCCAACGATGACCAGGGCAACGATGATCCTTCTCGTGTTGGAGATGCTATGAACCCTCTTCTTAGCGGCTCTCAATTGGAGACTAATATTGCCTTTGGTGAGGGCATGCGTTCTCGAGAGCTGCACCGTGCTCAAAATCGTTCCGTCAATGACAAAGCCACCAAGACCCTCCTGAGTGCCTATCGTGAGATCTCCAATCTTTGCGAGGCTATCAGCATTCCCAAAACCACCCAAGATACCGCCAAGCATATCTTCAAGTTAGTGGAAGAAGCGAAACTTTTCAAGAGCAAGCCTATCGAAAGTGTGATTGCTAGTTGCATTTTCATCGCTTGTCGACAGTCCAAGGCTCCCCGAACCTTTCGCGAAATCTTCTCCTTGACCAAGGTCTCCAAGAAAGAGATCGGCCGCACCTTTAAGCAATTAGAGAAGTTCCTGCAGAGCAACCGTGAAGCGAACACGAATGGCTCATTCCTCATGGTCGAGAACTATGAAGCTACTGGCACTACAGGTGCATCTGAATTATGTGCTCGGTACTGCAACAACCTGCAGTTCAAGAACCCGCATCTCATGGAGAGAGTTTCCAAGTCTTTGGCGGAGAAGAGTTCCGCTCTCAAGGACCTTGCTGGCCGATCTCCTCTCTCCATCGCTGCAGCGGCTATCTACATGGCCTCCCACCTCATGGGTGATGCTCGAACGTCGAGGGATATTGCGGCAGTGGCTGGTGTTAGTGATGGCACGATTAGAACCGCATACCGCCACATGTACCCGGCTCGTGACGATCTTGTTGAGAAAGAGTGGCTCAGCCAAAAGGGTGGTGGCCGCATCGACAGACTGCCCCAGAGCTAGTTTCGCAAAGGGAAAAAGACTGAAACTGGGAGGCGAAATCCTCGCGCCAGAAGAATACTTCATGATTCTACGAACACAACCTATTGAAATGCCGGATTAGGTCATATTCCCGAGAGGGACACAAAAAAAGAGAGAACTGCTGCACAGAAAACTTATCATCGTCGTAACTTGCCATGGCCTATATCGCCTAGCTTGTCGACATTACACACCCTACAGCTTGTTAGCAAAGCTGAAGTGGTGCGAATGGGAAGGATGAAACAAACGTACTCGCCGTCGGGTGATTTCCATATTGGCCGGTACTAGTTTCTTTTGACTTTGCGTTTTGCATTGTCTTGGCTCTTGAAATATAGAGCTCTTTCAGGTTGCTATTCTTGCAGCACATATTCACATGAGGCTGGCTTGTGAACAGTCGGTCGGGGGATGCGTTACTAAATTGAGTATAGCCCGCGAAGTGTTTTCGTGTTGAGATATCCCATAGGTGGCAAGGAGGGAAGGATAATTTTAACTGATGACCGAGGGCATGGGCAAGTGAACTCGGCGTGGTCTTCACGATTCTCATGGTTTTGGAGATCGTATACGCCGTGGAAAGCAGCTATAGGAGATAGCTGGGTTGTAACTCGTTCCATGCTTCGGTAAACTAGGTAATTGCATTTTTCAGATCGGTATTGCATATGTTGGGTTGCGTAAGGTGAGAGTTTGATTTTTGAGATCATATATTTATACCCCCATTTTCTCTTCTTTTCTCTTCTATCGTCTCCCTTTTCCCCTTTTGAACCATTTACCCAGATTCTACTAAACTTCACTGCTCCCCCCCAGGGTTAGAATGCACCCAAGGCCACCTACGTAATTGTAGCATTACAATACATAGTAGTTTGATGGTTTTGCACTGATTCGTGGCTTGTGTCTCCCTGCATTTGCGTGAAGTGTCTCAGTGTTGTCTTTTAGGTGTGTAGTCGGTGGAATAATCATCGTGCAACTACATAGTATGTCTACATATGCCTACCTAGGTACCTACTCGGCTTGCCCCTATTCCCCCCCTCCACAGTACTAACCTAGATACCTACCACGTACGTATATATCGATATGTTACGTACTAGACTGCTAGGTGAAAGGTAGTACCGGGGTTAGGACCCGAAACCATGGATAGTGTGGGAGCAGGGACAAGCTACTCGGCACGCAATAGCCCGGCATTATGGGGAAAGCGCGCCCGATATAGGCTCTTTCGGGACCCCGCATAGGTACTTGCTCGATTTCGCCCGTTACACTACGCCTACGTAGTATGCATTACACGGCATCTGCATATGTAGCACCGTTTGTTGCATCTTTCTCAGAGTAACTTGTTTCTCCGATCCTTTATTTCTTCATTCCTTGTCTTTTCTGCTTGACAATTCTTCTGTTATCAAGCAGATTCGTCCCAAGATAGTTCAAGCCTCGGTATCAACTTACGTTCTTTGTTGAAACCAGACTACCTACTACTTACCACACACATCATATCACAGCAAAGCTTGCAACAGATCAACGCAGGTTGCACATCACATCATGAAGCTCCTCTACCCCACATCCCTCAAGCTCGACATCCAGAGCCTCGAGGGCTTCGGCACCACCCTGCACCCCTACGACGTGAAAGCCCCCATCCCCGACGAGCTGACCGACGCCGAGATCCTCGTGACCTGGACCAACACCGCCGACAACCTCCGCGACGCCGCCAAGCGCCTCACCAAGCTCCGCTGGATCCAGTCTCTCGCCGCGGGCCCCAACGACGTCCTCAGCGCCGGCTTTCCCAAGTCCGTCCTCGTGACCACGGGCTCCGGCCTCCACGACCGCACCGTCGCCGAGCATGCCCTCGGCCTCTTACTCACCTCCGCGCGCCGCTTCGACGCCATGCGCGAGGCACAGCTGCAGAAGCGCTGGCCCGCGGAGCTCGGCGGCCCGCAGCCAGATAGGCCGAAGGACCGCTTCACGACGCTGCGCGACGCCCGCGTCACCATCTGGGGCTACGGCAACATCGCCAAGACCCTCGCCCCCTACCTGACTGCCCTGGGCGCTACTGTCCGCGGCATAGCTCGCTCCGCCGGCGTCCGCAACGGCGTCGAGGTCTACGCTGACGATCGCCTCGCGGACCTGCTCCCGCACACCGACGCGCTCGTCATGATCCTCCCCGGCGACGCGAGCACGGCCGACGTGCTCAACGCGAAGACGCTCGCGCTGCTGCCGAGGCACGCGTGGGTCGTCAATGTCGGGCGGGGCACCAGCATCGACGAGGATGCGCTCGTGGATGCGTTGGAGAAGGGGCAGCTAGGGGGCGCGGCGTTGGATGTGTTTAAGACGGAGCCGCTGCCCGAGACGTCGAGGCTGTGGGCGGCGCCGAATGTGCTGGTTAGTCCGCATGCGGCGGGCGGCAGGCCGCAGGACGCGGAGGCGTTGGTGGCGTATAACTTGCGGAGGTTTTTGGCGGGGCAGGAGTTGAGGAATTTGGTGTAGCCATTATGGGGCAGGAGTGTGCTGTAGGGTGTAGATTGGGGTAGGGGTTGGGTGGTGATTGTAGGGGGAGGGGAGGGGAGGGAAGGGGGGAGGCAGTAGTACATAGTTAGGTGCCTAGCTGGTACAGATATACATACCTACATATTATCAACTTTTTATCTTCAAAATTCTTTAGATATCGGCGTAGAAGTGATTTTTATGTTCGCTTGTGTTGGTTGGCTAGGTAGTTAATGGAATATCCTGTAGGTATTCCTATGCTTGGCTCGACGAAGAACTACATAAATAAATACCTGGCTAGGCACCTACTGCTTATCATTACTCACACATCCGGCAAGTCGAACAGAGCATGTGAAGGGTATGGTTGTTAATTAGACTCAGTGTTACTTACGAAACTTCGAGCTACTTTCAGTGAAGCGGAGGAGGTGGTTTAAGTTGGTCTTGTAGTTTTGAGTTAGAGGTCTGGATGCTATTCCTTAATCCATTGTATACCTGAACATGTATCCAGTGGCCAAGTATCTGATATCATCAACAACAACACGACATATCGACTCCGTTGTGAACAAACGTCAAAAAACACCAAACATGAGTTGCACCGTCCATAGTATCCATATCATGTACCATTCCCAGCCCAGCAGGTATCTAATATCATCAACAACACGACTTGTCGACTCCATCCTAAACAAAGCCAAAGAATACAAGACATGGGTTGAACCGCCCATGGTATCCGTATTATAAACCACCATTCCCAAATCCTAGCCCAAGACGCATAAGTGCTATCGTCCATCATAGCTGTAGCCGCCGTAGTCCCAAGACACGTGAGGTGGTCAGACATAGATACCTAGTTTGGGTAGGTAGTCCATCGTGGCATAAAAAGGATGGAAGGCCCCTTCAAACCACCACATGGAAGTCCTTGAACGACTCCCGGCCCTCATCGTCTTCCTCCTCTACCTATGTTACGCTCCATCACGGGATAAACAGCGCACCAGGTCTCTTCAAACCACCGCATAGAAGCTAGGAGAGGAATCCAGCCCCACATCGTCCAGCTCTTCTCTTGTCTGCTCCACCAAGGTGAAAGTTGGCGATTCAGCATGGAATGAACTGGAATCCAGACCTTCGAAACCACCGCAAAGAAGCCATTGAGAAGGTCTTCGTACTCCCCTTCTCTCCTTCCTCTTCTTCTCAACCAAGGTAAAGGTAGGTACTAGGTAGGTAGTCCATCGTGGAACGGACAGTGGACCGGGCCTCTTCAAACCACCACATATATCCGGAAAAGTCAGGCGTCGCTCTCTCACGGTAGGTAGGTCGGAGCAACGCGATCTTGGCCTAACACATCTGTCTGTGGTCTTCCGAAACCTGATGATGTGGTCTCGCTATGCCTGAGACAGCCAAGACACGATGGATGGCATCAAGTGCCGGGACCCAGAGTGAAAAGAGTATTGATGGCTACTGAGCTGCCTACGGCAGCGTAAACGCTTGGGACTGCCCAAGTAGCATCAATATCGAATCACCGCACACAAATACCCCGTCTCTGTTGCGAATGAAGGTATCCTTTCTCGTTGAACTTTTGATCAAGGATCCATTGTGTCGGTAGTAGTGTTCTCCTTCAAGGTGAGGTAGGCAGGCAGTTAAGCATGAGCAGACTGCTTTCTAGGCCATTTAAACCGCCGCATGGAAGCCATCGATTCAGTCCATAGTAGTCCTGGGCCTTTCGTCCTCGGTAGGCAAGTCAGAGAGAGCAACGCCATCGTAGCCTAGGCCACCTTTCTTCCCCCAACCCGGGCAGGGCATGTGGGCCATTGACGTTTCCCAGTTCCTTGCAGGCAACCTCGGCAGACAAGCAGTTTCTCTCTAGCTGCTTCCACCCATCCTTTCAAACATGGGAGATTCGCGCCCTTCTTTGGTTCGCGAATGCGCACCTGGTCTGACTGACTGCAGGAAAAGCACAAATACAGGGAAGTTGTGGTGCGATGGTGTGAATGCCACAGGGGTCAGGGCCGACGAAACGGTATTTCCAGTAGTCTCTCTGGCGACGGGCTCTACACCTGGCCTAACTGCGAAGAAAACAGAGAAGTGTTGGACAACGTTGCTGGGAGTCCGATACCGGGACCAAGGAGAGTGTGGCGATGAGTGCTCACACGATTCGGAACAGAGCAATAACTCGTGGATGAAGGCTAAATGATGTGGGGGTTTAGATGATATGGCGGAGAGCAGCCACCCGGAGGCTGGATACTTTTATGACTGGGCGGAGACAGAGAGGCGGCGAACGGCAGTGGAGTGGCCCTTTGCCGACCTCCAATGGGATGTAAGTGATGGATTGAATGTGAAGATGTGTGACTATCATCCCCTTTATGTCGCCTTTTGCCAACAGCCAAGAGTACATGGCATAAGTAACCGTCAGGCTAATGTTAAGGAATGACTCCACGAACAGAACGGCCAGCAATGATACCGTTCCTCCGCAGTAGAATCTTTTCGTCGCAGCCGAATAGGTAAAGCCAAAGAAACATGCACCCCCCAAGCGCATGTTGGATCCGGTCTCAGAACCCACTAGAAGCCGTACTTGACTACAGTTGCTTGAGTACTCTGTTGGTTGTTCTAACCAGTCCCCCCCCCCGCCGGTATTTCGGCGAGGTCCAGGAACCGGTTTTCGTATCTCCTTGAGAAGGACCGCAAGTCCTCTGTGTGAAATGCAAAGAATGGCTTTCGTGTAAGATATCCCAAGCAGATCATCTTAAACTGCTTGATGGCAATCTTCTTGCCATCTTGATGTCCCGCTTCCAGTTCAGGCCAGATGCCCGTGATCCAGAAATAATCAAGGACATTGTAGTCCTCAAGTAATCTAGAACATTGGAGTAGAGCCTCTGCTGATGGCTCCATAGACGCCATACCTCAAGTTTTGTTGCTGCTCAAACAATCCAAGTCGGACCAGATGTCGGTAATCCAAAAGTAATCCAGGACGTTGCAGTCCTGAAGCGACGCGGAACATCGTGGTAGAGATCTATGTTTGATGGCTCCCTAGCCACCAGATATCAATGTGCTGCTCCTCCAGCCATTCAATCACTGACTTGTCCTTGGTGGTCTTGCCACAATTGAATAGGCGAACCCAAAGAGAACGCGCACCTCCATCGGGGCATAGTGTTGAATCGGTGTCACGCCCACTGTAGGCCGGATTTGGCTTCAGCTGCTCGTGTTGTTTCTTTGGCTCCCCACTGTAAACATTAGGTTGGGGTAGGTACGATTTGTTGTAGGTATCTTCGGGGACAAGACACAAGCGCCCCCTCGATGGTAGGCGGTGTCAAGCCAAAAGCAATGACTATACCCTTGCCACGGAACCATGAAGTCTTTCGCTCAAATCATCAAGTGTCGGGCTATTCATAAGGTGCGTTGTCGTAAGCGAATGCACAAACCCAAAGAGAACACGCACCCAATGTGGGTGGGGACTGTGTCTGATGCCAGGCTCATGTCCCGCTGTACTTCTTTTCTGTTGCTGGTAAGGCGCTTGTGACATCCCAGCCCGCTGACGAAAGGTTGAGTAGTTAACAAAAACAAACAAGTAGGGACTTGTTATGCCACCGGAAACAAAAGAAAAGCCCTCCCCCTATGGGGTATGAAGTATTGGTATCTCGCAAGGTAAGAGGGCGGCGAGCGTATTGCTTGATGGCGATTTTCTCGCCACCCTCGTAGCTTTTCCCAGTTTCGACCAGATGCCTGTGATCAAAAAATAGTCTGGACCGCCGACACACATCTGATCCAGAAATAATCTGGAACGTTGTCAAAGCCATGAGGCGAAATAATTACGTCTCTCAGATCAGTAAAACTGCACTTGTCGACGAACTCGTTGTCCTGAACCCATAAACGCCGACCACGATGCTCTCACTCATGTCATCCTTGTCGGACTCCCAGCAAGCCATCGCTGTGCTGTATTTCCTTGAAGAGCCTTGTGGGCTTCTGAGGCGGTTCCCTCCAGAATAGGAGGAGGGTTGGCACACGATTTCTGTACCTCCTTGGAGAAAGGACAAGGACTCTCTACAAGATATAAAGAATTGGTATACCGTAGGGAAATTATACTATGTATGAATTCGGGGTGTGTGTTGAGGACAGCCTCTATAGGTTGAGAGAGAGTGGCAATACCGCTGTAGGCCATAAGTTGAAACCTTGCATTGCGTTAGACTCGTTGAGATAGGCTTGCTGTGAGGTTATCTGGTTAGCCTCTGGAGGTGACCAAGTTCTGGGGCTGGGCATAGACGGCATAGTATGATGTAAACCCCTCGGACCGCTTGCTGGAGAACCATGAAAAGAGTAGTTCTCCATGTCCACTTCGCAAGCGGTCGAGGGGCGCGTTGGACATATACTCTGAGAAGAGGATCCAGCTGAGTGGATTTGTGGATATTGGTATTGTGGCAGAGATGTATTGATGGCACTAGGATATGGCGTGGGTAGAGATACTTTGGTTAGCGAAGGCCTGCTCCCAATCCGTTTGAAAATAGCCGTCGGCAGATAATTCGACTATGTGTCCCAGTTTGGTGCGTCTGGGGAGGAAAAGCTGTTTGCTGGAGCGGTTGAGTATGGAACTCCTTTCACGGAGTTCCTGTCATGGATACTATTCAGCGAGTTGTGGTGATGAGCTAAGAACTGGAAATCTCTCCCAGGGAGTAGGTCGGAGTAATCTACAGGTACACCTAGCATGGTGTTGGGAGGTATGTATGTGTCGGGGATGTGACTGAGACTGCTGACCTGTCTCAGTCGGCGAGTGAAGGAGGAACGACGGCAATGCGTCTACATGCAGTATCGGGAAAGTTAGATGAGGATGTCCAACGCTTCCGGAAAGACGGGAACGTGCTGCGTATCTTCTGACCAACCACGCCACAAATGGTGGTGATGAGAGCCAACCACGTCAATAGCTGCAGCCGCTGCTGCTGCAGTAAGAGACAAAACTCTTTGATGGGACGACTCTTCGATGTGGCAGCCAGAAACCCACGCAGGGGATTGGAATGGATCCAATCACCATCCAATCACCCCAAGACCACGACAACCGTCGGCGACGCGGAGACAATGCTCCCGCGTGGAGGGCCAATGAGGAATGGTGCCCCCCCCCCCCAACCCCCCCCCAAACCCCCGGGCGAGCGTGTGAGGGATGCTCGCGCCCGGTTTGTGAGGGGGAGATCGATTTTAGTGTAGAGGAGAACAATGGGAGAGAAAATAAGAATTGATCGAAAACAGCACACCTTCGAGGGAGTAGTAGTAGAGTCAGCTGCGGTCGGTGGTCTTGCGGTACAGTATACCTGTGCCTTGCTGCTTGACACAGACCACCGACGGACGTCATATAGTCATCCAGCTCCAGGTCCGCGGCGATTACGGATGGCTGTCGTAGTGTCCTGTAAGAACAACCGTGTTCCAGTGCCTTGCACTCTAGGTAGGAATCCCGAAACCGAGTAAGACGGACAAGCAACATCCATGGTTTTCATCATCGTCAGCCACTCCTTTGTTACCAAGGTCGTCCTCGAATCTATTTCCACAAGCCGACAGCCTCGGAAGTTAAAATGCCGTGTGCAAATCAAATCATATCAACGCGAGTTCCTTGCCGCGGTCTTCTCAGAGAAGGGCAAAGAGAAAAAGATTGAGAAGGTCAAAGGCGGCGGGGCAGATGGTATGTAGACGAGATTGAGAAGAGAAGTCAAAGGGAAGCCGTGTGTAATGACAGGACATGATCTTAAGGTCCAGCAGCTTGAATCTCCGCGGTATTGTGCGGCAAAACCTCCCCACCCGCGCTCTGCGCGGTGAGTGTGAGGTCGCCTCCAGTGACAGGTTTGCGAGGAGGATTAACCGAAGCAGCTGAGCTCAGGGTATTGACCCCGTGTTCATCATTCTCGTCATGGATTGCTGGACTGGCTAGACTGTACTCAACCATGGCAGAGAGGCAGGCTATGGGGAAGAGAGCTGGTGCGAAAAGGAACCAGTATGCAGTGACAGGACATGTGCTTAGAGTTCTCGGCTTGCCCGATGTTGGGCAATCGCTTAGGGCGGCGCCGCGGGACCCCCCCGTCGGGCCTTGATAAGAAGGAGAGAGGCGAAGACAAAAGCCATGTAGGGTAAGAAGACATGCAGGCATACCAGCGAACGCTGTAGCTCTCAAGTAGCTTGAAGAGCACCCGAGCCCCGCGTATTGAGCCTGTTCTTCTACTTGCCAGCCGGGCTAGCTGAGCTGTACCCGGTTCAGGGCGGAATAAGGGACTTCCGGAAACGAGAGGAGGCGAATGAGAAGCCCCTAGGCGATGACACGACATGAAGTGTTGTAATGTTTTCGAGCCCCCCACCTGAGCCTTTTCTTGGACCTTTTGTGCCTTGTTTATCTACCTCCCAAGCTGGCTAAATTGGAATGAACCATGGCGGAGAGGCGAGACTCAGATTTCATCTCTTCATCTTGTAACTCTGTAGGAACCGGGCTGGTTCCGTAGAAGCCCCAATGCGGCATGTCGGTAGATTCGCGAGCTGTAAAAATATGCCATAGAACGAACGAACGAACGAACGAACGAACGAACGCAACGAACCCCCGCCGTATGTGCCTCGTCGGTTGCACCCGACCGAGGCCAGTGGGGCTTGCAGCAGTTCTGGTGAAACGCGGCGGCCGAGCCAGTGTTCTGGCCCTGTTGGCCTTTTTGACAAACGCCAGTGTGGTTGGATGTATGAAGCCGCCGTGTGTGCTTCGTCAGACTCCCCAAACTGTCTCCAGTTCGGCTCGCGTCGGTTCTGGGGCCTTCGTAGTAAGGGTAGGCACCGTACGTGGCTGGGCCTTCTGGTAGAGGCCAGTGTAATTTGCAACGGTTATGGTAGAACGAGAGCAGCAACCCCCCCATCGGAGGTTGTGCCATGTGCTCAAGAGAAGCCCGTGGGGCTTGCAAACGGTTCTGATGGAGCAGCAAGCCAACAACCACGTAGTGAACAGGTACAAACGACGGTGTTGTTGGAAGGCTAGTGTGATGCCTCGGCGTCGCTTTCCGTGAATGGCGGGCCACTGCCGCCTGTCCCAGAAGTCGAATTGAATAGGACCGGCGCGAATGTAATGAGCCAATACCCAAACAGGACGGCAGCATGATCGGGGAGGTATCTAATTCCCCCCCGATGTATGCCTGCCAATAGTAGACGCCAACCCCACTGACGGACCGAGGGACACGCTTTTGAATAATTGAACTGTTGTGATTATTCTTGAGCTTATCATGGTTCTCTCCCGCCAATGCGAATTGTGTATTAATGAGCGACACGCCCCAGCAGCAAGAATGTGGTGTGAGACGGCACGCCCCCGCCCCCCGTGTGTGTGCTTGCGGCACAAGCACGGAGGGCAAGGCTCCCCGAGGCCGGTTTTTGATATTTTTGTTGCCACGACACGAACATCTGTTGTTGTGGTTTTTCTCGACCGTGCAGTCGTGCTCTTGCTTATATGGGACAGCTAAGGAGGCCCATTGTAGATGTGGGAAGCTAGCAGGAATGAGGCAATCATACCATGACGTGTTTCGGATGACTGGACCGCACATGTAATGCTTGTGTTTGCGTCCTAGCCATGTCATTGTTGCGGCGGGTTTCGTCGTTGTTAGTGCTAGTAGCATGACACTTCATCCGCCGCAAATAAGATACCAAAGCAAGGCAGTATTGTGGAAATGCTGTTGTCACGACCTATCGCCTTGTCGATTCAACACAATATCACTAATTGCGGACCTTTACTTCTTTGTAGTGTCCGAATACTTCTCATACACTCGCAATGGAGTTTGATCATCATTGTTCCTGTCCTCAATTGTTTCTTGGTGCCGAGAGAGAAGCGAAACCACCGAGAAGGATGAAAGCGGGAGTTTGCATCCTTTGACGACGTGAAGCAAGACCTGTTAGAATCGCTTATGTGGTTTCAAATCGGCTTAGTCTGATCACCGCCCGACTTGCGTTATAGGTATTCGCCGTCGTGAACAAGATGATACTACACAGAAATCCCACCATTCCCATTGACTGAGAATAGACTTTCTCGCCCAATAATCTTTGTTGAGAGGTTGCCCACGCCAAAAGAGTACTATGATGGCATGTTTGCAGTTGAGGAGGCCTGGAATGGCAGAGTATCGGAAACGAGCCAAGAAGGCCGTGTTAAGTCGTTGGACCAACTGGACTTGTGGTGATAGGGCGGGCCAATTGACAGAGCAGGGCAAATGGAGGACGAGGACGAATGAAAATGAGGATTATGGCGAAGAAAGGGAAGACCACGTATTGTGGTAGAGATGTATTGATGTCAAGGACGCCCCAAACCAGAAGAAATCAGCCCCAGGCACGTGTATACTGTACCGCTGCTGGTGTGCTTCTTGACTTGAATATTTTCTGTGTCTTAATTCCTTCTATGTCTGAATCCAATTGGTTAGCTTTTGTTGTCAAATGTGGTGGTGTATTAGTAGGTAGTAACTTACTGAAACTGTCCACGACATATGATATTCCATCAGACTTTGTTTGAACGAGGAACATCATCTCCGAGGAGAACCTCCGACAAATGGCGGGGTGGAACACTCTCCTCGCCATTTGACGTTCTCGATTTGATAATTGACCACTTCGTCTCCCTAATATTTCGCATTAGAATCGTGATATCTCAAAATTATTGTGTGATCTTCTCTTCGATGACCGTTTTTGAGAGAAAAAAAAACCCCCCAAAACAAAACAAAGACACGCAAGATAATTGATACCAGAGTAAAATAATAGATAGGAGTAACTTACCAGTGTAGCGTAGGCGGCGCCTACAGCTCATCAAGCCATGATTAGACTCTGCTTAATATACGCCTTTTGGGCAATCACTTTGCAAGAGCTTCTCCGTGACGGTTTCAGGAGAGGTTTGTATTGATCTTTAAGTGAGGTACATTAATGATCAAGCACGTAATGTTGCGGGATGAATAGCCGCCACGAAGAGAGGGCAAGAGAGGCTGAGAGGAAGGTATGGGGAGGAGCGTGGTAAAGAAGGTAAATTAAGACGAGTGTATTGAGGAGGAGATATTGAGGAGGAAATGCTTGGGAGAGAAGTATTGGGGAAGAAGGTATTGGGGAAGAAGGTGTTGGAGAGGAGGGTATTTAGGAGGAATACCACGGTCCACGGCCAATCTGGTAATGTAAGAAAGGCGTAGAATAATACCTAGAAGCAGTATGAAGGGAAGTAATAATGTGAATTGCCAGTGATGATGATATATATAGAGAGCTCTATATGTATATCTTTGGAGAATGACCAAAGCTGTAGAGGCAGAGGATGAATGGCCAAGTTGTGCTGGGCTGTATGAAAGCAGTATTATTTAATTTTTATTTTCTTTGCCAGAGATCTGGGAAAGAGAGATGAAGGAAGAGGAAGAAGGAAAGATGAAGGGAAGCAGGCTGGCTTTATATAGGTAAACAAACACCCCGGTCAATCAGTAATCAGTGAGTCGACGATCTGATCATAATACGACCTGAGAACCCTCATGGTCGTCGATGTGGTATGTCGTTATATCATGCACTAGGGGGTATCTCCTTGCTCATGTGAGCCCAGTGTAGGGATCCAATTACAAAGTTGGTGCTTGAGCATGTTTCATGAGTCGATTGGCTCAGTCGATAGACTCTGAGGCTTATCACAAGACTCATCGTAGTACCATATTAGGTTTCCAAGGATGGTCGACATAAGGAGTTGGACCCCTGATCACTACCTACCTACCTACTGGCTAGTAGCTGCTTATATAGCATCTAGGCCTGTAGATAGATACCTAGTACCTAGGTAGGTAGACATTTAAATGAGTAGGTACCTAGGTAAGCAAGTAAGGAGGCAGATAGGGGGGTTTGACAAAAGATGAAGGACAATGGTTCCAAAGCTGACTCCTTTCTATTCCCAGCCATATATGTATGCCCTAACCCTACCAATGCAAACCGACCTGGAGATGCCCATCATCGATGTGCTCATAACCCAAACGGCCTTACAACAGGCCCCTAGCTATGTCATTAGACGCATAATCTCTATACCTCTACAAAAATCTAAGCAGTCGCTTATTTATGTTCCCTTTTATACCACCGAATTGTGTCTAGACCTGTCTGTACACGCATGCCGATCCGGGCATCCAGGACAAACGCCTCCCATTTAGCCACCTTCTCGAGCCATGACTGGCATTCATTCACCTTCTCTCGTAACCAACCCTCCTCATCTTCTTCGTTTACGTCTTTTCGGAGCTCAGGATTCAGGACTTCGTTCCAGGCGAGGGCAGCCATTTCGTAGTGAGCACCAGGCAACGGGTAGTCATCTTTGGTTGGGCCCTTAAATGCCAGCCTATTGTTTGTTTATTAGTTGAGTTCTTCATTTTTAGGTACTAACCTAGGTAGTGATGACTTACTTATCCATAGCTAATACAGTATCTAGCAGCTCGCGGGCCTCGTCAAAGTTACCAAGAGACCGTGCGACCGAAGCCCGACAGACATCCCGCACAGCCTGCTCGTCGATCTCACTCCTGATCTTTGTCTGTGCCTCCTTAGGCGCCGTTAGTCGATCCCAGGCTAGAGCCTTTTTCGACATTTCGAGCTCCGAAGCTTGCATCTTCTTCGTTCCGTTCCAAAGATATATCACCTCTTCCGTGGGGCTGACACCGATCGCGTCGACGAGGTCAATGCCTAGTTCCTTGGACCTATCTTCCCATTTTTGCATCTTCCGCGAGACGAATTCCTCAAAGGGTAGAGGCTTAGCTAAGAACCGTTTTCTTCCAGCTACCGTAGGTGCTTTGCGTAGTAGCTCATTAGTCTTCTTTTTGTGAAGCTGGATACGAGTCTCGTCCTTCTTTTCGCTATGGAAGGCATTCCTGTAGATCTCTAGCTCGGCACATCCGGCAATATAGTAGTATAGACTAGGGCTCCAGTCGTTAAGTTCTATACAGCGGATGAAATTGTCGCGCATCTCGGGGTAGTCGTGTACAAACATGGTGTTTAGTGCCATTTCGAAATTGTTCAGTGCCGTCACCTGTCGCATCTTGGACTTCGTATTACTCTTCAGAAGTCTGAGAGAGCCAGGTAGGTCCCTGCTGATACTGAGAACCCGGGCCTCCTCGAATCGCCACAATCCACTCTCCGGGTATCGGGTGCGCATCTGAGCTATGAGAGCACTGCACCTAGCCTTCGGGTACCCAATAACAGCACCATTTCTAATATCCTTCTCAGAGGGAAGAATGTCGGCAAAGCTTAGAAGACCGTTGTAATAAGACAGTAACATGAGGCCTGCTACAGCCCCATTGATATTATCAAATTTTGAACTCTGCCAAAGCATGTTTATGCCGCGCTCACGGTCGCCCGTGAAGCCAATTATAGACAGGAGACGCGAGAAGGTAGGAGGAACCATGGAAAGAAGGAGTAAGAGAGAACCGTAACACATGTTGACGCCGCTATGGGTAAAACTGTCGACAGTATTGCTGAAGATCTCCGAGTCGGGGCCACTCTTAAACCCACCTCGCGTAGGTGGACTTACTGGCCTGTTCGTACCTCCCGGTTTTGATGCGGAATTTGAATTTATAGATAATTTACTCATTCGCTTCTCAGGCGTATCAGTGCTTTTAGAAAGGTGGCCTTCGTATTTCAGAGGCGTTTGTGTTCCAGAGTGTCCCTCATCCGCGTCTACAAACTCAAGGTCGGTGTCATCAGTGTCGTTAGAACTACCGTGTCCACCGGAAATTGAGCTGGAAGACGACTCAATGTTTTCTTTGGAAAAATCAGAATGCAACCCCTTTCTCTTGAGATATGCCGTTTCTGATTGCATAATTCCGTCGAGTGTGATGAAGGCCTTTCGTAGCTTGTAAAAGCCCTTGAGACCTTCGGTCAAGCTCTCGTGTAGTACGGCTATGATGGCCGACATAAGTTGCGCATCGGCGATAACCAATGCGTACTCACTTCCTGGGGGGTAAATTTTGTCTTCCGCCCCATTAGAACTCCCAGCCTCCTTCTGGGCCTTCTTCATTTGATTCCAGGCAATAGTCTCGCACTCGTAGAGACGATTGCTCGCTTCGACCATGTAGGCCTTTTCGAAACCCAGAATACTCCTCATAAACATACAAATACTCAATCCAAGATGATGAAAAGCCGAATCCCCCTTCCGCAGTTTTTCTTCGGCGCCGTCGATATCGTCATTCATGATCAGAGCGGTACTGGCCATCGCATCTTCCATCGAGGCTATTTCGCGAGCACGGAGATCCGTCTGGGAAGCTGCTGGGCTCGAGCCCGCACTAGCTTTAGGGGCCGAGCCCCGAAACCATGCCCTCATGGTGATAGATTTAGGGGCATAAATTTCTAAATTATGAAAAGGGTAGGAACTATTTTGACTACGAGGTTGACAGTAACCACCCTCGAGTCTTTTTTTTTTTAAATTAAAAAGAGTAGCCGAAGAATCCGGCTTTGTTGACAAAGACACAGGGAGTAGGCTCCTTCTGATTTCTTAAAACGCCACAATTTGGCGTAAAAACAAGCAGTTTTTAGGGCATGTGAGTGAAGGGTTCGACACTGTTGTTATAAGTTTGGGACAGCTTATGTAAATGACGACCAGCCAGATATTGCCTCGTGCGTCGGAGCTGAAATTGCTATTTACCGAGTTACCTGTGACCCTTTTTTCAGGGACGGCCGGAATGACGTTCTAAAAGCCGGTAGACTAAACAAAGGCTGCGTAGGTATCCGCTGCCTAGTAAATACTAAGTATATAGTGCTAAGCTAGATCGGACTTTTATGTGTATAGTACGTTATCGCCAGCCAGGTACTTGGGCTTGGGTGTATACTATATAGCACACCAAACGGGTACCATATAGTTGTTAGGTATGTAGGTAGGTAAGTATGAACAAAGTGGGAATGGAAATGGGAACGGGAACGGCAACGGCAACGGGAACGGGACCAGACAGGAAGGGATGGATGTGTATTATGTAGGTAAGTATCGTAGACGTTGGCTGTTGTACGCAATGCTAGTATGGTACTATGTAAGATGAAGAGTTATGTCAGACAGGATTTACAAGGCAGCATGGATGTTAGGTTAGTAGAAGTCGGTATATACCCAGGTAGGCTTGATAGGTACCTAACAAACAACCTAACAGCCTAACTCGACCGAGCATAGGCGAAGAATGCAGCAAGAAGGAGGCTCAGTGATAGATGATATAGGTATACGTAATAGGTAATTGGCGGGAAGATCAACAATTTAAACAACGACACGAAGCCTACGGAGTGCCTGGTATATAGTAGAACCTTGAACTTTACATAGAAGTATAAGTAAGCCCACTCTTTGTAGCATCGACTCTGGAAGTATTTACGTGGTACGGGGTTATATTATCAGTGCTGTTCAGCTCCTCTTCATCCAGTTTTCCCAATTATTCGGAATGTAAAGTAATTGGCTCGGGGATAAGCCCTATTAAGCCCTAGACAACGGTGGAATGTTTGTGGTTTTTTAAGCTCTGCACTTACCAGTAGGTTAATACTTGTAACCGTAGTATCGGCCTTAACCTTATCTTGCTTTATCTCGTGATTCTCGTCTACTTCGTATTGTACAGTACTTAGGTACCTATGCATTAAACGAGCTTACTAATCTTACTAATGACATATATGTACTGTACCGGAGCTGTATTATCTAATCGAGTAGCAACACTTCCGTCACTTGAGGTCTCTTTTTGTTCGAGCATCACTTCAACATTCAGCCTTGCCGAAAACCACAAACAAACCGACCAATAATCGCAAGAGACAAGCCATCCGCATAAATTTCCTCTTCTCATACTAATCTGTAACGAGACGCGGAATTTAATCCTCGACAACAAACAGGAAATTACGGAAGAAAAAACAGGAGCTATGGCCGCACCGACAAACAAGCAATCCGGCGACAAGCCCGCAGCCGAAGCCGCGAAGCCAGAGCAACCCCAACAGCAAAAGTCGGCCGCCGCACTAGAGGAAGATGACGAGTTCGAGGACTTTCCCGTCGAAGGTGCGTTTGCTACGTTTGCTTCTAGCATCTGTTTTTAGACTCGGAGAATATATACTCTATCAAGCAACCAGCTAACGTAATGTGGCACAAAACGTAGACTGGCCAGCAGAGGAGACCGAAGCCGCAGCAACAACGACAACAGGTGGCGACGGCACCACGACGCAGCACCTGTGGGAGGAGAGCTGGGATGATGACGATACTACCGATGACTTCTCCACGCAGTTGAGGTTCGTTGACCTTCCATCCACATGCCTACCTACCTACCTACCTACCCATACACATATATATGCATCTCTAGCATACATAGCAGCCCACCCTACTCCCCCCTTTACCCAAGTCTACAATACAAGGCAAAAGACAAGCCAACTAACACTCCCAACCCAACCAACAGAGAAGAGCTTAAGAAAGTCGAGTCCTCCAAGCGGCGATAAACCCATAACATCCCAGGACTATGTGTAGCAGACCTGTTTATCTAGCTACCCAGCTACCCCGACATTTCCTCGTCTACGAATCGTACTAAGCCGCTCACTCACTCAATCGGGGGGGAAGATCCGCCTGGAAGCAAAGCTACACTTACCTGTCCGTCCATTTTTCACAAGGCCCGAGGGCTGGGTAAAGCACATGAACCACTCTGCAATTATCCAGTCTGCGGACTCGTCCCCATGAATACATTATACACACAAAGAGAGAGGAACGGATGATGGTAGAAATGAAGATATTCAAATGGGACAGCAAGCATACAAGCAGGAGAAAAAAAAGAAATAGCAGAGCTTCATTACCTACCTAATAGACACACACGTAAGACAGGCATACATGTTTCGAACAGCTGGACTCGTGAACCCATACTATCTACCTAGCCAGGCGTACATACAGTCATACACCACGATGACTATCCGACAAATAGTATATACGCAAGTATTTAAGATACTTGCACGTACTTGCACGTATTCTACATTTGACGCAGTGGTACTTTTCTAACACAATCCTTCCTTCATGTGTTGATGCTATTGGCAACTACAAGAATAGGAATTACACTCATCGGCACTCTCATCAGCACTAACAAACATCTTAAAATGACATATACATGTTCGACGTCTAAACTTATATTTTGGTATATTGTATTCATCTATGTGGCATCAACATCGTGTAGGTGCAAAAAAACTCTCATAAAGAATCTCGTTCCGTTTCTTTTTTCCCGTAAACTCTTTAATCTCAGTATCAAAATCGTAATAATAAAAAATGATGAAAAGGATACCGATGCCGCCTGGCTAATCTAGGTAGGTACTGTAGGTACTGTAACCAGCGTCCCGAAACCTGATATGTCACTCTCGCCCAGAAGTACTCATTTAGGTAAGGTAGCCAGGGAGCTACTAGTAGGTAGCCAAGTGATCCGATGCCTCATAACCGCACCGATGGCCCCAATAACCCTCATTTCGTGCTAAGGGCGACCACACCCGGCAACGCCTTGCCCTCGAGCAACTCAAGGGACGCGCCGCCACCTGTCGACACGTGAGAGCACTTGCTCTCGACGCCGTACTTGGCGGCCACGGTCGCGGTATCACCACCACCGATGATACCAATCTTGCCGGCGCCGACAGCGGCAGTGAAGGCATCGAGCGTGGCCTTGGTGCCGTTGGCGAACTTCTCGAACTCAAAGACGCCGGGGGGTCCGTTCCATAGGATGGTCTGGGCGGCGTCGATGGCCTCCTTGTACAGTTTGATGGATTCGGGACCGCAGTCGAGACCCATCCAGCCATCGGGGATGCCCTCCTTGTCGGTGGCAGTACCGGTGGTGGCGTCCTTGTCGAACTTGTCGGCGGTGATGTAGTCGACGGGGAGCACGACCTTGACGTTGTTGGCCTTGGCCTTCTCGATGAGCTTGGCCACGTTCTTGGATCCGGCTTCGTCGAAGAGAGAGTTGCCGATGCTGACACCCTCGAGAGTCTTTTTGAAAGTGAAGGCCATTCCACCGCAGATAATAATGCTGTTCACCTTTTCTAGAAGGTTGTCGATCAGCTGGATCTTGTCGGACACCTTGGCACCACCTAGGATGGCGAGGAAGGGGCGCTTGGGAGACTCAAGAGCCTGTGCGAAGTAGTCCAGTTCCTTCTTCATGAGGAAACCAGCAGCCTTTTGGGGGAGGTCGACACCAACCATGGAAGAGTGTGCTCGGTGGGCAGTCCCGAAGGCATCGTCTAGGGAGGCGGTGGTTAGTCATTGCCTGTTCACCACCACATTGAGATCAGGTGGGGTTGGGATGAGAGGGGATACTCACTGACGTAGACATCACCAAGGGCAGTCAATCCCTTGCGGAATTCGTCAACTTTAGCCTTGTCGGCCTTGACCTTCTTTCCCTCAGCATCCTTGGAAGAACCCTCTTCCTCAGCGTGGAAACGCAGGTTCTCTAGCAAAACAACTTGGCCGTTGGTTGCCTTGTTCACGATAGCCTCGACCTCAGGCCCGACGGAGTCTGGGGCGAACTCGACGCTCACTCCCAGCAACTTCTCGAGCTCGGGGACAACGGGCTTGAGGCTGTATTTGGGGTTGACCTTGCCATCAGGACGGCCAAGGTGGGACATCAATACGACAGCCTTGGCGCCGTTGTCGATGGCATACTTGATAGTGGGGACGGCACCAGCAATTCGTTGGTTGTTTGTAACCTTCTTATCAGCATCGAGAGGGACGTTGAAGTCGACCTTTTAGAAAGATTCTTTATTAGTACTTTCTACATATAAATGCGTGATATACCCAAACCAGTTGTTTGCCGAGTCAAGAAATTCAATCTCTAATGTTTAACTTTAGATTACTTACACGAATGAGCACTCTCTTGCCCTTTAGGTCAACGTCCGTGATGGAGAGCTTGTTTGACAGAGACATTTTGGTGAAAATGGAATATGCAACTCAATTAATTCCTTTTTGTTATCTGAGATTTCTTGAGGAGGTTCGTCTGAAGAAAGATTTAGGAATAATAATTCAAAAAAAAGGTTGCGGTATTTCAATGTTGTTTTTTTAAGGATGTCCGGTAGGAAAAACACGCAGTAGAAGGAAGACCGGACTAATAATCTTGACTTTACAAGTACATACAGCAACCTTGAATCTCAACGATGGAGGGGTTGGAGGGGTAGCAGGTACATCAGCTCCCCTAAAACGTAGTGGGGTGAGGTCAATGAGCTTGACGGGTGACGTCCTTTGCATTCGATTGGCGTCTGGTGTGGTCCTGATCCACAATGCCCGATACGCCAAGCTGGTAGGTACCCACCCAAGTAAAATGAGTGAGTAGGTACTTCCATTCATAAATATGTGCAGCAGTTATAAGATCTACTTATAGGGGGTTTCCGATGCTTGAGACGAGAAGACCCGCGATTCTCCGTTTACTGCAAAACATAATCTCTATAAGTGGTTCGACGATCCTCGGCCCATTCTAAGTCGCCGTGTTCCACCGTATAATATGTGCTGCATGAATCCTATTACGAAACATATCATGATCGCTGTTTCATACATACTAATACACGATTTCTCATCCAGTAAGGAGTAGTTCGTATTAAAGTACATACTTCAAGTCGCCCCTAAAGATATCCATGTATGCGCTTCTGCACAAGGATCAAGACGCTCCCAATACGACGATATAGAGTTTAGAGTTAGAAACGACATGAGTGCTAATGATATGATAATTCTGATTTTTGCTTCTAGGTACACCGTTGGTTATACCAAGCTGTTGAATCCAAACCTTGACCTTGACCCTGAACATCGAACGAATATCCATCGTCCTCCATGGAGCCGATTTTCCGGGTCGACTATCGAGACCGTGTTCTTTGACGCCGCAACGCCCGCCCATAATATTCTCAAGCAAAGTCCCAATACGGCAAAGAAACAGTCTCGCAACTTTAATAATAATAGGAAGCAGGTGGGTTTACTGGAGACGGATGTTAGGAGAGTAGGGGGCGGTTTTCGGCTGCTCGACCTCATCTGACGCATTTGTAAGGGAGAGGTACGCCGTCCAAGCAATACCAATAGTAGAGACAAATGGCTGTAGTAGTAGAATGTTAGTAATCGAAAATGAAACCCATAACCAAGAAGTAAACCTTACAAGTTGAAACTGGACGGGCATCAAACGGAAGTTGATGATCTGAACAGCGGGCCACACCATGAAGTTGGCCTTTAGTGTAGGGATATACATGTCCCTAAGCTTGTGAGCAACAGCCCTGCGGCCACCCCCTTCTGCAACGGTCATGACTGTGAAGAAGCACCCGATACCAAACGGCGCAAAGATCAACTGATCGAAGGCCACACGCTTCATTGCCGGGACGAAAGCGCTTGTCTTGGTCATGGGGAAAGCTCGTGAGAGGAAGCTGAACCACTTGTATTGTAAGGGCGCCATCGCAAAACCATACGCCATAAATCTCGTCAGCCTTTCAAAGTCAAAGGGAGGCGGGAGGTGTATCGAGTCGGGAATTAGGTCATGCTCGTTCCAAGGGTTCTTTCGGTCTAGCTCATGGATTTCGATGGCTACGTTATCATCCTTCGCAATACCGCCCGGCTTTCGCAATGCTCGCTCTCGAACGGATGTAATGCTTTGGGCTACAGTGTCGGCGATACCTCCGAGAACCGCATTCGTTACCATCATGGTAAGGACTAGGGAAGATAGATTATTAGCTTGGCGCATAGCAAAAGATATAGTGAGAGATGTGGGAATAATTACGTGGGCGCTCATCATAGTACGCATTAAAGCGCGATACCAAGCGCGCGATAATAGCCATTTCGATGAAAAAGATAACAGCATGAAGGAGTGGCTAGATAGAAGAATTATATTATTAGTATTATTATAAAATTTCAAAGAGGAAAAAGGTATTGTGGAAATTTGAAAATAGATATCCACGATGACGACGACGATGCATGTGAGGGCCAAGAGTGGATGTGTTCATAGGGCTAGGGCGGAGGAATTTCCGGAGTCCCGGAGATCGGTTGACGTACAAAGCGATCAAATATGAATTTACTATTGACAGCGCGAACGATACGACGCCGGGTGAGTTCCCAAGACATTTTGGAAGGTGTTGGGAAATCAACACGGATTGGATACTGTAGGTAGAAGCTCAAAGGTCGAGTGGAAAAGTTGTTGGTCGAATCCGGGACCTTGAAAAATGGGCTTCACTAAATCTCGAACTGGGACTGGGGGTCTGGGGACTTTGTGATCGATGACGACAATTGACACCGATAAGAAAGAGGGACCCGTCTTAAGCAAATAATTTTGATGTTATCCGTAGCTACCAAGACCAGCTTTATTGAAAAAAGAAAATGTAAGGGGAGATCGATCTAGGTCAGTCAGATCTGACGAAAATCAATCAGTTAAACAGTCAACAACTTCCCAAAACTTTGGAGTCCCAGGTGAATGGCACAAAGCAAAAAGAAAAGTTATTGATGGAGTTAAGTTTCCATCTAAAGTACTACATATGTAAAGTAAAAGTTTAAAAAAGGGAAATGGAAGGTACTTGCACCGCCATGATTATCAATTTCCGCCTTTAGGCGCACGTAGGCAAGCAATCACATGGCATTGATGGCAATTGGAGACTGTATAAATAGTACCGATCGGCACTTCCTCCATCCGCAACTAATTGTGCACCCCTATTTCAACAATATTTGCCAAACACTCCCTAGCTGTTCACCCGCGCTTAGGGAAACGCCAACAATCAACGTACGGAAAATTTGTACCATGTTGAAATACAACTATTGGGCAATTCCTACGATAGAACATATCTTAGGTGTCGAAGAAGGCTATTGGCCTAAATAACCGTTAACATCTCGGCTTCGATATGAGTTATAATCGATTATTTTCAGCAATCATCAACTATTTGATTAGGTAATCATGGGGCTTATTAAGATGTATCTACATGCCTTGTTCCTCAACTCGAAGTACCAATTTGATATTGGATACTTATTACTTACCTTCTGGATGCTTCATGCGGTACTAGGTGGGCAGGTAGAATACCATTTTTCAGCTGTATAACGTTTATGAGGCTCTGATACAGGCCTTAGTACGTCGAAGATATTCGTACATTAGACTAACTAGATACCTAGGTGCCTACCTATTCACCTTCATACTATAGATCAACAGTAGAACATCGTGGTGAAAGCTGTCCAATACCTCTCTCTACTAGAGCATGTAGATAGTGATAAAGAATCCCCTTATGAAGGGATCCCAAAGAAAGACGAAAAGGGGTGGGTGATAATGACACAACAAGTGTTCAGGGGCGTGCCAGCATGTCCTATGGCTTTGCTACTGTAGTGCCCTGATACAATAGGTGTAGTGCACCTATGAACAGGACAAAATCGACTCCGCTGTCGTGTCTCGATATCTTACGAGGGTGTATGGTCGTTTACATACTTGTTGTTAATCCACAAAGACACCTGTGTACCTGCTGGCCACAAACTTGACATTTAACATAATTAAATTCCAAAACAATCAGGTCTTGGATGGTCTTCTTCTCTCAAGCATCATTTGATTTCCGGTTACCCAAATCAGCTTGGGTTTCTCGGGCATCGTTGTGATTCAAATTATCATACACACAATCCCCCACAAACTTGAGTAGGTAGTCAAGAATATCATATCATATACTCTCAAGAATCATTAATCATGGTTGCAAACAAGAAACGTTTGTACCTCGCCATCTACCCCTCGGGGCGAGAGAACGAGAAGTAAGCTCTACTCCTTTCACTCTGTTGCTCCTCGTTAACTCAAGTCTCCTCATCTAGATATGCGTTCGCTCTTCTCGTTGGCCCCAAAGAAGAGGGCAATGAAAAGGCGCCCGGAACGCGATACTTCATCCAGCACCACCATACTGAAGGATGGCGCTACAAGACAATCCCTGACGACGACATCCGCGTCGGCGTGACTCTCCTCGCCCGCATTGTCATTGCCAAGGTCACAGACGAGGTCAATCTCATCGACATCTTCAAGATCACTGCCATTAATTACAGTGAGCAACACACCAGCTCTCGCTCGTGGGTCATCAACGTCTTGCTGTACCTCGCGGAGATGAACAGCAAGGTCGTCGGCACCGCCAAGCTGAGCTGGCCCGCAGTCCAGGCCAAGGCTTTGGAATATGTCCAGCAGAAGCATGCCGAGGGAAGATACGGATCGGGACAGGATATGACCTTGCCGAAGCCTACATTTGACTTGCTCCAGAACAAGGAGCTCATCGCTTGAATGACATTGGGGATGGTTGATGAACTCTAGATTGCAAATGCAGAAGCTTCAGGTGGAATTGAGATGGGATTATAAGTCGTACTACAAGCACATTGCTTACGAACATGTTTTATGCCGGGCACTCATAATATCGGTACACAAGGTGCTCGACGAATTAATACGTGGTGAGATTGATTGATGGTCGGAGTCAGATGTAATATAGGTATCATTACGCTTCCAAATTGTCTCAAAATCAAGATTACTCTTCACTGTCTCTATCGTGCAGTTCCTCAACTCCTTGAATCACGGATCGAGAAAAATTGCTAGGTCGTCTAAGCAGTCTCAAACAATACCACAGCCTAGTGACGCGAATCACGGAGTGAGCTATCCACCTAACTCTTGAGTTGTACTAGTAGTGGATTTTGCACAGATTGTTTCTTGACAGCACTGGAGGTGATAGGTAGAACTGCTACAATTGAGGTTATCCCCAACCTTACAACCTAACCATTTCCTTTCTATAATAATATCTAGCTACATCTGAACAACCCAAGCCCCCGAAGATCAACAAGTGCGAATGAAGCATACCCGGGGCTCGACCATAGGTACCTAGAGATCCACTGGAAGACCTATAATAGGGACTACAGTAACTTTAAGCCAGGGGGGAGTAAGAATGACATCCTAACCTTGGAAGGCACTTAACGAAGACTGGGAATAACCTCAATTATAGAGATTCCACTTCTCACCTGTCAAGAAGCAATCTGTAAAGCAATCTACATATAGCACAGCTCTGGCTCGTTAGACAAATGCTTTCAGGCTACAAGGTAATGGGAGCGCTGATATACACCTCTCAAAACACTAGCGAAAGGTGGCAGAGTAGAAAGCGCAGTATCGGAATGTTCTTTTTCTTTTCTTTTTACCAAAAGGCATCAGCGATTCCCTTCGAAATAATAGGTAGGAAAAGGATGAAAATGAATTGAAAAAAACGAAAATTTTAATTGAAAAAAAAACCAAATGTCAAAAGCTAAGCCTCGGGTTCTCATCCTCAGCAGTTGACCTGAGCAAGTGGTCAGGCTTGCCGCCCTGCGTTGGATTCGAACCCTCGACCTTTCGAAAAGCCTTGGGAGGCTTTTCTATCTCTTCACGTCTACTACCGCTGCGCCAGGGGACCATTTCTGAACCTAGGGCCGTAGATTGGAGGTGCTGGAATAATTCACAACTGGGCTATATAAGTTTTACCTCAGGGTATTGGCAGGTACAAGGTACTTTGGTACTTGAGCAGCGACGACGTAGAGCGTGATGCCTGAGATTTAAGGCACGCATTAAGGGGGTGGGGCCCAGACCACCCGCGGCACTTCGCTTCTGTGGCATCCATGGTATTAAGCCCTGTGTACTGCCCTAGGTTAGGTACCTAGGTAGGTACTCGAAATACCTAAAAGTTTTGATTTCTGCGTCGCGTTACGGAATCAACCTGAAGGCCATGGAGACAGCTTTGATGCTTCACTATGAGCTACAACCCCACTGGTGGGGGCTAGAGTTAGGCCCATAAAGAGTCTCCTACGAACACGGTTGAAGCACTTGAACTACTGATGTCTTCAGAAATTCCATATATCTACGTTGTAACATATACCTAGGTATCTAGGTAGGCACTTACATACCTAGTACGTAACTGATGTATTCATAGTGGACTAAACCATAAAATCGAGCATATAAGCTCTTATATGGAGGGCATGTGGTCAACAGTCCTTGAAACTAAATTTTCTATATTTCTTTTGCGCTTAGGAGAACCTCCTAGCTAACTAACTAGTCTACGAATATAAACAAACTTGATACCCCCTATGGGAATCATTCCTATGAGTTAAGCTGGTTTTTGAAGAATAACCGACGCGATCTTGCAGGTTACCGTATTGCCACTGACACTTGCACTCAGGCCAGAGATCGAGTACGTAGTTGCTCCATTGTAGTTCTCCGGTTTGTTGTTGCACCAGCTCGAATCTGTCCCAGTGCTTGTCTACTCGCAGTTAGCATCGTGTCGTTACCCCTGAGTCTAGATTATATAGAACATTCCGAGATGTATAAATTGCCTTGGAGTTTAAAAGCAAGATAGGAGAAGAGTATCAATACTACTCACAATTACAACGTTTGTAAAGGCGAGTGGGCCGAAATCCCAGCTTACGTCGGTCCTAAACCCCTATATTAGTTTCCTCTGTATTCAACTTCTTACACCAGTAGGATTACGTACAATTCGATGGCAAATAGTACCTGGTTGAACGATTTACTAGCTAAGTGTATACGTCAATATTCTCCGTCAAAAACAGATAGCATTCAGATCATCATCAATCTGAACCAAGTCACGCAATCCAAACTCACCCAAAGCAAAGTTATCCGTCACCTTCTGTCCCGTAGACTGGCGCGTCAAGACCGACGTCCAGCCCGAGCCGTTGCTATCAAGCGTGTTGCTGAACGTGACCTTCTCGTTTGCGTAAGTGTTGAAGCCGCTGCCCCACGGCAGGCTGGGGTTCGAACAGCACCACCCGGACCCGATCCACCAGGTGCCGCTCCGCCCGTCGAGCACGTTCTGGTAGACGCCGCTGTTGTCTGTCGGCTGCAGACCGGGCCATAGGTAGTAGACCCCGGCTTTGGGCAGAGACGGGATGGCCATTTCCCCGGAGAACGACGTGAACTTCTGTCCGGACGCTGGGTAGTACCGCAGGAAGTACCATGTCGCTGCGGAAGACTGTCCGGCGAACGCCAGGAGCGATATGAGGAATGTGGTGATCAGCATCGTGCTGGCGTAATTGCTGTGTAGGCAAGTTCAAGATACCGTTGAATGAAGTTCCAAGACAACACTTCAAATTGGCAGAACCGAGCTTTTTATATGCCCCGGGTAAATCGCCATTTATATCCAGCCCACCGTGGCAGGGAAGGTCAGTCTAGATCTATCTTTGATCAAACGACTTCCCATCCAGGAAATACTGCGTGCGCTAATGTTGTCGGTTCCTTGATCTAATCTACCCACGAGAGTCACGGTCGTATTCGCTACGGCATAGTTTAAACCGAACCGGTTATGGAAGGTGGCTTGACAAAACTTCTTTACTCTTATCACAATGGGGCGCTACTAGGAACAAGATAGGTATTGATGCCATTCCAATGTTGCTTTTTTTCACGGATACAATTTACCTAGATACCTAGTAGGTAGGTAGATATCTAACCTAGTGGATAGGGCCCCGTAATCAGGGTAACCTCTATCACAACAACCTTTTCGAGCCCGTTTATGCAAGTATCACCAAAGGGCTTCATTTTTGAATTATCTATAAGACACAGCCATCTATTTTGGCGGAAATAATGTGTAGTTAAGCTAGATAATATCGCGACAAGAAGATGGAAGAGACCAGGACCTGTCCTTTGAGGCCTTGCGACTCCTAATTGAAGACCTACAGCAGCAATCCCGACCTAAAGTTGGCTATCAACTAATTGACAGTTATTATACAACAGTATCAACACAATTGACGTTTGTCTTCTCCCTGGACTAAGAGAAAGGGGCGCGCTGCGAAAGAGCGGATAGTTGCGGTTCTAATCCTCCAAATTCCCAATGGTTATAATTGGTAGGGGTCTACTAGATAGAACGAAAACACTATCATTCATAGGCATATAGCCTTATGGTCTCCAGCGATGCTGTTCTGCGTCTTCTAGGTTTCGCCTTATGAAAATTATAGATATCTGAAGACCGGCCTTAGAAGACGCATAAGAGTCTGAGATAGCCATGAGTCCATTTGCCCCTTAATCATTAAGGCTGGTGGCACAATAGCAGCATCAGTCAAATTAAGGTGATAGGCGTTTGCTACTACCTATGATTTGTTGACTACCCACGACACAGTCTCCCGTATATCCCCCTTTTCTGTGTATTTATGTTTGTCTGCAACTAAATCGCTTAATAATCGTCACTTCGGTTCACCCCTAGAGTTTTATTTTTTTTGTGCTTGCATCTTGGATGATTTTCTACCTACTACCTGTTAACCTACGCTACCAGAGCTTCTGCATTGCCTTGGCCCCAGCAATAGTCTCAATGGTTGCGGTTGAAATTTCAATGTTAATGTATTAACAGTCAGCATTTAACGAAATACCGTTTGGAGAGATGGTGTTACTTACATGGCTCGTTTTTCTTTGTTTGAGCTATCTAGTTCACAGCTATCAATACTATTAACACCTAGCATCCATTAGCCTTACATAAGAGGAGCCTCCAAAGTCAGCACCAGTAAGTAAACCCTCTACTCAAGCGGGCGGGTAAGCAATTCTCAGAAAACCGGCTTCACCTTTGCCTAGATACTATAAGCGTTGCCTAATATGACAAGACGTTGCACCGTTCCTGAAAACGAATAGACTCCTCACTCCTGTCAGCAATTATTGGATGCAGCCACACCTACACACCGTTTCTCTTCAGCCAAGCTTGTCCTACACCGGGGACGCAACAGGTTGGATAGGTCTGATGTAAGATAGGACTTGGAGCCCCCCACAGAGGAAAACTACTAGGTCTTACGGTTATTGGCAGTTCCCCCCCTTTTTAGCAGATAACTATTATCTGACTGTATCTCGGGACCTGGGTGCGGCTGTCGTAGAGTAGCACTTCCATATCAATAAGGTCCTCGTCCTAAGTAGGAAAACGGTGAAGGCATGGATATCATTATGTCTACCTACTAGGTTAGGTAGGGCTTTGATCCGATATCAGCATCCACTGCATTCAACTCATTATATCATTTTAGACGTATTGGTATACGAATTCGTGGAATCTTCGTACACTTGACTTACAGCTTGAAGGGAAAGCTTTCGTGGCCCAAGCCCCTGAGTACTCTATTCAATAAACTCAAACAATGGTTTGTAGGGTATCATATTTCTGCATTTCGCGCGGCTACTAGGTTAGAAAGAAACTATATACTGCCTAGGTTCCTAGTTGATGATCTCCTCAACCAATGGCCAAAGACCATACCTACTAATGTACATGCAAAGGCTCCAGAACGCCTTCTATAATCTGATGAAGATGTCTAACCTTCTAATGTACCATGTAAAACCCCAAGACACCCCCAAGTCAACCAAACCTTTCCGTAGCTACCTAAGTACACGTAAAAGAACCCAAGAAAAACTCACGCATCACTGAATAGACCTAATCGGCGGCTTCCCACTCCCATTACCAGGCCCATCCGTCATATCGTCGCTCATATCCGGCTGATTGGCGTAGTAATCCGGGCTATTGTTCTCGACGCTCATCTTCGCCGAGTTATACCTCTTGAACGCGCTCTCAACCAACAGCCCGACCTCCTTCCTATTGCGGCCGATGACGCCCACCGCCAGCAGCGCCTCCGTCTCCTCGATCCAGTCCTGCAGCCTGCGGAAGCCGACGCGGTCCTTCTCCACGCGCTGCGGCTGGCCGGAGCCCTTGAGCAGCGCCAGGATGCCCGCTATGACGGTGTTGAGGGCGCCGAGGACGGTGATGAGGGTCTCGTAGCGCGCGGAGTGCGGGCCGATGGCGGTGAGCACGGCGCCGATGACGATCTGCGCGAAGTAGCAGAAGTACAGGAACGCAGTCAGCAGCGCGAGCTGGATCGTCTTGTGCGTCTGCGTCCGCAGCACCGAGCGGTAGATCCCGATCGCCGTCTTGCGCCCCTCCTCGAGCGTCCCGCTGTCCGTCGCCTCCCGGTGGTAGTTGATCCCCAGCGCCCGTCGGAAGATCACCAGGTTCTCGTCGTTGGGGCCGCGCGGGGAGAGGCCCGCCGGCGCCCCCCAGGTTAGGCTCGTGATCGGCTTTAGGCGCGCTAGATCTGGCGGCTGGCTTGCTGGGTCGGGTTTCTGGGGCGCTGCTGCTGCTGCGGGGGCTTTCGATGGGTTTGGCGCGGAAGGCGACCCGGACGAGGGGGCGGAGGTTCTCGTCTCTGGCGAAAGGAGAGGGGACTTTACGTCTGTGACGTCGGACATTTTGCTGGTGTCGCAAAACAATCAGTTGATGAGTTGAAGACTGATTTTCACTGATGAACTAAACGCCGAAGCATGCTTCCTTGTTTTCTTTTAGATGAAAGGTCCAGTATCATTGCGAGAGACAAATTCATACTTATAGTCTGTATATAAATAATATTTCCTTAAAATGCCACCACACTCCGGCCGAGAGGTCATTTTCTGTTACGTCGTGAGCGGATCGAGTCATTCCCTGGCCTTGAGAGGCACACCTGTCTCACATGCCATTCGCGTCACGCTGTCGCCCAAGGCTGACATAATTCTATAGACAACTTGAACGATAGATAGGGAAGGCGATGACGTCGATCACATCGCAGGTTTTCCGTCGTAAAAGGAAACACAGCAAGCACCGTATGCCGAATACGTGCTGATAAGCAAGCTATCGACACAAGGTGGCTGTAGGGCTACTAGACTGGGAGCCGGAAGTAACCAACTACCGCTAAAGCCCTGTCCAAGTTGACGATAAGGGAGGTCATCCGGTGCGCTCGATGTAACGGTAACCCCAACCTATGTCTCTCAAAATATCCTTAGGATCTCTAGAAATAGTTTAGCGTCATTCAGCCATCGCTATTGTTCTATCATTTCAATATCCAGTCACGTCTATCTACACCATTGACGAATCTAGATTTCCTATTTTGCTATGAGTTTAGGTTGTAATATAAGACTCTATGCTTCTTACCTAATGAAAATATTGGCATTGTCATTTTTCCTTTTAAAAAATCGCTCTTGGAAGGATTAGGCTGACATTACCTCGCCGCGGTGTTTGTGCTATCCTATGATCTACTTCTATTGATCCTCATCGTCCTATGTGACGAGTTCGTAGGTAAATGTCAAAACCTCCTTTGTTAGATGCCTAGAATCGTAGATTTTAGGGGTGGTACCTCACTATTATAAATGCGGCGCAATAGAATCGGAGGATCCAACACGAAATCGAGGCGAAATTCTTAAATGCAGGTGATTCATCCTCCCGATTCTGTGCCCCAGCCACAGGAAAGAGTACAGAAAAGGATTAATTGATGAATGATATAAAACATAAGTACACAGGGCAATGCCCCGTGGGAATATAGCCAATATTGTGAGAACTAGTAGAGCCATCTTACCATTCCCGTTGATCATCGAGGTCAAATTCTTAGGGATATGATTATATTTGAGGCTTACGATCGTAACTTAGGAATGGATTCAGAAACGTATTTAAGTATTATGTTATTTTATCATTTGATCATGGCGTATAATGTACAGGTTCTAAAAATATCTACACTGTATGTAGAGTGTGGAATTTGAACATGACTCGAAGAATTCGCCTTTGATGTGCTACATCACTTGAACGGCTCGATACATACTCTGTGTGCGCCTAATTATAAATTAAAGTAATCTGAGAGGAGTATGTCGCGAACATTTATGTTAAAGAGATACATAACATCAAAGGGAATCGGTGAAGTTAGAAGCGATGAGTTGTCTACTAATCAGTCAAAACAGTATACTCTTGACACGGGAACACTCCTCTCTACAGGCATGCTTTAATGCTTTAGGCATTCTTAGGTTCACTCTCCTCAAACCAAACACCTGATTTATTGATGAGTTGGGCACCAGGTAGGTAGGTATGTACATAGGCAACGTTGTATCAAGACTTGTATTAGGTAGATGTATACCCAACTATTAACTATCGAGACAATTATGAAATCAACAACATTAACATAAGTGGACAATCGTAAGCTCGTACACACCTAGGCCATAACATAACTCAGAGAACCGTATTATTACTCTGCTCAAAACCTAGCTAACCAGAAAAGGGGGGATGGCATCAAACAATTGACTACATTAGCATCATCCAGATTATTAATGAACAGCCATAACTTCATGTTACTTCCCATCAAGATCAAGATCAACACTCCCTTTCCATCACGCGAATCCAAAAGTCGTCGATTAGAAAACTCGAGTAGCCCCAGCATTTCCAAGGGGACTCGGGGTTCACGATTTGGAAATCGAAATTCCTGAACAGCTATTTAGAAGAAAGGCGTTAGTACTGACTATGTCCAGCAGGAAGAGGCGTATTCATGTGTTAAGTGTACGTACGTGAGTGCGTGCGTGTGTGTTTGTGTATAGGTATGAAGGGGGGGGGGCAATAAAAGAACACCACATACCTCAACAAAGATCTTATTGAGCTCGATCCACGCGAGCGTCTTGCCAGGGCACATCCAGCGGCCGTGGCCGAACGCCAAATCGACGTTCTTCGCAAGATACGCCCTGTTGACCTCGTCGCACTCGAGGAAGCGCTCGGGGCGGAACACGTCGGCATCCTCGCCGAACGTGTCCCGGTTCCGCAGCATGCTCCAGAAGTTGACGAAGACGTCGGTGCCGGCCGGCACGAACTTCCCGTCGATCGTGTCGCCGCCGGCGGGCACCCGCTTCGGGAAGCCCATGACGACGGGGGACACCATTCGTAGGCCCTCTTGTATCACGGCCTGATCGCGGGTTAGTGCGGGTAGATGCGGCAAAGGGGGGTGGGGGGTTATAGGGATGGGTGGTGTAGGTAGGTAAGTGTATTGAGATAATGATATCAGATCATACCTGTAAGTACGGTAGCCTTCTCGCTTCTTCCTGGGTGATAGGACTCGAAATACGTGCATCTCGGATGCCTACCGTGATTTCCTCTTGCAGCTTTCGGTAAACGCTAGGTGCTGACAGGACATACAGCATGATGCCTCTTAAGGCTGTCGTCGTAGTCTCGGACCCCGCAGGCAGCTGAATGGCGAGCTCCAATTCGCACTCTCGGCGGGTCAGCCCATGCTTAATCCATTCGTCCTATGGTTCATGTAAGTGATGTGTCACTTTTTGGTTTTTTAAAATCCCACTCGAACTAATAAGTAAGTCAGGGGTCCAGAAGTAAATGCGCCACTTACGAGCATATCTCCCTGGCGATTGGTCTGGTCGAGATCACCACTAAACCGCTTCTCGACAGTACGCTTGATAATCCTAAATCAGGCATCTCAGTCAGCCAAAGAGAGCTGTAGATTGGGTGGGATGGATGGTCATAGATAGTTCGTTTTCTCACCCTAAGAATTTCCCCATTCCCTTTTCGTCCGTTTCTTTGGGGCCAGCCAAGCTGAGGAAGAATTGTGACGCGAAGAAGTCCCGGAACAAGGGTATCATCATCATGCAATGCAGGAAGGGGACGATGCTGTCCGCAATGGAGATGAAGTCGAAGTGGTCCTTCTCATGAACTAGGTCGCCCCAAGGCTCGCCGGAACCGACAAGGGTTACCAGATCGACTTGAAAGTATCGGATGAGCTGACTGAAGTCGACGATCCCGGCGCCACCATGCTTAAGGTACTTCGTCTTCAGAATGTTGATTAGGATCGATAGTTGGGAGTCGACCTTTTTCTCGAGGTTCACGTTCCCCTTCCCTGCATATGCAGCCCCTATTTGTGCCTTTCGCTTATCATGCTTCGCGGTATCCCGCTCAGATAGGACACTGTTTCCGTAAGGGTCGAACTTGATACTGGCGTACCAGTCGCCACGGTCGTAGGTTGAACGAACGCCGTTGATTTGCCACAGTATGTCTGGGTCATACACCACGAGTTCGTTGGGACCTATACGCATAACTTTGCCGTGCTTACGTTGCTCCTCCGCAAGTATGTTATTCATACGGGCGGTTTTCATGGCGAAGAATCCCCAGAGATACGAGAAGCTTGCCGCCATAGGCCCAGGAAACTGCCGTAAGCGATGCCATGCTATCACTGCAGAGATGGCGTACCAAACAGCGGAACCAAGTATGATGACCGTGATAAACAGCCCACTCTTCGAAGAGTAAAGCGACGGCTCAAGCCATGAAAGCATTCTTCGCTAGTAGGTCAACACTTAATACTTTAGATGATTCAGTATGAGACTTGGATGATGGGGAGAGCGTGATGGAAGAGTAAGATGAGAAATACGGTGCCAGAGATCATACTTGTCTGACCTCACTGCCTAGTTTATATGACAGACAGAGTCCTACCTTGAGTATAGACTAGTACCAGTTGAGCTTGGTTCTCTAGGACTATAAGCCCACGCCCCATGCTAATGAGCTTATCATTACTGGCTGGTGTGCGTAGAGCGGAGGCAGCTCGTTGACATGACAGCTACGCCATCCTAAACTAGTGGCCGTGACCTACCCACTCACATTGCACCTCGAGGCTCCTAGAAGCAGAGCTATAATCTCGTAATACAACGTCTACCTAGGTAGGGAGCCTAAAAAGCTGCGGTACTGTAATGGTGCCCCAGTCCTTTTCTTTGTATAAGATTGAACAAAGCCAACACAACCCGCCGATCAGATATATGATCAAAGGCTGCTTGGGACCCTGCTCGACCGAGCAACATATGCATGCGGACACATGGCACAGCTATAGCACGTTGACAGATGCGGCAGATGCTGGATCGGGGACTCAAACCGCGATCCACATTCCAATTTTCTGCGTCGACCCAGCCTATATAACCGCACGTTATTGCGGGCCTCCCCGTTCTATTGGGTAAGGTGTGGGTAGCCACAAATGAGCGGTGCCGAGTAATCGGGATTCGATAGTGCTAGGTAAATAGATCGAGGTTAGTGGCGCACTCGATTTGGAAGTTGAAATGCCTCGCGAAGTTCCAGTACCAAGTCATCGGGTTGGCTTCCCCATAGACGGGCCAATCCGTAGTGACACGTTATAAAGCAAAAGTAGAGCCGCATGATAATACCAATGAATAGTTATATCTACCTAGTATGAATACCTAGCTATCTATCCATGATAACAGGGGGGGGAAAAACAAAGAAAGTCATGGATGTGAGACTATTGAAGATCTTTTCATAGCGCCAAGTCAGTGGACGTTTTTGTCTCAAGGCAATGGATCTATGGTTACTATTACCCCATCGTAACAGGATAGGGGTAGATATTTTGTACCGGGGTAGGTAGGTAGGTGTGCCACAAACTCGTTGATCCCACCCACCACCATCTGGCTTTTCAGCATTGCTTCTGGCCCGGCCAAGTGGCGCATCGAATACACCATTCCAACAAAGACGCCAATTCCACCACATCCTTCCCGTCGCGTGGAACTTCACATTTTCCGCCATGCACGTGGATCTTCCGAATGTAGGGATCACAGAGTCCCGCCAATTGAACCGAGGTCGGGAACATGGGATCCTGCTCTCCCCAGACATGGACCGTCGGCATCCTTATCTTCAGCTCGAGCGGGATCGAGTTCAGGTTCAGGCCAAAGCAATCGTCCGAGTTGAACACGGCTCGTCGCGCGTCAGCCGTGTGGCTCGCGGACGGGCCGAGTCCCCGATCACGCTGCAGCTCAGCTTCCGCCACCACGCTCTCCGCTGCGTTCGAGACTGGCACCCCGAGATCTCTCAGAGCTTTCAGCGGAATGCTTCCACTGATAAACACTGCGAATTGGAATGCGGGCGCCAGCTCAGGGTCGTACCATTGCCGGTAGAGTAGGAAGCTGGACGCGAGCGCAACGCCCCCAGAGCACGCTAAAACGCCATCGTAGGGACCGTCGTGGGCCAGTTTTTTCGCTAGCCATTTGTGTGCTTTGCGAATGCCATCGACCTCATCAAGACTGTGCCGAGGTGTCTCGCGATGCGGGCGTTCCTGCGAGTGCCCCTGGACAAAGTCCAGCGATAGATCTATGCCGGTTTCTCGTAGTCTGGAAAATAATGGGACTGTGAGTATATAAGATGAGATGGTCGGTACAATGCATGGTTGCTTAGTGTAGGTACTTACCTAAAGCATCGTAGAATTTATTGCTATTGAGATCGCCACCATGGAGACAAAGAACTTTGACCATAGCGCCAGGGATTAAAACAAAGAAAATGCGAAATATGCTTTCTTTGGGTTATGTAGAAGGCACTTACTATTTTCGCAGGTTTTTTCACAGAGTACCTAATTACCTAGGGTACCTAATAGGTACTAGGTAGGCACCTAGCAAGATAATACGGTGGCCCAATAAGACAACTCTGCCAAAATGAAAATAATGATTGAACTATTCCAATTTAAGTAATGCATTTTATTATTTTAAATTTTAATTAAGTAAACCGGTACTTTTAATTCTTATATAAGATAATTTAATAATGTTTATATATTATTAACGAATAGTATTATTTATTTATTACTAAAATTTTATCGTATAAGAAATTTTCCTTTAATATTTTTATCCTTTTATGACTTTTTTATGTAATAAAACGAAACCTTATTAATTTTAAGCCTTATAAAGGTTAAATTATTATTTGGTTTAATAAAGGCTTTATAACTGATAAGATTTTTGATGAATTTTAAACAAAATATAAATAAAAACTTTTTATAAAAACTTTTAATTATACGTTAAAAGGATAGGAATTATAAAAATAGCATCGTATATAATAGGGTAAAAATGTGTTTAAAGAATTTCTAGAAAAGATTTAAATATTATTCTTTTAAATTAACTTATCCGATAAAAAAATAAGCTAAATCCTTTAACAAAAAAAATTTTAAATTATATAAAAATAAGTTAAAGAATTTCGATTTATTTTAAGTTTTAAGCGTTGTACGAGAATTTTTAAAAAGAAATAAAAGCGTATCGATAAAATAAAAACTACTTTAATGGAAGAATTCTTTAAGTTTAGGTGTTTAAAAGAGTTTAGAAAGTGTTATATTTATGATGTCGTATTAAATAAAAATGGGTTACCTTTCCTACGGTTTATACGAAGAATGTCTCTTTATTTATTATATATTAATAATTATAAAAATTAATTGTTTAAGATATATAAAGAATTCTTTTTTAATGTAATTTGGTGTTATATGTAAAACGCTTATCGTTAAAAGGGAGAATTTATTATATATAAGCTTAATTATATTTAATTTATCGATAAATACGAGAAACTTAAATATTAGGGTATTTAAATATATGGAGGGATTAATGGATATTTTAAATTTATAATATGGTATTATATTAGTTAGTTTAGGAGTATTTTAATAATTATTTTTATTTAGTATATTTATGTTATATATTAATTAAGTTGAGTTTCTTATATTATTTAAGTAAATAGGGGTAAGGAAATCCTTTTATTATTTATTACTTATTAAGCCTTTATATAAAATACTTATATTAATAAGGATAAATCGTTTGTTAAATTTGGAGATTACTTTCTTTACAGGTGTAATATGGATAATACCCGGATTAAATCTTAATGGGGATAATTATAAAAGTTTTGTTTTAATTATTGAAAAGTAAGTTTTATTAATTCGTATAAAATAATTAATAAGATGTTAATAACATATAATACTTATTTTAAAGGATAAAAAATAAAAGATATTAAATCTTAAATCATATAACTTATGAAATAGCTTTTTTTGCAATTTATATGTTAATTATTTTGAAAAAAATTAATATATTTGTTATTAAATAAAATAAACATTATATTAAAGTATAACGTAATAAGGTTAATAACGTATGAGGTAAACCATAGGAAAATTATTTTTTCCTTAATTTAGATTATATTTTATAATAAGGCCTTAAAATAAATATAAAATTATTAAATAAAATTAAAGCCTTATTTTTGGATGAAAATATTAATTAATATCTACCTTTTAAAACATTAGAATGGTATAAAAATTAACTTATTAAAATAAGTTTAAATTATATAAATAAAAATAATTATAACTAGTTATTTGTTTATACTTATAATTAGCTTTGTACGAGAATTAAAATAGAAATAGCTAATAGTAACCCTTAAAGATTAAATCTCGTATTATATCTTTAAAAGAATAGGTTAAAAAAGTTAGAAAAAAAGCTATAAAATCGAGGTTTACCTTCTTTAAAAGAAGTTATTAATGTTGTACAACAAGCTAATATTAAAGATCAAACTCTTAAATTTAATTTTTTAAATGTTGCTACTAAAGTGGATATTAGTAAAAACCTAATAAAGTTAAAAATAAAAGATAAGAACGATAATATTTTAGATATTAAAGATTGGGAAAATTATAAATAAGATAATTCAAATGGTAATACATTCAAAGATTAGAAGATAACGCCTTATATAAGATCTAATAAAATAAATAATAATATATTTCTTATTATTATATATAAAGAAAACCGTACCTTATAAAAAATTTAAATAAAAACCTGCCGCAATAAAAGATATAAAGATTATTTATTAAATAAATCGTATAAAAACCTATTATTAATATATTTCTTATCCTTTTATCTTTTAAGGTTTATATTTAACTGCTAGTATTGCCTTTATTAAATAAGTAAAAATTCGTACGGTAATTACCTCTTTTTTTATATTTATATTATCGTTGGATAAATTAATTTTATTAATAGCCCCACTAACAATATTTATTACTTAATTAAAAATTTAAAGATCCGTATAAAAAGACAGTTTTTTATACGTATTTAATATTATTAATATAAAATTATTTACTTATTTCGTATAAAATAATTTCATAAGAAATAAACTATTAAGTAATAAAAAAAAATTATTTTTGTTTTTTTATTCCTTTTGTTTTATAATTTTGGTTTTATTATTAAATAATATAAAAGGGGTAGTTTTTCGTTTATGGCGTTCCTTAGTGGATTGTACTTCTCGTACGATATTTTCTTTTTTTTACTCTTTTTTTATATATTTTACTAACATTTTTTTCTTTTTTTGCTGTATAAATTTTATTACTTATATCGTATATAAATTATTATTATCGTTATTATTATTAGGTTTTTTTGGAATTTCTTTAATATCTTAATACGTAATAAATATCTAATAATTTTTAATTCCTTTAATTGCTTTAATAAGTAAAAGGTTATTCTATATTATATACATGTTTTAAGCTATTTAAGCTTTAAAATTAAAGTTTATAAAGGTTTTATTATTAAGGATCTTAAAGAATTTAAACTTTTCATACACCTTTTCTAAAATATTCTTTCGTTTAAAAAGTTTACTTATAAATCTTTCTTATTAATCCTTAATATTAATAATTTACCCCTTTATATTTATATCATAATTTAATATTAATTAGAATAAATTATTTATAAAGATATAGTTAGAAACTTTATTATTATAGTTTATAAACTATTTTATAATAATTATCGTAACGTTAAACAAATATAACTTATTTCTTTAATAAGACAGGTTTTTTTTAAAAAACCTATTTTATATGTTATTAAAATATTTTACTACCTATAAAAAAAAGGCTATATTTAATAATAAATTTTTTTCAAACAAAACAAGAATAATAATTCTAATATCCACCGAAAATTTTTTTTTAAATTTAAAAAAAAAAAATACTAGCCACTTAAGAACTAAGGCTAGCCTTTTTACTTTAATAAAATTCTCAAACAACTATTAACGTTATAATAACCTCGTATTAAACTTCTAAAATAATAATTTAATAATAATAAAAGTATTATCGTTATCATCGATAACAAGGATCTTAATAAAAATAACTTTTATATAAGAAAATAAATCTTTACCATAAAATTAATAAAACTTAATATTTTAACTTCTTATAAAGGTATAAAAACCTTTACAAAGTTTAGATTTTAAAGATTTATCGCCTATTTTTAATTAAAATATAAAAATAATAAATTAATAAAAAAAAAAAGAAATAAAATTTTATAAATAATTAATATTAAAAAGTAAAAAAAGATTTTTTAATATTAATTATTTATACGACTATAATTTAAACATATAAACATAATTAGCTATGTAATAAAAAACATTTTTCATATAGAGTTATATTTAAATAATTATTTAATTATTAACATAAATACCTATATAAAGAAAAGGTTATATAAGAGAAAAACCTTTATATTAAATATATTAAAATAATAAAATTATCTTATAAACCTTTTTCTAAAACAACTTTAATAATACGTTATATTTATTTAAATTAAAACTTTTTTTTATCTTTAAGCCCACCATCTCGTATAATACATTTAATAACATAATTCCTAAATTTATAAAAAACACATAAACCTTTAAAATACTTACAAAGCTTTATATAAACAAAAAAAAGACAATTATAACTATTTAAATATAACATAACTTAATTCTAACACACCTTACATAATATCTAAGAAACACTACTACAACTAACAATAAAAAAAACATTAATATAATTATCTCTTATTATATTAACCTAATAAACAATAAATAACCCTCATATAATAATTACTTAACGCCCCGTTAATTATAAAACCATACGTTAAAAAATATTATAACATTAAAAGGCCAATTTTTATCCGTTAATATTAAAAAGGATAAAATTACCTTCTTATTAAACAATTACTACTTTAAAATTTTAGATATTTTTTAACAAAACAAAAAATAATTATATATATTATTAATTATCGTATAAAAGAATAAGTTAAAAATAAAAGGTATATCGCTATCTCGCCGCTTAAATAAAATATTAAAGCTTAGTTAAGATATTACTTCTTATTTTAATTACGATAATATATATATTAACTATATACTTATAATTATAAAGGTAATAAATCGTACGAGGCTATGTTATTAATATTAGATTTTATAAATACTAATAATAATATTGTTATAATATTAAAAAAAAATAAAAAAAAGGTATATAATTATATTGAAAAAAAATAAAAGAGGGGTATGTAAAGAAATTTTATATAAAATTATCTACTAATAATATTAATATTATTTTAAATTATGTCGACGCTTCGTTTAATTATTATTTAACAATATATATACCTTATTTCCTTTATTTATTTTAAAAACTTTTAAAATATTATTTATATATAAAAATACCTAATTTTTCAAAGAAAATTCCTATTATTTAAAAAGCTTCATACAAATATAAAGTAATATTTTATAATATATTCAAATAATATATTTATTAATAAATAAAACATAAATAATAATTTATATTTATATACATTTAAACCAAATTATACCTTCATTAAATTAATATTTAAATAATCTATACAAAAATTTTAAATACCACTTACTTATTCCACATACCTATGGCACTATTTTTAATTTCCAAATTTGGAATAGTGAATTTTAATTTTTCATTTTGGCATAGATGTCTTATTGGGCTACTATAATAGGTACCTACGTTACGGATGTCCGTATTTTCCCCGGAGGTCCGATCATTTTAAACTCTGCGTTAAACGGGACCGCGGACGGCGGCATGGTCCCATGTGAAAATTCCGGCTTAAACGGTGGTTTAGACACCGAGTTATTCATACCTGGTATTCATAGACAGTAAATATACCTCAATATTCAAATAATGCGTGACACTTTCAGGACTTTGCCAGGCGAATATATTTCACTTGCCTATGGGTTATTAGTGTAGGAATGCAGGATGATACAGTATCTCATTTCAGGTTACATGCTGTAGCCTGTAGGTAGTTAGTTGGTTCCAAGGTTCCCTTCAATGTTACCTACTACCTACCTAAGTATACCTTTAGGGCTATATATTAGGTCCTATTGGAGCTCCCGGTGGGGTAATAGAGCGCGTATCTTACATCGACTGCAGCCCTGGAGCCTCGCAGACTCAACTAAGGTTACATGGCGACTGCCTTGCCTATTAGGCACCTGGGTAAGTTTAGTGGGGTAAGGGGTAGGTAAGGCAAGGCGAGCCCCGAGGAGCATCGTAAATACAATTGAACAAAATCAAACGTCTCATCTCAGCCCTTGAAGCACTGCCACGCTAGAAGCCAGGTCTCCAGGTCCCCAGGCCTGCATACAGGGTAAAAATATTAGGCGCCCTATCATTGAGCCGCAACTATTCACAATACCCTCCATGTATCAAGTCCTAGATCTGCCGAGTAGCCTGAGGAGAACGCCTTGGGCAAGGTGAATTCACTACTCTTACCAATCCCAGAATTCTTCGAAGGGAGCACTGACAACATACTTGTGCTCTTTGGCCAGGAGCGAGATGTTCGAGCTCCCACTCCATATACCTAGTAAATACTTTTCCTAAAATACAAAATACAATTAATGTTAACGACATGGCTATAACCGCAGTTGAGCTTCGAGGCCAATGGGCCAACCCGGGTGATATTCTCAGCCTAGGGAAAATAAGTCTTGGGTATTAGGTCGTCTCCTTCAAGACCATGAGATCAGGTCTGGCGTCGATGCACGGTCGAAGGATGAAGGTGGTCAAGATGAGTCTATTCGAATCGACATCTTTAACCTTCTTCCCGTGTCGCACCCTACTCGCGATTTTGTGTGGTGTCTTGGGTGGGTGACTTTACTGGTGCAAGTCGGGATTGCTGTTATACCTTTGGTCGTATATGGCGACTGGGGAATCATGATAGTCATCTTGTGTGGAAATCTACTTGTCGCTGCTACCTGTGCTCTGCCGCAGTGGTTGGAAGAAAAATGGGCTGGTTCGCAATTAAAGCGTCCAAAGGTAACATGCCTGACACGTGGTAACGGGCACCTACATATAATGGTTTTCATCGGTATCCCGGGAGGCCTTGGATATAACGATGAAGCCATACGAGACAACGTACACAAGAAGTTATGGTAGAGAGAATATCATACTAAGTCTGTCAGGAAACAAGCTGAAGAAAAACGGAGGACGGAGGAGGAGGACATACAGGTTCCCGTTGGTAGGAGTGTAGCATGACTTGCTAAATCTAGAAGCTTAATTCACCCGATTCACTCTCAAGGCCACTTCCGTTTACGATTGATCAAGGCTTAGAATATAATTACCCCGAGTATTAGGGTCAGCACCCCTTTTCGAGCAGTTGTTGTACGATCCTTTCGCGTTTTTCTTTTATTGCAGCCGTCAATGGCGTATTTCCACTTAGTACTTGAGTTTGAATATTCAAGTTAGCTCCTTTTTCGAGAAGTTGTTGTACGATTCTTTCGTGCCCTTCTTTTATTGCAATAGCTAATGGCGCACCGACATATTCATCTTGAGAATTAGGGTCGGCTCCTGTTCGGAGAAGTTGTAGGATTCTTTCGTGTCCTCTATATGCTGCAATGTTTAATGGCGTATCACCAAATATATCAAACAGATCAAGATCTAGAGACCTCTCTAGGACACCCCGACATGAACGCCTAGTTGCAGAGCGTAAGAGCATCTCAACAATCTTCTCGTGTCCGGAAAAACATGCCCACGACAAAGCAGATCGACGCCGTGTAAGATCTGTTATATTCAAGTCCAATACCTCCTCTTCTAAAAGCAGGGGAAGGACTTTGGCTAACCCCAAACTCGATATGATCATTAAGGTAGTAAAACGTTCTGGGCTACCGCGGAATAATGATTCATCCTGTCCCACCGGGGCCTTCTTGGATTGTGTTCTCCAGAAGACATCGAGCCACTTCTTATATCTTTGTGAATTGGCATCGCAAAGCTGCTTTGCCTGGTATACTTGTTCCTCTGTAATCATGTTATGAGCCTCACGGAAGTGAGCTGCCCAATTCTTTGCTGCATATGTCTCAAAGACTGAAGAGGGACAGTATCTTGAATTCACAATATCTGGGAAGCGAAGATGATGCATGCATATCTCCGCAAGGATTCTATGTGATTCCATGGGAAGAAGTGAGTTTTGCCACTTTGCGGAATCAGGGGCGACATTAGATGATGTCCAAACCAAGAATTCTTTGGCTGTTTGGTGTAGCAAGTAAACTTTAGAATCCACGATATTAACGAAAAGTCCGCAGAGTTCTCGAACTATGTGTTGAAGCGATTGTTAGGCTCGAGCTCTAGTTCGAGTTCGCTATATGATTCGGAATCGTCTTTGATTGCCAACGCTATTTTCATCTCCTCCAACGACAATGGTTTGTGTGCTGCAACAACGATATGAAGAAGCTTTCTAGCTTTGAATTCATCGTTGCTTCTACACAGAATCTGTTAGTATGCCTCATTGACCGTGCGAAGAAGTTGACGAATAGTTTCTTTTAGGGTTCTTTTTGTAATTCCCACGAGATCATATATCACATCAAAAACAAGATAAACCCATAGATAAGTCCGGTGAGTGATACAAGTAAGCTCGAGACGTGCGCCGATTTCTTTCACCTTGGCTTTGATGACAATATTGATCTCCTCTGAGATTTTTTTAACTTCATCCTCATTGGCACCATCCATGTGAATTTCGGGCCGCTGTCTCTCAAGGACACGGAACTCGCATCGGATGTGATGGTATGGTCGACTGGTCAAGAGAAACTTTAAGGAGTACTCGCTATCTTCTCTTCCGTAGTGGCCGTTTAATGCTTTAGCAAGAAGAGATCGATCGTTTTCTTCGCATTCGTCCAAAGCATCCAGAATACATATGATTTCTCCAGCATTCTTATGGCTGGCAGCAGCAATTAGAATACGCCACAGACTGCTAAAGGACGTAAGAGTCTGATTGTTTCCGGCGAACTGTTCGACGACTTCATCGGTGAGAAGAGTTGACTTCTGGACGAAGAGTTGATGTAATAGACAGCGGATGGCACCTATAAGACTCTTCTAGTCTCCAAAATCGTCGTCCTTGAAGAAAGGTACCCTCAATTCGCTATGGGTTTCGGTTCTTGCGATCCTCGTACGGTACGGTGGGGAGCTCATGAAGGAGGCGGGACCGTTTCTTCATCGTCTCACGTAGGTTAGATGAGACTATAGCGGAGGTGACGTGAGTATAATGAATATGAAGAGTATACCTACTTTAACTTACTTTTCTCAAAGTTACCCAACTCATTTCGACTGATCCCCATCACATGTCGTAGAGCAGCAGCATCTAGTCGCACTAGGTCTTCTACTGTCTTGTGAATCTCATTGATGATAATCGCCCATATTCTTTCTTGCGTGATTCCTTGCGCTTTCTTCTCCAACTTTTCAATGGCTGTTTTATAGCAGCCTTCAAATTTAGCAATGAATGGAAACGCCTCTGGGTAGATTTGCTGAAGCAGCTTGAAAAACAATAGATGTGGACCAACCGGCTTAGACGGATTTAGCTTGAGGACTAGGTCGCAATGTTTGCGGGACGGTATGTATGACATATTGATGTCTTGGTCAAGTGCGACAGGAATAATGCCGTAGTTATTGTCGTGGCCGCGAGAAACCCTCAGTTTAGGAAAGGCAAGTTCAGTGAGCACATGATGAAATCCATTGTTGGGGTAATGGCTTTCCACCACATCTCTTAACTTGTTCAGCTGATACGTGAAGTCTCGCCCATCAACATATGCTTTCTCAAGGGCGCTGATATATGACGAGGTAAAACTACGCTCATAGTATCGTTTAAGCAACCCAGAGTCACACACTACCACCTTCCTGACGCACCAGGCATGGGCGGCTCCTTCATTTTCGTTGTCGTGTGCGTAGACGATGAAAATACTGGGGGAAGTGGAATTACTGAACACGTCTATCTCCGCAAAGATATTCAGTATGCTCGAGAACAATATCTCGGGCCCTCAATGGACCAAATGTTAGCCGATAACAGTTCCCTGTGATACGCTGAACTAATAGACGGTATAATAATGTGTGAATAATGAGGTGGTATCTGAGGAACATACCATCCTTTTCCGGGCACAAATTTCCACGTCGGTGTTGTGATCCGGCCGGACCAGATGCCATTATCAACTTCAACGGGTTGGGGTGCTTCTTAGACTAGGCACCTGTGAGTGTATATGGGGCTGGAGGGGTTGATGGCGAGGCTGCTCTGAAAGAAAGGGTGTGTTATCAAGTTGTACCGCTACACTAAAAGGTGAGGCTATTGGTCTTCATTATTTTTCTTTAGTTTCCGTTAGCTGTACTTTCGAATGCTCGCTGTGCTAATGAAAAGGCAGCGTATAAATAATTTCCGTAGCGACGTGCAAATATAGCTGGGTAGGATTTTGAACAGCTTCTAGTTTTCGGGAAAAGATCGCTTGAACCGTCTGCCTAACGGCATGTCGCCTATACACGCCCTTCAGGTGGTTTTATTAGAAAACCACCTTCTCTCAACTATCACCTCCATATGAAAAGGCTTACTATAGATCATGCAGGCCACAGGGTTACGAGCCAATTTCTTGTTGGTCTAATAATCATGCTACATTGTAAACTGTAGAGGTGTGTTTGCTTCCGCTTGGATGAAGAAAACAGGGCGATGCAACCAGTTCGGTCGACGCTCTCTTCTCGCAAATCTTAGTCCCTAAGTCTCTCATTATTGACGTTGGTTTTTGTACGAAGCATCGTACATGTAATGTAACAGTCACAACGCCCCCAAGCGCCACCCCCTCGCATTTTAAGCCAGATCCACAGGCGGGAAATATAGCGCTGACAAGTCGGCTAGGTTAGATAAGAGGAACGTTTGTGCTAAAGATGTGCGACACAGCTAAATCCAGCACCTTTGACCACAGTAGAAGCAGATCTACTCAAAATTGTTAGGGACTCAGCCTGACCAATGTGAGATGACATAGGCACATCGAGTAGCTAGGAAGGGAGTAGCATTCAAAGCCATTGGGGCCATGCATGTTGTTTGACAGGTAATGACCGTGGGTGATATAGGCAGGTAGGCAGGTAGGCTGGCAGGTATTCAGGCATGGGGCTTTGAACTTGCGCACCTGAGATTTCAAAGAGAACATCACCGAATTAACAACGAGCCAGTAGTAGGTTTCGTTCTTCATATTTGTATGAGGTTGCGCCGAAACCTGTGGTATATTTAGCATCAATTTCTTTCCCCAAGCTGTTTGCTATCTCGTACAAAGTAGATCATGGAAACCGTCCCGAATATATACACGTTCGATTATTCCTTCGCCGCAAAAGGCCTATTCAATATTAGTCTGCGGACATTATCACCCAAGTTCGTCCGCGGGACGTGCCTTTCAGTAAGCTACCCACGTAGGTATAGAATAGGACTATCCGACTGCTACGGCGACGACGACAGTTATCGGTTTTATTTGAAGGGTGATTGTCGAATAACTTGATTTGTGATTTTGAGTTAATACTTCGAGTTTTCTCTCGCACTGGGTATACGATGCATATTCTATTCCTTCCCGGCTATGACAAGCAATCTCCTAAATCACCTGCGTCCAGGCAAACCCGGCACACCGACATATCTCTCCTCACGCTCCGTTAGGAACATGACCTGGACCCAGAACTCCTTCAGATCCGCGTCCCACCAGGTCCAGTACCTATCGCCGGAGCGGTCGATCTCGCGGGCCTGGAGCTTGAACCCGCACGTCTCGTAGGGCTCGGCCGCGACGAGCATGTACTGGAAGTTCTTGTCGGGCGGCTCCTCGACGCGCTGCTCGAACGCGCTCATGAAGCGTATTTTTGGCGTCACTCCCTGGCCGATCTCCGGATACTGCAGCTGGAACAGCAATCCTTGTTGCCTCGTCACCTGGTCGCGCACCTTTGTGATCTTGTACCCGGGCCGTCCGATCTTGACCACGTTCCTCCGTATCATTCCAGCACCAAATCCAGCACCCACCACTCCGACAGGAAGCCCCGTGTTCGGGTCAACCTGTGCTTTGCCTTCCTTTTGCTCGCGAGCGGCGCGGCGCGCTAGATTCGTCTGATGCTTCTTGCCCTGGGTGTGGGCGAGGTAGGATCCATCGTTCTGGTGTACAGTCAAGCATAGGCGACATTCGAAAGATCCAACATGGTTCTTGAAGAAGTACGGATCTTTGTCAAGGTCGATGGTCTCGAGGGCTAACTTGCGCAGTCGCTCGCGTCGGTCCGCGTTCGTCGCGCTGTGAGAGGCGACGCCACCGCCGCCGAACTTAGAGCCCGCGCGGTTCTGGTAATCCATTTTTGTTGTTTTTTTGATGTTATTCGTGTAGTTGGATGAATCGTACTAATGACTAGAGATTGTAGGGCTCAATGATGGATGGTTTCAAGTTGTATAGGAAGTTGAAAAAGATGAAAAATGTTAATTCTTGAAATGTTTAACTACCTAGGTTAGTAGTATGTAGCTATGTAACAGAACATTGAATGTTTAATGTACATACGTAGGTACATATGGAATTAGACGATAAGATAAGCACAACAGTGAATTAAGCATGAGCTTAGGTAATCATCAACCCCCTTTTTATATACATCATTAGATGTACTAGGTATTATCACTGCAGTGCATACATATGTACATGTGCATACATATGTAGTACCTACATAGTACGGTGTACCTATGTAGGCACACAGTAGCCATGGATTCAATGTTGGAATCAGACTTGCGCGACATTAATAAATTGACATTCTGAAACTTCTCATAGTACTGATCGAATGATTATATGGTCTATCTACCTAGGTATTTAACCTGCATTTGTACTATGTATCAGTGCTCGCGCCCCGGGACGACACGTTGACCTATCCCGTGGGTTTAGCTAGAAAGATACAAAAGCTGCCAGGTCCCATGACCTCCACGGCAGAATATAAGCTGTTATTAGACCATTATTTTCAGTCCGAGATCAAACTGAAGATTTCACATGCAAGACTACCTTATCTCGTTGCAACATTACCAGGTAGTCCCCCAGTTACGACCATCCCACACGGCCCAGGGATATGCCAGATAGCTCAGAGCCCAAGTCAGGACCGCACAATATTATAACCACATTACTCGTCTTGGTTTCATATTCTCGGAACCATGATCATCATAAGCCTCTGAACAGGCAAGGGTGAATAGGCAGTGTACACGACTAACGGAAGTTGTTATCGAACCGTTTGAACGTGTATCCGATGAATGGTAGGCTCATTTCAGGAGACTCCTCTACTTGTCTTCCGACTGCGAGGGCTTGGTTTCTCATGACTGTCGCATTATCAGTCTGATCGATCTCATCCGTCGGGAAGTAAGTTGTATCAGTCGCAGACGTCAAACGAGGTTCGAATGGAGCGCGAATACGACGTAGACTGTCGAATTCAACTCCGCGGAAGAATGCGTGGGCTTTTATTTCCTGCGCTCCACTCCGTCCTAATCGTACTTCGGTATTGCAGATGAGACTGTAACTCAATTAGTCAATTATCACTTAGGTCTGGAAATGAGAAAGTACCTTCGAATCAGATGCTCTGCTTCTGTCCCAAGCGTGATGTCATCCGGGAAGTAGAGAGATTGCCGCCAATTAACGATCTTGCGGTATGTGTCATGGCTATCTTCGGCGCAGAACGGTGGCCATCCAACGAGACACTCAAACATGATGGTACCCAGCGACCACCAATCACAGTCGAACGTGTAGCCATGTCCAGTAAAAATCTCCGGGGCGATATAGTCAGGTGTTCCCACGGTGGAGTATGCCATCAGTCTCCGAGACTTTCTCCAGTCGTTGATTTGGGAACGGTTGCTAACCGTCAGATTAATCTGGTCAAGAGCAACCGAGTTCCGATCCTTAGGCCGACTAGATTTCCCTTGTAGAAGCTGCTGATAGTAGTTATTATCGTGAAGCTTATGGAAGCCGGTAGATAGACCGAAATCGGTAAGTTTGACGTGGCCGCCCCGGTCGAGCAGAATGTTGTCAGGCTTGATATCACTTATGCATTGTTAGTATAGGGTATGCTTATTTACGGGAAAATTGGGGTTTGACATACCGGTGGATGAAGCCAAGCTTATGGACAGCTTCGATCGCCAATACAATCTCTGCGATATAGAATCGGGTAATGTCTTCAGAGAAGATCTCATATTTAATAAGCATTGTCATCAAATCTCCACCAGGCAAAAATTCCATAAGCATGTAGAGGAAGTTGGCGTCTTGGAAGGTGGTGAAGAGTTTAACCACCCAAGGACTGTCCGATTCGGCTAGAATGTCTCGCTCGGCTCGTACGTGAGCCAATTGATCCTTCTTGAACATTTCGGTTTTGATCAAGGACTTCATCGCATAGACTTGTTTATCTGCAATCTTCTGGACGAGTTTCACTTCTCCGAAGGCACCCTTTCCAATGATCTTGATCGTAGTGTAATTCTCAGGCTTGTCCTTGGTTCGCAGGAATCGCAAATAGCGAGCCTCTTTCTTGCCGCCGTTCTGCCAGATCTGCTCACGCCTCGCTGCGGGCTGGTTGACATCTTGTAGCTTCTGTTCCATCTCGCTCTGCCTGTCCATAACTTGGTGGTTAGTATCTCTATCGATGCAAAATGCATAGGGGAGGTGACACGCTAAACGGAGAAAACAAATGACATATGGGAGTTATTCACCTTAGGTTACGCTCTCGGGCACGCTTAACGCTATCCTTGAAAAAGTCAGCTGCCAATTGAGAGCACTTTTTCTGATTATTGTTCGCGTTGACACCATATTTCTCTGGGTTTCTTTCAGGTGCAATTTGAAAGTCGGTTGAGCGAGATGTGGGCATCGGGGGGGCGTTCGCATAATTATAGGACGGATGTTGGCCAGAGGAACCTGCGGTTCGAGGTCGTGGTGCTGGTGCTGGACCACGTGGTCCATAGGCATTGACTCGGGCAGAGCCCCCAAGGTTCTGGTGAGAGAACTGGTGCGCCAGACCAACATTGGGATCATTAGTACCCGGGGTGTTGGATCGAGGCTGGTACGCTGAGCCTTGAGAGTTCACAAAGTCGCTTGGACCTTGGTATTGATTGGGCGCAAAGTAGCTATTGGAAGGAGCATAGCCACCAGCATATTGTTGCGGAACTTGAGGCTGCTGAGGGGCAAGATGCGGTTGCGAAGGTGTAGGGAAGACCGGCTGAGGAAAGGTCGAAGGTGTGGTAGGGTATTGTCGGTCGGACGAGGCAAGCCGGTCGTTACCATTGCCGAAATTAAGATAAAGACGGTTGTTGGGATCCATCTTGAAGCCAGGTGTATTATAACTTGTCTAACTAGTATCTATTGACGTGATGTTTTCGCCGTACCAGGTTCCACTGTTATGAATTGCGACAGAAAGCGAAAGCGAAGTCGAAAGGAGTTGAAAAGCGAGGTCACAGCCAAGATCTACGCTTGGATTTGCCAGGTTAGATGAATATTGGGTAGCCAGGAAACACAACCCCCAGCTAGATGCTATGCTGTTGGTTGTCTAGGCCAGAGATAGAGCAGTTCAATGTTCAATGTTTGTAAGCTTGTAAGTTTTCGACGTCTTAGGGAAGGAAGAAAGTCTACTAGGTAGACAGGGGGAAAGAGAATAGAACGTTGACAGTGCCCAATTCACAATGGCGGCCCGTAAACAATTGTTTGCACACGATAAGTGCGCCGCCGTTAATGGAGGGGTTACCACGCCTTATGCTGTTTTCAGTGCTCTATTTCGCATAAAATTGAACAAATTAGTAGGCGAGAGTTTGTTTATGGCAACTTGCTCTCCTGTTCAAATGGAAAACAGACGGGAAACAGGAAGCAGGAGGTAGGTAGAATGACAAGAGGGGGGGAATTTTCAGAATTATATGAAGTTGTCTGATGGATCCTCACCCTCGAATGGAATAAAATGCTACTGGTCGAGGTCATTCCCTAAACAGGACGGTAAGTGGGTGCGACGAAGCCCCTGAAAACACTAGCCAACAAGCCAACAAGTCAACCGCCATGGAGACAGCACTATCAGCGTAAGACTAACTGTTACTAGCTTAGCGTGCCAAGAGTCCGGGCGCTCCCTTGTCGGGGGTCAGAGTGCTTCGTTTATCTCATAAACACTTGCTATATGCATACTCATGTCTAATCACGCATAATTGTGCAGATAACCATGGAAGACCTTGGGGATTGTATGCTTGTTGCTTGCATGCTCAATAACTGACTACGGCATAGTACTAACCATCCAGGTTTCTCTCATCTTATTTCTCAGAACTCAATTCCAACTTACATCACACCATCTTTTCTCACACCTGCATGCGATGAAGAGCTTAAAAAGACTACACATGTCATTCGCGTTAACCTTCAGTATCGCCTCCAGATGTCACTCAAGAACGTAATACTTTTGGCTCCACTTACGAGAAGTCCAATACTGTAGCCGTTGAGACGTGGACCTTCAGGGCTCTCAACATGAGTCTTAGGTAGGGGTTGAATCTGCCCCTGATGAATACTTGTTATGTGCATACATAACTCTGATATTATCATTAACTGAACTCTGCTCGTTCCGCATTGTTCGAGGAAACCACGGCTGGACAAGGTGAAGTCGATGATATATCACAGATACATTATATAGTATTTGTTTCAGGTGTTTCAGGACAAATGAAAGTACTTAAGTACATACCTTTGTAAGTCTGATATCCCCATTGCTCTAAACTTAAATTCAAATATGAATTCCTATCCACACTGGATGTCTGCAGTGCACTTTCTCTGGTACAAGGTTCTCAACTTACCTAAGGCAGGTGTCAATGTTGTTGGCTGAATAATGGGATGTACCTAGGTACTAGGTATTAATGGGGCCATTTAATTGGACACAAATGCCAAATTTGGTAAACCTTTAAACGGAATATATGGGGCTCTCCGATAGGAGGTACATAGATCCGGGGCCGTCGAAATTTTGTTATCGGCTACGGTGATCCCTCACCAAATTTGAATTCATCCCGCAATCAAAGAGCTCCCATCACCAAGATCCCATCTTGGTGGTTTTGGTTCTTTTTTTCCTTTCCTTGTTGAAGCCATTACCATATTGACTAATACTACAGCCTCTCAATAAATTATAAAAACAGGGATTCGTGAAGAATTTCGAACCGTCTGCTACAGACATTTCCTTCACAGCCCTTCACCATGGCTGATCCAAAACCCCCAACCCAAGGAGCCACGCCTCTGCCAGCTGCTTCCGTAAGTTAAGAGCAACATATGTAATTGTTTTAATTGTATTAATAGTACAGGGACCCTTTGCTGACGAAAATAATTACAGGCAGCACCTGCGGCAAGCTCGGGGGCTGCATACAAAGCTCCTGCTCCCAACCCAGCCTTTCGCATGATGGGTATTCCTGTCTTACCTAGAAAACTTCCTTCTCGCAATTGGATGATCTTCCTCACCGTGACCGGTTCTATCTCTGCTGCTATAATATACGACAAGCGCGAGAAGAGGCGCGCGACAGCTCGGTGGTCTAAGGCCGTTTCACATCTTGCGCGCGAGCCGATATCGAACCCACACCAGCTTCCTCGAAAATTAACCATCTTTCTCGAAAGCCCCCCCGGTGACGGCCTGCGCGTAATGCAGGATCACTACACTGAGTATGTGAAGCCAGTTCTGGCTGCATCAGGGCTAGACTGGGAGTTTGTACAGGGAAGGAAAGAGGGCGACATCAGAGCTGCAGTCGCAGAGAGGATACGAAGGGCGCGGCAAGAAGAAACGGGGACACAAACTCAGGACGAAATAGTGCAAGAGTTAAGGAGAAAGAATGGCACGCCCGAATGGCAGGGTATTCGCGGCGACATTGTAATTGGGAGACATGCATGGAAGGAGTATATCCGGGGCTTGCACGAGGGCTGGTTAGGGCCGCTCGCTCCACCTTTATCACCTGAGCCAGAAGTGAAGAAGGTCGAAGAGGCATCTGCTGCAGAAGGGACCGAAGCAGAGAAGCAAGAGCCAAACCCCGAAGAAAAGCCAGAAAAGAAACCCGAAAGACCACCACAACCACCGCCATACAACACCACGAATGACTACCCCAGCTCCCCCATTCCAATGCTGATACCAGCAGAATTCTCGCCTTCGGCCCCTATAAAATTCCCTCACATCCTCGGTTTCTCCAACACGCTAACCCGACTACGCCGATTTTTCAACCGCCGATATCTAGCCGACGACATAGGTCGCGAGGTCGCCGCGGTCTGCCTAGCGGCTGCGCGCGAGTACCGCGAGGACGCTGACATGACGCGATCCGAACAACAGACCGTTCTCGAGGAAGAGGAACGGGATTGGGTCAAGTCCGTATGGAAGGACGACAAGCCTAAGGAAAGCGATGAGGAATCTACCACCCCCGTCACTCCCCCCGAGAAGATCTGGGCCAGCCCCATAGTATTGGACCCGCGAATCTCCATGCGCATGCGCCGTTTCGAGATCCAGCCCGAGGAAGAGGCCCGAGCCAGGGAAATCGTGGTTCCGGAGGAGGAGCTGGAGGGCTGGATCAGGAGCAGCTTCCGCAGCCTCTACCGCTGGGCTGTCTCGAAACCGGAGCCGAACCCTTCTTGGCCTGATGAATGATCCGAAGAATGACGCGGACATACATGGGTACGTTGTCGTCTAACGAGATACGGGATACGGGGTACGGGGTACGGGGTAGATGGAATGTAACCAATATGTTGGGTGTACTATTATATTATACATAGAAGGATACCATCATCATCATGTGCATTCCCGGCCGGCATTACGGAGTCTCTCTCACCTGTACAAACAAAACACACACATCAACGTGCATCAGATCTGTAGATAGAAACATGGTTTACGTTTATACTTGGGGACGACTCGAAGGAAGGAAGGGACGCCGACGTTCGTCGTGGTGTATTACGGGATTCGCGACGCTGATGAGCTTAGTTAGCTAGGTACTTTGCGGTCGCATCTGATCATATCCGCATATAACCCATCACAACTCTACTCCCAAAGCAAAGTACATGCCAGCTGGTCATTGGATTGATGGGTGTTTCTGTCTGTCTGTTTGCCGTAGTTAGATATATGTAACCCCCATCGTCGACTATGGCTTGTTTCTTAGTTCTATAATGCCATAGGCTCAGTCGTGGCAGCCAGAGCAATAACCGCCAATGAATGAGTACCTGCCTAGGTTAGGTAAGTAAGTAGGTAGTGATGATTAGTCCGCAACACATATCCCAAACATGGAAGAGAGCAGTGAGTCGATGATAGGACGCACCTACACGAATAAGACTCTAGGGTCACCCAACAACACCACCCCCACCACCACATCTTGAGAGCAGTTGACTCCCTTTTTTTTAAAAAAAACATTCCGACGGTCATTTTGTATTTTTTGGTAATACATGGTATCAATCATCATCTTCCTCGTCCGAGCCATAGTCCACCAGACCAAGCCTCGGCTTCTCCTGTGCCTGTTTCCCTGACACCGACACCGACACCGACACTGATGCCAACCCATCCCTCTCACCCGCCTGACTTTTCGCACCGAGACCTTTATCGCCGCTCGCTAATTCCTTCTCCTTGCCCGCTTCCACTTTCCCCACATCGCCATCCCTATCCTTCTCACCTACACTAACCCTTCTTTTAACACCTTTAACAACGACCCCCCCCTTCCCCTCCTTCTCAGCCCTCTTCCTCTTCTTCCCGGCACCACTCCACGCAACACCAACCAGCTCGTCATCATCACCAACAGCAGCCGAACCCCTCTGCGCCGCCCGAAACCTCGCGAGCCGCTCCTCCGTCTCCCGCCTCACCCGCTCCTCCTCGGTGCGCCGCTCGTCGCGCACGCCCTCTAGAAAGTCGATCTCGTCGTCGTCGAGCGCGCGGAACTGGTTGCGGATGCGGTTCTGTTCTTCGAACGCTGCTTGCTTCGCCGCTGTTTTTTTTATTCGCACGTTGGCAAAAGCTCTTGGTTTTGATTCCTTGCCCCCCCCCACACACCCTTTCATATACCCCCCTCGCAAAAGAATAAATGTGATAGACGGGGGTGGGAAAAGGGAAAAAAAGGTAGGGGAAGAAGAAGAAAAAAAATTCCACCAGCACCACCCTCCCTACCAAATATAAAAGAGGAAAAAAAAAAGAAAAAAAAAGTAAAAGTAAAAGTAAAAGTAAAGAGAAGAAAGAAAAGCCCCAACGAACCTTTATTCGCCTGCAACACCTCAAACAAGCTCCTATCCCCTCCCCCACTTCCACCTTCCACCAGCGCCCGCCGCGCCTCTTCGCGCCGTCTGCGATCCGCCTCGAGATCTCGCGTCACGGCCTCCCATTCCGAGTTTATCTTCGGCGCCGCCTTGGTCTCCCATTGCGCGGTCGCAGCTTGCTGTTGTTGCTGATCCTCCGGACGTGACGGCGTAGGCGTAGGTGTAGATGTGGCCTTCTCCCCCGCCGGCGGCAGTGACGGTGGCGCTGGCACTGCGGCAGTAGCTGCAGCGGTGGTGGTGGTGGTGGTGGTGGTAGCAGTAATCCGCCCATCACCATTAATCGTGCCGGCCGACACGAAGCGGGAGCTCATGATCTACCCTGGATATCTCGCCCGTCCGTCTTGTTTTGTGTCCAAGGTACCGTAGTTATTTGGCACCACCTAATTCATAGGTATTAAACTTTATAAACTTTATAAAAGGTGAGCTTGATTCAATGTTTGATCTCCACGGTGAACGGAACCACGTGATATCTTCTCACGTAATTAAATTTATGGTTGAAGTAAACCCGAGGTATGTAAGTAAGTGTAAGTTTGGATAGGTTAACCTTGACACATAGGACATGAGACTCGGCTGGCGGATCACGAAGTAAGCACATGGCATGTAGTTATCGATAAGAGCTACCAGCCCCTAAAATAATGTTCCACTCTAAATAGCCTTGAAGTCCACCACGCCAAACATAATACCTAGTATTACGGTTTACCTACTATCCATAGATGTACTACCTACTACTAGTAGTAGTACGTATAATAACTTAATAAGGTTCCAAGGCTGGGAAATAGTATCATCACGTAACATCAGCAAGTCTTGGATTGGAAGTTTGCACAGTTTAATATTTTTAGTCTAGGTTTATCGGTTATATGTAGCGGTAATAATAGCAACAAGCCAAAGAGCATCGCCCTCGTCGCGCTGTCAAGCCGCAACCCTCGTCATCGTCTTCTTGCCGAATAGACCGCGGTCATGCAAACTTCAGACAGCCACCTCTCCCATCGCATAGCTATACGTGCGAAATAACTTCGCAAAAATCCCCTCTGCCCGAGAATAGCCCCTCCCCAAGCCAGCCAATCCGTAGCCGCCCCAACCTGACCCTTGTGCCTGGGTTGTAGAGTCGTGGAGTCGTGAAAAGAAATCGAGAAGGGAAAAAGAAAATACGACCGATCTAGAAGGCCGAGAACAGTAGGAACGACAAACCCATCCCCCGGGGAATTAATACCAACACAGGGCCTCAAATACACACACCTCCTTTTTTCTTCTCCTTCGTAATCAAATAATAAACCGGTCTGATAGAATAGAACCGGAAATGTCTTGTGGAGCGAGCGATAGCCATAGCGGTAGCTAGTCGAGACCAGAATATTTTGGTATCCCTTCTTCAGGGACTCACCAATTAATACGAGCCAAGCTGCCCACACACCGAGTATCGAAACCCTCCGAATATTTTAAATGCAAACGCGATGACCCAATTTTTTCGTCCAATTCCCAAAACTGCTGCCCACAGCTGTCAAAGTGCCCATTTTATTTATTTTAAGCCAAAAAAAATACCAACAGAACTGAACGAACCCCCCAAAAGTACTAAAAGTCTTCAGCTAACCCAGGAACCCTCAATGGGGGACTAGATTATCTCAAGGACTTCTTCTACTCAGCGCACCAAAGTTCTCGTCAAAACTTTCAGAGGCTGAAAAAGGTGGTTGATCGAACCCAACTGCGAATTGGGGACCATGAAGTGAATAACGTAGATGTCGTAAACGAATCGTGGAGGGCAGAAAAAGAGCCATATCCTGATCAGTGTTATGGAAGCGATAGTACCACTTCATAACCTGATAAAGACTAGCGTTCGCCCCCGACGAGTAGCGACACAGCGTTGGTGATAAGGCGACGTCTATTGTTCGCCATAAAATAGACTCCGAAATATAGATGAGCGGCTGGAGGACGAGGCCAATGGTATAGGTCCATCTCTTTTTTTTAATAAAAGAAAACGCCAAATGAAGCCTGGATTTTGCCGCCGTCGCTATAGAAATGCGAACCCAAATGGAATATGCCAGTATCTATTGCAAATGTAAAACACCGAGCCTCCTCGGGAATACCGAATCCAATTAACGCCATTATAATTATCGGGGAAGAAACTCGTAAAAAAGAAATAAAAAACAAAGGAAGCATCAGGTATCGAAGTAGAAGTGACAACCAATCATGAAGATTTGATCGCCTTTTGAATCGAGGCCAGGGGGAATCGTCCGGAAAAGTATGGTGGCTATGGCCAGTTCAATAGAATCAGCTTCAATAATCCCAAATTCGACCAAACAAACCATTTCCTCCACTCAAGTCCCATCTCCACGACGAAATGTCTGATGCCTGTAATTCGGAAACTCCGAGGGGTATCTGTATAACAAATTTATGTGCCTGAACATGCCGGAGAAAAATGCCGGAGTAGACCTTAATGAAAGTAATCTCAAGTCGTAAAAAACTCGTCTGAGCGTAAGGGACAGAAATCCCATCGGAATAAACCCATGGCATATCGATGTATGTCACAAGTGTAACGTGTTACAAACAGTTAACCCATCACAGCTTGGGTATAACCATGTTGCTGAAAGTACGGGCCGGTCTTGTTGTGAATTTGAGATCTGCAACTATTGCAGAGACATTCACCGTTTGCCTCCCAAGGGCCCGTGCCGCCGAAGTTGTGGTGATAAGAGGAGAAATGGGCTCCAGTTCGAGATCCGTAACCAGTATGGCCAGGGGGTTTGAAGTGTCTACCATACCCGCCACTCACGGCCTGGGCAAACCACTCGTCATACGAAGCGTTGACCGAAGCCGCTGAGTTAAGGTATTCAGGTGTACCATAGCCAGAATCGGGCGGTGTCATCGGTGCTTGAGGCTGGGACCAAGGATTCGAGTACTGACCAGCCCAAGAGCCCTCTCTGCCGCGATACGCATTTTGGCCAGCGTGAGGGAATCTTGCGTTCATATTGAAACGCTCGTGATCGACAATTTCCTCTGGAGTCCAACCCTGGTAGGCAAGAGGATGATGTCGTACAGACTCGGAATGCATATTGGTAACAAGTGGCGCCAATCTCTCGCGCATGGCAATATGCGATTGCTGCTGCTGTTGCTGCTGCTGTTGAAGTTGATGGAATTTTTTGTTTTCCTCCCAGTCTTTCCAGCTCTTAAGCCAGGCATTATAATCGTGGCTCTGGTCCAGATTGACATACAATGCCCATCCAATCTGTTTCAACCACTCATTTTCCATAGTGTTGAGCTCCGATACAGCGATACCACTGACATCTGACCATGAACGATTCTGGAAGGTGTTGTCATCGAGAAATTTGCTACCAAGCAGGAGTGCGACGGTAAGCATCTTCCACATCTGACCATCTGTGGGACTGAATGAGCCAGCTTGGTTGAGTGTATTGGCCCTCTTGGCCAAATAATTCATACCGAGGAGAATGGTGGTACTGGGAAGTCGAGTAGATGTGAGGATTTGGTTGACAAACTTGCGGAATGCGCCGGAAACCGAAGACTTCGGAAGGACAAGTCGAACTGTCATATCCGCCACATATTCTGCCATCAATTCGGTCTCGTAATCGAGAACCGCGCAGACGCCGCCCGGCATGATGGCGGTTGGTGGAAGGGTTCCGTCAAAGATCAAGTTTCGACCTTTGGCGGAGAAGTTCTGCTTCGAGCGCGCGGAGAAGCCTCAGTTACGTGGGATACCACGGTAGAAACTAGTCGGGATTCTCGGGCTGAAGAGATGTGAGGAAGGCTTGGGGAAAGGTTATCGAGAACCCTATTGAGACGCTCGAGCCATGAATCGGTTGTCCAAATCCAGTGGAAAGTCGAATTGACGAGTGGCTGAATCAAGTCTATCTCGATGGGATGCTAATATCTTCTGTAAAGGAATAGAGTACTAGAGCAGGTGATGGGCCCAACTTCTTCTATGCCGGATATGTCGATGGACGGACAGGTTGAATAGAAAATTTATGTAGGAAAACGCGAATGCCGACGATATTAGAAAAGGTTCAGTTAAGACCTCTTAAACTGTTCACAGGTTGATGTTAGTCACTTCACCAGGTAATTGATTGCAGTGCAAAACAATGACAATGAATTCAATCCCAAAGGGACTGCTCTTTGCTTGAGTTATTGTTCCAGACTGTTATCGACACAAGGACGGTTGATTTTTTTTTCTCCAATTGTCGATGTTATTGTATACAAGTAACTTCTGTTGAATAACAATAGATGGAAAAGACAATAGCTCAATGTTTCTTTCAGTGGATAAATTCGAAATCCCAGGTTGAATCAAATGATCGGGGTCGCGCAATTTCCAAAGAATAAAAAGAACAGTATCCTCAGGAATAGGGTAGAACTGAATGGCGACAGGGGTAGTGATAAAGAACCTCGTGTTTTTATATCGAAAGATCACTTATGGCGAAGATTGTGTGTGTGTGTATGTGTGTATGAGTATGTGTATGTGTATGCGTATGTGTATGTATGCGTGCTTGCGTGTGATGATGGAAATCGAAATGCCAAAAGACAAATAATAGATGCAACTAATTGGCAAGACGATGACTGTATAAATAGAGAAAACTCCAATGACTTACCTAGTTCGAAGGTGATAGAGGTGAAGAACTTCCAAGGTGGGACCACTGGGTTTTCGCGAAGGAGTTCGTAAGTACGAGTCCAGTTCAGTTTTGTACCTAGTCAATGGTCGTAGTGATCGTGTTGAGCAGCCAAGTTAGGTCGTCGTAGGTCGTGACTTTTTGTTCGTTTCGTTCGTCGAGATCGTAAGAAACGCTCTTGTTCAGATGAATGGCCAGACACAGACCGTGGGGGGATGAGACCGAGCTTTCTGCTTTCCAGCACGAGCACCTTCTTCTGCACAACCAGATGCAACTTCGTTATGCCTCTCCCTTTTTCTTTCGCTTTCAATGCGTTGTAGCAAACCTGAATCCTCAGTGTCGACAGCTCCCCGAGTAATGAAATTCGGTCGAGGTCGAGTAGATTGACGAAGTGGTTGGGATTGCGAGGAATGAGAAACAAGGAAAGAGAAAAGAAAAAGAGGGATGAGCCAGAGTCAGAAGCGGCGAAATGGTTGAGATGGAAGTTGGATTTTGGGGGGGGTGGAAGAGGCTTGAAGGATGTGGAGGGGAGGATGAGAGAAAATGGGAACAAGTGTGATGATGTTGATGGAGCCGGCGTAAGAAAAAAAAAAAAAGGACGAACCCACACACACTCACAACTCACGCAAACTCCAGACACCCGTAGCAACTCAAGTTAGGGAAGAGAGAAAAAAAAACACAAGCAACCAACCAGTTCTCCGTGCGGCGCCAAGTGGGTATTCGATTCTTTGAGGAACTTTGACCGCTAAGCTCTTAGCTTTGTTTGTACCTTGTACCTTACCTTACTTGAACAAGCATGAGCCACTGAGCATGAGCGTCAGTGAACATGGGAGGAAGGTACTACCTACTGTACTATCAATGTACCTGCTAACTTAATGGAAGCATGGAGCGGCGAGCGCGCGCAGGCTTAGAAAAAAAAAAAAAAGGGCGAGTGGCCACTTCAAGTTGAAAGGCAGTGAAGAGAAGAAAAAACCAGGGGGGCGTCTACGTCGCAACTGATTGGGTGCGTGTGGATCAACTTTAACAGAAGGTTAGGGGGAGGGGGGGGGGGGGGGGGGGTGTAGGGGTTACCTACTACTTACATAGTATGTACCAAACGGTGGTCCTACTATTTGATTATTATGTAGTCCAGGTTCCTTATGTGGAACGCATCGCGTAGGCTGGTAGGCATTAGCGCCCTTCAGGTAACTGCAAGAAGAGACTTACATGAATGGATCCCCTTCCAGGGCCAAACATTACTATTAGTAGTACATGTATCCAGTACATACATAACTCCCTAGTGCATACCCTAGGTACGTAGTAATAGATAGATTCAAGCACGAATACTCAGGTACCCAGATACGTGCATACATAGTACTGTACAGTGTACACTAGTCATTCAAGTACAAAATGTAACAAGGAATCAAACACATTAGAGGTTAAATGATGCGTGCAAGGCGCATCTATGATTTTTGCCAATGCGCCATTGATTCCACCAATACGGCCCGAGTGCATATTAGCAGATGGCCATAATACCACAATAACTGTGCCTACTCAAGTGTACTAAGCTCCAAGTGTATCGTGTATCGTGGATCGTGTATCACTGGTATGCTACATACATACATTACCTAGTAACTAAGTAGTAATAAGCAACGCTTAACAGCTTGGAAATTCATGAAATTCATGAAACTTATATAATTACATTACATATTTGCGTGTGTTATTACCGTCTATTCAAGCTAATAATCTTTTAATGTTGGTAAAAAGGGTGGAAGAGAATTAAATACCGATTCCCGAAATCAAGGGTTCTGGTTTATTCTAGTTGTGCTAGGGTCTGACCGAGGTTAATACACTAAAATGGCAGCAAAGCCTTTAGCTAATCTCAGCCTTTCATACTGGAAAAGTCGATATCAACTTTGAGCTTACCAATCTAAGTTAGTTACCCAGGGTAGTTACTGGCTAAGAGTGCATGTTTTTGTTATTTTTGACATTTTCCCATGTTGCCTTGCTTCCAGTTAGGCCTACTTCCAGTAATTCGTAACTTACTTACCGCCAAGGCATCATTGTCCAGACTCTATTCGCATATGAATGAATCAGGAAACTATATTACGCGCCTAGATTTACTAATACATACATAGTGCCCTACTGCGTACTATGTCAAGCATTTACCACAACAGATTCACAAGTCGAGACTCTCGAATTAGAAGACCAAGATTTGATTTAGCTCGACTTGGCTTGACTTGACTTAAACAAATCCTCCGAGTCTAGTTTAGCTCTCAATGGGGTAAACACACACTTTCCAACCTTTCCAACCAGTCTCTTGACTCTCTTCTCTTCAAGTTGAAGTCACCAGTTGACCTTGCAAGCTACAACTATACATATACCTACAGTATTAATCAATTATTTATTAGGGGACCAAGTAGTTAGTGGCTCGGTTGGCGTCTTCTTATTTCGGAACTTTCATCTCCTCCTTTGTTTCGATGCGGTGCATGACCTACCTATCTGGATAAAATTATCTATCAAAACGGGAGTGCCTTTCTCCCACGTGGGATACGGAAGTGTAGGGACGTGGTCTTATTGTCCTAGCATTGGCGGCAATATGAAAACGGTAATTTCAATTTGGAGTAATATGATGGATCTCTCTGAGCCAACCCAGTACGGCGCATAGTACAGAGTACAAGCCTGTCTTACTCTCCATGGTCGTCCACATGATCGGGCTCTTAGTTCTTGAATGAAACCCAACTCAACACGCTGAAGAGGTTGTCACATCCGAGGGATTTGTCAAAGGCAAATAAAGGAAGTCAAGAAGTCAGGAAGCAAGAAGGCAAATGCCCGAAAGGCATGGGCTAACCCGTTCTTTCATATCCAGGCCCTCAACACCCCCCATCAAGTTTGTTTATAGCATCCGTCCATCCCGTCCAAGAAATCAAACCACAGGGGTCTTGAAATCCGGCACGGACAACAAGGGGTCCCCATGGGATCTGAGCCCTTTGTTCGGGACGGTGCAATACATGCCCTGTGCGGCGTTGAATTTAGATGTCACTACCTACATGTGTACTAGCAAAATTCACAACCAGTGTCAGCCACGATGGCAGCTAAGTTTCATGCTTTGAAGGACTAGGTAATCATCGGTACATTATTACATCTGCATATCCGGTACCATGGTAATACATACGTACATACATACTGCGTACATCTGGACAGAGATAACGTAGCATATCTCTGGCAGAGTCTGACTGTCTGACATGGCGGTTTGATTACTCTGTTGTTTGTACCCATCTGGATGGATACTCAGGTATGTAAGTAGTGTACAGTAGGTAACCAAAGAATATTCGAAGCTGTCCTTCGGTAAATAAGATTCAATAGATTCAATAGTGTAGTGTATGTACACTGCTTCAATGTTAGTAGTACACGATAATCACGTTATCTGGATTAATATGTGGCCGGACATCAGGGGAATTTGGAACTTGGAACCTTGAAATGGAACATCGAAGACGGCCTCACGAGGTCGGGCATTGGAAGTACAACATCGATGTATTTAGTTATGTTACTTACATGCGTATTTACATTTTGTTCCATTGGATCCATTCAATGCTGGCAGCCTACCTAGGTACGTCCATATGTACATACCGACGAATCCGCCAATTTCCCGAACAAGTCGATCCACAGGTTTCTCAGCCTACCAGAACTGGAGAACTGGAGAAATCATAAAAGGGGGCATCCCTATCGTTATCTTAAAACCACCCCCTTTTATGCCAACCCCCAACGATCTTTTTTTCGAAGCCCTGTACGAAGTAGTGTAGTGTAGCTTGCCCTGCAGGCTAATTTGGCAATTTCAAAGGAAACTTGAAAACCTCTTTGAGGCATTTTGGAACTGAAGCATCAGTTCTCGGCTTGTAGCCCTCCAGTCGCGACTCGCCAGTGTGAACATTACCCACCCAACATCTGATCGCTACAGCAAGCGTGAACCCACATTGCTAAGTTGCTTGGCTGCCAGGGCTAACTAAGCTTAAGCCCCAGCAGCCCAAGTCACGATTGGTAATCGATTTGCTGTTCACTCTAACTTTTTAGAGATGCTCGTGATGTTTGTGGAGGACACTGCCTCTTGGAGTCTTGGGTACTGTGTATGCACCTATGTAGATACACGCTTAACATATCTACGTGCAAGTTGTGGTTTTACTGTGCTAAGCTCAAAGTGCGGAATATCGGAAGTAATCGATTACGTCTCCTTACATCTTCATACAGACATGCAGATGTAGGTATTTGCTTTCCCATCGTTTTAATACGTCACTACGTCACCGCCATAAGTGTTCTCCTACCTACCTACAGATACCTATTTTCTTTACGTGTGACTGCCTACATGACTCTGTGTTACCAAAAAGGAGTTCTCCATTACTTGAATACTTGCGATGATCACACCAGCTCCGACGGATTATTATCACGAAACGAACAACATCCTTCGCAGCTAAGCCTCTTTCATGAGATAAAATGGGAAACAAAAAAACCCTCAAACTACTTTGCCATCTCGACTTTCTCACTTCTGACAATATGGGATTGCGCATCGGACAAGATGCCAGGAACCGGCCGGTCGATGGATCATGTACCCAGCGCCAGGCAAGACCTCAGTATGGGAATGCTACTATGAATATCCACTTTTGGACCCCTACTCTTTTTCCCAACTTGGGGCTATTTGACTGGCTGGCTAGGCGACCGAATCAGATTATCAGACGGCCTAACTTTGGACACACAACGGTCCGTCCTGGATGTGCATATTTGTACTAGTAGTACGGCGTACTCTGGTATCACAAACCTCCGCACGATCACAGCAGTCGTGTCTCGACGGTTGTCAGCAGCTAGATACGTAAGTCAGCTTTGCCCAAAAAAAATATGGACATCTCCCTTTCCCTTTTCTTTCGTTCTCTTTTTTTTTTCTTTGCCAGCAGCGTACTAGGCAACTGCTAGGAAGGTAGAGCAGCTTGTCAAATCAGCATCACAAGTTTCTTAGGGACGACATCCTGCACGGTTTGTGTTCCAACCCCCCACTCACATGCAGCACTTTGTCGGCCCATCAGTTCTCTAAGGGCGCGCCGAGTCGTATGAAAGGCCAGACGTTCCGTTACAGTACTCCACAGACCACAATAGAATACCTACCTAAATTACCTACATGTATTGTATCAGGAAGCTCATAAAGAAATTTTAGCTACTAGTCAGTTTATATTTTATTTTATTTTTTTCTGTAAACCCCTCTTTTAAGTCAGTCTTCCTGCCGAAGAAATTTTTTTTTTTTCTTTCGCATGAGTCCGGCCTGCAGTAGCGGCTTCGTCCACCATGACGGTGTGCGGGTCAACGTCAACGGACAGATCGTATGGTAGGGCGCATGGAAGGGTTCCGTGGTTTCGGTCGCGTGGAAATGCTTGCCCTCGACCGCGTCCGATTTCCCCAATATACATAGCTACCTACACACAATATGCAACATACATGTAGATACATATGTATCGTAATGTATGTATGTACTTGAATAATGAATATGTAGTTACGTACTATTATGTATTGTACCCCCGTATGAATTATGGCCACAAGAGGTTGTCCGTTGTAATCTTTGAAATTATGACTTGCAAATCGCACATCACAATTGCTCAACAAGAAGCTGCAGAGAAGGTCGTGCAACGAACAGGAGAAGAACATTCTACCAGCCATCGTCTTCAACAGATTTCCCAATGCTAACACATACGTATGTATATGTACCTATGTATGTATGTAGTAGGACTCTACACCAGCATTGTCATTCTATTATGGGGTTTACTTAACTACACTACGTGTAACGTGTTTTGTTCATTACATAAGTTGCATTCAACTTGGCAGCCGTATCCAGTACATACTCGAAGACTCACCAAGGAGTCAGAAATGTATCCATACCTATCCGGGTCTTCTCACGTGCCGTTGCCTCCGGGCATTGGTGATGGAATAGGAAGCTGACACTACTACATGCCTATGTAATAGATGTCATATCACCAGCGTCTACAACATCAGAACAGTCATCAAATATCTTACGTAGGCAAACCTCAACGCTGGGTTTCTTCCTCGATCGATAGTTAATCTCAGCTACCTACCTAGCTAGGTAGGACCATCTGCAACCTTACGTGACTTTCAAATGCCTCATTCGGAGGACCTATTTGGTTCGGCTTAAGTTAAACCTTTCCCAGCAGCCAAACTTGAAAACGGGGCCGCAATGGCAACTTTTTGTTTGACCAAAAAAAGCGACCGAAGCAGGCAAGGACAGGTTTGAGAGTAAGGTATGTGCAGTATGATACCCAAATCAAGACAATTCTTTTTTCGTTCTAGCGGTGTGAGCAGCCAAAAAAAAGCTAAGGCAAAAATTGTAAGTGGGAAAGCCCTTTTTCCTGAATCCTGCCATGTATGTATGTACCAGCAGCAGCACCCCCTTCACGATTTCCCGTCTCCGCAACAATTGGGCACAATGTGGTAGTTCCAGATTGCCTACCCTGACTTTTGCGGAACCTGCAGCAGCAGCATACAAACCGCCCTTTTTAGAGGCGATACTCGCGCGGGCGGGAGGAGAAAAATTAATAATAATAGACGATAGGTACAAGGTAAGGTAGACAGGCACCGGCCTTACTGCTCTGGCTACTGTACTCAAAGCGGAGATTCACTAGTAGTGACTACACTACACTACACTACACTTACAGTGACTACACTACATACATACAACAAGCTGCATCCATGGGTGCATTTGCATGTTCCAGGGGATTTGTATATGTATGTATCTGCACCTTCGAAAGATATGCCAATGTCCATACAAAACCGGTCATCCTGTCACAGGCCACCACGCTCAAAAGCTGATTTCCTCGGCAAAGAAAAAAAAAAGAAGAGGAGAGGGTACGGTAATGTACCTACATAAGTAGCGCTGTAAACGCTCTCTCTCCCTTGTTCCCAATCGTGCGTGTGGGAGGAGCCCATCGCGTTAATTGCCCGAGGCTCCGGCCCTACCATAATGTCTGTCACTGTTGATCAGGCTGATGTGTTCGCCAGCAAAGTTCTGGATCCCCCACTGAACTGACTGACTCACCCATTTTCCCATCGCCACTTATCCCGATTCTGCTTCACTAAGAGAAGAGGGGTCCCCTAATTACTGTACATTTACATGCATACATACCTACATACGAGTTTGAAGTTGAACTGAACCCAGCAACACGGCGGGCTAGAAATGGCTGCGCCGGTCCTGTGTCCGCGCTGATGGGTGCGTATTACCCCCATTGCCAATTCCAAATGGCTGGTACGCATCGCCTTTCAGGTTCGGCGCACTCTAGCGGGTTCTTTTCCAGAACACAAAAATTAAAAATCCATCCATTTAACTAACTAGTGCCTGGCTCCTCTGAATGCCCTAATCGGCTAGAATACCTAGCTAGAGCAACACAGATCTCACTAACATCGAAGGAGAAAAAAGTCAGACCGCCCATAGAATCATACCATGAGTCGGGTCTGTCTGTCGTGTCGACACGAAAGCAAGCATCACTAATAAAATGTACGATTAGCAGCTCCCCAGCCGCCCAATCCGATTCCCGATTTCCAGGGATAAAAAAAGGGGGCTTCGCTCCAAAAGGCTCGAAGAAAATAAAAAAGTTGCCTTTCACGATATATGGCCGGATGTATGTACTCGCTCGTGAAAGAGAAGAAAAAAATATTAGCCCACCTTGTCATGCTCACGGCCAGAAGCGGTTGTTTCCAGAGGGGGGGGGTAGAGGAAGCTACCTGCTAGGTAACTAGGTACTGAGATAGAGTACAGAATCGTAAAGAGCTTGCATTAGCGTCGTTCAGAATCCTCGCCTCACGATCAGCACTTGCAGCAACATACCCCGAAACCAGGCGAGGGCAAGCTCCGCATAACGGGCTGATATTATTCATCCAAAGAGGTATGTATGTATGTATGTATGTATGTATGTATCATATGTATCGTCCAAGAGGAGCTGTATGTATGGATGATTCAAGCAGCAAGACCTTTGCTGCTGGGGCATCCCTTGGGTTAGCTTCGAAGCTACCCTGAGATAATACCGTATGTAGGACTGTTATGTATGAGTATGTAAGTGTACATATGTATGTAACTGCGATCACGGTGACCTCGTAAAAATCATTCTAGACTTTTGGCGTATCCATTCCCCGTACCACGGTTTTAGTTAACCGTATTCAACCTAGGTTAGGCCCTTTACCTAATACATACTGCTCCAGCCGAAATGCCAAAAGTTGTTGCTAACTTTAGAAATCAACACAAAGAGAAAACGTCAAGGGCCCTTTCCGGTTCGACGGCACGCACTGTATGTACACATGTAACTACATGTAGGATCTGAGAAATATTAGGTACAGTACAATACAGAAAATAAAGAGGAAGGGACTCAAGGGAGGCCAAAGTGGAAAAGACAGCTTAGCCAAATAGGATTCATGGGAATTCTACTTTGAGGAATCCCCGTGGCGAGAACTGCACGCAAGTAATAAGTGCCTAGTGTACAAGTACCCTACCTACCTTTGGTACAATACATACATACATGCCTACCCTATTTGATCTCTTTTAGCAATTTCTGATGGATGGACAGGCACCCATATCGCATCATCATCATCGTCACTCGTCACCGATCCCAAGACGTTGGAGCTTTCTCTGCTGACGCGCAGATCGGACGCGGCGGGTTGATGATCACTTTTGTATGTGGGTATTAACTATTTTTTCTTCTTTCTTCTCTTTCTGCGCCTTGCCGGGCGTTGGCTACCTATACTATGCGCTCATAGACGCGCTAACCTTTTCTTTGCCGCCCACGAAATATTGCATACATAGTGTAGTGATTTTCTCGACCTTTCTTTCCCCAAGTAGGGTTTCTCTTTTCCCATTCTGGGTAGATACATACATCATATCATACTGTTTATGTATGTATACATACCTAGCAAGGCAAGGTAGGATGTCAGGATGTTATTAGGTTAGGGATGTAGGCGAGTTTGGGAAAGAAGATCAAGCCCCCAAAACTGAACCCCTTCCCTCCCCCGAGAGGAGAGCTTGCCGAGGAGGCTCTAACCTAAGCTAATAGATGACGTTTTGAGAAACGCAAAAATTACCCCTTTTAGGATTGTTGACGTTGAATTGCTTCTCTTTCGATTACTCTTTTTTGCCATTTCCTACATACATACCTATTCTTACCTATTCTTTTTTTTTCCTTAACGGGATCCGCGTACAAATGCAAACTAAAATGTTTGACGCTTGAAATTGTTACATTAGGATTGGGGGTTGGTTTTCTTCTTTTTTTTTTTTTCTTCTTGGGTCTACCTACGGTAACGGAAGATACCACTTACCTACATACTTGCATACATAAAACCAACCAAGTGAATCCAATGATGCAATGATACCCAAGCCATATCCACAATCCACCGCGTGGGGAGAGGAGAATTTACATGCTACCCTGTAGGTAGGTAGCTAGGCGGGCGACGACAACGGCGGGGTCGGGGCCGTTACCCCCCCTCCCCTCCCCTTTTTTTATTATCGCAATTTCCCAATGGTAGAAATATGTATATGAAAATAAAAATAAAAATAAGAAATACATTTTTGTGGTACATATCTCTTCTTTCCACCAGGTTCCTTTTTGCCCGCATCGACCATGCGTGGTGGGTTGACTGTTTTCCTCGGCTCTCCTCATCGCGAGTTTCCGGATGGAGGCGAAAACCTAACCTTCCCCCCCCCCCTCCTCCTCTTCTTCTGTTCCCCATTCTTACAGAGGGGTAGAAGAAGAAACGAGGTACGAGGATTCTCGTGTTGCAACCCCTCAGGCCCTTCACTCATCTCCTTGGTCTCAGTAGGCTTTCTCTCGGATTTGCGCGGCTTTTCCCATTTCGAGGTCCCCTAGGTACGTTCCGAATTATAGACGAGACATCGGAAGCACAATATTATATAACGATACAATATTATAATATTATGTACGGATACATAGTACAGTAAATACTATGCCGTAGGAGGAAGACGATTTAGCCACCACTGCCACAGGGCTTGGGAAAAAGAAAGAATGCATGTCAGATCTCTAAAGTCCGTAGGTACCTAAATTCCGCGCGCCAATAGCCTGCATCTTACGACCACGATCACCTTCTAGAGGCTGAACCACATGATTCGAACCCATGGAAAAAAATCACTAGTTAGGCTCAGGAGTCAATCGTATTCGTCCCAACACCGGACAGATTGTCAATATTTTCTTCGGTGGCCATAATAAGACACATAATCCACGTGAGAAGTAGAGTCACTCACGATGACCAATTCTTCTCTCAGATTACCAAAACTTCAAAATGGCACGAGGTAGGTAGGTAGGTAGTTCCTTTTTCGAAATGCCATCTGCTATGCGGTGGCGTCTACGCTTATGCTCCCTCAATGTAATTGTAGGTATTCTATCGCCCCCTGCGCCGCAGGAACCTGTTCCCCGAAAGCAACTTATGAATAGGCATTTTACTATTAACTCGGAACGAGATTAGGTTCGATTCCTATTGGCGCCAACAATCTGGTGTTTTTTCCACGATGGATATTCCTTCTCTCTATTCTAGTCGCCAGCTTTTCTTTCGTCCCTTATCGTGCATGCTTCTGAGATGGACCTGACTCCATCCCACAGACTTCAGGCACTGGATAGGATCTCGGATAGATCACTGCTGCTTCCAACGTTACAAGTCTTGTGGTTCCTGGAAATGGATACCTTGCGTTGGCCGATGAGAGAAGATACCGCAACTTCGTATGTAAGGAGATAAAGCAGAGCTACCTAGATAACCTTCTTCTCCTGACATCTGGCCCTCCATCGAAGGCCCTTCGATGGGGAATTTCTGCCCCTCTACCCTCTACACTATACCCGACGTACATATCCCAGGCGCGTCTATGTGTCGCGAGAATCAAATCAAAGTGCAAGGAGATATGCTTTGTTGTTGTTATGCGGTGAACTATTGAACCTATCCGCAGGGGCCACGATTATACATACAAGATACCCACCCTATCTATCCACCTGCCTACATATGCAAAACATCTCACTCCTAAACTAACAGCTATCAACCAGGGTCACATCTAGACCTCTAGCATTCAGCCGCGAGGAGGATACATGCTGGACGAATCATAGGTCAAGCCTTGGACACAAACCTGTGCCAGCCTTGTACCTGATTATAACATCGATCCTCTACTGCCTACCTAGCTTTCTTTATCCGCTTATCTATCTGTGATGGAGATGTATAAGCCCTTTGGCAACGTAGCAAGCGTAGTGTCTAGAAAGATAGCATCGAAAGCTGAATGGTAGCGTTGAAGCAAATGTCTCGCGAGCATAGACTCACACATGCTACCTAGGTTGACAAGCAGTACGCGAATACCTACTAATCTGCCCTTGGATCTAGCTAGGTTAGGGGAGTATCTTGCCATGCTGCCTCCGTGTCTGCCTCTATGGCTTACCCCTATTGCGCTACTCTGATGCCTGGTTTGTGAAAGAGACCTATCGTCGAGCACAGATCACCCCTTAGTTAGACAATTCCCCTTCTCGGGGAATCACCGTAATGGATCAAAGAGCGTGAACTCCTTCTATGCACACACCTGTCTTCACTTACGTAGGTTTTCATGGCCTAGGTTAAGCAAGAGCGCATGTCACATTACGATATAATCACAGTTACAGTAAAGCGAATCTTAATGAGTGTTCCATCATTCTGTTATCAATGGACAAGACTTGGTAATCATCAACCCCGTGGCAAGTGTCAAAGGTCTACCCGGAAACTAGGTAGAACAACGACACCTTATATCCATGGATGTATATGTAGCCTCCATAGCCTTCCATTGAGATGTTAGAGATCCCCGCGCAAAAACGAAGTCGTTTTGTGTCGTCTAGATTCCACCCCGTGCTTGACGGCTCCCATTTGGTATCCATGCCGCCATTCCCGGTCCCCACGGTAGGCGGAATCCGGCGAGTGATGCTTGTGGAGGCGGGTTTGGATATTTGCCCTCTCGTTCTTCACCCAGGAGGCACATCGGTCTGAGAGTGATATCCAGTTGCTATTGCCGACTTCGTTCCCGTAAGTCGCCAACGTTTGCCAAACAACACCTGTAGATCTTCAGTCTCGGTCTGTTATGATCTTGGCGGGGAGGCCCCAATCGACGAACATTAAGATCCGGTGGAAGACGGTGGCCCATTCCTCGGCGCCATATGTGGAATGGTCAGGAATCAAGATGGTCTTTTTGCTAAACTTGTCTGTCACTGTTATCAGAGTCGTAGTATTCGTAGCCAGGCATGTACCACATAGTGTGTTTAGACGCGACCTTCGGCAGTCCGACAATGAAATCGATACAGATCGTATGGAACGGGATGCTGGGTCTGACAATCGGTTTCAGTTCGCCCAGAATCTTCTGACGGTCTGGCTAGTTTATCTGACAGGCCGGATAATGGGTTAAGTAATCGTTCAGTTTCTTAGCCAGATGTTGAATACTGAATCCGTCGAGATCGTGTCTCATTCGGCTGGGGCCGAAATGGTGGCCCTAAGGTCTATGGCCTTATGGCCTTTCCGTTGTCCGTTTATGTTTTTCCAAGAAACGAACACGGGACAGCCGAACTGTGTTGTATCTTTCATCCAGCCGACCTTCCCATCGCGTTGCATATCATCGAATACTTTATCCACCATCTTTCGGTCCTCGATTCCGAGGGAGTACGCCTTGGTGGTCAAGCCGATCTGGTGTTGCCAGCCCTGGCAAGCCATGTCTGAGTTCATCCTTCCTTCGTAGCAGATTCTCAGTTCACATTGCCTTCCCGTGTTTCCGCTATCTTTCTTATCCTCTTCGCCGACGCTGGGTATGAATTGCGGTAGCTTAGTACCATTGCCATTCTCTTTATTGCCATTATGTTGGGCGTGCTCTTTTGTTGTTACTCTTTCGATCCATTTTGGACGAGTACGTGAGTTGTCAGGTTATGTCGCTTCAGCTTTTGGATAGGTGAATGACTGAACAGTGCTTTGAATGATACATGGAAGAATGGCCTTTTATAGGTAGTGATATGATTAGGGTTTAGGTAATACATCGACCCGAATATATGAGGCATCAACTCCCATGTGGGACAATGAGGCCGTTCCAAAACAACAGGAGCGGCCTGAGGAAAAGTCTAATAGGGTAGTAGGTATACAGTACATCACCAACTGCCAGAGAGCGCACCTGCTTTGGTCCAGTGTCAACACCCTGCGTTTCGGCAAGAGACAACATTGAATTTACCCTCCCTAGATTAGGTAGGTTAGGTAGGTACCTTACGTTTCAAGCCATACTGTAACATGCTATTCACCTACCATGCTAGGAACCTACAACCGGGAGGGCATACAAGACCTTTCTCTGTTCTCTGTTCTCTGGCTAGGCCTTACCGACTCTCACGAAGTTTGATACAAAGACCTGTCCTAGGTGACTAAATTACCTGACAAGGCCAGCCGTGGATATTTCTTACGAGATGCCTAAGATATCAGGTTGGCAACTCGTTAGCTGGAGCCAGAACGCGTATCAGAAAGCCAATGGGCCTTAAGGTGAGGTCAAGATGTGCTACATACATCCTCTGTGCATACCTAGAAGGTAACCTAGGCAACCCTAAGGTAATAAGTCAAGATGTCGTCAAATGTGCTTATATCAGCATACCCTCATAGGGGAGAGGCTGACCAATGTAGCATAACTACATGTCATTCATGATCACGTGAGCAAGACCTGTCAGGTACCTAGGTTAAGTATCTATTCACGTGCATCTACTACAGTATGCACATTTTATCTTAGCCTGGCTTTTCTCTCTTCTGTCTTTGCCAATACGCCACCCAGCCTCTCGTTATTTTCAAAATTTATCAAAATTGGTTTGATGTGTGTTCGTTCGCTCCAAATCTATAGTAGTTAATGGGGTTCAAAAAGTACATACATAGGGAGACCTCTTGGTAAGCATCAAGGTGAGCATGCCTTTCCCGGAAGTAGTTATGCCTACAAAAAAGATAGAATATAGAATATCATAGAATTATTAATCTTGATTTTTAACCTTGATTTCCAAGAATTTGATTTCCAAGATCTACTACATCGGTACCTACTTAGGTAGGTAGGTAAGTCCGGACTTAGCGAGACTTACGGGACTGGGTATAACACCTAATAGTATTGGGTATGCTACTATACTACCAGCAACGCTAATCACTGTCTCTGAGACACATACATACATAGTGCATACATCCCTAGATATACACAGTAGGTATTTTTTTGCCCAGGCCCCATAGAAGAGTAAGGAAGCGAGTAGCTACAAGAGTCAATAGCGTCATATGGTCTTCAAGGTATTATTGTACTTATACCAAATAGTACATTGAACATTTCGAACTGCCGATGGCGTGACCCGGCATTTCAATTATTCCCTTATTATCCTATCCCTAACGTAGTATAATTTATATTCTCCCCTCAAATGTCTCGCATACTGCGCAGCTTCTCCGCCAACATTTCTACTACTGCTACTACTACTACTACTACTACTACATCTTCATTATACCATCGCAGTACCAAATTAGCAGCAGCAGCAGCAAAAGGAATCGCCACCATGCCAGTCGTCCAGTCCGCCTATGATCCCAAGGATATGAAATTCCGCCACCTCGGCCCCACGGGGCTGAAGGTGAGCGTGCTATCCCTAGGCGGGTGGCTGACCTACGGCGGCACGGAGAAAGGCGAGATCGTGAAGAAGTGCCTGGAGACGGCGTGGAACCACGGGATCAACACCTTCGACACGGCCGAGACGTACGCGAACGGCGAGTCGGAGGTGGAGATGGGGCAGGCGCTGAAGGAGCTGGCGTGGCCGCGCGACGAGTACGTGCTGACGACCAAGGTCTTCTTCGGGACCGGGCGCAAGGAGCCGAACACGCGGGGCCTGAGCTGGAAGCACATCGTGGAGGGGCTCAAGAGCTCGCTGCAGCGGCTGCAGCAGCCGTACGTGGACGTGGTGTTCGCGCACCGCCCGGACTACGCGACGCCGATGCGCGAGATCGTCGAGGGCTTCACCCAGGCCATCCGCAACCTCAACCTCGCCTACTACTGGGGCACGAGCGAGTGGTCCGCCGCGCAGATCGTCGAGGCCACCCTGATCGCCGAGCGCTACAACCTCATCGCCCCCGTCGTCGAGCAGCCCCAGTACAACGCCTTCCACCGCGAGCGCTTCGAGGTCGAGTACGCGCCCCTGTTCGAGCAGTTCAAGTACGGCACCACCATCTGGTCGCCGCTCGCCTCCGGCCTGCTGACCGGAAAGTACAACGACGGCATCCCCTCGGGCTCGCGCCTCGACAAGCACAAGGACTTCTTCGACAGCAGCATCAAGCAGCTGCAGACCGAGGAAGGCAAGGCCAAGATCGAGAAGGTCAAGAAGCTGACGGTCATCGCGGAGCGGCTGGGCGGGAACACCGCCTCGCTCGCCCTCGCCTGGGCCCTCAGCAACCCCAACGTCAGCACCGTCATCCTCGGCGCCACCAAGGTCGAGCAGATCGAGGACAACGTCAAGGCCCTCAAGCTGCTCGACAAGCTGACCCCCGATGTGCTCGAGGAGATTGAGAAGATCCTCGACAATGCCCCGCCGCAGCCGAACAAGTTTGGTCGCGAGAGGTAAAAAAAAACAAATTCTAATCTAGTTCCATAATTCTCCTGAAGAATGGGAATTTGTATGAAAGGAAAAAAAAAATTTAGAGTTACGGATACATAGGTCCCTAGATTCTAGATCTTTAACTAGATAAGAGGATTCCATTATCTGCCGAAGCGCATTGCCTCAAGTGCAAAGAGCCAATCGTGATACGAACCCCTTTTTTTATATCAACGCCATGGTATATAATGTTTGGCTTCGAAGCAAGATTTGCACTAGAAGGCGGCTATGAAAGCAAGCTGCCTTGCCTATTTTCCGACAATACCACGTAAACGCCAGCTAGGTATACAATAACATGCAGAATCAGGAATGTGTCCGTTGGAGCCCCAAAGACCATGTACAGCTTATGTATGCATCCTGTCCCATCCGTTTTATTTTGGTATCATAGAGGCAAATCTAGATGCTATCAAGTCCCGAAGTTACCTATCTTACATCGCTATAGTGACTCCAAGCCTACCTACCTAGCAATCAAACCCATCTAGCTCGCCGTCGTATTGGGCCTGAAGAACCCACTCGGCCCATACCATGTGCCCTTGACGAAAGCGTTCCAGTAAACGTACGGCTGTGAGAAAAGCCAATTAGTTTAGCCCAATATTCAAGACTTTCAGCTTTTCTTTTGCTGGGGGAGGGGATAAACTTACGAAGAAATCCTTCTTCAAATGATAGAACAGCCGGCTCGGCGCCTCCTGGCCGCCCAGGATATTCGCAAACGTCTCCTTGGGCACACCACCATACTTGAACTCGCAGAGCATGAGCTCGTTGTGGCCGGTCAGCAGGGGGCAGCTCGCGTAGCCGTCGTACGCGCCCTTGATCTCCCTGCCTTTCATGACGGCGAGCAGGTTGTCGACGAGGACGGGGGCCTGGGAGGTGATGGCGGCGGCGGTCTTGCTGTTGGGGAGGCTGGAGGCGTCGCCGAGCGAGAACACGTTCTTGTACTTGGTGTGCTGCGTGGTGGCCTTGTCGACGTCGACCCAGCCTGCTGCATCGGCTATTTGGTGATGGGGTTAGCCATAGGTAGTAGAAAGGGGTATTTTTGCGGTTGTCTGACTTACCTAGCTTGGATTTGGCGACCCAATCCCACGGCTTCTGCGGTGGTACAACGTCTGTCGCAATCTCAAGTTAGTGAGTGTCCTATCTTACAAGCACGATTCCTCGTTCTAGCAGGACGACAAATAGAAAAGGACTTACGCAGGAAACCAAACTCCCTCTCCACAAGAGCCCCCTTAGCACCCTCTGCCAAGTTTTTGAAAGTTGCGACTTTGGTCTTCGGGTCTACTTTCACAAGATTATGTTGGAAGAGGCCCTCAACCTTGCGCTCCTTACGCAGGTCTTCGAGAGCCTGCGAGTACTTCGGGACAGCAAACATGGCTAAGTTGAGATTAGCAAACATCACTCCGTATATCACCGGAAAAAGAAATCCTGTATCGTCTTACAAGCAGCACCAGTTGCAAAGGTAGCGTTAATGTTATCTCTTACACCGTCGCGCTTCCACTGCGAGAGGGCCATCCACATGACCTTCTGCGGGCCGCCCGCACACTTGATGATGCCGGCAGGCTGGGTGAAGATCGCCTGCCCCTTTTTGAAATCCCGTATGTTCTTCCATACCTGCTCCACCGTCTTCTCCGAGTACGTAGACGAGACCTGGCTCGCGGGATCCTGCAGAGCCTGTTCCAGACCTGCGACGCCTGCGAAATTGGTTTCCAGACCGGGCGCCACTACGAGGTAGTCGTACGACACGTCGACGCCTTCCGCAGTCTTGATGGTGTTGTTTTCCGGATCGAAGGTGGAGACTTTCAACGGATAGTGCTTTACCCCTTCCGGTATCACCTCGAACATGTGTCTTTTCATGTCATTGAGGTCTCTGAGACCTGTGCCGACGAGTGTCCATCCAGGCTAATTCAAATTTAGCGGTTAAGAAGAGAAACCCCCTACTAGAGGCACAGGGAGACTCACCTGGTAGTGATGTGTTTGCGCAGGGTCCAAGATGGCAATATCCTTCTTCTCAAACTCGGGATTCCGTTGCAGTTGCGCGGCAATCGTCACACCGGCAGTACCACCTCCAACGACTACCACGCGGTGGTGAGCCTTCGCAGGTATCGCGGTAGCATAGGTCCTGACTATGCGTCTAGCCGGAGCTCTAGCAAGTGGACGTAGCACGGCAATTCCCGCCATAGGTATCGACCTCTTCTCAGTTGATCCTTTTCTTTTGTTACGAGGCGGCGAGGCGGGAAGAAGAAGGGAAAAAAGAAAACTGGTATACAACAAACACCTCTAAAAATAAGAATATGAGTATAAGACTATATATAATTGCTACTAAGCGAAGTTTTATATATGCGACTTGAGCCAGACGGTAGTCGGCAGGGTAAGAAGAAAACTTGGTCACGTGCAAGCACGCAATATTATCCGCTTCGTTTTATTGCCTGTTTAGCACAAGCGTAGCCAATCAGAGGCGTCCTTTTCATCAAGTACATCCCTTTGTACCAGGTAGCTATAAAAGAGATGGCATGACCTCAGCTGTTTATTTTCAGTAGTGAACGGCTCACGGCTCGGAATTATTCTGCTAATTGTTGACTGCCTGCCTATATATTACCTAGGGTAGTTATTAGTTATTAGTCGGCACATAAGAATGTGAGCTTGCTTGGTGGGTGGTATGAAGAAATACTCAAGTCAATAGGTGCTAGGAGTTTGGTTTATAAAATGAGAAGAATATAGCGAAATGGATTCATTAACAAAGTCAAGCAATAGCCTGGGAACTGCATTAGGTAGTAGTTAGGCATATACAGCCTTTAATGTCATCGCCATCACTAAACCTAGGTACTTATCCAGCCTGACCTCTGATATCATCTAGACATGGAACACCATGCTTTCCGTAACCACGACCGATAAACGCCTCAATTACACTATTATTACATTGATCGCATGGCTTTATTCTTGCGTTCCATTCGTCAATGGCAGTCATCTGTTCACACAGATTCTCTTTCATGGTTCAGACTTTTCTTTTCGTTGAGATTGGCCCTTCAGATCGAGTTGCTAAAGACGACATCGAGTAAATTGCTGGTGGGCTTTTAGCCTTTGCAGGGGCTTAGGTACCTAAATAGGTACTCGACGCCTGAATAGTATTCCACGTCAGTACATTTAGTATCTCATCATGTAAGATTGCTTGCCATATGCCCTACATCCTAGGATAGGGGACGATAGCAGCATCAATGATGGGGGGTCTACGGTGCGCCATGACCGACTCCGGACCCCACTTCGATTTCCAGGCATTCTCCTGATCAAGGGCTTTGTCAAATGCCCCTCGGCACTCAGCAGGGAGCTCGTCCAAGATCTCTTTTGGTATGGCCCCGAGTCCCTGGAACTCGGCCAGGAAGCCGGGCACTTCGCGTTGTTCGTATACGGCAGACGAAACACCCGCAGGTGGTGTCTCCATGTACGCGTCGATGACCTTAAAGTTACGAGGGATCTTGGAATCTAATGGAGGGAAGCGAGCACTATCGCTCGCTGAAGAGGAATCCATAACTTGCTCGAATCTTGCATGCGTTGGTTGCATAGTGGCGGGATATTGCATGATGTTGGTGTGCACGTCGTAAACGCCGGATAGATTTTGACGTCGAATTGCACCAATATCGGAGTTAAAGCGACTATACTGAGTGATTAGTCTTGGCAGCACATGTATAGGGATCAGTGAGTATCTAATAGACATACCTCGCTTCACGAGAATGCTCAAGCTGCCAGTTGACATCCGTCACGTTCACCCGCCTCTTCTTAATATCTACCTTGCCGTTCTGCATCGGAACAGAAGGAGCTCCAGAGTGGTAAACAGCACTTGCACCGTGCCAAGCAACGTATTGGTTCTTGTTGTACGTAGCACCTTCAGTGTACCGGTCGTTGGGGTCGGCTAGTTCACCCTCTACGGCACCCTCAGCTCGAGCCTTGGCCACTTCGTAATCGTCCACAATTTTCTTGCCGCCAACAATGATTAACGCGCCAAATTCCCGGAAGACTGACCGTGCCGTTACTATTCCTATCGCACGGCCCTTGTAAGAATGGGGAATGATATTACGTTCAATCATGTCGCGTTTTTCCTCATCATCCACAATGATCTTGTAGAGTCGCTTGTGTTTGGTGAAGAAAAGGTACGAATCTCTGAATCCGACACAACGGGCCGGTTCAGTTGACAACATGTACAGGCGACTTCCACGACCTGCAACGGTAAATGTGCGGCAGCGGTATTCTCGGCCTCCTTGCAAAATACCATTCTTATCCACCTTGGTCTCTCCTTCGGCATCTTCTGGTAGGGCAACCTCGTCGTCGACAATGTCCATCATGTTACCCTCCTTGTCAATGGTTTGCTGGGTGGGTTGAAAGGATGCACCCTTTCGGCCACCTCTGCCTCTCCATCCTCCACGACCACGTCGTCTGGGCGGGTCATTCGGATCGCGCTGAGGTGACTCAATTGGCAAAGTGTCCCAGTCAGGTGGTCTATTCTTAGGAGGACGACCCAGACGTCTTCGTCGTACAACAGGCGCGGGAGGTGGTGTGGGTGATTTGGCAGAAGGAATGTCACTATCTTGGTTGTCCTCCGCATCTACACCGGACTCTTCCTCATTCTCCTGATCCTCAGGTTCGGCCCTCTCTTCTACATCCGATGCATCGACATCGGGCATTGGCTCATCCTCGATTTCTTCGAATGTTTTCGGAGTGCTCTCTAATTGAGCCAAATAAGGATTAATACTATAGTTCAAGGGAATTCTTCAAGTAAGGAATGCGACGATGGGGCGCGCAACATGAGAGTAAGAATACTACATATGTAGCTAAGGCGAGGAGGGTCTTACCGAGCTTTGCAGCAGCACGCTTAGCGGCCGCGCGACCAGGACGTCGAGGCATTTTGAGGGTAAGTTATTGACAGATTACAATACCTCAGAGGCATGAAGGCATAAATACATCAGAGAAGGACAAGAGTTAATGAATTGACATGGCAAGAAGTCGGGTCAGTGCGTCAAGATTGTTGTGGTCGATGAGGAATTGATGGAGTTTGGACTTTCGAGTTTCGAGATTGGAAATTGGAAATTGGAAATTGGAAATGCGCCAAAAGTGTTTGAATGTCATATCGAAATAGAAATGGAAATGGAAGTCGCGCGCCACGCTAGTAGTGTTGCTTAAGTTTACGCTAACATCTGTACCTAGGTACTGCGCTAGTTGCATACAATGCTACATGTATGGCTAGAAATTCTAAATCCCGGGGATATTAGGTAACTACTAGGTACCTAGTAACTAGGTATGTACCGAAGATTAGCCCATAAAACGCTACATAAATTGAATTATGTAAGGCTACTAGTTAGTATGTACTTAATACATAATACTTCAAAATGGAAAATTACCTACATATCTACTAGACCTACATGTAGTATACTTTTAATTACTTGATTACATAGCTTTAAAACCACCCACTAACGACAAATATGGCGATAGCTGCATGGCTTTGTGCCAACGAGGGTTTGTTGCAGGTGTTTTCGGTATCATAGGCTCTATTAGAGCCACATGGCCCATATGGCTATAGGTATGTTAGCACTCTACCACTGTAGTTAGGAATAAACCAAGCTTTCTTCCTTCCTTTTTCTTCCTTTATGGTTGTAGTTATCCTATCATTAAAAACGCCCAGCAAATGGTAAGTATCATATCAGTTACCACAATCTCTGGCCTGCATTGCTTCACGATCTCTTTGACCAGCGCCCAATCCCCATCGTCGGTATCCTCAGCATCTTCATGTACTACACCATCACCCGCCCACACCATTTCTTCTGGGCCTGGTGCCGGCCTCTGCCGCTGACAATTGCACCACGGACTGCCTCTTATAACCAAATGCTTCAGAACCTTCGCCTTGTCCAAAACCGGTGCCAAAGCCGCCGCATTCTCCAGCGCCTGTCGTACGTAGGCCCTCGTTTTGGGGTAGTCGAGCGTTTCGATTTGCAGAATAGATACTCTCGGGGCCTCCTCGAAGATGTGCTCCATCAGGTTGAGCAGCGCCGGACAGCCGTCTCGCTCAAAGTCTGACCATTCGAGATCAACTTTTATGCCTGGGCCTCCGCCGATGGTCTCTTCGACGACCAACGTCAAACACTCCGGGATCAGCACCCTGTCGATCTCAATGGTGACATTGTTGATGGAATGCTTCATCCGCAGTAGTGCTTCTTCTCTAGTTTTCTTGCAGGCCAGCAAAAGGCCAGGGGCGTTGGAGAAGCAGCGTTGTATGAGGTTGACGGAATAACCAGGCCTTGCCGTTGCCTCGTAGGCCTCGTGACATTGTCCGTAGATCATGTCACGAACTTCTAGGGGCAGTCGAAAGAGGATGGATTGGGCCTGGTCGTGAGCCATGATTACAAGTATGGATGGATTTTCAAGGTCTCGTGTGTCGTTTAATATAAGAACTTGTAGAGGGACTCGAGATGACCTGACGATTCTGATTCTTCGTAGGTTAGTGTTCTATATGTTGTAATCTCACGGAGTGAATACTTATGTATTCTCGTAAACAATGAAGACATGTGTATCCTTCACTGGCAATAAGTTCATAAGCAGTTGTTCGAATACGAAAGCTAGTTGTTTGTTCTTTAGAAAGAAAAGTTTCAGCCTTTTATGTATTCGAGGTTGATGTGTTCCGCCGCCATGGAAACCTCAATTTCTATCCTATCGGTTCTTCTATAATGGCTGTGTACCTAAGTAGCTATTTAGACGGTATATTCCACTCTTACTGACTCGCTACTCAGGTACACAGTCGTTATGGACAAACCGCTATCCCATTCCCTACACCCGTTAGTACGAGTCAAAGATATCGGGGTTTATTGTATGCCTGGTTGAGATTGAGGATTTTCCAACACGCGACAGCTATAGCACCTGCCGTGGTATCTAGCTCTTCCACAACGCCATATACGCCTATCTTTTCCCGGTCTTTCAATTCTGCTGGGTGCCATGATAGTATTCCTTGATGCCAATACATCAGATTTCGCGACTAATAAAGAGTGATGCTAGGCGTAGATTGCCTCCTTTCCGTGTATATTGGTTTTTAGAACAGCTGGCAATCGGTCCCCACCTATTTTAGTAGACGGTTTATTGCATCTCATTCCATATTTTAACATAAACGGAAATGAAGCTATATAGTATCTTGCTAGCGACTATATGTTTAATCTCCAGCTCCGTCACTATAGTTACCCGTGACCTTCGAGTCGTAGGAAGGAGCAGTACAGTTCGCTCTGGTATCTGAGCTCCTCATCTCCTAAAACGACGATACAATCCTGTATAGAAGATATCGCTGTGAAGGTGCTAGAATGCTGGATTCGAGGTTAGAATGAGATGCAATGAATACTCTAGTAAAACAAGCGAGGGGGGGGGGCTGTTGCCAGCTGTTCCAAAAACAAATCTACACGGAAGGGAAGTAGTCTACACCTAGCATCACTCCTGATAAAAGGTAGGTTAATATTCTTTCATCTATTACAATGTGGATTCTTCAGCTTGTGTGCACGAGTACCCTTTTACTCCTTAAACTAGTAACTAGGGACCTATGTTACAAAGGTTTGCATAATTCCATTGTATTTCAACTCTATCTATATAAAGGATGCAGTTACATGAATCACAAAGACCAACCTAGCATCTTACATGAACGACGTTTTCGCGTCACCATGTGAGAAGCTTTAATCGCCTACTCGGGGTAGGAAGCCCCTGACTCTGCTTAAAAGCTCCCTTGGCGCTCCTAGTGAGTCTCTTCAGGGGGTGGATACACTCACTGCAGTCACACTTTTGGACAGATATATGTAGCTAGGCTTTAGAGTATAGCGCAAGATCAAGACAATATGCGTGGACGTAAACCCATTGTTACACGAAGGACTCATAACTTCAAAGTTCCAAGTTATATATGGGAGGTGTACCTACTACGTAAATACTAGGGTAGGGTTTCTAGAATACATATCTACCAATATACCTCTTTTTCCTCTACATGGCAGATTTCTGGATTAGGTACCTATCAATAGAGCCTGGGCATGCCCTTGCATCGTACACAGTAGGATTCGTACAACGGCGCGGTAGGCTGTAGTGTCCGGCCCCGGCGCGCGAAACCACATAGCCAACATACATTGTATATACGGGGTGGGGTTGGATTGAGAATGTACGCACCTAGGGTATATAGGTTAGGTAGGTTCCCTTCCAGGAATTCGGTTTTGCGACCCCAACATAAAATATATCATTACGTTTAGGGATCATTGCACCTTTTACTCACACGCACACTTACACAACATTTTCGAACCACCATGCCTAGCTCTAAAACATCTAGTCCCCGCCACCGAGCCCGACATCGAGGCAGCTCGCCATCATTCGCTTTGGGTTAGCCCGTATCGTCCCTATCGACGACGAGGCCCCCTTCGCCGAGATCGCTGCCGCTGCAGGCCTGGGCGAAGTCCACGTGCGGAGGCTGATCCGGCATGCGATTTCACAGCATGTATTCCAGGAACCGCGTCCAGGCGTTGCCACCCACAGCGCTGCGCCACGTCTGATTGCCGAGGATGCCGACCTAGCAGCCTGGGTCCGTTGGCGCGCCGACGACTGTTGGATAGCTGCGTACCACGCCTGCGAAGCTGTGGCGCGCTGGCCCGGGTCGGAAGAGCCGAACGAGACCGGGTTTGCGGTCGCCAACCCGACGAGTCTTACCATGTTTGACTTCCTCGCTACACAGCCAGAACGCGCATCGCGTTTTGCTGCAGGAATGCGACTGTACGCCGCGCACTCAGATCTGGACCTGCAGTATCTCGTCAAGGCCTGGTCTTGGGGCGAGCTCCCAAAAGGGGCTACGGTGGTCGATGTGGGTGGATCCCACGGAGAGGCAGCAATAGCATTGGCGCGTGCATATCCATCGCTGAGCTTCGTCGTGCAAGACATCGACGCGCCAACCATACGGGATGTGGATGCTCCGAAAGCCGGCTGATGTCGGTGGGCGGATACGTTATATGATTCATGATTTCTTCACCGAGCAGCCAGTTCACGGGGCCGATGTGTAAGTACCTAGTTTCTTGAATTTAATTTAATTAACCCTTCATCACTGCTAGTAGCTTATAAAAGTGTACCAGGTACTTATATCGAGCATGCTTCCATGATTGGTCTCATAGATATGCCGTACGCATGTTACAGGCGTTGATTCCGGCGTTGAAAGCAGGTGCACGCGTGATACTCAACGATGTCGTAGTGCCGGGCCCGGAGGAGATGTCACCGGGCTTGGCAGCGGGAGTGCGGACCGGCGATCTTGGTATGATGATACTGTTTAATGCGGGAGATAGCGAGATGGCCGAGTGGGCACGACTTTTTGAAGCCGCAAGCTCGGGATTCCACTTTAAAGGTGGAAAAGGCCACCGGGCTCAGGGTTGTGGGTTTTGGAGGCAGAGTGGAAGGGACATAGTACATAGTTAGTGTCTAGGTGCTGTATAAGATTCGAGTTGGAGTTTGGAGAGGCCAAGAGCTTGAAGAGTCAATGATGTATACTAGGCACCCTACTGTTGGATGTATGTACGCCACTAGTTGAGACATAGAGTAGGAAAACATGTAAAGAAATAGGGATAAAAACACCAAATATCATAAACGGTTAGTTAAATCAAGTTGAAATAACCATGAATTAAGCCAAGATACCAAAGCTAGAGCCAGAGAAGTCGGGTAGGTGGAGGGCTGGACGCTAGTGTTCGTGCTAGAAGCCATGGGTGCAGGAATACGACGAAGGGACCGTGTAAAGACCAGAGGCTTGGACGGGGTTTGGTCACTCTAACCACAAGAATAATTCTTATCCCAGTATACTCTCTTGACTTCTAAAGTGTATAATTTCGAGATCAAGGACCGGAAGATGGTACTGGTGTCTAAGGTCTAACTACGTAGATACCTAGGTACCTGGCCTGGCCATCTCACGATCTACTATGCACAATGCAAGGAGTGGCCATCATCGTGATAAGTCAGCCCAACTAAGGCTAGTAGGTAAATGATTTTGCGGGGAGAAGGGTATAGCTTATCAACAGATGCCAACGCGATAAGGGGGTGCAACATGACTGGACGGGCTTCCCATTACACTCCCCTATCTATCTGTTCGGCGGGGAAAAGATTGCATCACACTTGTGTGGCCATGGCTCGCCTGGTCTATCGCTGAGACTAATAAAAACAGTTAACTTACCTAACCTATTTCTAACGAGATCCAACTGATAGGTCTACGTTTCCCGGCACTTCGCTTCGCTATCTCCTGAGTCGCAAACCTTATCTCCTCTGCCGCCCGCTAGGGATGCAAGCCGAGAACGGAACATACCAGGTAGCTACCAGATAGGTACCTTATGTACGTAGGAAGCAGCTCTAGAGACATTGAAAGCCATTTGAGCTGACTTACTTCGGTCTTGAACCCGAGATATCTCCAATCCTAGGCTGCTTCCTTCCCTCTTCCCCTTCCCTCTTCCCCCTCCCTCTGTCCAATCCTCGCAATCTGATGATCGCTGATTTGCACTCGAGCCAAGTTCAACCACGATACTCACATCATCATAGTATGCGTGTACAGCCGAGAACGGCGCTAGGGATCATTAAGTAGGTACCTAGGTTCTTCTGTGCCACGTATAACTAATGGAAGCCCGGTAGAACTTGACATGATCAGTGTGTCGTGTGTCGTTTGACAGAGAGAGAAACGAGCGTTAGTTTCTGTCTCGAGTCTTCCCATACACACTGATAGATAGAACACACGCTATCCTTTCAGCATGGCAGACTCTGAGACGCTTCTATGGGCACGCTCCCAGGTTGTCAAGCATGTTGGCCAAGCGTACGAGGGCCTCCAGGAATCGGGTCGTGGCTGTGCTTCAGCGGTCAAGACTTACTGGGGTAAATACTCCTTCCAAACCCATCAAAGAGAGTCCATCTATACTGCTGCCGGCGCCGTATTGTTGGTCTCCACGATAATCATGTATCTCGTTCGCAGGCGGAATCTTAGAAAGACCTCCATGCGACCGTCCACACCTACTGCACCGGCACTCGAAAAGGCAGCATTGAGAGACGGCAGCGCCCCAAAGACCCAAGGCCGTGAATGGGGCAAGTGGATCCCGTCCGACTTTTGCACACCCAAGCCGGATCCATATCCGGACTGGTCAGTGGAAAACACCAAACCACTTCCATACCGACCGTTCCGATACGGTCCGAAATATAACGTAACTATGGGGCTCCGATCGATAAAACACACCGACTGGATTGAGCTAGACAACCACTACCCGCGGTACCACGCGGACAAGGCGCAACGGATCCAAGAGCGGGGCTCTAAGTGCTGCAGGACGGCACCAGAAGCCTTTCCCGCAGCAGTCGAGCTACTCGAGGAACTCGCCGATTACCTACCGTCACGATATCCGTCGATGTACAAGCGAACGGACGTCGGCATCGACAATCTCTGGTCAGGCGAAAGTTTCGACATCGTGACACGGCCGCTGCCCGAAGACCCAATGCAAACCTGCGCGCGGCTCGTGCAGGACGACCTCGCGATCATGATCGAGAAGGAAGACAGCCAGTACTACCTGCTAGCGGGCGCAGTGCTTCTCGCGGGATTCTGGCGGCTGGAGGACAAGTACCAGATGCCGCTATCGGAGATCCACACATCGGGCTCGGTGCCGCAGTACAAGGAGAAGCTGGAGAAGGGCATGATGAACTTCTTCCGGCGGCTGAAGCCAGAGGAGATGGTGGCGCGCAACAACTACTTCTTCCAGGTGGACGACGCGCTGCCGTGGTCGTGGAGCATCGGGTCCGAGGATGCGGAGGAGGTGAGCTGGGGCACGGCGGAGAAGGATCGCGCCGTGAGCCACCACTACTTCCGGTCAGAGCGGCAATCGCTGCGGCGGCTACCGAAGTCAGGGGGGGTTGTCTTCACCATCCGCACTTACTTCCACCCGGTTACGGAGATCGCGGAGGAGGACTACGTGCCGGGAAGATTGGCCAGCGCGATCAGAAGCTGGGGAGACGATGTGAGTCGGTATAAGGGAAAGGAGAAGTATGGAGATGTGTTGCTAGAGTATTTGGATAAGAAGCACAAGGAACAGGTTGATAGGGGGTTAGATCTTAGCCGTGAGGAGGAAGTGAGGGCATATCCTTATTGATGTTATTATTTATTATCAATATGTATTTGTAGTAGGTGAGGTAGGTAATTCCATCAATCAGATCAACTAAGAAGAATTGGCCAAAATATTTAAGATCTATAAATACATAAACACTCTAGGTAGGGTACAGTAGACTGTAGTAAGCTTGAGGGCTATCTAGGTGGTAAATGCAAATGCCCACATTATGCATAATATAGTTATCTGTCTTTAATGCAATACCCGATGTCGCCAAATGACAGCATATCGGAATAACACAACCCCTGTTCCCGTTCTATTGAACACCTGCAGCTTTCATCCCGCTACGGTAGCTTCATTTCTCAAGCTTCAATTAGCGAATACATGTACCAACAAAAGCGATGTTAATTAATAACCGTCACTCTTTTTTGACTTTATAACATACATCACAACTATCACCACCACCACCACCCATAGCACACACATAGCACACACATATACCCGCATACCTCTCTATAACCGCACCAAATGGAGGCAGCGCAGAGTCCGCCAGGCCCAGGCGCACTGAGCTGGCGCCTCAGCTCTCACCCGATCACCCTACTTACCTTTCTCGGCTTTCGCATCTGTAAGTTTGTCCTGTTTTGTTCTACACCACGGGCGCATTACCAACCTACATAAGCTAACAACCCACCCACCACACAGCCTCCCTCCTCGTCTACCTCTTCGGCGTCATCTTCACAGACAACATGGTGATGATCTTCATCATCACCATCCTGCTTCTCGCCGCCGACTTCTACTACCTCAAGAACATCGCCGGTCGCCGGCTCGTGGGCCTGCGCTGGTGGAACGAGGTGGACCCTTCGTCGGGCGACAGCAGCTGGGTGTTCGAGAGCAGCGACCCGGCGACGCGCGCCATCAACGCCACCGACAGCCGCTTCTTCTGGCTCGCCATCTACGCCCAGCCCGTCCTCTGGGTCGCCCTCGCCATCCTCGCTCTCATCCGTTTTAAATTTATGTGGCTGCCGCTCGTTGGTGAGTCCTCCCGCCACTTCTGCTTTGCTGTTTACTTTTCTTTTTTGTTGGAGGGTTTGGGGGGGTTTTAGGGGGCGGGTTGGGCCGTATAGTAGGGGTATCTGTCAACGTGTAGAAGAAACTAACAAAGGGAAACAGCCATCGCCCTCGTTCTCACCATCACCAACAGTCTCGCCTTCTCGCGCTGCGATAAGTTCAGCAATGCCTCCAACCTCGCCGGCAGCGCCCTCTACTCGGGCAACATCGCCGGTACTCTCGCTAGTAGCATGGCTAGTCGCCTGTTCACCTTTGGCCGGTCATGATTTTTCGGTATACATGCATGGACGCACCTACTTCGGGAAATGGAATGAAAATTAGGTACCTACGAAAGAAGAGTAAGGGCAGGGAGGGTTTAGGCAATCAATCAAAAATATCCGAGAAGAGATCCCCCTATTCAAGACGAGGGGTGAAAGAGTTCGAGTTCAAGTTCATCGCGGTCTGGCCTTATCTATGATCTTTGCAGGCAGGCCAACCTAGAAAGGGGGATGGACGGGACTGGAGACTAAGGGGCTAAATGACATTTGCGCTGTATTAATTTCTTATTCAAGAAGCGAATCCCGGGGACAGAAGAGAGGGTCAACCCCCCCTTTCCCCGGTTGTAATACTATTGAAATGTTCCAATGAACCCCCCACCCCCAATACGTCTTTAAATCAGATGCCTGTGATGTCGGTTGCGGCTTTACGCCAAATGTTACTCAATCAAGTCCGCCAGAGTTCAAAAATAGGTATGCGCCTAGTTTTTGGTGGCTTAATGCATAGGGGCTACACATAGGTATGATCAGCTTCTTCAAGTCATATAGGTTAGGCACGTACGACAACGATATATACCTATCTAACCTATATATATCCTGGTGGCTACAGGTTAACGAGTAGTGCCTAGCTTCTGGGGTTCATCGCGTACGACAGACAGCATGTTGTGTAACTGGGGCTTTTTCAACTTCATCCTACATATGTACATACAGTACATACTTCTTCCGTACCGACCTAACCTAGGTAAGATATCTGACAACTTGACTTGTTGCTGATAGTAATAGGTAGATCTTCATATGTGGACTACTGCCTACATGTGTAATCAAGCCAGGGCATACATATCTATCTAGGTACATACACTCAAAAGGGGTATCCTTCGAGTTTTTCTCCTACACATATCGTACCTAGACATTGAGAAGTAAGTAGGTTTGGAGTTACTAATTAACAGGATATAGATATAGGTATAGATAGGTATAGATAGGTATAGATGTTATATACTCAAGCCCCCCGGCAATATTCCCCTCCCCTCCAACATCGATAATATATATATATAGTTACCCCTAGGCTAGAAAACGCCGATACATGGGCATGGATCGCCCCAACAACACACACAAAATACACACGAACGCTACTAGCGTGGTTAGATACCTAGGTAAGGAGGTGAGTAGGCCACTTATTTATACCTTCCTAATACGCACCACCGCACCTACTTCCTTACAACCCCCCCAACTCCCCCCCCCCCCCCCCCCCTTATTCCCCTACCCCTATCTATTCCGGCCTCGCCATCCTCCCACTACTCCGCCCCTGCTGCTCAATCGCCTGATCCAGATGCCTCTCCTCCTCCTCGAGCCGCTGTATCTCGTCCTCCGTCATCCCTTCCTCGATCAGATGCGCGTAGTGCGACTGCGAGCGCGTCGACACGTCGCCCTGGCTATCTGACGGGAAAACGGGGACAGACCGGCGCAGTGGCGGTGGCGAGGAGGGAGAGGGCGAGCGGTCGGAGTATGGCGGGTCGTCGTCGATGGAGACGGGGCCCATGCTGCGGGTGCTGTTGCGGTTTTGGGGGTAGGGGTCGCGCGACTGTGTTTGCGCTGCAGCTTCTTCGTCGTTGTTGTGGTAGCCGAGGTTGGGGAAGGACTCGGACATGTTGGTAACGACGGCGGCCTCCTTGTCGGCCATCATGTGGTGCGCGCCGGGATCGGAGGCGAACTGGCCGTCGCGGCTGCGCTCGCCGTTGTTGGCGCGGCGGCGGCTGCGGCGGCGGAGGAGGCAGAACCATACGAAAAGGGCGATCAGGGCCAGGCCGACGACCACGCAGGCGACCGCGATGCCGATTATGGCGCTCCGGGTGAGCGGCGTTGTAGCACCGGCGCGGAACACCTCACCTCCCTCATTTGTCGCGGTGCTAGTTGGGCTGGCCGAAGCCGTGGCGGATACAGTCGCGGCCGAGGATTCGCCGGTGTCCTCCTGATGCGCCGGGCTGTTCCCCAGACCCGTGTCTGCGAGATTCGCAGCGGCCTCGTCGTAGCTGTCTGTGGTGGCGACTGCGATAACCTGCGTGTAGCTTTTCCCGCTAGTCGTGGAGTCCTGCCACTGGAACTCATAGTAAAGCACCTGGTTGATATTGCTGCCGTAATATGACAGATCACCGAGCGGGAGCTCTACAGCGCTTTGGAACACTGTCTCAACTTGTCAATACCCAGTACCTCTTCACGCTCCGAACATAACATCCCCAAAATCCATCGACGGAACCAAACAACGTACCTGTGAACTGGAATGGCGGCAGAGGTACCGGGACTGTCTGTCTCCTTGCGATGACATCCCGAGTGCTAGTGGTGGCATCTGAATTAACTTCATCTGTGATTTCGCCCTTCCCAATAACATAGTCGTCGGTATATCGCTTCAGATAAACAGCGCGGACCTCGAAGTCCGTGATATTATCACCCTTGCTGAACCCAATAGACACGTTATGCGACGACGGCATAAAAATAGCAGGCGTCGGAAACGGGTTTATCTGCAATACCGAATTAGACGAAGCCGTCGCCATTGACGTCCCATCGCCTGCAGTCGTCGTCGGCGTTGTCGTCGTCGTTACTCTGCTTATACCTGCATCGCTCTCTGCCGCCGCCGCCGCCGCCACTACCTCCTCCCCTGCCACCAATCCTGTTAGGCCGGCCAGGAGGGTACCATATATCGACACATCGAGCCGCATTGTTTTGTGTGAACCAACCCCACGGGGTTATTGTCGTCGGTCAAACTCCCAGAAGGCCAGATGCATCTGAACTCTTTTCAAATCATGCCCAACCGTATAGGCCTGGGAGGGGGGAGTATGTCGACCAAAAAAACAGTCTCTCTCTCTCCTCCGGCGGGGCGTGTTTTTTTTTTTTCACTACGCCCTAAAAAAGTTTATGCTGCTAAAAGATAATAAAAACCTCGAAGAAGTGACCAAGCAAACGCGGAAGCGAAGAAAGCAGACAGGAAAAAGTGAGGAGAATCAATGGCCCGGGGGCGTGGAGAGAAAGAAGAGTAGAGCAAACCACGAAGGAGCTGCAGGGGGGTCTAGAGCATCAGCATAGCCAGTCAAACTTCCAGTATTCAGCTACGCCCGGTACAAGGGGGGGGTGAAGCGGTGCGGGTCTGGGTTCGTGTACATAATATGTCAGAAAAGTGAGCTACCAACCAGGCTTCAACATGCAGTAAGCCAACGGAGCCCAAGGCTACGCCTCTCACAAAGCAGGACTAAATAGATGGATGGCACCATCAGCTGCCAACCCATAGATCAACATCGGCCCATAAAAACCTATCCATGTCCCTCCCCCTCCACTTCTAGACGAAGAGTATGTTACAGGAACATAATGACAGCAGCCTATTAGAGTTTCTAAAATGTAGCACTTTTCGGAAAAGTACGGAATAATGTAAAATGCTGTTTAAAATAACACTTTACATTTTACACTTTTCCCCACTTTTCCTAAAACATTACTATTACCGTTACCATCACCATAATTTATTTAATATTAAATTTTAAGCTTTAATTTAAAATACTTAAAGAATATAATAATAAACTTCGCACTTAGTTTATTATTAAGCCGGATAATAAACGCACTTATAAATATTATAATAAAATCACCGTCGCTTATAACGGTACGTAAAAACAACACCTAAAAAAATATAAGACATTTTAACGATAAAATTTAACATAAATAAATACTATTCGAAATTTATTTATTATTAAAGCTTTAAAAGTAAGCGTCGCTCACCCTTAATTAATAAATAATTAAAAGGAAATTATTAATTTATAATTTATAAAAGCTGCTTTTATTACCGGACGTTCGTATATTTATTATTAATATAAAAAAATAATAAAAACTTTTTAACTTTTAAATATTAATTATTTATTATTAAAAAAAGATAATTTTAAAAGCCGCTTATTCGACCAAATTTATAAAAATTATTTTTCTTAAATATACCGAGTTATTAAAGCAATTAAATCAATTATTATAATTTTTAATACCGCCGATAATAATAAAAAAAACCGATTATTAAACATATTTATTTAATTTTTTTATCGGATTTATTATTATTAAAAAACCATTAATATTAATGATAAAAAGCTTTATGTTAAAAGCCATTTAAAGGTTTTAATGTTAATACTTAAAAACTTAATTAAATAAAGCTTAAATAAAATCACCGGTTTTTATATAAATACTTATTTAATAATACATGTTATTTACACGTTATTTAAAAAAAATTTAAAGATTTTTTATTATTAAATTATTTTTTATAATTTTCATAACCTTTAACTTTTTATAAAGGATATTATTAAAAAGGTTTAATTAACTTATAATGTTATATTTTTAAAAAACTTTTAATTAATTATATTTTAAATAAAAACCTTATAAAACCATAATAATTTTAATTATATTTATTATTATTTTTTTTATTAAATTAAAGTTATAACTTACCCGTTTTTAAATTAACTAACGATTTATATATAATAAAAAATAAAAAGCTTTATTATTATTAATTATTACGCGATAAGAATTATAATACCGTTGCTTAAAATTAACAAAAAAATTAAAAAATACTTTTACTTATTTTATTATTTATTTTAATATTTAAGTAAACGTTTATAAAATAAACGTGTAAGGGAAAAATATTAAACTTATTTAATTTTATAAGCTTATTAATAATAATATTTTTTAAAAAAAAGTCGATATATTAATAAATATTTTTTAACTTATTATTAAAGCTATTCGCACGTTTAAAGTTAATGTATTTTACGTTAAATACGTTATTAATCGATGATAAAACATATATAAAAAGTAGCTATTCTTATCTTAAATAACTAAAAAATATAAACACATTAATTAAAAATAATTAAATAAATTATAACGTATACGATAAATAAATTAAATTAAAAATATTAATTAAGTCGTTTAAGCCTTTAATTTTTTAACTTTTAATTCTAAGTTTATTATTATTACAATATTACAAATTATTTTATAACTATTATAATATACCCCTTAAAAATATAAGCATTAAGTGGTATATAACTTTTATTATTATAAAAATTAAAACAATTTTTTTACACTTAAAACTTTACTTTTTAAATAAATAAAAACACCTTTAAAGTTATAAAATCGCGTTATTACTTTAAATATAAAGTTAAGAAAAATAACTTTAAAGTTATTTATGATAATAATTAATTTAATACCTTTTAAACGCTTTTTTTTAATTATAAATTATATTTATAATAAAATTAAAAATAAGCTTAACTTAAATAAAATAAATAAAAATATATTTATATATATAAATTATAAGGTTTTTAAACGAGAAAAAACTCGAACCTAAAATAATATTACAACTAAAAAAAAATAAAAGCTTAAGTTTAATATATTTAATTAAAATATTTAAGGAATTAATTAAATTTAAACCTTAAATATAAGTCTTAAATCTTAAATATATAGGTTTAAAATATTAAATATATAAGTTTAAAATGTTTTCGGCTTAAAAAGTGCTATATCGATTTAAAAAGTGTAAGTTTAAAACTGTTTAAAATTATTTAATACACTTTTACACTTGTATAATCCGAAACCTTACAACCTAGTATGTAGTTACATAGTATGTATTTAGATTAGTGCTTTATTTCATATGGGGATAAGCCCTTGCTTCTTTTTTGGCGTAGGCCTATTAAATAGTTTACACGTATGTAGTCCGTACGAAAAAGGAATCATGCCAATATCCTTAGATAGCTATTTATTCATGCTAATACAACTGTACATACCTAGGCAGGAAAGCTGATAATAAGTGCGAATAGGTTGACAAGTAGTTATGAGGACTGACGCGGCGAATCCTTTGAATAATGTTATAGGACCTTTTTAGGACCATGATGTTTTAACAATGCGAGTATTCGGTCAAATGTGTTTAAGAATGCGCCGCAAAGTAGGGTTTGAGCGTTGAAGGTCATCACATAAAGAGTAACGTTATGTAGCATCTGGGTCAAGTCTTTGGGTGAATCGTAGAAGTAAACCAATGATTGGCGTGGTGTGAATTTCATCGTAACATGGGGTTCGTCTATTGTACATACGACGGACCAGCTGGACAGTATAATTTTGGCAGGGAAATGTCGAAAGGCGTTTGTAGATGGGACTTATAAAATATTGAAAAAGGATCTATAACCTGAACGATACAGACAGCTATGATTGGTCTAGGCCTTGCTAGCACCCGTTGTCCATCTAACGGCGAGGTTACATATGTACATCGTACATAGTTAAGTACCTGTGATTAAGGTCGGGTTTAACATCCTTCTTCTCCTCTTAGGTTTAGAGGTTCTCATGTTTGTTCTGGGCAAACGTTTGCGAGCAACCAGTGATTTGGGATACCATCAAGAATCTCCTGAACCAAAAGACAAAAAATATCGGTGCGCATAGGCAGACGTTTTTACTCGATGGATAATGAAACCATCAATGTCTGAATGGTCCATCAATCGGATGCGATAATCGGCTTCAAATTTTAAATGGAGGTGAGAGAGATAGGTGGTACATAGATAATGCATAGTTACTGTAGTCAGTGTAGTATGTCGTAAAATAGAAGAAGAAAAAGACAGAAAAAGATATGAGAGGAGCGGCAAAAGCCAGACAGAGACCATACAGAGAGAAAAGAAAAAGCGGGACTGTGCCAAGACATTAAAAGAACTGGACTGCGGCTGATCGGACCCCTCTTGGCAAAGACAAGGATATATCAGGTAGCCTTTAACCATCCTAACAATCTTCGGTTAACTTGGCCTGCCTTGCCAGGGAGCCCCCGGAACCTTCAATGAAGCAATTGACATAATAGATAATCCGCGTATCTAATGATTCTAATGCATGTCGTTATGCACATAGTTATGTAGTACTACTCTGCTAGCCTAGTGTAGTGCTACACACATATTACCTAAGCTTTCGGTCTTTAAAAATAGCAACGCCAATTGTTCTTTATGTGTTATCGTGGCACCCTCCCTTTTCTCCCTCTCCTTTATTAATCCTTTTTTTTTTTTTTTTTTTAAAAATGCTTTGTGTTAATAACTTATATCATAATACACATACGTAACTAACCATTGATCTTACTGTGCTGTTACGCCTATTGTCAAAATGGACATGAACTTGCGTAATGGAAGGAATAAGCGGTATGTGTCGACTATGTGCGTGACATTTAACCCCCCCTTTTCGACTCAATACACAGTAATTAGTGTTTATTGATATATATAGAATATTGATTCCTATGTTCAACAGTGATATCTGTCTAATCCTATCGGTTCCGTGGCACTCTGCGTATCTTCCATATCCCTCACTTCAGATAGCCACAGCATCATGATACGCTTAGAATGTGGTCAGATATATGAATGTCAATAAGTGCTCCAACACACTCCTACATTTGTAGGCAGTTATCATATTGTACGGCTTTCGTAAATGATAATGACCTCAAAAGATTTGTATCTACCATTACGGAAGCGTGTCTCACTCACAAAAACCTCAATTCATTTTTAATAACCCCGGCCTCATGTTTTCGGCGAGCGTCAGCATCTTAGACATCACGTCGCCATAAAAAGGTCAGCGTCATTATGAGCGATATCTTCTAGTGATGCCAACAGTAGAATACGTGTACCGCAACATATATATCTCTAAAAGAACAAGACAAGAATTACAGTGGTGGTTGAAGCACAGGCCCTGCCTAGTTTCCTCATTTTCTCAGATTTCTCAAGCGATTGTACAAAGTAATATGTGATATCGCTATGCTATGTATGTATGTGCGATCTAGGGCCGGCAACCCCGTCGAACGAGGGAAAACCCCCCATTGCATCAGCCAAACCCCCCTCCTTACGAACTATCACCCGAGTAGGTACTAGGTAGTCGAGTTATTCCCAGACAGCAAACTTGCCCCGTACCTACCTATGCAATCCCAAAGATCGACACTACCCACAGCTCTCACTCTTGGCTGATCTAGATAACTACCTACGGCAGTCGAGGATGGAAGCAATCCCACAGGAGCTTTACGCTTTTTTCTCCTTTTTTCTTTCTTTCGAAGGTTGATGCCGATTGCACCGAGCATGTCTACCTACCTATTACCATTTAAGCTTAACTAGGTAGACATGTAAAACTACCTATCAACAGTCGTCCATCACAAGAAGGCTGACAAAGACCGAGGCCGAGCCTGTCCGAGAAAAGAAGGCTGTGCTTAAGATTGCGATATGTTCCCATCCATTCCAGGCACCTACATTTTATTTCACACCCCAATCTACCTACCTAATTACTAATTACCCTACTCCCCACAACTCCTAGATTAGGTAGCGTTAACTATATATCAAGAACCATTCCCCCCAAAACCACGGGTACGTCATAATAAAGCATCGTATCCGCTCGGTCGGTGACTTAAAACCAGGGACGATATGCTGGCAGTGGCGGTTCGGCCTCGCTCTCAACGCGAGTGTGTGTCCACAGAGCGAGAGCGGGGAGAGAAAATCCTTCGCTTCGGTAGCGCCGTGTGGAGTTGGTCTGGTCTCTAGGGTAGGTTTAATCCTTCAGCCTCAGCATTGGGATAGTTATCCCTTTTTATAAAAATGAATCTGCCAAGTTTAGGTATGTAGGTTTCTACTTCCAGACGTTTGGTTCGAGACGTGTAAAGGCAGGGTTGCTGTCCGTATTCTTGAGGATACGTCGGTGTAGAAACGTCAACGTCAAATCCTTCTGTCCTGATCTCCGTGACTGGGTAGGCAAGGTACCGTCGCGGGTCTCGGAAGTCATACCTAGTATTGCTATTAAAGTTATGTTGGAAAAGAAGTCGACAAGTCTTAAACATTGACAAGGTGACCTACCACCAGTCAGTATAAACCTGCTTAGCAAAATTTGTGGGCGAGGTCGTGGGATTTAGGACTTGTTTCTATCTCAGTCATATATTAAATGAGAGATATAATACGATCCAAGCATTCTTACAAGGTATTTCCGAGAACGTGGAGACCTCTAACCGCGAGAAACACACGGTGTTTCAACTTTACAGTAAAAAGAGTACCCAGCCTAGTTGCAATACGAGCGGTTCAAACCTCTCTTACCTAACCTAGGTAGTAGTTTAGGACCTTGTAGCAAGAAGTCTTTCAAACGGCCCTTCATATTAGGAGATCGAGCTTACCTATATGTCTGCTTATCACACACCCACCTACCTCATCAACCTCATCAACACCTTACTATTCCCATGCCTGTAGGCTAGGTAGGTACGTTTGTGCTTCCATGCAAGCATATGTATATCAGTATTTATTCACTTCCTACCAACCTGACTAAACCCAGCCGCGCACCAAGAAAAATCTTCATATCCCTTTTCGTTACCTCCGCTAAGAGCCAAGAGGCGAATGCCAAAAGTTCAGTATACACATACCTAGTTAAGTAGTACACTTTTTAACTCTCATATATCCATTTTCATTACCCCTTTCCCCTTTCCCCTTTCTTCACCTCCCCTCTCCTTGTCCTTTAAAAGCCCCCCTTAATCCCCCTCTCTTCCCTCTGCGCATACCCTGACCCCTCAATCACCCCCTACTACCACCTACTCGCGTAGCCCCGATGTCCTGCCATCACTAGCAGCGACGTCGTGGCTGGCGCCGGTAGTGGTTAGTATACCTATTGCTGGGGTACTTCTCACCAATCTCGGTCGAATAAAATATCCCCTTAGAAATATGGATGAAATCGAGAACGTCCAACCTTCCCATAAGTATCTGAAAGAAACGCCGAATCAATGTGTCCCCGGAAAATGCATGCGTAAAAGCATAAATGCAGCTCGCGCTATCAAGAAAAAAAGGCCGAATAAAAGATAAACAGACGGATATATAAATCCGTCGCGACTTGATAGGCATGTATGTTACAACCAACGACCCAACCCCTATCTCCTTCGCAGATGATCATACTACGCAAAAGTCATAGATATCTCTTTTTCTTTCCCAAACTCCTCATCATCATCATCTGCCCATGGATCCTTCATCGCTAAATTAGGCGCTGTCTGAGTGGTCTTAATATCAGGCCTCGTCAATGGAGGGAAGTCCTTGGGTGGTGGAGATGGTGGAGGGAGCGGCTTCTCCGTGAACGACGTGTCAAAGGTCATCTCTATCTCATCTTCAACCGGTGAGGGGTTGTACCCCAAGCCTAACCCTCGGGATGAAGGGTATGCTGTTGTAGGTGTACGTTCTTGTGAATTCCTATAATCGTATGATGAACTTCTGTAAACCCCTACTTCACTCTTTGTCTCGCGTAGGCTACCTCGGGGGTTGGCTGACGACGCTGGTGGCGGGGAGAGATCGAGTTTCATTGGTGGTAGCGTGGACTTTAGCTCCTTCACTTCTAGTTCCTCTTCTTTCTCCCTCGCTAGTTCGGCTCGGATGGCGTCGACATCGAATAGGACGCCGTGGTTGTTACCTTCCTGGTCTTCCGTCTTGTCCGATGCAACTGGCCCCTTTTTCATGTCTTCGTAAACCTCCCATTCCTGGCGCGAGGTCTTCTTTTTCCGACCGAAGATACCCCAACCCCCCTTTTTCGAGGAGCTGTCGTTTTCGAGCTCTTTGCGAGCTTCTTCAATCTCGCTAATGAGTTCCTTTTGCCGCTCTCTGTGTCGATCTGGATCTGGGTCCTCGATCTCGCCGAACTCATCGCTCTCGACAAGCCAGCCGCATTGCCTAAGGAGCTTGGGCATCGCTGCACGATACTCCATATGGCCAGTCACAAACTCTGTGCAGTCGATGTTTTCTAAGCCTGGTATACCCTCTACAGTGGCTAAACCGGCAATCCGGCGAATTCCACCATTGGTCAAGCGGAAGAGGTAACCTAGAATCCAATCCGTTCTGTTGTAGCCATTTACAAACCTACCGGCCACGACGGTGCGAGCCCTAAGAAATTCCTCCTTCTTTATGACGATGGGCGAGCCAAAGATATACACATTTTGAATTAACCCGTATGCACCCTTTCGTGCAAGTTCGAGAAGACAGGCAAAGATGACTCGCGAGCCTAGAGAGTACCCGACCAAGGTGATAGGGCGAGTACCCAAGTTTCTATCAATCAGTGAGTCAGCAAGGATAAGGCCAGCAGCCCACGCACGATCTAGAGATACGGCCCAGGGGTTATCAATCAAGTAGGTAAGTTTCGATAAAACCACAGGTAATTGTAAGGCAGCCATGAGACTAATCAATATGGTGCTGCCGAGAACTTGTTGTAGTCCTTGTGTGAGAGCCTATGCAAGTTAGCTCACACGTCGAGCAAGTCTCATCTCTCCGTTTCCTCTTACCTCTGTTGCTAATATGTTGATGGTGTCACCCATGCTAGTTAACATCTCTGGCTCCCACAAGATGGAGTAGATATCACCCATTATTGGATCAATGGTACTAAAAGGTAGACGAACATCATCAACCTTACTCGTCATCCACCCGGAAATGGTTACAATCAGGTTGACACGTTTGTTGTTGTGCAGTGGCCGATACTCGAATGTTTTTACGGCCCCTGTCCGTCTATTTGCAGCCTTGCCGCCCATGAAACTACCAGAAGCCGCGGCGCCCGAGGTGATGATGGCCGCTCCTCCCGCTCCTGCCAAGAAAGAGCTTGTACCACCTACGCCGATCGTTGTAAAGCCGGCGGCGAGACCGGCGCCGATAAGAGGTGCTAGGAGCCCGGCAGAGAGACCGATGACCAAACCTCCTCCGACAGTGGCTAAGCCCATCATGACATATCTTTTTTTGAGCGCGAGCTTCCTCCTATTTTCGAGGTGTTCTTCCTCGTTCCAGTTCTCTCTTTCTGCTTGCTGTTGCATTTCCAAAGCGTCGGTAACACGCTTCTCAAATCTGCATATATCTATCCAAGGGATTTCCAAGTTTTTGCTGACTCTTTCGAGCAGGACTCGTGATCTAGCATCGTAGATTGAATCTGCGATCAATACTAAAAAGAGATCGCAAAGGACGGTCCACCGCAGATCGATATCAATCTTCTCGGTGCTTGGTAACTGGGAGGGCATCCTAACCTCTGGCATGTCCTCGCCCTCGTTACTTTCATATGGTGGAGGTTCTGTACCTGCCCTAGAAGACACTGGACTTGAAAGAGATGACCGTGGACTTTTTAGGGATAGACTTGTTGTAGAGAATCGATCATCCTCCGCCATTGGGTTCTTGACTCTTGCGTTCTGCATGAGGACCGGGGTGAGATCTTTGGGCATGACGCCGTGTTCGGCTAACTGCTCTATCATGATTTGTTCCGCAGCTGTAATTTCCATATGGGCGTACAGTCGAACCATAATCTTTTGAGACCACATCCTCATTGCTTCAGCAGCAACCTGAACCTCCTTCTTGATTTTCTTCGGCTGCTCAATGGTCTCGGCCTCCTTGATCATTTCAGATAGCTCTAGACGGGTTATTCCAACATATGCAATCCTTTGCCCCTCGGTTAGCAGGTCTTTCGTAGCCTGTAGTTGAGAGAGGGCATCTCGTTGTTCGTCGTCCATTTCTGTCATACTCGTACTCTTGGGATCCTTGAACAGGTATCGTGTATTATCATCCATGCTGGTTTCTGACTGAGCATCCTCGTCGTCTAATACTCTTGTATACCCCTTACCAGCGCCACCAAGCCCCGCATATCCATAATTTTCATCCTCATCAGGGTTGTGCTCTTTGGCTACTAGCCTGTTGTCATCGTCGTATATATCGTAAGGTGCGTATGCTGGCATAGCTTGCCATTCTTCATCGGTGTCGGCTTGTTTCTCCTCGTGATGTGTGGTAAGCTGTTGGTGAGAAAATTCGGAGATTTCATGACTCGAACTCGCTATGCTGGTATCTCGACTATGGTCAATTCGAGGTGGTTTCTTTGCTTCGTTCGCATGTTTGCTGGCTTCAATCTGTGTGATGCTTGGCCCTGATATAGCTTGTACTTTCTTATCTAAGGTGTTTCTGCGCTTAGACTTTTGCGACAGGTCTGCATTCTCGTAAGATTCCGAGCCTTCTTTCGGCTGGTTTTTGGGCTCATCCTTTGTTGGCTCAAATTTTGGGGTGTTTGTTTCCTTTTTGAACTCGATCTGCGTGGGCATAGGTGTCTTGGCTTCGTCGTCTTCTTTGGACTCGACCTGGAGGATAGTTTCTGGTATGGGTGTAGAGGGCGCGCTTTGGAAGTCGTCGTCATCGCTGTTACCAGCAGATGCATTTTGGGATTTCGTACTTCGTTTGGGAGGTTTCAAGCCAGAGTTTGCTGTGTCCTTTCCTTCCTCCTTCACCTTCCCAGAGTCCGTGGTAATCTCTGATTTCTCTGACCTCTCTATTTCCTTCTTCGATGTATTCGAGCTGCTCTCTGTCGCATTGCTTGGTTCACTCTTATCGCCATCTGGTTCAGCCACTGTTGGGCTTACGTATTTCGGAATGGGGAGACCGAAGTCATCAAATTCCTGAGGTCCTCCTACTGTCGCCATGAGACGGGCTTGTTGCGCATATATTTTATAAAATTGGTTATAGGTATGATAGGATTTCTGTGCCCTCACGCTTGGTAGAAGCTCAGTAGCTTCTTCCTTGAGTTACGGACGTGATTTGGGCAGTAAATATGGTAGCAATGAATTTCACATTCCCCACGGTAATAAGGCGGAGCGACATTCGAAGGGATCGTCAAGAGACGCAAGTCCCCTTCGATTTGTATCCCTGTAATTGATTCAGGATCCTAGTAAATTGGATCAGGTGGGCAATGCTTGATTAAGCCAGATGGTTTTGGTACGTAATTATCTTGTACAAGTTGTACGAATGACTGACATTGACTGTAGCAAAAAAAGTAGTACAGTAGCAAAGCGTTCAGTGTGCCCAGATTGCCAATAATGGTTCTTGAGGAAGTTGCTTTTACTTATTTTGCTTGTCTTGCTCGTTTTGCTTGTTTGACTCCTTTCAATTCTTGGAAAAAGTTCAGGTTTGTCTTGGATGGAAAAGTTGAAAATGTGGATTATAGTTGAATTGGTAGAGTTAATCGAGCTAATTGAACTTAATTCAACCGTTTACAAGGTAAGGTTAGTCGATTCACAACTTGGGAAGTTTCTTGTTTCTTGGCAGACTTCTGGAGTTAGCTGAACTTAGCTCCCAATATTTGCACGTGTACCTAACCTTGAACAACAGATGGAAGCCACATGTCCAGGGGGGGTCGATGCAACTACCGTTGAACTCTAGGTAGGTATCTGGTAGGCAAGTACTAGGTACCTACTACTAGTACCTAGTAGGTAGTACCTAAGCTTCAGTGCTGCGTTAGTACTACAGTGGGTGGCATTAAGTTTGAAACTTTTTTCTGTACAGCAAAGTAGCACCAAGCCGCTAGACCGGTTCTGGACAGAGTCTAGCTCAATAGTGGCTAGCGCTTGATTTGAAAAGCAGCCACGCTACATATATCACGTGACTACCCCTGGCATCACCATCTCCTTTAAGTATTTCCTTCTATTTAAACAGATGGAACAAATCTTGTCGCAATATAGTGCAACAAAATTCAAAATTCTTCTGAGACAGATATATATATTATTCCATTCAATTTATGTTTACGCATCTTATATTCGGAAAGTTATTTGATTTGAAACGGATTGATCATTCAATAAGCTGGGCACCATCAGGTGTGGCAGGTGTCGTTGGGTAAGTAGTTGCAAATGTGGCGGACTTGCAGAGCTAGCCCGTATGGGTTAGTTTGTAAATATTGTGGCTCAGCGGCACCTTGCAATACAAAAAAAAGTTTCAAACTTAATGCCACCCACTGTATGTAGGAAATGCTTAGGCGTTCATTGAGGCTGAGTTAACCATAATTTGTCCCTGCAGACTCCAAGACTCCTAAACAAACCCCCACTACCGACACTGATATCAACTTATATCAGACCACACTTTGTTAAATCACCTCGGATCCATGGATTGTTGGTGTCCTGCAAGTTCTAGGCTTGATCCAATCGGTACTCGAAACGAAACCTATGCCCAAAATCTTACTTGGAGACGGAAGACAACACATCGTGGTATCAATTGATCTTTCACTAGTGTACACAGATCGTAAAATGCCCATGATTTACACCTTTGAAAACGCCTGCCAATGCTAGACCCTGTCTGGGCAACACTCTCCACTCGCCCTTAATCATCACCACCCACTGTAGATACTTCAACGGTAGCATTACCAGCCACACCCGCAGCTCCAAAAGCCTCATCACTCGTAGCAGTAGCTTGGGATTTGTGCTTTCGTCTACGTTTTCGCTTTGGCCCTTCTGCCGGTTCCGATTCTCCCATCACAGTTGCATTCTGTGCCTTTGACGTCTTCGGACCCTGCTCATCTGAGCTTGACTTTGACTTCTTCTTCTTGACGGCAAGCGGATTAGGCTCCTTTTGGCCGTGACTTCTTTTCTTCTTCTTTTCCGGCTTCTCAGCCCCTGTCGCTGCTCCACTTGGAGCCGACCCCTCTTTCTCGTCATCATCATCCTCGTCTTCTCTCTTTCTCTTGCTCGCAGGCGTCTTAAGTTCTGCCCTAAACTTGCTTCGCTCGTCCTTTGACCTGGCTTTCGCACTGACTGTTGCCATCGGCTCCATGATCATAACTGACCTCCTAATAAATAGCAAAGGGGTTCCTGTTATTTGTCGTAGATTCGCTCGAAGTTCTTCGTCGTTGATTGCGCAGATGTACCGGTGTTTGTTTACGCCATTGTCTTTAGGATCAACTACTGAGCATACACACTCGAGCGCACTTAGAGGTTCTGGGTATTCGTCGGGATGATGACCACATCTTCGGCGCTCAAAGTGAGCCTTTGCTTGTTCTATAGCTGCTTCGACTCCGGGTTCTGATTTCCGATTGTAGAGATGTCGCATAGAGCATTGAGTAATCACTACAACATTGCGATTAGTGAATTGAACTTATGAAGAGAGATGTGAGTGATTCAAACCTACAAGGCTTGACTTGGCCATGGAGAATGCCCTCTAACCGGGGTATTAGATCCATCTTGCATTTGTTCGCCTCCGCGATGAAATCGGCATCTATTAGGACTTGATATGGTTCGCGAAACCCGAAGGTCATGGAGAATTGCCCCATGAGCTTCCGGTATTGCTTTGCTCGTTTGGCTCGAGGCATCTTGACTTTGCCTTATTGGTATTGATTTGTGATGTTCAAGTCGCGTGAGTTGGACTTTGGAAACTTCCGGGAAATTTTGATACCATACAACTGAACTGATAACGATAAAAATTTAAAGTTAAGCTCTTATCGGTAACATGTAAGTGAAAAGAAAATTGGGCCAACTAGTGGAGATTCTCTTCGTAGTTAAGTAACTAGTACATAACTATATGCAACTCAAATTATGTACTAAGGCGAATATTCAATACCGAAGTTATGACTCTAGTAATAATGAATCAATCGAATTATGTAGTTGTCGCGATCCCGAGCTTTCGTTAGAATGCTCATAGAGGAGACATTCGTGTAGATATGTTCAATATGTATTTCCAACTTCTAAGTTATCTAAATAATTACCTACCTACGTATAGTACCTACTTAGTGGTACGTACATAGTAGATAGGTACATATCCCTCCAACGTCGTGCCATCGTAATATGTATCGTAACCCGTGTATACCTAATATATGTAGTTATTAAGACTTCGTCTATAGATGTATATCTAATCCTTTGAAAGATACCTAAGGGTGCAACGTCGTTCTATTATGATACCGCTTTATTTAACATTACCACCCAGCTGATAGAATTCCCAGGGATGTGTGCCCAGTTCGCCATTGGGACACGATATGTCTTGTCGATAGGTGAAGGTGTCATGCTGTGTTCCGTTGACACAACGCAGCTACGACACTAATGTCGTCAAGTTTCCCTATGCCCTCGTCAGCTTATATATCTGGAACAGGTAGTGAGTGAACCATGCACAACGTACCGCCTTCACTGGCCAATCCTTCTTCGATCGCATGCTCCATAAAGGGGCTCTCTGCGAAGGGGTCCAACGCAATCTGCTTCGCAGCCTTGACAAGCTCCTCGGCGACAAATATCATACCGCCATTTGCGCCGTCTTTGCGGGGGCCATTGGCTTGGCCCCCTTCTCCCGCTTCCCAACGCTCGACACTTTGGGACACGTTCTCAACTATCTCGTGGCTCCAGAGATTGTCAATAACCCCGTCGGACATGGCCAGGACAATATCGCCTTCACGGAGATCTACTGTGTCAATGACTGCGTTCTCGGTTGGAGTATCTGGACTGTTCGTCCCTAATTGTCTCGGGCAATCGAACCAGTGCCACTGTTCTTTTGATTTGTATACCATTTCTCGACTTTTCGGACGTACAACCATGACTTGAGAATCGCCCAAGTTGGTAACATACAAAAGCGGTGACACTGACGACGTTGAGTTGGACGTATCGACTTTGTAGTAGAGTTGCGCGCCTGCTGCAGTCGTAGTCCCTAGACAGTCACTGGGCCCAGAGGTAGCCTCGATGGTACGCTCGTACGCTTGTTGTAAGTACTGTTTGGGGTCTGGACGGTACGGGTGGTCCGACGACCGTGGTTCTGCGATATCCTCTTGCATCGCCGCCACCCAAAAATGTAGGATCAACCTCGACCATAAGCTGTGATCATTGTTAATTAGGGTTGGTTACACCCAAGTCGTAGGACAAGTACCCTGCATGGCCCCTTGGTCGTGCTGACCAAGCGCCAACGCCGTCATTGGCGCATATGAAGTTATCGCTAGCATAGACAGCATCGTCTCCATTAGTCCACCCACGGATAATTTCACCGTGGACAAAGGCTCGTTTGTCGCGACTCTGGTGATGAGTGCTGAGAGGGTCGGAAAAAGATCCGGAAGGAGGGGATAGGAAAGGTGGAGGAAACGGTCTCGGAGTTCGTTTAGCGAATAGCGCGAAGCCGGTCTCGAAACGGAACGGCAGTCTGGGGCCGGAATTTGGAGGAGGTGTTACAATTTCGCCAGTTGGTTCGGTAGTAGAGTGACTATCGTTCGTGGTATGTTGGAAGCGTTGATGCCATGGTGGCAAGCGAATAGAGGAAAGGATTCGTCGGGTTGGACCAGAATTATAGGCCAACAAAAGGGAGGGTGATGACTTTCTCATGCCCACGATGAGAGGTCTACCAGCAGACCTTGAGGGCGCTTAGGTGGCAGCCAGAAGTATCCTAAATGATTGATACTACCTGATAAAATGCGCGCTATGTTGATGAGTTCGTTGGGGCGACCTCGGAAGCTGAGACTTCGGAGAGATAGTAGGTAGATTGCAACATTGAACTGCAATCTGAGATAATCAACATTGACACTGATAAGATTAAAGACATATGTATGTATGATGTGTATGCGCATACTAGGTATGCAAGTAACATTAAAGTTAAACTCACGCTATACCTACTTTGGCTGTAGGCACTAGGTAGTAGTCTATTCCCTGTAGGGCATAATGAATGCTCCGATTGCTCGGAACCTCCAAGGTACTAGGTAATAAATTAACCTAGCACCTACATGCATACAACGTAGGATTATGCTTTTATCGGATACTGACCAAGGTATGGTGACATCATTTTTTACTTGTTGCAACTTGCAGGAATATTAGTTCCCTACATGCATGTAAATAGTACTACATATGTAGTTATTCCTGTTCAAAGTTCTTCAATGTTGTCGTACTTACATATGTTGTACAATCCGAAGGCTTGACAAGAACATTCAATGAAGGATATTAGATTGACACATTCATTCCTCCTTTGTTTCTTTTTTCTTTTCTATTACTTTATTATTATCATTTCTAGGCCAAGACCCGGCTATCCGGCTATGATACGTGTAGCCAACCAGTCTCTTGGCAACAACTAGTGATTCACGTATTGGTGATTATGCTAATGGCCTCATCTCAATCTTTGCCGCGCTGCCGTAAGGAGATGAGGGACTGATTCGACTAATTCGGATTATTAGTTTGATTCATTGGCTTCATAATAATAACAATATACGGGGAAACAATGACAATTGATATGTGGTTCAAATTATGAGATATGTACGGCGTAGTATACATATATGTAGTATTCCAGTTGGATTCTTGGTTGTGAGGTTATACATGTAACTACAAGCTGGCATCTACTTAGATTCTACTATACTAATATTAGCAGATAGTTATGGATTTGTGACGTATCCATGTTTCTTCATTGGTACCTAGGTAGGTATTCTCTTTCTTTGGTACAGTGCGCTACTACTTTCCTTTCTCGATTCTAACCACTTTATTATTCATAATACCTGAGATTTCACCATTCACGACAGACAGACAGGCTGGAGAGGAATACCAACAATAACGCGCGTCTCGGGGGCTTAGCGGTGCCGAAGGGGTGAAATCTTACATGCCGCAATACTATGTATGTAAGTATGTATTACTAACTAGTAGTAGTATTCAGTACATATCACGGATTCCCATCCGTATTTAATCATCCTATGGGAAAAAAGAATGACGCTGTACCCCCAATTTCCTGTCGGCACTATGTTTCTACGCGCAGAAAGCTAGTGGTTGAAATTGTCTAGGCTGACATTAGGAGGTCTCCTGGGGTTACGAGGCGGCTGCAAGTCTCGATCTCGTCAGCTCGACTTGAACAGGGCTTGAAATCCCCTTGAAATCCTTCCTGCGCCGCGGAACAAAACGCCATCAATGTTCCCTACAGGTAAGGCGCCGAGCACATATAGGCATACCTATTAGGGAGGTAGGTCACCTACTAAGGCCACCAAACGATCAATTGATTCGTACTTGTTGAAACTTGGCTGGCGTGGAGCAAACAACTGCGGCAACATGATGAACTGACATGACGGTCATGACCAGGTGGTCAAGTACCTAGGTGCACTGGTAGGTAACCCAAGCGCCTGCGGGGTCTGTTGCTGTGCTCAAGGCACGTTTCGTGACTGGTCTAGTTAGCATGTTCGAGCCGCTCCGATACAACTTGGGCGCATGCGGACACAAAAAAGCGCCGATGACATTTGCAGGCATGCCACGTCAAGTCTCATGAAATCGTCCCGTAAGTGAGACACGCATAGCCCATATTCAAAATTTCATGTACACGGAGCGGATTTCACAACAGGATATTAGGGAATATGTAGGTATATAAAATATCGAGGCTGGTCATCCGCACCGCCATCCACATGTGGGAGTGTGGAAGAGTCCGTTGCATCCGGGGGGCTTGATGTGTCCAACCGTTTCCGTTGGCAGACACCGCGGTTCAGATCAGATTCGCTCACACTATAGATAACTGCATGATAGTGCCAACAGTTGTCAAACTGGCAATCGTCAATCCTATAATAAGAAACACTGATCAACGATGAACAATGCTCCTCATAGTTATGGGTTGTTTTAGATAATACTGTAAAGCACGCAGAGCACGATGAGGAGTAATGCTCCGGTCTCTGGTTAGATGGGCAAATCTTACCGAATACAGTGCTTCGTATTAGGTGACTTGTTCACATAAAACAAGCTGTTTGGCTGGTATTGTAACCATCAGTATGTCACCAGTTAGTACTGTACGGTTGATCAACAGACCCATGCTATCAAGTTTCGACCCTGTACTGTTTCTTTACGGTACCATCTTAAGGGACCCAAGGGACCTCAACTGGTTGCATGTCATCCTTGGATGCAGTATGGCGTTCTAGCCAAGGCCGACAAGGCCACCTACCCACCACCGTATTCCAACTGAATACCTGAATACCTGGATATTCCTGGATATTCTAACCCAAGTGGCCTACAGTAGTCTTGCAGTAGCACGAGAAACTAAACTACTTGTAGCGAGTAAAAGACGCGGTATCTCCGAGGCGTACTATGTGTAGCGGGAGTTCCCATTAATATGAAGTTATCATTTTAACCTAGTACACTTACCAGCCATCATTGATGATTGCCATATTGTCGACTGACTGACGTATGCCCCTGGTTCCGTCATCTTTATTTTTTTATCATCGGCGTTTACCCCATCCACGGATGAGTGTAGATAGGTACGAGCCTCAACTTGTCAACGCTACGAACCTGCTAACCTACTTAGTGGGCAAATATTTATTATTTTTTCCCTTCTAACACGACGAGAAGATCCATCAAAATAGCGTATTGCTCCTGACTTGTTTGCCTCTGACAAATAAAAAAAAAATTATATTCATCTTCAGCCAGGTATCGCTGACTTAGCGGCAACGCCCAGCCTTCGCACATCTTTACTGTCAGTCTGTACGAGAACGCGCATCATTTTTGTGATATCAAGCCAGGATAATTATATCAGTTTGCCCGGCGCTTCCGTGCTTTTTTGGCGACACATCGGAGGAGGATCACCGATAGAGTCTACCAACATTCTAAGTGTGAGTGCGAAAAGTACGAAGATGCTCGACAAAGCAATCAATACTTGAATCGAATTCAGTTTCCTTTGGACATAGTTATTAGGTACCAAAAACTGGGGTTATCTGGGGGAAGGGCCACACTATATAGTGAAAGACAAGCCTGGCCACCTGATCTTTGTCGCAGGATACCGACTCATACAAGTTATACGGGGTTCCGAGACTTTACCCTTCCCTCTCATTCCACAAATTCGTATCGCGTGGAGACAGTTTAGAACCCGAGCAGCTGCCGAGCTACAAAACCCGCGTATCCGCCCGCTTGTTGCGAGACAGTTCGGATTTGTCTGCTTTGGATTTTTCTTTTTGGCCCTTTTTTTGCCCTTCTGCACCGTCGATTTTAGATTAATACTTTTTTATTTTGTTACATCCATTTTTGTTATACTACATGCCTATTACCTATTACCTATTACCTATTACCTATACATATCAACTCGGCTTTCACGAATAGCCACGAATAGCCTACTAGTAATAAAGTCCACCCAAGCTTCGCGATCTAGATCATCGGCTGAACTGTTCCTTGTGGGCCACCCTTGCCCGTCACCTACCTAAAGGTAGTTTGGATACCAACCCGACCGTCGAAAGCACCTCGCTCGCCTGATGGAATAGGAGGGAGGACTTGAAATATTGCTGAAGCTGTTGTTGGGTTTGTTCAAAGAATCAAAATGGGACGGAATCGCGGTATGTATATCTCTACTCTTACTCTGTTATCAGCTTTCATCCCTTCCGAGGTTTTCTTCCGCTTTTTATTTTCCTTACCTTTCCTCAGCCATCAGGATTACAGGTCTCTCGACCGACCATTTCACAAAGTCGCATGCTGGGGAAGGTATCATTTTCTCCTGATACCTTGCACAAGCATACCTCTGTTAAACCACTTACATACCTACCTCCTACTACCTTATATACACTATACATATACTACTACACATACACTACCTACACCATAAGATGAGGATCATTGTCAGACCCTGCTGCAGCTGCAATCCTGAACCCACTACCTGGTAGGAGCTGGCCTTATTAGCATCAGCGACACAACCATCCATCGATCAACATCTCTTCCACATCACCAAGAAATCAAACAAGAACACATATTTTCATGCCCTTATACCCCTATACCCTGTCCCTTGGATCTATCCAGTTTGTGCACACCGAAACTTGTGCCGCACTTGCCGGGATCCATTTGCCACAGGATCCCTTTCTTCACCTTTTATTGAACCCATCTGCAATGTTTGTCTGCAATACAAGTGTTGAGATATATCGATGAAGTGCAAGTTGCATTTTTACGTTTTGCGTTATCAAGCTTAAATTTCATCGCAAGATAAAAAAAAAAAAAAAAAGAGATAAAAAAAAAGAAGAGTTGACAGTCTCCGCTATTCTTTTTTTAAACAAGAAAAAGAGACAAGACGCATTGAACCCCAATTCTTCAACAACACAAACTCTAATATATGTATAATGATGGTTTAATCTATAATTCATCCATTCACTTATTCAGCCTACTCATTTACCCCCCAGTCGCTTGATATACCTAGTACCCGGCACCTGAAGTCTGAAGTACATGTATTTTATTATGTACTAGGTGCAGTGGTTACTACATATGTACCTTGAGTTTTCCAGTTGTCTTCCTTCCTCACTTCAAGGTTAAGGCGATTGAGTGACTGAGTGACTTCCCTGTCGTCGATCTTTCCTTGTTCTTGTCATTTACAGCAGTCAATGCATTCAATGCATTTAACCATAAATTCATCTTCTGAATAAACTTCGTTACTAACGCATCTTTCCGGAACTTAAAGTGCTTTCGTTTATGTCCCATTTCTCTAGCTCTCACCACAACTCCCAGCTAAACGGTGACCCGAAAAACGTCTACAACCCCGAACCTACGCCATCCCCTTCTCCCCCCAACGGTCCGATACCGTTAGCCAACGGCAAATCCGATTTGAAAAACACCAACAAAACCCACAGTATCATCAACGTTGGTGGGTTCCGTGCTCGAACAAGATCTCGCGCCCTTTCGACACCGATACCAGCATCCCCAATTCGACATAGTAACCATGATAATTTTCCTCCCATAAGTGCTGCCCCGATATCTATTGAAACCCACCGCAGAACTACCAGTCGTAGCTCATCGAGACCACTGTCTATGGTTCAGGCCTACCAACCGCCCGTCATGGATGTAAACGAAGACACGATACCTGAACTCCAGCCTATTTTCACCTTCCTCAATAGTCATGGAAATAAATTGTACCAGGAGGGCTATTTCCTAAAACTAGATGACCAAAATACTTGTGAGTGCTTAACCCGGACAATTACATATGTGATAGTGGGGTGTCTAGGTGTCTAATAAAATGAGTAGATGGCAAGCCGAACCCGGATCGGACTTGGACGGAATGTTTCGCCCAGCTTGTAGGAACCGTACTCTCCCTCTGGGATGCTGCGGAATTGGATGCTGCTGGTGAGGATGGAGAAGTTCTGCCCAAATTTGTCAATTTGACAGATGCTTCTATCAAGATGGTACGAATTCTAGACGGTGGATAACAAGCGAGAAAGAGGGCCCGTTGAAGTGCGAGTCCTTGCTAATTGATGTTTAGATCGAGTCACTTCCGACGAGGTCCGACGAAGAGACGCCGTTACAGAATATTCTCAGCATATCAACGGCAGGCCGAAACCGGTATCTGCTTCACTTCAATTCTCGTGCTTCACTTATTCAATGGACTGCAGGCATTCGACTTGCCATGTTCGAGCATTCCACTCTTCAAGAAGCCTATACCGGCGCTTTGATTGCAGGCAAAGGCAAGACATTGAATAACATTGGCGTGATTATGGAGCGAGCGCGCACACCTATAGACCAGTGGGTTAGAGTCCGATTTGGTGCTGGCGTACCGTGGAGACGGTGTTGGTGTGTTATCACACCACCAGACGATAAGGAATATCAAAAGGCGGCAAAGGAGCACAAGAAAAAGTCGCCATATGACCGATCACAGCCGATCCTGAAAGGAGACATCAAATTCTATGAGAGTAGGAAGGATGGAAAGAAGGCAAAGAAAATGCTCCCAATAGCAACGATCAGCGATGCTTACTCTGCATACGCATTATACCCTCAAGCCAAGTCGTTGATTGATGCCTCGACATTGATTAAGATCGAAGGAAATATTACCATCCACACCGATCCCCCGACCTCGAGCGAAGGTTTCGTGTTCATCATGCCTGAGGTCCACCCAGCTGTTAGTGGCTTCGAGATGATGCTCAGGTTCCTGTTTCCGACTTGGGATACGTTCGCCCTCTACGGCCGCCCCGGCAGACTGGTTGCCAGCGTCCTCGACTCGAGATCTCTTATGTTTGCAATGCCTAAGCATAAACGATATGGCTATCTAGAATTATTGGATGTGTCGGGATTGATCTTGAGTGAGGGCAGTTCGAGCTGGAAGGAGCGAGAATGGAGAAAGAAACTGAAGGAGTTAACTGGCACGCGCATGAATGCCATAGACGATGGAGCTAGTGCCAGTTCCAGCCAAACTAACAGTCAAACCAAACGCCTCAGCTTTGGGCAATCCGCCGGTGCAGGCCCAAGGCCTCGTGTAGGGTTCGCTGACGATGCGCCTACGCCACCATCTGTTCGCACATCTCGTTCCTTATCACTTAGCAATCGACCGTCGCCCAGGACCGACTCGGCCCCCCCTGGAACCCGAGAGTATGGTCCATCTGGAACACCAGGAAGTAGGTCTGCGCATGCTCGTAACGCGTCGGACTCTAATGTGGCTGGTCCAATGCCACCTCCCCACCCAGAAAACTCATATTCATCAAGCCCAGCTTCTTCCACTCGAGGACCCATGCCAGCCCGCGCCCTTATCCACGATTTTGCGGCAACCCCGGATCGTATAAGTTCGGATGATGACCACGTGGATTCGCCCGTACGTGATTTTGACGGAATGCAGAGGATGCAAACTCCAGAGCCAGTATCACAACCCCCTAGCTTTTCTCACGCCCCAGGACATGTCCCTTCCACTCGACCTTACCATTCACCTGAAATGCGCCGTGCTAATAGCCGTTTGTCGTTAACCACGCTTGCGCAGCTTCAAGGAGCTGGTGGAGTTCCCGTAGACGAAAACGTGCCGAATGGCGAGAGACAGAATGTTGAACGCCGCGGGCCACCTCCACAGGAATTTGATCAGCATGGCCCACCGCCTCCGGTACATGTTCACGCCAACCTCGCTGGGATGTCTGCTAATACCGGGTCTCGTGAAGCTCTAAGGGAGAACCAGCAACAACCATCTGGACTAATGTCGCCTCAGATGGCGCCTAACGGCATGCGATCCAGATCACCGCTGAATCAAGCCATGCAACCCCCACATCCAGGCTCACGAGGGCAGAGTCCAGGCCCAGGTCAGCGACCTGGAACTCCGAACTCTCGGCCCGGCACCGCATCCGGAAACCGACCCCCACCTCCACCGGGATACGGACCACCTATGGGAATGGCCCCAGGACATCCAGGACATCCAGGACAACGAGGTCCTCCCCCTTACGGTATGGCCCCTCCCGGTAGAGGCCGAGGTCGAGGCCGCCCTCCGCCGAACATGACTCCCCAGGGCCGTGGCCAACCGAACTACCCACCGCACGAGAATATGTATCGAGGATATCCGCCACAAGGCCCGCCACAAGGGCCACCGGGTCCCGGCGGGCCAGAAAGAACAAGATCCCCTGCTCCTGCTAATCGAAGGCCCAATCCACCCCCTCTTAACACATCTCCGCCCGTTAACAGGAAACCCCTCCCCACTCGTTCCGATAGCTTGCAGCACCGACAAGTTCGTGACGACTTGACGCCGCAGTCTCCCTCTACAAGCAACGGAAGTCTTACCGGTCATCGACTAGATGCTACTGGACTAGGTCAGATTCGCCCCCTGAACCCGGGCCCTCGGGGTGGTCCAAATTCTGAGGTACGACGTCAAATCACGAACAAAAGCCAATCTAGTAGCCGTTACGATGATTCAGCATCAACTGATAGCCCCGACTACGCTAGTTCTCGCCCGTCGACGGATACGGCGTCCTCAAACGAGCGTGAGCGCCCAAGGGCCGGTGTGCTCCGGACAATAGGAAACACAGATGATTCTCCTCTCGAAACCGGTCCCCATTTTGACATTCCGGACATAGATTTTGGCCCAACTGTGAACTACGCGAACGCCCCACCTACCAAGGCGCCTACTCTTGGAAGTCCTCCCGCCAGGGCGTTTTCACCAGGCCCCCCGTCTCGTTCTCCCGCGCGCACCCCCGCGACCCCACGCAGATCACCCGGGGCCGAAGCAGGGCATGGCCGTCAAGAATCGGAGGATACACTCCGTCGAAGTGTCATTTGGCAGCCGGCAGTTCTCACTGCTGCGTCTAGTAATCACGGGTCCCAGGGTATCTCTGCTGAAGAGTTCGTTCAACAGCGAGCTGCCGCCGCATCTGCACCATTGTACACCCATCAGAGGCATTCGTCCGGAAATACTCTTAGTGGATACAGGGCTGGCACCCCGACGCCTCCGCTCACCCGAGGTCAAGGCTCAGATTACATTGGTATGGCACATTCGCGGAACAATTCTTCAGACCTCTTGCAACGTCCAGGTTCTCGGGGAGCTGGTGAGCTACTTCAGCGTCCGAACTCACGGGGTCCTAGCGAATTGCTACAACAACGCCCAGGCTCTCGAGGTGCCGGTGCCGTTCTTGGAGGCCAAGGAGGTAGCGATATCCACTTGTCGGCTCGGGAGCAGGAGCACGTGGCACGGGTCACAGGTACCCCCTTGATCAGCATGGCAGGTAATAAGAATCCTACACAGACTAATGCAGGACTGGTCGGCGCAATTGAGGCCAGGGAGCGCGAGAAACATCAAATGAAACAAGGCTGGAGTAGTCAAGCTGCCCAGCACGCTATTAACCAGCGCCAGCAGCAAGCTTTCCAGCATTACCCACAGCCCGTGTCATCGCCTCCGCCCTCGGGCATGTACTCTAACTTGGGCCGCGGTAGTGCGCCTCAGTCCCCCAACTATGGTAGTTACGGAAATGCTGTTCCTTTATCGTTCGAGCAAGAGGGAAACTGGTCATCACCTGGCCCGGGATTCCGGTCTCCTCCCCCCGGTAATTTCGATCCTCGTTTCGGTCCGCAGAGCCCTCCGTCATTTTCAGCTCAAAGTCCCCCTCCAACGAACCAAAGAGGGCCAGGCAACTATCCCTATCACGGACAAGCCTTTTGATGCGTCAAAAACTATTTTCTTTTAATGAATTAACAAGGTGAATCACCTAGTTATCCTCAACACATTCTCGATTTCATAATCTCGAAGGCTTCTGGCTGCGTGCGTATTGAAAAAGAACTTCTGGGAGAAGAAGTATGCTTAATTGAAGAAAGCATAGGAACACTAATGAACATCTTGATGATATATGGTAGAGGCATTGCATGAGTCTCAGGTACTCACTTTTTTTTTTTTGTTTCTGTGTTTTTCCCCCCCAAAAAACAACTAGCATCGCACAGCACTCGTATCTCTTTTTCCTTTTTCCAAGGCACTGGGGCAGCAGGCAGGCGGGCGGCGGGCAGTTTCGGTATGTTTTAGCATTAAGATCAAGATCCAATGGCATACAAAGATTTGAAATTATTATAACAATAATTGAAAGTAGAAGTAGGCCTCTAGTCACCGGCCTATTTGTCTTGATTCTATTCCTAGATGCCTAACCTAGGTACGTGAAGTTCGTACGTACGTAGAACGTGCATGTAAGCATAAATAAATAGGCATCTATTCGTATGTTCTAGTAATCAGTTAAAAATACTTGGACGACTTCTGGATCCTGCTAATTTATGAAATATTAAAAAGATGTACATATTATATCACCCATCAAATCATACCTAGGTTAGTGACATGTAACTAGTTATAGCTATGTACATACGTTATTCACATAGTATGTAGTATCGGCGTAATGAAGTGCTCTCCACTTATCCATGTATTGTACATCTTAACTTCGCAGGGCTGAAACGGTTCTTGCCTGACTTATCATAGCTTTAGCCCCACCTGACTCTTAGGTACCTAGCTGGCGAGCTTATCGTAGCTGCCGCTTGCAAAGGTGGGTTCCAATCATATCTCGCACTGGGCAGGAGAGGGGCAAATGGTGGGCAGCCGACTGACGCATCGTCTTAAACCTTGAACTTGCTCACTTTTGGATACTTTGAACAATAAACAAGAACATTTTATGAATTAATACATATCGAATATTTCCCCTTTCCTCTTCATTTTTTTGTTCTTCTTTTTTAGATAAATAAAAAAGGGCAAGGAAGGAATTCTACTAGACTTCTTGCTTGTATGTTCCAAGTCCGTTCGTTTCATCACGGATCCATCCATTCGTCCCTCCATAACAGCCGAGCTCGTGACCCCTGCGCATGTCTGTTTGCTCATCTGCCTTATTCTAGTATTATTCTACATATCAGCATCGTACATAGGTACCTACATACCGTGAACATCTAACAAACATATCTGCCTCAACACCCCACCCAGTACCTGGTACCAGCGCCCAACGCTGTACTATCTGCCTTTCTCTTATTCTAGATACCTACTTTCCAAGGGGGCTATCCAGATAAGCTAGGTGCCTACCTATATATCAAAGGCAGCACAACACGCCAAACAACCAAATGCCTCGGAAGCCACTCCGCATCCTGTGCTTCGGCAACTCGCTGACGGCCGGGTTCCCGGCTGGCCAACCCTACGCCATCAAGCTCAAGGAGAAGCTCGAGAAGGCGTTTCGAGGCCCCGATTTTGCCGGTGTCGAGTATGATGTTGAAGGCGTGCCCGGGGATCTGGTTACTAGGGGTTCCTTCATCGATCGTATGCAGAATGCATGTGAGTTTATTTCGTGAAAACTATATCAAAGTCAAATCCCATATACATACCATCTACCCCCTAAGCTTCTCATTTTCATTTTCATTTTCATTTCCAGTGCCTGATGCCTTACATGTTTGCTCATTTTTCTTGAGGGAAGACGGGCTTTCTTTTGTGCAAAGTCTCTTTAATACATTTCCGAGGTGCCGTCTAGCTGGCTAACTGAAACGTAACTTTGGCAAACCAGGGAGAATAGCGGCTAAAAATAAGAAGCCGTACGACTGGACCATCGTGTTAGGCGGGACGAAGTAGGCAACGCCCTTACTATCTTCTTGCTTAAACGAGTAACTACATCGATGAGTTACATTGAGATTATGCTGAGTACAAGAGCTAACCTAAGATCTTATCTTCTTTGCAGTGATCTTGGCTGGAATGTTCCAACAGATGAAATCATCACCGGCCTGAAGCGTACATGGGAGACGCCTCTTGTACGTCACGGCAAGGTGCTCGCATTAACGATACCCGATACCAGAGCTACATATAAGGATAACCCTAAACGTCGTGATGACGTGAACACTGCTATCAAGCAATACAAGAGGCAGAACTTGTAAGTCTTTATGTATTCAATGAAATCTAACATTATAAATCCCCCCTTTGACTATATGGGGAGAATATAACCACTCCCTAACCAACCTGGGCTATATAATACAAATTTATACTAACATCTCCCAACATAGCTTCTATTTCGACTTATACAACGCAATACCCTACCACAACATGGAGCCCAGCGACCGGCCCATCTACTGGAACGCGGACGGGGTGCACTTCACCGCCGCCGGCTACGACCTCATGGGCGAGAAGATCGCCGAGGAGCTCATCCGCATCATGAAGCTCGCCGAGGCCCAGGACACAGACATCATGAGCATCGCCTCGGACCCCAGGCAGAGGCGGGCAATCGAGAGCATGATCTTCGAGGAGGAGAGAGGTGACCCGCGTTTGCTCAGCCAGGGCTACATCGTCGTCCGCAAGAAGGATTTGGATTAGGGTTGGGTTGGACGGTGGTGATTGGGAGTGTGCTTGTGATTATGATTGTGCTTGGAATTGGACTTGGGACTATGACTAGGAGTAGGAGTAGGAGTAGGATAGGTAGATTTAAATTTAATTACTGGATTGTTCATCATCATCATTCGTTTATTCGTCTATGCTATGAGAATCTCTTCCCTAACCTACCTACCTACCTACCTAGGAATTTCTCTTCATAAACCCCTCGTACTTGCATGTAGGTCTGCCTGTCTCTCTACTCATACTCACTCATCTCATTCGTCTCTTCGTCTCTTCGTCTTTCTGTTTCTGTCCTGGACTCCGTGTCTGTCTACCTTGGTAAAAAATAAGTACCTAGGCTATGCAATTTATCCGGCAAACGCCATGTTATCAAATCCTTCCTCCCTCCCTCATTCCCCTTTCCTTTCCTTTCCTTTCCTTTCCTTTCCTTTTCAGGCCTCGTTATGCGTTTGAATCGCATTGTATTGTGTTGTATTGTATTGTATTGTACTGTAATGATTTTCTTTCCTTTTCGAAAGCCCTCCGTTCCCTCGTCACTGTCACTGTCACTCCCCGTGGCATGTTCTCCTCCAGCCACATATCCATATCCATATCCATAATCATCAATGACACCAACCCCACCCCTCACGCAACAAGATTCGCCGCCACAAACTCGGGAAACTCCCTCTGCAGCGCATTCGTCACCTTCTCGACCTCCTCCGCGAGACTCTGGACATTCGCGTCCCAGCGGCGCATCTCCTTGCCGACCGTGACCTCGGCCCTACCGCTGCCCTTCTCGCCCGACGCCTCGCCGCCCTCGAACCAGATGACGCGCTCGATCTGGTCGATCCTTCCCAATAGTCTCCCCTGCTCGATCATCTTGGCGGTGGTGTCCTCTGCTTTGGCGGCGCCGAGGCCGAGGCGCTCGCCGAGGGCGTCGAAGCCGATGTTGCTGTACAGCCGGGAGACGCCGAGGAGGTTGTGCTCGACGACGGCGCGGGTGAGGACGGTGGAGCCGTCGGCGGTGGTGGCGAGCTGGTGGGGGGCGAGGCCCTCGGCGAACTTCTGGACCTCGGAGGGGGCGAGCAGGCGGTCGAAGAGCATTTTCTCTAGCATGCTGAACTCGGGAAGGTTGGGGGCGCGCTCATCCTTGAAGAGGCGGCCGAGGGCGCGGCTGCGCAGGGGGCCGGCGGGGGCGAGGATGGCGCATTTCACGGCCATGCTAAGGGTGTGCAGGCGCTCGTCGTCGGAGATGGCGGGGGAGAGGCTGATGACGTGGTAGGCCTGGCTGGCGGAGAGGAACTCGCGCTTGGCATCCTGGATGCGGGCCTGCGAGAGGCGGAAGTGCAGGTTCAGGGCGGGGTCGGTGACCTGGTGGATCAGGTTCTTGCACTTGTTCAGGTACGTCTCGGCGGCGGTGGTGTCGTCGACCTCGAGGTAGTTGCGCATGATGCGGATCCAGACGCGGACGCGGTCCTCGGCCGTCACGCGGCGCTGCGAGGAGTCGAGCGGGATCTCGGCGAGCGCGAGGGCGGCGGCGACGTGGTCCTCGTTGGCCTCGTGGCCGTCAGCGATGAGCTCGCGGAGGATCGCGGCTTGGTCTAGGAAGGTGCCGGTCTGGCTGCTGCCACCGGCGGAGCTAGACGAGGCAGAACTGAGCGTGTCGATGGCGTAGGTGCCGATTTCGATCCATAGGTCTGCGTTGTTGAAGAGTCGCGCGGCCTTGGCTAGGCATTCGAGGATGGAGCGTTGGGCTACGACGCCGAGTTGCGAGGAGCTTTCGAACGTGAAGTCGACTATGGCCTTGAAGTCACTTGTAACAGTGTCCGGAGTGGAAATGTTGACCAGATCTAGGAGGAGGTTCCCGAGTGTGGATGGATCTGGTAGGACCTGCTGGGCCTGCACCAGCGCCTCACGGACTTTGGGACAAGCCATGATGGGTTTAGGGTTTGTTGTTGGTGTGGGTTATGATCTTATTGTTGTTTTCAGATTAGTGGGGAAGGGAGTAGGAAAGTGAGTTGCTGTGTAGTGGTATAGAACAAAAAAGTCACTGCTGAGGACGAAGCGATTGAGATGATTGAGATGGAAGAAGTTATGATGGGAAGCTTCATGGTGGTGGGGCATCTATTCAATTGAGGTGCTAACCTTTAGGTACCTAACCTACCTAACCTAGTAACTTTAGCGTGGGGAAGCTATGACTTCTTGGTGGGGCATGCCGCACGTTGGGGGAGGCAGCCGTACTGCTTTGTAGCATAGTTACCCTTTATAAGCCTATATATCTCCCTTTTCAAAAGAATATGTAGATACCTAATCACAGACACAATATCTATTCATGTCACAATTTACTAAACCTACTTACGGTTGGTAATATATAGTAAACCAACATCTAGTATTTTATGAGCTCAGCTAGATTTTTACATCGCAAAATTTGGCCAGATCAGAACACCTCAAGCCCTGTTCAAGCATTCTGATTTCTCTCAATCTCGACCATCACATCATAAGCTTCCCCTGCCTCTTGTCGAGTCTTCTGTTTCAACTTTTCACAGTCTCGGACCACAGCAAACCTCTCCTTCCATAACTGCCATCGGTCCGGGCACAAGTGTCGCAGCTTATTGGTTTGCTTCTCATGATACTTCCATAGCGGACCAGCTTTGCTACCCAGACACTCCCCGTCGTAGTCGTAAAGTAAGTATCCCGCCTGAACTATCCAGCAAGCGGCAGCTCTTAGGTGGTATTCTATATCCTCCACTACAGCAGGATCTTCGTTGATTTGAGCGGGACCACCTTCAATTGGTATCAAGGTTCCCTCCAGCGCAGGCGCAATATCCCAGGTGGCGTACATGTGAAAAAATGGCCAGATATCCAGGCCTGCAACTCTTGACGCAAAAGCGACGAGATTTACACGCCGCTCTTTCCTCCGGGTATCATCAGGAGCTCTAGAGTCAACTAAGGAATAGAAAGGTTAGCAGTGGCACTTCAAGGCTTGGTTAGGGGTACAAAGCAGGGCATTACTTACCATGAATCACATCGTACAAGGCACCATCAAACATAGGCAACGCTTTCCAGAGTTTAGCAGTGCTACTTTGTTCAGAGAAACCTAGGTCAACTTCCTTAGGAGGCAAGTCATGGAGTGCCTTCATAACAGCCTGTAGTCGCGCTTGCTCTGGACTATCATATGGGATCTGTCGGGATAAATCACTTACAAGAAACCAAAACCGCCAGAGATATCGGGCATAATGGTTAGTCTTTGCATATTCTGAGAGACAGAGAGCGTTGAGGTCATCGGCGGCTTCACTAGGCGACTTTGGGCCGTCTGGCGGTAAACCTGAGTTGAGGACCTCAATTACGTTGTGCGCATAGTCTGGTGCGCCATCGTCTTCAAGTATTAGTTTTACAGGCGACATTTTCGGAATGTTACTTGACAGGTTTTTTGTTTCGCCAGTTCTCTTTTCGTTTCCTTTTGTTTGTCTTTTGTGAAAGTACTACCTATGTGAGACCTATGTGAGAGGTAGGTATGATAAGAGAAGGATTAAATAATGCAATGAATTCTTAAAGACAAGACGTGCCTGCCTTCTACTTAATGTACACACTGCACTAGGAGGTACGCAATTATTATTTGGTGGTTAGACATCTTGTTTGAAAGCAATCACTGTTGGAGAAAGGAAGGTATGATATGCTTAAAGGCATATGTTTGTGAACAAGCATGGAAGGAATTACGTATGTGTATGTTCACACGTACCTACCCATTTGTGCTCGCTTGGAATTGTGACTGGAAACTATGAGTACTACTTACATAGGTAGTACCTGCCTTGGTAAATAGGAAGTATTAAGAGATTTAAGATCACGCGAAACTGTTTCTCTGTTACCTAAGCTCTGTTACTCAAGCTCTGTTACTCAAGCTCTGTTACTCAAGCTCTGTTACCCCTACCATAAGTGAGAGTACTCTAACCTACATAGGAGGCATATCTAATACTATATATTACCCCTAAAACCTCTAGCCAGTAATAGCACTCCTTAGTTAGGCAAGTTGAAACGAAGATACGCAACTTTAAACCTCCCGATCGTAGAACTCGCATAGGAAGGAGGGCAATCAATCAGAGTAACCGAAGCATCAGCTCGCTATCTAGTATCAAAAGCCTGTTGGAGCCTGGCCTAGGTTCCGCAGCGCTAGGTTGAAGAGGCTTATGATCGTATTCATTGGATAGCGATACTCTCACTATGTTTGTTCCTTCGAAGACGTATGTAGATCTGACTTGAACTACGGTCCTCGACACGGAAAGATGGTGATTGTCCAAGTATTCATATCTCGGAGCTTCAACCTATTGAGGTTGGAATGAAGACACTCTCCGAGATGTATAAATTAAATCGAATCTCCCTCGATATCGACGTGAAACTAAAGACAGCTTGCACCGCAGACTCATTTCTAGCTTCAATTGAGCCCTTCCAAAAATCCCCTTGTTCTATCAATCTGCCAACCAAGTTTACGAGGTACCCAATCATCAAGATGGTGTCATACACTTACCTCCTTACCATGCTCGCGGCTACCGCCACCTTCGCCCTCCCTACCCCTATCATCAGCGATGAAGATTCCGTTGAAGCCCCCTCTGGCCAGGTATCGTAGCGCCCAATTCCTAAACAACGAAAGAATCCTGTCCACTGACACCAATCCACAGGTCTACATCTGCAACGGCGGCGCAGACAACAACGGAATCCACTACGGCGACATCCAGGAAGACACCGCGATCAAGTACTACGGGCGGGCCAAGACGTCCCAGGGCAAGAGCGGCTACCCCAAGACCTTCGCGAACCAGGGCGAGCTCCTGAAGTTCCCCAGCGTCTGCAACAACACGGAGGTGTGGGAGCTGCCCGTGCTGGCCAGCGGCAAGCCGTTCGACATCACGAAGAAGAAGAGTAAGAAGGAGCAGAACCACCCGGGCCCCATGCGCGTCTACTACACCAAGGACCTCGAGTTCTGCACGATTGGCGCGAGGATGTACCAGAATGACACCGGGAACCCTCATAACTGTGATCTCAAGGCCAAGGAGTGACTTTGGGGCTAGGATGCGTTCTATCTGACCTACCTACGAGGTAGATGGGTAAGGTGGGCATAATGCTGTACCCTAAGTACGCTTATGCTGATCGAGAGCTAGGTTAGGCAGATGGGTGGTTTGGACGGGTGCTGGTTAGGAATGCTACACTACAGCTATTCAGCATTTCTACTTCCCGGGGCTTTTTTCATTTACTAGACTTTTCTTTTTCTATAGATCATATGAGAGTTTGGCATTTATCTCTTGAATACTCGTGCATACCTATATTGGCACATTGGGAGGTTTCTTTACCCCCTGAATCGAATCTGAGCATGACGCGTCAGAGCATCGACATCCAATAATATTCTACCTCTAGTACCTGCCTCTATGCACTTTCCCTAGACTTAACGCTCTAAACAGAGTGTTCAAATGCCTGCATTGAGGGTCTGGGCATGTGGACCATCATAGGTAGGTAGTAAAGCGAGTGAAATGAAATCAAAGTAGCAAAAATGGCTTGGCTCTCTCACAGACAACTACGAATCTATGGCGGGGCCTCACACGTGGGGTGCCCCTTTGTTCATAGAGGCAAGACGTCTTACAACTGATAGGTAATGAAAGCTATCTAGTCAGTCTCGGCTTGCTGTCATGCCGCCACTAAGTAGGTATACGAGTATGATGTAATATATGGGACACACGGAGACGATTAGGAGTCAAGTGCTGTCTCATTGAACATTGTTGATTCCAGTCAGAGCTGCAGCTATAGTTGGGCAAACAATCATATCTTAATGGCATAACGGGGTTATTAAGTCCCAAGAAGGAAGCCCTTTCCCGATCCCTTCTATTGAGAGACTCATCATTTGATGATTGATAAGTCAAGAGTGATTGTGTAAGCCTGACTACCCTGACCCCAAGACTCAGATAATCAACGCTTTTCCGGCTAGAAGTCTTAGAAAGTTACCAAACGAAGCTCGAAAAGGAGAAGACTCATCATTAGATACCTGATAGTGCCTAGGTAATCGCCCAGCAACCTCATAGTGGGCACATATAATTATCCGTAACTGCATTCCATGAGCATCAATAAAGTATATCAACAGAGTACATATTAAGTTGAGTACCTAGGTTAGGTAGTGCTCTGTTCTGTTCTCTTCTCGGCTGTTAACACCACCTGGGAGATTTCTCTATATAGGTAGATAGAAGTTGTGTAGTTACAGCCATGAGCCATACCAATGCTTCTCAAGCACCCAGCGGGTACTGGGCACTAAGTACACAAACGCCCGCCCCTTAACACCACCACACCATGGTATCTCTGTAATTTTTCTAGCCTAGGCCATAGTTACTCATAGCCTCGCAGGCCTTCATCGTCGTAATAGTACATATGTACAAACCTCACTCTTCACTCTTCTCTTCTCTTCTCCCCCTACCCACCTCTCACACTTCTCCCCACAGCCCCTAATGCTGCAACACAACCGGCTTCCCCCTCTCCCAATTCCTAATACTCTCTCTCACATTAACCCAATACCTCAACCTCACCACCTCCCTCCTCGCGCCCTCCCAATCGCCCCCCTCAAACGCCCTCCCCAGCACCTCCTCACTCCCCCTAATCCTCTCCTCATTCTCCGCCCTAATCCCCTCCAGCTCCCCCTCCTCCCCCGCCTCCTCAATCGCCTCCCTCGTCTCCAGCACCAGCATCAACAACTCCGGGTCCTCGACCTTCCCCGTCTCCTCGGCCGCGACGTCTACCCCGGTATGTAGCCATAGCAGGTGCTGGGCGCGTTGTAGAGGGTCGGCGAGCGTGCGGTAGGCCTCGTTGATGCGGCTGGAGACGGCCTCGGCGCGCCGGCGGAGGGGGCCGGAGGGCACGACGTCCGGGTGCGCGGAGGCTTGGAGGGTGAGGAATTCGCGGCGCAGGGCGCGGACGTCGATGGCGAAGGGGCCGGAGGGGGGAGGGCCGAGGGGGAGGGTTTGCGGGAACAGGGCGTAGTGCGATTTTACTTGCTCCACTCCTCCTGCACCTCCTGCATCTTCCCCTTTCTTCGGCTGCTCTTGTGGCTGAGGTTGTTGTGTTTGTTGCTCAGTAGCGGAGGGGCTGGGTTGCGGGGTCGCCGCGCTGCTGGATAGGTTTCTTCTCCCTGTTTGCGGTGGCATGCTTATGCTTGCATTCTGGCGCATGGATGGTCTGAGACTGGCGCTTTGGCGGGAGCGATGGGCTTGGTTGGGTGCTGCCACGGAGGCGACGGGGCTGATGCTCGTTGTTGTCGCATGGTTGCGCTGCTGTCGTGTGCAGGCGTTGCCGACGCGCTGGAGCGGCCTTTGCGGCAACAGCGAGGCTCTCATCGTGGACAAGATGATAGATCGCGCGACTCAAGTACCGTACCGTGTAGGTAATCCTCGGTATGGTAAGTTGCGCAATTGGTGTTACGTGACGTATAAAAAATGATATTGTAGTTGAGGTTTTGGTTGTTGGAGTTTCTTTTTGGAGAATAGAAATTGGGGAAGCGATGACGTTTTAACGCGGCGGGTTCGGGCATAATTCCGCACATTTAAACTTTCTCGGCGCCGATGGTCGGTGATCTTTTTTTTGGGTGGCGCCTAACTTATGTACATATGTACTTTGTATGCATCTTCAAAGTTCAGAGTCACATGTCGAACTTTTTACAAGGCACTCCCATGGCTTTTGTCACACGTTGTTGGGTAGCAACAAGTCTTACCCCTGAAATCCCATCAGCTCGGGATCATGCATCTGTTAAAAGTTAAAACCAGATCTTAGACCAGAAACTCCAATTTACCAGACGGGGTATCCTAGTATTAGATGTACATACGTACAAAAGTACATCGTAGATATAATTAATGTAGCTTACACAGGAATCATACCTACATACCTAGTACCCAACCACCCAACCAGTATCTCCTATTACAAAACCCAACCCAAATAATATCTACCTATGTACTTATACTTGACGGGACTCATTGCTCTTCCTGAGTCTTCCAAGTTCCCGCTCCTCTTAGGGTATATATATATGTGTGTGTGTATATTTGCTCAACGCATGTTACCAAATCATTACCGCCCCCACCTCATTTCGCACTTATTCATCCACATCATCTTAAGACAGCGCCACCGCTCTCCATCGTCCTCGCTCCGTATGCCACCAGCGCTTCTGGTCCTTCTTATCGACCACGTTCCCGCTGTACGTATTCCAGCGCCCGACACACCCCTCCCTACCCTCGACCCGCAGATTCTCGCCCCCATCGCCGAGCATGTCTAAGATGTCGATCACCCCGCCGTTTTCATCAGTCGCGCCCTCATCCGGCGTGACGCAATACCGAACCTTGGACTCCGCCAACCCCATGAAGCCCGCGAGTCCATAGCTTTCCACCAAAACCCCGTTGTCCCCTGTCACGTTCACCGTGAACCGCGGTGTCTGCCGCGCCGCCTCCAATCTGCTCTGCGCCGCCAGACGCGACTGCGACAAGTTGGTCGACGCCTTTGACGGGAAGAGCTGGTCCTCCATTGGAAAATTAAGGCCCGAGGGGGATTTACTCGGCGTCTTCGGTGTGTTTGGCGTCGTTGGTGTCGCCGGGGGACTAGGCCGCGACGTGCACCTATAAATCAGGCCACGCGGTTTATCATTAATCATTTCAATATTTTCCATCGGCTTGCACAACGCCTGAAATATTCCCTCCGGATCGTTAGGTGTTCGCAACACTCGGAGCGATGGGAAACCGTTTGCCATCATACTTCTCGCCAGGATCGAGTCCGCGATGTTGGCGGAACTTTGGTTACTCGTGATGTCCCAGTGCAACTTTCGTACCGACGGTGATGCTAAGTAGGGAAATAGCCAAATCATCTCGTTCTCTGGCATAATTGGTGCCGAACTCTGCACCAGAGAGAAGTCTTCCAATGCCGTTAAGTTCGATAAAATTTGACTCAGCGCAGGTAGTGAGCCTACATCTACGTGCTGTAAAGTAAGTTTTCGGATCGATCGGCTTGAAGGACGCCTCACGAATGAGGAAAGCCCTTCGCTAGATACACCTGGAAGGTGTGATAATGTGAGAGTCTGAAGCGAGGGCAGTGAAAGTAGATTGGCATCGTTAAATGCCGTGAAAGGTAGATGAGATAGATGAAGATTCTCAATCGATGGCAAACGTGACAATATGTCTGGGATGAGAAACACGGGAGATAGCGTGGCGCCCGGAAGACAGTGTATCGACAGGGTCGTCAAATGCTCCCAATCTGTATGGAACTCGAGGAAATCGTCGCTTTGCTCAGGCAAAAGATCCCCCGGCGCTTCTTGATAGTTCGGTTTCTCGGAGTTCAGCAACGCCGCAGCATTTGATAATCGTCGCTTCCTCTGAAATTGTGAGGCCTCTAGCGTCCAATGCATCTCTTTCAGTTTGCGCCTGGTCGATAAAGCATGAAAAAGACGGTTAAATGAGTGATCGTGGTTCTGATGGAATCCAACAAGTTGTTCGAAGTTGGGGCATGCCATAATGACGGATGCTACTAGGTTCTGGTATAAGTCAAGAGCCACACCCTGGGGCAAGGCGGGCACTTTCAGTGTATGAACCATGGCGGCAATCTCAGCATTCGATGTCAATGTTCGACGAAGTAAGACGAGACGAGAACCAAAAGTCAGCTTGTATTTCTTCTTTTGTGTAAGTGAGTCCGCTCCAACGAGTTGAATATTCTCGTAACTTGATTTCTTGTCAGTTTCTTTTCCCTCATTGCTGCGTTGGTGTCGCAAAGCTTACAGTGCGGGCCGAACGACCTTGGCAAACTTCCGTGCCGATATGGCGACGGAGCACATATCTCTCATCATGCATGTTGCGCAACTTGTACTCCCAGGTCGTAGGTGCACTTCTTTTAGTTCATCTAAAATAAGTCCCAGTACTTCTTCGGGCAAGGCAGCAAAGAGCTCTCCCGTATCTCTCCTCCGCCTATATTGCTTTATCGGCGCCGGTCGCTGCCAGCCATGCTCCATCCTCCGTTGGCTCGAATTCCATGACTCGAAGCTCGATCTGCTACTGGCCGGAGTTCCTGGGTTCGCGAGAATAGCGTCGAAGGTTTCATTGGTCCGAACTGAGCTTGCAACGCTGGAGGCGCTGCTTGATTGTCTTCTTGATCGATTATACATTGTAGGTCGCATATCGATCTGTGCATAATTTCCCATCATTGATGGAGGAAGATTCGGTCGCTGAGCTTGTTGAGCGTAAGCTGGCCCAGTTGCATTGAAATTAGAACGATCGTTTCGCATAACAGGTTCCCGGGTGTGGGGGTCTCGTATAGCGACAGATTCAGGAGTAAATCCGGGATCAGAAGAAACGTGGGAAGATCTAGAAGCCATTGTGGAGTCCATCACATAGTTCCCTGGAGATAATGTTTGTGGTAATATGTTATGGCCGTCTTTTGATCGGTACACCACTGCAGATGTCGACTGAGATCTCTGGTGTCCTTGAGATCTAGAAAGAGTGAAGTGAAAAAAATTAGCAAGAAGAAAAAATCGACCGAGAAACACACAAGCAAATAGCCACACAGGTATAAGTTGAAGAATATGAACAATATGAGAGTGATGATCGGCGTATTTAGATGGGTCCACAGAGATTAAAAGACCAGGCGTGCCTTGCACCATCTACCCATCTACCCATCTTTAGTTAACGAACTTTTTTTTTTCTTGTAACTTGAACAGGGCTTGTTGTCTGGCCAGTCTAGAGAAGTTGTAAACTTGTAGCTCTAGAACTTCCATCCCATTCCCATTGTGAATATTTCCGACTTATCGATATCGATCGCCCTGACCTGATGAGCATCTAGTTTCTTAAACTAGATCAAACATCCCTTGGTAGGTGGCCACTCGGCTGCTGGTAGCGTGAGGCTGCTTCGTATGGCGGCGCATCATTGGAAATTAGCCGACCCCTTAAAAAAGGGTTGTACCCCTATATAGGTAGAGTAAAGTGGTAAAGTATTCATGGATGTATGTATACTGTATGTATTGCACCAGGTGCCGCTAGTGAAGCCGTCAAATAAGGTACACATGTCGCCATCTGAAGCTATCCATGTGAGAAGAAATGAGAGATTGCCTTATATATCACCTGTGCAGTTCGTGGTATATTCCCACACGAGCCATCATCTAAATAGAATCCCCGACTTTGGTGTTGTACATTATGGAGCCTTGGGAACTAACCTAAGTGAAAATGTGTATGTATGTCTTTTAACTAAGGGGAAAGAGGCAGCTGGAACTTGGAAGGGTGTGTACTAGTAGCCTAACCTAGTAGGTTAGTAGGTAGCTGGGCAGCTGGGCAGTTGGTCTGTAAAGCTGAAGTAGGGGCTGATCTTGCTAATCTTGCTACCCTTTCAAGCGGTTCGGGGAATTTTGCAGCAGGACAAGACACTTACAGGGTTCTAAATTTGGGGTTAGTAGTTTCAATCTGGTTCGGCTGGCTTCTCCCCTGACTTGTCTCCTGATTTTGGTGATGAGGATGCTCCTCCAAGACTTCTATGGCAGTAGTTGGATGAGTAACCAGTGAGCTAATCGGTTCATGATCGTTTGTTTTGATAGGCAATGAATTCCTCTTTTGAATCTTTCGGGCCGAGGGTCGAGGTTGGAATAGGTGAGCATACGCAAGCATCGCAAGGGACGATCGCGTCGGGTTCGGCAATGGCGTAGTAGTATCCATTATGAAAGGACGGTTCTAACTATACCTGATCAATCATTTTCTCAAAAGTTCCCAGCTTTTAGAAAAGTTGCTTGCGCGTTGAGATTGCGCCAGCACTCTTGAAACCAAGGCCCAAAATCCAGATTCAAGGTTGATTTCGACCAAACCTGGGATAAAAGATGAATTTGATGAATTTGATGAATTTGCAAATACCTACAAGGCTGTAGTTATGCGGACTCTTTGTTATTTATCTTTCTCTCGTCAGCAAGTGGCAGAGCTGACATGTGTTATATATATTATATATATATATATATGCAAATGTTATACATATATTTATTCATACATAGGATGTAAGGTTAGTATGTTAGCAAATGGCAAATGGTAAATGGCAAATGGTCAATGGTAAAATGCACGACATGAGATGATGCCCGACACGGTCCAATAAGCTCGAGTATCTGCGCCAAGATAGTCTAAATCGATCGATTCCTCGCGCGTGCAGTAGTACTAGGTACATAGTAGTGAGTTACCTACGGAGCAATTGGATCCTGTACAACTTGCAGCAATCGACAGCCGCTTTCTATTAGCCAACAGATCGTTGTAACTTGATTAACTTTGGTTTCGACATGGCGCTTCAGTGTTTTAATGGGTTTAAACGTGTTTAACTTTTATTCTTAGTGCATGTGGTAGATAAATATTCAGATGGTCTTTGAGCTTTAAATCTTTCAATGTTGGAAGCTTCCAAGTTCTATTGTACTGGAACCTTAGGTACCTACAAGGTAGAACCCTAACCTTAAATTAAACTGCCCAGTGCCTAGTTACTAGGTACCTAGGCAGTACATAGTGGCTACATACTACTAGGTAGTGGGCTGGGTACCTATCGATAAGCGTCCGAAACGTTAAAACGTTCCAACATTCTGCAATTTCCACTTTCCAACATTTTCAACAAATCTCACAATCCATGTATACACTATCTGCCACTCAATCCAACAGGACAATATTCTACCATGTGGGATCAGAGTGCTGGCCACTAGAGCACTACACGGGTTTCCCAGTTCTGCGTGTCTGCATCTTACCTCGATCACTTCTGCAAGACTTGTAACGTCCAAAATCACACCTGAACCACTCACGCGTGACAGGATAGATGCCCAGGACCAAGTTAGGAAATGTCAGAACAAGGTCATATGATTTCTAGTTGATTACGTAGGCAACTTGTCCACGTAATATTTTAATGGGCAATACGTTTATATTTACATATATTTGTTAAAATCCTTTGTTTATTTATAAAATTATTCTTTTTTAATTAATATAACTTTTATTTTAATAATCGTATTATTTAATAATTAAAAGTCTTATATGTAAATATTTTAAAAATATTATAAAAAGCATTAATATTAATTATATCTTATTTAAATGGAATTAGACATAACTTATAAATATATTAAATTGTAAAGATTTAATTTTAATGTTTAAAGAAATAAATTAATGAGATATATAAAATCTTATATTTTAAAAAATAATAATAAGATTATATGTTTAAAATAAAATTAAATCAATCTTAGACGATATAAAACTTAATAATTTAAAATATATATGGTTAGAAAAATTAGTAAAGCTTAAGATTAAAGATTATATCTTAAGATAGAAGCGTTAAAAATACGTTAACGCTATTTATTTAATCAAAATATAATTATAATAATTTAATATAAACCTAATGTTGTTTAAAGAAAAAAAAAAAAATATAATTAAAAGTAGAAAAGTATTATAGAATTTAGAAATTTATATTATAAGATAATAGTATTAAGTTATTTTAAGACGATATGTAAATTAGATACGAATATATATAAATGGTATTTGGAATTTTAAAAATTAATAAGTATAAATAAATAGGAATAGTTAATAAAAGTATAAATTAAATATAAAAAACGTATAGTTGTTTTAATTAAATCGTTAAAAAACTAATACGCTTAGATTAATTAATAGGAAAAATATATAGCTTAAGCTAAAGTAAGAAAAGTATTAAATATTAAAAAAACGATAATATGGTTTAATAATTTATAAATAGTTATTAATGGATATATAGAAAAGTAGTGTTTAATATATTTTTAAATAAATAAAAAAAGTTTTTTAAATAATACGATTTTTTATTAAAATGTAATAAAAAAATTAAGAACGAGATTTTAAATTTATAAAATAAATTAAAATTAAAACCGAATAGGAAAAAAAACATTTATAGTAACATATGTAAATAAAAATAAAAAAGAAACTTTAAAAGTTGGAAAGGATAAAATAATAAGTAAGCCGGTTAAAAAAGGCAAAAAAACATAAAAGTCGACGTATAGTGAAGGATTAAGCAAATAAACGAAATAATTAATATTATCGATATCGAATGATAGTTTAATAATTTATAAAGTATGTTATGAAAATTATGTAATTAAAAAGTGTTAATTTGTATTTAAGAAATTAAGATTAGATAATATTTTAAAGGGAATATTTAGACGAAAAATATATAAAAGAAATTTTAAAGTTTAACTAAAATTAAAAGTAAAAATAAAAAGACTTAAAAAATAAGTTTAAAAGTTTATTTTTTGCTTTAAACTTGAAAAGAAGTAAAAAAAGAAAAAAGAAAATTAATTAATAATAACGGTATAATATATCGACGTAATATTAATAATGATATAAGTTTTTGTTATATTGATTAAGGTTAAGAAGATAGCATATAATATTTTATATTATTTTTTTATATATTTAGTTATTTTTAATTTAGAAAATATCATTTATATTTTTAACGAAAAGTTTTGGTTTTTTGATTATTGAGATGTATTAAAAAAAAATATAATAATAACTGGTACGATTATAATGTTAGTTATTAGGTATGGAAATATAAAAATAAGAGTTAAAGGCTTAAGGGATTATAGATTTTTATAAATATTAAACGTAACGTATTGTTAAAACTTTGTTTGTAACTTAATATTTTTGCGATTTTTAAAACGATAAAAATATCATTGGAATAATAAATATATACGAATATATATTAAACGATAAAATAATTTCATTTTATATAAAATATTCGATTGATATAATTAATTTATATTAAAAGATATTTTATATAAAATAAATAAAAAAGCTTTTTATGTATAAACGAAGGTTATTAATTTATAAATAAAACGTGTTATAAAATGAGAAAGTATAAAAACATAACATTTATAGTTAAGTTATTTAAAATTATAAGTATTAAAATATTTAATTAATTATTTTTAAAAGGTAAAAATCATCGGCTTAATTATTATAAAATATAATATGTGTAATATATTAAAATTTAAACGTTTTATAAAACGTAAAGAACGATATATAAACGAAAAACCAAAAATGCGATTTATATTAGATTTTTATTTATTAAAAAAGTTATTTAATAATTATAAGGACTTTATATTAGTGTTAGATCGATGGTTTAGATATATTTAAGATTATTACTTAAAGAATTGCATAGCTTTTTTTATTATAACCGTTTTAAAATATATAATTGGGATTTTTAAAACTTAATATAGAATTATGTTTAAGGTAATAAAAATAAATAATAAAATAATAATTATAAAACTAAAAATATAAAGATATTTCGAAAATATTTATATTTGAATAAAAACCTTAGCCTTACGTATATAAAAATAAAACGATGCGGTTAAACGTTTAAAAGATGTGGTTAAAATAAAGGCTAAAGTTATGTGTAATAATGTAAAATTTTTAATATTTTTGTGGCCGGAAATATATTGATTGGCGGTATATTTATATAATTAAATATTTAAGTATATATATAACTGGAAATCGCTGTATAAACGGTTTTATACGTTTATAGTATAAAGAGATGGTAATAAAATACGGATTTGAAAATTGTAATAAACATATTTGCGGATTTATAGTTGTAAAGTATTTGCTATAATAAAGGAGGCATAGAATAAAAAAAAACGATTATAACGATTTAATTTTAAAACTTAAATTAGATATTTTATAAGATATAATTTAATTAATATTTATTAAATATGAAATCTATAAATTAATTAAATTATCGTTATATGCGACGTAGTTTTTAACGAAACCAGTTTATTCTTAGAAAACTTAGATAATTTTTGAGATGATATGTTTAAAATAAGTATTAAAAAATATGAAGAATGGTTAAAAAAAGTAAAAGAATTAATTTAAAACATTATTTAAAACGAAATCTTTATTTTAAATAACTATAATATTTATATAGAAAATAAAAAAATTAATAAAGAAAATTATAATAATTAAAATATTATAAACGTTTAAAATATTAGAAAATCTAATATATTAGAAGATGTTGATATGGGAGAAATTTTATTAAGAAATAAAAAAATAGATAATATATGTAAATTAAAAACCGGATTTGATTAATTAAACGAATTTAAAAAATAAATGTTAATAATTTTTAATTTTAATAAGTTTATAGGAAATATAATTTATTATGTATTATAAATAATTTAAAATATATATTTGGTTTTAAATGTTTAATTAATGATTTGGCATTTTACGTTTAACGTAGGACGTTTAGAAGTAAGAGTAAAAATAATAAATGGAAAAAGTATTAATAAGGTATAATTCTTACGATTATTTAAGAATTTAAAAAAGATTTATAGGAAAGATTTATCATTTTTATTAAAATATTATAGAAAAATAAAGAATTATTTAATGGTTAATTTATTTAAAGAAGTAAAACGAGAATATTTGAAAAGTTATGTATAAATGAAAATATGGGAAGAAATTTTATGTAATAATTTATAGTGTTAAAAAAAGTAAATTATTAATTTAATATAGGTATATGTTTATAAAATAAATAAGTACGGAAAGTTTTAAAAATGTAAAGTAAAAATCGTTGTTAAGGGTAATTAATAGAAGAGGTTAAAAGTAAAAAAAACATACGTTTTTATTTTAGTAAAAAGATTATTTTAAATATTAATAGTTATTATAGTATGGTTTGATTTAAAATTAAAATAATTTAATGTTATTAATGTATTTGTAAACGTAAAAATCTTATATGACGTGTTTATGTAAATGTTTTAAGAATATAAAATATTTAAAAAGATTTTTAGATTAAAAAAGGCATTGTATAAAATACGAAAATCACTATTATTATAGTAAAAAAAATTTATATAATTTTTTTAATTAATAGGTTTTAAACTAATTTTTTATAAACCATACGTATATTGTAAAGATGGAATTTTATTATTTTTTTATGTTAACGATTTAATATTTATATACTAAAAAAGG